ATGGCTGGTTAGCACTCGACGACTTTCGGAGCCGTGGGAGTGGGAGACAGCTGAAATTCACCCAAGTTTCATTCTCACATCCACTGTTAGTAGCCTTTTCGTCTGGAACTACAGGAACACCTAAAGGGATCATACACGGCCACGGCGGTGTCATTATGAACGGGATGAAAGAGGCATTCCTCCACCGGAACTTTGGCTCTGGCAAAGACGTGTATTATCATTATTCCGGGATAGGCTGGATCCTCTGGAACATTATGATCGGTGCTCTGATGAGTGGCACAACCTTGGTACTCTATGATGGATCTCCTTTTCAGCCTTCGCCGCAACGATGCCTTGATGCTGTACTGGATGCCGGAGTTACAGCCCTGGGTGCGGGGCCTCGATACTTCTCGGAGCTCCAAAAGCATGATGTTAGTATCCAGTGTCGTCCTGCATTGAGGATGATTCTCTCAGCCGGGGCTATCTTGACCGAGTCCCAATCGCTATGGCTTAAACAAACCTTCGGGCCCCTGTGTCAAATCTCTTTTTCTGGGGGGACGGAACTTTGTGGCAACTTTATCGAAGGCTCGATAAATTTGCCATGCTATGCTGGGGAGATGACTGTCAAGGCTCTGGGCATGGATATCGACATCTTTGATCAAACAGGTCAACCTGTCAAAGAAGGGATCAGTGGAGAGCTAGTCTGCAAAAAGCCATTTCCCAACATGCCAGTCGGCTTCTGGAATGACCCCGAGAGAATTAAATACTTCGATACATACTTCTCAACATTCCCACATGTTTGGAGACATGGGGACTTCATTCGACAGAATCCTCAAACGAAATCATTGGTGATACTCGGCCGAAGTGATGGTGTACTGAATCCTTCTGGTGTCCGCTTTGGAACTGCTGAGATTTACTCAATCATTGAACGGAATTTTGCTGATCAGATCTTGGACAGCATCTGTGCATCCCAACAGAGGCCTGCGGATCAAGTGGAACGAGTTTTCCTCTTCATACGCATGCAGAGTGGTAGCCATTTCTCGGCGACACTAGAAAAGGCGATACGTGACCAAATTACCAGAGATCTTAGCCGGCGACATGTGCCACAATGCATATTCGCTGTGTCTGAAATTCCGTACAACGTCAATGGCAAGAAGCTTGAGATTCCTCTGAAAGGGGTCTTATCCGGCGGGAGCGCTTTTCTATCTAAAACGAAGAATACTGTAGAAGAGAAGGCTGTTCTAGGGCAGTATCTCCGCTATTATCAAGTCGAGACAATTGCAGAGAAGGATGGAGTAGCTGTGGCTAAACTGTGATCGAGAGTGCAGCAGATTTTGAGACCCCGGCGTTCCCGGTTACTCTACAACGAACTGTGGTCTTCACACTCCAGATTTCAAAATACCATAATTATCCACCTAATATCAACATGTTAAAGACATGGGGCAATAGCCGCGCGGGGTTTTCCCTTGGGGACTGAAAGTGATTCGGCGTTCGTAACTCTGACCTCTTCCTGGATCCCCCGCAAATGAAAACGACAGAGAGAGCAAAAGCAAGAGTTAGCGTTCCAATTGTTGGTGTACCACCTAGAAGTACATCGCCAGGAAGTCAAGCAGAGAGAACCTTGCCTAGTAAACCCATTGCAATATGTCGAACTATCAAGGACACCGCACACCCCCTAAGGTGGACGGTTGCAAGTTGGACTTTTCAATCCGTCACATCATGATAGTCACGATCGATCGACCTCATCGGATGAATTCGATACCTTATGCCCTTCATTGGCAGCTTGACGCTCTTTGGTCGTTTTTCGATGCGGAGGAGTCTTTGCGAGTTGGCATTATCACAGGGACAGGAACGAAGGCATTTTGTGCTGGGTCTGACCTGATCGAAATCGATAAGGTCAACTCAGAGAATCAGTTTGCCGTTCAGTCGACTAGTCCCTGGGCGAAAAGTCATCCAAACTCGGGGTTTGCGGGTCTCAGTCGCCGCGTGGGTCGAAAACCGATCATCGCAGCTGTGAATGGGTTGGCACTTGGTGGAGGAATGGAGATTGTTCTGAACTGGTAAGTAGGATTTAACCTAGAGTAAGAGGCTTCGGAGGATGGCATGGCTGACGATGTGTTGCAATCAGTGATATGGTGATTGCGTCGCCGACTTCATCATTCGGCCTTCCCGAAGCCCACCGAGGTCTTTACGCGAGTGGAGGAGGACTTCCACGGTTGCTTCGAACCGTAGGCCTGCCGGTGGCCAGTGATATGGCTCTTACTGGGCGTCGGTTCACAGTCTCAGAGGCTTTGGGCTACCACCTGATCAATCGCGTCTCTAATAAGCCAGAGTCATTGATGGTGGAAGCGGTTGAGATCGCAACAACTATCGCGAACATCTCGCCAGATGCAATCATTGTGACAAGGGCCGCGTTGAGGGAAGCGTGGGAAACGGCGAGCGTCGAGCGTGCCTTTCAACTTACGCATGAGCGGTTTGACAAGAAGTTGATGAAAGGGGCCAATGCAAAGGAAGGGTTGGCAGCATTCAGAGAGAAGAGGTTGCCCGTGTGGCAACCAGCCAAATTGTAAAAGATCACCGCCTCGACAGCCTAGACCTTTTACCTTTTCTGGGTCCTTGGTGTCCGTTCGTGATTCACAAAGTTTGCGAGAATCATGTCTCGGCACATCTCTGAAGGATGCGAGGTTATTTAAGAGCGACTCAGGCAGCTTTGACGATTACAATGCTATGGATGTCGATGTCGACCTCTGTACTATCTAGGTAAAATATGTTATCGAGGCGGGGTAGACAGTGGTGCTTTGTCATCGATTTCTGCAGCCACTCTAGCGCCTATACGTCAACTTATTGTCTTTAAGGGTAATTTTGCATCGCATACTTTGGCGAGCTTGTCAAGGTCCACAAAATCTGGCTGATACGCCCGGAGCTATTGGACGATACATTGAGAGGCAACTTTGAATGAATAGACCTTTCAAAAGAAGACTAGGCCTAGTGATAGGTCCGTTATATCAGGATTTCTAGGTCGACTCGGGACTGGCTTGGTTACCAGCTTAGTTCGGACATGCGCTGGCATCAAAGTGCCAACAGGCACAGGTATAAAGAGCAGGAACCATCACTGAGATGCGCCATGTCATGCCGAGCAGACCATTCATCTCGAGGTAGCTTTAGTAGGGACTGTCCACTTTTTTTACACGTTAAAGAGTTGCCCTAAATCTACAGAAATCCATTGTTTCAGCATGGGGATTGATTTCACCGTCTTCAAAGGCTCGCAAGATGGAAATATTGTGGAGGCTAAGGGCCATCGAGAGGTCGGTCCGACCCAAGCTGTGGTCCAAATCAGTCACTGCGGAGTGTGTTTCACAGACGAGCATTATCGGCACGTCGATCAAGGCCTGGGGCATGAAGGCGTGGGTGTGATTGTCGAACTCGGAAGCGCTGCAACGTTGGTGTCAGACTTGAAGATTGGTGACCGTGTGGGCATGGGTTGGATGCAGAAGTTCTGCGGGTATTGCAGGCCATGCCTGACAGGACAGCAATTCAAGTGCTTGAATTCAGAGCAGTTTGGGTCTAGCAACTTGGACGTCGGCTGCTTTAGTACTGGGATAGTTTGGGATGTGTCTGCACTGTTCAAGATCCCAGATGAGTATCCATCAGAAGCTGTTGGACCTCTGATGTGTGGAGGAGCTAGTGAGTATACGTCGCGGCTCAGAAGGTGGACCAGCATTGGGCTAACAAGACTGGACAGCTGTTTGGGGTCCTCTATATGAGCACAACCTCAAGCCGGGATCGCGAATAGGGATCGTGGGGATCGGAGGTCTGGGCCATCTGGCCATTCAATTTGCCGTCAAAGCTGGATTTGAAGCTGTCGTCTTCTCGACGTCAGACTCCAAGAAGGATGAGGCGTTGAGGTTTGGGGCAACTGAATTCCACGCCACCCAAGAGGTTTCCAAGTTTCAACAGATGGAGCCTATTGATGCCTTGTTGATTACAGCATCCGTCCTGCCTGATCTGTCCCTGTGAGTGGTGCTGAGGCTCGACGAGGTTGCTGGTGGCTGACCTTTTATGCAGCTACATTCCGATCCTGGCGCCTTTTGCCAAAATCTTTCCACTTACAATTGCATTTGAGGCGATTCCTGTGCCAGCACTGCCGCTTGTAGTAGGTGGATATCAGGTGATCGGGTCGGCGGGAGCACACTCGCAATCTCTGAAGGAAATGTTGAGATTTGCTGCAAAACATAACATCAGGCCTACTATTGAAAAATATCCAATGACGAAGGAGGGAGTTGAGCTAGCGCTGTCGAAGTTGAGAGATGGAACGGTGAGGTACCGAGGCGTTCTCGAAGTTTGAGATGAGGTACCAGGTACATAGGTACCTAGTTACCCTGGGCGGTCTCAGCCTCGTCTGTCAGAGCCTCGTCATCAGGGTGGTCATAATGGATGAAGGAGGCAACAACTCATGAGATACGGAGGAAGGAGCAACCGGATGAGGGCACATGTCATGGAAAGTGGTGATAGTGCCGCATATGGCAAGGGCGCCCGAGGGCCCAGAGCCATTTTTGCAGTACTAAGTCTATAGTTTAGCGCTCACTCAGCCCAGGGGTGTGGGTATCTCATTATCTCTCTCTTATAGATTCAATCATCGTCATTTACTCATCATCATTCCACGCCAGCATACGGAGTATACGTTAATATCACGAAGACGCATCCTTTCTAGAATCTGGTGATCTTTATTTTTCATGTGTAGTAGATACATTATATAGGTACCAGGGTTTAGGTGTCGTGGGCCGAGGGGCGCACGGGGGAGTTAGAGGCTGCTTTAGTAGGGTAGGTGTACCGAGTCAGAGGTCTTTTAAGTAGCACTCGGGCCACTCGGTCCTCTCAGTAGTACGGAGTAGAGCTGCATTTGCACCCTTTTAGTAGACACTAGTCTTCCTCGGCTCTACCCCAGTTGCAGTCTTGGCATTCATGTCCCCCAACTCATTTTCCATCCTCTTGCTCGCTTCCCGCCTCTCGCTCAGACCCAAAATTTATCCTCGTCCACCACACAAGTGTGGGACTTTTTTGGTGACTCACGATGCGATTCTAGGACTTTTGGTCAACATTTCATGATCCCATAACCCTCGTTGCACCGGCATCTCAACAGCTTCTAGCCGCCACCATGGCTGGTCGACGCTCCATGTGGTCCCTTTCCTCGCGCACTCGTGTGCTCTCGACACGACCGCAAGCAGCTGGTTCCCTCCTCGACAGCATCATCCCTGCCACTCGTCGCACCAAAACCACCAATTCCACCTCGGCCCTCGCATACAAGGCCCTTCATCGACGTTCCCCCCTTCCTCTTCCAGTCACGGATACTTCGCCTCAGTATGGCGCTGCCGCCGCTGTCTCCTCGATCCTTTACGAAACTCCCGTCCCCTCTCAAGCTCCCCCCAAGAAGCATATTCTCAACTGCTTGGTCCAGAACGAGCCTGGTGTTCTCTCACGTGTTTCCGGTATCCTTGCCGCTCGCGGTTTCAACATTGATTCCTTGGTTGTTTGCAATACCGAGGTCTCGGATCTATCACGGATGACCATTGTTCTACAAGGCCAGGACGGCGTTGTTGAACAAGCCCGAAGACAACTCGAAGATTTGGTTCCCGTCTGGGCCGTGCTCGACTACACATCTGCCGCCTTGGTGCAACGCGAACTGTTGCTGGCAAAAGTCTCCATTCTTGGACCTGAGGTGTACGAGGAGCTAATGGAGCATCATAGAGAGATGACCAGTCCGGAAAGTGAGCATGGCTCCGGTGAACTTGGCAGTATCGAAGAGAATGCCGACCGCAGACTGCAAGAGCTGGAAGAGAATCGCAGTTCGGAGGACTCCTCCCTCCTACAGCGCGCAAAGGAGTTGCTTGGCCAGGGTGGAAGCTACCATCCCAGCCGTCTCGCTGCCAGCCAGGCTTTGCGCCACAAACACGAGCATCTCGAGGCCATCACTCACCTGACTCATCAATTTGGTGGCAAGGTCCTCGATATCAGCACCAACAATTGCATTGTCGAGGTGTAAGTATTCGACTCTATACAGTGGTGGTTCCCTGAGACTGACATGTGCTTAGGTCGGCCAAACCCAGCAGAATCGATTCTTTCATGAAACTCATCGCCCCCTTTGGAATCCTGGAATCTGCCCGTACCGGCTTGATGGCACTCCCCAGGTCCCCTCTCTATGGGCCTAATGAAGAACTCCAGCGTGATGCTGATGAAGTGGTCGATGCAAGCACTCTTCCTCCTGGCTAGAAACGATTTCGAATCTTGGCATGGTGCAAGGCACATGGTCAAGCTGTGGCCGTGGGCTGTGGCGTAGATAGGAGGGGCAACCTTTGGATATTTTATTCTGGCGTGAGACTACAATTGAAGGGGACGGATGACTGCTACATCTCAAGTTCTCCGTTGCCTGTTTATACGTACAATGCCACGGATCGAGTTTGGAGGCAACCACATTCTCGATTAATTTCTCTCGAAACATAGATCTGAGAATAACTGTGTTGACTTGAGTGTCCCTCTATCAACGGTCGTGTCACGTTATGTTGGAAGCAACTATACAGTATATGTTGTCCGTAGGGTGGCCAGACGGTGGTGCGGGGCCTAAGTAAGTAGTCCCAGTTCAATCAGGTATATAATGTAATTAGTGACAAGCTTTGGAGGATTTCATCACGAGTTCGCACTTCACTTCGCACGTGAGGCTTGAGAGTTTTGCCGTGCACACTCTTTCACACTCTCACAACTGTAGAGACTTGGACCTTCTACCACCAAACTCTTGTACAATCCTGTTGGTTCTAGCCCTTAACGCCATGGTGTTTTTTTTGCCGGCCATTATCCCTCCAACCGAGTTCTTCCCTCCATCCCCACAGGCGTTTCAACTTCTGTTCAACCTCTTTCGGAGCTTTCTACTAGTAGGTTTGATAGGCAGTTCCTTGCAGATGTTTCTACTACCTTCGTTGATGTTACAATATGACTGTTGCGTCCAGTCGCCCTATGCTTTACCTCAAACATAGCATTTTTCACTTCAAACACTAATACACGATTCCTTTGCAGCTATCTATCCTCCAATGGACACCTCTAGGCAATCGTCAAGCAATGGGCAAGACTTCCTCAACATCCCGCCTGAACTTACCAGGACGATATGCTTGGGCCTTTGCCGAAGTGATCGGTCCAGTTAATCTCCTATTCATCCTTTACGTGTTGCCCTCGAAAGTGAAGCCTGAGCCGGCCGCAGACTCCAGTCTTCTTGGGACAGGTCTTTCTCTTCAGATGGAGATCATGGGAGTCTTATATGTGCTACATTACGTCAACCGTGCATTGGTCACACCTTTGTATCTTGCACCTAGCATCTCTCCAATTCATCCGTTGGTTTCTGCTATGATGGCAACATTCCAGTTCGTCAACTCCAGTAACCTCGCGTGTTGGCTTATCTACACCAGCCTCGCAATAGACTTCAAAGAAACTCCTATCTTCTCAATGGGCGCGGTCTTTGGGTTAGCTGTCTTCTTCACGGGCTTCGTCGGCAATGTTCGAGCAGATGCAAGACTATTTGACCTCAGGCGGGGGGCGGCGAAACGCAAAGCAAAGTCGGAAGGCAAGGCACTCATTACATATGACAAGGTCTATGTCATTCCCCCGGCACAAGGCATGTTCAAACACATCTTGTACCCTCATTACGCTTTTGAATGGCTGGAATGGACTGGATTCTACATCTTAGGAGGCTCATGGGGCTTGGGCTGGGGGTATGAGAGCGCTGCACTCTGGTTTGTTATTGTGGAGTTCGCCACCATGCTCCCACGAACAGTCAGTGGCCGTCAATGGTACGAGCAAAAGTTCGGTAAGCGTGCTGTCTCTGGCCGCGCAGGGGTAATACCTTGGTTGAATTTATAATTTGTGCTGGGTAAATATTACTAGATACAATTGGAATATGGAGCAGTAGCAACATGGTCAGCATCTATAACTCGCATGGTCCGCCCGAAAATGCTGCGTTTTCGGCTCAACAGCCCACTGTAAATTATTTAGACGCTAGCACCACTAGTAGGTATCTATGCTTATAGTGCAAAGAATTTCCTACGGTTAAGGTTTTTTGTTCCTATAGTTCCAGTACTCGTATGTACGTGGGAAGGTGCAGTACGAGTACACTTGTGTCCTTCTTACCTAGGTATCCATCGTGTCCCGTCTAAAAAAGAATGCGTGGCAGAAGGTATGTGCGGGTGTGGCCCATTCTGTCTGACGGATTTACCACCCCACCTACCCTATCAAGCATCCATTGCCCTGTGAAACACGTATTTTCGCGTTTTCGCCCGCCCGCCATGCCTGTTCACGAAAGACATCCCTCCCCCTCCTCCTCCCGCTCCCGCTCACGCAATAATGTCGGAGCTCAGCAAAATTTCCCTTTCCTGACTGCACCACACTTTTCTCACCGCCCTCACATTTCCTTTCTTCTCTTCCCATCTCGCTATCCCTTAATTTTCCTTCCCCGACTTCTTCGTTGATCTCTCTCTTCTCTCAGAATATCAACAGAAGTCCCATCGTTATTAGGATCCCCCAGACTTTTTTCAAACCATTCGCCAAAATGGTGCAATCGTGAGTCAACCCCCATCACACCTCTTTGATTCATATGGTGAGAAATTTTGGCTAATTACGTTCCAGTTCTGTCTTGGGCTTCCCCCGCATGGGTGCCAACCGCGAGCTGAAGAAGGCAACCGAAGCATACTGGGCAGGAAAGACCACAAAGGAAGAGCTTTTGAACGAAGGAAAAAGACTTCGACTTGAGCATTGGAAAATCCAGAAAGATGCCGGCATCGACATCATCCCCAGCAATGACTTTGCCTTCTACGATCAAGTCTTGAGCCAAATCCAGCTCTTTGGTGTCGTGCCTGAACGTTACACAAAATATAACCTCGACCCCATTGATGAGTACTTTGCAATGGGTCGAGGTCTGCAGAGACCTGCCGACGGAGACAAGCCTGCAGTCGATGTTCCTGCCTTGGTAGGTCCCCAGTGATCCTAGTATCCCATGAGCCAACTCGTACTGACCGCACCAGGAAATGGTCAAATGGTTTGACTCCAACTACCATTATGTCAAGCCTACCCTCCAAGATAACCAGTCTTTCAAGCTTGATTCCAACCCCAAGCCAGTGGTGGAGTTCCTCGAGGCCAAGGAAGCCGGCATTATCACTCGCCCCGTCCTTCTCGGACCCGTGTCCTTCCTGCACCTGGGCAAGCCTGATCGTGGACAATCCATCGACCCCATCGACGCTCTTGACAAGCTCCTGCCATTGTACTCCGACCTCCTCAAACAACTCAAGGACGCAGGTGCCGAAACAGTTCAAATCGACGAGCCCATTCTTGTGTACGATCTACCTGAAAAAGTCAAGGCAGCTTTCAAGCCCGCCTATGAGAAACTGGGCAGCCTTGGCTCTTCCGCACCCAAGATTGTCCTTGCGACCTATTTTGGAGACATTGTCCACAACATTGATGTCCTGGAGAACCTGAAGAGCCTCTACGCCATCCACATTGATCTCGTCCGCAACCCCGAGCAACTCGACACCGTCCTCGCCGCGCTCGGCCCCAATCAGATTCTTTCAGCCGGTGTCGTCGATGGCCGCAACATCTGGAAGACCAACTTCCAAAAGGCCATTGAGAAGGTCGAGGCCGCCGTGCAGAAACTCGGCAAGGACAGAGTCATTGTTGCTAGCTCCAGCTCCCTGCTTCACACACCCCATACTCTCAAGAGCGAGAAGAACCTCGACCCTGAAATCGCAGACTGGTTCAGCTTTGCCTCGGAGAAGACTGTTGAAATTGCCACCATTGCCAAAGCTGTTACTGAAGGCCCTGCTTCAGTTCGAGAGGCGCTCGAGGCTAATGCCAAGTCGCAGCAAGCTCGCGCCTCGTCCAAGCGCACCAATGACCAGGCTGTCAAGGAGCGCCAACAAAACGTCACCCCTGAACAACACAATCGCAAGTCTGAGTTCCCTGTCCGTATTGCTGCGCAACAGAAGCGCCTCAATCTACCCCTGTTTCCTACCACGACCATTGGCTCCTTCCCTCAGACCAAGGAGATCCGTATTCAGCGCAACAAGTTCACCAAGGGCGAAATCAGTGCAGCCGAATACGAAAAGTTCATTGAAAAGGAGATCCAGGATGTTGTCAAGATCCAGGAGGAATTGGGTCTTGATGTCTTTGTGCATGGTGAGCCCGAGCGAAATGACATGGTGCAATATTTTGGAGAACGCCTGAATGGGTACGCATTCACGACCAATGGATGGGTGCAGTCATATGGCTCTCGATGCGTGCGACCTCCAATTGTGGTGGGAGACATCTCTCGCCCTGCTCCAATGACGGTCAAGGAATCCAAGTACGCGGCCTCCATCTCCAAGAAGCCAATGAAGGGCATGCTCACCGGGCCCATCACCTGTTTGAGATGGTCATTCCCTCGCGACGACGTGCATCAATCGGTCCAGGCTCAACAGCTGGCTCTCGCCCTCCGCGACGAGGTCGTCGACCTTGAGCAGGGCGGCGTGTATGTGATTCAGGTTGACGAACCCGCGCTCCGTGAAGGTCTCCCCCTTCGCAAGGGCAAGGAACGAACCGACTACCTCAAGTGGGCGGTTGATGCTTTCCGTCTGGCAACTGCGGGTGTCGAAGATGGTACCCAGATTCACAGCCACTTCTGTTACTCGGAGTTTCAAGACTTTTTCTATGCCATTGCAGCTCTCGACGCCGATGTGCTGTCGATCGAAAACAGCAAGTCGGACGCCAAGTTGCTCAAGGTGTTTGTGGATGAGGCATATCCACGCCACATCGGGCCCGGAGTCTACGACATCCACTCACCGCGGGTTCCTTCGCAGCAAGAAATCCACGACCGAATCCAGGAGATGTTGCAGTACTTGAAGCCTGAACAGTTGTGGATCGACCCCGACTGCGGGCTCAAGACACGACAATGGAAGGAAACCAAGGCAGCGCTCACCAACATGGTCAACGCAGCCAAGGCGTTCCGTGCTCAGTACACAAAGTAGTGGTGACACGGTGAAGGGGCATATCGGTGGAAGGACCGGATGCCCGCAACATGGCTTTGAATCAATCAACCTGATCAAAGCTAGAGACATGGCGTCCAGGCAACAGGACGAATGAATGACGAGAAGTTCAAAAAGTGTTTTTTCAACATGATACCACGATCGTACGAGGGCGGGCAAAAGTCGATCTTAACATCGGCGTTTTAAGCTTGCCCTAGACAACAGGCTCGGGCGGAAAGGACATGGGTTGATGAGATGAATTTAGAGTACTGGGTTGTGCTTCGAGGCTCCTGGCTGGTGACGATTCAACAAGTTGCATGTCCCATTTAGGTCGTTAGGGACCCTGACTTGGTTTTTCAGAGCGATAAGGCGATCGGAAGACCGATTGCTTTGCACAATGTGAATGATCTTAAGTCTACTATATGACGAGCCCTTGTGTGAGACGTGACATTGACATTTTAGTGATCGCTGGTGTTGAGACCAACTTGTAGGTCACATGGTCCAAGGACACATGACGTAGCAAGAAGCTCTCAGCCACAACCAGGTATACATGCAAAGGGCGGTCTCGAAGTGGTCATGCATATCTCAAGATTGTAGGGGAACAAAACGGCAAGTCCAGAAGCGGTAGAGGACGAAATCAAGTGGTGACTTGTATCGCCACAGGTGAGGAGGGGAGGCGGTTAGTCACTAGAGAGGTGTATCTGTCAAAGTACCTACGAAGTACCGAGTGAGACGGTCGCGACGGTGAATGGTGAGATCAGGTTCGGCGTTCCCAAGCGAGGCCAAGGGTTATGATCGGTTAGGGCGATGATCAACTGTACACCATGCAACGGACGCAAGATGTGATGCAGGTACTTCTGGAGACGCATGATTAGTGGACTTCAGTAGGACTGGCGTGACTGGGTGTAAGAATAGTATCCTGTTGCCTCAGTACCTAAGGTAGGCATGACAAGATACGAGTAAGTAGTGTCCCAAGTAGTGCTTGTGGCTTGACTCGAGTGGGCAGAAGTGGCGAATTGTGGCAATTGCTAGCCTGGAAACATGAGGAAGCCACGATCCAACCTCAGTACCTACGGAGTAGTGGTGGTACCTTCCTCCCTACTACTGAAACCCGAGGTGCCTTCCGACCTTCACGACATTATGTAGGTCGTGCCTGCAGTATGTATGTAGAGAAAAAGCCCCCAAACAACACCCTGGAACAAAATGACACACCTCGTAGACAATAATATACTCACCCAAGTCTGACACGGTCTAACTGAAAAGTAGGCACGTAGGCAAACTCTTGGGGTGGCAATTAAGGCCACTGGCAGACGCCGGAGTCAGTCTGACAAAATCTGTGACATTTCCAATCCACTTTAAACGGCGACGCAGTTGGAGGGGCCGAGGGGCGCCTCGGGCCACTAGGGATGCCCTTGGGCTTGAGGGGTTCACCTCACCTCAGTGCCTCATTATTTCACTTCACCATTACCAACACTCACTTGGGACTTTTTTGCCCAGCCTCGACGCCATCAGCCTTCGTCATACGTATGCGAACCTTACAGTTGGCACGAGTTGGTTCTTCTCCACAAACAGCTTGCAACGAATCACTCATCTTTGGCCAGTCTGCTCTGCCTTGGTCTCTCTGGGCTCTGCAAGATACCCAATTGCCGCCGCCTACATGTAGCCTGCGAACCTCGTCGCTTCCCAGCCTCCACCAGTCAGACTCCCATCATTCTCATCCACCCCGGCCATACGAGGAGTCGTACAATCGCCGCCTATCGTTCTTGCGTTCTCGACCCAGACTTTCGTTTCTATTCTCCTCTTTCCGCCTGACTTTGATTCATGTTTCTCCCACTGTCGAGCATGCTGTCGCTCTAAATCGACCCTCCTCCGAACTCTTTGAGCAATTTGGTTGAACGAGAACCACAAGTACCCCAACTGCTCTCTTTTTCCAACGACCAGCTTCTCATTTCGACATCCCACAGACAAAAACACTCAGACGCCTTGCACTCAGGCAGCTGCTCCTGACCTGCCGTGATTTTCCTCGAAATCTGCGCCTCCTCCCTTACTCCTCACATTCTCCCTCATTCAGCATCGACGTGTCCACAATGGAATCCAGAGATCTGCGGCGCAAAGACACCACAAGAGGCCCGCCCTTGCGAGTTCTCTCATTGGGCAAGTCATGCAATTCCCCCCAGTTTCCCCAGGGCCCTTGACTGACAGTCGCAGATGGCGGAGGAGTTCGTGGCTACTCGATGCTTTTAATCCTCCAGGAACTCATGCACAGGCTCTATGTCGAAAGCGAAGGCAAACCTCCCAGTCGAGACGCCACCCCAAAACCCTGCGATTATTTCGACCTGATAGGTGGTACTGGTACGGGCGGCTTGATTGCCATAATGCTCGGCAGACTGCGTCTAGATCTCGAGACTTGCATGGATGTCTATGTCAAAATGACCAGAAGAGTCTTTGAAACAGACAAAACATTCGCCGGAATTCCTTACAAACATACTCTCTTCAAAGCCTCCAAGCTCGAAGAAGCAATTCGAGAATGCGTCGCCCAGCACACTGTCTACGACGACGAAGGCTACGATGGGAGAGCCCGCGATTTCCACGATCTGACAAGCCCTGTGAGCGCCACCAGCGATTTGGCTGTGCGACGGTCAATGTCCATGAGGAGTTCAACATCTATCGCAACCCCCCCAGCTCGACACTCTCTAGTTGCTCCCAACTTCCCTGGCTTTGGTAACTCCAATGCCACTTTGTACGATGGAAGGGAGACCAGGACCAAGACGTAAGAGTTCATGCAATAGCCACGAATGCTACTGCTTGGCAAGTCTAATATGCGACAGGGCTGTAACCGCCGTGTACAAAGGGACCAACCCCCGCACTGGAAGCTCCATTCTGCTGCGAAGCTACGACTCACGCAAAGAACCTGCGCCTGAATTCAACTGCACCATCTGGCAAGCCGGGCGAGCCACCTGTGCGACTGGTTTGGCATTCAAACCCATCCAGATAGGCCAGAGCGTCTTCACCGACGAGGGCGCCGGCAAATACAACCCTGCCGTTCAAATCTTGGGGGAAGCCAACAATGAATGGCCAGCAAGAGAAGTTGGCGTGTTTGTCAGTGTCGGAACGGGCAAGCGCCCCGAGAGCAGCACCACCACCGAGAGTGAATGGTGGGAAGGCTTCCTTGGTGGAAGCCTCGGAATGTTTGCCGAAGCGAGACGTCGTCTAATCCAGAAGATTGAAGACTGTGAGAAAGAGCATCAGAAAATGCTCAAAACTGAGCTCACCAAGCGGGGCGTGCCTATTGAAAACTACTTTCGGCTGAACGTCGACACCGGGTTGGCGAATCAGGTTGGGTAAGTGCTTTGTTGCTCTGGGCATGCCTGTCCGCTTACCCTCTTCCTCGTATGTACTAACATGGTAAATTCAGCACCAATGAATGGGCAGCTTTGTCTGTCGTCACCACCAATACCCGCAAATATCTCCAAAAGCCCGAGGTGCAAGACCTTCTTCGAGACTCGGCCACTCGAATGGCAAAGATTGAAATTCTGAAGCGTCGACAAGGCCGTCAAGGCATGTCCAACATTCACAGCCGAGACTCGAGCTGGGGCTATCGAGACGAGTCTGTCTTGGTCGACGGCTCTCCCATTCCATCGGTCCCTTCTGGGGTTGTCGAACTACCGGTCGAAGAAAGTATGCATTTGCCGCCCGTGGCACAAGTACTACCCCCTCACAGAAGCCCGGGAAATCCACCGTATCCCATTGACCAGACCTCGGCCGGACAAGACAAGTATTCGGTGGTCTCGGGAGACTCGAATTCATCACGAGTTTCAGGCGACTTACCGTACCGGCGGCGTGACGAGGACCGCTTGCTCTACCAGTATCAGCCCCCTCCAAACTCTCCATACAACCCTTCGGAGCCGCCTCCTCGACCTCCCAAGACTCCAATCAACGAACCTGTTTACCCTCTTGGGCGTCCACAGAATGGTCGTCTGAATGGGTCTCAAGGTCATCGACCGCCGTACCCTGACTACGACGACTTGCCGCCGCCACCTCTGGTCTCCAAGTTGAGAAAGCCCGAGTTCATTCCCCGACCGTCATCCCAAAGTTAGATTGGCTGGGTGTTGACGACTGAACGGGACGACGACCCTTGAACACGACTTATAATCTATTCTTGCTCTTTTGTGGCTGCATCGGCGCAATCAAATCATTGCTGTTGAGCAAGAGGACCAATCATACTGGTTGATCTGCATATTTTTCACCCTTTGGGCATTTCGAGGAGGACTGGGCAGGAACATTTATCATGGCATACGGCACAATGGAAATAATGACGAACATGACACGAAGTTGATGATTTGAGTATTCAGAGATATATTCCCCCTGTTGGCATTTAACAATGACGGGCGATGTAACCATTGGACGATTACACACGATGGAATGGCTCATGTTGGATGAATTTGACTAATGACTGTGTTCCTAGTGATTTTGAAGGACATTGGTTGAGAAAACCAAGACAAGATTGACTGACGACAGTCATCTTGATGCCCCTAGGACTTTTGGGTCGATTGACAGAACCGCGAGGCTATCAGAATATCGATGATGCGAGTCGAGTTCACGGTTGTAATTTGTAGCGATCTATCATATAATACTCTGACAAAGGCTGAAGGGGATGCTCAATATTTGATTATTATTTTATGAGGAGCTCAGCTCCTGCTCAACACAACCCCTAATTAGAATAAATATAATACTATTCCCGGGTAGTACTAATTTAAGTAAAGCCTTGTATTCCTAGAGAGCTTATTACATCTTTATAAGAGTTATTAAATCGGTAGAGTCTGAGAATTACCAAATATTATTATCTGTCTAATAGCTAAAAGAGAGAGAAAAGAGGATGAGGATGAGGATGAGGATGAGGAGGAGGAGGCTCTTCCTGCTCTTCCTAGGCTAGATACCCGCAGGGGCGAAGGACATTTGGTATAGACTTTAGGAAGGAGATAAGAAGGTCAGTTCCTGCCAACAACAAACACGTCTCGTGTCTCGAGTCATCGAGTCCTGAAAATGAGGCCTGGTTATCAGATTGTTTCTGCAGGTATACGTAGATTGACAGATCATGCTCGTACTGACAGCGCAGGGATGACATCAAAAGGTCACTCGTTATATGACATTGATTGTATAAATATATATACATATATTTCCCTCTCTCTCGCTTAGTGGCGTTGCTCCTTCCATCATCCTTATGATGAGTGCCGCCATAACCCGAGGTTGCAACTTCAGGTCCTAAACTTTGATTATTGTAATTCCACATTCACGGCTAAGGTTGCCGAGACAAAAGAATGTGAGGACAGAAAGGCGTCCAAGTCCGACAGTCATTGAAGCTTAAAAATATCCAGCATCTGTGCCTAGGTATATCAGGTAGAAATCCCAATAAGACCAATAATAATCCCTCCCGTTATCCAATCTATCCCGCAACGTCTATTATTTCCAAATGGAGGTTCTTAGGACTTGATACTTCTTGAACTCCTCTCTGAATCAGTCTTTACTGACCCAATCGCTCACTCCTGGAGATACTAGCTACCTGTAACGAATTCACACCTCCTGAAGTCGTCTAAAATCGCGACCTGACGACAGACCACACTTATCTCCCTTGACCAGTGCCCAGTCTTACTCTTCTATCAACGCTCTCCGTCGTTGAACCTCTTTCAATCCCTTTCAATCGCCCGTCAACACGAGGCGCGGGGTTCGTCCTTTTTTTTGGGGAAATCATGACTGGCGACGATAGCAAAGGAGGATCGCGGGGCCAAATGCGGGTCAAAGAGGTACGTATGTCCTTGGACATTTATCGGTATCTGATATGCAACTTCGTCCCCGACACCATCTACTTCAACTTGGTTGAACTAAGCCGCCATCTCTTCCTAGGTCTACACGTACCCAATCAAATCTATTCGTGGCATCTCGCTGCCCTCACTGTCCGCTACCTACAAGGGGTTCCCCCACGATCGACATTTCATGCTGTATTCCGTCTCCAAGAACCAAAACATGCACATTGCCATGTTTACCGAAATGTGTTTGTTTACTACTCAGTTCGATGACAATGCGGCCCCGACCAAGTTGCTCGTTAGTTACGCCAAGGACTATGCTTTTGCCCGTCCCGAGGTCAAGATCGATGATGGCCGTGATTCTCTCGAAATAGATCTTGCGCCAGACACGCAGGTCTTGGCCCCATTTGAAATCACGATGCATTCGAGTCCTGTTGTGGCTTACGATATGGGCAAACAAGTCAATGATTGGTTTTCTTTGAGGTTTGGTCACGAAGTCAAACTGCTTTATATTGGTTCAAGCACCCGCAAGGTCTTGGGAAATGTGTCACCGACTGTGGCTGGGCAACAGCGAGATGGCTTGCGCACTGGCTCTGCATCTGCAGAAGCAAAACCTGCTGGCTCATGGTTGGGGAGTATCACGTCTACCGCCAATTCTTTGTTGACTTCTGTCATGGGCAAACAGTATGAGGGTGAAGACCACGGCATCTCGTTTGCCGATGTGGCTCCATACCTGGTCATCAGCTCAACAAGCTGGGAGAATGCCCAGCGTCGTCTGGACGGTACAGGGGAGCTTCTCGACATTTCCAAGTTCCGACCGAATATTATCGTCGAAGGGGCTGAAGCAGAATGGGAGGAGGATTTCTGGGCTGAGCTTGTTGTTGGAGAACAGAACGCCAAGTTTGTCCTGACGCAAAATTGTGCCAGGTGTAACAGCCTAAACGTCGACTACGAGACGGGTCAAGTTGGCAAAGGAGAGGCCGGCAAGATCCTGAAAAAATTGAACAGCGACAGGAGGGTCGACCCCGGCTTGAAGTGGAGTCCTGTCTTTGGTAGATATGGATTCCTTGCCAAACTCGGCCCGGGGAAGGAGGCAATTGACATTGCAGTTGGCGACGAGGTTCAAGTCGCGCGAAGAAACACCGACAGGACCGAGTTTGGTACGTTTCTTTTTCAAGTTGTTCCAGCCGTGGAAACTGACAAGCATTTCAGAATGGCCTAATCTCAGCACCAACAACAAGTAAACTCTGCCGAATTACAATTATTCGCATAGTGCAGATGCACACTCTGGCTTGTCTATTCGTTGGTAGGTATTTTCGTCTGGCCTCTTGGTTAGGCTCTTTGGTGCGAATCGAGGCATATGTCATTATCGTGACGGTCGTAATTATATTAGGCGTTTTGGTCATTTGGCGGAGCGTGCAAACATGTTTCTGACACTCCCCTGCCGACTCCCACCGATCCTGCCATCAAGCGCTTTGGGCGCATATCTCGCCTCTGGCTGTCGTATACCCTTGGCGACGCTGTCCAACACCCACTGGGCGGTCACGTATTTGATCCCTTTACCACCAATAGTGGTGATCTCTTTGTTGAGCTTTCCGGATGCCAGGCCGCCCCCACACGTATTGCCCAAGATCACATGGGTAACAGTTCGTCGACCTAGGGCGAAAGAGGCGTTGCCCCCGTGCTGGACAAATAGCTGTTTGATCTTATGATCAGATACCAAGGGGGCGGTGGAACCGTTTAAATAGAAGGTCAGGTTTCGGAAGATCTGTGGTGGTGGTGGTGGTGGGATGGGAGGTGTAGTTGTTATGAGTTGAAATTTGTCGTCGTCGTCCAAAGTCATTGTGGTCGTCGCTACCTTCAAGTCATGTTTGTTATTCAACGATGTGATGGAGTCTTTGCTGTGCGCCTGATGGAGGTTGTGGGGACTGTTGTGTTGGTCACCTTTTTCCAACTTCTTTGCCCGTTTCATACTGTCGCAGTCATCGTTGACCCTTCTCTTGCGGCATCCAGTCATCAGTGTCCGAATATCTTGCCACCCTTCCTCCCTCAATCCAGGTGCACCCTTCTCCCAGTCCCCGTTGTCCTTCCTGCCATCTTTGCCATAGTTTTCACTGCCCGCACCGACAAGATCAGAGAGGTGCATTGAACCTCCAGCGCCGGACGAGTCTCGAAACTGATGTGAGAGCTTGTAGTTGCGAGATTCACGCCATGATGTGCTGCCAGACAACCGGTTCTCTGCGCGTTGGTGGCCAGTGGATGAAGAGTTGAAGGGATCAAAGAAGACTCTGGTGGGCTGTGGCGGAGGAGGGAGTTGTGGGTTATGAGAGGGCATCTCGATGACGACAATACAGATCTAGGGCTTCTTCACTCACAATAGCCATGGGAGAGCTTTCTGGAATTAGATGTGAGCGATGCAAAGACAAGAAAAGAGGAGGAAAGGAGGGCGAAGTGGGTGTTATTGGACTGTCAGGGCGACTTCCTTGGTCCAAGTGGGCAATAACGACGCATCATCATTTTCGTTGGCGGGCGTTGCTAGCAAGGCAAGAGCGACCGCGTCCACGCCTCGATTTATATCACGTGACTAACGCCAAGTCACCTGATCTTGTTGACGCGCGTTCACGTTTCGCGTCTTCAAACCATCGACAATTATTAACAACTTACAAGTACTCGGTAATTCTTCTTGTACAGATTTCACAGTGACCAGGATGTCTATCCTAGGTACTATACATATCTGACCGCCAACTGATCAATCATTTCATAAACTAGACAACTATTGGCTGGTTTCTATTTGCACACAGAGAGGTAGTCCTTCTCTCACAAACTTGCCATTGCTGCGGTTGGTATTGTACACTTTGTCCATTAATCAAACCATGTCTCCAGAGACCAACCATCTCACATATTCAATCGCCCTTGTCCACCTCCTCATCGCCCTCTCACACCCGACTCTGCTCAGGCTGACAACTTTCCTTCGGCTATTCCTCAACCTCTGCCGTGATCTAGAATTGCACGCTCCTTTTCTTCTGGTGATACATGACGCATCCCAGCTGCCGTCGATCAGGGCCTCTATCGCTGGTGCGGACCGTCGAGGCAAGTCCATCTCCCCACCTCGAGTCCTGTAACCGAAACAAATGGTATCCTCGCGTGGTGGGCGCTGCTTTGGGCAAAATCAAGAATGTAAACCACCCAATCGGCCGTGAAACTTCGTAAACTCCATGTACTTGTCTGAGAAGTAATGCTGAAAATAAACAAAAAAAATGACCCCAACCGCCCCGGATGCTGCCCTCTTCTCCCGACACAAATTCTACATGGCCGTTAAATGACTTGGTCTCGTGCGCACAGACCTGAGCTTGTGCGGCTTATTCTCTTTGTTCAATGATTTCTCAGACTCGGCTCGAAAAACTGGATGATTGACTGGCTGATGGATTCGAAGTCATGTACGAAAATACTCGATTTCGCACATGTTCGAGGATCTTGAGGTCTTTGGCCAAGATGGGCGAGATCGCTTCGTTCTCCTTCAAAATGCTAATAGTGCGATTATGGAGTCTCAACAACGTGTCCCGGTCGATCAAAGAGCTCAATGCAGGATGTGGCGCCGTATAGGCCGCGTACAAGACGAGCATATTGCCGAATTGCCTACACCACAAGTTAGCCGACTCCTCAGTCATCCTGTCTGTAATACTCACGCGTGCGCCGTGCCAAAAATGTTGGTCACAATCCATCGCCGAGGCACTTTATCGAAGCAGGTGGTGCTGCGCACGGCTGCATTCACGCAGATCTTGGCCCCTCGGAGCTGCGCTTCACTCAGATATGGCACCGTCTTTCCCAACGACACCTCATAGTCGCTCGGTGACTCAGATCGCGAACCCTTGACAGAGCCTTCGCCCACCTGCAAAAGTGCATGATGCAGGGCTGGCCGCCAGATGATGTATTTGGCTCCATAATACTTGCCGCGGATTCGGGCCACGTTGATATCGGGGCTCTCGTGGTCATCATCGCTCCAGTTCCAATCATTCAACATGTCCCGCCAATTCTCGAGATTCTCGTCAAGGATGGACATCATCGTGTCACTCGACCTCGTTTCCGGGTTCTTGGACACCCGATAAAGGGTAGAGTGGATGCTGTTGATGGTCACTCGCAACTGGATCTGATACGAATAGAATCGGAGGAGGTCACCATTGCCAGACTTGTTGAAGCCCCGCTCGAGCGTGAATTCGGTCGGCATTTCTTTGTGTTGTGCACTTTCGTATCGGGTGATGCCACTAGGTGGGAGATCCATTTCTGCCGCAATGTCGCTTTCGAGCTGTAGACACGACCAAAACGCAAAGTTGATCAAGTTGCGGGTTGACATGTTCATGTTGCCCTCGACGTACTCTGTAGAGTCAATGAGGACCTGGACCGCTATGCAGGCGTTGTGAATGTAGTGGTAGCTCGGGACGATGCGAGCCAACTGTCCCATATAAAGTCCGGCCAACAGGTTTGCCTGCACGTGGGCGAGGCCTGTGCCGCCCGTTTGCTCGCCGATAATGTCTGCAGCCTTTGTGAAGTACGCAAGTCCCGGGACGGTGTCGATGTTCTTGCCTTGTGGGTTTGCCGGGCTCGAGATGTGGATTTGATGACCTCCATTCAGGTGGATCTGGTTGTTGAACGGCGAGGGTGGTGCTGAGGTGGGAGCCATGGGCAAGTCCGAGTACATGGCGCTGTGTGGCGTTGAGGTACGGAGAAAGCTCGATGATGGCACACCAGGCAAGGGATCACGGTGACTGGTGACTTTTCCGAGAGCAATTACCAGCAAGACAATGGCATTGCCAATACTGTGCTCGATCGGGGGACTGGCGAGGTGACCAGGGCGCGCATGTCCCCGCAGCTGCTGTGTTGTACCATTCTGCTCCTCTAGTCCACCTGGCGAGTCCGTCTCCCGCTTTCTCTTGACCCCAGCGCCTATGATGGTCTGTGTTGGTCGATAATCCCAGCTATATGTCTTCTTAAAGGTGTGAATCATGGCGCGCAGCACCTTGGATTCCAGAAAGGGATGTAGAATATGAATGTTGTCCATGTAACTTCGGAAATAGCGATCGATGGCATCTGTTTCTAGCATCAAGCCACCCAATGGACTAATGCCTCCCGGATGCTCGCGGGCAGGGTGGTGCGAGCTTGGGTTGAGCCCCGCTGGTGTATACAAAGATCCATTGCCCCAGACTCCATGAGGCGATCCTGCACTATCGTCGTCCAGTCGTCGGCCTTCGGAGGAAGCACTGCCGGCGGGACTGGCGGCGGCTTCGCGGCCATCACCTTTGTCATCCCCTTCACCACAACCGTACAGGCGGAGGAGGCCGCGTTCAATTTCCGAATCCTTGACGTACGAGGGTGTGATTCCTGCCGGGATCAAGCGTCTGATGGATGGCCAGAGAACCAGATTTTGCGCCGCTGTGGTATGTTTAACGGGTAGGGAAAGTTCAAACATTTCAGGCTCGGCACTCCTGGCCTTGGGAGCGCTGGTGGTGAGAGGGGCGCCTTGATTAGAATGGTGTGTGGCTCGACCAGAGGCGTGGCCTGTGCGGGACGGCTGTTCGGAGGAAGGCTGTTGTGAGGGACCGGGTTGTGGCATGTCCAAGGTGCCTTCTCGACGGAGGCTGGACTGCGATGATTGGGTCATCAGCGTGGGCTTTTCCGCAGGGAAGATATCCTTCTGCTCGTTGGGAGTTGATTGGTGGGTCGCATAAGACGGATCTTGTACGGTCCTGTGTCTCTCTTGCCAAAGCTCCTCGATCTTTTTGCCCTGGGCATTTTGGAGATCCATCAAAATCTTGATGTTGTTGCTGTTGGCTTCGAGTTGCGCTGCGATGGCTTCAAGCTGGGCAGTGATGGCGAGGGCTTGCTTCTCGGACTTTTGAGGGGGAATATCACGATAGAAGCACTTGAGGTTGTTGTCTTTGCAATGCTGGCACACGGGCCTTCCCTCGTCGCATTTGGCCTTGCGTTGTCGACACGAGTCGCAAGCCTGTGTCGCTCTCACAGGCTTCCTCCGCTGGCCAGCAGCATAATCCGGATGGGCGTAGTAAGGGTATGAAGACTGAGGTTGCGGCCCGGCAGAATGAGGATGGCCATAAGGAGGAGCCTGAGCGGGAGATTGAGCCTGCATCATATCATGCCCGGTGACGACGTGCAGCGGGGGCTGATGGGACCCGTTAGACTGGCTGTCAGGGCCAGGATACGAATGTCGCGCTCTATAGTCGCCCGGCGTTGGAGGATAATAGGAAGGTTCATGTGGAGTAGAATGATAGGAAGGATGTTGGGACTCAGCGGGAGATCTAGTAGGACCTGACACACTTCCTGGTCTGCCGTAGGGCTCGGGAGGTGGAGGGTAGGGCTGGCTCTCTCGGGTTGGCGGTGGTTGATATGGCTGTGAAGCAGGATGCGGCGGCGGCGGTGGCGGCGGTGGTGGTGGAGGATAATGCTGCTGATGCGCCATATCGTGGTGATGAACCCGAGGGTCGGGAGATTCAACGTAGGGCGATGGGGCGGGGTTCCACGCCTGGGCTGGAGGTGGCATGGTGGGACCTGGGCGGGGAGGATACTGGTGTAACGTCGAGGTCTCGGTTGGTGGCAGCTGATGGACAGGATTAAATGGTGGATGGTCGTAATGGTTGGTCCGGTCGTGCTTTGCATCCACGTCACTGATGTTCTCCATACCGGACCCAGATGGAGCGAAACCGCGAGATCAAAGCCAATACTTCCGTCTCTATTCCCAAAGCGCCGATGAGGGAATCAAGCATGACCTGTACAGAGAGAAGGGTGCCTTTGCAAAGAACACGGTCATGGCAAATGGCGACGCAACACGTTCGGTGGAAGGTCGATGGGTCGCCAACTCACGTGTGGCCAGGACCGGGAGAGGGAGGTGAAGAATTGAATGCGGTCGGTTCAAAAATGTGGTCGCGCGAGAGGTGCAGGGCGGAGTGGGCGCAGAGATGGCGGATTGCTTGGGACGCAGTATTATGACCAGGACTGAGAGGCTGAGTGGGTGCCAATCGGATGGCCCAGGTGGTTGGAATTTCAAGAGGACGATGGGAGAATGCCGCTGCTAGGGTCGAGTGATGGTGATTGCGACGAGTCCAAGTCGAGACAAACAACCAGGTAGACAACTAGGTAGAACAAACAACCGCCCAAAAATCCTATTAAGTAAGTGGTGGAAGGAAGCTCGAGTGCGGTGTAGATGCTGGATCCAGGGTTCCAGAAGATGAGGAAGGTTGTCAAAGACAGGCCCAGGCCGGTGAAGCCGTCGACTCAGAACCCGCGGGGCTCGAATGCGACGCCGTCGATGACAGAGAAGGAGAGGAAGAAGAAGAGAATTAAAAGTCAAGGCGCATCTGGCGCTTGAATGCAGGACGAGGTTTGGGCAGCAAGTTGGTCTGAGACTGAAGCTAAGATAAAATCGAGAGGGTCTGTTTGCAGCAAGAAATTCGAGGTGTTTTGGAGAACGAGGGTCGAGTTTGTAGTCGGCCAAGGTCGAATTTGACCCAGAGGCGGTGGTGGGGAAGCGACGCAGCCCACGGTGGTACCTGGAGATCAAAGGCAGATATGAGTGCCCAAAGTTGGCTAATTCAGGAGATGATCGTCGGTGGGCAAAGGACTGTGAGGCGAGGGAGTCACCGAGGCTGTAGTGGGAGACAAGTGATGTCGATCGCCAGCGACGGGGGAGAGTGGGAGAGTGGGAGAGTGGGAGAGAGAGGGAGAGAGGCACGAAAGGCACAAGAGAATACGAATGGGTCGATAAGAGTCGGAATAATGAAGATTCGGAGTAAGGACGGAGAAGAGCCAGGGCTAACTTAGAGGGCTAGAGGGCTAGAGGGCTAGGGGACAAGAGGGACCAGGAGTACTCCGTAGGAGGGACAATGGAGCAATGGAGAATGGAGTCCGAGTCTAGGGTCTGGTGGAAAAGTCGGGTCGAGCTGGTACTATAAGCTGGGTCTGGGCGGCGAACAGTTGCCAATCCTGTAACTTGTACGAGTAGAGTAACTTAGGACAGGGCAGAACAGGGCTGGGATGGGATGGGGGACAAAGACAGGGCGATGGAGCATTGGAGCATTGGAGCCGGTTGATGGGTGAGAATGGATGAATTCAATTGGGTCCCAGAAAAGCCAGATGATGCTGTCTGTCACGTTTTCACTACTAGGGACTTGTTATTTTTATTGCCCCAGAAAAGGTTGGTTCCAGAGCAAACTCAGACAGTCAGACTAACGGAGTAGAGAGATGGGTAGATGCGGTAATGGTGGCACTGATGAATGGTGGGTAGGCGGGAGCAGCCAGCTCGCCGGGAGGCGGAAAACGCCTGGACCAGGTTGTGGACAGGCACGGAGCAGGGATGGCGACTGGCTACGGGAGGACCTGGGAGCCTGGAGCACCAAATGTCGGCACTACTACGATACGATACGATTCGACTCGAGTCGACTCGAAGCGATGGTCGAGCACAAAGTGTCAAGGTAGGTAGTACTCCTTATGCGTTCAATTCCGTGGCTGCGTGGGTACCTAACCAAGCACTTTGAAGTGGAGGGTACCTTGGTACCTCACTCAGAGAAAAAGGACCGCCCACGCCCGCACCCGCGCCCACTCAACGTCCAGGTCGTCCTCTGAATCCTTTTGACGCTGACTACCTCTCCTTCTCTGTAGGTACCTACCTGATCTAGGGTCAACGCGGGTATGGAAGTTAAGGTCACCACTTGGTCCCTGGCGTGCCTGGGTCGTTTGGTCAAAGACTCCAAAGCCGAACAGTCGTAGCTGTGAATACCAGCAGTGGCCCGGAGACCCAGGGTGCCCGGTGCTCGGCGGTCCAGTTGCTCAATGCTGCCCACTCATGTAAATACTGCCGTAACGGGTGTGGGCCATGGATGATGGACAGTCACGACAGTCCAACTGTGCGGACGATATGCGTTAGGTAGGTAGGTATAGTGGGGACTCGCCTGCATCGTCAGGCCCCAGTGGCCCCGAAGACGAGGGTCCTGGTGGAGAAATGGCCGGCGTGGGGCCCGTCTCGCCTTGCGGGCTCAACGCCCAGGGCCCAGGGCCCGAGGCGGCCCAGGTCCTGCTGATGATTATCTTATTAGTGCTGTCCGTGTGGGCTATGCCCTGGACTTTGAGGAACGCTAGCCTATGCTAGCTGCAGCTGCGAGGGGAGCTAGGGAGTGAAGGAGCCAGAGGCCAGGTCACCGGGTGGCTTACAAGGCTTTCCCATGGTCCACCTCCAACGTCCCAGATTTTGATGATGCAAAGAAGTCGGTAGGTACTACGGAGTATGTATTGGAGTTTGCTGTGGCATCATCGCCTCCATGTATGTGCGTGTATCTATCGCCACAGTGTACACACAACACAACACAGGTACTACCGAACAGGTTCAATTGGTCAACGACACACATAGGCCTCTGCGTTTATTGTTGATTTGAGATGCAAGAGGTGTAGCATATGGTGTAGGATTGATGGCTAAGGGCTAGATGGTGGAGGGTCATCTGGGGTCCAGGACCGTTGCATCTATCCACCTATCCATTGTCATGGGAGGAGCACAGTATTGTACTGGCGCCTTTAGACAGGACAGGCATGACCTCGAATCGAATGTAATCGAATGTGGTGATTCTATGCGCAACTCCTCGTCCATCCCCCATCACATGGCTGCACCGACCACTCGCCACCTTGTCGGTGCATCCGTTGATTTGCCCGTCAACTTCATCCAGTCCATGACATCAAACAAGGTCTAATCTCTTCCGCGATCAAAGCGTCAAGTCCGTCATGGCACGTAATATCTGTAGCGAGATCTGCAAGAGCAATTATCAAAGTCATCGGCAGACGCATCCTGCCACTACAGCATAGTACTAGGTCCAGTAGCCAATATAAAGATTCATTCCTGGCAATTCGGCTACTTGTCTTGCAGCAGCTGCCAAGCACTCGGGCAGAACCTAAACATGAGGGGAGAAATGAGGCTAATAAAGGTGACTATAGTGTCCAAACTCACTGATTACGAGTTTCATTTGCCATCGCCTGGTGGCCTGTTGGTTGCGACTCCCAAGTACCTGACTGGACTCGTTTTACCCAGAACAAGTACTCGTATTTCTATCATGATTGACCTGATGGTTGACCTGATGATTGATGAGTGGTCACGGAGATAGTAGCTGGGCACCTTGGCCGGAGGATACTTTGTTTCCAGGCTTTTGGATGTTCATGTTAGTTAAAACAAGGCCTAAGTTGACTATATCCTAAAAAGGGCAGTGCCTATCTAAGGACCGTCAAGAACGGCCATAGGCCACGGGCTAACGGTTTGGTTCCGCCCTTGTGGCTGCCTCTGCCTCTGCCCCTACTTCTGCCTCTCCGTCTTGTAGAGGGTGAAGTCATGGAAGCTGCTTCCAGAAGGACCAACCGTGCCTACGGTGCCTACGGTGCTTACGGATCCTCGGACCGGTACGAATTCCTGCCACTAGCCTTAGCCAACGAAATTGATCACCACTCGTCAGCAAATTATCAGCCAACCAAACGTCTTGATTTGTCTTTGCCTCACTCCCAATGCCCTTTAAATTCTTTCAGCATGCTAAGGGCCATGGTTATGGGCAGCCGAGGGACAATCATTATTCACAGTGCGTGACCCTGAGTGCCTGAGGAGAATCCACCAGATCCAAATGTCAGTGCTGTATCCCGTCAAGACACGATAAGAAGATCATGTTGGTTGAGAAGTACTGAAGGAGGATGTGCTTCCGGCATCACTGATTAGATCCAGGATGGCTGGACGGCAGTACTCGTTCACCTACGCAGATGGGTAGGAATAGTCATAGTGTGTCGTCCAGTGGATGCCAATCGCAAGAACCGACTCGGTTGCGATGATCTTGGAGGAGGCAATTCTTGGCATGGCCAACACCAGCCCTTTGTTACACGAGGTGGTACGCAAACAAGTTGCGGTCAAGCCTCTTCGCAGGAATGTCGCATATTGGATCACCCTCACCGGACTTTACCCAACATAGGCATTGAATCAACTGGGTGGGGGAAGTACTAGTATTCGTAGGCGGAGGTAGATTACGCCATCATGAATTTCAAGTTGTCATGGTCATTTCCCGAGATGCCATACCCAGGCGTGCCAGGCACCCAAGGCCACACACGATTAGTTACGAAGGGCCTACCTTTCCCTATAGGTACCCCTACCTTACAGTAGGTGGGTGCTGGACACTGAAGGCGCAACATTGGGGGCGCCTTCGGGCATCTGTCTCACCTCGGGAATCACCCCATTCACTCTTCGGTCGTAATCTGCCCGCCTCCAAGCACTTGCAGCTTTGATTATAGGTTAAGGTACTCCAGGATCAGGGCATACTCCGTAGGAGGAGTCGTGGGTGTATCTCGATGCCCAGGTGCTTTAGGTACATTCCTAGTTCTGACTTACAGTACTCCTCAACCAACGCTGCAGCCAAGTCGTCTTGCAGAAACTCGTGTTCGCACCTGTTCCTAATTCCTGATCCCCATGTTTCAGAATGAACTCGCTTCACCTTGGCTTTTAGCTCAGTCACCAACCTCCGTTCATCATGTCAATCATAATCATGACCATAACATTAACAATAATAATACCGGAATACCTAGAATGACACAGACATATATCTACTTACAGTACGTGAGTCAGTACGGAGTAGATGCGCACTCGGACGCATACCTATCAGCAGCGAGGTGTCTGGGTTATTGGTGGGTTGATCTAGGACTTGCAAGTTGAAACACAGTGATAGGCTCTCGCGGCCGACTAACACCATTGTCCGCTTTGTTTCGCTTGCAGGTTAGCCAAAATTCTAGAGACTAAGATATAGTGCACTACAGCGCCAGGGTCTACCGCCCTCCCAATCACTTGAGCCAGCCAGTCTTTCCAGAAACATCCTCTGATCGTGTCGGGACAGAGTTCACTGTGCTTTGAGGTTCTGCAGTCCTGCACCTCGGGAGCCGGGAGTCGGGACACGGGCCCCGGAGGAGCCAAGAGCCATCAGCCAGCAGCCAGGAGCCAGGAGCCCTTAGCCTCCAGCCACCAGCCAAAGCGTTCGGCCCCATAGACCATTCCGGGGCTGGCGTGCCCCACCAGCTCCAAGCCCACATCCACGTGGTTATCACCAATCCCCATGCCATCTTACGAGGACATCCAGATGTTTATGATGATTCTTGTGTGCCTGTGTGCCTGTGTAGCCCAAGGGCAGGGACGGTACTATGCCCTGCGCATACGGAGGCATGCTTTAGGCTTGTGTAGGAGGTGTAGGCGACCATGGAAAGGACTGAAGAATCGTAGGCATGTCTCCATTAACCAATGGCACTGTACAGGCGACATCAACCCCCATCGGTCCCTTCGGCCGACCCCCCAACGCGCAAAAACACCCTAGGCCATGCCCGAGGCCTGGGTCCAACCTCGCCTGATCGACTCCCAAGTCCATGGATATGGCGCCTGTGCCTATCAAGCCGGCCTCGCAACATACAGTAGGATCACGCACATTGTTAGAAATCTCCCTTCTGTACGTTGTGCGCCTTCATATCCGTCTCCTCCGTACGCATATGCATATGCACACGACTTCAAGCCTACAGCATCTCATTTGTCAAAACCCTTAGCCTACTCGGCCGTGTTGCCATATTGACCAGCCCAATTCTGATTCTGAAACGCCCATCCTCGGCCGCCACCTCGACTTCGACCCCGCTCATGATCGTGATCATGATCAGAGTCATGACTGACGACTTTGATCTCTCAGTTCTCAAGTTGACCTTGCTCGCCATCACAAGTCAACTTGGTCATGGCCCCACCTCGCTGCAGGATTCGTGTAACATCACGGCCGTATTCAAGTTTGACCAGGGGTTCAATCACCCGATTGAGTAGCCAGGAACCCAGTGCGCATATTCAGAATCGAACAATCAGAGTCAAACCCTCCCATGCCTCCCTCGCGTAAGGCTCTATTTCCATGCCATCCGTGCATACCATGTCTCAAACCCTGCTCCAGTCACCACGATCCAGTACGAATTGCAGCCCAATGCACTGGATCCCCGGACTCTCTTCTGGAAATCATACATGACCCCTGTTGCCCGCGCCCTCTAACCGTCCTGGCCCCTGCAGCTCCAAGCCTAGTCTACGCCTAAAGTCAATGCCCCTCGGCCTACGCATCTGCCTGCCTACCGTTTAACCCTCATCGCCCAATCATGGGTGTCTGTATGACGTCCATCGAACCATCTTTTGCCCAGGAACATTATTATTGCCAGGTGTGTTCTTTACGTTGAATGGCTAAACTAATTTGTTACACATTCATCATTCTTCACGATAGTGTATGCCCAAGGTTGCACTTGAAGATTACATTTCGCTTGTTGAGCCGCCCTTCAACAGTGGCACAACTTCAACGTGGGCCACCGGAGCCCGGGTTATCGCGGCCCTTTGAGTGCTCGTGCTCCAGTTCCAGTCCTCCTCAATCTTTTCATGTCAAACACGACAACACTAGTCGACGCCATCCTCAGTCCTCGGCGCTGTGGCAACTTCCAAGCGCGCCCTTGATTCACCTTCAACTCCCCATTCTCTCACTCCTGTCCGGCACTGTGCCATTCCGTGCCCGAATGCCACAATTCCGGTCGCGTGTTGGCCATTTTCTTGTCCTGTCGATACCTGCGCCGATGACCGACTTCCGCAAACCCTTCGTCGCGCCCATAACGGAACACTACCTACTGTAGTTTTACCAGTCATCATTTTTGATCTGATCTCCACTCACCCATATGTGTGTACCCAAGTTGACTGTGGATCACTTCCAGGTGGCTTGTGGGTCCATCAGTAGAGGCATGACACCATCTCCTCCAAGTTATTACCACCAAGCAAGGAGAGGTCCTCGTGCTGTCCACACGGAAAGCCTCGGGGACCAAGCTCGGTTTGAATTTTGAAATAGGTACGATCGGCAACACTGACTGTTTCCACGACATGCCTGGTGGAGCCTCTATTCCAAGAGCCCGCCTCGGCCTTCTGCCTATACCACATGACTTGGACGCACTGTGCATACGGACATAATAAAGTCCTCTCGCTTGTCCAAGGGTCTTCCCTCGGCGCTACTAGAGTGCGGTATTGGGCAGACACGACGTCCAAATACAGTGAATGCTTTTTCCCTGTGGAAAGCGCTGAATCATACGGTACCAGCGTCCAAGCCCCTGGTTCCTTTGCCGAGGATGGCTATTTCTCTGAATGTTCGAGACCCGGGAACTGCAGGACGGGGCTTTGAATTGCTAGTCAACTGCAATGATCGTGGCATTGATACATGCCCGCCCTACTTGCAGCCCAATGGACCATGTCAGATTCGCATGGGAATTCTATTACTACTGATCCAAAGCGACGGGTTCGTCACAGTGACAGTCATGGCCTCGCACTCAAGAGTCGCGGGGCTTTGTACCTGACCCAGACTTGAAACATTCGCGCTCGCCCCTAGGCATCGTTCTTATTTAAAAGCAATGGCAGTCATGATGAATAGGTAGCCGCACACTTGAATAAAATAATCCATCAGTGGATTATGGCTTGCCTATTGACCTTCTGAGAGAAGGCTGTGCCGTTGAATCTGTAACAAAGTGGATTATCGAGGCCCCCAGAGTTGTACTTTTACGGTGGGATCGCCCCAAATGAGGTCAGGGATCCCAGACCCGACCGCCTTGACTTTTGACTGTGTAGAGTCGTCTCATCTCGTCATCCTGATCCGTTCTATTTGTGTACGAATGATGAAAGTACCACTAATGGTGCTTGCACGGCGTGTCACCATCTTTTCCTCGGAGAATACTCAAGATCCAGACCTATGTTTCATAGTCCAGGGACGTCTCCATATTCTTGAAACTTCCATTATTGACTCGAAGAAAACAGTAACAATGAAGAGTAGATAGATCCCTGCATCGACTTGGGCATCAATCGGTCCTGCAATCGAGAGAAGTTCTGGGAGCTTGCCACAGAAGACAGCCATGGGGATATAATAGGCTACAGCATATATACAGAGGTCGAAATTAACCAGAGAAACCAGAATTCTTACACCTCATCATGTCCTTCTCCCTCTTCAGTCTGGAGAGGGCACAGGGTGATAGAAATCGCATGTACACAACAGGGCAAATAAACAGCAATGGCTCCATCCAGAAGACCTACAACGGTGAGACGCCCTTCTGTACCCCGATACCGAACTGGCAATGTCCTAGATTTAGTGCGAAGCAACGATGAAGAATGTCAGTCTTGCCACTCGACCAATACACCGTGGGCTGCTGGCAGTCGAGAGGTTGAATAGGTCAATTGGCACTTTGATTCTCTGGACGTTGACCAATACTTCCCACTTACGCCATAATCCTACAGTTTGAATTTTACAGAGACATCTTTCATTACAGACGCTGAACGACAGATGCTGTCGAACGCTTTCTGATATCGGCCAAACCGACTTGACTGTGCCAATATTGTTAGTACAGTCTACGCACGCATCGTCCAGGCGAGCAAGGATGGTGATCTTCGGGTATTCTGCTCCAAAGATCATGTGACATAAGGAGTACATACGAGCATATCCATTAGGTTAGTCCGAGACACGTCTGACGAGTGGAGCCGCTGTTTCACATTCAATGGATGCATATGGCATAAAATGGAGGATGATTGGCAAGCAGCCCCTGTCCATACGCCATGGTTGAGCTAAATCCCACGCGATTGGAAGGTTGGGCAACGGTCGAGAAGGCACATACCTATTTGGCATCTCCAAGAGACCAGACAGACAGGGTCGAGTTTGGCGCGGACAAAGAATCAGATCCCTCAGATCCCCGAGAGACCAACTCTCGAAAGTTGGACTCAGAAATACTTGTTGGATGAGGATAGGGGAGGGGTTGTTTCTGCTGTGTATGTACATTGCCTCGTCCTACAGTACATCTCAATATGGTTCTGAAGACGGACATGGGTCAATGAGCAACATTTAGCCTTCTATTGGCAGGTAGTCTGTGATGAACGTGGTTTCAAGGCTGGTGCTGCAAAGGCCCATGGCTGTCTAGGTCATGCAACATGGTCGAGGGTGGTTGCAGCCAGGCAGGCAGTGGCGATGTCGACCATCCACGCGATTGTGACCAAAGGTGTGTGGTGTGCATATGCACGGGACCATGGCAGACAGGCATATCTAGCAAGCATGTGAGATACGAGGTGGGAGCGAGGAGATGACCTAGCCCCGTCACCTCAACACCGCATATCCATCACATCTGACATCCTTGGTAAACTTTCTTTGCTGATTTGCCACCACCACGATCGACTTAAATGAGCCAAAGAGTGAGCTCCGAGATTCAGTCCATTCCAGTTCTTTTGACAGCTGTCAGAATTGTTCGATGCGAGCTGGCATGCAACGAATGAGGCTCACCGCCACATGGTCACGCTGACCGGCAGTTTTTTTGCAAGGGGGACAGTCGGGGTTCGTCGGGCACCACTCACCAATAAAACACCTGACCTTGCAAAGATATACTTTGTGTTCTTGTCATTGACACCGATCGACACAATCAACCGACTGTCGGTCACAGACTTGTCCAGCTCAACAGGGACTTGAGTACGGATTACGATTGCATCAGACGCAATACGCCATCATGTCGGACTCCGGATCAAACCTCTCGAACAAGGCTTGGATCCAGATTGCGAATCAAGGTTTGGCACTAACTGGGATATGGGTGGAGGAAGCGTCGATGAAGTGAAAACAGACTTCCGAAGTTCGCGGGCGGAAGAGGGAGGGCCGTTGCCAAAACTTCGGATCCAACAACGTGGTTCCTGCTGGAGGTTGGCAATCGCAATTTATGGGAGAGCATGGTGCGGTCTAAGAACCATCAAAAGGTGGTCAATCTGAGATTCGAGTCAACCGGTGACCATGTGTGGTGGGCACTACTGTTATCTAGTTCAGGGGGTCTTTGATCAAGGGACTCTGGACTCTTTGGAAGGCTGGACCCCGTGCAGTAAGTGCGACCAAACCAACAGGCATGCATGCTACCATGACAATGCTACATGGTTGTGCATGTGTACGTCGTGTCCCATGCCCGTCTTGAGTTCTCTGAATGGATCTTCTGGATGGAGTGCGTTTCTCGAGACCTTCAATCAGACACCCGTCGTCACAGCTTGTCTCCTCTGTCTGCAGAGCCACTGGTGATGAACTCGTGAACCACTTTCAAAGCTCCCACCGCAAAAGCTACCATGTTAGCCTGTCGATCGTTGCCCAAGCCCGTGTCAAAGTCCCGACTCAACTCGCCCTTATCTCCCACCACGGCCACAGCGACATAGCCACTGTGTCCCAGTGCTAGAGTCAGCCCCAGCTGATTTGTTCCCAGTGTGCCGGGTCACTTACGGTTGTCTGTTGCGAGATTTACCACTAGCGGTAGGACCTGCGGTGCCACTCTAGAAGCACAGGTTTTTTAGTCAGGATACAGAGGTAGGTCGTTGGACGATGGGAAAGAGTTCACCCACCTCACCAACGGCATAAGTCGAATGGAGGGTTTGACGAACGTGCGACGCGAGGCCAGCGACCAAGTCTGGGGTCGGCCCATCGTACTTGTCCACGTTTGCCTGGGTCCAACCAGCAAAAGCGATTCGGGATTCCAATGTGTAGAGCGTGAGACCGCCCTTGTAGACACGAGAGGCACCAGGAGTCGACAAAAGAGCCGCTGAGATGAGTCCGCCCGCGGCTGTTTCAGCCACCGAGATGGTCTCGTTGCGCTCACGAAGCAGCGCCGCCACTTGCTCGGCCGCCGCCTTCAACTCTGCCGGGGGGAAGTCACTCATGATGTGGGAAATTGTCGCAGGTCTGGAGAATCGAATGGGGGAATGGGGGGATAGCCGCGTAATGGTGATGCGATTACAAGTGTGATGCACTTGGTGTGTGGTCCTCCAAATCATCGACGTTGGGGTTATGGCTGGCTGGCTGCAGTTGACACAGTGAGAAGTGATGACCAATCCAAGTCTGAGAGTCTCTGGGATTTCTCTACTTTCGCGGCACCACCACATTCAACCACAAGGTCAGCGTGCCAGTGTCCAGTTACACAAGGTACTGTGCACCTAGGTGAGTTCGTGTTGGGGAAAAGACCGATATTCCCCCCTCTGCCCCTCTCTTTGCTCTCTTTGGATCACCTTTTGCCTTCGCCCGTGCGACCGAACGGGCCGATGGGCCTCGGCCTTAGACCACCAACCAGGTTGGTGCAATATCCTGGGAGTTGTAGAGTTGTACTGTATATCTGTATATCTCAGGGTCAAAGACGCCTGTCGAGCGCCAAACTTCCCGAATGCATGGGTGAGGCATACATACATACAGCCAAGGTAAGGTACAGCATCACTTTGCACCGTCGGACGATCCGCCTCACTGGCCCCTCGACCCCCGGGTGGGGATCAAAATGAGGCGAGGCAGCATGGTTGATCATATCCTCAAATGGCCATTATAAAGACCAAAAACCACAGATACGCATCATCCATATTAATTAATGTTGACAAGGGGCTGCTTGATCTGTGGCAGTGTGGCCGTCTCAAGCGATCCGACTATCGGCTCCTTGTTCTGAAACATGACGACCTACGGCCATTGATTAGGGTCTCAATTGCATTCAACTTGCCGCATCGTCCGAATCATACGGAGTACATATCCCTAATCTGGTCCGGAACCACCGGTTTGATGCTCCCGGCTATCATGGGCATCACAAGAGGATCGACGGTACTTTATTCACATAATTGACCATGTCCATCGGAGTAGTGCAATACCAGAAAACCACAACCCTTTTTATCAGCAACTCAACCACCCTGGCTGGACATCGCCAGACCTGTGCACCTCTCCAAGGTCATGTGTCCTAGGCAATGTCATCCCTGGTCAGGGACTCAGGGATTTCTGGTGCCTGGTTTGAGCCTAGCTGTGATACCAAGTACATTATTACATACGGTGAGTACTCATGTATCCCAATCACCTGAGGATGAGGGTCCACACGGGGTCGAACTCGTTTGTTTGGTAAAGCGCGGTGGAGATGCAATCAATCAGCCCATTTCCTAAAACTCTCCAAAGCATCCAATGGACTCTCGTTCAAGGCTCGTGGCTCTATCATTTCTGATGCCTCCTGATGCACCTTCCTGCATCCTTCTTCCTGTCTGGAAGCCGCCACCAGGCATGGGAAAGCGAAAACAACCATGTTTTCCCATCTTCGTCCGGACTCAGGCTCAAAAGGCGAGCTTTCGTATCCAGAACGCCGCGTCCGCCTGGCTGTGGACTACGCATAGCAACCGAACTCCTTGGTTCAATGCCTAGCCAACTGTGGCCATTAGATTGGGTATTCAGTGCGCTTCATCCCACTCATGCTGCCCAATCGCCGAGTCTCCTACGCTTGACCACTATTACTGTGCCAACCTCATCGATGATTGCATAGAATTTCCCAGAAATCAGCTTCCAACGACCAATCGTCTTCTTGGATCCGGAATCACCCATCATTATTTTTTCAAGTGTTGCTAGCCAGTCACTAGCGTCCATGCTAACATGCCTTTGCATCTCAGATAATATTGCCCTGCCCTCCAGGACCACAACTGCTTGCGCTCTCCTTCAACGATTTTCCCGCGTTATACGCGAGGTTTCAGTAAGCACCATGAAACCATAGGCCATGGCTAACTATCAGCCAGAGCCGCGTGGCCTGGGCCCTGAACGCCTGATTTATGCACTTCGAAAGTACATTGAAGTGCTCCCATGCATCTACGCCTGAGGGTTTACGAGAAGCACGCTTCCCTCGCCGTACCTGTGTCCGTGACTTCTGTCGAGCAGGCCAATGTCCGTCATGGACAGAAAGTCGATGGTTGAAGCTTATCTCAGCTGACTGGACCATATACGGCGTCTCCGTGGCCAGACCATCAGTTTAGACCCGCGTTTGCAAGTTGACACTAGATATATCATGATGTTTGAGCAGTACCTCACCATGGACCAAGATCTGGGTTCTTGGGAAGAACAAAGGGTCATCTCTTGACCCTAGCTCTGGCCAAGGTCTTGAACGAGTCATTCATGCTCCTGGCGTTCTTGTGCCTTGTCGTCAGCCAAGGTAGCTAGAGTAGTAGTGAAGGGCATGAGTAGGTGAATTGCTGTTCATTATTGTTGATCAGTCGGTTCACCTTGGTCATAATGGTGCTATCCTGGCCTGCCATTCCATTCTGCTTCGAGTGCTCCCATCCGCCATTATTTTCTCAATACAACTTCTCCTCCTTGTTTACATTCGTTCGCCATAGCTGGAAGATTCGAAAAAATGCAGAATCTCGTGAAATTGGGAGCAACTGGAACCTAAAAGAAAGTTCATTGAGATGGGCTGATGCTATCAAGGCCACTTCACTGATAACCCTTTCCTCTGTTTGCACTCCCCTGCTCATCCACCATTCGTGGTCAATTTGATGACACATAACGATTCAGGATTCGAGTCACACCCTTGCAATGCCCTCCGAATCATATATCATTGCCGCATGGACACTCTCAGCGCTGTCCAGGCATCGGGGAAAAGTTAATTTTTATGTGATGCCCTCCCCGACGATCAGGTCTACGCAGTCTGCACCGAAAGAGGGAGTATACAATATGCATACATCAGCGATACTGTCACGATCCATATGGTATCGGTGGCTATCCATCTTGCCAGCCTTAGCACTGAACTTCATGCAAGGTCCCTGCTTGTGATGGCAGTGTGGGCTGCCTGGTGAATGGGGAGCTTGACCATGGAGAAGCAATGAATTCCTGAATCTGCCACATTTCCAGCTCCTTCGCGGTAGCCTTGGTCGTTTGACTTTGCATCGAGCTGGGGAGAGATGGTATAGTTGCAAACCCCTTTATTGTATCTATTCCTTTTGCTTGTGGCCGCGACGACTGCATTCAACCAGTTGGCTCCTGTGTGGTTGCTGAGAAACCATCGTATATTGTCTAAAGAGAAACTTCAACAACCATGCGAGCAAAGGTGATTACAAAGTTGAAGCTTGCATCGATCCGATGATCATGCGTAAAAATACCTATCTTGAAGGGAATCAGAATGCCATGAAAACTTGGGACGACGTTGAATGAGCATGGAGAGTTTTATGTCACAGGTTATTTCTTTGCCAATATCAAACTGTCCCATTTAGTTGATTCCCGTCTACCCTGAGGACCTGTGCGAAAACGACGAGCCCGGTGTGTCCACTAAAACTCTTTGCAAGGGCTTACTTGGACAGTTGACTATTCCGTGTCATCTCTACTGCTTGGTTGAGGTTTAATCAAGTCAACGGCACAAAGGCAAGAGATGTTTTCATCAGATCAGTTGAAGCAGCTCCAACAACAAAGACACCCATGTCAAGGCAGTTGCAAGAGTGGAATTGAAAAAGTACAACCTAGTCTCATTCTTCTTTGCTACCATGAGTCAGTCGAGGTGTGTCCTCCATCGTCACCTTCGGTATCATTAGCTCATCGACAAGCAAAAGACTGTGATGTAGCAATACCGAGAAGCCTTGGGGTATTAGAATATGAAAGCACAGATCCCAACTCGCTATGTAATCTTGGACTGGGAATGGTTGGTCTGAGGATCATCACTTTTCATCTAGAGGCAACGAATGGCATTCGATAATCAGGAAGGAACGCTGATATACAAATTAATATCACAGGTGTTGCTGATGATATTAGCTACGTTAGCTTTTGCACGGGGAGGAACCAAATTTTTAGGGAATTTATGCAAAGATGGCCTGAAAAGACTTTTGATATCAAATGAGTCATGACAAGACTATGATATGCGTATCTGAAGATATATATTTCGATCTGCACCGAGTCAAGCGCCGGTGAGAAAGTAAGAGGCCCATTGTGCCCAATGTTGGAAACTTTCGCGCTTCAGTCCTTTTGAATGATAAACAACGCGCCTTCGCTAATGCTAATGATGCTGCCCATGATGCTTGCCACCCAATTCAACCAAAACCATGCTACTATGCTAGGGGATTTTCCAAACGCTCAAACGCTTCAAAATCAGATCAAACAGGTCAATTCCAGATTCACCCGTGACAGACAACCAAAGGCAACTACCAAACCAAGATCTTGACGCCGTCAGTGCCGGCGGGCCAAGAGATGTAGTCGTAGTCGCCTTGGGGAACCACCTCACCGCCGTAGATCTGGCCAGTGATGGCGGAGCAAGGGAAGTAGCCATCCTCGGTGGCTCCGGGACCAGAGCCGGCCTCCCAAGTTGCACGGCCGTTGGCAACAACGTCGATAGTGCCGAGAAACTGGTTGCGGAGGTTGCCGTTAGGCCAGGACTCAGAGTCGGTGAATGCTGGAGCAAGGGAGGTAAAGAGTTGAGCCTTGGCGGTACCCGAGACCGAGGAAGTGGGGTCAACGAGATCGAAGACCAGTTGGCATTGATTCGATTTGTACTGGTTGTCGAGTTGGAAGGTCACCAGCGTGGTGATGTCGGCTCCACCGTTTGTGGGGCTCCGCGAAACGAGGCCGCGGGGGGTGTGGAAATCGACCGCGCCGGTGGCGCTGTTGTATTGCGACGTAAAGTCGGGGAAGACAACAGCAACAGGAGCTGAACCTTCGGGGATGATAGGTGGGCTGGAATATGACGAAGGCGAAGCCGGGGCAGGAGCAGGAACAGTGGTGTTTGAGTAAGTGGCCGACTGGCTACGAGCGACCAGAGGAGCAGCATTGACAAAGGCACCGAGGCTGAGGACAGCGGCGAACATGGTCATAGTGGTTGATGGAGCCATTTTGATGAATTGGATCAAAGTCGGTGAAAGGCTTTGTGTTGAGATTTTGAATGTGATGCTGAAGGGCAGTATTAAATGTGGCTGATTTGACAGAAGCGAGTGTGTCAAGGAAAGAACAAAGGAAACGAAACTTGTAAGGAAATAAATAGGAAGAAAAAAGAAATTGTAGTCTGATGTGTTGTCAATTGTTTGTATGAGGAAAGGAAAGGAATGCTGTCGAGGAGGCGGGTATTGGATATCTATATACAAGCATGGACGATCAAGTACGGAGACTAGCAGCTGTAGGCGGTGCACGATCTGGGGATGGATCCGAGAACTCAAAATATTGGCAGTAGGTATTTTTGGGAGTTCAATAATAGGTAAGCAGAGGCTGTGAAATGGAAAGGCAGGGAATTGGTCCGAGTTCCTCGAGGTCGCTCCAGAAGGAGAGCTGACCATGTCAGCTGTGCCACCATCCGCAGCAAAAGGTCGGTGGTGGCCCTCTGACCAATCAGAGATGTTAAAACTCTCCGATTTTGGAAGTACAGAGTATTGTGGATGTGGGTCCTGGCTTTGGGCAGCCAATGGTCGCCTGAGCGATGCACGTGCCCCGCCTTAACCGCGAGGCTGGGGCTTGTGACTGGTCAGAGCTTTGGCCCTGGGCCAAGTCATCGTATTGTAAGTGCTGACAGGCGGGAAAGCTACCATGCTGACATTGGAAAATGGCCTCAATCACCATAGTGTGGATGTTGGTAAGAGCGCTGTTGGTAGAAGGCCACGAAGGCTCACCGGACCGCAGAATGCCACGCTGCCATTGCTTGTACCCATATGACACATCGAGAGGCGGCCAATACACATGACCGACTGTATATTCCCCATTTAGACATTGAGTTGAAGCAGTGTGAGAAGTCAAGGCCACGGCCAGCCTGATGACGGAGAACACTTTGGACCGTCGTAAACACAGGCAACATCCCAACCATCCATTAGTATCGATTGCCCGCGCTATGGCTGTACTCGGAAGTTCATGCTCAAGGAGTTGTCATCATCCAGCCGTTCATCCGTCCACCTCATGAACACTTCGAGACAAGATCATGTCTAGGTTTTGGCACACGCATCTTTCGGATGATCACAAGTCTCGCGTGGCAATGGTCTGAGACAGCCACACTCGGCAGACTGATTTGCAAGAAAGCCGGCCTGGAAATTTGAAATCGACATCGCCACAGGTAGGCAGTCCTCTGACTCGTCATACCACTAAGATACTTCTCAGAACATCAGAGTGCAACGTCTTCCATCTCAGATCCTTCCTTTGCGTCTTCGACTTTTGGTGGGAGATGATTCGTCGAGCGTGAAGGCGGCGAAGATTCACCCTCTGTCTCGTGGTCGGCGCCGTCATCATCATCGTCCTCGTCATCGGACGAGTCGGTGCTGTGCTTATCATTTGTTGCAACCTGAGGTTGCGTAGGCCGCGCAGGCTCGGGCTCGGCCTCTGGCTCAGCGTGATCTTCTTCTTCACTTTCCTCGTCATCCTCAGCATCCGGTGGGGGTGGTGGGAGGTCCTTTTGCTCCTGCCTTTCTTTCTGTGGAGGGGTGGGTGCCACTTCGGGCCCTGGCTCACCGGACACGGTGCTTTCCTGATCAGGGCTATGGGGAGCAGGGTCCTTCGGCCGTGACGGAACGCTGGTCTGTTGATTCACCGCCGTAGCACTTGAATCTGCCCGGCTGGGTGCGAGAGATGGGGCAGAGGCCGACTCGACCTGTCTCTGCTTGGGATCTGCGTCCAGATAATACCCACGTACACCGATAATTTTATTCGCTCGCTCGCAACCGTCCAGCCACTCGGGTCGCACAACGGGTATGTTCATTTCATAGGCCTTTTCCCAATCTCGACCACGACCTTCAGTGCAGACAAAATGAGTGGTGTCAATTCGGACGGTGTCTACCAGCCTTGCCCCGATTCGATGCACCGTGGCTTCAAGGCTTGCTCTCAGTTGAGGGTCCAAAATGCCCGGAGTGATGGTGATGCCAGTAAGGTTGCTCATATCGTGGGTCTTGACTGTCAAGGTGTTGCTCGTGTACGTGCCTCCACTCGTCCTCAGGACAAGATAGAAGGAGAACTCGGTATCGACAGCCAGGCCACTGATCTTTGTGCTCAGCATCTCCAGCGGTCGCGGGATGTTTCCTGCTTTACTTCCATTTCGATAGAGGGCGAGGGAACGTAAGGAGGTGGTGGCGAGATGGATGGGATCCCATTCAAGGACGAGAGATGTTTGTGTGGCATTTCGAAGACGCAGAACTGGGGTAGATGGCGCGTTGAGCCCATAGGTGTTCAAGATCTGGTCCTGTAGTGAGACGAATTTGGCCTGTGATTTGCGTTCGGCGTCGTGGTTTTGCGAGACTGTGATGTCGACAATGGAGCCGGATGTAATGGATGAGGGTAGTAAGATCGAAGGGAACTCTATCTGGTACCTTGTCAGAGCTATGGACCGTAACGGTGGGACAGTGTTGACATACCAGCCTTTTGTCCTGCGTCAGGAGGACTGCGACCCCAGCATCAACCTTGCCAACGGTGAGAGACACCAGCATGGCGGCGAGAGCTGGATGACGGTGAGGATGGAATATAGGCTGAAGCGACAGGTATAATGGGTAACTGCCGTTCGAGAGGCTGAGGATGTTGATTCGGTCCTTTTGGCACGGCCAGACATATGTTGTGTTGTGAAGGGGAATCGTGATTGTTGAATTCAGGTACCAAGAACACGTGCTTGTGGTTGTCCTATCCTGAAGTGGACACTTCCGTGCCTGCCTCTTGCTGGTGGTCAAGCTTCACACGTGCCCGCCAAGATCTACACCTTCCTGATGCCAAGCCACGTGTAACCATCATTACGGAGTAGGAACATAAGCTACCTACATAAGTTACCTAGGTAGGTGCCTAGGTACCTAAGTACATAGTGATTCGATAGCTACTAGGTAGTACCTAGACACCGTCTAAGCAGTTGTAAGCATGAATTAGTGATAGTTGGTAAATTCAAGGTACATAGACTACTATAATAATTTCAAACTAGAGTCCAATCAGGCTCTAGTGTCTGTGAAATGACCAATTCCAGATCAACCTTTGCGGCCATGTCTTCTGACAAAACAGCCCCAGGCTCGCGAGAGCCGATTCCTGGCATCGACAAAGAGCCTACCCAAAAATACAGTCCGGTCCAATTATCTGTCTACCAGCCGGATGGTTCTGTTTTGGCGCCCACTCTCCATGCTATGCAAATTAACAGATTGTTGAACAAAATAAACTCGAATTCGAGGATGAAAGCCTCACTCATCAAATATTCCCTTGTCGCATGTCCTGAGCGAATTCGCTGCTCCAATCGAGTAGACTGGTTGTCGAGTGTTTGATACAGGATGCTCAGCGAGTGTGGTTGGAGTTCTTCGAGTGGGTATGAGATGTGCCACGCATTGGAGGTGGTCGACGGAGAGTGCGGATGAAAGGGCAAAAGAGGAGAAATCTTAACATACAGTGTGTCGTACAGGTTGGCGCTGGCCAATTTGCTTCGTTCTATCGTGAATAATACTGCCTGTCACTAGGTAGGAGACATGCCCGAGCGACACCGATGTGGGGAGGCGGAAGGACATGCGGCCAGTTTCCAGTTGACCGGGCGAGGTGACAGCTATCGGTAGTTCCACAGGCGAGAGGATTCCAGGAAAGCGTCGTTTTCGCGTTTGACGCGTTCTTGGTAGTCATTGAGCGAGTACTCTGACTCGCTTGTGTTTGTGGTTTCGAGAGTGTTGCTGGTGTAGATGGAGGATTTGGTGGAGGCGCTGACAGGTTGTCGGTAGACGCCACCTACGTAGCCTCGCTCAAAAGCCAGCGATTTGAGTGAAGAGGCATCAAAGTTTTGGATAAAGACTTTGTCCAATGGACGGTCCTTGGGCTTGGAATAATACTCGTACTCCTCAACACAGGCTTCATGTGTCCATCCCGTCACCTTTCGAAAGCAGGCGGTCATGCAGCCAGTGCGGTGTTTGCCTTTGTTGCAATGGATCAACATGGGATAGTTGGATGGGTCCAACATGAGCTTCAGAACTTGGATCACAGATTCTTGGGATGAAAAGACGTCGGGGTCTTTGTTGGCGAGGATGGGGATTTGATGGTGGATAATTCCGTTGGAGGAAATGAAGTTCGAATACTCGAGTGGCAGGGGTTGGGGGACCAGGGTGACAATGGTCTTCAGTTCAAGATCCTGCAAGTTTTCGAAATGAGCATAGAGAGGGTAGCTGGAACGATACAGGCCTGGCGCAATGACGGCAAAGTTGACCGGTCTGCCAGAGCCATCAGGGGTGGGAGGTTGGGATTTGTCGAGACGGATGGTGTTGGAGTTGGAGTCGGAGTTGGTCTCGAGTTGGGAGAACTTTGCTTCAAGGCCATCGGTGTCAACCCACTGATCTGGCATCTTGGCAGAACACTGTTCGTCCATGTTGATGGGCAGGTTGAGTGCAGAATCTGAAGAAAGTGATGACTGGAATGCTGCCAAAAGGGGGTGGTCGATATATCAAGAGAGCAAGGGTCGTGACGATTTGGAAGCAGGTCGTATGATATTTATAAGAATGCAACGACGGGCTGGTGAGTCTTGGGACTTGTCCGGGGGCGCTTTTTGAGGACCTCGTCAAAGTGCAGCAGCGTGATGATCAATAAGAGCAAGCAGCCTGCTAAACTTGACCCAGAGGAGTGGTTGAAGCGCACCGAGGAGTCGCGACGCGACTAGAGCAACATGGCGTGCGGGTTTCCGTGAAGCTTGTGGGTGAACACAAAGTAAGACCCGAACTCAGCGGAGGAAAAGAAGACCAGATATTGGACAACCAGAAGTTGGACCGGAGGTCAAACCTGAATGTCGGGAATTAGCGCTATAGTGTATAGAGAGGAGCGCGAAAGTAGGATGAGAGTTTTGGTCGACCAGCGATGAGATGGCTTGGATGGCTGGCTATCTCGACCTGAAGCGGTCTCGACTCGACCTGAAAATGTTTGGAGGCATCTTGAATCAAGAAAGAGTCTGTTCGGCTCTAGAGAGGGCACGACAAAGGGTGAAGGTGAGTATTGGTAAAGTGTAGGATGATGATGGGCGGTTTGGTGAGTGACAAAACTGGCGGATATGGAAAAAGTGGAAGAAGATAGCACAAGCTGTGGGATCAAGAAGTCGTGTTTGAGGGCCTAGGCGGCGAGCCAAACGCGCGAAATTTTTGAGTTCGGGGTTTGGAAATCAAGAGAGGCAGAAAGTGCAACGGACGAAAAGAGGCGGACAGGCACCAGGCTTAGTGGAGGTTCGTAGGTTCGTAGGTGTGCGGGTGTGCATAGGTGCGTAGCTAAAGGTACCTGTCACGCCTAAGTCAGTCACGAGTATGCGTAGTACTTAGGTCGTGACCAAGATCAGGTCCTCGTATCTTGGAACAGGCAGAGACCTGAAGTGGGTTGGTGTGGGTGGCAGACCACCAAACCACCGCCTGTTCCAAGGGTGGTAGGGGTTGTAGGGTAGCGGACAGACACCGGAGGGCAGCAAAGGGCAGCGGAGGTTAACGAGTGGTGGTGGGTCGTGTGTGCGCCGTAGATTGGCACTGTGGCACTGGAGAATCAGAAATCAGAAACATGACAGGCGAACCGAGCAAGAAGTCGGGGGGATCTGGAGCAGCAAAGCTTTGAGCGCACAAAGGGTCCCTCTGCCCACATATCATTGGTCAGGACCTCTCTCTTCATGCCTCCGGTTCAGGAACATTGCACTCATGGTTTTTTCCAACTCCACATTGGCATTTCATTTGGACTGTTGACTCATTCATGTTTGACATTCATTGCCCACAAACTGTGACTTTTCAACAACCATAAGCAACTTGATGAGAAAGGTGATTTCGTTGAAGATATTATTGCTGCGATATTCACTCGCTCCTGCCCGGCTATAGACACATTGACGTCATCATTGAGTGGTTTTCAGTTTATTCAACCACAGAACCAAAGCTCCAAGTCTTGACTTAATCAGATCAAGGTAATCATGCCTGATCGTTCAGAAGTCGCCTACTTTGGTGCTGGCCCAGCCCCTCTTCCTACTCCTGTCATAGAAGAGAGCGCAAAGGCTTTTGTCAACTTTGACAGTACCGGCTTGTCCCTGGCTGAGATCTCCCATCGGTCTCCCACTGCCAACAAAGTTTTGGCCGATGCCAAGGAGGCCTTGACAAAGTTATACGATGTGCCCACCGATGAGTACGAAATCTTCTTCATGCAAGCCGGTGGAACGGGAGAGTTCAGTGCCGCCCTCCAAAATTTGGTAGGAGCTTTTATCGAGAAAAGGCGGAGGAAGGCAGTCGCCGAGCTTGGCGAAGGAAAGGACGACCAAGTCCTCGAACGCGTCAAAAAGGAGATTGAGTCCGACTTGAAAGCTGACTACCTAGTCACCGGATCATGGTCTCTCAAAGCCAGTCAGGAAGCAACAAGACTGATTGGATCGAAGTATGTCAATGTCGCTATTGACGCCAGAAAAAGCAACAACGGCAAATTCGGTGTCATCCCTCCCGAAAGTGAATGGAAGCTGTCCCCAACCAGTGCGTTGATCTATTACTGCGACAATGAGACTGTCGATGGTGTGGAGTTTCCCAGTTTTCCCGAATCACTCAAAACCAAACCTGGAGAGGACGACAAGATTGTTGTCGCAGATTTCTCGAGCAATTTTCTTAGCCGCAAAATCAATGTCAGGGACTATAGTGTCATCTTTGTAAGCCCACATGATACCGACTGACTGACTTCAAATACTGACCACAGATTAGGGCGGCGCTCAAAAGAACCTAGGAATAGCAGGCATTACAGTAGCTATTGTTCGCAAAACAATCCTAGACCTGGTCCCGCCACCGACCTTCCTTCACCAACTCTCTTCAGTCCTGCCAACCTCAGGCGCTCTCCCACCTATCATGTTTTCTTTCTCCACTATCGCCTCTAACAACAGTCTATACAACACGCTCCCTGTTTTCAATCTCTACGTCGCCACCCTTGTCCTGCAGAGCTTGGTCTCCAAATTCGGTGAAGAAAAGGTGGCCGGTCAAGAGGAAATTGCCAACACCAAGGCGAAGCTGATATATGACACTCTCGACTCATATCCTGATGTCTTTTATGTTGTCCCAGACAAGAGTGTGCGCAGTAGGATGAACATCTGTTTCCGAATCGTCACAGGAAAGTCAGACGATGGTGTTAAACCGGATGAGGCACGGGAAAAGGCATTCTTGTCGGGGGCAGAGAAGCGGGGACTTCTCGGGCTGAAGGGTCATCGATCAGTTGGTGGAATTCGAGCCAGCAACTACAATGCAGTCCCTCTGGAGAATGTGCAGAAACTAGCAAATTGGTTGACCGAGTTTGCCAACTCATGAGTTTATCAATTCGGAATGGGACCACACCATTATTCGGCAACAGGCCCTCAGAGACGATAGAGTTGAACGTTCAACTACCCAAAAGAATACAGGCTAGGAAGTGGAAAGCAAAACACACGAAATATTGTCTTCACGTGACCTTCAAGCCCGTAGACTGATCAGTCTACGCATTTGTCGGTGGTCGTTCTTGTTTGTGGCCTTGGCATCGAATCGACTGATGACCCTGATCCTCACGCGATTCCAGGTGGGCAGACCTACATACCAAAGTAGCCAGTTAAATGAAGACGTAGACTAATCTGCGAAACTGTGCCTGGACGCATCAAGACTCTGGCATATCTCTTTGGGACAATAATGGGACATGGTCGGTTTCAGGGCCAGCCTCACTAATGGAACCCATTCGTAGTCCCTTCATCCTTTGGTTGAACATGAACATGAACTAGATACTAGGTATTGCTAGCTTGTCCGTCGTCCAAACCAAACGACCCGACCACGGACTCTTGACTACCTCATTCTGGTGTGTATGCATACAAACCTGGTCTTTGTGAGATCTGCGAGTCTCTGTCCACAAGTCACCCTGGCACCCCCCTTGCCTAGGCTTGCCAGCCCAACCAGGGGATGAGCCAGAGCTCAAAGTTGCAACTAGGTACCTGCCAACAATTATCGTGTCCGGTTCAGCCTTCCACTCTTTTGTCGCTATGGATGGCAAGGTATACATGTGCAACCATGTCATGTTGTGGCCATGACGCACAGTCTACATCCCGCACTGGTGCCCTCGGGCATGTTGGCCTTGTCCGTTGTCCCTTGACATGGGCACAAGATGTGGGCCGAAGCCCAGCTTGATGTTACCATCTCGCCTCCAAAGCCATTCCTCTATTTCTTGGCCAGATACTCGTACAGGACTGTATACCTTGGTCCGGGTCCACCATGATTATCCATCCACGTAGACACGGAACCTTCGGGTGCTAGTCTAATTCCCTCTGCGATTCTGACGCCTCGCCCTTGGACCCCTCTCCCAGTCCAAACATTTTGATCGTGTTTGTCCAGGCCGCCTCGCAAACAACCTCGACAGGCACGCCTTTGACTTTGGCAATCACGTGAGCGACGTTTACAATTGCCACGGGCTCATTCCTTCCCTTGACCATCAATCCCTTCTGCCACTTTTCCTTTTTGACAGCCTTGGGTAACGGGGGTGCATCTTTCAAGTATTGCGACGAGGCATGCGAAGGCCGTATCTCACACCAAGGTCCATCCGTCTCGATTTGCAGTCGGTCCAGGGGAAGTGCCCTGACCGCCATTAGATTATCTTCCGTCTTCATACTGCACCCGTTGATTCCCACGTCGAACCCGAGGTCAATCAGTGACTCCAACTCGCCCACCGTGCCGGTAAAACTGTGCACCAAGCCCCTCTTGGGAAATTGGTACAGTCGTGGCCGCAATATATCTTCAAAGTCCTGGCTGCAAGCCCTCGAGTGTAAAAATAACGGCAAATGCATCTCCGCTGCGAGGTCGAGTTGTAACTTGAAATACTTCAGCTGGGTTTCTTTGGGTGAGAGGAACAAACGATCGTAATCAAGCCCGATCTCGCCGAATGCTACTGCAAGTCCATTCGCTTTGGCCTCACGAGCCATCACACCCAGGTCCTGGATCAACTGCTCCGGTCCGCCGGCGTAGCTATCGAAATCCTGCGTTGAACATGGATGTACACCAATAGTAGCATAGCACGTTCCAGCTGTTCCATGGTCAGTCAGTGAACAAGGACAGGACGCTGTGACACAGAGTGAATTGTCCTTACGATGCTGCTTGGCCAGTTGGACGGCGTGTGCTGACTCGACCAGGTTGGACCCCGTCACCATCAATTTTGTGCAACCCACATCTTTGGCTCGCTTTATCACATCTTCAAGGTCGTCGTCATGACTCTGCTTTCCATGGTAACTCCCACGAAAGACTGGATCTCCAAGATTGATGCCAACCTGACGCTATCATTAGTCTCAGGCACAGCAGCCAACCAACTGATATTCACCCACATCTGCGTACCTCAATGGTTTAGTCTGCGTTGCCATTGTGGTGAAGGCAACTCGGTTGAACTGCCCTTGATCACGTGAATCAGAAGAGATGCTATGATGCCATGCTGCAGTGGGCGTTACTATGCAGGAGCTGTCAGGGAAAATTTGTAGACAGGATCCGTCCAAGTGAAGGACAAACAATCGTACCGTAATGATAATGTGCTAGCTGAAGGTGGAGTACCGAGGCGTGGACCGAAGCCACAGCCTTGAAAACCGGGAAATAGGTGATGCTGGGATGCAAGTGGAAAGGGCGAAACAACATCAAGGCAGGGTACCTCGGTCCTAAGCCGTACACACCAGAGGACGATGATGAATGGCCCCTTGGATAATCAGGTATTTTGGCTCTTGTTTTCCAAATAAGAAATGCCTGGATTACGGAGTAGTTGGGGAGACTTTTACTTGTGCTTCTTTCCAAACTGCGCCTGACGCAGGAAAGGCACGTGTTGCCAAGGTCACGGGACCTGTCGGCAAAGTTTCCCAATTCTACACAGACATTGGACTTATCAACGCCTGATTAAAGATATTTCAGTACATCCAGGCGAGCGAGGAGGTATCTTCTACCTCTAATGCTCTCTCCCTAGGTATCTTAGCTACCAACAATGCCCCAGATGAACCAAGCTCGACTACATTATTGCTTGCTACAGGTAGGTGCCGGGCCACCGTTCGTAATATTTGACGGAAGGACAAGTCCTCTTATGCCAAAGCTGGTGCTGCTCCACTCTCCAAATCTCCTCACTCCTCATCGGCCGCCTCACCGAAAAAGATAAGGCGTAATTAAACTCTCTGCTGTCACCCATTGACCGATCATCTGTTTCAAGGCGGTATAAATCCCAGTACAGGGAGCATCCCTATGCAGTCCATTGGACGACTAGTGGCAACAGTCCAAGGATGAACAAATTGTAGACAGTGGCACCGGGGAAAGCGGCAGAAGTGTCAGACGAAAGCACCGAGCTCTCTTTTCGGAAGGACCTTCTCATGAGCACCCCTGTCGGACCAAGATGTCTTCCAGCTCCAGGCCTTATCCTTTTCTACTCCGTTGGACTTTCCCTCGAGGACGTTCACGACGTACTGTCCGATCACGGGCAAGAATTTCCAACTGTGAAATGAGCCTGCCGTCGCAAAAAACAGGCTGGACAACCTTGGGTCAGGATGCTGACAGAGCAGTTGATTCTGATCAGGAGAAACAGCGTCCCAGCATATTCTCCAGTCATCGACCGGGCGTTGGTCAGAGAGCATTCCTGGGATCCGACGTTGAATAATATCTATCGACTGTTGCTTCAAAGATTGTGGAACAGACTTTTGATCCGCTTCTGGGACAGATATATATTGCTTGGTAGTGGGGTGCTGTTTGGTATTGGAGAAGGTATTTGAGTTTGTGAACTTGAGGAATCGGGCAGCGTTAGGAGGCATAACCTCTCCTTGTGAGCCATAGATTAGGACTGGCATCCGACCATAATAAAGTGATTCTTCTTCCGAGAGCTGGAACGAGGCAACACAAACACCGGCTGCTTGCATTTGAGTCTGAATGCTGTCATGGCTAGATATTTTCATTTCTTGTTCTAGTTCGGCCATCAACCAAGGCGTCCACGCGCCAGTGGCCAACAAAACTCTGTTGGCGATCAGGGTTCGTCCATCAGTCGTGCGTACACCAGTGAGGGATGTGCCATCATTCAAAAGTTTATCAACGACTCCTACCTCGTAGTTGACACCGTTCTTGACGGACTCGTCCATCAATGCTTTCACAGCCGAGGATGCGTCAGCCCAGCCGGCGCTGGTGTTAGTATAAGCCTTGTCAAAGCCGTGCGTGTCGATACCACTCAGGACACCTCCCCATTTACTCTTAACCTCATCCAGGGTGATGTCGGCCGAAGTGTCGGGATAGCCAGAATGACGAAAGTTGTGGCGTATGCGTTGAGACAAGTCGCTGCCTTTCTCGTCCAGGGCTACCCACCCAGTCTGATGAAAATGGGGTTGCAGAATCGGCCACGAAGTCCATGCCTCCATAGCTTCGTAGGCAAGATTCATGTAGAAAGGCTTGCTATAATCTGCCCGAACGATCTTATTGATGTCGCTGGATGCAGCCAGGGGCGAAGGGACAAGTGCACGGTCAATAACGGTGACCTTTGACGGTTGAGGATGGCTGCATGAGAGGTTATAAGCGGTACTAGTACCGAAGATCCCTGCCCCTACGATCAAGACGTCAATATCTGGAGCTTCGATGGAGTCCATGGCAAAATAAATCAAGACAAACGGTGACCAATAGTCATATTACAGGTCATTGGAACCTAGAATCAAATGAACAGTCAGTAATATGAGTGTGACAAGTTGATATTCTGATTTCCAGGCTTGTCTTCAGGAGACGGGGGAGGTCGTGATATTCGTGGTCGTCGGCTCCCGACAAGCGCCAGGATCACGTGGATAAGGAGAAATCGTAGTTGTATCAACTGCAGGTGCTCGAAACATACGAGTGGGTGGTACCTGCCTTATGGATGGTTAGATGTTGAACCCACGTGATCTTCTGACACCTTGTCACGGTGACACAAAACACAGTGTAAAGCGAATTTCTTCCAGCTTTCACTGGCAGACCGTGCCGACACCAACCAACTGGTCATGTACGGAGTACACATCGCAGATTTGCGGAGTGGTGGACTGCAATCACCTGTGTTCGGGCCGATACCTTACTACTTTTCACCACAAATGATTGCCGGTAGCATCAACCTATGGCGACCTAGTGCCACGAAGCCGGCGGAGCAACTTTCCTCCAACCCCTCGGATTCACCAGACGCCCAAAGGTGGGCACTGGGGGTAAGATCTGGGTAAGGGAAATGGGGAACCACAATCCCCCAGAGTCAAACAAACCTCGGCACATCAGCAAAATGTCAGCTTCAAGAGGCCGTGTCCACCTGCCGTGGTACACTGTCTTCCTGCAGGAGGTTGCTTCATGTATTCTATCGAATCTGTCTGCGAGTCGTGCGTTCCCATCTTTTCTGGCTTGCTTCTATCGTCCAAGTCATCTCACCGCATTGGGTGTCCGGTTTCAATTGGATAAGGTAGATTGGCTATAGACTGAGTCATGGCACTTGGTAACATCCCGCGTCCCACCAAAGTCCAAGACCTTCTGCTGACACTGAGCCTTGATAGCAACGACTGCAGCCATCGCGGCCGGCGGATGGGCCGCTGCAGCATACTTCGATGCTAAGTTCCATTTCCGGAAAGATATCCAAGGTCTTTTGCGCATGAAACAGGGAGAAAAAGAGGTGGCACGAGTGGTCAAGGAGGACAAAGTCAGCCTCTTCTACGTCCTTGAAGAAACATGCAAGAAGCGTTGGGACGAGGAGGCCATTTGGTCACGAGAAGGTAGTTATACATATGGTCAGCTTTACGAAAACACCCTTCGATACGCCCAGTACATGATCGACCAAGGCATCAAACCCAAGGAGTTGGTTGCCATGTACCTAACCAATTCCCCTCATTTCATGTTTGTCTGGTTCGCCACCATGGTCATTGGTGCCGCCCCAGCCTTCATCAACTATAATCTCGAGGGCAAGGCACTGTTACACTGCCTGGACGTCTGCGAAACCAAGCTCATCCTTGTCGATGCCGACCAAGGCTGCCAACAAAGAATCCGTGGCAGTCAGAGCGAAATAGAAGCAAAGGGAATGAAGATTGCAATCCTTGACGAGTCTCTCAAGCGTGACATCCTGTCGAAACCCGCTCAGAGACCAGGTAACGAATGGCGTGATGGAACCAAGGCCAGCTTCCCATGGGCTTTGATCTACACGAGGTCAGTATCAACCTCCTGCAGTCCCGCCACCGATCATTAACACGTGAAACTGCAGTGGTACAACAGGACTCCCCAAGGGCTGTGCATTCACATTGCAAAGAATTTATGCGATGTGTGGGCATTCGACACCAATCTGTGACGGGATTCAAGGCCAGGATCGCTGGTACAACTCGATGCCACTGTACCACGGAACTGGTGCCATTACCTCGGGTTGCTGCCTTTTACAAGGCGTCAGCATCGCGATCGCGCCGAAATTCTCCGTATCCCGATTCTGGAACGATATTCACGACTCCAAATCCACTTCCTTCATCTATGTGGGCGAAACTGCACGCTATCTTCTCAATGCCCCTCCTCATCCTCTCGAAAGAGACCACAATCTTCGTTTGGCGTACGGAAATGGACTACGACCTGACGTGTGGGAGAGGTTTCAGACTAGGTTCAATGTTCCTGAGATTGGCGAATTCTTCAATTCAACTGAAGGTATTTTTGCCTTGCTAAACTATGATCGAGGACCATACCTCAAAGCTTGCGTCGGTCATCACGGCTGGCTCTTCCGCCGGTTGTTGCACAATGTCTATATCCCAGTCAAGATCGACCACGAAACTGGAGATATCTGGAGAGATCCAAAGACGGGTTTCGCACAAAGAACCCCATACGAGGAAGGGGGAGAGCTTATTGTGGCGATTCCTAGTAAAGATGCCTTCCAGGGATACTGGCGAGCCCAGGCAGCGACGGATAAAAAGTACGTCATGGATGTATTCAAGAAGGGAGACCTTTACTACCGGTCGGGCGACGCTCTACGAAGAGACGAGGAAGGAAGGTGGCACTTCCTAGATCGGCTCGGGGATACGTTCCGCTGGAAATCTGAGAACGTCTCTACCGCTGAGGTGGCATTGACCATTGGGCAGTATCCCGGAATAGCTGAAGCTAATGTCTACGGGGTACTGGTGCCGAATCATGAGGGGCGAGCTGGATGTGCGGCAATTCATCTTGATCCCAACCACAGTGGGCCAGCGGTTGACTACAACGACCTGTTGAGATATACGCGAGAACAATTACCTCGATATGCGGTGCCGGTGTTTCTGAGGATCGTGAAGGAGAGCTCGCACATCCACAACCACAAGCAAAACAAAGTCCCTCTGCGTAAAGAAGGCGTCGACCCTCGACTGATTGGCACTGAAGCACCCGAAGGGAAGGAAGACATGTTTCTTTGGCTACCTCCAAAGTCGGACCGGTATGTCCCATTCACAGCTCAGGACTGGGAATCCTTGTCGGCTGGTCAAGCTCGATTATAATCTCGTCGAGTTCTCGTCGACGGTACCCCATTTTCATTGAGAGGTCAATGAGGTCCACTGGGAGCTGGAATACTGGGAGATGGACGCGATTGTATGAAATCAGTAGTAGATGACGGTGAAGATACAATCAATAGTACCTGGTACCATTTACTATTTACTGTCCCAGTCAATTCCTTGATTCAGGTACTTCAACGCTGATTTGCACACACGTTATAACAATCATCCGAAATGCCAACGGCTAACCCGATCTGGCACGATCTTCGTATCATATCATCGACGTCATCTGTCATATCTGCCTTCAAGTTTGCCTCATGGTCAGTCTGGAGTACGATTCAACATGTCTAAGGTGCTCCGTACAGCTCTCTACACGACCGTGAGACTGGGTTACTTAGATACACGGTAGGGGTATGCTACATATGGAACACACCTCTCATAACTCCGCTATCCATTTCCGGCTCTTTTCGCGACAGCCTGATCCGAGCTCGACCAATTCACGGCGGCTATGTGACATAACACTCAACCCAGTGTCAACGTGCGAAGTTTAATAACTACCATTCAGATTCTCTTTGTCTATCGAGGCCGGCTAGTGACGTCTACCAAAGATACACTCAGAAATTCAAGGGGAACTAGATATTATAAATTCTTGGATTTCCAAACATGCTCTCGCTTCTGAAACAGCCACGTTCACAAGTCCACCACAAGACCTAACTTGGATCATTTTTCCGTAGCGACTCACTCGTCGCAATGGCAGTTCATCATGTCTTGGACAATTATTACCTCGCCATCACACTGCTAGTCACTGTCGGGTATCAACTCTTGGGATTCTCCATTGCCTTTACATTCAAGTTCGACAAGCTGACAGGTAAGTGACTTGTGCTTGCCATGTACTTGGTGTTTTCTTTACATAGCAAGAAAAGTCGTCGCCAAAAACGTGACTTTGGCTAACTCATCTCGTGTTGGTCTCAAGATTTTGCGGGTGGCACCAATTTCGCCATTGTTAGTATCCTGACCTTGGCCCTTTCACCCGTCCATACAGCGCGACAGATTGTGGTGTCCATCTTCCTTATACTTTGGTCACTGCGACTTTCGGGATTCCTCCTGTTCCGCATCCTCAAGACCGGTACCGACACCCGTTTCGACGACAAACGCGACAAATTCTTCCCTTTTCTGGGCTTCTGGGTGTTTCAAATGCTTTGGGTTTGGGCCGTCAGTCTGCCTGTGACCATTCTCAATTCACCCAACGTTGCCGGTAGACATGAGATGCCACAGTTCGGAACTGCAGCCGATGTAGTTGGGATCATCATGTGGGTGGTGGGCTTTGCGACCGAGGCCATTGCGGATGTACAGAAATATCGTTTCCGCTCCAACCCAGCCCACAAAGGTCGCACCTGTGACGTTGGCTTGTTTGCATGGAGCCGCCATCCCAACTATTTTGGCGAAATTTTGGTGCAATTTGCCATCTTCACCATCGCCGTGTCACCGTCAGCATACGGCTACATTCCAAGCGGGAGTGGGCCGTACGCTGCTCAGTATGCGAGTATCGTGGGGCCATTCTTCTTGACCCTTCTGCTCCTGTTTGTCAGTGGACTGACCTTGCAAGAACGGCCTGGAGCTAAGAAGAAGTTTGAAGATGATGGACCAGATGGTCCGAATTGGACCAGGTACAAACAATGGCTTGACACTACGAGCATATTGATCCCCATGCCCAAGACGATGTGGACGGCATTGCCGATCGCCGTCAAGAGAACAATCGGCGCTGAATGGCCGATATATGTTTTTGTGCCGGAGAGAGATGTCGATCCCAAAAAGTTGCAAGAGAGGAGAAGCGAGGAAGGGGCAGCGCATGCTCAGGTTGGGAGCCAGGATGACTTGGTAGACACAACGCGCTCCAGATCCTGAGAGTGCAACCAATGACTATGATCATCCTGTTCTCCGTCCAACGCTATAGCCATGCTTGGACTGCCGGTGTCAGGGTGAGATATTAAAAAGGCCAGAACTATCAATAGGCAAGGATGTTTGTGATTGTGAGCTTTTGTATCCTATATCATGCTTCTATCGTTGTATATCACAAGGAGGCAACCATGTCAGGCCGGGACGTGTTCCCAGGCAAAATCCAATCTCCCTAAATTTCCACCATTTACCATTCCATCTTCTCCTTGGCATACAAGTCAAGATACTCGTCAACCGTCATCTTGTCGAGCTTAGAAGCATCAGTACCAAGTGCGACAAGGTCCTGGATCTTGGCTGCATCAAAGTGAGGGGCCAAATGTCTCTTATACTTGTCCAAAATTTCGGGTTTGGCCTCGTCTCTTCTGAGACGGTGTCCAAGAGGTGCTTCTACCACCACCTCATCGAGAACGGTTCCATCGTTCAGAGTGACGGTGAGAGCGTTGGAGATGGTTCGCAGGGCAGGGTCGTGGTAGTCCTTTGTGAATTGAGGGTCCTCAACGCACTTGATACGCTTTCGGAGATCCTCAAGAAGAGGAGATGTAGCCGCTTCACTGCCATCAAGATAATCGGTGGCCACGAGCCGGTTGAAGACCAACATGTTGGCCACCATGTACTGGACGCAGTGGTCACGATCAGCAAAGTTGTCCATGGGCTTGAATTGCTTGTCAATGATTCGAATGCAGGCTTCGTGGGTTCGGTTGGTGATCTCCTTGATGTCCTTAGCAGACTTGCCCTGGTCTGCGAGGATCTTGTAAATCTTCTGTGCAGCCTCGACAGCCGTCTGGGAGTGGAATTCGGCGGGATACGAGACCTTGAACAGGACATTCTCCATGACGTAGCTGCCGTAAGGGCGTTGGAACTCAAACTTCTTGCCCTTGAACAGGACATCGTAGAAGCCCCAGACGGGGGCAGAGAGGACGGTGGGAATACCAGATTGGCCTTGCTTGACCTTGAAAGCAAGGCTGACAGCTCTCTGGCAAGCATCACCAGCAGCCCATGACTTTCGAGACATGGTGTTGGGAGAGTGACGGTATGTTCGGAGAGCCTGACCGTCGACAAAGGCTTGAGAAACGGCCGCCTTGGTCTCCTCTTCAGTGAGACCCAGCATCTTGCTGACAACGGCGGTAGAGGCGACCTTGACCAAGAGAACGTGGTCAAGACCAACCTTGTTGAACGAGTTCTCCAGAGCCAAAACACCCTGGATTTCGTGGGCTTTGATCATGCCTTCCAAGACATCTCTGATTGTAGGGATCTTTCCACCAGCGATGTTTCCTCCGGCTTTGTTTGTTCTTGCAATCCAGTCAGCGAGACCGAGGATGGCACCCAAGTTGTCAGATGGATGACCCCATTCGGCGGCCAACCAGCAGTCATTGAAATCGAGCCACCGGATCAGAGCACCAATGTTGAAGGCACCGTTGATGGGGTCCAATTGGTAAGGAGTGCCGGGGACTTTGGTTCCGTTGGGGACGACGGTGCCCGGGACGGTAGGGCCAAGGAGGGCGGTGGCTTGGGGAAATCTCAAAGCTTCGAGACCACAGCCGATGGTGTCGAGCAGGATGTATCGAGCAGTGTCCAAAGCAAGTTCCGAGTCGATCTTGTAGTTGTGGACATAGCTGGCGATATCGGTGATTTCAGGATCGTATGCGACCGAGGGAGCTCCTGTTGGGGCCCCAGACTTTTTGGTGGCAGAGGTCGAGAAAGAGGAGGTCATGGCGGGGATGGATCTGGTCAGATGCGAAGGAGCAGGAGCAAAGGAGGAAGCTCGGTGGATCAAGGCCGATGAGGAAGCTCGGACAGCACAGTTGCCAGTAGCCAGTCGTCGCAGGGGCAGTCGTTTGATGGCAGAAGATGCAAGCATGATTTGACTTGTTGTGGTCAGAGTAGAAGAGGAGAGAAGAGGAGGGGAGAAAACAAAAAGAGGTGGAGAGAGGAGGAAGCTCTCAACTTTGGTCTGCGACTTCCTCTTGACAGCAACGTGCAGAACTGGCAAGAAGAAGGAGCGAACAAGAGGGAAGTGACGATTGACGATTGGTAATGCGAGTAGAGAGGCAAGAACGAGATCAAGTCAAGTCAAGTTGAAAATGGAAGTCACGATCCAAAATATATTCTTCCTCGGATTCATTCTCTTGGACCTTTGATTTTCTTTCAAAAGCCTCAAGCCTCACACCGCGAACCTCGAACCTCCAAGCTCCCTTTGCCCCATCCTATTCAGTGCTGGATGGGCCTCTACCGCCCATTGCCCTGGTAATCCATGTACCTGATCACCTATTCTACCGCCCAGAGTGACTTTGAACTCGCCTGACGATATCCGCAGCTACCCTTCTTTCGACCCTATCCGCACCCCTCATTCACCCACCTCGCCGATAGAGGCCCGATCAATTTTGCCTCGGCCTCGGCGTGGTCCCGGCCATCTCCCTGACGGTCTACCTTCCTCCGGCTTTTGTTTCTAGTGTCGACCAGCTGGAAGAAGACCTGTGGAGGCCTGTTTAGGGGGAACCGAGTGGTCTAAACAGAGTGTTAGAGGCACTCTCCCCGCGTTGAAGGTGACACTTTCTCGTGGAGTGATTTGGTGAGACTGGCCTTGGTTCTCAGATCAAGCCTCTAACCGTTTAGCTGCCGGCACCAACCAACTAGACTCTCTCTAGTACTCTCTCTAGTCATCCTTCCCTTCCACCTCCGAGCACCTACCGTCTTCCACTTTTCCTTTCCCACCAAATTCCCTTATTGTCCATATTTCGCCTCAACCCGTCGGGGCTTGGACGCCGCTTTCGGTCTCTGATTTGGACCCCTGTCACCGAACTCCTTCGCGAACGTCCCCCGTCCCCTTTTGATTGGCCATTGCATTCATCATTTCGAGTCCAGCCAGCGTGGCCGTGGACCGTGGTGGTACGGCCTTCACACATACAGATGGCTCCTCGCGACCTCAGTCCACGCTACGAGTCTCTGCAGAATCTCCCCGACGACGACGACGGAGATCTGTCGGATCAGGACTCCACAGCCTTGCCTCGAGACTCCCACCTTGATTCATCCCAGGCGGCCTCCCTATTGGCCGGACCTGGCTCCAACAAGGCAATCTCATACTCCAAAGCCGACCTCTGCTCTTCCTCCTTGAGCAGCCGCTCGTTCCTGTCAGGCCATCGTCTCACCAAATCTTACATTGCATTCTGTATCCTCGTCATTGTTGTCATCGTTTCTGTCGTCGGAGGAAGCGGTTATTGGGTTTGGACCATCGGTCAACACCAGATCAATGGCCAATCCCCGCCATGGTACCCCACCCCCTTGGGAGGCTCTGTCTCGTCCTGGGAGAAGAGCTACGAAAAAGCAAAGATCCTCGTCGATCGGCTGAGCCTTCTTGAGAAGGTCAACATCACTACAGGCACAGGCTGGGCTCAAGACCTTTGTGTTGGCAATACCGCTCCAGCCATCTCTGCCGGGTTCCCCAGCCTGTGCCTACAAGATGGTCCCCTTGGCATCAGATTTGCCGACCACGCAACCTCCTTTCCCGCTGGAATCACGGTAGGCGCCACGTGGAATCGCGACCTGATGCGAAGGCGAGGGGTAGCGCATGCCCATCAAGCAAAACTCAAAGGAGTCAATGTCCTTCTCGGCCCAGCCATGGGACCACTTGGCAGAAATCCTGCCGGGGGAAGAGTGTGGGAAGGTTTTGGTAGTGATCCCGTTCTTCAAGCTGTCGCCGCCGCTGAAACCATCCACGGCATACAGTCCCAGGGAGTTATGGCCACGGCAAAGCACCTGATCGGCAACGAGCAAGAACACTTTCGAAAGTCTTTTGAGTGGGGGATTCCAGAGGCGCTATCTTCAAATATAGATGACCGAACCCTGCACGAACTCTATCTTTGGCCATTTGCCGAAAGCGTCAGAGCTGGGGTTGCCAGCATCATGTGTTCTTACCAGATGCTCAACAACTCCTATGCTTGTGCAAACAGTAAACTCATGAATGGCATTCTCAAGGATGAGCTGGGGTTCCAAGGCTTCGTCCAGTCTGACTGGCTGGCACAACGAAGCGGCGTTGCTTCAGCACTCGCTGGCCTCGACATGTCCATGCCTGGTGATGGACTGCACTGGATAGATGGAGCTCCACTGTTTGGGCACCACTTGACCCTCGCTGTTCTCAACGGTTCATTACCTGTGTCAAGGCTGAATGATATGGTCACGCGTATCGTTGCAGCATGGTATCAATTAGGCCAGGACTCGTGGGATACCGAGGGCCCTAATTTCTCTTCCTGGACGTCTGATGAATATGGTGTCCCACACTTTGGCAGTTCCACCAAGCAGGAAAAAGTTATCGTGAACAAATTCATCGAGACCGAAAGTGATGACAGTATTCAAATCGCTCGACAAGTCGCAAGCGAAGGCCTTGTCCTGCTAAAAAACGAGAACGGTCTTCTCCCACTTGATCCATCCCTTGAGCAGCTAGGAGGCTCTGGTCGCAAGAAGGTGGCAATCGTTGGCGAAGATGCAGGTCCAGGTAAAGGGGCAAACTATTGTGAGGACCGAGGTTGCAATCAAGGAACCCTGGCTGTCGGATGGGGCTCCGGTGCCACCGACTTCACCTACTTGGTTGACCCTCTCTCTGCTCTGAACAGTAGTTTTGATCTTTCCAAGGTCGACATCAGCACCTCTCTTACAAACAAAGTCTCTCGCAGCTTGGAGAAGACGCTTGCTGATCAGGACTTGTGCATCGTCTTTGGGAATGCCGACTCGGGTGAAGGACATCGTATCTGGGCATCGCAGAGGGCTGACAGAAATGATCTCGAGATCCAAAAGGGTGGCGCCAAACTTATACGCAGTGTGGCAGATACTTGCGGAGGCCCCGTAATTGTCGTCATCCATTCTGTCGGTCCCGTCATTGTTGAAGAGTTTGTCAACATCTCATCTGTCAAGGCAATCCTTTTCGCCAATCTTCCTGGCCAGGAAAGTGGGAATGCGCTAGCAGATGTACTCTTCGGTCGAGTTGATGCTTCTGGAAGATTGCCGTACACCCTTGGCAAAAGCCTCGCGGATTATGGCCCTGGAGCACCTGTTCTCTACTATCCCAACGCCTTTATCCCGCAAGTGGATTTTAATGAAGGTCTCTACATTGATTATCGACATTTCGACCGCCAGGGAATTGTCCCACGATACCCATTTGGCTACGGCCTGTCATACACCTCCTTCGAGCTCTCAAATCTCAAAGTGACTTCTCTAAAACCAAAGTCTCCACTCCCAGCGCCTCGCCCCAAGGGAATCACGCCGCCAACATATGACGAATCCCTCCCGTCCCCGAAAGAAGCACTTCTCCCCAGTGGGTTCCGGAAGCTGCGCAAATACATCTATCCATACATCTCCACCGTGGATGAAGTACGAAACGAGCCATACCCCTATCCTGATGGCTATGCCCAAACTCAAGAACCGAGCCAGGCTGGAGGATCTGAAGGCGGAAATCCTTCTCTCTTCGACAGTCATGCTCATGTCCAGATTCGCGTGACCAACACGGGCAGTCGCAAGGGAAAGGAAGTTGTCCAACTATATGTGGGCTTCCCACCCTCCATTGTCGAGACAACTACAGGAGAGGCGATTGATACTCCAGTCAAAGTGTTACGCAACTTCACCAAAATCGAGCTTGAACCAGGCTCTTCTGAGCTTGTCAATCTTACATTAACGAGGAAAGACCTGAGCTACTGGTCAGCCGTCCAGCAGAACTGGGTTATGCCGGATGGCCCCTTTACCTTGTCGGTCGGCCGGAACTCGGGAGATCTGTCTTTACAAGGAACCTACTAATTGACATCATGCGACCATGGGACCGTGAGACGACGATTTCTTCGGACTAGTTGAGTCACGTGATTGTGATTGCTTGGTTGACTTCACCTGCTTGACGGGTATCAACATAGGAGCGTACGGACTTAGCGACATATTTCATTGGTCTGCGCCGGCTTACTCGACAGTTAGGTGTAAGTCTGCATCTGATGACCTCGGATATCATGAATCAGCCACTTCTCACCATTGCAGCATCTTACCGAGGAGGGAATTTGAGAACGACTACTTCCCCGCTTCTCCACAAGACATCGGCCCAGATGGCCCGCGGTGATGACTGTGATTGGCTTGTGCGGAGTTGGACGTGCTGGATGTTCCACTCCGTGCGTAATTGATCAAGTCTTAGACTACCAGGCGTACCGCGCTGCGAAGCGCGCTGAGTCGTTACATTCAGGAGGGGTCTGTGTGGGCTCTCAGTGGATGATTATGGCTGATCGGGTTAATGACAACGTGTACCAAGGGATTCGTTTCTTTTCTTTTAGCAGGTGATACTAGGAACGCCGTACTAAATAGCTCGTTTGAATACAGCCCAGACCTAGATCGAGAATTGATATTAAACTTTGGCAACGCCCTCCTCTACTTCCTCTTCTCTTTCGTCCTTCTACCTAAACTGTGCTTTTGATCCAATACCAAATAGCCAACAGTGAAACCACGTCTCATTCGTCATGGCCCCCGATATTAATGCAATGGCCAATTGGGCCACCGATGGATATGCGAACAATCAGGTCCCCCGCAAGGAGGAGTACGAGATTCCTGGTGAGTCAACGTTCTACAGTGCTTGCTTGCATCCCAGCGAGACTCTTTCCCAGACGGCAAAGACAGAGAGGCACGCCCTACTTTCGAGATGGACCGACTACAAGTACACCACGACTGTGCATTGGTTGCCTGACGAATGACCCTGTATACCTCAACTCACAATGATGACCGCATCAAATGCAAGAGTTGGCCTTGCTGACAGGGAAACTGGCCCACCAATCCAACCCACGTCGTACAGATTTCTCTGTAAGGCTGGGCCCTGGCCTGAAATACGCTCGAGGTGTATCAGCATGTCCATACAACCCCAGTAATAGACTCGTCAGCACTTGGCGACTTTGACTGTGGAAACATGTTGGATATTCCGCCGCTATTGTTAGACGTGAGAATGGCGGCAGTACAAGCCGAGGGTCGACAAACGATCGTTGCTGACTTGTCTTCTGCTGATTGCAATACATTGACAAATTGTCTTATCCGAGATCGCTCATTTCGCTAACACATTGACCTCGTCAACACACAGATATTGTCCTCAATGGACCTTACACCCGTAAAATCCGCGTTCTGTCCATCGGGGCAGGCGTGACAGGGATCATGAATGCATACCATATTCAGAAGTTTTGCGAGAACGTCGAGCACGTCATTTATGAGAAAAATGCAGATATCGGTGGGACGTGGTTGGAGAATCGATATCCTGGTATGTCTCTTAACATCTAATCCTCTTGAGTCGACATTTTTTGTTTTTCCCAAAAGCCCATGTCTCACGAGATGCCAATTGCCAAGAGACATTGCAAATCAATTGCGTATAGCATCAGGAGGAGTAATGCAAGCTGACGTGGAGTCGTCTAGGATGTGCATGTGATATCCCAAGCCATGCATATACTTACCCGTTTGCGCTGAATGTAAGCATATGTCTCTTGTGGCGAGCTAAGGGGATCATCTTGACATTTGATTACTGATTTTGCTACTATACAGCCCGACTGGCCCCGCTTCTTCTCATACTCGCCAGACATCTGGAAGTACCTGGACAAAGTTTGCGAAGTGTGGGGTCTCCGCAAGTATATGACCTTCAACACCGAAGTGGTTGGATGCTACTGGCAGCAACAGACCGGTGAATGGCTGGTCAAGCTTAAGGAAACCAATACTACCACCGGTGCGACGCGCATCTTTGAAGACCGTTGCCATGTCTTGCTCCACGGCACCGGAATCCTCAACAATTACAAATGGCCCAATATCCCTGGCATCGAGAAGTTCAAGGGCAAGGTCCTCCACACGGCCAGGTGGGATAAGGAGTACCAAGAGGAACAGTGGAAGAAGGACAAAGTCGTCGTGATTGGCAGTGGCGCCAGTAGCATTCAGACTGTGCCTACTATGCAGCCACATGTTAAACAGATGGATGTGTTTGTTCGGACTGGTGAGTGTCACAAGAACCTCTTTCTCATTTGTCCCTCGATTCTTGCTTGCCATCTCATCCAAAGTTTGGTCATGATGATGGACAAGACATCTATCATCACGCCCACATTCCCTTGTACACGAGTCTACCATAGACTAACCCTCCTGACTCGTACCAGGCGTCTGGTTTGTTCAAATCGCCGACAACTTTGGTGCAAACCACTCGTACACGGATGAACAGAAGCAGTCTTTCCGCGATCCCTACAAGATCGTGGAGCATGCCAAATCGATCGAAGATCAAGTCAATGGCCTTTGGGGTAGTTTCTATAAGAATTCCGAGGCACAAGCTCAGGGCCAATTAGCGCTCAAGCAACGTATGGGCGAGATGATCAAAGATGAAAGACTTCTAAAGGGATTCACCCCGACATTTGGCATTGGCTGTAGGAGAATCACCCCTGGCGATCCGTACATGGAGTGAGTGTCACCCCCTGTCTTCCATCTCCATGTTTCCGACTTGTTCACTATCTTGCCTGAAAGCCATTTCCTCTTTGCATCAAGACCGTTCGTACTGACACGATGTCCACCTCGCTCTTCACAGGGCTATCCAGAAACCAAATGTCAACGTCCACTTCACCGAAGTTGTCGAGATCGATGAGACTGGAGTGATTGGCAAGGACGGCACACGCGTGGAGCCGGACACAATTGTGTGCGCAACGGGCTTTGACGTGTCGTATCGACCACGCTTCCCTATCGTGGGTCAATCTGGCGTCGACCTGGCCGAAAAATGGAAAGTGTGCCCTGAGGGATACCTAGGGTTGGCGATTCCAGACTTTCCCAACTTCCTGACATTCATCGGACCCAATTGGCCTGTGGAGAATGGCTCGGTCATGGGTCCATTAATGCAGGTCAGCATGTACGCGGTCCAGCTGATCAAGAAGATCCAATCCGAGTATATTGCCAGCATCGCGCCCAAGCAGGACGTGACCGACGCCTTTAACGAGCACTGCCAGGAATGGGTGCGCCACACCGTATGGGTCGAGGATTGTCGCTCGTGGTACAAGAACAATGAGACGGGCCGAGTCAATGCCGTCTGGCCCGGGAGCTCGTTGCACTACACCGAGGTCATCAAGACCCCGAGATACGAGGACTTTGACATCGAGTATCTGGGACCCGCTAAGAAGAACCAGTGGGCTTTCCTAGGCATGGGTACGGTCAAGGCCCTCGTCAACAAGGAGGATGTGAGCCCCTATCTGAATGTCGAGAACATCGATCCCAAGTGGATGGAGGCCACTGGCATGGATGTTGGCAAGCTCAACGAGACCAAGCTGAAGGAGCTGCATGAAGAAACGAAGAAACTGTCCATCAAGAGCAAGGAGAACATCGACAAGACTCAAGTCAATTGATGACTATCGCACATGGGAAGATGAAGGAAACTCGGTGCCATTAGAGAGATTGTTCGTGGTAAACTAATCATGTTCACACTACACACATCCCTAAATGATGATGAACGACATCAAGCGAAACCACCCCAATGAGTGACTGAATCAATTGGCCACTGGCGAAAGCCGCAGTTCATGTTGTAGTATCGACCACATTGGAGGCAACTTGGCTGATTTCATCGAGTTCCTCCATTCGTCTCTCATCGCCAACGATTCAACCGCGGCACCAATAGCAGACGCAACAAAGACTGACCGTAGCAACTCCTTGGGCTGCCCCTTGCGGTGACCGTCCCGCATTTGTTAATCGTTCCAATTTCCAGCGCATCCAGCATTACGTGTTGTTCGTGCTCCATCCCGACACCTTCATGCTCTGAGAGATCCTCAGCGACCAAGCCAAACAAAACATACAGTCCTCGTACCCTCTAAAATCAATGTCATGCAATTCTCCAAGTGGAGGTTAGACTGGCGCACTTAGAAGATGGTGCCAAAAGTTCCGTCGGTCTCAATTTTCTTTCTCGGGCTACCTCCTTCGTTGTCTGGCTTGCGGTGTCTGTGAGAAGATTAGTAACATTGTCGCTGTGGGTGAATGGAGATGACGAACCTGAATGTAAAGCCAACAAAGAGCGACTTTTGCATCTTTTCATCTCTCTCGGCCATGTCTTCCAAGGCTCTTTGCTTATCATGGACCTCCTTGTATTTTGCCATGTCAGCTTCATTGCTGAAATCGTCAAAGTATCCCGCATCCGTGTCCGAGTCGAGCTCGGGGACAAAGGGGGCTTTCTGTTCTCTCAAAGCGTTGAAATCCACCTCGGCAAAGTACTCATGCTTGTGTATCTCGGAGATGCCCTTGAAACGCTGCTCCTTACCAGCCACCAGGCGCGTGATGAGATCCCAGGTACGCTTGCTGAGGAAATAGTTCGGATCGTCGTAGATGGGCTTTCGAAGAACGCGTTGCCATCGTTTGAGATTCTGCCAAGTTTCGTCGACAGTGGCGCCAGCGAAGGGAGGGTAGCCAGCGAGGGCCTCAAAGAGCATGCAGCCCAGGGACCAGTAGTCGACAGTGAAGTCGTACTGTTCACCTTTGAGGACTTCAGGAGCCATGTAGTCGGGCGACCCTACAATCGACTTTGCATAGTTGATTTCCTTCTTTCGCAGGGAACGATAGCCTTCGCGTCGTTGGTCGGCGGATCGTTCCTCCACAGCAGGCATTCCAAAAGGAACTGGAGTGTTTCCTACCTCCTCTAATTTGATGCGCATGCTTTCAATTTTGATAGGGCTCAACATGCCTGCGGCGAGACCGAAATCGGTCAACTTGACATGGCCTGTAGCATCGATCAAGAAGTTTTCGGGTTTGAGATCGCGATGGATGTAGCCCAAAGTGTGCAGTGCATCGACGCATGAAAACATTTCGGCAATGTAGAATCGCGCGTGTCGGTTGTGGAGGACACCAGTGTTGTTTAGCAAAGTGCGGAAGTCACCACCAGGGACGTACTCCATGGCCAAGTAGATTTGCTCGTCATCTTGGAAAGAATAGAGAAGTTTGACGAGCCAGTCGGACTTGGCAGCGGTCAAGATATCTCTCTCGGTCAAGATGTGTCGGACCTCATCCAGTTTGAAGAGGAGCTTCTTTCGCATGACCTTCAGCGCGCAGACTTCTCTAGTGTCTTTCTTTTGCGCCAGGTAGACTTGACCATAACCGCCCTGGCCTACTTGAGTCAAGATCTGGAAGTCGCCATGTCGAAGGCGGGTTCGTCTCTTTCGCAAGTTGGCACGTTCACGGCCAAGGTATTTGTGACGAGCAGCGTCAAAATCGTCTTGAGCGGTTGCAGGAGGGTCTGGGTAAGACGACTTGAAGGCTGCTTCTCTGTTCTGACGATTGTGGACGTAGGAAAGAAGGTCAAAATAGTGATCGAGAAAATCTGGACAAGTTCTGTTAGACGGAGGATGGTCATGGGACAGGACGAAACATACACAACTGCGTTACATTGGCCAGGCGTTTGACTTTGGGCAGAGCCAGTTTCTGCAATTCTTCGGTAGTCAAGCCCCGGGTAATGGTCTTTTTGGACTCTGACTTGTGGTATTGTTCGTGCCTCGAGACGGCGGCATGGTTCTGTTGGCCATCAAGATTATACTTGAGGGGTGAGGCAGGTGCATTCTCCTTGTTGGACTGTCGTGTAGGGCTTTCGGCGCGACCGGGGTAAAACTGCGCAGTCTGGTCACCAAAGGGGTCTTTGTTGCCGTGCTCGTACTTGGATGGAGACTTTGGCTGAGACTTGGTGGGTGACATGGGAGCCAGCTTCATGGCACTGTCGAAGACATTGGGGAGATCATTGGCACCGGGGGGAAATTGTTTCTTGCTGGGGCTGCCTTGAGGAGTTTGGACGGGACTGGTGAAGGCATTGGATTGTGTTGGTGTTTGTGGGCGATCATAGGTTTGGTTGCCTGATCTGGTATGAAGTAGCGGTGGCGGTAAAGGCATGACAAGATTGAGGTCTTGTTGCGATTTTGGAGATAGAGGACCACTGTTGCTGACAGCCATGTTTTGTTATTGATGGATCAGATGGGGAACGGAGAGAAAACGTCGGGTCCTCAGCAGCAACAGTCACTCTTGGACGCTGGCAAGTTGAACGGCAAGATCGAACGAGAACTGCGTGACGATGAACTAGGCCAGGTGCGAATCTCTCCTTCGCAAGCGGCGCCTTGGAGGAGTGTATGGGTAGTTGTTTGGATCAAGCCAAGGACCGGCGGCTGAATCACAAGGAAAACATGAGATGGAGTCAGAGTTACCATGGGCGATGGACAATGGACAATGGACAATTGGCAACAGCGACCACCGCAGCGGGGGGAAGGGGCTACCGCCAACTGATGGGTAGACAGCACTAGCCGCTTTAGGATTGATCAACAGACACGACGCATCTCCCGGGAGACGCATGGAGCCCCCTTGGCCGAGCTCGGTCACGTGGTTCAGCCCTGGCTGAATGGCGGTGAAGGCTGGCAGAATAAAGACACCCCACACAGGCTCCGACAGAACGGTTTGTCATCTGGCCATAATAATTATTGTATTATGATGTTTACCAGTGCGGGTGGCTGAGTCTCGACGTCATGCTCGCGTTCTATGATGACCATGACTTCTCTCTGCTTGTTCTACCGGCCACGTTTGTGAAGCCCTGATGACAGAACAAAGTGGGTAGACAAACTGCGCTCGTGCAAGAAGAATCCTCTTTGCAATCTCAACGCCCAACCTGATTTTTCCCTTGTGTGACTGTAAAAAGTGTCAGGTAGACCGCTCCCGGCTTGCACGCTGGCAGCATCAAACTCGAGCGTCTCCCGCCTCACCAACCTCCGACGCACCTTGACCATGTCTCACGCCGCAGCAGCACAGCAACAACTCCATCAGCGGCCCACCAAAAGACCAGAAGCACCATGGAAGAAGATGTTTCAAGAGCACGTCGCGCGAGCGGGTGGGGCATCAGCAGAATTTGCCCTGAGTACGGTCAATTCGTCCGGACTTCCTCGGGTGCGGTACTGCATTCACCGCGGGTTCTGGGCGGAATTGCCTGAGAATGAACACAACAAGCTACAAAAGAACCCGGCAATCTACGAATCTGACTGCCCGACTTTCACCACGGACGCACGTATGCACAAGGTATACGACCTCTTTGCGACGGGAAAGGGGAAGGGTACCCTCGAACAGTCGCGATCAGGCACTGGAGGGGGTGGGCCCGTTGAAGCCGTGTACTGGGTGCGAGACACAAAGACACAATGGCGGATCCGCGGCAAGGCATGGATATTGGCTGCGGACGATATTGAAGGCGGGGAGGAAGCCCAAAACTCGGGGACTGTGACTGTCAAGGCCGAGTTGGGCAGATATATGCGGGTGAGCGACGAGGATGGTCACGCGCAGCAACAACAAGGGGGTTGGTCTTGGCGACGGGAGATCGAGAACCATTTTGAGAATCTTTCGCCGCAGATGCGAGGTTCCTTCAAAAATCCGCCTCCTGGAAAACCGATTCACAAAGGCAAAGATGAACAGGCAGGGGAGGCACTCGGACAGAAGGCAGGGCATCTCGCTGAGGAGCACCTGGCACGGAAGCATTTCCGGGTAGCAGTCATCACTCCTGAAGAGGTCGAGGCGGTAGATCTGACAGATCCTGAGAAAGCAACCAGACAAATTTGGACATTGTCAACCGAGGACGGTGAGTCAGATGGCCCTGAGTGGAACAAGATAGAAACTTGGCCATGAGCAGGGATGATGTCAGAATGATCTATTTTGGACCCAATCACGCATTGAGCTCTCTTAGATGGACAGCTAGAAACTGAATACAATCGTGCTCTATATCAAAGCGACACCTCCCAAGATGGCGGCACCGAACAGGCCCCAGCCCACCGAGTTCATTGCAGCATGGTTGGTGGAGGAACCCACAGCCCCAGTCTGGGTACTTGTTGATGAAGCTGATTGGGAAGCCGAGGAGGAGGGCGAGGCAGAAGAAGAGTCTTGAGATTGACCATCTGCGGTAGATTCGTTTGCATTGATAGGGTTGTCCAAGGGGAACGCGGTGACGCCTGTGCCATTGGTGCAAACCGAGGGGAGCGTGGTGGTTGAAGGGACGGAGTCGAATGTTACGTCGGCGCACTGGGGAGGGGACCCCACGTCAGCAGGGTTGCAGCAAGAGTCAAAGGGATACTCACAACGTAGAGACCACCACCACCCTCTCCATCGGTAACGACTTGAATTGTTCCGTTGGTGCCTGCTGTGAGGTTGAGACTGGCAGGTAGATGCACGGTGGGAAGACAGAAAGAACCTTCGCCCTGTTGTTGGAAGGTAGGCTCGAGGACGATGTTGAAATTGTCACCGGGGTCATTGCCCACGGCGAGGAGGACCTGAATCACAGTGCGATCGTGGCCCATCTCCAATGCAAGCGGGAAGGCGACGGTCGAGAGTTGGGTGCGGTTCTTGGAGATGGCAAAGCCACCACATGGGAAGGTGGCTTCAGAGTCGTCCTCATCGCTGCGTGGAGATGGGTAGAGCATGTGGAAGTGGGCAGAGACAATGAGTGGAAGGGACAAGAGCCCAAGGATGAGGCGAGATCTCATATTGGACGAAGTGGGATTTGTGTTAGACTTGAAGGCAGATGGGATGAGAGCAAAGGACAAAAAGTGGCAATGGTCGTGAGGTTGGAGACTTGTGTCAGTTGTGTTAAATAAGTAGGCAAGAACGAATATGCCGAGGGGGAACGGTGGTGGGTGAAGGTGAGATGACGAGGGGTTCTTGACGTTCTTGTGAATGCGAATGCCCACTTACATAGTTGGACAACAAGCATCAACTACCTATGCGCGTTGAGGGATTCTTCACAGAGGTGACAATGCTTAATCTTGCTTAGCCGAGCTTGTTTCTCACCAAACTAGTCAGAAAGTGCGATGGCTTGGATGGCAGATGGTCGAAAAGAGACAGATGCACACCTGTCAATTAAAAAAAGAAGAACGTCGAAAAGAAAACTTGCTCATGTGGAGTCTGCGGCTGGCTGACAAGGGGCCCGAGGGCCCAAAAGGTTAAAACAAGGGACGAGGAGGAATGACTACCAGGTAGGTAGGAAGGTAGGAAGCAGGTGACATGGAGCAGACGTAATGTCCCCTCAGAGTAAGGCATTAATGCCCATGCTAGGCGTCAAGTTGTTGTTCAGACAAGATCAACCAGTGCAGAGAAAAAGGATTGGCAACTAAAAATGATATTGGAAAGCTACTCCGTAAGTAGACAAGTTCAACCCTTGTGTTGGTGTCGATGCATCTCGCTGAAGATAATGCCCTGGATATCACGTGCCAACGCCATGCCCCTAAATCCCAACCCGTACCATCATGTTTGTATCGTCTCTCAATTCTCTCAATTCTCTCAATTCTCTCAATTCTCTCAATTCTCTCAATTCTCTCAATTCTCTCAATGCGAATGCTCGTCACTATTCAGATACCGTCCCACAGCAAGTTCGGAAATGAAGACACCGGCTAAGACGGAAAGGAAATAGCCAACGTTCATGGTCATGACCGCCAACATCCTGGTGCATGAGTCAGTGTGTGCGTGCGGGACGGGCTTAATTGGTTTGCACTTACAGGAGATATGAGACAGCGACGAGGACGGTGACGAGAATGGCTCGTGGAAGATCAACCGAGAATCGAAATGGTAGGACGTGTTTGGATTGTGCCTGGACCACCTTGACGTTTTCTTCCACCCCTTGGGCCGTCACCAACGACCCAGACTTTGCATCAAGGTCTTGGTCAATTCTTCCTGCCTCCGTAGACCTCCCTTTGATCAAAACGAATCGTCGTTGTCGAGCCGATGCTGACCATCTGAACTCGAGAATCGTCTTGAGTGCCAACAAGGAGCGGAAAATCATGGCCAAGACCAGAAGAAAAATGCAGGTGCCAGCGTAAGCACCGCCGGACTCGGGGGTCCATGAGTTGGCGTACAATGGTGTGTGGTGGGAAGTTGTAAAGACCATGACCATGGACATGTCATCTGATGACGACGAGGAGTGACTGTGCGACATGGTGAGTAGACTGAAATATGTGATCAAAAGAATGTCTCTGTTGTTTTGGGCGAGAAATGAGAGATGATCGAGTGAGAGTGACAGAAGCTGCTTTGTGCGCTGGAAACTTGGGGGCTTTGTAGAAAGTCGAAAACGGGCAACAATCGTTGGGCTGGTGACAGTTTGAAGATGAAACTGGTAGAGTCGAAATGGGATGAGATGATGTGTAATTCAAAGTCGTGCCAAAGAACACAAATTGTCTGGCAATGGTTTCGTGTTTTCGTGTCTTTGTGGTGAAATGTGGGGTGCCAGGTGTTGAATGGTTCCGGTAAAGCCTGGAGGTACAGGCACAGGTTACAGGTTGTAGGATGTACAGTATAGGAGTACAGGCTGACAGGGTTTCCTTATTTACTTTTCTATGTGCTGTTCTTCCGTGTCTTAATCTTTGGTGAGGATCGGAATCGTGGACGGGTGCCACTTGGCGAAGAACATAGGAGCTCCAGAGCACTTTTCAAGTGTTGGGTGGTGGACCCTGGGCTGAGGGGGGCCTCGGGCGGCTCTTCAGCCTCTGAATACTCCGTAGATGGAGGTATTCAGCCTACGGAAAAGGGCGACCAAATCCTACGCCCAGAGTTCGTTGGTGGCAATGTGGTCATCATACGGAGTACTCGTAAACCTGCTCATTTTAGCGGGACCTGAACGGCTGTGGCGCCGCTGGGCACAACCTAATTCTTTTCATGCCTCTGGCCAGCCTCTAATGTTGAGGGGATCAGGGCGCCGGAGGGTCGCCCTGGCCAGGCCTCAGGTTGGTGTGAATAGGCTAACTAGGCATGGATTAGCCTGCCTAAACCCCTGCCCCCCACCATGTGTTCCAAGTCCTTTTGAGCATGTTTCTGTGTCCTCGATTTTGGAATTTCTTTCCCCACCACGAGACGCTGACCTGGACTTGACTTGACCTTCTTGTCGTTGAATCGTTTGATTGTCTATTGTTTCTCGGGGGATCCTTCGGAGTTCCGTCAGCACAGCACAATATCCAAGGACACTGACGACGACTATGACATGATCATTCTTAATTCTCCATCAATCACTCAGAATCTTGCTCATCGTGGTCACTCGATCCCGCCGACCCAATTCTTCGCCCTGGAGCCCTGACGCCAGCTCCGTCAACACCTTGACCCCATCTGCTGAACCTCAAGTCTTACTGTTGCTAGGATCTCTTCATATCTGTCTCATACCTTGACACCTTGTCTGGTCCAACTCCTCGATTTATCTCGATTTCAACCCCCAGAAATGGCCTGGCAATTACCGCTCCCACCATAACTGCTGCACCATATTATCATCACCCTCGTCTCCATCAGCCTTCCCTGCACCAGCCTAATCCTCGACATGACGCTCCTTGCACGTCAACATGCCGGTCACGGTAGTATGGGCGGTAGTATGGGCGGTAGTATGGGCGGAGGGTCTTCTCAGGTCCCTGGCTATTTCTACATGCAGAAGATGTTTTGGGTCGTCATTGGTTCCGTCATCGCCTTTGCTGCACTCATCAATCTGCTTGACTATATTCTCTTGTGGCAGCGACAAAGAAGCCTCAACGCCAGACCAAAACACTTCCTTCCTCTCTGGTATGCCACCCTCACTGCCATAGTCCGTGAGATCAATTCGGCATCGCTCCCAACTTTACACCTAGCACGCTTGAGGATATCATCTCCCCCACTAGGAAAGACTCTGATCGTCCTTGCCTATCTCACCGTTGTCTGCGTTTTCTGCTTCTGGGGCTACGACACCGAAAGTCAATGGAGCTGGGAAAACATTGCCTATCGATGCGGCTGCATTGCTGTCACCCAACTCCCTCTTCTATTCCTTCTAGCTGGAAAGCAGAACCTCATTGGCTTGCTCACGGGAACCAGCTATGAGCGCCTCAACTGGTTGCACCGCTGGGCTGCCCGCATCATGTGGCTGACTGCAACCTTTCACATGATGTTCTGGTTCCGCAGTTGGGCTCGCTACGATTACATTTGGAGAAAGATCTCCACCGATAACCTAAGCCAGACCGGCTTCGCCGCCTATCTCGTCCTCACCGCCGTAGTCATTTTCTCCTTCATCCCTATCAGGAGATTCAATTACGAGCTGTTTGTCGTCTCGCACCTCGTCCTATTCGCTGGCGCTGTCGGTGCCATCATGCTTCACGCCCCCCTGAGCCGAACATATATATGGGTTGCCGTCGCTCTATTCTTCTTTGATCGACTCGCTCGCATTCTTGTGACCCTGCTAGCCAACCTGTCCTTTTTCCATCCAAAGTCTCCAGGTCGAAACTGGCTATGGGCGAACCATGCTACACTGACGCCTCTTCCCGGCAATGTCACGCGCATCTCGATCGACAACCCTGTCCTCAAATGGACTCCAGGTCAACACGTCTTCCTCTCCTGCCACTCGGTTGTACCCTTGCAAAGTCATCCGTTCAGCATAGCTTCTCTGCCATCTGACAAGAAGCTGGAGTTCCTAGTTCAAGCTCGGAGCGGAGGGACAAAGCGGTTCCATCGCTTTGCAACGAGACATGACGGACTGTCCTCCAGCAACAACTCGCGCATGGTTCAAAGAAAGCTTGTTGGTGTGGAAGGCCCGTATGGCACTCATCGACCACTGCGCCAATTCGACAGCGTGGTGTTTTTGGCTGGAGGGACAGGGGCTACATTTACTGTTCCATTGATGCGAGATATTGTGCAGAGGTGGAAAAGCAGCCAGCAAGGGACCTGGGCTATAGTCACCAAAAGAGTGCGGTTCGTCTGGGTCATCAAAGCACGCGACCGTCTGAGTTGGTTTCAGTCACAACTGGAGCAGGCCCTCGATGACGTTGAGACTATCCGCAACGTGGAGGGGTATGCGGATATCGAATTGAACATTAGCATCTATATGACATGCGATGAAGAGCTGCAAGAGTTGAACAAGAACACCTCCTGCGTGCCACAAGTGCATGGTGAGCCTGAGGAGGAAACCAGCGCTTCGTCATTGCTGCGAGGAGAGAGCAAGACACAGAGTGAGGACAAGATCCGGGTGCAGGTGGTTGAACCTCAGGAGCCGGAGCAGGAAATCTCTGCTGGAGGATGCTGTTGCAAAAAGACAGTCGATGAAGACGGTGCCCCAATGGCATGCTGCTGCGGACCACGGTCATCGAGTGACGCATCGTCCTCTACGATCGATGAGAAGCCCACAGATTCAGACAGCCAAAGACCAGCACCGCTACTAAAACTCGTGTCTGGTCGTCCAAAGCCAAGATCCATCATCCGGAAAGTGCTCGAAGAGGCCGAAGGAGAGAGTGCAGTTGTGGTGTGCGGTCCCAAGGGATTGCAAGATGACGTACGGCGAAGCGTCGTGGCTCTCAGTGATGAACGTGCCGTCCACAAAGGAACAGGGGCACAAGGAATCTATCTACACGTTGAAGGATTCAGCTATTGATGTCGGTGGTATAGATATGGTCTTTCGTGCATGGCGACGGTGGTTTGGTTGCATAGATCAACGGTGGTCTCGCGGGTTAAAAGAGATCTCGTACGAGAAATGAATTACAAATTTGATTTCGATCACTCCAGGAAGTTCAGTAAGGTGATTTCGACCTTTTTTGCCAGAATGCCAGGCAGGGATGCGGACGGAGTGTTGGTTTCACACCATGTACATGAGCATTGTCTCTTCGCACTGCCATTGATATCAGTAGTATCACGTGAGGCTGCGGCCGAGAGGCAAGTGCCAAGTGGTGACGCAAAGAGGCAATTCGGGAGAAGGTGCAAGCCTGAGGCCCCTCGGCCCCTTCCCCGTGTTCACTTGTGACAAAGCGACGAGTGACGACATCTCGCGACTTCTCATCCACTACCACGACACCAACGACTACGACTACGACTACGACTACGACTGCTGGCTTCTGGCTACTCGCCTACATCCTTAGGTACGCAATCCAGTTAAGCCTGGCGACCAGCGAGCCTAACAAAAGTCTAAAGATTAGTATACATCCGCAAGTCAAATCCAGCCACAGAGAGATACGCCCGTACCTCACAGTCGGATCCATTTGAAGCCTCTACGTAATTGGCTCCGATCGGACACATTCACTGCACGAGCCTTTTTTGGCCAGTCACCAATCTCATCTTGGTCATTGACTCGTAACAGATAGATACGGCCCATTTCAAAGCACGAGACACGGAGCAATTGCTCTGCGTGAATGAAGTCATCAACCCCTGGCTATTGTGACAATGAGACTGCGGTTGCGACTGTTGACGCTTTTAAACATGTCCAGCCCGTCGACAGTTCTCAGTCAATCTCAATTTCAACTCCTCCAGAACAACTGTTGAGATACAGAAAGCAAACAATCGCACCACAGTCACAGATCTCAACCACAACACCAGAACCACCACACCCATCCATCTTTTCTCCATTCACCGAAACACTCCATCTCTTCTCTTCACTGGTAGGACCATACATTTTCAATCCTTTACTTGCACTTCAAGTCTACCATCCTCGCATCGCAACAATGTGGCCATTCGACATCACCACCTCCTTCAACCCCTCCCGCGACATCAGACCTTTGACGGGCAAGGTCATCCTGGTGACGGGGGGCAACAATGGTCTCGGGAAAGAGACCATTTTACAGCTAGCCCAGCACTCTCCCAAGAAGATCTTCTTAGCTGCACGCTCTGAATCCAAAGCTCTTGCCGCCGTTCAAGACATCAAATCTCACATCTCTGACCCAAACCTCGACATTCAATATCTTCCTCTGGACCTCGAATCTTTTCCCAGTATCAAAGCCGCCGCAGACAAAGTTACCTCGTCCACCGACCGCCTCGACATTTTGGTCCTAAATGCAGGGATCATGGCCACGCCACCCGGCCTCACTCCACAGGGCCACGACACCCAGCTAGGAACCAACCACCTGGGCCACTTTCTTCTGACCAAACTTCTCCTTCCAACTCTTATCAAGACCGCCTCGCAACCATCTCCATCCTCCCCTGACCAGCCCGACGTTCGAATCATCAGCCTATCATCGGAAGCCCACAATATGTCCCCTCCCATTAAGACCATCACATCAACCTCGCTGCTCACAGCCACCAACCCCTGGACTCGCTACGGCGCCAGCAAGGCCGCCAATATCCTCTTCGCCTCAGAACTAGCTCGACGTCACCCCAACTTAACCTCTGTTTCCGTCCACCCAGGTATCATCAAGACCGACTTGTACATTCCCAATACCAACTCCAACTTTTTGGTTCGTTATGGAACAATGATCTTCGGGCCGTTGATGTTTCAGACAGTACAGAAAGGGGCCTTGAACCAGATCTGGGCCGCCGTTGCCGCGCGGAGCTCCCAACAAGGAGATGGTGGGGTGGTCAACGGCGCGTACTATACTCCTGTCGGCATCTTGAGGAAGGGAAACAAGTGGAGTCAGGATGCGGACGCGGCCAGGCAGCTGTGGGAATGGAGCGAGGCCGAGCTCAAGAAGAGTGGTTTCTGATGCGACGAGATATGGTGATCTTAGCGGGAGCGAAGTTGACGTGGATTTGTATAGAGTAGAAGTTTTATATTTAATCATGTATTATGATCGTTTACTCCTGATAGCCCGTGTAAACCGTCATCCTGTCATAAGGCTCGATTTTCTTTTCACATCCCTCACCCCATCCACCCCACCTAACACGGACCTAGGTTCGTTGCTTATGATTACTCGCCCGCCCTGGCCACTGCTTCTCAAAGGCCTCGATGGTGTCCAAGACGCTCTTGTCGTAATTGATGAATTTATTCACACCAAGGGCCTTCATGGCTTTTCCACTGAAGAGACTGGCCTCGCCCTTGACAAAGCAGTAGTCTGGAGTGTAACCTTTGCCGGGTTCTCCCACGAGGATGTCACGATCAGGGAACTTGAGTCTCAAGAGGTCGGCCGCGGCTTGAGGAGGGGCCTTGCCGTTAGCGACGAGATAGCGCTGGCCACGCGACTGTTCCGGGTGCTCTGCCGCCCAGACGTGCATGCGGGCCGCGTCGCGGACATCAATGTAGCCAGCACCGCCGATCTGGGGTGGAATCTCGCCGTTGGAGGCTGACGGCCCCGCGTACAGCTGCCAGAGCGGCAATAACGTCGTGTTGAGTTGCTCTGGATTCGACGGCCAGTTGATGGGTGGTCCGGTCACAACGGCTGGGTGAATGGCCGAGATGGCCCATGAAGGGTGATGCTGCGAGTTCCACTCCCACATGGCACGTTCTGCGGCGGTCTTGGACGCCCCGTACGCCACCGGGGCGGAGAATTCGCGACGTGCTACAGCTTCACCTGACGTGTTCCAGTCACTCTCTGTGTAGTCGTAGTCTGGCGGGTTTTTCCACCGGTCCACAATTGCTGCCACACTAGATGTTAACACGAACGCCTCCAGTTGGGGCCCCGCGCAATTCTGCGCCGAGTTGAGGATCGACGTCACACCGCCAATGGCTGGCTCGAAGAAGGCATCGACAGTCTTCAGCGTAAAATCGACTGGAGAAGCAGTGTGGATGATGAGGTGAACACCTCGCACGGCCTCGTCAAAGGCCCCAGTCACGGTAATGTCTGGGACGACTGAGTGTTCATACTTGTGCTCAAAGCCCTTGAAGGCATCAGCGAGCAAATGAGCTCGTGCAGTCAAAGATCGGGAGGTGCCCCTGACGGTGTAGCCTTTGTTGAGGAACTGAAGACCAATATGACTGGCAATGTAGCCATTGATGCCAGTGATGAGGACAACCTTGGCACTGGTCTCTACCGGCAGAGGAGATGTTGGCCTGGACTTTGACTGTGACCGCGACCGTTCCAGGGCTAAATAGAGGTGACTGAGCCGCTTCCCCGTCTCCATACTTGTGGGATGAGTGGAGGAAGCTAGGAAGGAGGAAATCAAGTAGAAAAGGTGGGGGATTGGTGATGAATTTGAGTGACCTTCAACGGCACATTCAAACAAGTCCTTTTGCACCTGCAGACCTGGAGACCTGGAGACCGTAATCAAAACTCTCCTTTCTACAGGCTTTTATGCATTGTTGACCGGGGAATTCAGGAGTCGAGAGACTGTACGAGGTAAGCCCAAGGGATCTGGAGCGAGGAAGACTCCCCCCACCTTTGATATATATCCCGTGAGGAAGAGACTTGATGGTGAACTGACGGAGGCGGTGCTGTGAATAAGCAATGGTGGGCAGTGCAATGAACCAATCATATGTCATGATTCTGGGCCACATCAACTCCAGCCTCGTCCACTTTGTCATTTTCTCGGATAATCCAGGCAGTCAGCATGAAATCAACTCATATCACGCCTTTATACCATGCTAGGCCATATTCATCTGACCTGACACGTCTCATGGTCAAGCTCGTTATCACCAGGTCTGTTCAGTACCTTAATACTGTGGCGTTTTCAATGTTCTCATTGTCAATATACTATGTCTCGAGACAGGACCATGTCCGGGAATGACATTTCCTCCCTCAACAAACACAGTTGATCTCAAAAAAACACCGAAAAAGCCCTCGCTTCGTTGGCGCGTGAAAGAAAGTGGCGATTCCTTGGTCTTTCCTTATCTAAGATGCGACTAAACCCCGATGTTTCCGGTAACCTGTCGCCTCCGCTATCCAGCCACCTTTTTGCCTCACTGAGATCTGAGTAATTATATACACGTGACACTATGCTTGGTGATATAGTACATGCTCGCCTTGTGCAACCCAACGCCGATGTGGCTATGAGTGTCAACTTGGAATCCAAGCGGATATTCAGGGGCTAGACGGGGGCATTTCTATCATCTCCGCCTACTCGACCCTCTTGAAAGCGGGTGCTGGGTTTTCGGGGATGCCTCCAGACGGGCCAATATCCTCGGTCGGAGGAGGAGGTCTGTCCTTGGTTAGAATCTGCTTTCAACCTCAACGCATCTCAAAACTTACGGTGCACTCTTGCCCTCGTTGTTGTCAAAGTACTTGCTGAAATCTCCCTGGTCCTCAAACGGACGCTTGCCCAGAATCCGCACCAGGTCGTCTCGCACCAAGACCTCCTTCTTCAACAGCTCCTCTGCGATCGCTTGGAGTTCTGTCTTCTTCTCCAGTAGGAGATTTTTACACTGTTGATACGCTTCGTCGACGATGCGCCTCACCTCAGCATCGATATTTCGCGCCGTCTCCTCGGAGAAAGGTTTGTGCAGCCGTTGCTCGTCGTCCTTGTAGTGCAGATACCCAATCTTGTCGGACATGCCCCACTCGGTCACCATGGCTGTGGCCATGCGTGTCACCTTGTTGAAATCGTCGGACGCTCCGCTGGTGACCGTGTCGAACCAGATTTCCTCGCTGACACGCCCACCCAAGGTCATCGCCATCCGATCCATGAGTTGCTTGACATTCATCAGGTAGACGTCCCCACCACCGGCCGGGAGATACTGCGCGTATCCTAGTGCCCCTTGGCCGCGCGGGATGATCGAGACCTTGAGAAGAGGATCGGCATATTTGAAGAACCAGCCACAGATCGCATGCCCGGCCTCGTGATACGCCACGGTTTTCTTTTCCTCTGGTGTAAGCACCAGGGACTTCTTTTCCAAACCGCCAATCACCCGTTCGATGGCCTGTTCAAAGTGAATCATCTCCACGGACGTGGCGTTGGCACGTGCTGCGATGAGTGCGGCTTCGTTGACACAGTTGGCAATGTCCGCACCGGAAAAGCCAGGAGTCAACGCCGACAGTCGGCCTGTGAGATACTCCATATCCACATGCGTCACAATTCGATTCAGGTGAACCTGGAAGATCTGCTTTCGTCCGTCCATGGTGGGTCGGTCGATTCCGATATGCCGGTCGAACCGCCCTGGACGCATCAAGGCCTTGTCGAGAACATCGGGTCGATTGGTGCCAGCCAGAACAACGACTTGTTCTGACGTGTTGAACCCGTCCATCTCGGTCAAGATCTGGTTCAGAGTCGACTCACGCTCATCGTTTCCGCCACCAAAGTTGGACTTGGCACGGGACTTTCCAATAGCGTCGATTTCATCGATGAAAATGATGCAGGGAGCATTCTTGCGTGCATTTGCGAACAAGTCACGTACTCGCGACGGACCGACACCCACAAACATTTCTACAAATTCGGAGCCCGACACCGAGAAGAAGGGGACGCCAGATTCGCCAGCCGTTGCCTTTGCCAACAGTGTCTTACCAGTTCCAGGAGGGCCGGAAAGAATGGCGCCTCGTGGAATCTTGGCACCCAGACTCTGGTACTTGGACGGGTCTTTCAAGAAGGAAACAAACTCCATGATTTCGAGCTTGGCCTCATCCATGCCGGCAACGTCAGCAAACTTGGTCTTGATGTCGGTTTCATGGTTGAAGCGTTTGGCTCGTGACTTGCCGATGCCGAAGATGCCGCTCTGACCACCTGCTCCTGAGGCGGCTCTTCGGGACAGCCAGAACAGAGCACCCACAAACAGAAGCGTTGGTCCAAAGGAAAAGATGGCGGCACTCAGCGGCATCTCGTCCGAATAGGCCACGGGGATTCTCTCACTGCTCGGGATACCAAGCTCCTGGTGAGCTTCATCCAATCGCCTCTCGAATGCTTCGACGGATCCGATGGAGAAGTAGTAGTAAAAGTTGGGCCGCACAGCAGGAGACTCTGGATAGAGGTTGGCCACGGCCTCGCGATGCAACTCGACGCGGACTCGATTGCGGTTGATGACGGTAAGCTTCTCCACCAGACCTTTGTCGAAGAATGTGGTTCGGAACTCTTGCCAGGTAATGTCTCGCGAGGCCTCGCTAGGGAATAAACTTTGGTAAAAGTAGTATGCAAGAAAGGCGCTGATCAGAGTTGTACCGGCGTCGAGCTTGAGACTGAATTCCTTGGTTGTGCCTTCGGACTTTTTCTTCTTGTTGCCATGGTCTCGTTCTCGACTCCTGTTGGATTGGTCAAACAGCGGAGTTTCTTCCTCTTGATCTTCCGCCTCGGCCTTTTTGGGTCGCTGGGTATGTGCGGCCGCAGAATGTTTTTCTCGTAGTTCTTCTGGGGTCATGCGAGCCATCTTGGTGAGGACACCTACAAGGCGGACGGTGGTGGCGAGGTCTAAGCGTTTGCCTGGATTTTGCTCGCGCTCATCCAAGAAATCTCGTACCTCTTTGGGAATTCCACTCTTCTTGAACAACTCGATAGCTTCATCCACCTCACTCGCCTGCGACTTTGGCAACCCCATCTTGACCAGGCGTGCGAGTTCATTCAGAGAATCGATTTCTTTGGGGGTCAGAGGAGAGTTGGGGCTCGACGTGGCGCTAGAGTCCTCGGAACCCTTTGGCGGAGTCTCATTCTGGCCGGGCGACTGCTGCTCCGAAGAGGCATTGGGCTTGTCCTTTTTGTTTTTGGGTTCCTTTTTGGGAGGCTTGGGATCGCCGGAATTGACGGTGGCATACGATCTGGAGATAGGGAGGGACAGGCGGCTAGGGAGACGAGTTCGAGGGAACGAGGTGGCGCGGCGAGTGGCACAGAATGCACACTCAAAGGCAGCTTTAGAGGACCGCATCAACTGTGGTCTCAGGTAGCTGACCGCCATGGCTGGCGAGGACGGGAGTGAAAGAGAACCGCCAGACCGAAGCGACTTGCGTTGTCAGCTTGAGCAATTATGACTGTATACGTTGAGCAGAACAAAGGAAGAAGATGACAAGATGGAGATGATGGACGGTGGTGCGTTGACGCGGGCGGCATTTGCCTAGCGAGAGAGAGAAGCCTGCCGCACAGCACAAGGCTGACTAACCACATTGAGATTCTGCGGGCCACAAAAATCTACGATGTCATGAGGTGCTTGAATGAAATCAAATTCAGTGGTAATTCACTGTGTCTGACAAGACTCATTTCTCTTCGTCATGAGGTGAGTTGCGGTAAGGACATGATTTCCCAGTGTCTTCTGTGTCTCCATGCGTTGAATTCATCAGCACATTGTCAAAATCTCAGTCTGACACAGTCTACTTATGCCTGGACTCTAACCTAATGACTTCGATCTCCTTTTTGCGGAATCCAGCAAGCAATCTTTGGCAGGCTGCGGACATCCAACATCCATTCTCCAAAGCCCTGGCTGTTGACATGGTGCATTTTATGTTTGCATGCTTCAATTACACATCTTGGATTAGGCACACCTGCACCACTCCTTCTGTCGGGGTTCAGTAACAAACAGACCAGCCAAGCAGTACCATGCCTCCGTCGTGCTAGATACGTCCCCTCTGAGTTGATGATTCTAGCGATTCATAGCCGTCTTCGCCCGAACAAGTCATGACGCAGGTTCCAATCATCATCACTCTTAATCTTCACTCCGTCTTTGTTGGCTGGTCTGAACCTAGGATCTCGAGCAATGCGAACTGGTGTGTTGTAGAAGCCGCCCGCCTTCTCTTCAAAGTAGCTTGTACTGCCCACGCCCGATAGCAATAGTCGACTTCGTTCGATAGCATACTCTGGAGCTGCTTTATATTTGCACCAATATTCCTTTCCTGCGCCATTTCTGGCCTCCATCTGGTCGGAAACCCTGAGATTGGCAAAGATCTTTCCGACCGCTCGTATGGACGCCGCCTCCATCTCGGCCACCTCCTTGGTTTCGCCAACACGGAGATGTAGAAGGCGGTCACTGAGATGGTGCGCAGCAATTTGATCGACCGCAAGTCGGCCACTGGCTTGGCTCCACTCAGAGCTGTCGTCATCTCGGATGTTCTCAGTCAGGCGAGCGAGCCTGTCTTCCGCTTCAAGTGGGCGAGGGGCATCTATACCATCGACAGTGGCACATAATCTGAGAGCCTTTGCCATCTTCTGGCGTTGCAGTTCTGTCAGTGGATTGAGACAGCACCACTCATCTGATGCCACCTTGAAGTCTTGAAACACATTTGTTGCTGCTGTCGTCGTGTCCATAGGCATTTCCACAGTCGCGCCTAGATTCATCCCTGGCCAAGGCAGGCCTGGCGGAGGTTGGACTGTCGGCTGTGTCCCATTGGCAAAGTTGTCGAGGTCCAAGTCACCATCTTGTGACTCTTCAAAAGGCGTGACTAGGCCACCCGCGGCTCCGTTTTCATTCTTTTGGCGATGCAGCTCTGGATTGTGGAGAACAGTCTTGCCAGTCCTCGCCAGGGCTTGCTGTTTGGCCACAAACTTCTGCATTTGGAAGCTACGATCATAAGGCTCGTGGCTGTGGTGATCCATGTGTAGTTGATTGAGTGCTTGTCCCATGATTCCAGCCGCAGACTCGGCACTCTCCTGCTCATGGACAGTGGGTGTAACGGTTGAGTCGGTGCGAGATTCATGAGGTTTCGGGGCCGAGACTGTGGATGAACTACCGTTGGCCGCATCGGTGGCCGCATCTGCTCCTCTAGTCATGATCCATTCCGGATACATCTGCGGCAACTCAGTTCCCTGAAAAGGGCTGTGGAGACTCGAGGCGATGTTGGAGGGAAAGATGAACTGCGCGCGAGCCACTGGAAGCCGACTGGGACTGTAACGCGACCAATTCAGCGTATCGATCATTTCTGGGGTGTCAGCAAGGACGTCTTGGGATTGCATGTCCGCAGCAGAAGACTGTCCATAGATTCGGTTCAAAGTGGCCAACTTGTCTTCCTGTTTGGCAGGACTGATATCATCTGGTGTCATGTAATGAAAGACAGACAGATTGGGATGAGGGGTTGGCAGCGAGGATCGAGGCAGTGCTAGGTAAGGGAACCGCTGCACGTCAAAGCTTTGCAAGACTAAACCACCAGGAAAATGAGTCGAGTCTGTAGTGTGGTTTGGTGTGCTGTGCTCACTGGAGGCGACACTATGAGGATGACTGATGATGGAATGAGACTGGACGCGAAGTGGGGTTGGATTGAGAAGCGCAGCCGATCTGTCTTGGAGAGTGTTGAGAGCATCAGATACGGAAGGAACCGAAGTAGGGTAATTCAGAGTGTAAGGGTACACGTTGACCAATGATGAGGATTGATTCATTGCTGGGATTTCGTGATTTTCGGTGTTGAAAGCCATGTTCTCGAGCCTGTTGTCGGGAGGAGATGCTGTGTTGCTATGTTGTTGAGCATCATCTGGGCGATCCTTGTCAGAATCTGAGGTATCTTCGATGATGAGGGGGATGAACTGTTTGTTTCCTTTGTTTCGGTTGTGCTGCAGATTTCTAGCAAAGGCGCTCAGTGATATGGGGGTAGCCTTTGGTGGCAAGCTGAGTTCCTCGGCCTCTCGAGTAGCTTGTCTTGCTGTAGCTGCTTTGAAGGCGTTGTACTCTGCGGCTCGGGCACGTGCACCCAGCATGGTTAGATCTGTGATCTGAAAAGTGACGACGACTGCGCAATAAGGGGTGGCCCTCGAGGTGCGGCGGCACGGCTAGGTGGAGTCGGAGAGTCGGAGAGAGTGTTGAAGTCTTGTACGATGTCTCTGCTGGATCTCTCCAAGATTTCCAGGTCCTTCGAGACCTCTTAGGTGATAGAAATTGGTGGCGTCCTATTCAGGTCAGAACAACGGCGTACTCATAAGTGCCCAAGTCATACGGCCGCTAACCAAGTAGATCAGACACCAAAACAAGTCAGATAAAACGACATGGGCCAGTCCATATGGCGCTTTGTTTCGGAAAGAGCAAGGAGGGTGGAGATACGAGTGGGTTTATTATGAACAAGACTGGACGAGGAGAAGAGGAGAAGCAGCAGATCCAATTGGCCAGGTGGTGGAAATTTAGTGAAGGAGACTTGGTAGTGACGCGCTGGGGCGGATGGAGGATTGGAGAGTGCAGTGACACTGCAAACAAGAGATAGAGATCGAGAGACTGAGTGACTGGAAGGGTTTGAGAGTGGGAGGATGAGAGGGTGAGAGGATGAAAGGATGAAAAGATGAGAAGATGCAATGAGATGGAATGGAAGGAGCATATGTGCGCTGCTTCATATGGCAGGCACAAAATCTGGGAAGGAGCTCTGGAGCAGGAGGTCGCTCTTGCAGTCATTCATCCCATTGTAACTTCCCTCAGAAACAAAACAAAACACAGCAAAATGTATTTCCCGCAAAGTACGCGACGTACGCGACTCTTCACCATCATCAGACATCTTCACTCGACAGATACACACCTGCTGGCGTGTCTTGCAAGGCAGCACCAATATTCATTCTAGCCCTTTCGACTCCGATGTGTTTTGTCTTCACGATTAGGCATGGTGAGGTCCAAACGCGCGTCATCGACTTCTTATTCTGGAGCGGATTATGGACATGCAATGATGGGCTCCGGATTGTCCTTCCACTCCGACCGTGGAATATGGCTTTGACATACTCTCTCAAATTGAACATTTGAGTTGAGAAGGGGAATATAAATTGCTGATGTTGACGTGGTTCGCCGAGCCAAGCTGTGGGCCAATCATGTTAGAACAATCCCCTCAAGAATAAATTCATTCGGATGCTGTTGTCTCTCATCTTACGAACCCTTCAACCTTTAAGCGTCGTTCTAGTACTCTCAATTTCGAGTCAATCTAGTCAGACCTCGTACAACTGTTCCCCGACGATTTCTACTCACGCTGAGACCAATGCTCTCTACTTTACTTCCTGACATGTGCATGTTGAGGGCTGATCACCCCGCAACCCCCCAGACAACGGCTTGATGAAGATTGGAGATCCAACTTATCATGGTGCCGAAGTCGTACTCCCGGCAGAAGTTATCGACTCAATTAGCATCCATGTCATGCAATTTGATCAATATCAATCATCATTGGCGTCGTGCTGTTTGGTCAATAGATCGTGGTATGCCGGATTCATCGCTGGTCTCTACGCTTATCCCATCATAACTCAACGAAATTTCGAGTATTTTGCCAGAACTCTGTCCTCCCCTGTTACAAAGAAAACCAAAGTCGGCCTCGAGCATCTTGTCAAGCGACTGGACTTGAGCTCAATCGCTTATGAGAGTAGTAAGAGCCTAACTGCTCGACTCCTCGGAAGGGTGAAGAATTCCCTAGAATTTTTTGCATCTCCAGCCATTACCTTCTCGTGAGTCCCCTTTGTACCTCTACTCACCCTGTCTCTGATGCCAAGGACAGCTTGACATCTCTTGCTCCTCTGTCCAAATGCTATAACCTCCATCACTTGGACCTGTCTGCCGATGGCTACCAACTCGGACTTGGCAAGATACTCGCCACAGTCAGTCATCTCGAGCAGCTGTCGACACTGAAACTGCCAACAGATGCTTTTGCTGTTCAACCCGAGGTCGCATCTTTGATGTGGCCACCCAATCTGCGTTTCGTTCAGTTAACCGATCGACTGCCTAATTCTTCGAAAAACTGGGACGACGTCCTCCGCAGCCTTCCAAAGACTGTTACGACATTAAGGATTCACGGCTGTCTCAATTACGACTCTGTTGCGCGACTCAAGGAATGCGAACCGAGTGACAATCGTGTGTCTCGCCTTGAGATTGGAGTCTCACGGGACGAGGCTTACATGCCATTTGACGCCATTACCACCGCAGCTTTTCCCGCCTTGCGATACATTGCTGTGCCTGCGCCTTCCCTCATTCCTCCAGCGACGGCGATGCTTGTGGAACCAATCATTAAACATGATGGTATAGAAGTATTGGAATTGACGCCAATAAGGGATGTTGGTCCTCCCGTCAAATGGGAGTTTGACGACTTTAATACCATCATACACAGTTTTACTTCGCTATACAAGATAACAATTGCGGAGAAGAATGTAAGACTGGACGCCGGCCAACAGTTGCAGCTCACTGAGCTATTGGACAGTCGTTTACGTACAGATTCGGTGTCTCAGAGACGTGCAAGGCCAGGGTTTTTGATCTGGTCGGGGGCGCTTTAGTCGTTAGCTTTATGCATTGATCTAAGGTACGATAATACTTAGAAGTCACCCTTTGTCTACCCCTGAATTTGAATTGTCAATGTTTGTATAACAACATGGAGTGAAATGGTCAGAAATCAGTGGCATGGATGTGTCATCACGTGAAAGGCTGCAAGGCTGCAAGGCTGCGCTGCGGGTTTCTGGTCAGTTTTTTGTTTACGCATCTCCGCTTGACTCTCGTGTCTGAACATCAGTTCAAACTTGACCTCAAGTATTGCTGCCCTCGAATAAAACTAAAACTACCGTGACCTTTTGGCTTCACTCATATGTCGACCTGATCTGCTGTTACTTCTGGTCGCATGTTAGTGCACTCCTTTCTGCCACGCCTTCCTCACAACCTTCTCGTCTACGAATCGTATAGGTCATGGAAATTCATTCAGTGCTCCCAGAGGAGCGAGCAAGAGATGCGCAGGGTGACCCTCTACCATGGGGTTACCGCTATCCAGAGTAAGTGAGCCCAGGCTCCCGCAGCTGATGCTGCATTTCCCTCCCCTTGCGGCAAGACTGCCCTGGCTCTATCTAACATTATTTTGGAGTAGCTCCGCGAGGACCGCTAGACAGCCCGAAGAAAGCGGTCCATTTGGACGGAATCGCAGTCTGAGATTAACCGGGTCACGTACACCTCGAGCCCGAACAGGGACGACGCCGGTGCGACAGAAGGAAAACTCTGTAGTATCTGACTTTGGACGTTTGTACGCGAAAGAGCAGGAGAAAGAGGCCGAGAGAACAAAATCGATCCTGAACACACCCTCAGCCACCTCTGGCGATGCAACACGAACCCTGGAGCTAGAAGCCATCCCCACCGAGTGCATCCTGTATGGATATGCAGGCAAATCTTCCGAATGGAAAGTCCTCAGCAAGTTCGAAAAGATCGTCAGTCCTAGTATCATTTGTGAAGAATACTCTCGCGACGACCCCAATCTCCTAATCAGCGGATCGCCACTTGCATTCTCCAGAATGCCAGCTGCCGCTCGTCTGAACCTCAGCAGGGAAGCGTTGAGGAAGAGCAGGGTGTACGTGGGCGGACAGCACTGGATCAAGGTTACTTTCGACACTTATCAGGCGGCCGAACGTGCAATCCACTACAGTCCAGTTGAGATCGATGGCTATCTCGTGCACTGCGAAATGTTCACAGGCAAAGGGCCCAGTGCAGATGTCGCAATTCCAAAAGGCTTTGACATTCTCGATAGTCAGCAACTTAGCCCAGCACTGTCTGGCCCTGGACAACGATCACAGACATTGAGCACAACCCGGACGGATAGTCGAAAGGGAGGAAAGGACTCGGCGGTCGCAGGTTTCGAACGGGCATTTCAGAATCAAACCCTGCCGAGATCGCACACCATGCCCGATGCGCAGTACAGCCAGCCAACTGGCCTAGACAACCACTCCTTCTCCTCCACGACCGCCTCATCCGCCACAGCAACCGCCCTTTCCCCACCACCGACCTCTCCCACCGCCGCCTCAGGACTCCGCTCGCGATCGCAGCCAAACCTTCCCAGCCAAGAATCAGCCCTTTCCCCAAACTCGGAGTTCATGACGCATATCAAGGTGAAGAAGGCCATCTTACGGCCGGCCTCCGAAGCTCTCCCTCCTCAACCCACACTTGCAGAACGAGTCCTCAGGAGTATCCCCATTGTGGCGTGGTTTGTCAGTGGTCAGAAAGATGGAGTCGATCAGGGAATCATCGGCGAGGGACCTCTGTTGAAGGACGATGGAACTTGGGACGCCAACAATGGCTGGTACTGGACTTTGTGGCACACCGTGGATCAGTGGCTGGGCACAGATTTCTGTGGCTTGAAGGAGGACTGATCAAGGATTGAATACAGTGTGCACACGATGCCTGAGAGAGTTTGCGTGCTCACGTTCTCCTTCATATGACTTGATGCATAGGTTTTTGAGCCCCTAACGGGGCAGGCCTTGACGATCATCTGTATATTAGCGCTGCGGGTAGCATCGCGTGTTCTTGTCAGCACCGGTAGGGGCATTGGGATTGGAACTGGCATTGGAGCAGACATGCAATGCAGTAGCACAGTTGCATAACATAGAGGAGGTGGTTGTCCTGGCAGAGAAGCACCGCGAGCTCTGAGACGATCATAGCAAGGCAAATCACGACACCATTACGTGGTTGGTGTGTATTTGCATGTTGGATCTATTGTCACATTTCAAATGGGATAATGACTGGCCTGCGACTAGTGACAATGACGAGCTTTTCCTGCTTTTTACCTCCGATTTGACCCATTTAACAGGTGGGTGGCTGATTGATGTGCGTTCTGATTGTGGTACCAGTATGTTGGTGTTGCATCTCCCTACGCGCTCAACTGATGGTCCGCTAGAACTCGAGGAATTCTGTATGGCTCGGGACGAGAGATGCCAAACCCAAAGTTGGGCCACTTAGACGGCCGGCAAAAGAAAGAGCCGCCCAGCAAGCGAGTCTGTACACAGTGCGACGAATTACGCCTATGCAGAGACTCCCTTTCCCCCTATTCCACCATCTCACACAAGACCCTCACTAGAGTAGAGCGCGTAACGACGACTCTACTCAACCTTGCCCTCGAAGTTCTCCCCCTCTACCAAATCGGGAATTTCGTCATCGTCGTCATCGCCTTCCTTCTTGTCGCCACCTTCCTTCTTCTGCAAGTTTTGGTACGACTCGGCGAGACGACGTAGAGAAGCAAGCGAATCGGGACCGAGCTGGTTGAGAATGCCGGGGACAAGTTCCGTCAGCTCCTTGTCTTCGCCGTTTCCATAGATAGCAAATGTGTTGGAGGGCACGGCGGCGTGGACTGTAGAGATGATGAGAGAAAGGGTTAGTTTTCAGAGTCCCGAGCTTTTTTCAAAGCGAAGTGGAAAGCAAGATGGGTAGCGGGGTGGTGTCTTGCAGGACCGGGGCCAACCACGTACCCTTGGGGTTAGAGAAATGAATCACATTGCCGTCCTCCTTGAACATGTTGACCTCCTCGATGGCTTGGATGGGCTGGACATTGAGCTTCTTGAGCGAAGCCTGAAGTTTCTTGTCGTCGGTGCCGGAGGATTTATGAACCTTCTTGGTTTTTCTTCTTGGTGTACCCTTGCCTCTGCCTCGTTGTTAGCTGACTGCGCTGCTGTCATAAAGTTCTCAAAGGACTCGGTGGCGATGGGTCGGGATAGTCGGACTAGACCGATATAGTGAGGGAAAGAAACATACCCTGTGTGAGATTGTTAGTAGGTTGTCAGATTTGTTGCATGGCTCCCTGAGCTGGATTGTGGCTTGGGGAGGCCAATGATCTTTGATTCAGACTTACCGATTCGCACTTGCGCTTGTAAGCGCTTGAGCTTTTCCTGATCCATGGTGATGAGATGTGTGATTGTCGATGGTGACCGCAAGGTAGAGGAGGAGCAGTCTCAAGTTGGTCGATTTGTGCGATGGTCAAGAATGGCAGGTGTGGCGAGCTTGCAGTTGATTCCTACCTCGGATTCAGACCAACCGCTAGCTGAAGGTCCTAGGTTTTGACTATGTTGGAGGTAGACTATGAAATTAATTACTTTATGATTCCCTGTCAGCAGCTATGGCTGCATTGAATGTGTCCCCTGTGGTAAGGAATATATAAAATCTTGGCAGTGGACTGGTGTTGAGGGTTGTGGGTTGGGCGGTGGTTGTGACTTGTCACAGACAATTCGTGCCTGGCACAAGACGCAATATCAAGCTAAACCGGAAATGGACATGCCTCGGCGGGGCAACTCGGCTTACCTTTGAATCAATCACGGACATCAAATCCTCTAATTACTAGGTATGTAACCAACAGTTGGAGAAGACGATCTAACGATCTTCTGTTCCTGACACTTGCCCGCATCTTGTTTCCCAAACGAGGTCCACGGCGGTCTGCCATATGTATAGGCTGTCCACACGTTCTTTATTCATCTGGACTGTCCTCACATTCACTCTCAGCGTACTTCTTGCCTGGCGGTATCTGAACACAAGCACGATGGCACCAAATAAGGCTGCTTTGATCGTCCCCGCATTGAAGAAACAGACTGCCACAGTGATCATGGCGCATGGTCTGGGCGACAGGTTGGTCCGCAATGTTCCTGGACGTACGGGCACGAAAGCTAACTCATTTCTCATCAGTGGCGCAGGTTGGTAAGAAAATCCGAAAAGCCAGGCCGATAATATCCTTCCTTATACCTAATACTCGGCCTTGTCATCCAGGGTGTCGCTTGCAGAGACCTGGCGAAGAAGGGGGAAATTCGACGACGTCAAATTCATCTTCCCGAACGCTCCCAACATTCCAATTACTGTCAACATGGGGATGCACATGCCGGGGTGGTATGATATCGTAAGACGCCGTGACGATGTTTGTCCAGATCACATCCCTGCGAGAGACACATGCTGAATGCTCCACCCTCATACACAACTTGCTTTCCTTCCTCCAGTCACACATCTTTCAGTCATGGTTCCCTCAAGCTTGTTTTGGGTTGAGACTGACGTCGACTCATCTGCTGTATAATAGACCAACTTCAGTGACCTGAACCAAGCGCACGACGAAACAGGCATCTTGCGTAGCCGCGCCACTTTGACGAAGCTCATCACGGATGAAGTAAAAGAAGGCATTCCATCGGAACGTATCATTATCGGCGGATTCTCACAGGGAGGCGCTATATCGTTGTTTACAGGCCTCACAACGCCTCATAAACTCGCAGGAGTATTTGGGTTGAGTTGCTACTTGGTACTGGGAAACAAGATAAAGGAATTTGCCCAAGAGAGCAAGGATGCCAATAAAGACACTCCATTCTTCATGGCGCATGGCGACGCAGATGAGGTGGTAAAGTATAGTTGGGGTCAACAGTCAGCACAAGTGTTGAACAAGGATCTGGGACATAACGTGGAGTTCAAGACATATCGGTAGGTCTCATCTTGTGGCATCGATCGACTTTTTCTGTCATTAACATGTCATATAGGGGTCTAACACACTCGGCCGATATGAAGGAGATTGATGACTTGGAGCAATTCATCAAGTCCTGCTTGACACGTGCAGAATCGCTATGACGTTGCTCTGAGCGTGGGAGGGCTGAGACTAGCTGCACCTCTGTTCCTGACCATACCCACGGCCTCTGAGACCCTTCTTGGTTCTTCCCATAACGACAAATTAGAAGAAAATTCAAGGCTGATGAAATGATGCATAGCGGGCATGAAGATGCAAGCGTAAGATAGGAGTGTACTCGGGTGATAGTATTGGGATTTGAAGAACTACATGTGAATCCTATCTTGAACGCTGAACGATTCGACTTGTAAAAGCTCATTGATGGTGTCAAGCCTAGGCAGCTCCTTGAGCACGTTGGCCGGTGTAGAAGGCGAGGCCATAGCTGTTGGTGGTGAAGGTGATGACACTGCCCTTGGGGAAGTAGAAGACATCGCCCGCAACGGCCTGGGTAAAGGGAAACGGGTCAGTGGAATGGACATGTATTGCATCATGGATGTGGCAATAGCATGTCGGTGTCACATGTTGCTTTTGGGCAGCTGTTCGGACTTACATGGACAGTCTGGCCAGTCTCGTCGGTGATGTCGAATTCACCTTCAAGAATGATCTTGGTCTCGTGGTAGGTGTAAGTGTAAACCAGAGGAGTGCCTTTTTCTAATCTGTAGATTCCAGCGCTCATGGGCTTTTCACTGTCGTCGGTGGTGAAGACGTCGCCGAGGAAAGCATTCTCATTGGCAATCAAGGGAGGTTTGAACTCGGACTGAGTCTTTGGGAAGAATTTGAAAGCTGGGGTAGACATGTCTGTGGCGAGGAGAGGTATCAAGGATCTTAAAAGGCTGAGGTATAACAGGGCTTGGGGGAAGAGCTCTGGTCCTTGTGAATACGGAGGCTGGAGAAGTTCAAGAGGAGAGAAGAAGAGAGGGAGAGGTGGACGAGAGCTGCACAAGGGCTGGTATTTATTCAACATTTGCATCGGGCTGACATTTCATTCTACGTGCAGATTAAAAGCTGAGCCAACCACAGAGTACGAGGGTCCTGAGGACGCGACGTTATCGCGTCTCAAAGAGGGGCATGAAGAGACCCAGGGCGTAAGCAGCGAACCAAAATGGCCGGTTCTATATCCAAAGCTGTGGAATATTCTCAACGTGGATCGCGAATGTGCCTATAACATTTGTTCGGGTACGCCAGAGTTCTCGAGATAGGGAAGATATGTCCCTAGAGGGAATGGACTGCGACTTGTTCCTTGTGCCCTACAAATGAGAGACTCGAGAGGGGTGGGAGATGTTGACGAATTGGAATGGCACCGCGAGCCTCACAGATTTGAGGAGAAGATGGCGGAGGTACTGAGGTTTGCTTTATCGATAAGAGATAAGGACTCAACTGGCCGAGGGCGTCACAATCACCCAATAGTCACTCATATTAGCAGTCACTTATGTGCCACTGCGTACCTGTGCTTACCTGAGGTGCTGAGGTACTGAAGTAGCACAACTGGTCTGAATACTCGCATGTAGTCAGCTGACTATGTTCTTGGTATGTTTGACATGTTTGGTTATTCTGTTTGTCGAATGATCTGACATGTTGAACAATTTCTTCCATTCGCATTGCATTATCTGCATGGGATGTACAGATGTGTTCGCGTTTACTTCCACGTGATGAATAAGCTGTCGCTGATGAGACTGGATCTCACGTCTGAATCTTACACGCATCGAATCTGGCTGCTTTCTGGTAGCAAGAGAGCAGACATGAGATTAAATAGGATGAGTGTTCCAACAGCTAACAAGTTGCTTTTTTGGTCAGTAATGAATACTAAATTTGGCAAGACAAGATTGTCCATGTCTCTTCGAACGGCATCTGGGATCCTCGACACAAAACTGCCATGTCTCTTGTCGTTCTCCATCTGTCCATCTGTCCAGCCCGTATGGGGAACGACATGAATCTGCAACGTGATATCATTCTTCTGAGGTGGAAAAGAACATGGGTCTTGGCATATATCTAACTCGATTTGGGCACTGTTTCCCTCGACAGTCAGAACTCGAGTTCCCTCGCCCTGGAAAAGTTTGATTCGAGCAAGTTGCCCACGGGCCAAGGGCAGAGCAACGTGAGCAGTCAGAGGCACCCCGGCCGCCCTAGGTCGTCTGGGCTTGTAAGACATGCCACTTGCAAGGTTCCAGGCGCGCACTTGGTGAGGACTCGACTGCCTAGTTGGCTCGTTGAAAGTTCTTGCTACTGGACAGTTTTTGTCGAGGGCGCCAGGTGGCCAAGCAGCAGAGGATTGGTTCATCCCCTCTAGGACTTCGGCTCTGTATGATGAGGAAATCTGTCGGGAACTACCTGCATTTAAATGCAAACAATTCCTTTGTGACTGCAATTGGACTATGAAGACCCCACACTTAGCTATCTCGTTGTACTCCAGACTACAGTCCTCATCTACGTGCGAATCACGTCATCTCAACCCTTGCAGACAAGATCTTCCTAACTGCGATAGAGTAAGTATGTATGTCCAGGTAACGGTCCAGTCCATCAAACCAACTTGCCGGGGGACTTCACTATCCACAATAGTATTCGAATATAGCATGATACCACTGGGATCTTTGTCTGGAATGGTCTTGGCTTGTCAACCCAAATCCAGAGTTTCGGGCTACTTTAGGTGGGCATCGGAAATCTTGGTACTAAGTATCTACCTACGTTACCTCGTGTTGCAAGATGTGGTAGACTGCCAGATCTATCATAGAGATCTCCTCAATTGTCGTGATGAGAGATGTACTCATGTAGGAGGTACCATGAATGTACTGTACTGCTTACGAGTGGCCTAGGGAGGTAGGTATCAGAATTCCAATATTATTCTACTACTGAGTGGCACGGGAGGTTTGTGCGGCGCCGTCTGTCTCCCTGGCGGGCGCTCCAGAGGACGACTACCACCGCCCCCATAGTAATAACAAGGTACCTTAGGTAGGCCTCTCCGGCTGTGTAGGTACCTACCGTACCTAACGCATGCTAGGCTGCCCCCCTGGCGTCTGACTCTCTGGCCGAGGGCCCCTGGTCACCCCCTTACCTCCGTAGGCTCCTAAAATGGCCCCGGATCGAGGCACCTTGGGCGGGCCCCCTGTAGTTTTGATCATTTTTTCCCGTGATTGTATGCCTGCAAGGCAGGGCAATGCGTCAACTACCTAACTTACGCCATCCATCCGCATTTCTCTCTCCATTATTGCCCGCTTGGAGGCTTCGATCTCGCATCCCCATTACTACTTTGAGAGTCTGTCCCCGTCTCCGTCTCCAGCTTCTCAATCCGCCCTTGGACTTCGGATGAAATTCTCATCACTACCGAGTACCTACACTTTGCAACCTTTTCAAACTGTAATTCTATCCATACATTATTCATCTCATAATGAAAACCTGCCACAGCCCTCGAATCCACCATCACCTCGTACGGACCCACTGAGATCTCCTCGTAGTTCCTTCTGTGGCATGACCTCCGCCGTCATGCCATAATATCCTCACCCGATATAACTACAACAACGGCCTCCATCACGACACACACTACTCCACTTCGCCTCTCTTCTCACTCCATCGCCTCTCGGACCTTTGACCTTTTCCTACGACCAAAATTTCCCAGGACGGCATCCTCATCACTCGTCCGCATCTCATTTCCAACAACGGTTGTTCATTCGACTTTGTTGGCCGTCCACCCTGTCCAACCTTGGGCTACCACTTCTTACCAGGCTCAAAGTTGCCACGCCACACCTTGGGATTTCTGGACCCTGGTAACCGCTTTTCCCACCACCACCACCTCCACTATCCTCAGCATTTGCAGCATCAAATCTGAACGAAACGTACTGCCTGCTTCAGTCCGCTTGACATTATCCACACTCTTTTGAGCCTTGTATCCCATACTTTGCTCCACAAGACCAATCTCTTCGCAGCCGGACACTTTCACCCCCGATCGAGAAAAAATATTGTCTGGGCAGGCTCTTTCATTCTTTTTTCAACTTGTTCCCTTTTCTGCCCTGAAGGCATTCTGTTACGGCGTCAGTCACCATTAGGAGCTTTCCTTGTTTTTCCTGTCTCAAGACCGAGACCACCACGACCCAATTTCCTATTGTCGACCAAGCCCCCTCCGCCAACCTAGACTCAAGGTCTCGTCTTTCTCTATCTTTTCAAAGTGTCCCCCTAGCCGAACATTTATAATCACCCTTGACCTGTTCAGCCTCATCCTCATCCTCCATTTTCATCATTGGTATATTTAACTTTGACATTTGCAAATACAATACTGTACTGCATCTACTTCTCTGACTCAACCTTGGTCTGAAGAAAGTCGCGGCAACCTTGTTGTGCTCACTACTCCTGCTGCTCTCAGTAGTACTCCTTCCAGACTGGATTGGTGGAACGAGAAAAGGTATCTGTATATCCACCGCCAGACCAGCGCGACCTCAGCAGCGAGTGATTAATCTCTGATTCGTATCTCCCGACCAAAGCAACTTTTCACGAGCCAAACGCGAAACCGATACCGGAGAGGACCGAAGCGACAGATTTCGAATCTACTCTTGACCAAGGACAAGGACCCAAACAGGCCTCCGTCGGATCTCATTACGTATCCAAGCATACCTAAAGCGCTCAATCTCGTCCTAGAGTCGTCTCTCATCAACCTCGCCAGGTCCACCTTCGCCAATCAACCTCGCGTTCGTTACCAGCTTTTGATCTCTCCTACTGGGCGTCTAAATGACCAAACGCCTTGCTTCGTGCAACATATCAATCCCAAGACCTGGACCAGAGTACTAAGCAACGCTATAGACCTCATCTCTATTGAGCTTTTCTCGGATGCCCCTGCAACACCTTAAAGCCCTCGCACCCTGCTCCGAATCTCTCTACTCCGACGTACCGGATTGGGCAAGATGACGTCCACCGACCCATCCTCCGCCAACAAACGAAGCAAACCCATGAGCGCTACCAATATGGACCTAAAACCCGCACCCATGTCTAAGATCACTCAGAGTACCGAGCTGGATGATTATACTCAGAGCATGCGTGCTTACCTCGCCAGTGTTGAAACAACTCATCGCACATTGGATCATCACCGTGGGAGGCCCACTACCAACCGCCCCAGCAGAGATGTCAGAGACAAGTCGCCCGAATTCAGATGGATGGACCTCGCCTCTCTCCGGAGAGAATACTCGAATTCTAGCCCGGCATCCTCAGCCGGGGTCTCGAAATTAAAATCCTCTTCCGTCTCGTTGGTGGGCAGCAAAGTCAATGATCATCGGAATGACGTCCCACGTCACCTCGGAAAAGATCATCGTTATCCTGTGCAGTTGCATCCGGCCAGTAATTGCTCCAAACCAACTTCTGCCCCGTCAATAACGAAGCACAAATCTAGCGGTTCAGCCCAGAAAGACTGACGCGGTACTTTTGGTTAGCTTTCAAGATCTTCCGACTATAACAAGAAAAAAGATACGCAAACTAGCCATCAACGCACAATCTAGCCCAATGAAGCCATTTGACGCCACATGAAGAACCCATCTCTGGGTCAAGAGCTCGGCCACAGAAACAACTAGTTGAGCCCAGGTGCAACTAGGATGTCGAACCTTGGTGTGTGTTTTGGCGAGGCTTCTCCACATTCACGGGCACAAAGCAAGCACAATGGAACCGAGAAATACAAGAGCCTTCAAGTGTCAACGTACCTTCCCATTTCCATTCGGCCATAACACCTAGCCAGTGTAGTCCTCCACGGACGGTATACTCGGTTTCGAGTTGGTCATTCAAAATGTCAACATTGTCGCGTCGCCCGAAACCTGGTGATGGCAAGGACATGGGTACGCCAATTCCGGGGTACATGCTGAGAGGCGCTACATCGGCACCGATTTTCATCGAATCCGCGGTCATACGGCGCTTCAATAATGATCCTGTGGCCAGGTCCACTTCCTCGTCTGAGACCTGGGCATCATCTCGTTGCCGACCTGGGGCCCTGAAGAAGAAATCTCCCAGATCGAGCGGCGCATCATTACTTGGAGCCTTCCTCTTCAAGTTCGGTGGAATTTTTAGCCCAAGGGTCTTGAATTGATCACTGGGATTTCGACGAGGGCCAGATCGCTTCAAGCGACGTTCCGCCATCCTCAATTCATGATCATCTCTTCTTTTCCAAACCTCCTGGACCACTATCCAGCAAGCACTGACGTTTCCGATTTTGAGCCGACTCATCATTGCTTCCCACCTTCTGGTCACCCAGAGACGATCTTCATCACCAACGACCTCGCAGCTTGCTGCGAACAAGGGGAATATCTGAATGATGGTCGTGCGCGAGCTGAGCGGGACACTGGCAAGGGTGACAAGGACCTTCTTTGCGAGTTTCTGAGCGGGATCGGAGGGAATTTCCGGAACTGCCTGGTGGAGGTAGAGAAGCGTTGCATACCGATAGGCCTCGGCGGTTTGGATGGCGTGCTGCACTTCTGAGTTGGGGTCTTCGGGTCTTTCGAATGACATGGCGTTGGGGGCCTTCCAGCGTTGAAGCTGTTCTTTCAACTCCATTGCTTGGCTCACGATATTGAGGCTGTTGGACTCGGTTTTGCGAACACGCTGGATTAGATTTGCAGCTCGGCCAATCAAGGGGAACAAAGTGGTGGCACAGCCCATTAAAGGGTCGACTTCGACCTGGTCTCCTGTGGGTGTGTTGACAGTGTTGAGAACTTGCTCGAAATTCAAGTCTGCACTTTCTTCCAAGCTCGTCAGCCGAGCGATGACGTCCATGTAGACAAATGTATTGCACAGAAATTTGAGGCGGGCTGCGTCCTGGGCACTCATTCTACCCTGCTGCATGTCTCTCTTGTGCTTGACGACGGCATTGTTAACCATGATTTTGGCACCGCGGAGGTGCTGAACGCCTGTGGAAACGTGACTGTCCCAGCCTTCTGAGAAAGCAAGGGCAAGCGAAGTTGCCAAGGCGGAATCCAGACGCATGTTTTCTATTTCAAAGGCTAGCTTCTTGATCGATTTGGTCATGTGAGCCATGCCGGGGACATGGAGATATGGCACTTCGTGTGCGCCGTGGAAGGCTGTCATGGATGAGATGGCGTGGTACAGAGCCGGAGACTCGCTTGCCAAGGGCCAGATCAATGTGCGCCATGGATTTTCGGTCGGGCCATCCTTGACGGAGAGAATACCACAGGTGTCCTTGTCGAAACGGAGCATGAGCATTTCGGGACTTGATACGTCGAGCTTGGGCTGTGCCAGGATAGTGACATTGCTCGTCCTGGATGAAGTGGTCGAGGCATCACTGAGGGTTGGGCTCGAAGCGCGGAAGTGCCACCTCGAATTTGAGGGATCAGCTCCGCCACCAACTAGATTGAGGTCAAGGGGCCCAGGCAGACCTGATATCAGATCTGATCGAGCGATCTCCTCGTCAAAATCTTCATCCATCTGGAAATCCCTCATGGCATCGTCGAATGTCTGTGGTTGGTATGGCAAAGGTGATAAGGGAGGGCGAAGCTCCGAAGGGTCCGGAGGTTGATTCATGTCTGTCCCGGGGAGGAGCAGGTCGATGAGCTGAGGAGACCCGGAACTGTAGGAGCGTGTGTCTGGGCGAGTGGTGGTGGGAAGCAGTGGATATGTATCAAGAGATGGATCGAAAGAGAAGTTTGGAGAGAGGCCGCCCGGATCGAATCCAGGAATGAAGTTGTCATCGGGGCTGAGGTTGATAGGAGGGGTCGTTCCGGAGAAGAGGGACTCTCCTGGCTCCTGTGGACTGGTCGAGGAAGGGAGTCGCCGGTTGGCTAGGCGGGAATCCTGGGGCATGGATGGCGGCGACGGAGGGACAGGATAAAGTCTTGGTGACCGAGAATGCGGAGGTCGAGGTAGTTCATGATCTTTGTGAAAGGTGGATTCATGATGGTTTGAGCCAGCAAAGTCAAGTGGGCGGGGAGCTTGATGTAGAGTGGCATAAGCACTGGGTGGAGAGGGCTTCTTTTTGGTGGGAGGCTTCGGATTAAAGACGGTCTCTTCGAAAGGCCTCCATTTGAAGTCTTTGTTGTAGCCTTCGCAAGTCACATTTCTCTTCCTACATTGGTCACAAGCGGGTTTCTTCTCGTCGCATTTTAGACGCTTCTTTTTGCATGTGGCGCAACCTATAGTCAGATGGTCAGCCGTGAACAGTGCGGGAGGTGTTGGCGTGTCTCGTGAGATGGGAAGATGGCAGGGAAGATTAGTGGATATGTGTTTAAGCAACACTGAGGCGAGGAGACATACCGTTTCGACTCTTGCTCTGCTTTGGCTTTGTGACGGCGCCGGGCTGGACCTTGGCTTGGGACTTTTTGGGGGCATTTGATGGTTTGGGTTTTGGGATCGCAGGTCGTTTTGCTGGGCTTTTGGGGGCGGGGGTGGAAGATTTTAGGAAGACAGAAGGGGAAGGAAACTGGACCTCCATGCGATCTCAAGGGAGGAAACAGACATGGATCAATTGAGAGATATACTATCACAGAAGTTAAAGAGGAGTGGGAGGAGTTTCTGCTGGTGGTTGGATTTGCGGTGTGGCGGGGAATGGAGGATGAATAGTAGAACCCAGAATTTTCTGGTACAGTGTCGGGTGTCGGGTGTCGGGTGTTGAGGATAAGGGGGATGAAAATATTGTTTAATGTATATGAAGCAAAGAGTCTTGGTAAATTTTAAGCAGGGTGATAGATATAGAGCCAGTATTGTGTAGATGTAAGACAAAGGTGGTGAGGCCTCGAAGGTGGACAAGGAACCAGCGTGCGGGCGAAGTAGGTGTTGGTGAATAAGCAGCAAATGAAGGCGACGGGCCTGATGGGACTTTGACGAGGCCAAGTGAGGAGGAGGAGGAGGAGGAGGAGGAGGATGAGGTGTTGACGATGTCCTGATCGAGGCAATATAGACGATTGGAACCAGTCTGAATGGCTGATTGCGAGGGTGGAAAGTAGAGAAACAGTAACCAAACGGGCAAGATTCAACTGCGCCCAGAATGAAATGAATAGGAATGGGAGGAAGACGGATAGGTGAGTGTGGAAAATGGAGAGTCAATTCATGGATTAGGAAGTTCCAGATTGGCTCAAAGTAGAGAAATGCGAGTGAAATGTTTCGGGGAATCAACTCAGGATGAGACCCTGTGACTAGAGAATGCAAGACACTCCCACGGTAAGTACTGGGCAGGGAGTAAGTAGTGAGTAGTAGTAGTATAGCCAGAGAGGATTGGTTGCTAAAGGTGGTCAACGTCCAAAGCAAGCACTCTGCACTCTGGCACTGCAACTGCAAGTTACAGTAAAACAGAGTACTACTCCGAACTCACTGTATCCGTACTGCAAGTTAGTGAAAGAAAACCATCGTGTCTGCAGGCAGGCGGCCGTGGCGGCGTGGGTGGCGGCGACTGAGGCAAGAGACCGACACGGAGGAGCGAGCCATGCAATCGTAACGCGAAGACCCTCACAAACTTTAGGCGCATCAATGCCAAACCGACACTTCATTCGCCCACATCTCGTTCGTTATCTTTCCGGGCTAAGGAACATGGATCCAGTAATCCCCTCCTCCCAGAGACTAGCGACTGGCACTTATCTACGGAGCCAGACGGCCAGAGCACCATCATCTTCAGTATCCGCAAACATACTTGTGCATATACATGTACGGGAGATAAACGAGTAGATCGCCAGCCTGTGCGCCTTGAACATAGGGAGTACAGTAGATGCGTAACAGCGAGAGTCGGGTGGTTTCAAGATACCACGGTCAAGTCCAGGATGGAGCCATGTGCGGAAATACATTGGCAGCTCCATCCTTGCTAAGTCAGCACCAAGATCTGGGGTAAACCAACCAATCTTTTGCCTACTAGTACCTCTCGAAGTACCTTAGAGTTATAGTAAATACTGCGGTTTACTCCGGAGAGGCCAGATGACCGAAGGACTCCCGAGGACCTGCTGACGACAGTGATGACCTACCTCTGGACAGGGTCTACCGTCTGCTGGCTCAATCTTGCAGTCCTTTTCTTTATCTGGAGACTTCTTTCGACCTACGAGTAGGTATGTTGTCGAGGTTCTAGGCAACTCGAACGCCCCTCGGCCCTCCCACTACCACTATCCTAGGTGCATCTTCGCCTGTTTGGTACCTAACTGAACCCCCCCACCCCCCCAGCCCAACAAAGAATTCTGCCCCTCCACACCTGGTCAGAAGGTTTGGCTGTTGGCCCCTCGGGCTCCCACTTGAGGTCTTCCGGAACGGGTACAAGACTTCTCCTGACGTGTCACTTCCCCACCTTTGTTATCAGCCATCAACCCAGACTCTCAATTTTAATCTTCAGGGAGACTTGCAAAGTTGCAACTCTGTGCCCGAGTCTTCTAGGGGAACCGACTCTAGAGGTCATGTTCCTTACAGCTTGTTTGCATTCAATGCCGCTCGCTACTCTTGTACAGTCTAGGTTACTCAAAGCCTGTCAGGGTTGCATTACACTAGATGCTGTGCCACTCTGGGGTTCTTGTCCACTCCCTCCCTGAAGACGACAGAGCCAGAGAGCACACACACAGGCCTTGATGCCATCCACGAGAATCCTCCCCGCACTTTATCCTCTTCTACTTACGGAGTACAAGGCGGGCGTTCATAGTCGGATCTCGATTAACTACTCCGTACAGTGCCATCTACAATACATACAGATACAGTCGACGCCCTGAGCACTCACTCTCTGTCCATCCGTGGTGCACCGTGCCTCCCACAACCCACCTTCCACCTTCCACCAACCGCCAACAAACCAGACTTCCAAGCCCAGATCTCAATTTCAAAGTTGCATTCCGAATCTCAATCTCGACCACCACTGTGACCGTACTTCCCGCTCTTCGACGCTATCACTGTTTCCCATTGCTCCGCTCCAGCTGTCATGTCTGTGCTCTGTACCTGCCTACTACTCATCCATTTCTGACCCTCGAGTTGTCCTACCTAACATCACCTCATGTCACAATCCTCGCCGGCACATTGCACCATGAACGCGTAGACAACTTGGGCCGGGATGGTGTCTATCCCTTTCCCTTGTCCCTCTCCGGTTTCACAGGTGAGATACATCTCACCAAGCTCAAATCAATTCCAAATTTCCTCCCAGATTGTATCACCCTCGACAAACATGTCATTTGCCTAGCCTAGAACCACGCTTCCTTTCACGCCCTGCCCAGTAGTCCTATCATGCCATTTCGAGAGACATACCATGTAGGTATGATACTCTGTTTACGCTGACTACACTATACTTTCAGGGCGCGTGGAACTCGGTCAAACGAATCGCTGCATCGACCTCCAGGCCGCATTGACCAGTCTGACCAGCTACATGTCTTCAAGTTCACCAGAACAACGCCCAGGGCACGCTCCAAGGAAGGATTTCTAGCATGTTGAATCGTCCCATCTCATATCGACTTCCTAAAGGTCACATTGTCATGCTCGTCTTCCATCGCTCTCACCCTGTGATTCTCCTCACTCGTCTATATTGACATCTCCCAATTCCACCTTTCCAACACTCCACACCTCCCTCTCATCTTCCTGCTCGTCCGAGCTCAATCCAAGTCCGCCCTGACCGCCCTCAGCCTCCCTCCTCTCCCGCGCCTGAGCACCCAGTCTCAATGCCACCCGCTTGAAATAATCGCTCATCGGCCGTGCTTGGCCCATCCCCAATGCCTTCCCAGGGCCTGCCATATACTGGTCAAACACCTCCGCCTCCTCGTCCACCACGCCAAACAATTGGAGGAACGCTGACTCCGCCGCCAATTTGACCGGGATCACAGGATCACGCACGCTTGCGAATGTCGGCGGCACCAGTGTGGACAAAAATTCCCGAATCTCCTCCGGTTGATATCTGCCCACTGTACGTACTACCACAAGCGCCAGACGACGTGAGTCAATGTCTCCTCCTGGCGCGATCACCTCCGACAATGCTTCGAACAGCGCTTGACACGTCTCACTGTCCGAGATTGTCCCTTCTGACAGCAAATACTTGCCCACTGCCAAAACTGCGTTCTGCTGCACAAAGGTGTTCTTGCTGCCAGTGCTTGAAACCAAAACACTCACTGTCTCCGATCTGTACCCAGAGACCAGTGTTGCTGCACTTTCGAGGAGCACCGCATTGAGAGCGAGGATCGAGGGAGCCGTAGCAGGTTGCACCAAGACACGCCCACGGATGAGTGGCGATGCCTTGTCGTCAGGGAGCACTTTGATCATCGCCCCGAGTAGGCGAGCGTTGGTCACCACCATGGTCTCGTCTTGTGAGTCGGGTTGGACGTCCATCAATCCCAGAATCGACTCTCGTGACGCGTCGCTCATGTTTCCGCCGACCTTGCTTACAACCTCCTGTAAGGCTTTGAGCATTGCATTGCGGACCCCCACATCCGTCGTTTTGGCACCCGTTACCAGCTCTGCAATGAGTGGGTCGACTCTAGGTGTCAATGTAATGAGTGTGCTTAGAGCTTTGGTGGCACGACCGCGCAGTATATCGCTTGTTGGGTCGGCGATTGATTTGGTAAAGGTTCGTTGCAACTGAGGGAGGAATGGCCGGAGGAATGTCGGAATCTTCTCAAGCAACTGATTGAGTGTCGAAAGAATCGCGCACTTGACGTCCATCGACCGTTCCCCAACCACCCGAATCAATGGCCCCGTGATCTGAGTTACAAACGGCTTCAGCGCATCCGGGCCACTTCGATCAATAATATCTGAGATTCCCATCGCTGCTTGGACTCGTTGATCCGTTGTGCCGTTCATGAGCCCTTGCAAGAAGATCTGCAGGACCGGCAGTATCCCCTTGGGTAATGCAAATCCAGGGAGGACATTTCCTGCAGTTCCTGCCTGCTGAAGTACTTGGCGAGTCGAGCCGACCAACGTCTCCATCTCCTCTTTCCGCAGATGTGATTGTAATTGACTCAACGCAGACCATGCTGCCTTGACGACGCTTTCGTCTCGATCTCCGAATGATATGAGGAGCACTCGAACGAGGTCTTGGTTGTACCGAGAATAGTCCACAACAGGCGTCGCAAAGAAAGAAGCGAGATGAGTAGCCGCAACTGCCCGCCTTCTGTGGTCGTCATGCTTGATCATTGCTAGCATCACACTCATGGCAGTGTTTAGACCGTCGTACTCATCCACCGACATGAGCACAGCATCGAATGCCTCGTTGAGATCTTTTAACAAGTCTATGTCTTTGCAACCCACAATATTATCCGCCAGGCTGTTTAAGATAGCAGGCAGACGCCGTGTCATACTGGAACTTCCCACCTTGGCCAGCGACGCAAGCGCTCTGGCATTGAACGCTGTAATAGGATTCGTGAGTAATGTGGGTATCAAATTAGGGAGAATGACATTGGCCCGGGTGGTCTCCGTCAGGAGCGTGAGCAGCGCCGAGAGAGCATTCTCTGCGTCCGACTCACTTCGTAACAGGTTGAGTAGGTGAGGGAGGACTTGGTCAACAGCTCGCTTGCCAAATGTTTGTTGAAGGGAGTCGAATGATTCTGCTGCAGCTTCGCGCACTTCAGCGTCAGAGTCGGTCAAGGCTAGTCGCACTATGGCGATCAACCTCTTTTCATGTTCTTCGAGCGATTCTGGCTGAGCCGCGCTGACAATCTCACGTAGAGCAATGCAGATGCCCTGTCGTCTGTCGGGATCGGTAGATGACTGAAGACCCTCCTCAAGTGTGGGCAGCAATGATGCAAAAACACCTTCTCCAGCTTTGCGTATCACATCTCCAAGCGCGTTGGCTGCGATTACTTTGTGCTCCATATTCGATGAAGCAAGTCGAGCGATGATCATTTGAGAAAGGGTAGGCACCAATTCGCGCAACGTGCGTGGAGTGGCAACCAATGCTTTCCATACCGCTATAGCAGCGGCACGAACCAGGCCAGACGTGTCGCAACGGCAGATGTACAACGATGATAGAACCCTATTGCGTCGATCTTCACCAAGGACGTCAAGAAGTGATTGACCGGCTTGAGTGGCCATCTCGCCCTCGTCTTCAGCCTCTGTAGATGCACTAATGCCGGTAAGGTTGAAGAGCAGATCCCCAACCAGTTCCACAGAGCTGAGACGGATGCGGTAGCTGTCATCAGCTAAGCCTCGCTGCAGCTCTGGTAGCAAAAGGTCAATCGCCTTGGTAGCAAAGTTTTTGACAAGAAGACGACCAGCCCTGAGAGCCGTTTCTCGAATGGCTTCCACGTCATCCGCAAGGCCACTGAGGATTGCAGGTATGATTTGAGCAAGATAGCTGGCAAATGCGTTGCCAAAGCAGGCCGGTAAGAAGATGAAAAGAGTCATGAATCCTTCTCTGACGGTCGCCCGAGTGCTTGAAACATTTTGAAGGATGGTTGGCAGGGTTTCCTCCAAGCGAGCTGTGCCGAGACCAGCAAGGACCTCGCTGAGAGCTTGGGCTGAACCAAGGCGGTCGCCAGCACCGGCGTCTGTACGTAGTGAAGACATGAGACTCGGGATGAGATCAGGGAATGCGTCCTCTCCAAGCTTCTCAACCAGACTTCCCAAAGCCTTAGATCCTGTGGCACGGGTGGCAGGGACTGGATCAATTGACGCAAGACGGAGGCCGTTTACCAAGATCGGTAGGTGTGTTACAATGTCCCGCTTCTCTGTCAAATGGGCTAGACTGCCAATGATTTGCGCTGCCTTGCGTTTTGTTGCTGAGCGATCATTCAACCCGCGTTCCAATATTCTGACCACCAATGCCAGCGAAGGAGCATCGAGATAGTGTGTGAATTGAACCTTGATGAGCCCATCCAGAGCAAATTCGGTATACTTGGTGGGGTCACTGAGGGCTTTCAGCAGGACATCCACAAGGCTCTTGACTTCGGGATTCGTGATAACTTCTCCGAACCTCTTCAAACTGTTATTAGCTGCAGCTCGAACTTCTTTGTGAGTGTCGGTGAGCACCGCTGTTAGAGGTGGTATGATGTCGGGAAGACTCGTTGCGAGCTGTTGTGGATCGAGGTATGCCATTGCTCCAAGGAGATCACACGCGCCCTTCTTGCTGCGCCATTGCGTCTCTCCCAGTCCTTCCAGAAGTTGAGGCAACACGCGATTCACACCAAAGGAGCTCAGGCTAGCAAAGCAGGTCTTCGCGGTATCCAGGCAGGCTTCGCGCACCGCTGCAACAGGGTCGCCGAATAATGCCAATAACTGTGGGAGCACCTCAACCACATAGGGTTCAAAGATCCGACCGAGCAACAGCGAAAGGAGTTCGTATGCCATCAAGGCACCCTGACGATACTCCGAAATCTTTTTGTTCTCGGTAGCGATCTTGAGAGCGGACATGATGCGATGCTGGCGCAATGCTACAACGCCTTTGCCCTTGACGATTCCCGCAAGACCATAGGCAGCTCCTCGGCGTACTGCGTACTTTTTAGAGTCTAAGAGACGTCCCAGAAGCTCAGTGACATATGGGCTAGCATCGACGCTTTGTGGCCGGACCAGGGGTGGTAGGCAATTAGCGACGGCGTACTGGACAGATTCAGAGGGGGTGCTTAGGGTGTCCAGGAGTTTTGTTATGACATTTTCCGTGCGTCTATCGCCATCGGGCAGATGTCGAGCAATTGAACCGTAGAGGACGATAACAGCCTCATTAACCCAGTCCGAATATTGTGTTCCTTTATCAGGCTCTTGAAGAGTCTTCTCGAAGAGACTCATGAGAGGCTCTAGCTTGCTTTGGCCCCTGCTGGCAACCATGGTAGTACCAGCAGCCACCATCTCTTCCCGAACTATTGGATGACGATCTGAAAGTGGCCCATCAGAGACCAAGAACGACATGAAAGGAACGAGTGCATCAATGGCCAACACCGAAGACATCTCCTTAAATGCGAGAGCGATCCCACTCCGCGTCTCCCATCGGTCGATAAGTTCTCCTTTCTGTACGATGCCAAACCTATTTCGCTTCGGGACAAGCGGTTGCGCTTCGGTCCTGTACAGATCCTCGAGTCTTGACAGCATTTCATTCGTCTTTGTTTTGATGTGTTGTAGCGCCTGGGAAAGAGCTTTTGAGGCAGCAGACCGTGTCGACCGGGCAGGGGATGAAAGAAAGTCTGGAATGCGGTCAATCAGATCCGCTGTAACGACAAAGCCATTCTCTTCCCATATGGCTAGGGCCATCTCGGAGTTTTCATCCTCCACATCTTGACACGCGATCCAGATGTTGACCGAAAACTCAATATCCGTTAATTCAATCTCTGACTGTATTGCCTGGAGTACAGCGAAACGCACGGAGCTCTCAGACACAGTGGTTGCAGAAAGGAGAATTTCTCGCTCGGTGGAGCTTAGATTCACCGAGATCGAACGGCAGAATTCGAATAGACAGTCCTTGATCACCCTGTAATGCTGGTTGTACTTCTGCATAGCGTCGATCAAGTGGCGCAAGATATCAGCCCTCGGAAGATTTTGGTCGGCTCCAGAGCTGGTCTGATAAGAGAGAAACTCGAGCGCCAGCAAAACTTGGGCATCTGCATCGTCACCTGAGACATCACCAATTCTGCCGTTCTCCAGTACAGAGAAAATCAGAGGAAGTACATAAGCTGTTGTTGCAGTATCGAATGGCCTCTGTTCCGCGCCGAACCTCAGTCGGTAGAGGAGTCTGGTGCCGAGTTCCGCAAGTGGCTCAGACGTGAGATGCTCGGGAACATTCGCATTGCGCTGAGACCTGAGAATAGCGATGCCAATAAACGGCCGTAAAGTCCCCAGGCGTTCGGAAATCCGATCAGCACAAGCAATAAATGCAGAAACTAGCTCATCATCGACAACAAGGGCTGCGCCGTGATCTAGCGCAGCGATCAGGGACATGACAGTGGGTGACATCCATGTTCCGGCGTCCGTGGGAGGACCTTTGGCTAGGCCTTCAATGAACTTTGCACCTCGTCTGACGGCCAAAGACACAGATCTGACGTTGGCCCGGATGGAGGTTTCGTGTTCCAGCTGTGCTTTCACTTTGGCCTGCTGATCCGGTGTCAGCTTTTTCTGGCCTGCGCCCTTTTTCTTCTGCAGCTGCGACCGGACCTCCTCTTCCCACTTGAGGACCTCGTAGTCCTTTTGATTCTTGTTCTGGAGCTCTCCGGTGGTCTGCCCGGCAAGCACATCAACAAAAACCTCCCCTTCTGGCGCTCGTGCTATCAGCGCCTCAGTCGGGCCGATGCCATCGAGCTGTTCGGGCCGTAGGTCGTTGCGAATCTGAGCCACAAGTAGAGGCGTGAATGTGTCTGGTGCTACAAAGGAAAGTGTGGCAGCGGCGTTGCAGGTGGCCACCTCGATCGTGTTCAATCGTGCAAGTTTTGGCTCTCTGAACTGTGACATGAGCTCTATCAAAAGATCATCATGCCGGTTCTCAGTTAATTTGCCAGGATCGATGCCCATATTTAGGCAATTGGCGATCCAGTCTGCATCGGCTATGAGTTCCGGGCGGAGGAGAACAGCCATGGAGATTGACTGCTTTTCCAATATTGCGACAAACTCCTGGTTTGAAGGGTTGGCAGAACTCACTTTTGTCGGCGTAATACATTTTATGGGGTAGAGCAGTCGATGGTCCCATGGTAGCTTGTTGCCTCCGCTGACGTCCTCAGATCGAGATCGTACCAAATCCCATATTCCTAGGATGATACTTTGACCGATAGAGGCGGGGTGGTCATTGTATATCTGCGATAAGACAAGGCCGGTCTCCTGTCGGACTTTTGGGTCGACCTCGGGCGTCAACATCAAGTGGAGAATGGCTTTCGACCAAGCAATCCTGGCGCCGGCCGGGGCTTTCCCTAACGAAGGAGCAAATGATGCCAAAGCCTGCAACGCCCACCAGAAATCATCGGCTGAGGAGAGGCGGGCATAGACCTTGGGGTTCAGCAAGAATGAATGTTCCAGGTCGTCCACCAAGACTTGTTGCCGAATTTGGTCATACACCTTGGATTCAGTTGTAGGCGATCTTAGAACTGACGTATACAATAGAGCAGGCAAGCCAAAGGCTGCTGCGACGTTGCCATTCTGAGACGCTGGTAGGGGATTTGGCGCTATCTCATCATATGCGTCCCTCAATACCTTGAGAGCAGACTTGACAAAATCAGTGGAAGAGTCTTCAACTGGTGCCTGATTGAGATGTTTCAGAATGCCAGCCACCGAAAGAATCCATAGTTTCCGAAAGATTGGGCGCTTGTCACCGCATCCTTTCATAATGAGGTCCGAAACACTCTTGTCCACGGCAAACCCAGAAACAATCAGCGTCAGATGCTCCGACAAGGCAGAGAGCTCTCGCCTAAGAGCACCTTCATTGGCCTCCTTGCTTGCCACTGAAACGAGTGCTGTGACAATGATTGAAGAGGTGGTTTTTTGTGGTTGCATCACCCGCAAAGCATCTGCAACTACACCACGCAGTTCAAAGGCTGGAGTCTTTGAAGATTTGAGAGCGGATGTAAATTCCCCTGCAAGTTTCTCGAGTACAATTTGATCTCCACCCCTTTTAGCGAGAGCTACGAGGGACTTGCCAGCACCTTCTCGGACTGTGGGATTGGCAGAGTTCAGAGAAGAAATAAGTGGTTTCAACAACGGCGATAGAAGCGTTGCAGAAAGGTCGATGTCTGGAGGAGCGGCCAAAGCGAGCTCAACGATTGGACCTTGAAGAACGGCCTCTGGGGATCTGAGAATGGCCTTTTCGACTGCAGGAGCAATGACGGTCTCGAATTGTGCAGAGGACACAAATGCAAAGAAATCTTGCAGACCGCGTGCTTCATGAACAGGGACAGGGAACTTGGACCCGATCACGTGCTTCACATAGAAGTCCAGAATCTGACTCTTCAAGGTCTCGAATTGCATTTTTCGGTCTGGAATTCGAGCACTGACACCTGATATGACTCCAAGATAAGGGGCAAACCTCGAATTTGCATCTGGGCGGGTACAAATATCGCTGACTGCAAGGTTCAAGGCTTTGTCGCCGAAGGCTTGATTCTTGAAGACATCACGTAAGCCTCTTCTGGCAATTGTGAGGGCAGAATGCTGCAAGCCTCCACGAACTCCGGAGGCGGCGCACTTATCCACAAGAGAGGCTGCAGCCAGGCAAATCTTTCCAAAGGTCGAATCGAATGACTTTGGACATCGAGGAGACTGTTGTTGGGCGAGGCAAGCCCATTCGAGCAGGACAAAGGCATTTCCAGGAGCAATGACAGCCTTTTGACTTTCTTGTAGAATGTACTTGGTTACAGCAGGCAATGTTGTTTCGCAAAGGGTAGGGGAAGTTAGATAGGCGGCGAGGCAAGCCTGGACAGCACGACGGGATTTTCTGTCAGCATAGCGTGGATATGTCGCAAGGATTGCAGGAAGGGGCGTCAGCAAAGGCTTGGGATCAGCCTCATTACCTGTAAGATATCAGCTCATGAGCGGGTGTAGTGAGAAACAAGGACCAACTGGAGGATTGAATTGCATGGAGCAGTTTTCGAAGGGCTTCAATACGGCCATTGGTGGAACTGCTTTTCAAGATACTTAGGTCAATGGCTGCGACGGTGTCGACGTCCGCCTGGGAGATGTCGCCCATGTTCCATGTATTGAATGTGGCTCTCCGTTAACGTTGTTGCTGTTGTGAAGTTAGGGCGCAGCGGCGGTTGCGGTTGCGGTTGGGCTGGCAGTTGCAGTTCCAGTTGCAGTTGCTAGCGATATTGCTGCATCCCAAAATTGTTTTGACTCACTGGTGGTGGACGTTGAATTGGAGAAAGCGCGGGGAATAAGGTGCAGTCTTGGCGTGAACATTCACGAAAGAACATCATTAGGTGATCAGTACAGGTGTGTTAGGCACCAAGGCACCTAAAAGAGCCACAGTGCCACTGTGCCATAGTACCATAGTACCACGTGGACAGTACCACAGTACCACAGTACCTACCTGGCTCCATATCGACCATACAAGATAATATGACTCCTTACCCTGAGAGAATGGTTCCTTCTACAAAGTCAATGTCAAGTATCCTTCTCGAGTATCCTTCGCTCCTGCCTATATATCCTAGCCAGGAAGGGTTCCCTGCCCTTCCCCCTCGTCTACATCGTCTTATTTCTTGTAGCACTTACATACTGTAGATAGACTAACACTATAGTGAATAACTACCTAGGTACACTCCAATTCTATATCAGACACATATGTTGACACTGTCCCTCATTTATCAAAGTCATGAACAGGCTCTTATCACCAATTGTTCAGCAACACGAAAGCCAAAGGCCACATGTGCAATCTTGGTGCTCTGGTATTAGGAGTATTCCAGGCATGCTTGGGGGGGCAAGGTAATGCATAGTCACGTGAATGACGGTGCTTGGCGATGAATAATCCTCACGTCTTCCTCCCCGCCCCCGCCGACGCCCTCGTTCATCTTTATTTGGGAAGAGATTAGGATTTCTTTATTGGCAAACATCCTCTTCGCTTGGAGATTTCTGCAAGACGTTCGAACCCTCTCGAGTATTTCAATGCAATACCTCCTTATATCGGCACAAGTAATGTACCCTGATTGGTCCGGCTACAAACCACTGCCAGGCCGACCAAAACTTTATGCTTGTGCTGCTGCACCAATTCTCCTTAGTCACGAATGATACACCTCAACCGTTATCAAAGAATCACCAGTTGGACGATATACAGATCCTCGGACGGCTGCACTGAGGAGTTGACCCTCGCTCCCGATACCTCTGACTTGCCTTTCGTCGACAAAGCCCGACACATTTGAAGCCAACGACACCAAGCGCGACCCTTATCGCCCAGTACACAGAAGCAAGGACTACAGACTGGGAAACTGACAATGCTAGTGATGCTACCTCCCAACCTTTTCATGTCAACATACTTTTCTTTGACTGGCTCACATATAGTGTCAGTACGAGTCAGCGAGCTGCCCAACCTTTGACCTCGCACAGACTTGAGGACAAGAAATGAATGCGTGGCTTTTTGTTTCGCTGGAAAAAGGGCGGGCGCACGACCCACGCCTACATAGCAGCATTGGCGAGGCTGAGCTCAAGTCTCATGCTACCAGGTTTTCCAAGGCTCGTCTGCGAAAGAAGAAATTGCAGGTGCTCAAAAAGTCCATTGAACCCTTCCCCATCACACCCAAAGAAGATGTCAGTGACAAGTCGCTCTCACACGAAGCTCTCTGGCACCAACCACAGCAGCTTGTGCCACCTTCATTTCATCCCCAAACTACCCTAGCACTTAGTGGGTGCCATACATTCGCCCCAGAACACATGAAAGATTTAGCCCCAGCATTGCAACAAGCTCTCGAGTATGCTTACGAAGTGCTGTGGCCGATGAATTCCCCGGCCATACAAGGGTCGTCCTTGAAGGCTACGATTCAGTTCTGGCGCGCGGCTGGGGTCCAGTGTCCTTTGACCTTCTACTCCCAAGTATCTAACGCTGCCACCCTGTGCCTAGCCAAGGCAACAGACGCAGTCTACGTGAGACAAATGTCCACCTTGCGCACCATCTACCAAAGTCGTGCTATTCATCTGATTCAAAAGGCGGTCGGAGAGCTGGCTGGACCTCCATCTTTCACTTTAATAAGTTGTATCATGAACATGCACGGACAAGGGGGGCAGGTCCTTGAACCTACGTATTGTTCGCTGGTACCCGAGTCCCCGATCTTTGCGGCGTTCAACCTGAAGCTGTATGGCCGGTTTGCATACCCTCCCCAACATTTCCCTGCTCTGACAGAGTTGCTGAGGCAACGAGGTGGAATCAGTACCCTTCCACCGGGCGTTGCAAACCCTCTTCAACTGTAAATTGATCTTTAACGAAGATTTTCACCCGAGAAATTGGCACTGACGGGGCGTTAGGGCTGATCTCGCAAGCGCAAATCGCACCTTTACCTCCCCGAAGTTCCCCTTGCTGAGCTGCATCTCCCAGATGGCTAGCCACCATGCTGCACAGCATGATGATCGTGCTCTGGGCTTGCTGGGGACTCTGGGCAGTGGCTTCTCGGCATGTATGGGAAGTGATGACACTGGCATGTTTTCAGTACTATCAGAAGCGTGCCAGTTGACGGCGTCCATTGACCAATACCATCGCGAGGTGGGCCTCAGACTTCCTCTCCACGTTCTTGCGGTCAAGGCCATTGCATTTCAACATCGGCTGCTGACGTTACCACCATGCCTGTCGGATTGTGTGGATTTGTCACCATGTTCGGCCGACGCTATCGTGTACCAGGCGATTCGTTTCACGACATTGATATATAGTGACTTTATGATATTTCCCAGCGCCGAAGTAAGACAAGGTCGATCACGGCTGGCGTCTTGTCTAAGAGAGTGTCTACTTCGGTGGTTGGACGCGCGAGGCGAGATGCTTGACGGTCAGAATGTCTACCAAGACCTCCTACTATGGTGCTTGGTTCTTGGAGGCGTGGCTTCATCCAACACATCTCATCGAAGCTGGTACGTCAAACAAGTGGCTGAGCAGCTTCTAGCTCGCACCATGACCTGGGGTATGCTAGAGACGACTCTGTATCGGTTTTTGTATTGGGACTATGTATTTTCTGGTTTAGTGACGAATCTCTGGATGGAAGCACGATCTCTAGGGACACACGAAGGTTTGGAGCAGGTCCATTGGATGGTTGACATGGGTCTTTGTGAACCTGCGACTCTTGACATTGGGGGAGTGCGGTCATTGAAGGGGGCCCTCTCCGAAACTCGTGTGATTCATCGCTAGTGTTGCTTGCGGAAGATTGGGGCCATCGCCATCCAGATTGTACTGAGAAGTGCAACAGAGGGTGAGTTGATTAAAGGATATCTAGGTGTGTCTGGACATCTGGACATCTGGACATCTGGACCTCCACGGCTAGTTTCCGAAATGTGGATAGCATTCACTTGGTGAAGACATTTTTCGTGTCTCGCAGTCACTAGCTAATCATATGCCAGTACCTCATTCCGGATCCGACAGCTACAATTACCAAATAGCTATCCTTTTCAGAGCCAAGCCTCGTTGAGGCCAGCCATGCGTATATCGCCGGTGGCACTGAACTTAGTCAGGATGTCGGTATTTACCGGGGCCGGCAAACCTGCCATTTTCCAGAGAACATGCGCCGGAGAAAAAAGAGCCTCGGTATCATGGTCAGGCGAAACTCATGCACCAATCACATCCTCGACCGCAGACCGGTCACTTCTCCTCCGGACAACTTCACCAGACAACAGCGTCCATGGCATGGAGCCTGTTTGCTTGGTCGCTACCATCTCCCATGATAACTGTGCAAGCCCTAGAGAAGTGTAACATCAAGCGGTCTCTTTCACCTCAAACACATCTGGTATCTGACCATGCCTGATTGGAACATTGTCCAAATGTGCAATGGGATAAAAATTGGGTGAGCATTTGTTGATTCAAAAGGTGATCGGAGAAAGGGATCTTTGGACGGTGGAGGGGGAAGTTATCGCTTTTTACATTTTCCTTACCCCACATGCCGGGACAGTAGCAAGAGCTGATCTCATCCTCGTCCCCGGACCCTCTGAGGCCTCTGATTGGATGAAAGACCCTTCGGAAGATGAAGACAGCCATATGATTGGCCACATTTGCCATTCGTCGTGAGAACTCCGCCGGTCTTGCGCCCGCAAGGTCTGGACATGTGAAGTGGAGTGGACGTTGACGGCTCAACCACCCACGCCACGGGAAAGCCATGCACTGACGTAGTAAAACCGAGCACTATATATCGACTGCCTCGCTGCCTCGGTGGCCCTCCCTTCTGCTGTACGACCTGACCTCCTGGTGTACCTTATCTATCCTTCCATTCACCCATACCCCAATCAATCATCTCACACAGCATCATGGCTACCATCGAGACCATCAATGACGGCGTGGCCATCAACGGAGCTATCCAAGATGCCTACCGCAAGATCCTCACCCCCGAGGCCACTGCTTTCCTTGCTCTCCTCCATAGAAGCTTCAACGCCACCAGAAAGGCCTTGCTTCAACGCCGAGTGATCCGCCAGCAGGAACTTGACAGAGGCATCCTGCCCGACTTCCTACCTGAGACCAAGCACATCCGGGAAAGCGACTCCTGGAAAGGTGCTCCTCCAGCACCGGGTCTCGTCGACCGACGCATCGAAATCACCGGTCCCACTGATCGTAAAATGGTCATCAATGCCTTGAACAGCAATGTCTGGACATATATGGCCGACTTTGAAGGTAATTGCTACCGAGTACTTGGCTGAAAGACTCTCGACTGACGTTAATGATTACCTAGACGCTACTGCGCCCACCTGGGACAACCAGGTGTCTGGCCAGGTCAACCTGTACGACGCCATTCGAAGACAAGTCGACTTCAAGCAAGGAGAAAAAGAATATAAACTACGCACCGATCGTGTGTTGCCCACCTTGATTTGCCGTGCCCGAGGCTGGCATCTGGAGGAGAAGCATTTCACCGTCGACGGTGAGCCCATCTCTGGCTCGCTCTTCGACTTTGGCCTGTACTTTTTCCACAATGCCTTTGAGCTCGTCAAGCGTGGCTACGGCCCTTACTTTTATTTGCCCAAGATGGAATCACATCTCGAGGCGAGACTCTGGAACGATGTCTTCAACCTGGCACAGGACTACATTGGCATGTCCCGCGGCACCATCCGCGGCACTGTGTTGATCGAGACCATCACTGCTGCCTTTGAGATGGATGAAATCATTTATGAACTCCGGGACCATTCGTCTGGTCTCAACTGTGGTCGCTGGGATTACATCTTCTCCGTGATCAAGAAATTCCGACAGAACCCCAACTTTGTCCTCCCAGATCGATCCTCTGTCACAATGACTGTACCATTCATGGATGCGTACGTCCGACTGCTCATCAAGACCTGCCATCGTCGTGGTGTGCACGCCATGGGCGGCATGGCTGCCCAGATCCCCATCAAGGACAACCCAGAAGCCAACGACAAGGCCATGGACAGTGTCCGACAAGACAAGCTCCGTGAAGTGCGGGCTGGCCATGACGGTACCTGGGTGGCTCACCCTGCTCTGGCTCCCATCGCCGCCGAAGTCTTCAACAAACACATGCCCACTCCCAACCAACTCTTCAAACGCCGGGAGGACGTGCATGTCACGGCCAACGATCTCCTCAACATGAACATGCCCGGCACTGTCACCGAGGATGGCATTCGGAAGAACCTTAACATTGGCCTGGGCTATATGGAAGGTTGGCTCCGTGGCGTAGGCTGTGTGCCCATCAACTATCTCATGGAGGACGCGGCCACTGCCGAGGTGTCACGATCTCAGCTCTGGCAATGGGTCAGGCACGGCGTCAAGACCGCCGAGGGCAAGACCGTTGATAAAGCATACGCCCTCCGCTTGCTCAAGGAACAAGCTGCTGAGCTGAGCGCCAAGGCAGCCAAGGGCAACAAATATCAGCTTGCCGCCAGATACTTTGAGAACCAAGTGACTGGCGAGGATTATGCCGATTTCTTGACCAGGTAAGTCAAGGGTGATCTCGGGATTGTTCTACAATAAATACTGACGTTTGACTAGTCTGCTTTACAACGAAATCACCACCGTTGGTTCATCACAGCCTATCGCCAAGTTGTAGAACCCAGAAATTGTTCCACGGAGAAAAGTCAGGCCGCTCTTCGCTTTGAAGAAGGCATAAAGAGCACATGACATTATGTACATCACCAGATCGTGTGCCTTGGGCAGCCGATATCTGGAAACGACAGGGGGTTGCATGTGTTTGGCAACTTCTTGTTACATTATAAGCTTTTGAGTAGCATGCGAATATAAGCACCAATTTGTTCCAGAGTAACTACCTGTTTCTTGTGTTGTGAGTCGAAGGGGGCATTGAACTAACGGGGGTGATATTGCGATACTATCTCTATTGATTTTGGTTGAAATGATATTGGTAGATACCTAAGGTACCTGTCGGTAATAATGTTGGGCAGTAGTCAAGGAGGCTGAAGGGGCGCAGGGGCGCCTCGGGCACCTGGAGGCAAGTAAGGGCGGAGACCAATTAGGGGGTCAATCCCCTCCAAGCTCTCGACCTTCTTGGGCTTGGAAACAGGGGGTCTTGGCACATTCAACTTGCATCGTTCCCTGTCCTTCTCATCTTGTACAAGCCACAGGCTCTGACATATACGTGCCTAATGAGATACTGGAATTTATACGCTGATTTGAATATCAGCACTACTGAGGACGCTCTGCCATGCCTAGCCATGGTTCGGGCCTTGATTGACAGGTATCAGACTCAACGTCGCCGTAGAATGGCAGTCTGACATCTGGGTGGGCCATGATGACAGGTCCCGTCAGAATGCACACTGCCAGTCTCAGATGGTAGATCACAGTTCCCGATAATGTTATCTTGCCGTCTCTCGCCCGATTTTGAACATGATAGATTCACTCCTATGTGTAGGTATTTGTACCACAGCTGGGTAGTGGGCCGAGGGGCCGAGGGGCCCCTCGGCCCACCTAACAAACCAAGGTTTTGGTGACTGTTACCTGAAGATTTGGACAATGGGATCAGACGGCTTTGCATCGACATGTTTGATCTACGGAGTACGTGGTTCTAGACAATGGCATTTTCAATGACGCCATTACCACCAGGTCTCAGTTGACTCGATGGTTGGGGAGTTGAAGACTCGATGACTACCTAGGTACCTGCTGTACAACTAACTGTACCGGATTTCAATATTGTCCAAGGCTTTCAAGTTCAAAAATGAAAAATATTCGTAAGGTTATTATTGGACTCCTTTTCTTGAGGCCCTTTATCCCTTGAAGGAGCGTTTTAGTCTTTCTTTTTAGGTAACTTTGGAACTCCAAACAACCAAAGTTTAGGCGGAGGCGACTCCCACAGGCCTTTCAGACCCTCCCAAACCCTCCCAAACCCTCCCAAATCCTCTCAGACCCTCTCAGACCCTCCCCCATTCGCCGGTACCTGCATATGGTGCTAATTATGAAGCTTGTTCTTTTTGGCTTGACGCCAGGCACGGCACCGCGCCACTCCCTGGGCCAAAGAAATGGTACCTGAAATTAACCTCTGATCCGAACTCGTCAAAATCAGCGGGAATTGCATGCCGGCATACTCCACGTCCTCAGCATCCCTACCTCAACCTCTGCAATTGGCGACAAGGTGCAGCTGTCCCATCGATCGAGGATTTCTGCCCTCCCTTGGTGGGTCGATTATCATGGTTGATAGCTTATCGACCCTCCCGTGGCACCTCAACATATGCAGTCTGGACCACCTCAGCAGCGCCATGTGCAACAGTTCCTCCCAATGGCGCCCTATGTCGACTTCAGCCTCACCTTCCAACCCCTGCAGTAACCTCCCCTCGTCCTTCTAGGGTGATTACTACCCGCTAAGGAGGTTTTGGCCCACGGTGCGACCGACGTGTCTAGTTATTGAATTCACAACCACCACAGACAGGAGTACTGTAAGTAGTTGCTCTTCCTTACTTTGACACTATCCTCAACTCTTTGGTCGCAGGCAAACGCAACAATGGTCCCTCATCTCGAGCTACTTACACCACGAGCCTGAACCACGACAGACCAACCTGACGAGAGAATTGTCCGGCAGAATGCTCGCCAGGGCGTTGCCGCGCTTGCTGACCGTCATCCTTCCCTTGATCGTCCTCTTCTACCTCCTTTCCAGAACATCAAACCCCCCAGTGCCTACAGACTCGAGCGACTCGACTCTACCCTCGTCCAGATGGCAATGGATCAAATCTTCCAACAATGTGACGGAGAAACCAAAGCCATTACCGAGCACGGGCCAGGTCGTACCGCCGTCTCATCTCGTCACCATCGATGACCATGGCGAAATTGTCATCGATCATTCCGCCTACACCGTCCTCGTGTCGAATTCGACCAAGAGCGGGAAATATTTCAACATCAAATATGGCAAGTTCGATGCATACAACCCCAATATTGTCGCTCACCCGACCCGACATGACGCATGGATCGTCGTCGCGCAGCAAGAGCAGAGTCGTGAACAATACCACACCATCACTCAACTGGTATGCGCCGCTCGATTTGTTGGCGAAGAGCTCACTTGTGTGGCGGAGCCGACGAAATTGCCCATCGAAAACACCGAGGGCCATTGCACAGGAGACTTGGAATACTTCAACTACGGCCTTGGTCCACGCGATGCTCGCGCTTTTCAAGGACCTGACGCTCCATACATTCTGTACGGATCTCAAGCAACCTATACCTGCCTAGGGGTGTGGATGCAGGACCTACGCCTCTTAGTCAAAGACTACAAGACCCAGTCGGTCCTGGCCAAGACATTTCGTCAAGGCACCGAAGTCCAGCGCCCGCCACCAGTCCATGGTCTCGAGAAGAACTTTTTCATCTTCTGGGACATGCACGGCGAGATGTACGTCCATTATGACATTTACCCGCAACGGACTTTCGCCAAATTGAATATGGACGGGTCCGTTGGGCCTGATTTGGCCCCGCTTGCCGCAAAGAAGGATGCCATCTCTCTCAGCAAATACATGCCCAAATTGCCGCCCGAACACGCCGCCATTCACCAGGCTAGCAACACCATCTCCATCACCATGTGCAAGCGTGCGGATCCAACGTGTAAGCCCACCGAGAAAAACACCTTTATCATGACCATATTCCAGTATAAATCCTTTTTCGATTTCCATGGCGTCTATGAGCCGTATGTTATGCTCTTCCAACAACATCTTCCTTTTGCAATCCACGCCATTTCCTCCAAACCCTTTTGGATCACTGGACGAGCCCCTTTTTCAAAGGCAACCGGCTCGATCACGTGGTTAGATAGGAACGATCTGCCCGAGAACCACTCTGAGATGATCTATGTGACGAGCATCAGTTGGAAAACTCACGGTCAGAGGTATCATGGATATCTCGACGACATTATGTTTGTCGGTTTTGGCATTGAAGACACTAGACCGGCTGCAATTGACATTGTTGCAGAGGACTTGCTGAAAGATCTCAATTACTGCTGATACAGGACCACGGTATCCCCAGAATGATGGAATAATGAAGGTGTGGTGGATTTGGGCATGGACAAACTCGACGAGGCTTGTCCATTCAGTGCTAGGTTCAAAGCATGGGAGCCCCGCCAATGACGCTGGGTAGATGGAGTTTGGAAGTCATGTACACACGACATTAGAGAATGCTAGGATTATGAACAGGTAAAAGTAACATGAGTACTTCCCATACCAAACTTGTTTCGTTGTAGAGACAACAATCCTCTCGAATGCGAGTGTTCCTTGCTTGACGAGCAAAAGTGGTTGTTGAAAGGGTTCACGTGATTTTAATGTGGATCAACGACCTTCTATCGTTCTTGGCAGTCTAGGGTTAAGTTAGTGCCTTGCTTAACGTCCATCAACAACATTCAACCACATTCGACATTTCACTCAAGAGATGCGTACAGTAATCCTCTCTCTTGCCTACTCCCTTGCCTTGTTTGGGACTTCCGATTGATACTGCGACACACTCTGCGACTCGTGTATGCAAGGTGAAGACATTGGTGACGTGCATTGCGTTTCAGCCAAGAGGCACAGTTGTGGTGGTGGATGTGGTGGTGGTGGTGATGATGGTGGTAGTGCCAGCTTGAGAGCAAGACCCTCGACAATATTGTCTTCTGAACGCGAGTGGTTAATCGACTTGCCACTCAGCCTAATGTTAGCAAAGCTTTGCTTCTCTCTGGCTTGCAGCGCACAAGTGCAATGCGCCCACGAGCTTGGTCTCATGAACCCACCCTTCCATCCCGCAGGTTGAGACTCGCGTGAACGTTATGAGACAAGCTTGCTGTTGACGTTGGCGGCCGAGCCCCTAGTCAAAACAACATAACAGCCAGGATACGTCCAGCAGCGTCTTCGGGAGGGCTGAAGCCGAAGAGATCAAGATCGCTTATCATTTCATTGGTGGTCACCTTTCTTATCATGGTTATCGATACGTCCCTCGGGCCTTTGTTCGAAACTCGGCAGCAAAGGTGCCTACGTTCGGCACATCACAGCCTGAGAGCCTATATTCGCCGTTACCCGCATACCCCGGAGCATTCTTCCTGTCCGATTGCCAACCTCTAGATTGGCAAGCATAGCCTGGTGTCGCTCATCGGCGAAGCAATAACACTGGTTCAGAAAGCATGCGTCTGTTCTCTAGCTTCCCCGACGAATGGTGATACGCGCTCTTGTCCCACCATCACAGCATCACAGCCGTTCTAGCCATGGAAAACACTCTTCTCACACTGTAACCCAAAGCTTTTGGCAGTTTTTACCATTGGCGGCACTTCTTTATCGCGTTCATCGCAGACAAAGGAGAGATCCACCCCAGTTCCACACACTTTTCCATTGACCCAAGTTATACGCTAGCCTCTACGAGTACAAAGAACTGCTATTTTGGGCTCCATATCTGGATGAGTGGTTTCTAACTACCTCGTCTCACTTGGCTTACCATGTCAAGCCCGGGGATAGTTTCATCATGGGACCATTTGTGGGTTGTAACACCCCAACCAGCCAACCCGCTCTCCCGCCTAGACTGTTCTTGGAGGTGAACAAGTGCATTGACACCGTCCGACCCTGTCGACCGTCTCCGCTCTGAGGACTGCGCCACCGACAAGGAATTTGTCAGGGTCTCAGACGTGGAAAGAATATTCGACTGGGAATGATGGGGTAGGGTTTCTCAGTCACTAATACTGCCGCGGGTCTTCAGTAGAAGTGCAAGATGTTGGAGCATATACTCTTGCGGGGTTCTATATTCCACCGTCAAATATAATGGACATCCTTGCATTACGAGGCTTCTCTGTTGTTGAACACGGGGGGCAATGGCGAGCGCTGGGCAACGTGACCCAACGTGGCCACCTCCGAACTTTATCGATCCTGAAGATCGAGGACCAGCTCTTTTTAATCTATGCATCGTCCTCAGCATACTAGGCACTTTCACTGTCGGCTTCAGGCTGTACGCTCGCCTGTTCTTGACCAAAGCTCTGGGGATTGACGACATTCTCGTTGTTTTCAGCCTGATGTTCTGCATCGCCTTGTCAGTGCTGATCATTATCGCGAACAAGAAGTTCCACCTTGGCCGACATGTATGGGATATACCTGTCGCTACAATCAGCCCCCATCGACAGAACGTGTGGATCAGCCAGTGGTGTTATATTGCAGCTGCGGCACTTGTCAAAATCAGCGTGCTCCTTTTCTACCGGCGATTGAGTGTCAAGTTCACTCGTACCTTCCTGGTAGCGACATGGATTGGCATCGTTTACAATATCTGTTACTTTATCACCTTTGGAATCATCCTTCTGCGTCTATGTACTCCGGTACACGCGTACTGGATGAGGTTTGAACAGGACTGGGCCGCCACTCACAGCTTTCGATGCAATTCGGAAGCTGCATCTTTACCCATCTCTTCAGCATTGAGCGTGGTGGGAGATGTGTACAGCACAGCTCTACCCTTTGCACTCATCTGGAACTTGAAGTTACCTACGCGACAGAAGGTGGCTCTGTACGCATTGTTTTCAGTAGGCCTCCTGGCCATTGGTGCCGGTATCGCTCGAACAGTGCTTCTATACATTATTCATCACACCAAACAGGACCTAACGTTTATTCTGTGGGAGACTTGGATCTGGGCTCTAGTTGAGTTGTACGGTTCACTGTTTGCGGCAAGTGCCCCGGCTCTCAAGACGTTCTTCCGAAAAGTTGTTCAGGGGCCTGTGGCCAGCTTGAGAAAGGGCAGTTCAACAGACAGAGGCAGACCTGAAAGTGGGAAAGTTCAAGATGAAAATCGGACTCATGGTCGCACTACCCGGCCCTTGATCAGAGATGAAGAAATGGGTCTGAACCAAAGCGGAGATGTCCAGCAACCCCGAGATGAGGCATTTCTCAGGGGAATGATTCAGCAAGCGGCTCATCATGGGCGTCCAGACTCGACAAGGAGCACGGGCGAACTACAGCCTCAATTTAAGCGACCGATTTCGAAATTTGTAGACACGCAGAAGCCGCTGCCCCCTATCAAAGACCTTGAGCGGCACGAATTGCCCTGCCCTCCAACAGAGTTACCTGCCAGTCCCACGATTTCACCTTCTGGCCAAACGGAGCTGCCTGGGAGCCTGACAGCGTTACCAGATCTTTCAGCGGCATCGCTGACTATTCCGAGAGGCCGCCAGCGCCTGACCGTACCTGAGGCTACTCTGAGTCGCATTAGTGAAGGCACAGAAGGTTGGCGAAGCTCTCAACAGACCATCCACGTCGGACTGCAAATCTTGCCCGAGATGACCGGTTTCGACTTGATCCAGTTGAGCCCAAGCAATCAGCATGTGAACGCGCAAGCAAAGGGGTGAATGCCGCAAAAGATTGTATCATTTAAATACTGGAGAGACAAGAGGAAAACGGCACCGAAAACCTTGTAGATTGATTGATTTTTTATCGAAGCGGCGAAGGGCAAACAGAATAGATTTCTCCCTGGGTCATGATCAAACACCATATGAGAGATGGAATGATATGCACGACATTTGACAATTAAATGTAACATAGATAGTCTTCTCTGATAGCCTGGCGAGGCTCACTTTCGTTGAAGCTGAGAACTCTGATACAGAAGCAACAAAGTCTCAATATCATTCTGGACTATGGAACTGGGAATAGCCTGAATAAGTAGGCTATGCCAGAGGCTACTACTTGTCTTTCTGTGTTTGGCACGTCAGCGAGGTGCTAAACAGCACTCAGTAAACAAAGAGAGCGAATAACACACAGTAAATCAAGAGATCAAGGAAATGGGGTGAGTAGAGTCATTGTTCCAACTACTTTTGGCTAAGAATTATTACAGGCGAAGGGATGCTGGGATAAAGTCAGCCAAGCCCTTTGCGATTTTGATGTTTGAGAAGCGTTGCATGAATAAATTGTACCTAGGTAAGTCAAAGTTGTAGAAGTAAGTAGGTACTTGGTCTGTGTAAAGGCATATACGGAGTGCTTGTACTTACTAAACTGCACGTATGTACTAGTCCATAATCCTTGTCAGAGCCAGGAATGTCGTAGCCCGCCAACAGATACACCGAACTACCGAACAAGTGACAACTGCATGATGTAAGTATGTACGAGATCTACAATATGTGTAGGTATTGTTTCTAACAAATGCCGGGCAAGAGAACCCCCACCCCCAACAGTCAATGCCTAGACGCTGACAATACCAAGTACTCGCATGCCTAAGGGAGTCCCTAGACGATACTTACCTAGGTACCTTAGGTAGACTCCGGTACCAGATGCCGGTGAAGCCCGTATCCTAATTCTGGTTTTTATTTCTCCACTGGAATCATGGACTGACCAACTGGCCAACTGGCCACCCCCGCAAGAAGTTTGTTCGCTCATGGTTGGTTGCTAACTAACGGCTGGAATTCCGGACACACCTTCATACCTATAGTACATACCTTCTAGGTGACTTGTAGTAATAATAGTCTTGAATTGCTTCACATCTGTTACTCTTACCACGCGGCCCTTCCAAAGATATTTGCTACGACAGAAGAATACAAATCCAAAGGTCAAGATCACATTGTCCATCAATCGCACACACGTTCAGAGACCTATCAATACTTTATTTACTGCATCACCTATCACTGGGATTTCCCCCACCATGCCCAAGATCCTCATCACAGGCGCTGGAGGGTTCCTGGGCCAATTTCTCGCCAGGGAATTACTCAAGGACCCGCAGAACACGCTCGTGCTGACTGATATTGTCGACGTGCCGGTACCCAAGGGATCCAAGAATCCTCAAAATGCTACGACCGTCAAGGCAGATCTCTTAAAAGATCAGAGCGTCATCACTGCTGATCTGGACGCGGCCTATCTCTTCCACGGAATCATGTCAGCAGGCTCAGAGGCCAACTACGATCTAGGCATCGGCGTCAACCTCGAGAGCACACGGGTTATTCTAGACAAAATTCGACATGTGCGGCCGGGATTGCGTGTGATCTATTCGTCCAGCCAGGCAGTCTACGGGCAGCCACTGCCCAAGGTCGTGGATGAATCCGTTCTGCCCACTCCTGAAGGTTCTTACGGGTCGGCCAAGTTCATGATTGAAATCTTGATCAATGACATGACGCGACGGGGCTTCATCGACGGCATCGTCCTACGATTCCCCACGATTTCGGTCCGACCGGGTAAGCCAGCTCCGGCGGCCAGCGCCTTTATCTCAGGCATCATCCGCGAACCCGTTGCCGGCATCGAGGCCGTGGTTCCCATCAAAGACCGCAGTTTTCCTTCCAACGTATGTTCACCAAGTGTGCTCATTGGCAACCTCGTGCATGCCCTGACCTTGCCATCGGATGCTCTGCCCAAGCATAAACGCGTGGTCAATTCTCCAGGATTAACGGTCACGATCCAGGAGATGCTGGACGCATTGGCCAAGGTTGCAGGTGAGGACAAACTCAAGTACGTGCGTGAGGAGCACGATGAGGCCTTGGCGAGAATCCTCAAGTCATGGGCTTTCAACTTTGACAATTCGTTGGGCTTGAGCTTGGGCTTCAAGAAACCTGAGAGTTTCGAGGCTGCGGTGCAAGAGTATCTGGATTATGTAGAGGAGGAAAAGTCTTGGAAATGAGGCCGGACATTGGAGTTTATCAAACTCGAATCCAGCCTTGTGTCTAACTCAACAAGGTTCTTGGTCACTGAGCATGGCCTTTGGCCGTCCCATTGTATATATTCTGCATAAGATCCTGTCTTGAAGTCGTCTATGAACATCTAGGACTGTGGTAACATTGGAACAGTTGCCATAATGAACCATCGCTAGGGTATTTTATCCTCCGTAGGCCCTTGACTGTCGTGCTTTCAGAGATCCATACTCACAGGTGCAGCTCATCCTCATCGTTTGATGCCCTTGAGTCCTTGACCAAAAATATCCATCGGCATCACTGCCGACCAACGCCGGCCACAGCTCCGCACTAGTCCCAATCTAGGATCACTCGACTGGTGGTGCCTGCCGTTGGTACCCTTGACCCACTCACGTGCCACCCCACCTACGCCACTTCCCCTCACGGAAAGCACACCGAGTGACCGACGACATCATCATCGCCATCAGCCATCATCGCCAACCTTTCTTTCCCTCCATCACTAAACCAAAACATGCGTGGGGATCATTCAACACACTGTGACACTGCCGTGACCTTCCAAAACGGAGTGCATGGTCGTGCTTGGTCGTGCTTGGTCGCCCGTTTCGTGGGGAGATTTTATCCTTCCACCCCTTCTCAACGGGTAAATTGTTAGTTGGATGTTTTAGCCTGGGGACGCTGATTAGTGCCATCTTTTTCACGGTGGAACTTTCTATTGCTTGTCCGTCCCGTTCTCATGATTGAACCGGCTGTAGCGCCGGCCTGGACGAACTGTTGATTGTCCATCTTGCATGTGCCATAAGAATAGAATCTTCCCAAGTTCTTCAATTGTATATGACACCTCCATAGAATCCAATCTTGACTCTTGAGCTCTGGCTGTATCTGAAAACGAGCTTCCCTCGGGCGATACTCATCACGTTGTCTACTAATCGACCAAGATATAACATATACGCTACTCACCCACCCACTCTCTCTCATCTACACACCCACCCTCACAGGAAGCCAGTCATAGCAACACCTTCCCCAGTTTCGACTCCGACCTTGATTCGCTTTCTTAACCCCTCAAAATGCCCATTTCCGACAACATTTCAGTGCGGATTCTCAAGGCGGCCGAGGAGGGCCGATATGGAGTTCCAGGAGTGGTTTGCTACAACCTAGAGGCAATCATCGCATGTCGCAAAGCCGCCGAGGCAAAGAATTCGCCTTGCCAGATCCTGCTGTTTCCCTGGGCCCAGGAGTATGCATACGATAACCTGGTGAACCTGGCGGCCGACGTGTGCCGGTCCGCCAAAGTGCCCATGTCACTACACCTGGATCACGCCCAATCGGCCGAGGCGATCAAGGCCGCCGCCCAGACGGGCAAATTCGACTCCATCATGGTCGACATGTCACACTATGAGAAAGAGGAAAACCTTGCCCGGACAAAGGACTTGGTCAGCTATTGTCACGAGTTGGGCATCGCAACCGAGGCCGAGCCCGGCCGCATCAACGGTGGCGAGGCTGGCGTCCAGGACACGGGGGATCTTGAGGGAATCCTGACCACCCCCGAGGAGGCTTTGCAGTTCATCGCCACTGGCATCGACTTCCTGGCCCCCGCCATTGGCAACGTCCACGGACCCTACAATGGCGTGGAGAACATCCATCTCGACTTCCCCCGCCTGGCCCGCATTCGTGATGCCAGTCTGGGCAAGGTCACCTTGGTCATGCACGGAACCAACGAGTTTACAGCCGACATCTTTAAACAGTGTGTCGAGGCCGGTATGACCCGCCTCAACGTCAACCAGATTGTTCTGTGGAAGTACGAAAAGTATGCCCAGGAAAAGGCCGGCCGGACACCTCTGACTCAATTCATGGAGGAGGGTACCGCCCTGATACAGGAGCGCATCGAATGGATGATGGATGCTGTGGGAAGTACGGGAAAGGCCGCTGATGTGGAAAATGTAAGAAGACTTTAGCAACACAATCGCTGCAAATAAAACGCAATGGGTCATAGATGGGAATCCACGCTTTGATACATAGCACCACGTCCAGGGAGCTGTGCCCCTGTCCTCCACTACGCCTCGGCCCCCGATCGTTGTGGATTGACGCCCATGCACCTTGGGCTTCGTTCATGGTCATAGAACAGGGCTTGGTCAATCATGACTTGGTGTCCGCCCCAATGCTTTCCTTGAGCGCGTCTTCCGTCGCCTTCTTGACTCTCTCGTCCTCATCCAAATCTTTCTTAGATCCTGCCGCATCAGCCCCAGCAGCTGCCACATCTCCATCCTTGAGCGTTATCGGCTTGGCGTCCTTCTCCTCATCACTGTCACCTAGACTGAACGGATCATTATCGGCCACAGGGCTTGGGTCAATCTTGGACATGGGCTGCCATTTGCTTGTCTTGCCCCCTGAACCAGGCGCCGCTGGAACACTGGAGTACGGCGGCGCAGCGTCAGAGTTTGCTGAGTACATATCCTTGATTTCTTCAGGCGGGCCATCTTGGAATGACACCTTTCGGGCATTGCCAGGCGATGGCCGTCTCTCACCAGCGCCTCCTGACTTGAACAAGTTTGGGTTAGCCGTAGGTCGACTTGATGTGCGTGGAGGTGCTTCTCCGTCTCGCAATTCAAGCTTGGAAAAATCATCACCAATCAATTGAGGATCGGCATCATATCGTTGAAGGTCGGCCGATCGTCGCATATCAGCACTCCGACGGTTGGGATATGCATTTGTTGATTGAAACCCCGATGCTGCCTGCTGTTGACCCGGTCGAGGAGGCTGTGGGGGTCGATATCCGTCGTCTTCTTCGCCGTCAAAGTTCTTCTTCAGCGCAGTGATCCAACTATTGACAGTTTTCTGAGTCTCTTGAAATCCTTTACGTATATTGTCACGAATCTCAGGGAGGTCATCTATAGTTCGCCCAATTAGTCAATTGATCGCCATCACCTTGCTGTGTACCTTGATTGCTTACCATCAATGAAACTGCGCCATGGCACATCATCTGGGTTTGGGTTAGAACCTGGTCGACCGGGTCTTGACCCTGGGAGATGTTCATTGTACCGATCCCCAGAACGTCTTGGCCCAGACCCGGCACCGCTGTAATGCTCCGCCAATTGTCTGGCATAGAGCTCGTCGGACTCCAATTGGCTCATCTTTCCCGGGACATGAGGTTGCTGTTGTGGCCGTATTGGGCGAGGAGGCTGCAATGGTGGATCCGGCTCCCGCTGAGAGTCTGGGTCCGTCATTCCCAGGAGAGCATTGAACGCAGGCTCGACGTTGCCGCCGCTGGCTGAGAGTACGGCTTTTACGACACCGGGATCAATAGAAGGAAACGCCTCTCTCAAAGTCTGCTCGGCTTGTTCACGAGGGCTGAGAGGCCGTTGGGGCTTCGCTGGTGGGAGTGGTTCATCTTTCGGGGGAGGGTTGGGGGTCTTGTCGGTGGCGATGGTACCGGTCTCTTGATCGCTATCAAAGTCCAATGCACGAGCAGTCGTTGGAGATTCGGGAGGGGCATCAGATGGCTTGAGTGGGGAGACAGGCGAAGGCTTTGCAAGATTATCAGCATGGAACGGGGGATAGAGGAGCCGACAACGACACTTACAGTACGGTCTCGCTTGGAGGCCATGTTGTTGAAGGTTACCGACGCAAGTTTGTTCAGGTGAGGGAAGAGATCGTATGTTCGCAGGAGTGATGTTGAGGTGTAGGCAGCAGTGAAATCAGATGAGACGACACATGCTCCTGGCGATGGCTTTGTCTGATGAGTTGTCTTGAACCCTGATCCTCACACTTAAGCCGCAGTTGCTGTGCCTGCAGGCTGCTGGTGCCACTTGCCGTGCTTGCCCAGGTTCCAAGTCTTGGCGGGGTCACTTGCACCTGCCAGTATGACGAAGGCCAATGTGGCTGTGAATCAGGTTCTGTGGCGTAATTCTGTGGCGGTGCATCAAACGTCTGTCAAATCAGAATCTCCATCTTCATCCCTTTCCCTCCTCTCCTGTCTCCCAATGTCCAATGTCCAATGTCGGTGATGGTGGGCGTGGAGTTGCACAATTAGAAGGAGCACGCATGTTGCTGATGCGTGCATAGGCATAGGTCTCGTGCAATGGCCGACTCGGATCTTTCGTTTATCCCTGCACTATATACACCCTCAGCACTACTCCCCATCGCTCGTCATCGCCAGAGTTTGTTGTACACAATCGAGACACATCAGGTGACGGTCATCATTGGTCAGACGGGTAGTGGGAAAACTACTCAACTTCCTCAGTTCCTTGATCAAGCAGGATGGTCCTCGGGTGGAAAATGTATCGCCATCACACAGGTGGGTAAGTCACCGAGGTCACGAGATGTGAAATGTATTTGACAATTCAACAGCCACGGAGAGTCGCCGTCACCACGGTTGCCGCTAGAGTGGCAGAAGAAATGAAATGTCAACTAGGCGATGCGGTCGGTTACTCCATTCGATTCGAAGATGTAACCTCGGCCAAAACAAGGATCAAATTTTTGACTGATGGCATGTTGTTGCGCGAAGCTCTTGTTGACCCTTTGTTGTCAAGATATTCCGTCATCATGGTTGATGAGGCTCACGAAAGATCACTCAGCTCCGACATCCTCGTTGGCTTACTAAAAAAGATCATGAAGCGCCGGCCAGAATTGAAAATCATAATCAGCAGTGCAACTCTTGATGCTGACCGTTTCGCCGAGTTTTTCAAGGGTACAGACTCCTCTGATGAGCATGTTCGCATCGTCAGTATTGAAGGTCGCTCTCATCCCGTTGATATCATGTTTCTCGATCAACCAACAGATAACTATGTCGAGCAAGCTGTTCAAACTGCTTTCAAGATTCACCAACAAGAAGCCCCAGGTGATATATTAGTCTTTTTAACTGGCCGAGATGAGATTGAGACATCGATGGAGCAGCTCTCAGACCTTGCCGCTACTCTTCCGCCCCAATCACAGGCCATTCAACCACTTCCACTATACGCAGGTCTCAGCACCGATGAGCAGATGTACGTCTTCTCCGAGGCAGCAGAGAACACCAGAAAAGTCATACTCAGCACCAATATTGCCGAAGCGTCGGTCACCATTCCTGGAATCGTCTATGTCATCGATTGTGGCTTCGTCAAGCTGCGATCTTTCAACCCAGAAACCAATATCGAAACTCTCACCGCGTTTCCCACATCGAAGGCTTCGGCCATCCAACGCACGGGTCGAGCCGGAAGGACTCGACCAGGCAAATGCTTCCGTCTTTACACCCAACAAGCCTACAGATCATTGCCGGATACCACCGCCCCAGAAATCCAACGCTCGAATCTCGCCCCGATCGTGCTACAGCTCAAAGCTCTAGGTATTGATAACATCGTGCGCTTCGACTTTCTCTCCCCACCGCCTTCTCAGCTCCTGGTTCGAGCCTTTGATCTCCTTTACTCCCTGGGAGCTGTGGATGACTACGCCAAACTCACAATTCCGCTCGGTACCCGGATGTCCGAACTCTCCATTCCTCCCATGATGGCCAAATCCCTGCTGGCATCCTCGGACCCCAAATTTGCGTGCCAAGCCGAAATATTGAGCATCGCTGCCATGACCTCGCTCCAGGGGAATATCTGGTTTCACCATAGCGGCGAAAAGAAAGCCATGGAGCTCTCACGACGAAAGTTCGCCGTCGAAGAAGGTGACCATTTGACCTATCTAAATGTCTATCAAGCTTTCGTTACCAAGGGCCGAAAAGAGGCCAAATGGTGTCATGAGAATCACCTTAATTTCCAATCCATGACTCGCGCGGTCAGCATTCGCAATCAACTGCGTCGCTATCTTGAGCGGCTTGGGGTCAAAATTGAAGATCCGTCCTTGGTTCCATCTACTGTACCATCTCACCATTCAGGCGTTGGTACGAACGGAGCTCTTTCTCAAGCATCTTCTCGCGATAGGACTCTCAACATTCTGAAGTGCCTCACCACCGGCTTCTTCTCCCACGCGGCTAAGATGCAGCCAGATGGTTCCTTTAAGACAGTGTCTGGAGGTGTGACGATGCATGCGCACCCTACGAGTTTGATGTTCAATCGTAAGGCTGACTATGTGGTATTCCATGAATTGTTGGAAAGCCGGGAAAAAATCTTCATCAAGGACATCAGTAAAGTGGAGAAGAGCTGGCTGGTAGACTATGGAGGCGGCTTTTACATGCTGAAAAGTTAGCGAGCGTCCGAGAATGCGCCTTGCATGACTTTAATACTTGGCAGGCGAGTCGTGCGACGTGGACCAAGTCAGAGGCTGAGTAAGACAGTGCTTGAGAGTCTCTTGGCTGACAGGACCATCATCTCCCTATTGTAATATCATATTCCACGTACTATTCTTGGACTCATCGGTCCATCTCACCCTGAAGTGGGATGCAAAGTGACGTCTGATACTCAAGGCGCGGGCCAATAGCCCATCCACGGCCGACTGAAATTCGTGTCTGGCATCAGTCATAATCGTAATTCGTAATGGCTTCTCGTTGGGTAAAGCTAAAGGCCTCCTCTTCCGTCGCCAACCCCTTGTCCTTTCGCTTCTTCAATTCTCCTGGCCCTTCTTTACACACATCACACGCAAAAAGACAATCCACCGATGCAGGATCATCGCCAAAGTACTTGGCCACTAGTGCGTGCCGGCAGACCGTCGTGCCTTCGCAGAAATCGACCACGCTTTTCAGAGATTGCAATCGTGATTTGGCTTTGGTCTTATTCTTCTCTTTGTTGGCATCCATGCGAGTGCGGTAGTCACAGCGATCCTTCTCTTCCCGCGTATATAGGATGAGGCTAGAGGCAGCTTTACCATCGCGTCCAGCGCGTCCTGATTCTTGGGTGAATGCCTCCATACCTCGTGGAAGGCCGTAGTGAATGACAAAGCGAATGTTGGGAACGTCGATGCCCATCCCGAAGGCAGTTGTGGCGCAGATGATGTTGAAGCTAGCCTTCAAGCTTTCCATATCTATTGTAGTGCTAGTGGAAGTACGGAGATCAGATTGATTGGTGTTGGCGAGGCGGAGGAAGGATGCTTGTACTTTGGTTCTCTGATCTGTATCGAGACCTGCATGGTAGGCTTGAGCATGGATTCCAGCTGTGGACAATTTGAGGGCGAGGTGATCTGCCGCAGCACGTAGAGGGACATAGATTATACCAGTGATTGGTGGCAACGCTATGCAAGACTTGTCCGATTGTTGTTGTTGCAGCTGTCTTTGGCGAGTGGCTCTTCTCTGATGCATGAATTTCAATCTCGCTACCAGGTATGGGAAAACATCGTCCATGCCATTTTCTGGATTGGACTCGGAGAAATACTGTATCTCATAGTGAATATTAGGCCGAGCAGTTGAAGTTGAGAAAGACTTTGTCGTGGCATAATCAAGATGGAGGAATTTAAAAATGTCATCCCGAACCTGCTTGGTGGCTGTCGCTGTAACGGCGATGATTGGTACTTTGGGGCAATTCAGGTTTGTTTTGAGCCAGACTAAGTCCTTGTAGGCAGGGCGAAAATCATGGCCCCATTCACTGATACAGTGCGCCTCGTCGATAGCGATGCGAGTCAATTGGCCTTGTCGATGGATCTTGAGAATGAGCCTGCGGAAGTGGTCAGTTGAGCAAAGCTCGGGGGTGACGTAGAGGAGCTTGGTTTCTGGGTGGCCACATAAGAGGTCGGTCTCAATACGCTGCTTCTCGGCCCATGATGTCTTGCTATTGATGCACTCGACGGCGATGTCCAGCTGTTTTGCAGCAAAGACTTGATTCTCCATCAAGGCTAGCAGAGGCGAGATGACGACTGTGACACCGGTCGAAACGACAGCGGGTAGTTGGTAGCATAGTGATTTGCCAAAGGACGTGGCTGCACACAGAAAGACATCATGGCCATCGATAACGGCGTGAACTACGTCTTCCTGAAGAGCCCTGAAGGATTCTTTCTTGAAGACTCTCCTGAGGATGAAACCAAGGTCTGTCACATCGGGCTTTCTCTGCTGGGGCTTGCGTACCATTGCACGTCATGCACGCCGGATTCTCGAGATGGTAGTGATGTCCGATGGAGAAAAGATATTCATTCATAAGCACTCGTCAAGGGACCGACGACGAAGTTGAGAACGCGTCAAGGGCACACCATGTCGCGTGATAAGATCCACCGTATCTGATACATAGGTCGGATCACATTTCTTCTTGGCTGCAGAGCCTTGCTGAGTGGCAACTCACACCACAACTTTGTCCAGTTGTCAAGGTCCAATGTGCTTGAGATCGTTCAGGAGGTAACAGTCTTTCTGTATATACTTCGTACTATGCTAGGCATGCTGACGGGAATGCCGTATGTCACTTGGTTGAGGCTCTTCTACCCATGAAATTGGTGCAATTGGTCCTCACTCTATGGGCGTATCACGTGATAAGAGATTCGCAGAATGAGCCTATTTGAGTTTAGCTCGCAGTCACGCCAACATCTGAAACGCTATCGTCACCAATAATTCATCTAGATTTCAGGGAGGCAGCAGAGTTCTCTGTGCATTCAAAAGAGCCAGGGCCCTGGAGGGCCGATCCTCTTGCAGCTTGGTTTCTTCTTTCCATACTCTCAGCCACATGTTCTGCATCTGTCTAGGTGATTAATCATACTATGTTTAAGGTCCGTCTTTTGAAGCACCCGATGTGCCATGGTAGGAATTTCGCGGAATAGAGGTTGCGGGACATGCAGGAAACGGAAAATCTTGGTATGGCCTCGACTCAAACGTATCCCTCAAGGACCTGCTGACAGTATTATTCAACCTTGCAGTGCTCTCAAGAACGGCCTGCGTGTGCACAATGTATCAAATCCAAACGAGTTTGTGCTGGTTATCGGCTGTGGCCGGTCTTTGTCGACTACGAAGCTCGCAATCAGCCAGGCCTCAAGTTTCGGCCGCGTCCAACGACCAAAGATGATTGTATCTCGGTCAGGGGTATGGAGAGACCCGCGACTGAGATTATCTCCCAGGAATCGACACCGACTTGCAAGGAGTTGAGCCAGAGCCCAGAGATGAAGTTGATTCAAATGAACCTTCTGCCGTCCTATCGACAACAGCTTCTTTGTGAATACGTCGTTCAAATCATTCCTATGAGCAAGCTTGGTCGGTTGAAAGAGCATATGTGGTTTTTGTCGCTGCCCTCTCTGCCTCATCTAAGCGCTGCATTGGAAGTATCGGCCGTCGCTTTGTGTGCGGCAAAGCTAGGGGATTACAAGCAAGACAAGCGTCTCGCCTTTGAAGGATCGCGGTTGTACCATCGAGCCCTCGGGGAATTGATCAAAGCATTATTCCGGCCCGAGTCGGCGATGGATGATCAAACCTTGGCAGCCTGTGCCCTGCTTACCCATTACGAAATGAGCCAGTGTCCTCAGAACTCGGTTCTTGCATACACGCAGCACATGTTAGGGTTCCGGAAGTTGGTCCACTTGAGGGGGCCTGAGAGGCATGCCACTGGCATGGCACACGAGATCTTTCTCGTATTCCGGACCCAAGAGGTAGGCTACTGAAGTCGAGGCCTACTCCGCTATTACTGAATGCTTGACAGATCCTCCATGATATCGTGACGGACCAGCTGGGCTTCATCACTGAACCTGCATGGCAACAGATCCCGTGGCAGGGCAGGCGAAAGCCAGCCGAGGATCGCATCTGGGATTTGCTCACCTTGTCTCCAATTCTGCTCAATCACCAGCGAGCCTTGGAACAGATGAGTCTTCAAGACCAGCCTCGTGCTGCCATGGCTATTATCAAACTGTGCTGGGATTTAGATGAACAACTGACAGCAATTTGTAAGGAAGTTCTCGAAGGACATGAAACTCCACATTACTGGCCAGTGAAACCCAAGTACACAAGCTACGACGGGAGTAAAGACGGTGACTTAGTGATGCCCTTGGTATTCTACTTTGAGGATTTGGCCGCAGCGAGATTACACATCACTCTGTGGACAGCACAAGCACTCTTCTGGCATACAATGACAGAACTATACAAGAGAGTATCTGCGTTATTGCGAGCAAATGCGGCAATTGATGTACAAGAGCTGCACCCTAACCTGGAAAACTTTTCAATACCGGCTGTTGACTCTCCTCGCGCTGATGACTACCATCTTCCACCACTCGAACATCGGTGTGACTTTTTCACACCGGTGTACAACATTATTCGCTCTACAGAATTCTGCCTGCAGGATGAATTTTTGGACCTGGGCGCCAAGACGGTGGCTGCACCGCTGAGGTTGGCGATGGAAACCATCCGAGGAATACCAAAATATGAAGCAGAGTATCGATGGGGGGATCGAATGATGGTTGAGATTCAAAATCGATCGTTGCGCATGCTCGCGCTCTATGTACAAGACTGGGAGGCTGTCTCCCCTAGGACACACGTCGCACCACTCGAATGAAGAAGGGAAAATAAGACTTGATCAAAATCACTAAAGATTCTAACTGGCAGTAAACCGTGAGCTTTAGCTCCAGCTCCAGCTTCATAAACAAATCCCTCATCAGTTTGGTCTGTTGACTGTTGCTCTGTTGGTATGGCTGCACCTGATGCGTCTAAACTTGCCACTAGATACTACGGGGAAGTATTGATGGGGCTTGTGCTAATCCGTGGTCACATCATCTTTTTCTTGCCCCTGCTTTCCAACCTTCATTGTACCAAGCCCATACAACAGTCTCTCTTTAACGACCCCCTGGGCTGTTGCTTTTGCATTTCATTACACTTACTCTTGTTAGACTCATGGGGATGGATGTCGTTGCATGATTTTCACTCACCAAATTTTGAGAAATGGCTTCCCAGCCGGGCCCTGTGATGGAGTTCCTTGGTCGAGTGGCATATGAACTTCATCTGATGCGACCCCTTTTCCCTACTTACCTCCATCTCCTGGTCTCAGCAATCTTCCCAATCTACACTGCAGCTCACGCTTCTCTGACACGACCGCCATGTGCGGCTCCGGAAAAGGGAGAACGAAAGCGGGTGCGTGACGACGTTGGTGATGACGATGAAGAACTTGATTCACGCACGATCGAGACATTGACCCCGTCAGATGCATTGCTATTCCCCTTATTGGCCGGTGCGACATTAGCGTTGCTATACTTCATTCTGAAATGGCTTCAGGACCCGGCTTGGCTGAACTGGTGCCTGGGACTATATTTCTCCCAAATAGGACTCTTCTTCGCAACGAGATTTTTAAAGGACGCCTTCTCTTTGCTGCGATCCTTTTCACTCCCAACGAGCTATTCGGGTGCCGGTCAAATATGGAAGGTCGATCAGAAAGCAAGATGCTTCATATCAAACAGCGGACAAATCAGTCAATCGCCACTCCCGGGTTGGCTTCGTCATCTCCCCCTTCCAAGCCCCATCAGTCGACGTATATGGACCCTCCGCAAAGGCTTGTATTTGAAAGCGCAACTGGATTTCCGCCTGCACCGTATACTTGGTGTAAAAACATCTGTGGATCTTCTGGGCGTGGTCAGCCTTAGCCTCGCATCCGCATTGGTCTATGTCCATACCTTCATCGCGAAGCCATGGTATTTGACAAATTTCTTGGGGTTTTCTTTCTGTTACGGTTCTCTTCAATTTATTACACCTACTACTGCCTGGACGGGGACATTAATCCTCGGTGCACTCTTCTTCTACGACATCTACTTTGTTTTCTTCACACCAATGATGGTGACGGTGGCAACTAAGCTTGACGTCCCGATCAAATTACTTTTCCCTCGTCCTGATGGCTGTGTTTACCCAGTAGGAGCGCCGGAAGGATCACAGGCGATGGAAGAGTATCTTCAATGTCTGGCCAAGAATCGGACAATGGCCATGCTTGGGCTTGGCGACATCGTGGTGCCAGGCATGTTACTGGCTTTTGCCCTAAGGTTTGACCTCTACTTGTTTTACCTCAGGCAGAGCAACAGCACTGGAAATGTGGAACAGGAAGTGTCGGGTGATAAGAAGCAAACAAGCCCAACCTATCTGGGCGCGAGGGGCAAGTGGGGAGAGCGCTTTTGGACCGGACGCAGACTCTGGGGCAAAGAGCTCCAAGCAAGAAGTTTTCCCAAGCCGTACTTTTATGCCACAGCGGTGGGGTACATCATCGGCATGCTTGCAACGGTGACGGTAATGCAAGTCGCACAGCATGCTCAGCCAGCCCTTTTGTATCTCGTTCCGGGTGTTCTGTTGTCATTATGGGGCACCGCTTTGTTCAGAGGCGATCTCAAGCTGCTTTTCGACTATAGCGAGTCTCCAGAGATGGAACAGACAAGCAAAGAGGAGAAAGCAAAAGAACCCAAGCAGAACAAATCCGAAGATAAGTCAGTCTGCGATGCTGAACCGGGACATGACAAAGACGGTGTGGGAGTTGATGTGGAGCAGAAGCCTGAAGTCCATGTCCAGAAGACAGGGGAAACCCGCAAAGGCGACAAAGACCAGCTCTGTTTGATTCATTTTGCCATCACACTGCCCATAGAGCCTTCAGGCTCTGACGTCAAAACGATAGCTGACGGCACTACACAAGCGCTTTCGCACGAATCATGTCCAACCGACAAGATGGACACAATACCCGAGAACGTAGAGGGACGAATCCGAGATCGAGAGAATGAAGGCGAGCCGCCGGGGAAGAGGGCTAGGAAGCAGTGATTATGATCAAAATCGAGTGTGCACGATGCATTTGTTTCGGACGGCATGGACATGGGCATGGGCATGCCTGGAGCATAGCGAGGACCAGAGTTACGGGCCAAGGGATGGATGAACTTTGTGGTCAAGCTCACTACAGTGACTAGAATTGGTAGCCTATCTCTTGAGTGGGTTTTGCCAACGAGTTCGCCGATTGTGATCAAAACATGATATCACAGCGGGATGTCGGTTCAAGTACCAGGTTGGTCACTTTTTAAACGCCCATATGCTTCTTTCTCTGCCTTTATTTGTTCAGTTCTTGTGCTTTGGCCCTGAGTTCGTCCTTGGAAGGTGCTTCGGTCGGGATGTCTGGAGCATTGCAGTGTAAGTACTATGAACATGACCTCGTGACCTGGGGAGACGAAGCTGAGGGACAACATACCATCTGAGATCTGAGGACCCTTGCCTTGATGATGATGAGGCTGAGCCTTTTGATGTATAGGATGATCAGATGCGTTTGAGTCACTGGATTCTTTGGCAACTTTGTCAGTGATGCTGCCTCTGGGCTCAGAGTGGGTTTCTTCTGTAGGATGGGCAGGCATGATGGAAAGAGATGTTGAGAAAACAAGTAGTATTGGATGTGGTGTCTGAAATCGAGTATTGGCTGCTCTTGGAGGGTCAGATTAGAACGTTAGTGAACAGTCTGAAGATAAATTGAGAGGAGGGACATGTATATAAACTCATGGTCCAGGTCAAGGCAACAGGGCAATGCATGAGTTTGTTTGGATGAAATCAGATGACGATGACGTCTGAGAAATGTCATTTGTGACGGGCGATTGTCGATGTTTGGTGGGGTTGAGATTCAAACTGAACCAGAATGACGATTGTGATCCAACGAGGGGGGTTAATGTACCGAGTCAGGTGCCAGCTTGCCAATTGGCCCTGGGGTCCAAGTTAAGTAGAGGCAAGTAAAAGTGCCTATAAGATAGTGTCCGCGAGGCCTAAACTTTAACTTTTAGGCGCAATCCTACTACTTACTAGTACCTAAATCACCTCTCTGGGTAGGTAGCTACCTACCTAACCTAGGAAGGTACCTAGGCACCTGTTTAACCAGTTCCAGTGGCACAAGTCCTTCTGTACTCCGAGGCCTCGTACCTTCTTCCTCAGCCACAATTGTTGATCCACCTCCATGCTGCTGCCCACTGTTCAATAATAATGTCCAGTGTTCCTTCCAATATCCGCCCGTCCACTCATCAGTCTTGGCTGGACTCGTCACTAAAAGTACCTACTTAGTACTCCGTACACGTGCTAACCTTGACTCCTCCAAGTACAACCACAGTGACTCGTCATCTTCATCTTCATCTTCACACTGCACGCTTCCCTCCAGGTTACCCTGACTAGACCGCCCCCGCCCTGTTCATGGTCTATAGTTTCACTTCCAACCATAGATGCGGTTGTCTGCAATTTTCTGACAGTGCATCCATCCATCCTATCCCCGGCTTGCACTCCTGATTTCTTGTCCGGAGGTCGTCTCCCATCATGCCCTCCGTTCTCTCCGAAGCTGACAAGGAGACTGTCAAGCGCACTGTTCCAAAGGCTGCCAACAAGATCCAGGCTGTCGCCGTTGCAAAGCTCTATATTGCCTTTCCAGGCCGCCCACGATGGACATACACCGGCCTCCAAGGTGCTGTGGTTCTTTCCAACGACCTGGTCGGTAACACCTTTTGGCTGAAGTTGGTCGATATCTCTCCCGCCAACCGAGGCGTCATATGGGATCAAGAAATCTACGACACCTTTCAATACAACCAAGACCGAACCTTTTTCCATTCCTTCGAACTCGAACAATGCATGGCTGGCTTGTCTTTCGTCGACGAGAAGGAAGCGAGGACTTTCAAGAAGAAGATGGACGATCGGGAAAAGAATGCTAGCAAACAGACCAAGGCCCAGCCTTTTGCTTCCGCCCTCGGTGGCGGTCAGCTATATGTCTCGGGCTCTTCTCACAAGTCCCATTCTCGTGTTGGCAACTTCCTACGTGGCAACAGACACAGTTCCAACCCGGGGCCTCCCCCGATCCATGCACAGGCTCAGTCCATCACTCCTCAGCCTCTCTACAGTCCCGCCCCGTCGAGTCGACCGCACAGCACTGCCAACTCATCCGCAATCGATCTCTCCGATCCATCCTTGAGACCCATTTTGGACGAGTTGCTTCAAATGGGCATAACTGAAGACCAAATCGAACAACATTCCGACTTTATCAAGAGCTACATCAAGCAGAAGCAGGCGGAAGAGATGGCCTCCGGCATCGCCTCAAGTCTGCCACCAAACCCTCCCTCTGAGCCAAGGTCATCTAGGGCACCTCCTCCACCTCCACCTCCTGCTGCTCCCGCCGCTCCGCCTTCGAGGATCAGCCCAGAAAACACAGGGACAGCAACCTCCTCCAGCAGAAGAGGCCCTCCTCCAGCACCACCACCGTCTAGGAGACCGGTTGGTGGCAGAGCTCCATCGCCCCCTGCTCGATCACCATCCCCTCCTCCAAGGACACCGTCACCCGCGCCTAGCCCTCAACCGCGCTTTCGAGCCCCTCCCCCACTCGCCGATGCTGGTAAATTCGCCGTCAAGCCTGGTCCTGCAATACATCCATCAGGTCGAGATAGAGCCTCGTCTGCCTCACTGGCCAATCCCGGACCTCCGCCTCCACCACGACCACCCAAGACACCAATTGACGAAGACGTACAGCCACACGGCGCCCTTTTCAGAGTTCCTCCCCCATTCGCCGGCGACCGCAACTCATCCGGTCCCCCTCCGCCTCCTCCAAGTCGTGGTCCTGTACCCCCTCCCCCACCCAGTCGAGATCCAATTCATGCGCCTCCCCTCCCACCCAAATCATCTGGCCCCCCAGGCCATGCAGTCGCGCCCACGTTTATCCCACCTCCTCCACCGAGTCGGACTAATGCTCCGCCTCTACCACCACCAAACACCCGAGCAGTCCCCCCTCCCCCAGGAGGTGCAGGCCCTCCGCCGCCGCCTCCCCCACCACCCCCTCCTCCTATGCCATCAGCTGGTGGACCACCACCACCTCCTCCACCGCCCCCTCCACCTGGCGGTGCTGGCCCACCACTACCACCCCTTTCTGGCGCCGGCGGTGGGGATGGCCGCGACAATTTATTGGCGGCCATCCGAGGCTCGGGCGGGAAAGCAGGGGGCGGTCTGCGAAAAGTCAAAGATTCCGACAAGAGAGATCGTAGTGCGGCCGCAATCCCCGGAAGTGAAAGCTCTGCTCCCGCCCCCGCAGGCGCACCGTCTGCTGCACCTGCCGGTGGAGCTGACCAGGGCGGGCTTGCCGGTGCCCTCGCGGCGGCATTGAGCCAGAGGAAAAAGAAGGTCAGCGGAAGTGGTGAGTCATTCGCAAGATCTATGATGGAATCGAGGTGCTAACACGCGTGACCAGACGATGAGAAGGATGATGATGACGATTGGTGAGGCCGTGGTGAGTGGCTTGGAAGGTGTTATATGGGTTCGGACCCTGCTCGGTAGCGTTCTCTTCTTTGGGTGAAGAAGGTGTTGTCCGCGGGAGACTGGGCACTTGAAGCCAATGCAGATTGCATTGGGGAGAACATCAAAAGGGCATAAATCTAATCGCAAAGAAGAGGTGCCCCTGGAAGTCAGTCATAGGCCTGGTTATGAGGCCCTGGATTTGCTCCTGGTGAGAGATCTAATCTAGACACCCCTCGCTAGATTTCTCAATGTGACAACATATCCACAAGATTTATAAGATAAATCAGGCTTGCCCCATCAACAATAGCAATGTATAGGCGTGTCATCATTTAACGATTCTGACTTTATGCGCGACAGCGATGTATGGATTCAACTGCATCCTCATCTTTAGTGGACAGCCATGACCAGATTTGATTCTAGCACACTTGATGTCCATTCTATATTCCTCTGTACAAATAGCAAATCTGCAGAAAAAGACATTTCCAGAAGGATCAAGGATTTGAATGCAACAAGACCAGACATATAACTTGCATCGTCTTCGCCTAGTGTGGGTCCAACAAAATGCGATCCGGAGCCCGAAATTCGTCGTAGGATTCTCTCAATTCAATCCGAGAGGGTAGCGCACAATATATTGGCCTGTCACGAATCAGAGCATTATAGGCACAAATCGTCCTCCGTCCAGATCCACGGCCTGGGCGAATCTCTGATAGGTTCGCACTGGATAGCTGGATGCTGCTTGATTATTGACCACGACGCGTCCAACGTTTGGTTGTTTGACTCAGGCACCGGTCACGGCGGCCTCATGAACACTGGGTAGCTCAGGTGAGCCATGTTCTTTCTCTGTTAAACCGTCGAGCGTTGATCGAGCACGGGTTCGGTACACTGCGCTTCTCCTGTCGAGATGCCAGTGTTGTTGCGCATGTCCGCTGTGGCGGACAAATTTGGTCCTCGGAGGAATAAAATGGCGGTGCTTCCCAACAATCATCATCCGCTGATCGGCTGAGAAATTTCTTTTGCAAAGACGGTGTCCCAATATTGCGTCGCCCTTTCGCAGATGGCGGTCTTGCCCTGCCATGCTAGAATTGTCTCTTCATACTCACAAGCGATCTCCTTGACCACTTCCCACAGTTTTCGTTCCAGATCATACCCAAAATATGCGATGCTGCCTTGAGCATCCTCATGCCAGATTCTGCGAAGACGGCCGTCAGTGTCTTTTGTGGGACCTGTCACCCCAAATGAGACGTCGTCGAAAATGGATCCAGGGTCAATCTTGGGGAAGTTGACGTGGACAAATGCGGGCCGGACGGGCATCTTGCCTCTATCCTCGTCAGCAACAGCGGGTGACTTGAACGACTTTTGATTATGAAGATCTTCAAGAGGATCGAATTGGATCATTGCTGAGCCGCGCCAGTCTCCAGCCTTGCTCCTATATCCAAGGGCTTGCACGGGCTTTTGGACCGAATGAAAGGTCTCGTTGAAGGCGACAGCTGACCACATAAATGTCTCCTTGTCACCTTCGCCTGGGTTGCCTTGGGACTGCAGGGGATAATAGAAATCGGGGCCGTAAATGTTGTAATAGAGAGCGAGGAGGAGAGAGTTCGTGTGGTTTTTCTTGGCGTAGAAGAGTTCTCCCGACTCAGTAGAGGCCTGAGCCCAAAGCTCGGGTTGTGGGATGCCCGCGATGTCAAAGAATTGTGAATGCTCCGAAGGGAACCAAAAGTCTGGCCAGCGAATCATGCCGGTGGTTCGGAAGGGCTTGGTTTTGAAGTAGACGCTAGGATCAAAGACAGGAAAGCAATCGGAATCGAGAAACAGAACCTCTTCAAAAGACGAGAACAGAATCGACATGATTTTGTACTGATATTTGTTGATTGATGGTGCAGCCTCCTGTCCAGATGGGTTGAAGATATCTTCCAAGACTATACAACGCGCGTTGAGAGTCGGAAAGATGATGCCGCAAATCTGCGAGTCCCACTCAGAATGCGAGGCGAGAAAGACTTCGACGGGAAGCTGGGAGCCAGTAGCCCGGAGCATGCGGAGAGACAAGAGGGCCACAGGGAGGTATTGTCCTCCGGCAGTGGTAACTATACCACGGGTGTGGTGAGTAAAGGGCAACGTGTAGTTGGCTGAAACCAGATGAGCAGTGAATCTCTGGTGCGATGAGCGGAGTTCGGTCGCCTGCTCGGGAGAGATGGCGAGACGATCGGGTCGAAGCTCATCATGCTTGGTGGAATCATATCCGACTGGATTGCCAGCTACAGGACGAAAAGGCTCACATTGAGGCTTGTTTTGCACAATGTTGGGGTAGATAGAGCTCCAGAAGGAGATCCGTGCTTCGTAGAGCGGGTCGACAGTGTCAGGATTAGAGGTTGTGGTCGAGGAACGAAATAGGTGAACTCCCGAACGATATGAATACAAGACGTATAGTGATGACGCTAATATGGCGAGGAGAAGCGCAGAGCGAGACGCTCGCTGTAGAGGCAACAGCATTCTCAGGAACTCATTATTAGAAGCTCCTCATACTGCTGAAAGGGCGTCCTTAGCAACGAAGGCCCGAACTAGGCCGAGTTTGCAAGAAAAGAGGTGGTAGGGGACTCGTAGAGAGCGAACTAAGCAAAAAGAGAGATGTGAATCCAGCTTGTACGAATTAACTTGTACCAATTCGGCAGGGCAAAAGGGTGAAGGAAAGGACAAAATCAAAGGGGGCTTCGTAGGATTGATGAAGGTTCGATGGCCAATCTCACCTTCTTACCCTGTCCTGAGGCGGCCTTGCCTTCCATGACGCTAGGAAGCGAGTCTGGGTTCATTGCGGAACTGGTGGCGGAAGCCAGGTGTAGAATTGCCGGGGGTCGGCTAGTCGTAAGACTGTGATAATAAAGTTCATACGGCTTGACACGAATGTACAGAGTACGCGTTCCCCTTTCGTTCGCAAGGCCAACTGTCTTGGAGCCATAATCATAATAGCCAAGATTGTTCGATTGACCATGATGAGTTTTTGGACGCTTACTATGGTAGTAACTGGTGACTTAGGCCTGCTCTTGGAACTCGCATGACTGCAGACTGAACCTCAACAATGATGAAACCCAAATGCAGGGTGACGCTCTCAGGGGTCAGTGCAGCTGGTTGCGTTAGGAACCATGTACTCTGTAAATGGTTAGAACTTACTCATACGGAGTAGATCTGACCCACGAAAGTGCGCCAACGGGTCCGAAGGCTTAATCTGGTCCCTATATTGGTCTTTGGGATAATCATCATAGGTCAGATCTTGGGTGAAGCTAGGGGCCAGAGGCGGGATTCGGGGGGGAAAGGCTAGCTAATCAGCCATCTCGTGATCTGGATTTAAGCTTTTGGCCCCCCCAAAGGGTCCCCAGAAGAATCCTTGAGCCTGAAGGCGTCCCCCTGCGCCATGCGAATGATGCCGAAAATTGGATTTCGTTCCAGGCTCACTGCGCCCGGTCGAGAATAAGACGAAAACGAATAATGCAGAATGTGAGCGCCGTGAAAAAATGACGAGAAAACTGGAGGCGGAGGCGGAGGCGGAGGATGTTGGGAAGGCATCAACATCAACCAATTTCATTTGGACAGGAAGGAGCAAGTGACGCAGTAAGTAAGTAGTCTGCTTCGCAAGGCAAGAGCATCCTTGCCCGGACACGCACCTGAGCACCTGCACCTGCCAGGAATTGCATGGAAATGCGCCTGACGTGAACTCAACTTGAACCTCACCTCATCCCAGTTCCTTTTACCACCACTACTTAAAGCTATTGAATACATCATCCGCCCAAATGAGAATCCCAACGCTGTCCCTTTAGCCATGGGTGAGAGTCGCGGTCCTTGAATATTCATTTGTTTCTCCTATTACATACCCAAGTCAACCTTTCTTGGTCAAATAATATTCGAGTACGAAATATGCATCGAGGGAATGACTCGAGAATGGCAAGGAGTTTTTATTTTTCAGGCCACACAAGGACTGCTCCTGTAAACAAAGCTTTAGGAACTCGCTCCGAACTCATTCCCATGTTCATCACTCACAGCCCAATCCCTATTGTTTTTGATAAAACGCAATGGACAGTCCTTATGCCATCTCCCCGCCTACCAATCTCATGCTCAATAGACGACAACCTCGTCTGGAACGGAATTTGGCAAACATGTCTAAAGGCTATCAGGATGAAGGGAGTGAGTGCGCTTCGGAACCTAGCAGGCATGGAAGCTTCACCAGCTTCTTCGTAGAAAGTCAATTTGCCGAGGTAGCCAATCAAATGCTGTTCTTCGGCCGCAACCTCGTTATGGCATGAGACTGAACGCAGTGATCGACATCTCACAATCGATGAAAAGGCACGCGTCCTCATTATGTCTGTCGGCATTCAGAGCAAGCCCTCGGAAGAGGACTTCAGCGCTGCTCAGAGACCTTAAAACGCCAAAGGGGTCGCTGATATGCACTTGATATCCTTGCGGAGATTTGCTTCGATCTAGTTTTGGTTCTACATTTGACCGCCTAAGATATCATCAGTGACCACCACCATGTCGCCCGGCAGACTTCAAGAGACACTTTGTGCGAAGGATTTGGCAGATCAAGTCACAGCCTCGATTCAAAGACATGAAAGTAGGTTGATGGAGATCAACAAGAAGGTCAGTTGTGCGACTATAGTGGTTGCAACAGGCTCAAATATACTTAGATTCATGACAACCCTGAATTGAGATATCAGGAGTTCCAGGCCCACGACAACATTTGCAAATTGATGGAATCCTTGGGATATTCTGTCACCCGCCATGCTCATGGTTTAGAGACCTCCTTTCAGGTAGAGTATGGGTGTGAAGGAAGAGTGGTTGTGTTCAACGCAGAATATGATGCACTTCCGGGCATCGGACACGCATGTGGCCATAACCTGATTGCGACAAGCTCTATTGCTTCATTCATTGCAACAGCTGAGGCCATGCGTCGTTCTAGTGCCATCGGCCGTGTAAGGTTATTAGGCACACCGGCCGAAGAATCTGGTGGTGGCAAGATCAAGCTGATTACTGCTGGCGCATATCGGGATGTGGATGCCTGTCTAATGTCCCACCCTGGACCGGCTGCTGTAACGGGATCCAGTTCCCCAAAAGCGTTTGACGGTATTGCAGCAACAAGATCCCTGGCAAGGAAAAAGGTCAATGTCACATTTCGTGGAAGAAATGCCCATGCCGGGTTGAACCCCTGGGATGGGGCCAATGCTCTGGATGCTGTTGTCTCTTCTTATGTCAACATATCTCTACTGAGACAGCAGATGTCACCTACCGCACGTGTACACGGTGTTGTACGGAATGGCGGAGCCGAGCCAAACTTGATACCAGATGTCGCTGGGCTGGAATACTTCGTTCGTGACGCGTCTGCTCAGGGAGCAAGCGACATAGCGAAGAAGGTTGATGCATGCTTCCAGGCAGGTGCCACCGCCAGTGGTTGTACCGTTGAGTGTGTGTGGGACAAGTAAGCATTCATGGCTCATTGGCCCCAGACAGTTCTCTAATTGAGCAGGGAATCGGACTACAAAGACCTCATACCGAACATGACACTGGCCAGGATCTTCACGAGATGCATGTCGAGAATTGGAAGGACATACCTTGAAGATGGGCGTGATATAACTATGGGTGCTTCAACCGACATGGGTGAGTTTGAATGTAGTCCATGGAGAACAAGTATTTGACTCAGCTTGTGCTCCAGGAAACGTCTGTTACGAACTGCCCAGTTTTCACGGGGTTTTCAGTGTTGGATCGGAGATCCCTGGAGCAAGCCCTCACAGTCCAGACTTTGCTGCAGCTGCAGCGTCTGAGACTGCATTCAAGTTGGCGATGGATTGCGCGAAAGGTATGGCAATGACGGCATATGAGATCCTCACCAACGAGGCGACATCCGATCAAGCATGGAACGAGTTCAAGACCGAATTTGCAGGGCGATAGTACAATGGTGTCGGACACGGCTCTTCACAGCTCAGGCTTGAGGGCAATCCATTTCGAATAACATCGTCTTGTCTCTGACATGAATGTTAATTACGTATCTGATAGAAGAAACACGTCTCCTTTCCTCTGTCTCTTCCCCATCCAAAGGCTGATATGCCAAGAGCTTGGCGCATGTTCACGTGACATGTCATCGTGTCCACCATTTCCTCATGTTTGCTTGCTTGGGTTTGGGTCTATCACGCGAAAATCTCTCTCGCAACCTTTGCTATCACAGAACACGTTGTTGACGATCGATAGAAATGATAAGGGCTGTCTACTAATGCAAGCTCTACCGACGATGATCGGAGCATGACTTCCAATATGCCCATCAACCCTTACAAGCTGCACCTTATAATTGGGGACGTCGCATCCTGGTTTGCCGGCAGAGCCAATGAACGTCCAACCCTCGGACCGTGTTGACGGCGGCAACCAAAGAAGCCTCGAAGCAGACTCGATCCAGAGCCATGTCGGCAATAAAATCATGGGGTATCTGCCTATCATGAAAGCCATTGTGATCAGCTCAACCTTTACCCCAGAAGCAGAATGTGGTGGTTGCTAGTACTTGATTTCGGACTTCTGCGACATGTCAACTTGGATATGGTATTGTCCAGAAGGCGGACACTCAAAATAATCATGATATCGGCATTAGAATAGTAGCCGGCATTACTCTGGGCATGTTGAAGTCCGAGCTGTCTTTCATTATAAGACCTGTCCAATTCCCGACCTTTCATCAGCGATCAAAGAGCTTTGAGTGATCTTTACCTTCCTCTGACCTCGTGGACTAAACGCATACACTGTGATCAAGCCAACATGAGAATGCCTGAAAAGATGCAAACTCTGACACCTACTCAAAGCAAGGCGACCAATTTTGAAGTTGGTGATGTCGTCAACCTCAAAGATCATGACTTGCCAGCGGACGTTGAAGGAGACACACACATGCACATCGTGCAAGAACGGAAGCTCCTCAGGAAGATTGATCTCTGGTGAGCGAAAGGCCAATTGCTGCAAAATAAGGAAGGTCGCTGACTTATACATAGGATTATGCCTCTTCTGACAGTGTCATATCTTCTGCAATTCCTCGACAAGCAGTCATTGAACTTTTCTTCGGTTATGGGTATTATTCAAGACCTCGTCAGTCCTGCCCACAATATGATCTATCCCCACCTAGAACGTCCTCAGCTTACCGTCAGTGACAGGATCTCCGAGGCACACAGTACTCATGGTCATCCAGCGTCTTTTACTTTGGTTATCTCGCCTTCTCCTACCCCGCATCCTTCCTTATGGTACGGCTTCCTCTTGGAAAGTATCTCGGTGCTACCTGGTGAGCATTTGATTAGTCCTGCTCCTGAGTCTTGACAATATGCTGACGTTGCGTCCAGTGTTGCTTGGGCTGTCTGCCTCGCCTGTCATGCTGCAACCTCCAGCTTCACTGGCTTGGTCATCGTCCGATTCTTCCTCGGCGTCACAGAAGCCTCCATATCTCCTGGATTCTCTTTGATGACAGGGATGTGGTACAAAAGAAGAGAGCAGCCCTTGCGACATGGGATTTGGTTCTTTGGAAATTCTCTGGCGGTCATGTTTGGGAGCTTGCTCGCTTATGGAATCGCCCATATCAAACATAGCATTGGTCCCTGGAGGGTGGGTTCGCCCCTGTATTGATGAATGTGGAGCTCCTGCTGATCAAGAAACACCAGTGGCTTTTTATCATCTTCGGGATTGTTACGATGGCATGGGCTGGCGTCCTGCTCTGGTATCTTCCTGACACGCCGAGTACTGCTCGATTTTTGACCGAGTCGGAGCGAGTCCAAGCGGTCGATCGCATTCGAAGCAATCAGACCGGGTTGAAGGAGAATACGTTCGTTTGGAGGCAGGCAATCGAGGCCATGACTGATCTCAAAGTCTGGCTTTTGGTCCTCTTCATGCTGGCCAACTCTATTCCAAATGGCGCCTTTACCACGGTAAGCAGTCTGAGACAACCTTCTGGGGAGGGTGGCTGATAGATTGTTCTAGTTCAGTAGCCTAGTCTTTGCAGGCTTCGGTTACGATAGGTTGCAGGTCTATCTTTTACAGATCCCTCTTGGTGCAATTCACGGTGTATTTGCGCTACTATCAACCTATCTATGCGGAAAGCTCCCGAATTCGAGATGCATCATCGCCGCAACACTTACCTTGGTCAGGTGAGGCCCATCCCTTTCTAGCGTTCTCTCATCGATCTGTCCTCTAACATTCAATATGAGACAGTTTGGTTGGCAGTGTTCTCGTGCGCTACGGGCCAAATCTAGGAAGTAATCTCCTTGGACTGTTCATCTTCATTGGCTATGTCGCGGGAATTCCTATTACCCTGTCCATGATCAGCTCAAATGTTGCAGGATTCACAAAGAAAGCAGTTTCCTCGTAAGTTCTTTCTGGATAAGCCTATCCCATCGAGCAATCCCTCCCCTTTTGGATTGATTCGAGACTCCCGCATTCTACGGCTATTTGTTCCTTTTGCTAATTCACCAAATTTGATTAGAGCCATGGTTTTTGTGGCATACTGTGCGGGAAATCTCGCGGGCCCATTCCTTTTTATTCCGTCGGAGGCTCCTTTATATCCAGTGCGTATTCCATTTGTGCATCCCCACAACAGATAAGCTGACAGTCGGGTCCACAGAGCGGTTTCTTGGCCACCACCATCTGTTTCGCCATGGCAGCATTACTGATGGGAACACTTCGAGTTTTATACACGTGTGAGAACCGACGGAGGGATAGACTACAAACGGAGGGAGGCCGCCATGACCAAGGGGTCGAGGCTGCGGAGCAGCTTTCACTGACAAATCAGACAGACAAGGAGAATCTGGGCTTCCGTTACGTCCTCTAGGTCCAAGGAGGGGCTGACAGCCTGTGTCGCAGGCCAGTCATCGCGAACAATCGACTTCGATGGACATTCGATCTTCGGTGGAAATATGTAGCTGGTTATGGTACTTAGTACGAGGACAGTAGAATGCACGACTGGTTTCGACCAAGGGTGGCGACAATGAGGAGGTGTTAGTGTCTGCCCACACGCTCTATCACGCGCCGATGGGGTCAATGCATCTTATCTGCGCTGTCGGATACGATGGCAGTGTAGTGAGATCTGTCAACGCTGCGGAGCTGAGACATCCATATCATCTCCGCTTCCTTGACACGTGATTAGCTTCTGAGGCGCGTCTCCTCTCCGCAAAACTTATCGTCTTCATCGTCACTGAGGCCTCGGACTCTTCAACAGAACAACAAGGAGGCGAGACCTGCGTCACCTGAGTCTCAAATCACTACCTTTGACTTGTTGCCCCGTTGGCATCTCCCGAGATGTGACCATGGCTTCTAAGGCCCCATCCGGCCGTCACGGACCTCGATCCAAGCTTGGTCAGCCAGCACCTCCTTCTTCTCGCCCAGACTAATGTACTCTAGGTTGTTCGACTTGTAGGGTCCGAAAACTGAAATGTGACGAGCAACGACCAACTTGTTCCCGATGTGCGGAGGCCAGATTCCCTTGTGAATGGGATAAGCCTGTGCCCCGTCGGAAGCCACCTACCAACCAGAAGAGCAATCTTGTTGGTTCGTCGAAGCCATTCAAGCTTGCTCCTTTGTCTTCTCTCGCGCGAGGGGAGTCTGACCCAGCACGACCCGTGAACTATTTGGATCCTTTGCCTGACCAGGGATCCGAGAATGACGAATACATCTCCGTAGCCGGTCAAACTCCATATCGGGCGATTGACCATGATCTCCTTCAAAGTGCCCTGTCTCCGAGCCACGTGGTGCTTCCCAACTCGTTGGAGCTTTCAGCCGAGGATATTGAGTCCTTTCAGTACGTTCCCAATTCTCTGATGGTGCTTCGATTCGGCAAACCCTGGCGGTGGAGCATGCTTTCGTATGTCCACTCCAACATTGCTTGTTACGAAGCCGGCGTGATGAGGGCTTTCATTGCAGTCGCTTCAATGGAAATGAGATTTCTTGAGCTTCTCAAGTTTCAAGACTCAGTCCCAACCCTGGAAAGCCTGTCCAAGACCCGTCGTCTAAGAGAATCGGCAGCAAAGTACCTTACTTTAGCCCTCAAAGACCTGTCTTCCGTTTTAGATCGCTTGTCTGGCCCGGAGCGGAGCTCACAGGATATCGACGCTCTCTTCTCGATATGGTTTCTCGTCATTCATATCGGGCTGTACGACGCAGATCTCGTCGTGGCATCGCATGTTCATCTGAATGGAATCCGCTCTTTCATCAGCGGCTACATCAATGGCAATGTTGCCAATGAAGAGGATAAGCTGCCCCCAACCTCGCAACAGTTACTGTTGTTCATCGCGTAAGTGCCTTCGGTGAAGCTTGTGTGTCTGACTGACGAAACTGTGTAGATACCACGACATTACCCTCGCTCTGGGGAACATGAATGGTGGCGAGCTCTCCCTAGATCTCCTCAATGCCCCTCCAATGTCGCCGGTAGCATACGATCAGGTATTTGAGCAAGCTCGGCGGTGCCTTCCTAAGATATGGGGCCCGGATTATCCCATTGAAGAATTGATGGACGATGTCGAGAACTATCGAGGTCTGTCCTTCCTGACTGTGTGTCAAAAACTCAAGTTGAGCGTGTGGAAACTCGGCATCGCCGCTGCTCGAGGTAATGCAGTCGAGGAGAGCAAAATGAGATTATGGAGTAGGATTGAGGAGACTGGCGAGGTGAGTCGGACAGCTCTACCAAATTGGCGCATTTTAGTGACCTTGGACGTTCACTGGCAGCAATACAGCGACCTTTTGATCCTCGGCAAAATGATCCAAGCATCTGGCGGCCGACGAGTCATATGGACAGTCTATCACGCGTGTTTGGATTACTACGCCCTCAGAGTCTTCTTCACTTGCATTGGCAGCCAGGATTCTCAGACGCTGTGGCTCGATGAAACGTTGACCGAACTACTCAACATTGCATACAAAGCAATGAATGAGAATGCTCAGCAGATTTATCGCTATGCGTGGCCGCTGATTGTGGCGTTGCTCAAGGTTCGCGATCCAATCCATCGCGACTGGATCCGACGTCAAGTCAACAAAGCCGGAGTCCTATTCTCAAACCTGGGCCTACCACCTAATCTGGTGCAGGGCAGATGTTCACCCGAAACACTTTTCCTTGAATATGATCAGGCTCGCGTGGGGGATAGTAGTTGATGTGAGCAGAGTGGATGGATGAAGCATGAAGGACGGCGGCCTCTGTAGCACGTGAGCAGAAGCGCACGTGCTATCGTCATTTTGTTGGTTTATAATGCGACCAAGAGTGATCCGCCGGAGGAGATTTTGCACTTCATGTTTTCTGCGTTACGGCGAGTTTGAGAGATGCAGTACTACTAGATGAGTCCTTGAAGATTCGAAACGGCTAGCCTCTAGCCCATCCCATCGACTTCTCTCGTGGTGAGTCGTCGCAACAGACGTCAAAGCTGCTAGATGCAGGCTTTTCGTCCCCTGCTGCGGCGCAATGTGCGACGCGGTCTCGACCTCCGTCTAGTCGTCTTGCCCCGAGCGCAGCACAATTTCCAAGGACCTCACAAAGAATACTTTCAAACTCCTGGCCAGAATCCCCTGCCGGATACGACGCCGTATACACATGTTGCACCCCCCAGCCACCCTACGCCAGAGGCTCCTCCTATCAATCCTGGTCGATCCCTCTTCTCACGAGCCGGGCGATCCCTGTTCTGGGCGACGTTCTTTGGGATTTCGGGCGTGGTCGCAGGTACGGCATTGATCACTTGGGAGTATCTGCAACCACCTTTTGAGCCGGGTTCAGAAGAGGAGGCGGATCTGTACGAGGAAATTTTGGAAACACTAGATACATCCTCACTGGTGGAAGGGTTGAAAGAAGACCAATGGATCGAGGAGACCTTCTACACTGGGCGCCTGCGAGGGGCAACCGGTGTCCACCTGGTCAAGGAAAAGCTCACGGGGACGCAAGGAATCACCATCAAGACGTTCAAGCACGCGTCTCAAAAGTATACCATGATGGTCGCTTTCCTCGGATTTGGAATTGAAGGATGGCCTGACGTGGTAAGCGGTGTGAGCAAGCCTCGGGACGCTTCAAGGCTTACTCTGCCATAGGTTCATGGAGGAATCATTACCACACTGCTCCAGGAGAGTGTTGACCGACACATCCGCACTTTCTACCAAGATCTCGGCGAGCAGGATTCACATTTCATCAGTGTTGACTTCAAAGCGCCAACGCGACCGGGCAACATCTATGCGATTCTTGTGCCACCGGCGGGAGTCGAAAGCGACATCTTCGGTCGCAAACAACTGCATTTGTTTCCCATGCTAATGCGAATGGAAGTTGCACCAATCCTCGAGACTGAGTATGACAACTCTTCCCACATTGAACGCTTTGTGATCCGTATTCCAACACCATCGGCACAAGATGTCACGCATGCTGCGGCTACTGTCCGGGTCCGCATGGTGCGCAAACAGAAAGATAATGAGTCCACGCCAGGGGCTGTGGCTGACGAGAACCCGTGACGAGAGTTACCAAAGCCGGCACAACATTCATGCACAGGGACGCGTCAGTATCATGGACCGAGGTTCAGAGACTCGTGCTTTTGCCCCTTTGAGTGCTTCCCCGCCCCCAAGCACATTCCTTTTGCTTTTCTGATGCGAGAGTGGCGGACGGAGTACTTGCGGGAGGCGTCCAGCAAAAGTTTGGGCAAGGGGTGTAAAGGTGAAGGTATTGGTCATTGCAAGTGAGTAGAACCCAAAGCACTATGGTCTACGTCTGGTGTTGCAGGATCGAGAATGAGACTGATGCATAGCGTAGAAAAGCTTTGAATGGACAACAAAAGGTAGCGAGATCGACACCAGAACCCTGGTGGCAATAATAGTGACCAAAGTTGCACCTCTGCCAGGTCTAGTCTGGTCATTGGCATTGGCATTGGCTAGGGAAGCTTAGTTTGCTCGGCCAATGCTTGATAGAAAGGTTCAGTCTTTGGCATGGGTAACGGTGAAGAGACGGGAGAGGTTGGAACAAAGGACATCTCTTCATCGCAAGTGTGCCAGCAGGACGCACAAATGAATGTTTACAATGCAGAAATACAGGGGGCCGAGTCAACCTGACGTGTCGACACTTGCCTGGGCCTGGCGGCACGAGGACAGAGTGCTGTTGACTTTATCAGGGCATAAGATGGGCGCCGGTGGGGCCGGAGAAGGTGGCAATTGCAAAAGGTGATATTTGCCAGAGACGATGATCGTTTCTCGCAGACGGTAAACTTTGCTGCAAACGTCGGCAAAACAGTGGTCAAAGTCTGATGGGAAGGGTGGGAAAGGACCAATGCAACTCAGTACCTAGAGGCAAGATAGTGCCATAAGGGTACGATGGCACTTTTCGAGACCACTCAAGGTATCTCGAAGTTGAGACAGCTCCGAAGTGCCCATGTGGCCAGGTACCTAAGAGCCCACATAGAGAAACGTTCGTGACGGTCTGAGGGCCCTTGCAACAAGGTTTAGCAATTTGGAGAAACAAGACGGTTTATGGGAAGCTTAAGTCGATGATTGCTGATCACATGGGCATGCATTGACTACCAAATAAGACGGTGAATGAGGTGGAAGTTGGCCAGGCCACGCACGACCTCTGCCTTTCTCCACAAGAACGCTGGACCGCGGGGCTCCTCGGCCGCTGAGTAGCGCTGAGTAGCGCTGACTGGCGCGGCAGTCTGGACTGTTGGCTTCTCTTAGAGGTGGGTCTAATGTTAGAGCTTACTTGCTCCTGTGTACGGAGTATGTATCTTGTTCAACGTCTTAGAGGAAGTGAGGGATTGGGTATCGGTGGACGGTAGACAGCGGTTGGAGTGAATTACGGGCAGATTCCGCTTCAGCTAGGCCATCACTTTAATCACTTTACAAGTCTCTCGTGTTCATAGCTTGGCTGCGTTGCAAGTCCCATGTGTGGGCGACTATGTTGTGAGGTAAATGGAGGCTAAGCTGTTCTAGCGACTGACTCGATTCGCACCATAGATAAGTTTACGAGGAAGAGGACTGGGGCGGCAACGGGGCCGTGGTGGCTGCGACTGCTTTACAAGGGTTTGATTCCTGGGACGGATTGCCACCAAAGTCTAGCGCTTCTTCGTACGGAAAAAGCCCCTTTTAACCAAGCAGGTACCTAATTCAGAAGCCTACTAAGCAGTACAGGTGGCCAGATGTTCCCGCTTGAGCCACTGGGTCCGGGCGATGAAGCCTGAATCAAAGCTTCCAGGCGTTCTGCCTGGAGGAGGTGACAGTTGATGGGCAAGGGATTTGTACCTCGTTTAGGGTCTCTAGAGGTCCGGGGGGCCTGGCACACTTTGTTATTGACACTTTGGGGGCATTTCCGGCTTCTGTAGAGGGGACGTAAAGTATCCATGAGCTCCTTACCTCAGGTGCCTAAGGTACCTAGGGATGGTGGCATGTAGATGCGACATGCCGGGGCCTCCCCCCCCCCCTGGGTCTTGCTCATCGGCCCGAGATATCTCCACTACCCCAGGTTTCAACTTCGGTACTTACTTACGGAGTACGGAGCAGTACAAGGAGAGAGGGGCGATCGACACCCACCAACCCCATACCTGAGCGTCCTATCCATTACCAGCCATGAACCAAAGTGTGCAACTCATGTGCTCATCTCCCAACTTGAACAAGGGATTCCTCTACCTAAGGGACATTAGAAACTGGAAACAGCCTGAGTATTAGTGGTGTCGATGATAGAGTGGCTGCTTTCTACTGTAACTTAGGTAGTTATCACGCGTGCCACGACTCTACATACTACAGCGACGCAACAACAACTCCCAACAAGCTGGTACCTCCCCGGTAGGTACCCACTCTACCCCTCACTTTGTTCAATGTTCCCAACTATGGTTAAGCCTAGGTACGTCGACTCAGGTTCCAATTCTCGCGAGTTAGGGACGCATCACACATAACACCTTTGTACCTGGAACGAAACACGGCAGGTCCACCATTGCCAAGTAATCTTAGCATTGATGCTTGGACATTGCTTGGAAAGAGCCAGAACCAGTGGCAACTTCCCAAACGACTCCCCATTGTCAATGCTCTTTCCCAGCATTCGCGGTCTTCGCTCCTTCCCCTTCAGCTTTTCAACTGCTGAAAGGGAAAAAAAGAAAAGGAAAAGGAAAAACCTCCTCACAATCTCTGCCACGATTGCTGTTGTTTCGACCAGATGATCTATCGAGGTGGGCTTGGATCCATCCGGTCTCGCTCCGATAGATCCTCCCCTCCTCCCCGCACGGTATGCTTGTCTTCAAAGCCTAAAACCATCTCATCAAGTCGACGCTTCTATCACTCGCGGAAGCTGTCCGCCCACGGCCTGGGCCAACCCAACGCAGCCCTTCCAGGAATCTCGACCCAACTCTTCCATCTCCTTCGTGGTCCAGTCTCTTTGCCTCCTCATACCTCAGCCGTCCAAACACCAACCTCCTTTTGATGGTAACGCTACTGTGCAAAATTCAGTCCCCACATCTCGACTAGTTGCTGCCAGGGCCAGACTCAATCCCTGCCCCCCACCTGCTGAAATCTGTCGGACACACGCGCTCCACCAGCATCATGGCCCTGCTCTACCAATCTTCCTCTCCCTCTCCCACTCCCAGTTTCGAGCCTCAATCGGATCGATCCCGCATCGGCCACAGCCAGCATCCTCGCTCCACCACCTGTTCTGTACCCCACGATTCTTCTCAAAAAATAACCTTTCCACTAACCAATGCCATGACCAGGCATTCCCTGGTTGGGGTTGAACCTTGTCGTGAGTTCAATGACGCCTCGCTTGCCTTCGCGATTTCTGGATCCCTCCACTAGGGTCGACTGTCTGTGCTCGTTTCCTTCGCCATATCAGATTGTGTTCAAGACATGTATGAGCTGCTCGAATCCATGCCCTTCGCAACAAAGTACATCAATCCCCCACCATCCTCCTTTTCTGCTTTCACCTCCTTTGCTCTCTCCACCCTCCACCCTCCAGGAATCTTCCTCCTCTCTCCTTATTGTTTCTCCCACTAGCATTGATTGATAGTCAAGCGATCACCACTTGACTTGATCCAATCCAAGAGACTCCGATCACCCTCATCATGGCGTCCACCCAACAGCCCGAACTGACATCCTCGAGTGAGAGTGTACCTTCCGCTGGCGATGTTAATAAGGAAGGTTCCGCACATGTTGAACAGATTCACACCAACGAAAGGGTTCCGGGCAACCCAAACTATTACGAGAAGGATGGTCTTCGTACGACTGGTGATGATGAAGACCATGAGCATGAGCCTCCCGTATAGCAACCTCCCCATCGTCATGTTGACTCAAAGCTCTAACCCATCTTGACAGATGACCGGCAAGCGAGCTCTTGCCCTCGTCGCACAAGCTTTTCTGTGGACTGGTTCTCAGATCCCCGTCTATATCCTCGGCGGTGTTCCGCCTTACATCTATGCTGATTTGGGCGGTGTTGATCGTTGGATCTGGTTCGTCCTGGCCTACCTTCTCGCTCTGGCTGCCGTTTGCCCGTTTGTCGGCAGTATCTCCGATTTGGTCGGTAGACGTTATGTCGCCCTTGGTGGTTCGGCATTGCTTGTCATTGCTATGATCATCTGCGGCACAGCCAAAAACATGAACGTCTTCATTGGTGAGTTTCGACGCCTGTTCACCACTTCGATCATCCCCTTACTGACGCAATCGTCCGCCAGTTGGAATGACCTTTTCCGGCGTCGGCGCTGGTATCTGTGAACTGACCTCCCTGGCCGTCACTGCGGAGCTGGCACCTACTCGTCAACGCGGCAAATACGTTGCAATCTTGGTCTTTACCATCATCCCTTTCTGCCCTTCCGTTCTGTGGGCACAATTGATTGCTTCACATGCCGGCTGGAGATGGTGCACCCTCCTCTGCGGCCTGTGGGCTGCAGTAGGCTTTGTCGGAACCCTCTGCTTCTACTTCCCTCCTCCCCGACCAAACTCTCGCGGCCTCACACGGAGACAAATCATCGCCGAGATCGACTTTGTCGGCGGAGGATTGTCCATCAGTGGCATGATCGTTTTCCTAGCTGGCTTGCAATGGGGTGGCTATCAATATCCCTGGCACTCTGCCCATGTCATCGCTCCGCTCGTCGTTGGTGCAGTTCTCCTTTTTGTTGCCTTCCCCATTTGGGAAACAAAATTTGCGAAATTTCCCATGTTCCCGGCACGCATGAAGCAAGAGGCCAGAACTTTCACCCTCACTTTACTCATTACCGCCATCTCCGGTGCCAATTTCTTCTCTGTCATCATGTTCTGGCCAACACAGGCTTTCAACGTCTATGGACATGACCCTGTTGGAGTTGGGATCCGAGGAATTCCCATTGGTTTCAGTATTTTGGCCGGAGCCTGTATCGTCTTGTGGTTGCTGTCTGTCTTCCGTGGACACAATCGCGAGCTCCTCATTGTCTCCTCCATCCTCATGACGGCCGGATGTGGCGCTCTTGCAATTGCTACTCGCGACAACCTCAACCAACTTTGGGGGCTCTTGGTTCTGGCAGGGCTCGGAATTGGGGGTATTGTCGTCCCAGCCTCGATCATTACCACCATCATCTGCCCCGACGACATCATTGCGACTGTCGCCGCCCTTACCTTGTCGATCCGTGTCATTGGCGGCTGCATCGGATACACCGTCTATTTCAACGTCTTCATCAACAAATTTATCCCAAATGCGACTAAATACATTGGCGGCGTCATGATGACAGAGCTGAACATCACCAACGTCACCTATATTACCCACGCCATCGAATATACTTCCGCCAGTCTTCTGCCACTCCTCAAGACGATCCCCGGCATTGCTGGGAACGATACCGCCTATGAGATGGTCGTGGTTGCTGGCCAGACTGCCTATGCTGCGAGCTACAAGTATGTCTATTTGACCAGTATCGCCTTTGGATCCATCTCCATCATTGCCAGTATCTTCCTTGGAAATATTGACAAGTATATGGACGACCATGTTGCGGTTGTCATGCAGTGAGGAGGTGGCCACGACTACCTGAACCAAGTCGGGTTTCGAACGCGACTTACCCTGTGCGGTACTATCCTCAGGCATTGTTGTGCCGCATGGTAGTCAGCACCTGAGGCTCGGTTGTATCTAATCAGGCTGACGTCTTGGAGGTACGCTCGGGCCAAAGACAATCTTCATAGTCCATACTTTTTAATGTAGAATGATACATGTAAAAATATGTTGCGAAGTCGTCCCGTCTGTTTGGTGTTGATACGTTTCGTCAAAATTATTCTGTACAGGTCGACAAGATGATGCGTTCTACAAAGGGCGTGGCTATAGATTCGAGCCACACATTTGTTGTCTCCATCGTGAGTCAATGCTAACCGTGCCACCATATGGTCTGACCGTCGTCTCATCTTGCCTGGAGCCTTGATGCTGAAGCTCAAGACCCAATGCGTCGACGACTCTGAGGATGAGATGTTTGTCGGTCGGATAGATCGTTTAGGTACAAGCATTGCCATTGCTGGGCGCTACACTGAATCAGAGTTCGTTCCTACCATCCCTGTGACTCAGAATAGGTGCGCAAAACTTGACATTCACAGGTCCAACCTCCCCAATCCACTCAGCTCCAACTCTGCTAAGGTCTCGCCCCCGGTGTCATTATTCCAATCGTCATCAGCGCCGTCGCCGCCAGCATCACCGTCGGCATCGGGAAACCAGAGTCTGGCGCTGCCATACGATATACACAACTCTTCCCCCTGCTTGATATCACGTAGTGCCGTGTAAACAATGACGTCGGTCTCGGTGTTTCGCTGCCATCCCACATTCTGTTGCCGAGTCGAGTGGTTGAACATACTGCCTAGACCTAGGGCCAATGCTTGGGTCATGCTGCGTCCCGATGGAGATGGCCAATAGCTACAGTCGATTCCTTAGCCCAAGACTTGACGAAAATGTGTTTCGAACAAAGGTTGGCAGTCCGCAGCAAAGGACCACGGCCAAATAAACCTCCACATGACTTACTAGGTGTAATGTTGGAGGACTGTATGTTGGGTATGATTCTCGACCTCATCCTCGGTAAATACCAACACAGGACTGACCTCGATGACGGTTCTGCTGGGAATGTCTCTCGTTGCGAATACGCCACGACCTATTCAAGTGAAAGCGAGGACTGGTTAGCATATCACGTGCTTTGGCGGGGCCTGAGTCCTCATCCTAGTCCAAAGAATCGAGAAGAAAATACATCTCGTTCGCAACTTCTTGGAAAGCGGCATCACCAATTACCTACCCTTTGGCGTGTTCATCACGAGGACAAGGTCCGGGCTCCTGGTCAGAACCTGGTCTCCTTCGACGACATGATCCTTCTCGGGCATGTGGTGCTCTGCCGTCAACCAAGGATACGAGCGTAGGAATGGGTCGGGATTGAAATTTCTCGCTTGACGACCCTCTTTCCAATGCTCCAATGTGAATCTCCACAGTCTTTGATTAGTCGGGGATAAGTATCCTGCTGTCAGATCTTAGAAGTCTGGTCTGCCATGGTCCAATATCGAAGTTTTTCCGAACGGACGTCCAATCCGAAAACGGCAATCAAGCCAGCGGTTTGATCCAGGAGTAGAATGTCACCCGGTATGACGTCATATATGATGTTTTCTCCCTCCTTGGAGGAAAGAACGGAGGCTCCTGTGCCAGCTCTTCATGAAATGATAAGCACATCAAACATCTCGATCCTTTTAGGAACACTGTCCGATTCTAAAATGATCACGAGCTGCTCACTGAGTCAATACATGGATCAGACCAGAAAACGCCATATCTCGTCTTATTCGTCGAGTATCGTCAAAGCGACCCTGCATTCATCGGACCCTGTTCGAGTGTGATCCAACTTGACGACATGGCGAGCTCTGGATTGTTGCGTTATTTTGGCAGATACTTTCCCCTCAGCGTCTCCAGTTGGGGACTGGGGAGCGGTCATCTGGCCTGAAGTGACCACTCTGGTTCGTTGCGGACGAAGGGGCTTCCGCGTACATCCGCTTACATCCGCTAGGCTGACGTCCTTCCTGTCTATTCGTGTAGAGTCAACAATCTTCACAGCCTCGTCATCCTGTTGATCTTCATCGTATTGTGTGTCGTGGTGATTATTGCACGTCAAGTACTTGTAATTTGGCGACCACAGGCTTGCCTATCACCAGATGCTCACAGGCTCGCAGGTCCAGCCCCATGGATTGACGGTTTGGATTGCATGAGCCTGATTCGTGGTGGAGACAATGAGCCTTCGGGCCACCCAGGCTTTGGAAGGGCATGAGTCACAGGTGATTGAGGCAATTGAACATGTTTTGTAATGCGCTCATTTCTGCCTTGCTATGATCTCGCCCCTCAATTCTAATCTCACCGTTGACCCGGACCTCGGCGACGTCATTGGACTTCTGATGTATATTGGATAATGCTCGGGCTGTTTCTGAGTAGTGGTGGCAGCCTGATCAGGTTATCCGACTGGGACGCACAGATATAAAGCCAGAAGCAAGAACCCTCTGAACAAAATTCGAGCCTACAACTGTATTTTACTCGACCAAATACCGATCCTCCTCATCACAGAGGACTCGATCCAAAGTCAGCTCTTTTCATACACATCAAGTCGAATTCGAACTTTGATCCCGACCGAAGGTTAATCCCTATCCATCAACTCGCCATCCATACCAAACACCGGCGAAGCCTAAAGCAATGGCTGGTCTTTACAGTGGTCCTTTGGCAATTGACCAACCCAGCGGCGCTGGCCGACGGGACTCACACGCTTCTGAACCATGGGTGGAACCATGGCTGATCAAGCACGTGGGCTTCTACCGCAGACACATGACAAAGGATAACCACGGGGAGCCGGCTGCAGACCGGAGGCATAGTCTGATGACTGAGGACAAGACAAGCCGTGAGAGCTCGGTGGCTGGGCCAAACAACGAGGTCGCCGAGGCTGCCAACAACATTGCAGCGTCTGAGCCGGTGGCAACAGAGGCGGCGCCTCGGCGGTCGGAGTCTCCAGAAGGTCGTGTCGAGATTGAGCATGAAGGAGAGAGCTCCGACCCAGCAGAACATGCCCCTACCAAGGAAAACGCGACTCGTCGGTGGCGGAAGAGAATGTCATGGCGGCCCCGGCATTGAACGCAACAACAAGTTGGAGCCCGGTAGTTTTGGATGTGCTCTTGACGGACAAGTACTACTTAATCCAGAGAACTCTGGTGGCGATGGAGGGTGAAGGACGAGGGCCACCCCTTTTATGATTGTCATGCCGTCTTTATATACCCATAGTCCGTGTCTGATGTATTAATAAATGGTTTGGTTTCACCACTTGTCATTTAGCCCTTTCTTCACCGTGACGGGTTGATGTGTGACATGTCTTAGCCTATCAATAGAAGATATTGGAATCTGTCTATTCAAATCTGCAACGTCACAGCGCTAGCGACGTGTTCAGCGACTAGATGGTCGATCAAAGGGCTACAGGATTCGAGATTCGTGTCGAGATTGTTACACATCAGTTTTTCAAGTAAATGTACATGTAAGAGTGCTGTGAGAATACTAGGCAAGAGCCTTGACCTGATCGTCACGTTCGAGTCTAAAAAAAGGGAGCGAACGGCTGCTCTCGTAATCTATTTCTTCTCCTTCGGCTCGAGCATCAGCTCAGGTCTGACATACTTGTCAAAGTCAGCCTCCGACAGGGCCTTGAGCTCCATGGCTGACTGTTTGAGCGTCAGGCCCTTTTTATGTGCGTTCTTGGCCACCTTTGAGGCCATGTCGTAACCAATAACTGGGTTCAAGCAAGTCACAAGCATGAGACTGTAGATGTGTTAGCACAACCGTGAGAAATGGGTCTTGAGTATGTAGAGTAAGTACCTTTCATGCAACAACTGGCCGATCCTCTTCTCATCCGCCTGCAAGCCGTCGACCAAATGCTCGACGAATCCGTCCATGCTATCGGAGAGGATACGGATGCTGTGGAGAAGGTTGCGGATGATCAGGGGTTTAAAGACGTTGAGTTCGAATTGACCGTTGAGACCACCGACAGTGGCAGCAGTGTGGTTTCCAATAACCTGAGCGGCGACCATGGTCAGGGCTTCACATTGAGTTGGATTGACCTTTCCAGGCATGATACTGCTGCCAGGCTCATTCTCTGGGAGAATTAGTTCACCGAGACCACAGCGAGGGCCAGATCCTAGGTATCTGATATCCTGGGCGATCTTGAACAAACTACAGGCGAGAGTATTAAGAGTGCCTGATGCCTCGATGATGCTGTCATGGGCCGCGAGCACCTCAAACTTGTTAGGGGCAGTGACGAATTGTGTGCCAGTCAACTTGGAGACCTCTTCCGCAATTCCCTCTGCGAAACCCTTGAAGGTGTTGAGCCCAGTGCCGACGGCGGTACCGCCCTGAGCCAATTGTCTCAGATGTGGTAGGACGAATTGGATCCTTTCCAGATTCCGGTCGAGCTGGGCGACATATCCGCTGAACTCCTGGCCGAGGGTCAAGGGAGTGGCATCTTGTAAATGGGTTCTGCCAATCTTGATGATCTTGTCAAAGGCTTCTCTCTTCTTGTCAAGGGCATCTCGCAGCCTGGTCAGGGAAGGGATGAGCTTCTGCTCGATATCGAGGACGGCGGCAATGTGCATGACGGTGGGAAAGGAGTCGTTGGAGCTCGCAGACATGTTGACGTGATCGTTGGGGTGGACTGGCTTCTTGCTTCCCATTTCTCCTCCAAGGATTTCAATGGCGCGGTTGGAAATGACTTCGTTGGCATTCATGTTGGACTGCGTCCCAGAACCGGTCTGCCAGACGACCAAAGGGAAGTGATCGATCAATTTGAGGGATGCGACTTCGGCGGCAGCTTGTTGAATGGCCTCACCGATCTTGGGGTCTGATTGTTTATTAGTGGTGGGGTATAGGAAGATGGAGGGTTGTTGTTGGCCGTACCGAGCCCATATCTCATATTGACCTTTGCAGCGGCACCTTTGAGGATACCGAAAGCTCTGACGACGCCATCGGGCATGCGGTCTTGAGGTTGATTGATGTTGAAGTTGCCCAGGGACCTCTGTGTCTGAGCTCCCCAATATTTATCGGACTCGACTTGGAGGGGCCCAAAGGCATCGGTCTCGGTTCTTGTAGATTTAGCCATGTTGGAGGTGGAGCTGAAGTAACGACAAGGAAGAATCGAGGACGAATGAGTAAAGGAGGTTGGTCTTGGTCGAGCGTGAGGAAGGGAAGAGAAAAGGCGTAGGGAAGAAGCGTAGTTGTAGCTACTCCGCACCGTTGCATGTGACGAAAGCAGCTTGACTGACGACGTTAGATGTTGGTTTGCACCTGTACACCTGAGCGCAGGTGCCACCCGACCCAGCATTTTGAAGTTGAGGAAAGAAACGGTGATGGGAGAAGTAGAAGATCGCAGGGAGGCTGCTGTTGTGCGTTTTGAGAGTTACGACTGGGATGAGAGGCACAAGAGTGAATAGTGTTTAATGCTTGGTTAGTCAATCTCGATGTATTGCTGGGTGCAGTAGCCGGAGGTTCATGGAAACCCGTTCAAAAAAGTTTTGGGGAGGAAGCTCGGCCAGGGCCCCGAATCCCACAATTGCTCATACGGAGTAGTCCAGCACTTCTAGGTGGATGGCCACAACAGTGTGATGAGTTGGTGAGGGAGATGTGATTCCGGAGATCGGAAATTCCCGCCGATGGTCGATGGTTGTGGTGCACCTTCCTCGCTCCATTTTTCCTTGGGGTGCACCTTCCGTCGGCCAGTCTTCGGCAGCGCCTTCCTCCACAAGACAAATTTTGAGATGCAATGCAAGAGGCAAGAGGCAAGAGGATGGGATCAAGGACATTGGAACCCGTGTCAGATGAAGCATTGGTGTATTAAGACTTTATTAAAACAATTACACGACTCCTGCCCGTGTCGAAAGCGCTCTTTATCACACGTGCGCCCGTATGGGGTATCTCTATGTTTCACAAAAGCTCCGAAATCGCATCAATGGCGAGTTTCCCAAGGTGGCATGGAGTGTTGGAATTAAGCAGTGCCTTCGACTGTCTTGGCTGCGTTTCCAATCATAAAGTCCTTGGACTTGGCCATCTTGATGAGGAAGCTGGGAAGCTTCCATCCAAAAGCTGCGCCCACTCCTTGTTGAGGTCCTATTGGGACAAACATCATGTCGCTCGTGACCTTCTTGTAGATGTTTTTGGTTCGTGGACCTGGAGCTGTAGATGATGTCAGTCAGTGAGATCTACATCAACAGGTGGGCTGAGATGATGAGGATTTACCTTGGCCGGAGATGTCGTTCTTGATGCTTTCAAGCAGAGCACCGGATGCGAACATGATATCCAACATCGATCCACTGGAATAGCTGCCAACTGAGCCAAATACATAGACCCCAGTCACATCGGGGACGTCCAGACGTAGCGTATGCGCATCGGTCTTGATTCGCTGCTTTTCGTCGAGCCACTCATTGGGAACAAATTTGGAGTTTGGCTTATCTCCAACGGCCTCGAAGTAGATATCGACAGTCTTGGTCTCGCCATTGCTCAGCTTCAGGACATGCTTGCCACCCGCCTGAGTATGTTCGACGACGCGGACATTGTCATTGATGACCTCGACACCGAGCTGCTTGAGTCTGCTGGCTGCATCTTGACCAATCTTCTGGTTATGGAGCGAGGACAACAGGTGTGTTGTGCCTGACAAGAGGGTGATCTGCTTCTTGTTTCCATAGACATAGCCAAGTTCGCCGGCAGTCTCGACGCCGCCAGCTCCACCACCCGCTACGAGGACGGACTCGGCAGAGGGGAGGCGCTCGTGGATATCTTTGATGGCCTTTTTCAGAGCGTCGGAGCCGCTGGCGATGCTCCATATTGGGCTGCTGAAGACCGTACCTGAGGCGATAATGAGGGAGTCCCAATGTACGGTGGCAGAGGTATCGGTGGTGACTGTCTTGGCCGAAGGATCGATAGAGGTCACCTCGGCTTTGATAAACTCGTATTGTTCGGGGCTGTAACGGGCAAAGCCAGGAGCAATCGGGAGCAAGGCCTTTTCGAGGGGGAGAGACTCGGGGTCGACGAGGACTCGAGGGGCACCGATCTTCCAATAGAATTCCTCATGGGGAGCAATCTGGACGACCTTGAAAGTTTTTCCACCGGTCGACAGAGGAGGGAGGACTTTCTTGAGTAGACCGTGGGCGGCGTTCAAGCCTGCAAAGGAGGCACCGATGATAACAATCTGATGAACCGCCATTCTGTATGGTGAGCGTCGGAGGACGAGATGTCTCGGGGAGGGAAGTATGGAGGATAGAGATGCAAGATGCAAGTAAACGGAGGAGTGATCAGGCCTTCAGGAGAAGGGTATAGAATCAGGTGAGGTGTGCAGCTGAACCGTGCAGTACTGGTCCAGACTCAGGCCCGGTTGGTGGTTCGGTTGTTGTGGAGACGCGGTCAGTTTCTGGAGAAAACGCGTCGCAACCAAGGTGTGACACAGTTGGCCGGACGGAGTTCTGCTCCAAGCACGCCTAACCTCGTAAGCAAAACTATTTCTGCGTTCGGAGTAAAACACAATTGGTCTGAGTAAGAAGCTTACTTTTGTACTTTAAAGAGACCAGAAACCGATCGGACAGTGACCAACAGGATCAGCAACTCGCCATCTATTTGTATGCTGACGACCTGCCTAATCAGCTTTGCGGTTCCGCTAGAGCCATTTACATGATGCCTAGTCGTAATACATGCTGACAATTGCAACAAACGTGCAGAACTCCCAGAGTCCATGTTTGAACACGCGCAGGTGAAATCAGGGGGCCCATCGTGACCAGCTTGTGATGTGATTGGTGGAATGAGTTCATTGCGATATGTTAAATCACGTGCTCACCACCAATTCTCGGCCGAGTTCTTGCAATTGTGGCTGCCACCCGCTCCTCGTGGCTTCATCAGTTCATATTCGGGGCCTTAACTCGGTCGAGAATCGGCCAGCCAACGGAAATCATGCGAAGCTGTATAATCTGCTCTGCACGTGGGCTGAGTCATCAAACGTGTGTTTCATTCGATGGACAGTTGCATAGTCGGTCGAAGCAATTTGACCAAGAGGAGGTGTTTGATCACTCAACAGAGAACGTAGTGGTACTGACTTGTAGTTGAACTGACTGGAATCTGGGAGGATACGGAATCTGCAAGGACTCAGGGGATGCCTACAGAGCGGTGGCCTCTGCCAACATAGCACATTCCGTGCTCCGACTCGAAAGTATTGGTAACAAAAACTCGCAGCGGGGAAAAACCAACATAATTTTCCAACCGATTGAACCTTTATTGGATTTGAGTCTTTCGATCATCTGCGACCATCAATGGCATCGAATGCCGGGGCCGTACAGAGAACTCTACATCTCGTCAAGCAAACTACAGCAGGTAGGGGTAAGGATTTGAAGTAGGGTATGCGTTCGATCAACATCCATGCCAAGCCGAAGACTGTAAAGTGAAGCTGCAAGGGTGCAAAGGCCCATCGTGCCAGGATCTGTGAGCTCCAAGGATCTTCGCAAACCACATGACAATTGATGCCATTTCACCGGGGCGCCATAGTCTGCTCGATGATGCAAATGCATGGGATAGATGTACAGGAGAAGATGGTGGGTGGCCTCTCGCAAGCAAACCATGTTGGGGAGCCGTGACGGTTTCGGGGGAAAGGTTCTGGCATGAGAAGAATGAAAAAGCCACATTTTCAGGCCAATGTAATGTCCATCTGAATGCATCTTAACCTTCTCGTTGTCTCTTCCGACATCACCAACGGAAGAAAAGCGAGGCTACAGCACATCAGTAGCCGCGGATTCAGCAACTACTCCCGCTCGAGGGAAAACAATAGCCGGAAAAACAGAGCTGGCACGGGGAAACTCTGTCGCGATTACTTGAATTGGGTTTGCCGACGCCCTTGGCCCTGTGTCCCACAATAACAGGGGCTACGGACATGGAGATTGGCTGGTTTACCAGACAGGGCTGACGAAGACACGAAACTCTGTGCTGGTGTCGACTGTCCCGCCTTTGCAACCACGACACGATGACACTTTGCTATCTCGTCATCGGCAGATGAAGCTGCACGGCACCCCATTTTTGGTCTATGCAAAGTCTATATTGAATCTTTGTGATTGTGGCATGGTTGTGTGTGGCCAATTCACCGCAAGTCATGCGAAGGGAGTCTACAGGGAAAGTTGAGACAACTGAAGAGTTTTGCTTGTGGATCATGCTACAGAATGCAGAGGCCGGGGTATAACATTGTTGTTATGCGTAATAGGCTGCCTTTCGACGGGCGTTGAAGACCCTCATCCAAACCACCAACGACACAGCATTCGTACCCCATGTCGTGAGGAACCAGTTGATTCATGTCAAATGTCGACCCACGTAACGCCAAAGGCTATGGCTAGATGTTTATTGGAGCTCGGAGGGCATCGACTCGATGACCATGAGATGACCCTGTTTGATTGATTTTCTGACGATCTTTCATGGGTGACAGGGCTAGAGATAATGATTCACGTTGAGTGTCACGAGTGTTTCGAGTTTTGGACAATTGACGGTTCGACGACAGATAATCAGAACTTAGAATGCGGACAGAAGGCTGAGGCCTGAGGGCTGCGGAGAGGTGGCTTGCTCCCCTCATCCGTAAGATTGCATTTACGTCTGTTTAGGCCATAGCCATGTGCGTTCGAGGAAACAGGCCGAGTGGCCGACCTAGTCCAGGGGTTGCAATGTTAGATTGACTGTGCGCACTGCAAGAGCAAGGATTTCAAGGTGTTGGCTACCATCAATTCGATTGAAAGCGGCTCGAGAATAAAGTGGAAGTCAGGTCTAACAGAATTGCAAGAAGGATGTTTTCTGGGTCAGCGTCCAACATGATCGCTGTGAACTAAGTCGGCCAATCGCTCGTAGTGGTGGCGCTTCTGCTTTGAGCTATGATTGATCGCTGTTAGAAGAGTTGTCTATCTGGCTATACTCTAAGAGAGAGAGAGAGAGGAATCTTTGCCTGAGAACTTGCAGTGGCCCGGCCCAGCTGGCGTTCCTGCCTAGCTGGAGTGGCTCCTGCCCAGTTGTAGTTGTCGATGCATTTGCGGCAGGAACGGCCTGACAATCGCACACGATTACATCCGCACAATAGAGCATGTTTTGGACGCTGCTGCTGAAGAGCAGTGCCTATGTCATGGCCATGTTGGAAAAGACAATGCATTATAGGTTTCGGGGGTATTGGTGCAGTAAAGCGTGATGGGAATAAGCCTAAACCTTCTGGAGTCATTCATGATTTTGCTCACTCTCCTGGACGCAGTCAATAATAGTACATACAGCATGATTTGTGGGGATGAGGCTGAAATTAGTAGCCGGCCGACACTCTCAGGCTCTTTTCTCTCTATCCCACCCCATCTTCTGTCGGCTTAGCCTCATCAAAACCTGTTCTCTTACAGAGCAGCTCCAAGGTTCAATTCTTGTCCTCGCAATCAGGCGTGGCCGCACACTCAACAGCGGGCGACGGAAGAGAGAGCCGTGGAAAGACACCAGATGCAAGACGAGTGATCAGGTCTCCAATGCCCTTTTGAGAGACATGTGAACATGGTCTCAATCGTAGCAGGACCATACTCTGGTATACAAGCAGTACACAGATGGTTTTATCTTGATGTTGACGAATTGGAGAGCATCTATAGGTAGTACAAAACTAGACGAGATGTTGAGCTTCGGCTAGCAAGGTTCTCGTGCAAACATATCATGGACGAGCTCATCGCAAGAAGGAAAAGGGGTCTGTCTTGCAAAATAGCAAGGCTGTCGCACGTTGACCCACAATGTAAGGAGCGGATTGAAGGAGGCCATGGTTGGAGCGGAGGGTATGCTACGAGATTTGGCCCAATTGGACAGTGATTGCCGACAAAGGGATGCGGCTTCACTAAGAGCATGTCGCATCGCTCCCATTCCCACGGGAATGGACGTGTGGCCAGATGTTCTACGTATGTGTTTGGCTAGAGACGAGCGGGTCCCAAAGGGTGGGTGCCAAACTTGGCGGCATGGTGGAGTTTTGATGCATATCGAAGCTGCGGGCCTCCCAAGATGGATATGATGAGTGGCCAGAAGCGACCAGGGGGGACGCCATATAAGAAGACGGGCAGCTGAGAGCACGAGCGACGTCTGCAATGCTACGCTACTACTTAGGCTTCCTACGCGAGAGGGTTCTTCGCAGTCGGTGGGCTCTCGGCAATGGTGTTGGCATGAGATCGAAACCGCATTTTCGGAAATGGCCCACTTGAAATGATGAAAACTCGGTTAGTTCAGAGAGCCCCGGCCCATGGTCCCCACCTTTGGCGGGTATTACCGCGCGTGTGAAGATGAAAATTTCCGTCTGATGCATCCGAGAAAACAGCGATTGCCAAAAAGACTTTGACGATTCGACAAGTTCGAGATCATGTCCGAGATGCGATTTTGGCAAGCTTTGTTCTTTGCAACATGAAAAGAGGCTAGAGAAAGAAGACGGCAAAATGTGCTGAAACGGAGGATTTTGGCAGGGCCAAGAGGCGCCTAATAGGGGCAGCCAAGAGCGGCCAAAACGGCCAAAAAGGCCACAGCGCCCAAGCAGTGGATGGGAATGAATATACTAAGTCTGTGTTGGCGCCTGCAAGTAATGACTAGCTTGTATGAAACTTTCCGAGCCTCATGATTCATGCCTATCCGTAGTGCTCAGTTGTTCATCGGGCTTGGTCACGGGCTTTCCCTACCACATACACCATACACACATAGAGGATTATTCCTAGTGCGTTTGTATGTGTGTGCGTACGGATATGAATATGCGCACTCGATGCTTTGGAGGCTTCCATGCGCCCGAAGCGTGGCCCAGGCTCGGCATTGATGCAGATTGGATCGATGGGTTGCAAAGATCGGGAATGACGAAACACGGACACGATTCTAGGTTTTTGATAACCTTTACCTCTAAAAAGAATAGTCTTCACCTGGACTGGCGTGACCTTTTGGTTGCCAACAGTGGTTGAACGGAGTGGGCCCAGATAGGCACGATAGGCATCTATCTACGCAACAACCACACTCTACCCGGACCGTAGGTAAGGGACCCGGGGGTGTTGTAGGCGCCTCGGCGGGACCGCACCCATACTTGCCCACTTGGGGTATCCAGACCATGGGTAGGGTCAGCAGGGTCAAGAGACTTAAGGTGACTTGGGGGATAACCCCTGCACTTATTACGCATGCTTAACTCGCCGAGGAGTTAGTTGAATATAGTGCTCTCTTCGATGACGACGATTACACACATAATAGCGTCTTGGGACCAAGGAATATCTTGGCGACTGAGTGAGTTTGCCTTGACCGCCTTGGAATGAGATCTCGTTGAAGAACTGTGTGATATACTGTCGATGATTGAACGAGGTGTTTCTTTGCTGTGTGTCTAACAGTCCATGTTGGTCTAGATGTCAACGAGGCAGGGCATGCGCCATGCAGCAGCTTGAAATTTTTTTTCTCGATTGTAAACTGCGGCAAACTTGGATGCCACCAGCTGGATTTTACCCTCTTTTCTTTCTTCTCGTGTTCTTTCCCTTGTCTGCTGCACCTGCAGTGGTTCGTCCTTGCATGCAGAAACCTTGCCCAGCACATGCCAAGTGAGGCCATGGTGCCAAGTACGCGCTATCCACGGCCAAGCCTTCTAGCAGCAGATCCCTCACTAAAGTGAAATTGGTGAGTCGATTTGAATGAGGCAAGCGTATGAGAGTTATAAGTGGGAAAAGGGTGGAACTGGAGTTCGGGTCCTCCATGTGGGCCGCAGGTCCGTGGCAGGTGCGCCAGGTGTTAAGTGATTCCAGCCCCACATGACGGCTCCTGGGGTCTTGGAATGTGGCTCATTGGTAGAAATTCATCACTAGAGAGTTTGGTGCATTGTGCATTGTGGTCCATCCCACCGCTTCATGATTTCTCGACCGTGCCATCAGCAAAACGGCCAGACGGCTCTCACACTACACCAGTGTTTGGCACCTTGGCTCTCACCATGCCCATTTCGTTGACACAAGGTCGGGTCAGTCAAGATTAGCTATGGTGGCAAGCTCTATGGGGATGGATGCACCCGACCAGAGGCTTGTGATGGTCATGTCAACAAAGACCATGTCTAAAGTACACGCAAGGCATATTTGACGAGGTTAGTAGAAGATGTCCCCACGGAGGTCAATCAAACAGCAAGGCACAATGGCAACCGTTGTCCTAAAATCTTGGCCTGGAGAAGCGGATCTGAATCTACCTACATTCGACTGCCGACTCCGTCTGGCAATGAACTATAGCATCGACACATCGAGGCGATGGGCCTTTTGTTGGGGTCGGAGAACCTTCGCTCGACAGAACTATAGCCGGTTCAATCGTTTAGAATCACAAACATTTTTGATAGGCAAACCCGATGTCAAACGATAGCCTTTTGAGGTATTATGATGATTGTTCTCGTGCACAGTCTTTCAGACACAGACATACCCAAGCCGCCCCCGGCACCCTTGGAACTCTGTTGGTCCGGTGGGCTCCAGACACCTCCCTGCCTCTCCAACCCTGCTCTTGGGTCTCAGAGTTTCTGCCTACATTCTCATCGCAAGGGTTCTATACACCTTTAGATTTCTAGCCCAAACCTTGTCGGTGCTGTGATGAATATGACCTGCTGTAGGATCAAAGCATTCGTCCCAGGCTTTCCAATGTTGCCTTTCATTAAACCCGTCAACGGACCCGTTGTGTCTTGACCAAAGCTCGTCGTCTATAGCCCCGTCTAATTCATTACATTCTCGCCATTCGTCGACTACAACAACATCGACTCCGAGTGAGACGAAGAATACATCCTTTGGACAGGAGCATCGTTTGACCCTCATTCCAGCAGAGTCGCGTCTATACAAGCCTGCGCCATGACACCGTCACCCGAGGCTCCCGTCAAGAAGCCACCGCGGACGAGAGAAAGAAAACCCCGGGGTCGAGGGCTGCGAACTCGCACTGGCTGCATCACCTGTCGCAAGCGACATCTTAAATGTAACGAGGAGAAACCAATTTGTGGTCCTTGTGTACGGAGCAACCAAACTTGTCTATACGCAGATCCCACCGCTCCAAAACCCTCACCATCAATCTCATCATCTACCTCCAATGTCACTTCACGACTCAATTCGGTCGTGGAGGTGCTTCCTTCTTCTGTCAAACCCCAATCTCCTACTTCATCCTCCAGGAGGGGATCTGCTGCATCATTTGACCTAGCACTACGGCCTCAATGGGGCTTGCTAAGGTCATGGAACGACGACCCTTTCAACAGCCTCGCCCGCACAACCAGTTGGGAAAAGCCCGGCAGCCACCCTCCAGCCCCCTCTGCCCCCTCACATCCTCTAACGATCCAGCCCAAGGTCGAAACCGATGCTTATGGCCAGTCGATGAACTTTGTCCCATGGGTGACTGCCCCCGGACCCTCAGCTCTCTCCTCCCCGCTCCAATACAATGCCTTGATGCCCCACCAACAGCCTATGCACAACATCGTGGCCGCAAACACCGCCTATTCGGACACAAGCTCAGATGATCTCCCCATCACCACTCGCCTTCCAGATTCTGGTCCAGCACGAGAAGCCGTTATTGCCAAATGGTTTGGCATCCCAAAGCCCGAGCACGAATCTGAACTTGCCACTTCACCTTTGTCCCACGCTGATCGACCGTCGCTGCCCGACGCCTTGCACCCTCACCTTCAAGCTGGTGCAGGAAGTGGCACGGCGTACACTGTCTTCCATCCAGCTGACGCGGGCCTGACAAACACCAGTCATCAGTCTGCCAGAGCGTCGGGAAAATCCACCGCTCCGCCCTGGAGATCAGTTGAGCCTTTGAAGCTCAAACGCCACGAGGTGGACTTGTTCAACTATTTTGTCAAACACTTTACCTCTCGTCTTGATCTTTTCAATCCTCAACACGTGTTTTCCAATCAGGTGCCCCATCTAGCCATGCATAATGTGGGAATACTCAACGCCATCATGGCCATTTCGCTCTGCCACAAGTCCGGCAGCTTGAGTAAAACTTCCAGCGAGCAGCGGACCCCCAAAGAAGCTTACCATTATTATCATGAGACTCTTCAGTATTTGCAGACCGCCATGCAGTATGAATCTTACCACAGTTCCGACGAGGTTTATGCCACTTGCTTGATCATTGCCTCATATGAGATGCTCAATGGATCCCGTCTGGACTGGGATCGGCACTTACAAGGGTTCAAATACCTGCAAGAGTCGCAGGGCATCAATGGAGAGTCGACCGGCCTTAAGCAGGCCGTCTGGTGGATATGGCTCCGTCAAGACATGTGGGCTGCGCTGAGAGAAAAACGCAAACCTTTTTCAAACTGGCGTCCTACCAAAGGGTTTGACCAGCTCACGCCCCATGAAATGGCACAACGTTCGGTTTCTTTGATGGCGCGGGTGGTGTCGTATTGTTCCCAGGAAGAGATTGACAAGGGTCATTCTGACATTGTGGCCCGCGCAGCCAAGGGTGACAGCCTCCTGAGAGCCCTCGATGATTGGCATCGCCATTTGCCCATCCAGTTTAATCCTTTGCCGTCAAATGAAGAACCTGGGAGTGTGTTCCGAAGGATTTGGTACCACCCTCCCGCATTTGGTATGATACAAAAGAATCTCCCTGTTGAAGAAGAAAAGTAGTGCTGACGTTCGTGGCAGGTGCGGCAATGCAAATTGTCTGTGCCGCACGCATCTTGTTGTTGCGACATCGACCTTGCGTGAGTGGCTATGACGACCTCGTTCAACAGCAGGCCGTCATTCAACGCTGTGCAGAAACAATCTGCGGTATCGGGTCAGTTTTGGTTGATGATGACTCTGTTCCCGCCTCGTCACAGTGTCTGTTTATAGGTAATGCATCTCCTTCTGATCTTTCTAAACCAATGCTGACTGGCCCCGGCAGCTGGTCTATGTATTCAGGCTCCACGTGAACGTTCTGAGATTGTTCGGCTGCTTAAACAGCACCGTCATACTCTTGGCTGGCCGGTCAAACCGTTGTCCGATGACTTACAGATGATCTGGAATGGGCTGAGCAAGAGCCCCCTACCTTGAAATCCCTTCTCTTGGTTTTTTTCCCCTTTTGCGCACGGTGTCATGAACAATCGGTTAGGAGACAAGTGGAATGGACCCACTGAACGACAGGTATGAGGTTTAGCGACATTGTGTTGTTGGTACACAGGACTCGGGACAAGGACTGCGCTTGGAAACATGCTTGGAAACATAGGGTGTAGGTTATGGGCAATAGGGGTCGGGTGGTAGTGGCGGTAATGACACGTGTGAGATGGCCACACGGTGCTATAGAATTGTTGGCGAGTGCTGACGTGTTGGTAGATTCAAAAGTCGTATCGTCCGCTCAACTAGAGATCTATCTCATCAGGAGGTCAACTGAGAGTGTACTTGATGTGCTTCAGTACAAGAACGTGATGGTCTTTGTGGGAAAGACTGTCTTGGATTAGAAGCCCTTGTGACTTTGCATTAGTATTCGTTGGTATTCATGACTTGCCATTTGAGGAGTCTGACACTCAAAGTACAGAGCAGCTTGTCTCCAGGATCGAAATAGGTGGAGGGTGTACAGAATGTATAGTAATCTGTCCCTATGGTGAGGAGGAAGGTGATATGCTTTGAGACTGCGCCACCTTCCACAAACCCTGTTGTCGACGACCAGTCAAGTGGTACTCCTTGTGAGGGGACACGGAGAGTATCGCAGTAAACCTTAGAGAAAGAACATTACAGGTCCTGGGAATAATGAACAACTGAGGAGGAACAGAAAGGGGCAGTGCAAAGCTACCTTGGGCTTACTTTAAAGACAAATAAAATGCCCCAAGGCTCACCGTCTCCCGGCACGAGGGCTTGCGGATTGTGCTCACTGGAACAGGTACCACCAGCGAACCAGCGAACCAACGCACCAGCTATGGGAAACTAAATACTCTCATGAGATTTGGTAATTCTCGACAGGAGCCACGTAACTACGGAGTACGGTAGTTGATAGCTGGGTGGCGATTCGACCAACCTCCAAGAATGAGACTGATGATACACAATCAGACATTGCCTGTGGAGCAGGGCACGCCGATTCCGTGATAGGTAAATATCTTAGTCCTCCGTAGAGCCTTGGTGTGTGAACCGACAGGGAACAGAGAGCCACAAAAATCCCTCACAGACAGGCAAAACAGTCCTTGCTGGTATTAGTGCTATTGTCCAGGTACCGGTTACGGTACATCGAGATTTTGGGGGTTGAGTGATTGAATGTGGTCGAGGCCACGAGACGAGGATGTACCGACGAAGTACCATCGTGACGAGGCGTCGCCATTGGCCCGAAAGCTTGTCTGGTTTAAAGCTCGTTTCTGCCAAGATACCAAGGCGCGCGGTCCTACCTAAGAGATCTTCCAACAATTACGGATTACTATGCCATTATGCGTACCTTGCCAGGGACTTGATTCTGATCAAAGCGAGTCTACTTCTGCAGCTGAAGTTGTGTATCCTGGGCTCTCCATGACTGGCCTCAGGTCTGCGACTGCAAATCACACAGCCGCGAACCACTAGCACCGAAAGCACTCCCCTTAGGTTGTTGGTCCGTGAAGGATGACATGCTTTTATTTTTCACGTGACACAGCACACGAGATCAACAGCCACAGCTAATTTTCCAGCCCAGGCTTGCCTCGACTCGACTCGACTTCACACCGTTACGCTCTATAGCACCTAGCGCCCCGCTATCGCCTTGTCCACCATGGACCTACGAATGCGCCAAATCAACTAGTCCAACCCAAGATGTTGTTCATACGAGTACGGAGTACTTGTACATCCACTGGTCGAGGCTTGGTAATGCCAACACTGGAAAGGGATCCCCTTCCAAGACGAGGCTCCTGTGGATATGATTAGTCGATTAGTAGATGAAAGACATGCATCACTTGTCCATGCGGACACAGACTTTGTCAAGACTTGCCATCGTTCCATATTCTCCAGATGAACTAAATCCACCTCAAGATCCCATCAGAAATTATTTTTGTCCTTCCCGCCGCCGAGACCTAGACATGGCCTCCGGCTGTCCGTCTGCCTCTTCTTGGAACATATCTTTAATTACTTTACGCTCAGCCCACAGGCATGGTGATTCAACGACGAGAGAGCCCTGGAGAAGCCCTCGTAGAGTCGGCGTTTTCCGGAACGCTACTTACTTGATTCCAGACCAACTATCAATGACAATGACACTAAACATAGAACGTCATCAATACATCAAGCCATTGGGTGCGTCATCAGCCCATACAAGTCCGTTTCTATCATGTACAGCCTGCCTTTTCCGGCAAGGGACCATGTCATCATCCCAGTAATTGTGACTCAAGAGTGTCTGCGTATATCTCAAGAGCGCTCCCAATCATATCCACAATGGCCCAACTCGTGTTGCCCTTGAATGTCTTGCTCCAAACGCGCACCACAGCAACGGAGAGACTCTTGATTTTATTGGTATCGCCCAGTAGTTCCCGGGATTCGGTGAGGACTGATTGATCATTCGCATCCCCGTTCAGAGGAACCGTCATCTCTGTCTCTTCCAGTAGACTGCGGACCCACAGGAGGAGTTTCCGTTCGTGTTCTGTCACGGGCGCGCCTCCTTCTGTCTTGAGCCGAGACAGAACCGCCAGCCACTTGGACAGGAGAAACGCGCACTCCAGGCTGCACAGAGAATGTTGGATCGACCAGAAGAATGTCTGAGTTCGAGCAACAAAGTCGATGCCCAGCCTGACCGGTATGGATAGGGCATGCGCAGAATGTAGCAGTGCCGGCGTCAATCGTGGATCCCGCCGAAGGTCAGGGGTGTGGAAAAGAGACGAGGCAATTTGTTCGGGATCTCGAGTCTCTAGGTGCCTGAGCGGACCCATGTCCACATGTAACCGTATATATGCCAGGCCCAGCAAAGCAGTGGATGTAAAGGCAACTGGGCCATTCGGGTTTTGTGGATCCAGGCTGGATTCTGGTGCACGCTTCCAGCCAGTCTTCCACGCACCAAGCCCTCGATCGAGGATCACAATGTCCTCCATCCTCAAGCTTGCCCCTGCGACTCCTGGCCAGGCCAGAGACAACTGTCGGGCGAAAAATATCTGCTGTATCAGCGCATGGATCAGAATGTAGTTTCCCAGGGGTGAGATGGGTGTGGGCGGAGCTTGGCTTTGTTTGGCAAACAAGCGAGAAAATGCTTCCTGGAATGGGACTTGATGTGAAGCATTGGCGGCGCGGAGGGTCTTCCACTGCTCGGCCGTCGTAGCTTTCCATTCGTTTGCAGGATCCGGTAAATTCAACTTGACTTCCGAATTCAATATGAGGGGAGCGATGTTCCAGGTGATGGAATGCAGATTGAAAAAACAGTAGACAATCAGCTTGGTTCTCTTTTCGCCCTCGACCTTGATCCACTCCTCCCAGGTCTGTTCTTCCGGCGACTGGGCTTCTTCCGGCGACACCAGTCCTGACTCTCGCACGAGACGTGCAAGTATGCTCTGAAATGCGAGGGCTTCCCGAAGCAGTTCGGTGTGTCTTTCCCATGTGGCAAATGCGGTGAGAAGAAGGAGTGCCTGTATGGAATCCAAGGACTCTTTGCTGTCAACGGTGACTGCGGTCTCGATTACAGAGTGCTGAAATGGACTGCTGGTTTGACTCTGGGATGTGAAACCGCCACCTGGGGGAGATTGAGTTGTTGATCCGTTTCGAGGACGGTTCCAGGAATGCGGCAGCGCAAGCTCGTCGCGGCGGCGAATTTGCTCCATCACCACCGCTTTAGCAGCATAAAAGAGCTCAATGCCCCGACTGTTCTCGAACCTGTACTGTGCACCGACAGCGGCCAAGGCGAGAACCAGTTCAGGTGCACTTCGCGAGACTTGCAAGGTAGGGACGTGTATGAAGGGAAGATGTTCATGAAAGCCATTGACGTAGCCAGCCAAGTACCGGGACAAGGAATGTCTTGAAGGAGGGATGAAACCTTTGGGTAAGACGGTGTCAAAGGTAGCGAGTCTCGAGGCAAAGACCTGCCTATCAGAATCGCTCACGTCCCAATTTGTCTTTTGCTTTGAGGTGTCAAACTCTTCGGTGGCGCTGCGATGCTCTGATCTTTGAGCTTGGGGTTCCTTTACTTCGGGCTGGAGAGATGGCAGTCTCGAACCAAAGCGCGAGAAGGTACTGCCTTCATCGGGTTGAAGAGGCGGTTTGGCCTCCAGAGAGTTCTCTCCGTTGAGCTGGACCTTGGGGATGCCGAGATGATCTTTTGATTCAGAGCCCTGGAACGGGTCGACAGGATCGTTGCCGAACATGTTTGCATACCATTCGGAAGAAAGACCCACACTGTCGAGGAAGACGGTAAAGTCTTGCATGGGGTCACCAAGGTCGGGAGGCTCAAACATGGGCGTCGGGTGGCCGTAACCTTCAGTCAGCATTCGAGGCTGGTAGGAAGAATCCGAGACGGGGGGAAGTATTTGCTGTAGAGGCTCGTGAAGTGGCTCGTGGGTGACTTGCGGCAATCCAGACATATAGTGATCCTGGCCGCTGGAGGCTACATGGCTGGCGGCGTGAGACAATAAATTGAGATCATATCCCCATGAAGGATCGAGAGACGAAGGCCCACCTAGGCCAGACGACTGTTGTTGGGCAAGGTTGTCGACCGAGTGCATGCCGTTTGCGGGCTGCATGAGCTGAGGGTCAAGCATGTCCATCATCCCCCTCCCCTCTTGCGGCGACTCTGGGGAGAGGAGAGGCCGAGACTGTTGTGCCATGTCCATAGGGTCGGACATGGGCGGAGGCTCATGGGAGAGCTGCGGGCGCGAGACATTGGTGTCGAAGTTGTTGCTAAGTCTCTTGTGTGATTTTCGAGAGGAACTTGTGTCCTCTTCTCCAGGATGGACGAGTCTCTCATGGCGGACGAGGAGGTCACTGCGGGCGAAGGTCTTTGAGCATATGTCGCACACAAAAGGCTTCTCTTTGGTGTGGGTGCGAATATGTCGTTGGAGATGCTCCTGCGATTCACAATCGATGTTAGCTCAAGCTGCGATTGACTTGTTGGGTCGCACATGCAAAGGCGAATTGGGGGAGGTGGTGAGCGATGCAGTGCATGGTGAGGAGAACATACCAGGCGGGCAAAGAGGCGTTGGCAATGAGGGCAGGGTAAGGTCTTGGATTTGTTGCCAGATTGCTTCCTCTTGATCCTGCTGGGGCCGGACGACGATAATGTCGAGTCCATGATGTTGGAGATACTTGCGAGGGGAGATGCGGTGGTGCTGGATGAGACGAATGCTGGGACAGAGGCAGGCGTAGGCTGATCGCAAATGTGGAGTTCAGGATTGGGAGGTGGTGAGGGGTTGGATTTTCAGGAAGATGGGGGAGTCGTGGGAGCTTGAGAAGGAGAGCGGAATTCGGACAAGTATTAGGACGAATGGGTGTAGTGCGGGTGCAGAACACGGAGAAAATGCGGAGATGGGTTTGGAGAGACGCGAGAGAGAGACAGAGAAGAGGAGGATGAGGTGATGGTGAGGGAGAGGGTGAGTGAGAGCGAGAATGGTGGAGGGATTCTAGCCGATGTTTTTGTCGCAAAGTGGTAGTGGTAGTGGCAGTGGCAGTGGCAGTAATGGTAGAAATTGTAAAAGAGACGAGGTAAAGATGGAAAAGAGGGGAAGCCCGACTCTGATCCCAGCACAGGGTGAGAAGGCGAGGGTGAGAGAGCCTGAGACAGCAGAGCGCAGAGCAGAACAGAGACCAGAGACCAGAGACCAAAGCACAGGGCACAGGGCACTCCAGCACTCAGCACAGGGACTCTCCAGCCACCTCCAATTCTTCAGTCAAAACACCCTCGGTTGGTGCCTTCCCATGCTTCCTCTTCGTGGTCCCCCAACTCCTCCTCCAACAAACACATGTTTGACATGTCAGCAAGGTACGAAGAGAACCAGCAAAGTCACGTGGGTTCTACCACTGCCAAGTCTCGCCTCGGCACAATCTCCCACCGAGGGAGGCAGGAGAGGGAGGAGGCAGTCAGCAAGTAGTCAAGGTCAACAACACAGGAACAACTCAGCATAGAGATACACATAGTGACCATGTTGATATTACTACCTAGGTACCTAGTTGTATACATCTGTCTCAAACCACAAAAGCCTCAAGTGACTATGACTATGACTGACTATGATTAAACCACCACCGAGAGCCACCGACACAGACAACAAGACACCCATGTGTCCAGATGACATCGACGACTATGTACTTATGCTACTAAGGGAGGGACAGCTCTTGGTTCACCAGCCGAAGCCAGCTTAACACCTTGCACGACGAGAACGTGGCTGTCCAGCGCAAGGCGGGGGGCCTAGCCACAAGTTAGCATCACCATCAAAACAACAAAAAGACAAGGCAGCAAAGGGCAGCAAAGGGCAGCAAAGGGGAGCAAAAGGCAGCAAGTACAACGCAGGGAGCATGTTTTGTGCCACTCTCGTGGGTATTTGTGGTTTTTGGCATGTTTTTGGTGGCCATCAACCCTCGTCAGAGCCTCAGAACCGTTTTTGTTTTTTCTTTGGGGCAAGGGGAAGAGAGAGAAAGGAAATGGACCTACCTGATACTTACCCGATACTTACCTAGGTACCTTTGGCAGGAAGATGAGTCAGGGCGTCCCCATTCCCACACCACAGACAGCCATCAGCCATCAGCAATAGCCCTGCCGAAGACGTCAAAGCTGCCTGTGGCCCTGCCGCCAGTACCGGCCGGCGCTTGCAGGCCATGATACCTGAAAGAACCTTGGGTCTTGGATATCAGAATGTGAGATCAGCATCGCTGTACTCCACCCCTCCAAACAAGCCCCGAGACCCTTTCAGGTAGTCATGGCCCATCGAGCGTTGCTCTTTGAGCCAGTCCTCCCCGGCGATGACCTCCGGCCGGTCATCGTCACACTCCAAGCACTGCTCCTCGCCGCAGCACTCGTGGAGCATATTGCTAGTATGCTCCCAAGGCCGCGGCGGGGTGCGCACCTTGATGACACTGCGCCACTTGACAGTCTTCCGGGGTCTGGACATAACGCCATACCCGGCAGACGTCTGTGGCAGCAGCTTGGTGTCACCAAGTTGCTGCAAGGAGGACCCTTTCAGGATCGATCGCGGCTGCTTGCAGTCGCGATGGGTCCTGATTGGGCCCTCCTTGAAACATCCTACTGAAGTGTCAGCAGGACGGAAACGAGAAACAAGGCAAGAGAACTTCCCAGCGGCAGTTCTCGCAGCCTTGTTGGTGGCTGCCTTCTCCATCGTGGCCCCGGCTGCGCCATCTGGGGCTTGAGAAGAAGCCCGGGAAAACACACGCGAGCTACCAACCCAGACTGGGATCTTTGATCCCGCTGAGCGAGCAAGAGCTTTGACCGAAGTCGCCACTCTTGCCACAGCTTTGGGCAGTTTGCCCTTTGTGTGCCCGGCCTTCTTCTCAGAGGCCGCCGAGACAGGTTCGCATGCTCCGGACTCCGGAGCAGCAGCCACCTTGGAGGCAACTTCGACCTTGGGGGCATCCAAGGCCGACGTTGACTCCGTGCGCTTGGCCTTGCGCAGGACACTGTTGGTCAACCACGGCCGAGACCGGGTCTCCCTCAAGCGCCGGCGCAAGGTGGCGCCATTGCCAACAGCACCGTTGTTTCCAACAGGTGCAGACATTGTGATCTATGATCAGTTAGCAGTATCAATGTTTCTAACAAAGAGATGCAAGAGCAGATGTAGGGGTTACCTTGGAAAAAAAGAGAGAGAGAAATGACAAGAAGTGGGCGAGAGACGAGTATAAGTACTCGATGAAACAAACTTTCTCATCGCGAGGTGTCCATCTATGGTTCCTCTCTCTTTCAAGCAAAGAATGGTTCCAGCAAACATCGAGGAAGTATATCGACAGGCCGGAGGAAAGGAAGACAACGTTGGCCCAATCCAAGCCAAATCCAGGCTGTTGTGGTGGATCTGATGTGGTGGGAAGGTTGGTGTTTCCAGCGGTTGACCCACCGTGTGGATCCAAACCAGTGTACTTTTGTTGTGTCCAAGGATCACGAGGTTGCAAGATACGCAAAATCACTGGACACCAGCAGCACCAGACATCAAACTTTTGCGACCTTTGATGTTGAATGGGCAACAAGGGCAGGCAACCAAGCGAACCATTGTATTTGTGGATTAACATGTGATGAACCGACACATCATGTGTTGACATCGGAAGGATTGAGTTCTCAAGGGCAGGAGGAGGAGGAAGTGCATCGATTGCGGTGGAAGGAGGTGGCAATCCTCGGATCGAGGGTTGAGGTGGGCAAATGATATTGCTGTTGGTTACGGCGCTAGGTGGAAACGTTGACTCTGGTTTGAGAGCTGAATGGACAAGGGCAAAGCAGAAGTTCGAGGTGTTTCGACTGAGGCCCGCCAACTGCACAGAGATGAGATTGAGCAATGGTCCTGCAGAAGGATAGGGTGGAGCCAACCTAGGAACGAAGATGGGTTGATGGAGTGAACCACTACATCTGATGAGAATAGCCCAAGAGAGATCTGTGGCTCGTTGGCCGTTGTGAGAGCAACCAGTGGAGTGCAATGCATTGGTTCTCGAACAGGGTCGCTGGCAGTGCAGCTTGTGGCAAGTGCAGTAAAGAGGTGAATGGGAATCATGTGCAAAGTTGTTTTGGTGAGTTCTGCTCCCTCCTGCCGAGAAGAGACTTAGACAAGATGCTGGAATATAGGTAATATGAAGGTAATATGTTGGCGCAACAGTGCAAAACAACCGATAAAAGAGGTGCAAATCCAAGGTACTAGGTAGCTGCGTAAAATTGTAGGAAGGAACTTCTATTCTAGTGCCCATGGCCATTTGCAGTGTGAGAACATAAGAAAGGCACATAGTTTTTAATTCATCCATATAATGACCCCTAGCGATGAGTATCTACTTTATACGCTCTTCAATCCAATATTTTATACTTGTCTCCTGTTGATCCTACTGGGTGCATCTGGAACCCATCCTGTGTCGTGCTTGTATGGATCCATCATCTGCCATGACTCAATGCATGTTTTCAGAAGGCTGCCATCACTGTTGTCATCGACCGGCGGATAGTAGACTTAAATATCTATTTCATAGATCACTGCCAGCTGTCGGTCTGCTCATAGGAACCGGGGACTCTCATCCGTGGCATTGTTGGCCTCTGTAGCGCCACCGTACCTTTCCCTGCGGCTTTTCAGGAAATTGCTTACAATTCGATTGGAACCAAGGATACCCATGACCTTGGAAGCTGCCCTTGTTCTGGAAGACAATCCTGTGGAATGCCCACTGCTTTGAACGTCTCCAAAATGACCTGCCTCATCGCATTGTAGAGCTCCATAGCTTTTGGACTTGCGCGGTGCGACACTCAACCGACTGTTTCCGAGAGTGTCTGCATGTCCTGGAGTCCTTTTCCCTAGATACATGCTGTCAAATGGGCGATTCTGTGTAGGGACGTCCATGTTAAACGGGCGACTCAGACGGGCGACAAAACGGTGCTGGAGGGATGGACTGGGAGTGGTACATGTCGACACCGCCGTAGGGGACACAAAGTGAAGACGACCGGGTGTGCTGACTGGCGGAGTCTCTCCTATTTGGTCTTCCTCTTGACCGCTGCGTCTCTCTGCACTAGGTGGTTCTGATGCTACCACGGCCGACTGATGGACTGGAAGACTGCCATTTGCAGCCGAAGCCATAGAAATGTCATTCAACGATGGTGTGGAGTAAATGCTCCTATCACTACCGGGTTCAGCGATGGAGGGGTAACTTGCGAGACGGTTTGACCATGAAGTATCTTGACATTGGTTGTTGTCGTCTTTTTCACTCATGAGCTTTCTAAATGGGCTAGGCGCTGTAGATCGACGCTCAGGAGAAGATGGGAAGAATGTAAACTGTGCGTCCATTGTGTATTTAGGCTTCTCTGACCCGCGGACTGCTTGTGTGTCACCAGTTGACACCGCGTGGCTATTGCCGTCATTGCGGTGGCATGTGTCATCGTCGTTGGATGGGCTTTGGGCGGGAGACACTAAAGAGCTCAGCATCGAATCACTTTGTACCATCCGTATCGTTGGATCGCTACGGGAGATCGGCAATTCATCGAGTTGTATCGGGGTTTTGACGGAGTCGATGGCTTCGACAGCAGCTCTGGTACGCTCGAGCTCGGCTTCTTCCTCGCTTATTCTTTTGATCAGCGCCGAGTATATTCTCTGACTGTCAACCTGTGGGAGAATTGGGCTGGCACTGGTCTTGGTCTGTCTCGAGCTCTTCACACAGACAACGCCGCCAATATGACGGCCAGCGGAGGAGGATGGTTGATGAGGCCCGCCATCTTCTTTGATCACTGAAAGACGGTGTTTCTGGGCAGAGGCTGACCGCAGACCGAGTGAAGTGACACTGGAGTTCGTCCAGCTCGTGACTCTTGACTGGCTGTTGGACACCAGACTATCGCGACTCGCCACGGGGGGAACAATATGGGGGACCGTGTCATATTGCTCGTCTGAGAAGGATTTATTGTCGGACTCGTCAACGATAGTACGTGCATCGAGGTTGTTGGCGACAACGTCGAAGGCGTCCAAGTGCTGCTCGGCCAGTTGGGTTTGATGGGTTTGGTGGAGGTGGGTGAAGCTGAGAAAGCGTTTCACTCGACTTCGGATGGTGGCAGAGAATGACCTCAACGAGCTTTTGACTGCCCCTGAGCTTGAGCGCTCTGAAATCACGTCCCCAGGCTGGACCGGTATATTTGACCTCGTAGTGTATCTCCATTGTTTTTCGCCGTCGGTGTCGGGATATTTTTCCCGAAAGGAGCGTCGGGCAGTACTGTCAGGTCGGTCGAGGTCGGTCTTGTATCGAGTCGCCTGGAGGTCGGGTATTGCTGGCGATGGTGCAAGTCTCCACCCTCTGCGAGGCGAGAGCCTGCTCAGAGACTTGGAGGCTTTCAAGAAGGGGATTTGGCGGATGGAGCGAGAGGGGTGCATGGACCTAGACTTACGCAGACGGCGGTAAGACGATGGGAGGGCACCGTAATTCTCTTCCGAGGACGATGTGGTGTTTGAGGCCTTCATAGCCCGTTCAGCTGCTATCAATGCATGTTGACACGCATAACATGTGTGACCAGAATGGGCACATGATCGACCCTCGGGGAAAACCATACTGAAGTACTTGTTGGTAACCAAAACTGACCGGTGCAGATGCTGGAGAGCATCGGGCTGAGGCATTGAGCAGCATCAGAGTCGTCGAGAGAAAATGACTGCGTCGTGGTTCAATGGAAGGCGCGGCTATGTTGCAACGCAGAGGGTAAGGGGCAGGAGCGACGTTAGTTGTGAAACGAACAGTGCACTGCACAGGCGAGACGATTGTGGTCATGCACATAGAGAGAACCTGGTGGAAGGAGGCACATCTTGTCACGAATCGAGAAGCACACAACCTCTCTCTTTGCGCCATTGACACTTCCAAGCAGGGGCTTATGACTGAGGCGATCATGCCTCACAAAAGTTGGTTTCAACCCCCTCCGCCAAGAGGGTGTAAGAAAAGATCAGAAACAAGAGATGGTGAGCATGTTCAACTGTTTTTGTCTACTTTCATGGTGCAACTCAGAAGAAGCTGCATGATTGTGTTGGCCTCTGGGGGTCGTGATAAGCTAGTAACAAACCCGAGATCTCGAGACCTCGGATGACGTAGTGAAATAAAGATGATGGTACAGTACATGAGTTCGGTCCCAAATCAGGTGCAAACTCAATGATAACGACTGATGCCATAACTGGCAATGCAGTTTTCCATTTCGGAATATTTTAGTCCACCTGTTGAACAGAATCGGTCGTCTTTAAATGCAAATGGTGATCCAGGACTCCGACACCCAAGGGGGACAGGAGCATGTGAAAGTAAAAGGTGAGTCCGGATTCGTCGCGGCATCGTCGATACGTTGGTACAAAAGCCGAGGGCACTATAAAGCCAGGCTCATTGAAAAGGATAAGATGTAATGCTTTCAGCCGTGTAGCCGTGTTCCCGAAACACCGGTGCTGAAATCTCCCAAAAGATATGCGAACTGCATGAAAGGCAGTGAAAATGCAAGCGCTAAAGGCAAGTCGACGGAGGGAGCGTGTCCACAAATCGAGGACTGGGTCATCATCGGCGTAATCGGTCATTATGTAAGGGCCGAGGGACCATTCGGATGTTTGGTGGTATGCCAAGTTGAAGGGCACCCAGGGCACCAGAGGCACAGGAAATCAGGATGTTCGAGAAAGAAAGTTGAAGTTGGGCGGGTGGAATGGAACGGGACGGTGTGGTTGGCCGTTATGAATGGTGGGGGCCCGAACAGGGGTGAGGTGATCATGAACCAGGCTAGGGATCTGCAGGGCAGGCTTGAGGCGTGGTGACATCAGCCTCGAATGACGTAGCCAAGCTCCCTGACCGGAAGTTGGACGGGGGAGTCAGCACGGATCGATATGGTCTGCTGCAGTTGCGACTGCGGAAGTTGTACATCTAGACGAAACGAAATCAGTCCTGTGAAAGGATGAAGGATGGGGGTGCGTAGGGCCAGAGCCATAGACACACACGCAGAGAAAGGAGTCGCTTACCTTGCACTCTGAACACTTTCCACCGACGATGTCTACTCGTCCTCTGCAGCCTCGGCTGAAGTTTTGACACGAGTAGAGCATGATGAAAGGCGGGGCTGAATCCCAGCTGGGCTTGTGGACAGGGTTGGTGGTGATGTCTCGCTCTGAGGCTAGAAAAGAAGAGTTGAGGCAGAGAGGATTGAGGTGTAGAGGGTAGTGTGTTTGACAAAGGTCGAGATGGTTGAGTAAGATGTGTTTGATTGATATTGTTGTTTCAAGTTCAAGCTTGAGGTTGAAGAATGGAAACTCAGGAGAGTGTGAGAGATATGGGAATTGTAGAACCTTGATATTTGACCTTGGACAATTGAACGGGAGAATAGAGAAATGGAGTGATGCGACCAAGAGGCCCCCTCGACCCAAGTCCTCAGGTCTGCCCAAGCCAAGCCAAGACTGGCCTGGCCTGGGTCAGGCTGCCATGGTCGCATCAGTCGCAAAAGTCGCACCACCCAACCATTTTTGAGAGGGGGCATCGGGCTTAACGAATTTCCCTGCGCCCTGGCTAATCGCACCTATAGACTGCCTCTGACTTGCCTCTTGCCTACCTCTATGCATCCTTACACGCTGCAAACGGCAGGCTACAGGCTACAGGCGAACAGGCACTTATGCTTGGGTGGCCCTCAGCCCGGCTAAATCGCTGCACCCTGATGGTCACTGTGCATTTGAACGTTACAATGTCAATGTCCAGTGGCTCCAACCAGCAAATGACGCGTTATTGTCCTCGTCATTCATCCTCATCCTCATCCTCCGACGTAACCCCGTTCCATCCCGTCACACCAACACGAGACACATTCCACACCCAGCAATGCCAGGGCATTGCTGACTCTGACTGACACCGCTTGCTACAATCGTTCAGCGATCGTTCTACCCACGCACACGAATTCTATGCTGTGACGCGTGGTTCCATGAGTGAACCACCCCCCGGGTATTTTCTTCCGTCATCCTCATCCTTACTTACCCAACCTAATCACCATCTCTTTCCATCCACTCTTGTCAAACCCCTCGCCAGCTTGACCAACCTGACGCGAACCTGCAGTATATTTGACAAGTAGGACAGGGTGCACGTCTTCTGCGCTCGCAAGCGCCATCCCCGCCATTGTTCGTAGTGCTTGACGCTGGATAGCCTGCACTCTGAGTCACCCGGATTGGGTAATATCATCAATGCAGTGTAAGCGCTCGTCATGCCATGTGCCCGTGATGTGATGCATCCCAGGATCAAGCCAGCCAGGCAGCATTTGGTAAGCTCCGTCATGGCCTGTCACGGACTCCGTGCTTGTACAGTTTGCCAGTCAAGGGCCCTCAAGCTACTTAGGTTTCAGGCTTCAGGCTCCATGATGGCTTTCTGCCCGAACCTACCGCCCACCAGTTCACCCTCTCACGGCCACCGTGCATCACCGATTTCCAACCCGGACCCTGAGAACGACTAAGATCACTGTATTCAACATCAACAAGAATCATAGTAGTAATTATTCACGATAGCCTCTTTAGGGAATGGGGGTCTTCCCCATCTATTAGCCTATCCATGACAAAGGGTCGTCATGCAAGGCTGATTACACCTGGATTCCTTACCGTCGAGGTCTAGTCTCGTGGCTTGGCCTGTCCATTCTCTCCCAGCACTTGAAGTCCTTGCAACCAGCTATCTAGTATCTGGTCTCTGTGAAAAGTTGAATTACATGTACTACATTCTTCTACTCAGATATCTAGGTACCTGCCTAAGCTGCTAAGGTACCTACTAGGTACTTACAACCTGCTCACATGAACACTTAGCTATGCCTACCTTAGGCACTACGCAGATACTGCATTATTACCTTGTCGAGATGGCAAATGCAATGCAGATCAGCACAGCTCATATTTTATTACAGTACGCTCGCGCTCGCGGGTTGCATCTCAATTGCTCTCTCTCTCTCTCCCCTCCACTCTTATAATTTACCTCACCTCATGCAATGCACATTAGTCTCAACTCCAAATCATCCCATAGATGTCTGCCATTCCTCAACAAGCAACATTGTCAATAAAGTATTGGGTGATGGGGGCTGGGCCACTCCATCATCTAACACACCATTTCAGTGCATAATAATTTGCTACTAGAATCGCTTAACTGAGCCTCGAGCTTTGTTGACTGTACAATGTATCGTCCTTTTGACCCCAGATGACAGACATCGTCTACATAATCACGAGCCCTTTTTCCAGAACCCATGCAATGCCCTTCTCAAAGGAAAAGGGGCATTCCCCGACGGCCAAACGATCATCCTCCGGCTCGGCTTGCTGTCTCCTCGGGAGAAGTCGCCTCTACGCGAGAAAGGGACGCCCAGTGCAACGAGACAGTTGCCGGTTTTGGCTTGGGCTGTCGCCAGCTCCCAGTCTGTTGTCGATGACCAGCAGATTACCGAACATGCTTCTGACTCACTGCAGCCCGTCGCGGCCGCGCCTGTCCCTATGGCTCTGAGTAAAAGCCATTTCTTCCATCAGTCCAGTAATGCTGCTCTAAACCCTGCCTTACACATACCTGCCAAGCAGTTATGTCAGCCACTTGATCGACTTTGGTCGCGCGGCTCGTCAATACGGCTGCTGGACATGCCTGCTCACGTTGCTCCACATACTCCGTAGCCTTGCCAACCTGTCGGCCTAGCCAATAACGATCCATCTGCGTTGGTCTTCTCGAACTGATAGAATCGGGCATTTTACAGGAACGCTGCAGCTCATTCTCCACCCCTCGAAGCTGCCTAAACGCTCACCAATGTTTTCGGCTCGTGCGCTCAGAAGCACTTCAGTCTTCCATTCCGGTAGGTGTCCGATTAAATAATCTGCCTGCGGGTTTCCTTGAGGCTTCTACGCAACACTGGTTTGTGGATCAAGATCACCCGCTCCAGAGCCTGAGTTTGTTGTTCCATCACAAAAATTTTCAGCTCAATATCGTGCATGCCCATGAAACAGAACCATCATACGACCCTGATCATCACATTTATCCTGAACCTCCAAATCTTTATGGTTTTGAGGGGCAGACAATAGTAGTTGGTACCTACTCGTAATCTGTGATCTGTCTCGGAGGCATATTTAAGGCCCATCTTCGGATTTCTCTAGACTATGTGGTCTAGCGACTGACCGATACATCGTTCCTTCTGTTGGTGGCCCTCGGTAAGACCTAAAAGGTTCCCAAGAATTTGCTATCGGTGCCCCAGCCATGCCAGCGTTGAACTCGTCTCTGGTAGGACCAATGAAGCTTCCGGCTAGAACAATTTTTTTCCTTCCGAAAATCGACATTGTTGAAATCCGCCTAATTAAAAGATTCTAGTTGTTCTTTGGTTATGAGGTAAGCTCACCGGGTCTTATGCGGACTCTAACCCCTGCAACTCCCATAGAGAAGCCAGGCCTGCAGAAGATCAACCTTGTCACATTGCAGACGCGATACTGGAAGCTGTCGATGAGTACGCATGGTAGGTGGAACCATTTTCGCGTGGCCGTTTGCCCTGGCATCTGCGTCACAACACCAATATTGATCGGGTAATAATCCATACCCCCACCACACCCACGGTCGTTGCCAGTGCAAGAGCAGCACCCTCCTTAGTCAGTATAAGGTATGCCAAAAGTCCCACCGCCAACTCTTTCTTCCTGGCCAATGCTCGCTTGCTCCTCCACTGAGGGTCAATTGGGAACGGTGCTGTTGCTGAATCACTCACTCCCGCTCCACTCACCGATCTCAATGGCACCGTAGCAAGCAGCACAACGGGCCTGTGATCCGAGGTTGCAAACAGTGGGAGACACGTGTACCTGACAGGCTCCACTTTGACATGCTCTGTTTTCCAGAAGAATATTCTGTCGCACCAGCTCGGCCACCGATGACGTGCCCACTGCCAATCTCCTTCTCCATCCAGAGTTACAGCCTTGTCACCCACGTTGCGGTATTTGTATGTCGGCGGAAATCCAATTGGCGCCTCTGTCAATCCGTGCAAGGCTTTGCCAGCCTTGACCTGCTGAGTGAGCTGGTCCTCCGCCAGTAGATGAATAAAATGTCTCGGGTCGTCTTCTTCCTTTGCTGGTTGAGGGAATTTATGTTCGACGTCGTGAGGTGACGGTTGAATGAGTGACGTGCGGTAGTTGAGATCGCCCGCGAGAAAAAGATGTGATGTGGTGGAATAAATGCCACTTTCTAATGGCTTTGGTTGCGCATTGCCTTGAAGAAGCGGAGCATTCTCATCTTCTCCAGCCGGATGGTCCTGTACAAAGACCAATCCTTGAACAATGCTTTGATAATCAAAATTCCTCCGCTCGAGCGCGTCTTCCATCGCTGCAAGGTGGGCTGCCACGAAAGTGAGCTCGACCTCTTCTGAGTCTCCGATGCGGTATCCTAGGCGAACACCCACAGCACCTTTCGCTCCCATTGCGCCCAGGCCCAGGCCCACGCCAGCAGTTTGAGTCCAATTAATGTTATCCGCCACATCTTCTCTGGCAAAGACCATGATTCCAGTCATTCCTAGGTTTTGCGACAGAATGTGAACATAGTTCTGGTCTTTGGCCGCCAACTTGACCACCTTTTTGAAGCAGTCAAAATATGGCGTCAAGAACGACCCGCCGAGGAACCCATATGCTATGGGCGCAATCTCTTGGAGATTCAGAACGAGCAGATCTGGATACCGTGTGTCTGGCTCCAGAGCATCGAACATGTGTGGAGCAAAGGCGTGTGGCTGGACAAGGGTTCGGGCACAATTGAAGGTCAACAAATACAGGGTGAGCGCCATGATCCTCGAAGTCGGGTGTTGGCGTTCTGGTCAACAGTGATCGTAAATGATGCCCCTGTAACTTATGATGCTTTCTCCATGATCGACCGGCATTGATAGCTGAATCGTCCTTGATCAATCTTGAGAGAGGTTGAGGATGTTTGGTTAGACTCGAAATGCTATCATCGTTTCCGGATGCGGTTAGATCTGCATTTCAGAAGATGCCAAGTGAGCAGGACCTGCCTGCTTGTTTATTCCCCTGCACTTCGAGCATTTGTGGCCAAAATCGCATACCTGGGACAGAAACCGCCTGATCTGGATCTGGGATGCGAAGACTACCAGGTATCCCACATGCCTATTATGGATACCAGGCAGGTACCTACCTAAATGAAGGAAGCCTGACCTATGCCTAATCCGTATATCTTCGTGGTACTTCAGAAATATAGGCTAGTCCAAATTAGGAAATAAAGTAGTACGTGAGATAAAAATCACGTGACTATGACGTGGAGGTGCTCGTCCTCATTAGGACTAGCCCATACAGACAAATAAGAGTCAATATATTTATAATATTCAATTTTGTCAAACAGAAACACTGTAACCACAGTACAGTGGCAAATGACATTCAACAACCAGCATCAGTGGTTTAGTGGTGTAAGTTTAACGTCAAGACCTTCCAGGTCAATTCAATATTAACAATACCACAGAAAATCCATCGTTGCCATCGATGGGCCCCGCGTTCGATTCGCGGCTGATGCAATCTTTTTTGCTTCCTTCAAGCCTATAGGTTAGCTTCGGTTTTTTGGTCATAGGTAAGTAGAGAATGGAGAATAGGGCTGGGTTGCGTTCAATTCCAGCTGGTGCAAGTTTTGGCTATCCATCAACTATGGATCGTCTTACCCTTGTGGCGGCTGAGAGGAGTGCGAAATCATTCCTTTTGCTTTTCCGACAAAAGAAAATACTAGGTATGTATGGGATGAAAATGCCAAGGCACCACGGTGAATCGCCTGTTCACCGAACTACCTCCGGGTCATCTCATGTATGTGGAAAACTGGTGGTTCAAATACTCATTTAGATTGTCCTGGCTATTTGAAGATCATGATCATAAATATACCTAGTAGTGGGTTGAACACTACGTTTCTCTTGTCCTACATGTAATATCAAGGTGATGGGGCAGTTCACAGTAGTTGTTGGAAACTAAAGAGCACCCGTCGTTAAACAGTGTTGGTGCTGCGCCAACACGAAAATCAGCCCCAGTCAACTTGATGATAGTAACTGGCTGAGTCCAAATATAACACTCAGTATACGATTGACGTTAAGTACTGATTTGAAAGCGATAAGAGCGCCCGCAGCCCACGATGCAAGTCTCTAATTGACGACATTTGATAGTGGCACAGATAGACAGCCTCCGATCCGAATATGGCCCAACTAGGCATTTGCTAGTCCTCGCTACCATCCAGCCCCGATCGGTCCGAAGCGTTGAAATACTACTCCGTACAGAAAGCCACAAGTCCCCGTTCAGCTGCTAGCGAACATTTGTCTTGCATCGCCCTCAATAGCCTTGCCTGAGAGCAGACGCGATCGGGGAACTTCGGAACTTGCGAAATTGTGCGAGAGATGATCTCTTCACAAAGGACAAGTCGTCCGAGAGCACCGAACATGAACTTGTCTATAGTTTTGCGCCTGCCTTTCTCGAATCTTCCCTATGCTTGTCACGTAGCATTCGGCGCAAGATCTTGCCTGAAGGACTCTTGGGAATGACATCAATGAACTCGATACCCCCCGCCAACCACTTGTGCCTTGCCTTCTCCTTCTCGACGTGCTTGCTGATGCTACGCTTAATTGCAGCGTCGCTTTCCTCTAGGCCGACAGAGCTTGACTTGACAACGTAGGCCTTGGGAAGTTCACCAGCCCGGTCGTCTTGTACAGGGATGACAGCACAATCGGCGACGGCCGGGTGGTTCAGGAGGCAAGCTTCCAGTTCGGCGGGTGCCACCTGGAGGCCCTGTTTATTGTTAGAATGTGACATACGAGCAACATGACCAACGCACCTTGACTTTGATCAATTCCTTGATACGGTCGACAACCCAAACATGTTCGTTGCCTTTGGGCGATTTTCGGATCTCAACCTCGTCGCCGGTCCGCATAAATCGGCCCTCGGGGAGATCCACAAAAGTTTCCTGGGTCGCCTTCTCGTTCTTGAGATAACCTAAAGTGACAGAGGGAGATTGAACCAGTAACTCTCCACGTTGACCGTAGCTCGTGATTTCGTTTCCTTCGGGGTCCACAATCTTGGCCACAGTTCCCGGAATCAAGCACCCGGAAGAACCAAACCAGATGTCATCGGGACTAGTGGAACATACAACGGTACAGGTTTCGGTAAGACCATAACCTTGTCGAACCTGCCAGGTCGGATATTGAGCATTGAGATCCTCGGCCGTCTCCTTTCCCAAGGGCGCTGCTCCGGTGAAGATTTGGCGCACACTCGACAAGTCGAATTTCTTGAGTAGCTGGGGATTTTTGACCATGGCAATGATGATGGGTGGGACGATATACAAGGTGTTGATCTTGTACTTCTGGATCGAGGTGAGGTAATGCTGAAGATCGAACTTAGGAAGGACGATGACTTGGTCGCCTCGATACGTGGACGCATGGCAGATAACGATGAGTCCGTAAATATGCGACTGGGGCAGCAACCCCAAGGCGACGTCATGATAGTCTGGTCCTTGTTTCTGACGATAGATGGCGTCGTAAAGTGAGATCTGGACTGTGTTGGCGATGACATTTCGGTGAGATATCATGACTCCTTTCTTTTAATGTGTTAGTTGGTGGTTTGCGTCCAGGAGACTGCGCTTACCGGCAAGCCAGATGTGCCACTCGAGTAACATAGAAAGGCGGTCTGCCTGGCGCCTTGTCCTTTTGTCCATTTAATGGGTTCGAGCTCGGGTGCTGATTCACCGTCTCGGAGAAGCTGATTCAGGGTCTTGAAACCCTTGGGGACGTTCTTATCGCCTGGCATTTCGACAATGTAAATCTTGTCCTTGGAGATGTTGGCTTTCTCGGCCGCCTCCAGAGCCACGGGGAGTAGGGGGGGAACAGTGAAGAGGATCTTAGCGCCTGAATTGGTCAGCTGGTGTCGTAGTTCGTCCGCATTGTAAGCTGCATTAGCAGGAGATGAGACGCCGTTAAGTCGATGTATAGCCCATGACAGCGTCATGATATCAATCTGGCGGACGAATAGTGAGCAAACCGTGCCCTGCGCACTCGATTTTGGGTATTTTGCACATACCGTGTTCAGGGCAAAGACTCCAACGACTTTGTCATATTCACTCCCTTGATTAACTTTCCATCCTAGCTCCTTGCCCAACCCTCTCGCCAATTTGGCCACATCGTCTCTCTGCTGTGTCGCGGAGATGGATCTGCCAGTTAGGCCGCAAGTATATGTGTCCCATGACTGGGAATAGGGTCGTCGGCCATGTTTCTCGTCCAACATGAACTCATGGATGGGGACGGTATCAGGGATCTCCGACAACTCAGGGAGCCATTTCTCAGGAAGGAAGACCATGACTGCTCAGGTTGCGGGAGACTGTGAGAGAAGAAGGAGGTCGAGAACCAATTCAATTCAACTAGGCCAACAAATGCTGAATGGGAAGAATTTCCTGGGGTGGTCGTTATCAAAATACATAGACTTCCACCGGAGGCGCAGGCGGACGAGAAATGGACGGAAACAGCAGGGATTTCGACATCCCACTGATCGCGCCGAATGGCAGGGGGATAGCACACATGGCCCGAGGTCCAAACAACAGCACGGGAGCTATACTCCACAAGTAACGAAGGCCGAAGCCTTGGGAGGATACCTGGGGTTCAGTGCGGAACCAACAATGAGCTCTGGCCAACAGTATAAGCTTCTCACTACTGGAGATAGTGACCGGATGGTGGGACCTGAGCCAGTCGGCGGGCCTCTGAATTCCGAGGGATGGGGTAAATTCGAGCTGGCATGCTGGGCCATGGCATCTGCATGGCAGTCCCTGTGCTAAATCTTGATGGTACTTGATCTCAGATTCTGGCAATCTTTAGGTGGTGCACAGTCGCCAGAGGTAGAGAGTTCTTGATGAACAAGGCAACCCTCGGCACTGAAGCTGGCTCACAATGGTGCATCCACACTTGCGGGGCACGCCTGTGCAGACATCTCTCGACCGCGGCTCGGTTCCGGTCTCCGCAAATCAAAGGTAGCATCAGTGTATCAGTATCTTGGTGTCTAGGCTTGCCTTCCTCGGCCCCATGGTTGTGGTCGGAGATAACATTGCGGTTCGTCCAATAGGTTCTTTTTGTGGGCTTGGACCGTCAAGCCTAACCAGTAGTAACAATTACAGTCTTCCTACGAGGATACGTAGGGTGGCCAGCCGCAAGCTAGATCGGACTTGTTCAAGCGAGTTTTCGCCGATAATTGGTCTGCAGGCTTATGAAATCTCAAGGTCTGGGTCAATCATGTGTGCTCGTTTTGTAACCTGAGTAATCTGCGTGTTGGTGGATTAGCCAGGGGAGAAGACGCCAACTGAAGGTGACTTACAGATTAAGACCGTGTAGAGATGAGGGATCAAGGATGGTCGAGACCAGCAGACAAAAGGAAGTTCGATCAAGAGGGAATACCTGGGGTGGTGGTGTGCCTGGTCAAGTGGATGGATGACCAGAGTGACAGAGTTGGCTGCAATCCTTTTTTCTCGCACGTGATCTTACTGTTTGCACCTTCCCCAGCTGCCCCAGGTGCTCCCCCGTCCCCCTCGTCCCCCACATTGTAAACGCATATCAAACAACTTTGTCTCCTCCACTTTGCCGACTACATCAGTGTAGACATTCATCCACACGCAGCATGTCAGAGCCCGTACCACTTAGCATCATGACAGATACCATCATTCAATCAGCAACATGGCCAGCCCAGCGTCCACCAAATCTACAAGTCCTTTTGTCTGTCGTCTCTGTAACAAGAGGTACACGAGATCCGACCACCTGAGCCGCCACCATCTCTCTCGTAAGGGTCATGCACCACACTCTTGCTACACTGACGTAATACCGCTATAGATACCAAAGAGCGACCATTCGAATGCCATGTATGTTCCAAAGGATTTGCAAGACGGTAGGTTAACTGCTCAGACTAATATCATGAGTAAGAAGCTGAACCAGAAGACAGCGATCTCTTGAGTCGACACCTCAGCCTCCACGACTCCGACAATCGACACCTCGATCCAACCAGGAGCAATCACGGCCGCAGAGCTAGACATGCATGTGCTGCATGTGCCGAAGCGAAACTGCGATGTACCGATGTTCGTCCTTGCAAACGCTGCCTTGTCAAAAATCTCGTCTGTGACCGAGACAGCCCCTCCTATCCTTCTAGCGATCGTCAGACCACCCCTGCGACTGTAGCTCCGAATGGGATGCAGGTCCGCTCACCATGGACAGTCGGACAGGAGGACTCGCAAAGCTACATTTTCTCTGGTTCGAGTCATACGACAAACATGGACCACCAGGCACCCGCCAACGTGCTCTCAACACCGATGTGTAAGGACTCCTGGGAATGATTCTCCTTTCTACACTTTCTGACGCAATTAGACGGCATGTCCCATAATCAAACCTTCGATCCGTTTTTCGGCCAAAGCGGATTCGACGATGTTCTCATGGGGAACTTTTTGCACGATATTGTCAATACAAATGACTCCGTCTCCCATCTATTTGGCACCAATGCCAGCGCGTTTCCCGATGTCTTGCATTTCGGCTCCGATGATCTCGCAGATTTCCCCTCTTCAGCCTTTGACCGTACCTATCTTACTTCCGCCCCGATACAAGGTTCACGCCCTAGCGAGGGGGGAGACCTACCCTTGTCTCTCTCTACCGACCCCCAAACTCCGGCTGTGCGAAGAGCAGTCCATGCCGGTGAACAAGCTTTCCGTGAGTCCATGTGGCTTTGGGATCCTTCAATGGAAGACAACACTATATCAGAGCAGGCCAATCTTGGCCTCTCCACAGACCACTCTGTACTCCAACACCGATTTCGAGAATTGGACCCACGTTTTCGTCTGTCACAAAGAAGCCGTGACCGGCTTCTGTCTATGGTTTTGCGGACATGCGAGTCCGGTGTACAGCGACAGGTTGTGTCTTGCTTTCCTTCAGTCGAGTTTCTCTCCTTCATCTTGGCTGATTTCAGAGCTCGACACATTCGCCAAATATCACCGTGGATACATTTCGACACAATCAATCTTGAAAATGAGTGCGAAGAGTTTCTAGCAGCTCTTATATGTGCAGGTGCCGCCGAGTCACGGCAGCCTGACATCCGCAGGCTGGGGTCTGCGTTACAAGAAGCTGTCCGTGTTGCAATACTCAAGCGACTAGAGGACGACAATAGACAACTTCGGGACTTGCGATCCACACAAGCACTAGTCTTGATCCTCATTGTCGGCCTGAATTCTGCATCCCGTCGGAAAATTGAGATCGCGGAAACTCTGACTCTCAGTGCCGTCACCACTCTCCGAAGAGGTGAACGATTTCGAAACCGAAGTGACACCAGGTCAGGCATAGACACCGTGCAGCAGTCCGAACCCCTTGATGCACGATGGATGAAGTGGATTCAGGAAGAATCTTTCAAGAGGCTGGTTTACCACGTACTATTCCAGGATGCCCAAGTCTCCTCTGCTCTCTTCCGCCAACCAATCGTGTCCTACACTGAGATTAACCTTGTGCTGCCGTGCCCACAAGATATGTGGAACGCTAACAACGCCGAGACCTGGTGGCAAGCAACTCTCAGAAGCCAAAGTGCATCAGACCCGACACCACCCACATTACCCCAAGCCTTACATGATCCAGCTCTGATCAGTCTTCGAAGAGACAAGATCGACGTGCAGATGAGCCTCAGAGTCTTGGTCTCAATCTTTTGGCTGCGGGTATGGCAATCGATTCAGCTCCGCGCAGCCTCTTCACTGGATATGTACGGCGCATCTCCGCCATCGAGCGACCAGTTTTTCCAACAGCTTGTGTCACACGGCCAAAGTCTGAGCTTACGCTTCTCTGAGGGGTCTGACGAAATGCATGCTTCGATCAGAATGATTCTAGAACTCGGTTTGATGCATCTCCATGTCTCTCTTGAAGATATCCAGCTGCTTGCTGGAAAGGAAGGCGAGGATCAGGCCCGGAAAGCCGCTTCTCGTCTTCGATCCTGGATCAGCCTTCCAGAGTCACGAAAGGCATTGTTTCATGCCGGTCAGGTTGCCAAAGAGGCGGCACGTTGTCCGTTGGATTTCTTCCGTGGCTATCATGCCGTGGTAGTCTATCATGCTAGTCTCACAATGTGGGCTTATGCACTACTATCAAACAGCCAGAGTGAAAGACAATCTCCACAACTTGGCACAGTCCTTGAATACAATGGCCTCACGACGCTGGTCCAACTTGACGAAAATGAAACCCCGGAAATTAAACGATTCATTCTGCTTGGATCAGCCACGGCGGCCATCAAGAGGTACAAAGACAAAGACGATATATGCGATGTTGATGTCCCACAAATCGTGCCACTGACGAATGCCTCGGATGTCATGATGAGTATGGCTGCTTTATTGGCAACCCGAGACGAGAGCGAGCATTACTGTATCCCTCTCGTCAACTATCTGACTAGACTGATGCGTTCTTTGGCCAAGGCTTCTACTGCCATGAAGCTGTTACGATGAAAGCAATTAGATGTAAATTGATTGCCCTATAACTTGGGGGCCAGACAGCCACGAATTTGTTCATTGGCCATAGCACTTCTGTGGCTTTCACCACAAATAAGAGCATGGATGTTACAGCCTAAGGCCGCCACAGGAAGCCTGGATGGAGCCAATCCAAGTCGGACACCTCTTTCTCCCCGAGTCCCTCTATTTTGGCATGGACGTCCACCTGGGACCGACGCTTGTTGTCCCTGCTCATCCAGAAACCTAACGTAAGACCGGTGATCAGAACTGTACCTTGGGCTGCCAGGTTCAGCCCGTTGCCAATGGGGTAGTTGGGTCCATCAAACGGCAGAAATGCCCAAGTGGCAATGAGACCGCCTATGTTGCCAAACATGACATTGGTACCAATCGCAGATGAGCGGGCCGTGTCGCTCAGTACATTAGCTGACACCTGAGCATTACACAATGCCCCGCCGTTGAAAGCGCCAGTGACGATGAGGAAGATCGCTCCGTATCTGGCCCTGGCATTTTCGGTGGCCAGAAACATTATGTATCCAATCATGACAGGCACTGCACTGTAGGTGATAATGACATTCCGGCGGTCTGTCTTCCACGCCAAAAGAGCAGATGCAATGACGAACACCGCTCCGACAAGGTAGGGAGGAACAGTCATGAGCTGTTGGCGGACGACCGTTTCGTTCGGATAGATTGTTCGCACGATCGTCGGAGCGAAAAAAGCAAGACCCTGCACTGTAATGCACTCTAGCAGAAAGATCCAGGACGTCGTTAGCGTGATGGGATTTAGGATTCCCCGGAGAACTTTGGCCTTATCGAATCGATCGAGAACCTCAGTGGTCCCTACTCGCTCGGACTTGAGCCGAGTAATAGCCAACTGTTTCTCGCTCTCAGACAGCCACCTTGCGGTCTCTGGGCGATCGGTAAGAGTGACAAAGGCGATTAAGGCGAGACCGATAGTAATGATACCCTCGATGGCAAAGATCATTTCCCATCTCTGCCTACTTCCGAATGAATCCAGTCTGAGGATAGCCGATGCTAAAAGCCCTCCAAAAGCTCCCGCCAGCGGCGACATGACGATATATAGTGCTAGGCGGAAGGCGAGCTCTGACCGGCGATACCAGCGACTCATATAGTATGCGATACCAGGAAGCATTGGGGCCTCGAATATGCCTAGCAAGAAGCGCACACCGCAGGCGGTGTGTATATCATGGACGAAAGCGAAAGCCACTGTCATGATTCCAAAACCAAGCGTCATGCCGGGCAGAAACCATCCCGGTCCCAGCCACTTGCAGGCCATGGTGCCGGGGATCTCGAATACAATATAGGATATGTAGAAGATGGAGAGAACTTGGTTGTATTGATACCCCGTCAGGCCCAGGTCACTTTCGAATCCGGCGAGTCGAGCATTGCCTTTGCGAACAAGAGGCGTCAGTCAGGGACCAGTGTAGGATTAACAAGGTGAAACCCACCTATGTTTGCGCGATCGATGAAGCAGAACAGATATCTACCGAGTTGGAAGGTTTGTTGTCAGAAAACGCCACAACGACGTGAATGGCCCAAGAAGAGCCGGAGATTTCGGTTTTCAACCTACATGATCGCAACCGTTGGGATAATGTAAAGATCGATCTTGGTCACTAAGCGCCTCTCTTCGGCAGGATCGAGTTGGACCAGTGAGTGCCCATACCTGGATTTCGAGTGTCAGCCAGAAAGTCTTTCAAGATCAGAAACAACATTACGCATCAGTCGCAGCTTGACCAGTCAAACCTCCTTTGAGATTCGAGGGATCGGCATCGATTGGTTGACCAGTCTCAACGTGAGAAAGCTGGCGGATTTGTGCTTGATCTTTGGCAATGGCTGACATGGTGAAGTATGCTAGGACAGAAGTGCCACAAAGTGAAGCAAGGGACAGTGGTTTGCATTGGCGACAGGGTCAAAATGCTTCTAGTGCACAGGATTTAATAGATATTGATACCTCGGATGGAAGCCCAACCCCAAATCCCGGATGAGGGTTCTCCAGGTTTCGGAAACATAGCTGCTCATGGGAAATGGATATCATGAATTATGGCTAGTCTGATTCTCAGTCAAATATTTGGACCATCTTCCTACAAATGCCTTCAATGATGGTGGAGATGAATGGCAAAAGACGGTCGGTAAAGTGGTGCCCCTCGCGGAATATCTCTTGGCACAGCCTTGCCAAGTCTCGCTATATCACTCAACATTGTCATCCCCCACCTGGATATTTCTCGCTTGGTCTCTACTCAACGTGCTTCGCGAATACCGTCCTTTTCAACCGCCACTCAGCCACCGCTGACCATTGAGTATGCGGGGAAGAAGAGGGATAATACCATGGTCGGGGGTGGAGGAGAGCGTCCCCCAACTGCAGAGTAACTGCCATTCAATCTGCCGACCAGATGTCGAGAATTCCAACGTCTGAAGCAGGTGGGCACTATCCGAGACTCTTAACCGGTGGAGGCACCCTTTATGGAATCTCTAAAGACCTTCATGCTGATCGTGCGAAGCGTCGGACTCGGGCCAGGTCAAAGTGGAGCAGACATTTGCGCCAAAAATTGCTGCTGCCTTGGTATTTACGACTTAATCTTTTCTCCGCGCATTTCCTCAACCTGAGTTGATAAACGTAGGACCAGGTTTCAGAACCTTCTACAGAGTCATCTTTATTAGACGTGTCTGCTGCCTCATAACCCAACTGATCATTGGTATTATTCAACCGTTTGTTACTCTACAATCTTTGATTGATCATGCAGATCAAGCTTGCTCTTTTATTGCTCTCTCTCTTATTTGCTCTCCACTTCATCCGGACAATCTACCGACAGATTGCATCACCTCAGAGGTCGATACCTGGACCGTTCTTTGCACGGTTCGGGCGCTTTTGGTACTTCTGGCGCGTACAACGAGGAACTTTTCACCATGATAATATCGCCTTACATGCCAAGTATGGACCTATTGTGAGGGTTGCTGAGAATATGTACTCGATCGATGTTCCGGATAAGAATGTCTATGGCATCGGATCAAAGTTTCCGAAGAGTGATTGGTACGAAGGATGGAAACATCCTAGTCCCGATCGCTTCACCGTCTTCCCAGACCGAGACATGAAACGCCACGCAGAAACTCGGAAGAAATTCCAGAATTTGTACAGCATGAGCTCGCTGGTGTCGTATGAGAAGTATGTCGACAATTGTATCGATATCTTTCTGCAGAGAATGGGCTCGTTCAGTCGATCTGGCGAGTTGATCGATCTGGCGCATTGGTTTCAGTGTTATGCGTTCGACGTCATGGGTGAAATTACCTACTCTGAGCGCTTCGGATTTCTCGACCATGGAAAAGATATTGGTGGGATTTTGGTAGCGCTGGATAATTCCATGATATACTCGACCCTCGCCGGCATCTACTCATGGGCGCACCCATATCTGTACGCTATCATGGAGAAGATACCAGGCTCAGGAGCCGTTGGCCGGAACTTTCTCATGAAATTTGTCCAACAGAAGATTGCGGAGCGGAATCAGAGCCGAGAGAACACGAAAGGGTCGGTCGAAAAGCTTCAAGATCAAAACGCGCCTCGTGACTTCCTTACCAAGCTCAGCGATGCGCATGAACGGGACCCGGAAAAGGTAACAGGGTATCACATCTTCATGATGGGTTTGTCCAACATCATTGCCGGAAGCGATACAACCGCAGTGTCTTTATCGAGCGTGCTGTACCACCTGGCGAGAAATCCTGCGAGCCTGACAAGGCTTCGCCGTGAGCTTAAAGAGCTCCAGCAGTCAAGGGAGGTAGACCAGTCTACGGCTGGAAATAAGGAAGTTGGCTTTATTTCGTTCAAAGAGGCCCAAGCACTTCCCTATCTCCAAGCAGTGATCAAGGAAGCTCTGCGGCTGCACCCTGCCACAGGTCTGCCTCTGTGGCGCGTCGTCCCTGAAGGAGGAGCATTGATCGCCGGGAACCACCTTCCGGCGGGCGCTATCGTAGGTATCAACAGCTGGGTGGCTCATTACAACCCAGCCATCTTTGGACCTGACGCGCACACATTTCGACCTGAGAGATGGCTGGAGTCCCAGACCACGAAGAACGGTGAGGAGCAACTGCGGAATATGGAGGCGAACTATCTGCCAGTATGTTGAGTCACCCAGCTCCAGTTCTGGCACAGTTGATGATGCCGAGCCATGTTGCCAATGACCAAAACTGACCTTTTATTGTCTTTTAGTTCGGCCTGGGCTCAAGGACGTGCCTGGGGCGGCATGTCTCGATCCTTGAGATGTGCAAACTCGTCCCTGAGATGGTGACAAGGTTTGATTTGGAGATAGAGGTTGGTGGGGAGGAATGGAAGACGATGAATTATTGGTTTGTAAAGCCAGTTGATTTCCACGTTCGAGTGAGGGCACGAGTGAACGATGACACCAAGGAACATATGTGACTGTTACACGGCACAAGCCGGTCGTGAGTAAGGTGTTGACAGCGGCTAGAATCCATTGTGCAATGGATCGTCATCAAGGCAATGAACTCCAAACTCTGTCCGCCAGGTGCATATCAACCTTTGTTAAGTTCTCAAAGCAGCCCAATTTGGAACGAGCATCTTCAGCAAATGTCACCTTTTGTACTGCCAACTCATGAACGAGGTCATCCTTGCTCAGATGGTCGTCATTCATGTTGGCTTTCTTGACCACGACGAGACTCGTCTATTCACTTTGTCGCTGAGTGGTTGACGCGCACAGTACTGAAGAACTACTCCGTATGTACCACATGTAGCAGACGCGTATGGAGCAGGCAAGCGACTATGCCCCACAAAGCGCCAGAAACTGAGGGACAGGGACAAATATTGCCACGTGCTAATCTCACAAAGCGGGCAGATGACGCATTGTCGGTAACGAGGTTTCAGAACTTGGCTCTGAGCAGGATTCCGGAATGCTACAAATGACATGCTCCGTAGTAATGATAATGAGGACTTGCTGAGTCGTTAGCGCCACAAATTCCATCGCGTCTCAAGATGGGGTTGTTTTGAAATGAGAGATTGACCTGTAATCAAACTCGCGAGGATCTCGCGACGGAGATCATCCGCGTTTGCCGGGGTAGCGGCGCGGCATCACGTGAAAGATGATATAAGGAAGAATTCGTTGTAGTTGCTTCTCATGTGCGAGCTTGTACGTGAACTCGTCAAAAATGATTGCTGACAGGGAGTGAAAATGATGTTACTGTTGGAGGGTTATTGTCGGTGCAGACTTGGGATCTTAGCAACGAGGATGAAATGGATCATTTGGTGAAACATGATCGACTAAGCCCTGATCGTTGGAGGAGAAGCCCTTGTACAGCCACGCTCCCACCCTCCTTCTTTCGTGATCTTTGTGAATAGATTACCGTGATTGCATACTACGATTGTACTCCGTACGCCTACTTGACAAGGCTCCTCCCTGTCATGAAGGTTCAAGCGAACTTGTGGGCATTGCCTTGTCACCTCATATCTCCGTAGAGACTATGCGTTTCTGACAGTAAAACACACATACCCACATCCCGAAGGGTCCCAGGAATTCCATATTAATACGGCTAGCAGGAATTGAGTTGGCACTGGTGGCTGGTGGCAACTTCAAATGACTGCATTCTATTTCACGTGCAAAAAGATATAGAAAAAAAGAGAAGGACAATTGGCGGCGCCGTGTGGTCAATAATAATAATAAAACGATATGGGCCAACTATGTACGACAGCCGACCGGGGATCCTTGGGGATTCTGCACGTTGAATGCACAATTGCCTTGGCTCGAACCATGTCTGCATGGATGAAGTGGAGGCAAAATTGTTCTAGGATTCCAAGCCTTCGAGTGGTTACAGAACTGCAAAGGGTTTCTTATTGCCAAGGGAAGTAGGTCTTTCATGAAGATGGCGACTATGGACATGTCGTCTCCGAATGAAGCATTTAAGCTCAAACAAAAAGAGCACATGCGACGACGGACTTTGGTCACATCATGAAGCATCAGCGTTCGAGCTTCAAGGTTCAAAAAGGTCCAAAAAGGTCCAAAAAGGTCCAAAAGGCTGGCGGGAATCATGTCCGACGCAAAGACTCTTTGTGCGGATGATCTCGAGCTGGCTGTCCCCGCACTTTGCACTTTGCGCCTGTAACTCGCCATCCACGATGCTATACATATCTATTCACAGACTGATTACGATTGGTGGTGCGTCGAGCTGAGTATCGAGATCGTTATCCTCACATCCCTCTCCAGGCCATGCGTTCCACCTAGGAGTCAAACCTATCCAAGCCAGAGCAAACTACTTGGTTGGCCAAGTTGTAAGCGTGCCCATCAACTACCTACTCCGTAAGTTCTTTGTAGTCCCCCACGATGAGTCTGGATGCGAACCGGACCTACCCGCACCTGTTGATCTCTCTGTAGTGCCAGAGACATTGACGACTCTCTACGAGTCCTCAAAGCTACCCCAATCAAACACCCTAAGTAAAGCTAATTGTATGTCAAGTTGGAGGTCCTGCACGTAAGGGCCGGAAGAGGCCCATGCGCAGAACAGTTGGACTAACAGTGACACCGCAGGCGCCACACCGGAGGAAATGCGCACCACTTTGACTGTGATTGGACAGTCTCGTCAATGCAGATGAATCATAGATTGTTATTATTGTTCAGAGTACCAGGTCAACATGATTAGAGTTGAGTTGACCTTTTGTCCTGACAATCTGGCACAATGATCAAATTTTTGGTATATTCCTGAAGCGATACGAAATTTGGCATCACAGCCTCGACCTAGCATTATAAAACACTCGTCAGTTAGGTACTTGGACGTGCTGGCATTAATTGCAGCACAGACTCTACATTTCACGTAAGTACAGTAAGAAGTAGCACAGTAGGTAGGTACCTAGGTAGGTATCTACGCAGTACTGTGCTTCGGGGCTAGCAGGAAGAAACAGGGAAGTGACTTGGCTCCAGTCTACTGTGGGCCGCGTCATCGCAAACCCGGAGGGTAGATCCTTCTCAATGCAACATTCAACTCGATACTTGCATGGTATACTATCACTGCAAAGTAGATGATCGACGAGCTGTGAGAGAAATCAAGAAAATTGAATGGGGGATGATTATTGTTGGAACCATTTAGGTGTGCCACACCCTCAGTGCCCTCTCTGCCTCCGCATTTACTTACCCTCTGTGAGCCAGTACCTACCGGGCCTACCTAAGCCAAGGGCCGGGGGCCCAAACGCCCGAGGGGCCCCTCGGCATTCCCACCCAGGCAGACCTACGGAGTACATAAGAATCCACAGGACCTAAAGGACCACTACTGCCAACTGGCCTTGGGTGCTGTGGATGCTTAGGCGTCAAGATAAGGACAGTAATTAGTGTGTTGGCACCGGAAAATGGTTCTCGTGAATCTCGTGGATTGGCAGTCAATGATTCGTGGAGTGAAATGACAGATTGTGTTGCGGAATGTGGAAATGATGAGCTTCTAGCCTTGTACAATAACAATGTTGTTAAAGCCCAAGCCCTTGGGCTTTGACAATGTCGTATTGCACGGGCTCATTGCCTGCACCAGATGACCATGATTAGAGACTTTTACACGAAGACAATCTGATCGTACCGCCGCTTTGATGCAGCCCATGGGCCTGATGGCCTGATACCGGACTGGACACGCAATCTTCCTGCAATGCGGTTTACTGTCCACTGTCATTCAAGATACCTGTGTCCCTCGCAAAAGTCTACTCGTTCAGGTACCGAAGGAAAAGTCTCGCAAGATGCACCCCGGGTTTTGAAACCATTGTTGTCTGCGCAGGCACTGTGCTTTTAGGGCTTCCTGCCAGGGTCCCTCGGGTACCAACTCTGCATGGACCTTCAGGCGACGTTTCCGCATGACAGTGCCGTCTTTTCAATCTTTTAGAGGGTCATGAGGGTCCAAGTCAAGCCCAAAGGTGGAAATGCAAAGGTTAAACCCTTTCCAGCCTCGGTCAAATACAGAGGCTCGGCCTACGTATTTCCTCCATCTCCATGCACTGCTCAATGCTAACCTCTAGTGGGAGCTGGGAGCGTTCCTTGCGGCATTGACCCCAACTAGCGATCCGTCCACGAATCATTCCCCCCAGCGACCCCCAACATGGTCTGGGAGATCGTGAAACCCTGTCTCATCCCGGTCAACAAGCGGACCACAAAGCCAGGGTGTCGAACCTTATCCTCGCGCCCAACTGCCTCAACCACGCTCGACAAACACACTATCTGCATCGTCAATCTTGCCAATGATACTATTAGTACACACGGAAGACAAGAATAGGATCCGCTTGGGATCGACTGGAAGTAAAAGGACTCCGCCCAAAGGCTTTGCATCCACCCTAAGTGTGAAATGTTCCCATCGTCAATTCTCGCTACCTCCTCACCCACCTCCACGCTTGCTCATCTCCGGACATGCACCTGATACAGGTAACAGCATACAGCATACGAGTACACATAGATTTCTCCTCATAAGAGTCACTCCTACACTTTTGCTGGTGTCCACCACTGTGCCCTTGCACCCACCTCTGAATAACGTTTAGGGGAAACTTTTGAGCAGTAATTGTCTCCTCTTCCATATCATCAAGTTTATCTTTGTCCAGTCCTCATACTGTTCCTACAGCCCGACGTTGGACAACCCCCCCAAGCTCGCCACCGCCGCCTTGATCCTTCCCACCAACCACAGGACCATCTTCCTTTGACTCCGCTACCACCGACGACCAAGACCTTCCTTCCCACAACTGTCTACCTAGGTACGATCTACCATCCCGTACTCTCTACCTCTTTATCTCTCTTCCAACTTGCATCTCCGCGCCTCGCCGATTTCTGTACCCACCAGAACCTCATTCGCCGTTGCTCCCTTCAATCTGGTCCTCCTTCTCACCACCTACAACGCACCTTCACCACAAACACAACCACAACCACTCCTTCTTCACCCATATCACCTCTGCCGCTTCCTCTTTCTTAGGCCGCTTCACTTTTTACCACCATACCGATCCAACGCAAGAAAGCAGCTTCAGCAGCCTGTTTTTCCAACTCCATCCATGGATCGATAGATATCTTTTCAGTCCAGCAACTTTATCTCTTTCTTCCCGCACCCCCGCGAGTACGACTCACATACGCAGCAGCCACTCCTTTTACAGAAGCTCTTCACTGTTTGCACAAGTGCGCTGCCCGAGGGTCCACCGTGACTAGCCATCGGCGACACCCCTCCCGCCTCTTCACCAAGTCGAGGGTGTCAACAACAGTCTAGGCATTGGTCGTTTGCTGTCTGGACACCCTGCGAGCAGCCATAGGAGCAAGTAGTCACAAAGTCTTGTGGCGGAACATACGAATCCTGCATTCGACCCACTGCCGATTTGGACAACCTCACCGAGACCCATCTTTTCTATCTCACACCCCGGCATAAAAGCGACCGCCCATGCAGACATAAGTCTCCCCAGAAACACTTGACTTGAAGAGCTGGAAATAAGAGGCTTGCAACATGTTCAACAGGCTTAGCCTCTGCGGCAGCAGTCATCATGTCCTGTCAGCCATTCTCGTGGTTTTATTACTACTTTTTTCAGAGACCCAAGGCCTAGATATTTCCTACTGTTCTCCAGAAAACAACGCAGGGTCGTTTCCTACATGTCAGTACACATCTCCACGCTTGGGCTTTTGTTTTCCTGACCGTCCATCCAGATAACTACCCATATCAATCCAATGGAGCGTGCCAGCAACATTGCGTGGGCTCATATGCCTTTGCAGTCTTGCAAGGCAATGACTGCTGGTGCTCCAATTACATTCCGGCCGACCAAGTCAGCACCTCTGACTGCAACCAGCCTTGTCCTGGCTATCCCAGTGAATGGTGCGGCTCGACCGATGAAGGACTTTACGGCTATTTCCTTCTGAGCCCTGGCATTCCATCCGGCACCTTGGGTGCTACCCCCTCCCAAACTACTTCGGTTAGTATTTCCTCAAATGATTCAGGATCTTCTTCCCTTGCCACAACTATAACCATCACCACTGTCCAAACAATATCTCCTTCCACCTCTCCTACTGTAATAACCGTCGGGCGTCCTCAGAGTTCCGAAGAGACAAGCTCTACGAGTACTACTAGAGCTACCTCATCGACCTCATCACGGTCCACGGTATGGCATTCCCGAATTTGATGACCTATCCCCATCATACACTGCTCTTCCCCATTTTCGGCAACCGTGCACGATCGATGGCTAACCGGCGATAGTCCCGCTCAACGTCGACTTCTGGCTCAACCACTGGATCTGCAACCAGCTCGGACCAGCAGACTGAGGTATATACGAGTGTGACCACCGTCACCGGCGAAATCCGGACGGTGATTGTAACTCCGAGTCCCACCGTCAGCTCGGATGCCAACCTAGGTCAGCCTTCGGCGGGTGGTGGCGGCGGTACCAACGTTGGAAAAGTGGTTGGAATCGTGCTCGGAGTTGTGCTCGGAGTCATCGCCATCATCGCGCTCGCCATCTGGCTGTGGCTACGTCGACGACGCCAAGATAATCCAGATTCGCCCAGGCCAGAGAGCTCTTTCATGGCACGAACCGGCGATTCCTCTTCCTCAAACAACATCCCTTCACGGCAAGTTAGTCAAATGTCGTCGGCGGGACTGTTAGGGAACAAGGCTCCTCGAATCAACACCTTTGGCATGCCTGCGGGCACCGATCCTCGGAGTGCCGACACGGCTTCGTCAGGTTTCGACCGCCGTAGCGTGGGTACAGATCAAAGACTTAACCCGTATGCTCTGTACATTCACGATGAAGGTCGCGTGAGCGATGTGTCTCTACAGGACAACCAGGATTACTCGCGGCAATTGAGAGTACGTGGACCCTTGGATGTGAGACTTGAGTGGAGCGGAAACTGACGAGGACAGGTTGCCAACCCCGATACATGAGACGACTTTGCACCACCGTGTGGGTCGAAAGCTCGACGATTTAATGCTAATGATGAAGACGGCTGGTTGCAGGACCTACACAGGTGCGATGGAGCAGTCTCCTCAACATCGAGGGGTTTGACAAGCCCTCGACTCGCGTTATCGCGATGCCCCTGTTTGCGGGGTTCAGGTGCGCCACGCAAGAACGCACAGCATGCGGAAGTGATGTTACCATGAGACATTTTGTTTTCCAGCAAGACATGCTTGAAAAGTGCAGATCCCGGACTGGAGCATGAAGGCGTTTCTACAAAACCCATGTACGATTAGCATAGCCAACGGTCAAAAGTTGCTCGGGAGTTTTTGATGGTATAATATATCATCTGACCTTGAAGAGGTTATGGGGCTGTACGTGTCGAGTCCTATTGTTGGCCGACATGTCCTCCAAGACCCACGGAACGGCTCAGTGAGGTTGGCGTTTCGGGTATGGCAGGTTGGGTTTTGATCAACGGGCCGGGTTGTTCCTCTGTACAGAGCCTCGGGATGTGACCAAGTCTATTTGCTAGGTGGGGGTTTGGGAACTGCTGTCGAAGACGGAACAATGGGTTCCAAGTTTCTCCAGCGAGTATTTTCAATCAAAGTACCGTACAGCAGCAGCAGCAGCAGCAGCAGCAGCAAAGCTCATCAAGAATCTGAGACGCCCAGCGCTGTTGTGCCTCGCCACTCACGACTTGGAGCTGGCAGAGTAGGTACTGCGGGCTGTGTGAAGACAAGGCTGTGAGACTTGAGTTGGGCATGATGAATTACATCCTGATGCCTACCTTACCTTGGTAATGAAGAGAATTGAATCCAGTCCTTTTGGCATTTTTAAGGTAGGCGGCTGGGGCCGCCAGGGATAGTCTTGGGCGCATGGCCCGATCCCCTTATGCTCAAGGGCCGGGGGGCCCGAGGGCCCGAGGGGGCGCGCCAGTGGTCCTTCCAGGCACCCACCCCCACTAGCAGTGAAGGTGCCACGGAGCTAACAGGTACTCTCAAGGAAAGGAAGGTTGAATAGTCGTCTTCTCTTTTTTATAGTATCTAAGTAGTCTACTCGTAGTCAGGCCATCTTCGGAGGTGTATACCATAGTGGAATCGTCTGCGTCTTTTCCCAGAGCTGTTTTTGCGCTGTGTAATGGCTGGGGAATGATGAAATCCCACTCCGATTAAGTCTGTCTCACAATCAAGCTGGGATGCACAGTCGGTTCTAGGTGGAATTGACGACAGTTGGCTGGATAGGTAGTTTGCCTCTCGTCACTGTCATTCAGTGTAGGCACCTAGTGGGTCGATTGGGCCGAGGGGGCTTCTCAACATGCCCGACGACGTCAGAGGTCTTGTATGTCCGCCAGTCAAACCAGCGACAGGGCGTGAAAACAGCTTTGTGCACAGTTCCCCGTCCATGACTACCACTCTGAATGGGCTAGGGCTTCCTGCACTGGTCCAAATTCCACCCTCAATGGAACCAAATCGAGGTTTCGAAGCTTCTACAATGGCCTGTTGAGGTCTTCAGCCGCGTGTCGATCCGCAAATGTGGTCGGGACGTTGCGAAGCGCGTCAGGTTTGAAAAAAACCAGGCCCTACTGGCTACTTAGTACTTTGCAGTTAGGCGTAGAGTTGAGAGGATCACTGACGATATTTGTGTAGGGTTCCACCCTCGTGTTCTGGTCCTGCTGCGTGAGAAAACACCCCCCATCTCACCTTCCCTCCAGCTTGAAACCAACCTGGACTCCCTGCTGCCCAATTTACCAACTCTGACTGTTCCTTTTCTTCTTGTACGTCTTCGACTGCTGTCCATGCTGCCTCCATGATCCTTTTGTTCTCCCACAGCCGCATTCCATTTCTTTCGAGTGCGAGTGTATGTGCATGTGATTCTCCTGCATCGTGCCCATCCAATCAAACAGCGCAACCTTGATTACCATTGCCACCACCCTCCCTCACTGATTCCCTACACATCCGATCTTCCGTTGCCTCTGAGAGCCCGTTCTTCAACAGGCTGCAATGGCAGGACGCCGCTACGACGACGTTGTATATGAAGATCGTCGCGATTATTCCTCTAGAGGCAGTCGAAGAGGTTACGAAGACCGCTATACCGACGATGAAATCGAATACCGCCGACAGGCTGCCCCTCCCGTGAGGGAAAGAGAGAGAGAAGTCTTGATTCGAGACGATGTCCGAGGGCGAGCCAGCAACACCCCCTCCTTCATGAAAGAAGACTATGGCCGTACAACAGCCGGCCCAATGGTTCTTCGAGCTCGTGAACGAGAGGACTTTGAGTTTGTCCCTCGTCGTCGAAGGACGCCTTCTCCTGAACCCGAACGCAAGACCGAGAGGGAAGAAATCATCATAGAGCGAAGGGAAGAGTCAGAATCCAGGCCACCTCCTCGGGTGCGGGAAAGGGACCGGGACTACGAACGTGAAGAGATCATCATCAGAAAGGAGGACGCCACACGAGATGCACGACCGCCTCCCCCAAAAGAAGTCAACGGTTCTCGCGAGGAGATCATTATCCGCCGCGAAGAAAAAGATGGAGATCGTCGACCTCGATTTGATGACGATGACATGGTCTCTATCAGAAGAAGCGACTTTGACAGGAGGCCTGCTAGAAGTGAAGTCGACCGAGATGAAATCATCATTCGCCGCGAAGAAGAAAGGTTGGACCCTGTTCGGGCTTACGATGACTACACGCTGGGTAGGAGAGTGTCCCACGAGCGAGCCAGATCTCGAGCTCGGCGATCCAGTAGTGGCTCCGGTCAGGAGATTGTTATTCGCAAGGACGAGATCAGAGGACGCAGTGGAGAGCGAGAAAAGCAGGAGATTATCATTCGCAAGACCTCACGCTCAAGGTCCCCATCGCTGTCATCCGCCCCAGCCCCGCCACCTCCAGTGCCTGAACCACAGGTCATCCATGCTCCCACCATCCATCAAGAAGTCATCACCCATCATCGACATATTGATCACGGCTATGAGGTCTCGGTTCAGACAAGACCTCGCGTGGTGTCGCGACCACCATCGCCGCCGAGCCCTCCTCTGAGTGCTCCCATTCCCGCTCCTGTCCGCAATCGTTCCGAGGAACGGATTCAAATCAGTCGCACACAAACTCGTAACGGACGTACCGAGAACGAGGACATTGTCATTGACCGCAATGAAGGGCCTGCCGGGCCCAGGAGTGTTGCTCACCACTCACCACCTCCTCCCGTTCGTGACCCCTATTACGATGTGCCACCTGCTCGAAGAGATCCTCGAGGATTTGACCGCGAGATACAAGAAGAAGCCGACTATTATAACAACAAAGCTCTCGAACGAGCTTATATCGGAGAAGCTTATCATGGTGCCACCAAAGACTGGGCTCTTGTTGATGTCCCTCCCGGCACATCTCGCGTTCGCATGGAAGGGGCAGGAGGTGGAGGTCAGGAAATCACATGGCAACGTTATAACGGCGTTCGCCGTAGCAAATTCTTTCCCAACGGCGGTGACGAAGCACTCGGGAACGAACTCGGCAGGCCAATCCCCCCTCCCATTCACGATCTCCGTCCTCTTCCAGCTCAACATGGTGAAATTGGTCGCCGGTATGGGAAGGAAGGCAACCCCACCGACGGACTATGGACTGAAGTGACCAAAGATCTGGTGGTCAGGGAGGCCATCCAGGAGATGGGCTATGAATTCGAAGAGACCAGCGACTACTATTATATCATTGCTTATCTGACATATGTAAGTTCTCACCTTGACTTGCGCAGCCCAGCATTCACTGACTTGGACTCAGGAAGACATGGTCCGTCTGGTCGGCCTATCGGAGGATATTCGCAAAGAGCGAAGGCAACGGGCCAGGGAAATAGAATGGGAGAACAGAGCCCTACCCCCTCCAAGACCAGAGTCAAGACCTCTGGCTATCGAGCCTCCTCCGCCTCGACCTCGACAGGAATGGGACCGAGAAGAGGAGAGAGTTATCGAACGTGAGGTGATATACCGGGGTGGACGTCCGCCTCCACCCCCTGGTTGGAGACGTTGAGAGACGAACGACAAGACATCAACCCATCTGTCATCTCTACCTATCAATTATATTTTGCTTAAGAAGATGAGTCACCTATGTGTCAAACACGACCAGCAACGGCGATACCACAGCATTACTTTTAACGACCTGAACCGTCAACGATTTCACGACTGAAACGCAGCGAACATTATATCACATGATGTCTGTCTTTTATCCGTCATTATGAGCGATTATTTCTTACACATCCTGGTAGTGTTTCGGCAGGCTTTGGAATGTTTGATATCGATGCCAAGCTTGAGGCGAGTCGAATGTAGTCTCGAATTGATGGTGGAAAGATTGTTTGATAAAAGAGATCAGGGTTTGGCAGTTAGTGAGAAGAGATATCCCGGGTCAAACTAGAACGTCGACTTAGATACGAGATAGCTTTCAAGATGACATGGAATAACCAGCGCAATCGTCCAATGTGTAATAGCTGACGACAAGTCCTGAAAGACGGCAAGGCTCCGAGGTTTGATGAGACGAAGGATTGTTGGTGGTTCTTGTGTCACCAAGACCAAGGAACCTTGCTCCTGTGATGTTTTAAGTATGTCTACTTAGGTTATGGGGCTATGTGTCTGTAACTCGGCCTTGGTGACGAGCATGGGCTGCGAGAACGCAGCTAAGACTATTCCAGAGGTCTGGATATTTAAAATCATGCGGCATGAGGATGCATTTCCATAGCTAGGACAAAGCGTGCACGTTTCAGCCTTGCCCCAGTGGTGTATCGCGAGAAGACAATTTCGTTGTGACCATCTGTCTTTGTCCTCTTGCCCTTGGCCACATTGGCGAGGAATCTTTTTTTCTATTCGGATGAGATTGGCGGGAGTTCGCATGGAGATGTATCGATGCTGGAAAACTCTTGCTCCGATGCTCTTTCCGCCATCTCGAGAACAACTGCCTCAACCTTGTCCAGAGGATTGTACTTCCACTCACAGTGAGCATTGATGAGACTACACACAAGGTTTGGGGTCTCATGGCCGGCATAGTCAGGCTTAGGAAGTTGGTTGAGAGCCCAGATTGTATTGTCATCGGTTTCTAGAGCCATGCATCCATCGGTGGAAGCTGCTCGAATCCAGTTGCGTTCATGCTTGAACCAGTGATCGATACAAGCACACGGGTAGAGCGGAAAGTTGCTGTCAGGATTGTCCTTGGTGTCGGGGCTTGGAAAGGCGAGGGAGTTGGCTGTAGGAACCAGAGTGGCCAAGAGACAAAGAGCTAGCAACAACCAGAGGCGAGGCATTTTGTTGAGGACGCGTGTGAGAGAGGAGAGGTGTAGACACTGGTATTTGCCAAGTTTGAGTTGAAAACTGTATAAGACCCCAGCTGGACGATGAACGATGACGGAGAAACAATGAAGACTCGGATCAAGAAGATAGCTGAAGGAAGACAAGGACGTGGTAATCAAGAGGAAAGGATTTCTTACCAGTTCGATCGAGGAAGAGGCGAGGCCAGGCAGACATCTGCGCCTTTTGCAGCCCGTGGTAACAACGGAAGGAAGGCGAAACAACGCGGATGCGACTTCCACATATGTAACCAGATTTACACATTCTGTTACTCCCCTCACCACAGATTCCCCTTTCTCCTGGTAGCAGGACAATTGTCTTTCACATGGTGCAGTGAAATTGTGCCATCAAGGTCGTCAAGACGCAAAATACAGTGCAGTCATTATATCCAGATGACCATCTGTTCATGTCTGACCTATCAAAGCATGCAAATGCACAGGCTCAGTGACCAGGTTAATATCCAGGTTGGTGTCACAAGCAAGGGATGAACGATACAAGCAAGAAATGAAGACGTAGGGGCGGTGAACAAAGGGGCTCTATCTTGGCATGTTGTTGCTCACCGCCCACATCTTTCTGCCAGCATTTCAAGCCCATCACCTCACATTGTCTTTGCCCTCCCGCGCCTACAATCCTGCGCAACGCCAGTCGCTTCTTGAAGAACAATTATCGCACTGCAACAACAGCCACCATGCCGCCCAAGAGAGGAGGCCGCGGCGGCAAGCGCGGGCCCGATCTGTCTTGGGAGGATGCCGACGAGAATGCCCCTAAAGATGCTGAGCTCTCCAAGAAAATGCCAGGTCCCAGATTCCCTCCCATGAAGTTAAAAGTTCCTCGTCCTATCGATGCCTCGGAGCGTGCCAGCGTCAACGCCTACCTACAATTCCGAGACCTCGCACGCAAAGGCCCCTATTTTGCCATTCTAGAACCCAGCCATTTGACGGATGCGAAAACCGGCAAAGTGCACAGCCGCCTGGGATTTGATCCTTTCAACGACCAGGAAAAATACACGGCAAAGTTTCACAGGAGAAAACGAACGGCTCCGGATCTGAGTACACGAGAATACGGTGGGCTGTTATTGTGGAATTTGACGATTGTTTCGGGCACTAATTAAAACTGTCCAGAACTCCGAACATTTCCAAAGGAACTATGGCCGGGCCTTGATCCCAAGCAGAAGAACCCCATATGGACGACGGTCGATGCTGCTGCGATCATGGCAAGGTCGCATAGACCCCTAAAACGTAAGCGCGAGGCACTACCAGCGGCCGATGACGATGAAGAAGAGAAGGAAGGGGATGGCAATGAGACGGATGAGTCGGACCCACTTCTGACTGGCTCTCGAAGAGCCAGGAATGCCACCAAAGCTGCCAAACAACGACGCGACGACTCAACAACTAAGAAGTCCAAGGAAAAGAAAGGCTTGGACGCCGAGGATGACTACGGCGATGATGATGCTCGAGACAACGACGATGATGACGACGACGACGACGGTGAAGAAGGTGCCGAGGCTGAAGAGCAGGACTCGGAGTTCGATGAATCCGATGATGCCGATGGAGATGATTACAATGCCGAACAGTATTTTGATACCGGTGAGGGTGATGAGGACGATTTTGGTGGCGATGACGATGGTGGGACATACTAATTGATGGTCATCTACCTACCCTCAGCGACGATGGCTTGAACAACACAATACCCCGAATTCCTTTGTTTGTAATGTACACATTATTGACACTGCTCAGCGATGCCTACGCCGCGCTGACATAGCCCCAAGTACCTACCTACTTTTCTTGATAGTTGCATACTACCTGAGATTGTCGAGTTGCAGGAACTTGTAGCAACTAAAAGATTGCCATATTGACATTAGTAGGCACGGAAGGCTGGTCGATATTGCTCCGCCCTAGACATCTTCTTCGGTCGAGTATTAAACCCTATGTGAGATTTCCGAGACGTGATTCTTTGCAACAACAATTTCTGAATTTCCCACGCCTCACCAACGTCTCAACGCTCGAGACTCAGAATTTGCTTCGTCTTTGTCAACTGTAACAATGACGCTGGCCTTAAAATTTCGGAACAATGGCAGAAAAAGAGCAACAACACCCGCACCTTGATCGGACTGCTCTAGTACTCTTTGGCACAGAAACAGGCACCGCCCAAGATATTGCAGAGGAGATCAGTCGCATCCTGCAGCGGCTGCACTTCTCTACAGATATCGTAGGTCTCGACCATGTCAAATATGAGACTCTCAAGTCCTACAACCTTACTGTCTTCGCAGTCGCCACCACTGGTCAAGGAGATTTTCCCGACAATGCCCGAAAATTCTGGACTAGCCTCCTGCGAAGGAAGCTGTCGTCCACCACCTTGTCTGGCATCAATTATGCCTTGATTGGGCTATGTGATAGCTCTTATACCAAATTCAATTGGGCGGCACGAAAACTAGACAAGCGACTGCAACAATTAGGTGCCAATCCTCTTCTCGAGGCATGCGAGGCCGATGAGCAAGGCGATGAAAGTACTGACGGCTCTTTCTTGGCCTGGTCACCTCTTTTGAGAGATGCTGTGTTGTCACGGTTTCCACTTGCCCCTGGTTTACAGCCGATCCCCAACGACGTTGTTCTCCCAAGCAAATGGCGTTTGCAGCCGTTGGCTGTACATGAGTCAAACAACGAGCCGAGCCGAGCCAAACCAGCATCTCATCCAGCTTTGGGTGGTCTTGATGATAACACAGTCACCGTTGAGCTAACACTCAACCAACGCGTCACCCCACCAAGCCACTGGCAGGACGTTCGGTTCATGAGCCTCGAGCTTCCTGAGCAGATGACTTATATGCCCGGTGACGCTCTAGCCATTTCTCCCAAGAATCTCTCCTCTGACGTTTCTACGCTACTTGACCTGCAGAGGTGGAATGAGATAGCTGATGATCCCATCCAACTCACAGCAACAAACCCAAGGCAGAATGGTCGATCCTCCCTGTCAGACCACAACCCGATCAATGCACGAGAAGATCTTACACTTCGAGTTCTCCTCTCAGAATACCTCGACATCAATGCCATCCCGCGACGTTCTTTCTTTGCCGCCATCGCCAATCACACCACAAACGAAATGCATAAAGAACGCCTTGTCGAGTTTACGGATCCACAGTATCTTGACGAATATTACGACTATGCCACCAGGCCACGACGGAGCATCATCGAGATTCTCCAAGAGTTCGACTCTGTTCAGCTTCCATGGGAGGAAGTAATCAACATCATACCGTCACTGCGGCCGCGCCAGTTCAGTATAGCAAGTGGCGGAAGGCTAAAGCAGAGCGACCACGGCGGCACCAAGTTTGAATTGCTAGTTGCCATTGTCAAATACCGTACTGTCATCAAACGGATTCGAGAAGGTGTCTGTACCAAATATTTGGCCCAATTGCCGGTTGGTTCAAAGTTACAAGTCTCTCTGAAGACTGAAGGTCGGTTTTTGACGCCAAACGACTTAGCTACAAACTCCAATCATATCTTGATTGGCGCTGGCACAGGGATCGCACCACTTCGAGCTTTGATCCATGAAAAGACGTGTGAAAGCGCGATGTCTGGACTCAATGTTCTGTTCTTTGGATGCCGAAGTCATGCAGCTGACTACTACTTCCACGATGAATGGAAGACGCTGGCAGAAGCATCTTTGCAGGGAAAGTCGACTCCCCATATGGGATCGACCTTTGAGGTGATACCGGCCTTTTCACGTGACCAATCAGCCAAAGTCTACGTGCAGAACCAGATCCGTGCCAGAGCAGACTTAGTATGGACGATGCTGCGGGAGCAAGAGGCTACAATCATCCTGTGTGGCTCCTCTGGCCAGATGCCCAAGGCAGTGCGCCAAGCTCTGGTCGATGCACTGGTGGAACAGGCGAGCTTGAAGGTCGATGTGGTGGAGGGGGTCAAAGGTCCCTCTGGAGATGCAGATGAACCAATCTCCAGTCCAGAAGACGCCGAACGATATCTAACACGGCTGGAAAAACTGGGGAGGTTCAAGCAAGAGACGTGGTCATGATGACACGAAATGGAGTTTATTGTGTCGCAATCACTCAGATCTCTTCTCATTTATGCCTTGCCAGCAAGTCGTCTCACCCTTACGGGACAGATCGGTCTGAATGGGGAAAGGGGCTACGATAGACCATCGACGATCGAAATGAAATGTGATATATCATTCAGCAATAGTCATAAGTAATAGAAAAGTCGCTAGATAACATAAAATAACATCCTCGTACATGGGGATCAGACATTTTGGTTGTATGCACACGGTACCCCCGATTCCAACAACCACTACAATTGCGATTCTAAAGCTCGGCTCAAACCTGGACACTCGTCTTGTCGACACAGCTGGAACAGCCAGTCTTGCCCGCAGCGACCTGGCTAGGCGTACGTGCATAGCTGGGGGGCACATCAAGCGCAGGGTTTCTCAAGAAGAAGTTGCGTGGTCGCAGCAACAACGACATGGGCTCCGCAGGCATGACGGGGAAATCCTCGGGGGCCGGGAAGTGAGTCAGGCCAAAGGTGTGCCAGAGCACAATGTCTTCATTCTCAATGTTCTCGGCGGGGTTGGCGTCGATCCACAAAGGCAAGCCCTGGGAAGGCTCGCCCGAGGTCTGGGGCACGTGGCGGCCAGCAGGATGAATCTGGTCGTCGGAGTCTAGAGGATCGGGTTAGAGTCTTGTGTTGGAAGAAAGCAAGGGGATAACAACTCACATTTGGTGACGTGGACGGCATGGCGAGCGAAGCCAGCCCGCTTCCACACTAGGGATCCCTCCTTGGGGAGCAAGTCAGGCACCTCTCGACTGACAAGCTTGTACGTGGCTGGCCTCTTGCTATAAGGGTGCAGTTTGCTTTCGTTGGAGATGTCCCAGGTTCGTGAAGTGTTTCCGTCATAGCCTGCTCGGGCTTGACCAGCCGTTGTGTACTTTGTCTTTTTGGCGTAAAAGGCGTTGCCATATGGGTTCTCGGGCGAGCCAACCTCGCCAGCGCCCCGGGCGGCGTCCACCTGGAAGACTGTATTCTTCTGACCATCGACGCTGGGATCGACTCGCAGGCAGAAGAGATGCTGGTGGTTGTGTGCATTGACTCCAGGGTAGACTTCGGTACCCCAGCCCTTGGTGTCCTCACCGGGATTCATGGCGTAGGTGTTCAAAATACCTGTAAGCTTGATCTCCAGTTGGATGGTGCCATCCTGGTGGAAGATCCAGTAGACACAGTATTCATAGTTGGCGGCAGTGAAGATGTGGGAGATGATGAGTTTGCGGGCACGAGTGACGATGACCGAGTCGTCACGGAAATCCGAGTGCTTGAACAGAATGCCATTGTCTTCTTCGTGGATGCACACGGCGTTCTTAATGGTGCTGGCGGCACCGGCGCGGTTGACAAAGTCGAAGTCCAAGTAGTGGATGCTTCCCTTGCAGTCACAACCCAAGCTCAGAGAGTTAGTCATGTATCCGCCGCCATATTCACCCAAATCGAAGGCATGCTTGCGCTGGTGGGGGTGTTCTGGGTTGCCATAAGGGACGACCATTTCGGTCAACGAGAGTCTGTAAAAGATTGGTCGAACCACACCTTCGGCCTTGTCAAAGAAGCCGATGTTGTTGAGAACGATGCCCTCGCGGTAGTTGAAGCCAATATGAATGGACCAGTTTTGCCATTCAATCGTTCGACCCTTCATGGTGAAGCTGACGCCTTCTGGCTGGGTGATGTTGATAGGCTTGAGGTCAGTCCGGAATCCACCACCATCTTCTACGGATTTGACGTGGTAGTTGTTTGGGGGTGCCCTGCTGAGAGGTCTTCGGACCTTGGGAACATCGATGTGAATGATTTTTTGCTTGTTGGAGTCGTAGATGGGACAGAAGTCCAGGGGGAATGAATACTGGGAATCATCCACATGAGGACGATAATACATCAGAGCTTGTTGCAGCCTGACGGCGTTGCCGAATCTCTCGTCGTATCCAATGGTCCAAGGATCACAGTAGACTTTGTCCATCTCGTTGGCTGGAATGCCGCTCAGGCGGCATTGTTCGATGACACCGGGGTCCTTGCGAACGACATGCTCGACAATTTGCAAATCTTCCATAGTGATAAGGGGCTGAACATTGGGCGTCTCCTCCCATTTGATGACCTTGCCCTGAGTAAGGTCGACATGACCATCGAACACCTTTCCATCGGTGGAGATGACCACAATATCAGCTATCCGATTGGGTTTCTGAGTATGGTCAGGATCGGCAAGCCACTTCAACATCTGAGCCTTGGGAGGCTCTAGGATGGTGACGGCATTGTAGTAGAGTTTCCCATGCTGAGAGCGTAAGATGGAAACAGCAGCTTCGATCTCAGTGGTGGAGAGAGGATCCAACGGATGGGGAGGTGCCAGGGTGTTGGACACCTGCTGTGCAAGTTGCTTGACACGTTCGAGAACCATGTTGAACGACAAGAGGGGTAAATCTTGCTTGGATCTCAAGAAGTTCACAGACAATGATGTAGGAAGAAGGGAACGAGCAGAGAGACGGGACAGTCTGAGAGTTTTAAAGACAGCTCATCAAGGAGGGTCGAGGAGGGTAAAGGCGTCGACCTTGCATGTCGGCGTACTGAACCTGACCACTGGATCGCGGAATGGATTCTGATGCAGAATCGAGGAAAGCGACCACGACTCCCGACGAGTAAGAAGGCAGCATTTCCGGACCCTTATCTTATCGTTTATTCAACCATCTCGACACATTTAAAGGCGGAGCAAGGCGAAGCTCGTGGATGCGAGGCATGGCTAAGATTACTGCTTTAGGACTAGCGCGACCGGCCATATGGACAATCCGTTTCTCACACAATTGAAGCATCGACCATGGAATGTCTCCGACGGCCGTCGTTTCCTATGATATCTAGACAGGAAGCCTACCACGAGCCATGCGGTCAATTTAGACTTCATTCGAGGCTATCAACTTCTTTACAGTATGCATACCACTGTACATACATGGTGGTGGCGCTCAAGATAACAATCTCTGTGAATAAGCAGTGCACCACGAGCTGATATGTATGGGTCAGTTCAAGTACCTAATGATTAGGTATCCAATAAATAAATACTCTGGAAGTGCTGGGCACGACAAGATAAGAAATGATATTTGCCCATTGCTGAATACACGTGATACAATAGGATTTCAATCATGATGATTTCCGCCCGGTGGACCTTTAATGGTTCCATGTCTCTGATCTTGGCGAGAAGGGGCGGCGGAACAAGAAATGCATGGCTAGCCTTCCAAGACCGTAGTAGAAGGACACCTAGGACAAGCATGGCTACCTAGGTGACTGATCGACTGAATTTCAAGGAGTTCTAATCCAGCCTGTCCATCATCGTCCCTTGTTCAATCATGGCAAAATTCCTCAAGACTGTGAGGTGAATCCATTTCATATGTACATTTCCATTACTGGATGTTTTTGATCTTGCTTTGTATGGGTATCTGTGGCCCTTGCCAGCGCTTGGTTTAGGGCACATGAGGTAGGGGTTGGTCGGTCTGGATAGTTTAATGGTGTTTTTCTCCGTGACCATCTTCGTGGCCATGTGTATCTTTGAAGAACATTGCCTCGACAACGACATAGCCCGCAAATGCAACCGTAGCAATTCCAAGTCCTGGGAATGCACCCTTGAGTCGGTTCCATCGAGTGAAGGGACCTGTATACCGCCATGCCTCGCTACCATTGGTTAGTCATGGAAACGTAACAGACAACAAGGATTTCTGGTAGTTCCCTTACTTCCTTGCCCATGGGTCTCTTGCACGCCACTCTCGGCTTGTTGCAGCGTTCGTCAAAGCTTTCATGTCAAAGCCCGTGGGGTTGTTGGGAGGAGCCATGTTGCTGGTGTGAGGAGAGAGGAGATGGACGGTGCTGGAGAGTGTTGGAAGATGTCTTCCAGCTGCCTCGAAGAGAGGTGGTGATAGGAAATAAGCACGTGGACAATGGTGGTGGGTGATTAACAACGAGATGGTGCAGTCATGAGGATGTGAGGATGCGTATAATGTCGACAATCACATAGCTTGTGCCAAGACTGCGTGTCAAGCTGAATATGCTGCCCCGCATAGGTCTAACCGAATTAGTCCAAGTGCAGAACGGTGCAGAATGGCTCTTTCCTGTGTGTGTGTCTTCAACGCCATCGGACCTTCTGCGCAACCATCTCTTTCCAGACAAAAACACCCACAACCGCCCGTTTCACTCTTTCATCTTCACTATAACAGACATCAGCTATCACTCACTCGTGAAATTCAGCAGTACCTGACGACCGCGATCACGCCACCCCCGACGCGTTCCGCGATTATCCTGATAATATCCATCCTTGCATGCGAACTTCCTTCATGGATCTAGAGCCTCTCTCACCTTGTCCTCTCACGCGATGAGCATGCTCTTTGGATATCCTTTCAAATCACCATCATCTTCTCTCTAAATCCCATTGACATGGCCCCACGCTACAATCCGTCCTTGAATGGACCTTATCACATTCAGCAAAACCATCTTCAATCCCACGTTTCTTCTCATCAACATGGCGTCCTCCCTCCTCCTGCGCAACTCGGCACTCCTGCGTTCGGTGCAGGCACATCCTCCTCGGCCAGTCCATTCGCCCTCACCAGCAACCTAAACAACGGCTTCGATCGCAGTATGCTTGACAACGGTGTCATGCAGGGCCAAATGGCCTTCGCTAGAGGCGGGCCAGTCCAAGCACATCAAGGCTATGATTCCATCGGGGGTCCTCTCGAAAACAAGGACGACGCCCGTATCCGAAACGTTTGGAAGCATAACTTGAAGGAAGAGATGGACACCCTCAGGAAATTAATCGATGAGTATCCCTATATTGCAATGGTAGCCATACCCCCGGGCTTTCGAGTCTTTCTCCGTATTAATTCGTCTTTACAGGATACCGAATTTCCCGGAATAGTTGCGAGACCCATTGGACAGTTCACCACCAAAGCCGATTATCATTATCAAACCCTGCGATGCAACGTCGATCTCCTCAAGATGATCCAGCTTGGAATCACTCTGTTCAAGCCCGATGGTTCGCTTCCCCCGCCAGACGCTGTGTCCCCTGCGAAGTCCCAATTCCATCAGAATCTCCTCCCCACGCCGTGCACGTGGCAATTCAATTTCAAATTCTCTCTCGAAAGCGACATGTATGCCCGCGAGTCGACCCAGATGTTGACAAAGGCTGGCATTGATTTTGAGCGGCATGCCAAACATGGGATTGAACCTCAAGACTTTGCATCACTACTCATGACATCCGGTCTTGTGCTGGAGGATGACATTCACTGGATTTCCTTCCACTCGGCCTATGACTTTGGCTACTTGATGAAGCTCATGATATGCAAGCCGTTGCCTGAAGACGAAACGTCGTTTCATGCTCTACTCGAAAAGTTCTTCCCATCTCTCTTCGATATCAAATACATCTTGAAACACATTGGCGCCAAGGGCTCGGTGAATAACAATCAACCTTTGACCCACGATGCTACCCTCATCGTGCAGCGGATTATGACAAAGTCTGGGCTTCAGGACATCGCTGAGGAGCTGGCAGTTGCACGCATAGGGCAAGCGCATCAAGCAGGATCGGATTCGTTGCTTACTGGGCAAGTTTATTTTAAGATGAAGGAAAAGGTGTTCAATGGCACCTTTGAGGAAGACCGATATCGGTCTCAGGTCTGGGGTTTGAACGGTCAAATGCCGACCACTTCTGGAGGCAACAACCGCGACTTCAACACGCCCAACATGAACGGAGCCACGTTTTACAATCAAAATGGAACGCCATCGACGCCGCAGACGGGCAATATCGGCATGGCTAGTGGATCGTCGCACACGCCGGTGCCAAGTCACATGAGTGGGATGACTCCAGGAGGATTTGGGAATTTCCAGTACCAGAAGGCAATGAGTTAGACGCCAGAGCCATGCGTCGAGGAAAGGCGGCGGGCATATCGTGCGGAGACGAAGCACGCGAGTGCCCAGGACGGCGTTGACGATCTTGAATTTTATGACACACCAGGCTTGGGCGAGTATGCCTGTCTTGAGAGACAGCGGAGCGGTGGATGGCAATTGGATGGCAGCGCACCTCGAGTTTGTTCCCCTGTACAGCAGATGACTGGCGTTGTTTCGGGGCGACATATAATGCCATACAACTCTCAGCATGAAGTGATGCGCGAAGACGAATACCAGTCCTTCACATGGCATGACCAAAATCTATCCAGTTCGAGCAGCAGAAATCCTCTATCACGTGCATTTCCTTCGGTTTCACCAGCAGACCACCGGCATTCCATGCCTATAGCAATTCCGGTGCAGCCCCTTGAAGGAGCAAGCTCTAGGCCCTTTGAGCGCTCTCACGCACATCCCACAAATGAAGGATCACGCACCGCTCCAACTTTGTTTCGTCCAAGACTCGTATCACCGCGGCACAATTACGTCTCCAGCGATGGGCTAATCACAAATCCTATTCATCCTTCACATGGTTGGCGACCATGGTCAGCGCGTTCAAAGCCCTAGTCCATCCAGCCGTCTTGGGACACTGGCGTGTGCACGGCAACGCGCCAAAGACAAGCATACCGACGACATGATGGCGTGCAAAATGCACTTTAGTCTCGGCCCTATAGCTTTGATAATTTGGAGCGATTGCCCACGAACGCGAAGCGGTAAAGCTCGATGTGGACACATGTTGTCTCTGGTATTCGACTCATGTGTCTGGACGGGTCGGAGAATACGGAGTACGGAGTTGAGTATTTTGCATGGGTGTCCTGGTTGTGGACCTTAGGGAAGGGGTAGTTTTTGTTCAGTAGTTGAGTTACATACTTGGGGATGGAAGAGAGGTGTGACCGGTGCGGTGAGTTGTTGTCGTGTCCTTGTGTTTTTCGTAACTCGGTCTAAATGTCGAGGCGAAGAATGTGACTGGCCTCGAGGATTGTATTGTATTGCACCGAAATTGGTATCGGGTCAAATTATCCTGTAATCATAGCAGAGATGTTGAGATTCATGAGATCAACAGTCGTGTGCTACTCTGAAGGGCCAGCTTCCAGATGTATTGCGCTTGTGTATGTGATGACGTAGCCCGGTGTGCAGATGTAAGGCTTGGTCGAGTTCGAGCTTCGGGGGTGGTGAAGCAAAGCACTGTTCAAGAGCCCAGATATCTTTTCCAGCCGTCCCTCCATACGGTCCTCGTGCTCTCATCGCCAACAACACCGGGCCTTTCCCCGATCAAGAAGCGCTCCCAGCGAGCGTCTCGGCCGGTGCCAATGCAGATGATGGTGGTGTTGTCGGACCAGCCCAAGATGCCTTTCTGAGGTCGTGTCGGCAAGGAGCCGAGGGCGGGTAGATAGGACAGTGCCTGTGGGCCAGAGAGTGCATCGTCGCCCATTTCGAAATGTGTGGATGCGAAACTGTACATGTCGCTGAAGACGCGGGGAAGTAAGGGGATTTTGGAGAGAAAGCCCCATTTCTGATTGGTGTTCTGGTCTTCCTCCGAGGGGTGGTACACGGAAGGGGACTGGGAACGACGAGAATTGGTGGCGGCAGGACTTCGCGGGGATGTTGGGGTGCCTCTAGAAGTGGATCGAGGTGTGGAAGGAGACACAGGGAGATCAAACACGTGGAGAGTGGATTTGTCCGAGGTGACGGCAAGCATAGAAGAGTCAGGAGAAATGGCAATGCTGAAGATGTAGGCAGGGTCTACACCTCGACGGAGTTCGGCAATCTTTGTGCAATTGGCGGTGGAGAAGACACGAATCAAAGTGCCCGTCTCGCTAGCAGTTGCGAGCCAGGCTCCATCGGCCGAGAGGTCCATGGCGCGGAGGGCAGAGGTGTGAGCGGGAATGATGCTCACATTTCCAGAAGCCAGTTCAACGAGTTGAACCTTGCCTGGCGACCTACCGGGAAAGGCGAGATGCTTGGAACCAAGACAGCAGAGGCCTAGAGAATTGTCGGCAGTCTCAAAGACAGCCGTCTTTTCAGGCGGAGAGGAGAACTTGTAGAGATGAATACTGTTCTGAATAGCAATAACAATCCAGGACTTTGTCAAGCGGACACGCAACACGGCAGTCTTCAGTTCGAGGGTGATGGCAACCTTTTGCTTCGCATCGTCCCAGATGATGACCTGATATGATATTGTGTGAGCCTGGGGGCATGCAGCGAGGGAGAGGTCAGATAGAACCAACCTTGGTTTGCGGCCAGCGAGGGTTTTTTCCACCTCCTACAAGTGCCAGATAGTTGTAACGGCCGAGCATCTCTGCTGTACCGATCCCTGCATTGAGGTCTGCGATGGATGTTTAGAGTTGGAGGTGTGGGCAAGGGGAGGGATGGTGCCAACCTCTGGAGACTTTCAATTCACATGGGAAGGTATTGAAGACTAGAAGACGAGGCGAGGTTAGTAGTCTGAAATTTGTGGTCGAGGTGGTTCATGGGAGGAGGATATGCTCACCACAAAAGCCTGTGTCGAGGCCAACGGCGAAACAGGTGGAATCATAGTTGAAAGAGGCACAGAGCGACACAGGCCCCGTGGAATCATCGATGATGGGTCGAGTGTTCATGTTGTTGAGGTAGGTAGTTAGTTCAGCCTGGTTCGTTTCATATTGAAAGAGAGGGTGTGTGTAGAGGTGCTCAGGAGGGTGTCTGAGTGTCTCTGATTGAGATTATATCACGAGATGTCAAGATCGACAGGTTGTAGGGATAGGGTCATAGGATGTTGTGATGTGTTGTTGGTGCAAGCGACACTTAGGGTGCGGTGCGGTGCGGTGCGGTGCGCTGGCTGGACGGTGGATGGTGGACGACTGGATGGATGAGAATGAAATCGGACACGAGATGAAAAGGCATGACGCCAGAGGTTCGCAGCGAAACCATCCAAGCCCCTCGGCCTTCCTAACCGGCTGGCCTACTCTCCTATGGCCCCAGGAGCCACAAGAGCCACAAGAGCCACAGAGCCCGCCGATCTAGGATTCCATAGGTGCTACGAGCGCCCATCACGTCACTGATGTTGCTTATGGTCTAGGCGCGAGGCCCCTCGGCCCCTCGTCCTCTCGACCCTAGACTTGCCTATGGGCCTGATACCAATATCTGTGCAATTGGCATTATTAGAGTTAGAGACACGTGCTCGGTGTCTCATCGGCTCCTCGGGCCTCTTCATTCCAGTTACCAGGTACCTAGGTAGTAGGTATGTATGCGACTATCATGCTGATCGTCAACACAAACGATCTCACTAAAGATTGAAGGACTCGACAGCCACATTCACAATATGTTGTACCTTTGAACCAGCACTGGCTCTAGTCACATCTTCCCGGCACTAAGGGTTCTGCAAACGCTGAGGTCATAGGTCATTAGCGATCAAGAATGAGTAGATGGTAATGATCGTAATAAATTTTGTGGCTGTGCAAGCCCCGAAGCGATAGGCTCTAATAGGGCCCTGGGGTGTCTGGGGTGCCTGGGGCCTCCCAAGTATGGGCTGGAACTGAAGTATCAACATTTTGTTCGCCTGGAATGTCAACTTCCTATAATTATTATGATTATTATTATTCTTATATTACTGTGTGCCATCCTTGCCGTACCTAGTTACTAACTCATCCTACGATTACCATCATCAATGACATGGACTTTGTGTAACCATCACCATAATTCCCATTTTCTTCACTTTTAAATTCTAAACACATCCATCTCTCTTCACAAGCCATTACAATGAGGTAAACACACAGTCTTGTTCAAAATCCGGTCACTCCGTCACCGTTCACCAGGTCCACGGCCGTTGGCCACTTTGACCAATGTCGTTATTGAAAGGAGCTAGCTCCTACAACGACGATCAAAAGTCTCCTCAACCCTGGAGGTCCGGAGACCCTTGGTCGCCACCCCATGATCCCACGGGACCTTCTGTCCATACTGGTGATCCATCAACATCGCATTCTCTATCGTCAGCTGTCCGGGCGAGAAAGGACGAATATATTCGCAAGGAGACGGTCAAAGTCAAGGTCGGAACCTGGAATGTCGCCTCGATAAATGGCACTGAAAAGGATCTCGGAGCTTGGTTCGTTGGAGGATACGGCGTCAAGGGTCTGTCCCAGGACCTGGCTGGCCTCGCTGTTGAAACTCAGCCAGTAGCCGGCCAGGAGAATTCGATTGAATCCGTAGAGGCCCAAGAAGCTCGACTCGCCAAGAAGAAATCGACTTTGCCCAAGGATGATATCCCCGCTGTCGACCACGACTCCGATATCGACTTGTACGTTCTTGGCCTTCAAGAAGTTATTGACGTCGCCTCCATGACCGAAGCCGTCAAGCCTTTCACTGACCCCAATCCGGCTAAGAAATGGAAGAAAGCCCTCACTACCGCTCTCCCACCGACTTATCAAATGGTTGCGGAACAGCAACTGCTTGGCTTACTCATCCTCATCTATGCTTCCCCTACACTGGCCCCTTCTATTTCCAACGTTAGCACCGCCAGTGTCGGCACCGGCTTGATGGGCTATCTTGGCAACAAGGGTGCCGTCTCTGTCAGGTTGATGCTCGCAGAAACAACAAAGTTTTGTTTCATCAACTGCCACCTGGCCGCCGGTGCTGATCAAGCTGCCTTGAATCGCCGCATCTGGGACACCAGCCAGGTATTGAGTCGGACCAGGTTTTCGCCCGTCAGTCCTGATGGCGAGGTGGTTGAGTCAGGTGAGGAAAAGATTGGTGACGAAGATTTTGCCTTTTGGTTTGGCGATCTCAATTACAGACTGGACGACATTCCCGGTGAGGATGTTCGCAGGCTACTTCTCCTTCATACGCGAAATGAATACGATGTCACCAATCAATCCAAGCGCCGGATCGACAGTGAGTTGGGCTTCATCAACGCCCCGTCCTCGGAATCTGTGCCAGCCCACAAACATTACGAATACAGCGACGTGGAACTCCCGGCCTCAGAAAGCGCCGCCGAACCACCATTGGATCCCGAGTCCGACCCTGCATCGCTTCACACCACCATCAAATCTCTGCTAGCTCACGATCAACTTCACAACCAGCAACGCCTGCGCAAGGCATTTCACGATGGCTGGAGAGAAGGAGATATCAAGTTCTTACCAACCTACAAGTATGACGTTGGCAGTGTGGGCATGTTTGACTCGGGCGAGAAGAAGAGGAGCCCCAGCTGGTGCGACAGGATTCTCTTCCGCACGAGGCGAGATCTCCATATGTCCGAGGAAAAGTCCAAGAGACTAGAAGAAGCTCGCAAAAAGGACGAGGCCATGAGAGCACAGGGTCTGGACCAAGCCACCGCCGAACAAGACGTTCTTTTCGACTATGACCCGGATACGGACGGCCTGGCTTACGGTGACGACGGCGACGGCGACGGTGAGTGCGACGATGACTTTGGTGAAGCGGAAGATGCCCTTCACGACGCCGAATTAGTGCAGACCAGAGATGATTATGGAGACCCCATCCTTCTTCACCACTACATCTCGCACCAACGGGTCCTGTCCTCAGATCACAAACCTCTCGATGCTATCTTCACCGTCACCTACGACGCTGTGATCCCCGAATTGAAAGCCAGGGTCCATCAAGAAGTCGCCAAAGAATTGGACAAGGCAGAAAATGAGAGTCGTCCTGCCGTGACTGTGGTAGTTGACAATCTTTCGGATCTTTCCAATCCAAACGCTGACGGACCGACAGACATGAGCGCCGTCGACTTCGGACCTATCCGCTACCACGAGCGCCAAACTCGAACTGTCACCATTGCCAATACCGGCCAGATACCGGCAACCTTTAGCTTTGTGGAACGACCCTCAGATGCCGAAGATGATGTAAAGGCTGTTCCGGACTGGCTCACACTTGACATCAATCATGAGACTATCGAACCCGCAACTAAGTCAGGGACCGGCCAAGAGCCGCGCTTCACCCTTTATCCGGGGGATAGCACGGTCGTGGAGCTGTCGATTCAAGTATCTAAACCCGAGCTTGTGCATGGCCTCAACTCGAGCGACGTCGATTTGGACGATGTTCTGGTACTGAGAGTTGAAAATGGACGAGACCATTTCATTCCTGTCAAAGGCACATGGCTGCCATCGGCATATTTTCGAACCTTGGGAGAACTCGTTCTGGCACCCGAAGGGGGCGTGCGCCAGATGCAGCCTCGCCGCGGAGGTGATGTTGCCGACCAGACCGCCGCCGCGCACCATTCTGCGCCCAAAGAATTGTTTCTTCTCACTGAACCGGTCCCCAGCCTTGTTGAACGTTCCATCGCCGACTGGACAATGGTCCATGGCACCGATCAACCACCTTGGCAATATGAAGAACATGGGCTATCGTGGCCATTCGTTCAAGAAACATGGACATTTCACCAAGGCGAAGAACGATCGGATTTACTCGCACGAGTAAGAGAATCATTGGACATGGCGAGGCCGCTGGATGAAAGCTTTGACGCAGATGTCACGTGCCTGATTCGACTCGAAGTACTGGCCGAAGTGTTACTGACCTTTCTCGAGTCTCTGCAAGACGGAGTGGTGACAGCAGAAGCATGGAAAGAGATTGAACAGCATCTTGACGACATGGATAAAAGTAAGGTGCAAGGCAGCGAAGCCGACATCCAGGAAATGGCAATGGACTCGTTGTCCCGGTCTCCGGTGCACAGTGTGTCGTTTACGTTTATCACGTTTATGCTGACGCGAATCATCAATGAGCTGGTACCTTATGGGGTAATGCCGCCCAGCGCCGCAACGGCACCTGCAAGTCCTCGAGATTCCAAACGCTCTCGGACGTCGACGCTCTCCAGCGAGACTGGACCAGCGCTGCAGTCAGGCCAGACAACCCCTTCGAAACGTAGTCTGTTTTCGCCGTTACGTCGGCGGCGGGCCGAAAGTGCATCATCTTCGTCAGGAGTGGCGGCCACAGTGGAGGAGCTCTTATTCGAGCGACGCCAGAAGTTGGCAGCGGCATACAGCGGCATTTTCGCAGGTGCCATCATCAGGTCAGAGAAGGATTCTACGGTCAAGGGAAAGGAGAAGAAGGCCTTGGAGGCACGTAAACAACGGGTGATGCAATCATTTCTGGATGCCAGGCATATATAAGAGACAACCGGAGACGATTCTCGGGGACCAGGCATGCACAGAGGGAAATTAAGGCATTGTACAGGTGGGATTGTCTCCCAACATCATCTTTCACGCCTCGCTAGGATCTGTCCAAAGTATCCCAGTGTGAAATGGCATTGTATCGGATAGGAGGCACACCAATATAAAGCAGTACGGTGCCAGGCGGTTCTGGTGATGACCCAAACGCTCTCTCTATCAGCGAAACTTGGTGGCCACAAAATCCCACCATTGTTGATGCCGTGGCCCAACCCAAAGAGTGATGAGCACATGCCTGAGTTAACATCATCTGGTCAAGTAAAATGGCTTGAGTTGACAAGGTCACGAGTCTATCTACCAAGAAACATCTCCAGATCCCAACTTTTCTTAGAGCGTGAAACTAAGCTTCTCTAGGCGGCCAAGGGCGAGCTTGTCTGAACTGGTGGATGGCCAAATTCCCAAGCAAAGTCATATGGCATCCATTCGACTGGTGCAACTGATCAGCTGCGCAATTAACTGACCACACATGCTGCGGTGGTACGTGTTGATCTCCTACGCCTGGTACCTCAAACTGGTTTCAAAGCGGACATGTGCACCCGTTTTCCTCTCAATGGCCAGTAAGCAGTGACGGATGGTCCAGGGGGGCGCCTCGGCCACTCACGCCCTTCAACTCAGCCTCTGAGAGATTTTCCCCTGTGGGTGCTGTTAGTATTATGGATTGCGGGCTTATTCAGCAGCACGCTTAGCGGGCGATCGTTGCGCCCTTGAACCAGACCCTGTGACACCAGCGCAAACACAAGTGCAAATGGCTTAAAACTGACGTCAACTGAAGGCCTGGACGAGTCAAATCTTAGATCGTGTGAACGTTGTTCCAGCAAAATTCTCAGTATATTTCTCATCGTTGAAGCGGCGCGTGACCGCCATATGGCTCGCCGTCGACCTGAGTGAGTATATATACATCCAGCGTCGGCGAGAGGAAGGCGAATATTCCCTCTGTCCACCAAACCAAGCAAACAAACCCAAAGACATCAGAACAAGAATCTTTTGAAAGCAAAAGAGACCCAGCAACAATATCACTCTACCACCAACCCCACACAATCCAAGCCCACAACACCAAAGCAAAGATGCAATTCAAAAAGTACATCCCCAAGTGGCTACAGCCTGTCGATGAGCCACAAGCACCCATCAGGATCTACGATGTCCCCGTCGTGGACCTCTTCCACCGGAAAAATAAGCGCAACAGTGTTGACTCTCAAGCATCAACATCGACCGAAGCATCAGCCACGGCCACAGCAACGGCCCCTACCGAACAGAGGCGAAGCAGCTGGCACCCCTTCATGGCCTTTGGGCGATAGACCACGATCGAAAGGGTGCGTGTGACCCCAGATCCAGCGGGTAGATCCTGGATGTGAGATCCACGACTGAACCCGGCCTGTATTATTGTTGTACAATACTTATACTGTACTTTCTATCTCGGCGGTCATCATCTGTGTTGAGTTTAGCGACTTGCGGCTTGCTGAAGAGCCTGACAACCAGTGTTCGTTGTTGGACACCTTTGTACCTACTATACTATCTGATATCCCACATGACCGGGTGAACTACCTGCCTGTCATCCAGGCGGAACCTGGAGGAGCTAATGCATCAACTATTTTAAATTGTCTGTAACAACAACGTTATCCGCTTGCCACTTTTTGAAACTGATGCCGCTAGTAGTCCCTCATCTGCTCAATAAAGGTTAGGCACAATTTCTACACGACAGTCTTGCTTGAACAGCATTTGCCACGACGTATGAGAGTAGTCCTGATCGTCGGATTGATCTTTGTGATATTTGACCGTGATAAAGTCTTTGTTGTCACCAACTGAGTCCGGGTCAAGGCTTAGGCTGTCTTGGGAATGAGTTTGAACGTCCAACTCTGCTTAATTTTGAACTGGATTAGATCCCGATCGTTCTTGACTATCTGTTCACGTGGTTGATGGAGCCGTCTTACCAACGAGAAGATCACAGTGGACCCATGATCGATATTCTCCATTTAGATATCTAACTCGGGTGGGCTACGATGGGGGCTTATCGTGAATATTCTTAAGCTTGTTGATTTCTCCGAGGCCTCGCTTATGCCGCTCGACTGGGTCCTAAACTGTTGTATCCAAGAGCTGTAGATGGAGAGCAGTGAGAGCATCTCCTGAGATGGTGGCGGACATTAGGTATTCTCCATTGTCCTGTTGAATGTCAGATTCTATCACACCAAGCACCTTGATCGAGATTCTTCTGATGGATTCACCCAATCAGAGCATATGCTTTCTTATCCATGATAAACTTGACGATTCATCCCGATTCTTCGTATGATGCCAATGGATTTCCTCGGGGATTCGGTCGTAGCTTCACCCCGTGTTCAGTCACTCTTTCCTTATCAAACCATTTATGTACGACTGCCAAGGAGTCGTGGGGAGGCAAGCACGACTCATACTACTACAGTAAAATAAAAGAAAGGAGACACATGGGACAACGACTTGGCATCACGTGGCACACCATCCCTCCTCTTCTTTTCAACCTCGTGGGGGATGTTCCAACTTCAACTACAACCAAACCAATCTCACGAACAATCAATCAGATCACCAAGGCCAACACCCAAAATACTTGATATCTAGTGCCAGTCATGTACGATAAGAATGATTCCTCAGCATTCCAATAATCAGGCCAACATAAACCTTATCGCTTCTGGTAGTTGGCTAATGGTTCCCCAGCCAAACACAAGTGGCCTGATGCACGCCATTATCATTCAGTCCCACATCTCCCGGTTTGCGCCAATTTCAATTCCCCACATCGCTATAAGAATACACAAGTACCTCCGCGGTCTATACACTTTGTGTGCCAGCAAAGACCCTCTATCAACCATCTGTTGCGTCCGGACGTAGCACGTATGGCCTGGATGATTATTATTCGGTCTTTTCATTTGTCCCTCAGCCTCGCTGATATTGTCAACCCCAGCCCGTAGCCCAGCCAAATGCCCGTTCGGCTGTTTGGTTGCACCATCCGGCCACAATCTACCTTCGCCTCAGACCGCTCTCCGCGGAATTTGATCCCTCTGTTCTTTCACCAAGTCCTTCTTGTCAATCATTTGTTGACGCCGGTAAGCTAAACAGGTGAGCAACTAACCGTCTGTCATATTTGGACCCTACTACCAGTGGTCTGACCAATGTTTCTCCGCCCAATACTCTTACGTACTTTCCAATCCAGTATTTCCTATTCCTCCCTCTCTCCATCATCCATGCATTCTATATAAGCCAGTCCTGATTGACTCAACTCCTGTGATCCATCCATCCAAACAATACTTGTATAAACTGGGAATGCTCGCTCGTTCTATTTTGTCTAGACGTCTACACTATCATCCCAATTTCATCACAAGGATGGCAACTGTCAGTGTCTCCAGCAATCTTCCTGCCTCATCAGAAAATGCTTCCTTTCATTCATCCCCCCCAAGACCGGCATTAAGTCCGGAACATACAGCCATCATCAAGGCTACAGTGCCCGTTCTTGCCGAACATGGTACTGCCGTCACAACTCACTTCTACAAGCGCATGCTAGAGAGAAACCCTGAACTTCGCAACATCTTCAACAATGCCCACCAAAGGACTGGCAGTCAACCCACCGCTCTGGCTAATGCTGTCTTCGCATACGCCGCCAATATCGATAATCTCGGTGCCCTGACCGCCGCCGTCTCTCGCATCGGTCACAAACACGCCAGTCTGGGAGTCCTACCTGAGCACTATCCCATTGTGGGTGAAAATCTCCTGGCTTCGCTAAAGGAGGTTCTGGGTGACGCCATCACGCAACCCATCATTGATGCCTGGGCTGCAGCATATGCACAACTCGCAGACATCTTCATCTCCTTTGAAGCAAATCTCTATGAGCAAGCCGAAGCCACTCCAGGCGGATGGACAGGCTGGCGCAAATTCAAGGTCGTCAAAAAGGTCCCCGAAAGCGACGAGATCACTTCTTTCTACATGGAGCCCGTTGATGGAGGCTCTCTCCCTCCCTTCAAGCCTGGTCAGTTCACTTCGGTGCGCGTCTTTGTGCCCGAGCTCAACGTCTACCAACCCCGCCAATACAGTCTCTCCCATAGTCCAAACGGCCAGTATTTCCGAATCTCAGTCAAACGAGAGTCAGCACAGGGTGATGACCATCCCGCTGGCCGTATCTCCAACGCCCTACACGCCCAGACACCCCAAGGGGCCGAAATCGAGCTTGCCTACCCATATGGCGACTTCACCCTCGACGTCAATGCCTCCACCCCTGTGGTTCTCATTAGCGCTGGTGTCGGCTTAACCCCAATGCTTTCAATGCTAGACACTTTGGTCTCGCAATCCGCAACAAGTCGCCAAGTGCTCTTCTTGTATGCCACACGCAGCGGCCGCGTCCACGCTATGAAAGATTACTTGGCCAAAGTCGTTGAACAGCAGCCTCAGGTCTCCAAGCTCGTCTACTACCAGAACGTCGAACAGGGCGACCGCCAAGGTCAAGACTATGACTTGAAAGGCTACATGGACATGGCAGCTATCAAGGACAAAGTTCTGCTCCCTGATGCAGATTACTATTTGTGCGGTCCACTTCCGTTCATGCAGATTCAACAAAAGTCTCTAGAGAACTTGGGCGTTTCCCCCGACAGGATCCATTCCGAGGTCTTTGGATCCACCACTTCATGATAGATTACATGTCATAGCTTGCTAGATTTGCGACATCTAGATTTGGACCAAGCGGAGTTGGGCTACAGACAAGGGAGATATTTAATGATATATTATGACTATAATGGAATGGCAGAACTTGCACTTTCTTTCGATTTGCTACCGGTTGATAATACGACATCGTTGATATTATTGTGCCTTGTGTCTATCACAATTTTCGCGACTGCTTCCTGCGCCATTGCACGTGCTAGATGTCTAAATGGTCAATCGGACTGCGAGTCTATGTCCATCGACGCCATATGATATTGGGCAATCCAAACCTCACCACGGGGCATCTATGCCGGTGGTGAAAAGGCCTGGCCATTACTTCGTACTCAACCTCTTTATCATTTCCCCATTCGTTACTGCTCTCCACCTGGTCTCTCTTTCAGTCTCTCAGACACGTCTCTCTCACTCCTTGTTTCAACTTACCATCCATATGAGATATCCCACGACCAGAGTTATGCGAAACAGGCTTCGCTGGGGTCATGGCCATCGTTGCAATAGGGACAGATCGGCCATCCTGGAGCACGCATGTCACGTGGTGTGGCTGTCGTTGAGAGTGCCAAACACGCACCTCCGCTATGGTGGTGATTTGTTGACAATGTTGGGCCCTCTGCTCGCGAAGCAAACGACGTGCCGGAGACACTCTTATTCTGACAAGTCTGGCCTGATCCAACACAGGTATGCATCTTGGCAATGGATGATTCCAAAGTGTTTCTTGGGAAAGCCTCGAAAAACTTTTGATCAGGTGTCGATCTGAGAAAGGGACTACTTGATAACACTGGAATTGTCGTCGTCGTCGATGACGGCACGGTATCGATATCAAGGTCCTTTTCAATTCTTTTCGGGTTCTCAGTTGTTTGGAGAGTAGACTGTAGAAGCAGAAACAAGAGATAAATCCAATTGATTTATTACCAGCATCATGATTGAGTCAAGGCTCGATTGTCCATCGTTCAAGGTACTCCGGCAGATAATGTGTCTTGTCTCGTACAACAAAGAGCAATCGAGTCAACAACTGCAGTCATGGATCAAGACAAAGTGACCAGAGCCAAAGTACAGTCACCCCTCGGATAAAGTGCTTTGTTCTGCCTTGTTCGATTCTTGCGCCTCATCTGCCAGCCAACGACAGCATTCATCGTCTTGGAAGACTCACTTTTGGTGGATGTCGAGGTCGAATCGATGAGAAAGCGGAAAGCGAGAAGATGCACTCGGCGCACGAACCTCATGTCAGTTGGCCATCTAAAAAGCTCGCTTGTTAGCTAGATTAGGTCTTTCAAGTTGTGTTGGTGAAAATTGTAATTTGTCTCAATATCTTCTGTATTGATGTCTGCCTTCAAGAAGAGGGGCTTGAGCAAAGACAACCCCAGCTTCCCAATCCGACATGCCCAGGGCTATCAATCGAAACTGCGCCTGTCATATTCTTCCTCGAAGAAAGCCATCATGATTGACTCATGGCACCGGGACTGCATGACATGGAGACATCGAGACATCGTGGCAACCCTAGCATTCCAGTCATCTCGCCCGTGGCATCGTCCATTCCCGTCTAATGTATTCGTCACGTCCATTTGTATGTAGGTAGCCTATCCACGCTCGACTTGGGGCTCCTTGCTGATTTGGTCGCAACCATGTCCGCTGCCAAGGTTCCCTTCGGTAGTATCGGGCCTTCTTTTGCGGAAGTGCGAATCACTGCCATAACTTGCCCTTGTCGGTCATTGCTTGAGTCCTCAAGGCGCGGCCTGTTGCCAAAAGTCTAAACTGGCAATCACATCCTCTCCTGTTTCGTCTTCGTATGCGTAAAGAATCTGCCTGCAAGTTAGCTCATCTTCCCAAACTTCTATGCCATACTGACCTCTCGAGTACTTGAGTGCAACATCCTTACGTTCTTGCCAGTCATGACATGAATCAATTCACTAGTTTCAATGTGCCGGATCTCGATGAAGCTAGGCTCGAATGCGAGGATATAAGGATAGTTCAACGCGAATGCCTGCGGCGTTCCTTCCCACGTGATTCTCCAATCTTGTCGCGCCCGCCAGCCGTTGCGGTTGACAAAAAAGCTGAAGTCGGAGTAGTTGAGCAAGAATTCGCCGTTCAAACGTTCGATATGGATGGGCTTCACGTTTTCCCGTCTCGTGACGAAATCAAGTGATGTGTCGGCCTGATCAAGAAGAGATTGACGTTCAGTTGTCTCAAGAGACACAACCTCAAACCCTCTCGTGCAGCCGACACACAATGTCGATCGTAGATAATGCACAGAGGTTGATTCGGCTGGGATGTAAAATTCCTATGGCAAATGTGAATATCTCGAACCAAGCACCCGGGGGGGGGGGGGGGGAGAAGGAAGACCAACCTTGAATGGTTTGAGAGCGTCTTGCCCGCTGGCAAACATCTTACTTATTGCCGGCTTTTTCTTACCCTTAGTAAGATCATCCATCGGCTCATATACCTTAATCGTCGTCGAGAGCGCCGAAGTCTTTACCGAACATACCAAATGTCGTCCTAGGCCAATTCCAGCTTTGAAGAAGTTGGCATGTCCCTGAATCTTGCGTGGTCTAGTCGCGAGCGGATTCTGATTGTTAGGATCTAGAGCCTCAAATGGGTAGGATGTGAGAGTCTTGTTGGACAAAACAAGCAAAAGTCGGTACTCCTCAAGTGTGTCGATTTGAGAGACCTGGGTAGCGTCTAGAATTCGTTTGGGCTTGATAGTTTTGTCTTTCGGCCAGCGGTCTGCGATGTAGATCCCGTTGTCTGTGCCATAGATAAGCTTACGGCCGCCGTCTGTGGGGACCAGGCAGTTGACACGGTTCTGAGAATTGAAAAATCGTTCGCATAGAATCGTTCTGGTATAGAAGTTGCTGCTGCGCTCTCGCAGCTTTGTCTGTTGCTCTTCCACCAGCTCAATGAACTTCTTACGTTGGGTGATTGATGTGGCGTACAGCTGTAATTCATACGCGCCTTTCCCAAGATGGCGAAATGTGACTGGATATGTCTCTTTTTGTCCAGGCTGGGTGGCGGAAGATTTTGCGCCCGGCAGGAGGCTTGATGACGGTCGCTTCGCAATGCCCAGGCGGGGTATAACCTGATCCATCTCGGCAATGACAAGTAATTCTAGGGGAATAGGCTTCCGGTACACACGCAGTTCGTCCCTTTTGTTGACAGTCTTGTTGCGACACATCAGCACTGCATGATCGAAAAGGTACACTTGCACCTCTGAGCTATCCGTCGGGTTTTTCTTGAAACTCATTTTTGTCAAAATCACCCGGTTTTCTTCCGTTAGTTTGAGATCCGTGTACTCGCCCGCATTCCATTTCAACTGCTGGTTGAGCTGGAGGAGGTTGAAATGGTTCTCTGCCTTGCCGCTTTCAGCATTGACACGGGCGAGAAAGTCTTTGATGATGCCAATAGCCTTCGGTATATCCTTCTTATCCGGATTCTCATCCTTTGTATACTTTAGCACATTGTCGAGTAAGAGAGGATACCGAGCCAGACGAGTCGTGGGCTTGGTGAGATAGCCATTCAGCTCCAGTTTTCTTGATTCCTTGAGTCTCTCAGTGTCGTCAACAAAGCGTGCGAACGCCGGGTTGGCTCCCTTTTCTTTCTCAAACTCAAATTTGCCGTACATCTGGTTCGCACCATACTTGATGAATGGATCGAATTGTGGAACCCATTTCAAGAAGACATCGCCAATACTGTGCACCACATGTTGCTCCTTTTGCCTCTTTGACAGCTCGTCCGCAAACTTGGAATTTACGGCAAGAACCTCTGAGAGATTTCCGAAAACGGTTCGAACGAACTTTTCTCGTTTCTCTTCCTTGATTGGTGACAGTGATTGTCCGAGGCCGCGGAGCGGCCGAATCCAAAAGTCGCGTAGGTATTCCAAGTCTTTGACAAAGTCACGTTCGGTGTACATGAGCTCGGAAATGACTTCCTGTCTCTTCTTCTCCTTGTCATCGATCTTGTCAGCAACTTCCTTGGGAACACTGTTGATCCAGAGCTTCTGTTCCTGGTCATCGTTGTCATGTAAGCTACCGCGGGATCCTGAATGTCTCAGGCCTGGTTGAGGTCTGAGATTGAGACGGGCTTGCTGTTCAAGTCGCCGGGGACAGGCGATTGAATAGCAAAGATGATCCTTGGTGCAGGTAGGAGAGTAGCATTCTGTCAGAAGCGTGAAAACTCCATTTACGTCTTTGGAGGAGGCTTCTTCCCCCATGGTTTCTCGAAACTGGTACACCTCCCCAGGAGCATCTCTCAATCGGTGTTCGTACGTGACATCGTGGAAAAACTTCTGGGCGTCGAGTGCACGCCCGAGGAGGAGGGCCAAGTTTCTGTCAGTAGTTTTGATGATGTATGCAATCAGATCCACCGCCTCGGCGCCAGTGAATGCATTTTTGTAAGACAGGTCATTTTTGGTTCTGTCACCAACTCCAATTCGTTCTTGAAAGGCATTTGCGACACGCGATAAGAGAGCCGGATAAACGAGAGGAGACTTCCGTTGCACGACGGTGGTTGTCGTAGAACTGGAGGAACCCGGAGTGGGGGTTGGCCGACTCCTCATACTATCAGAACGCGATCCATTCACTGGGGTGGTCGTGATGTCGGACGAAGCAGAAGCGGCGGAGGTGGTAGAGATGGTCCTTGTGGGAAGGCTACCTTCGCTAGGGCGCCTAGATCTCGCCACAGGGGTGTAGACAGGAGATTGAGACGAGGCAAAGGATCCGTGACCATTGTATGGGGTGAGCGCAGCAAACTGATCAGCAAAAGGATCGGCCTCAGATTCTCGAGGTCTTGGTGGAACAACTCTTCCACTGGTCAAATGTTGAGCGTGATCCCGATCAGAGGAGTAAGTCCCCATCGACATTGCACGGCCATCATCAGGGCGGTCGGGTATGTGCCGACCCTGAGCAGTAGTCCTGGAGCCACTGCCCATCGGTGCATACGGCTGTTGTCTAAACGCACCTGCAGTACCTGGCTGAAAGCTGCTTGGGGGAGGACGGTAGCCTGGCGATTCGCCGGGCCTGACCATGGAGCGTGATCGATAAGCATCGTTGTTAAGTGCAGGAGGAGGCATGCGGTTGGGGATGGGTTTTCTCTCGTAGGGGCCCCCCATCTGCATATGCATGGGTCCAGGACCGCGAGTGTCGAGGCGTTGTGGAGGTGGATATGGTCTTCGATCTGGGAAAGGCGGCATTGGATTGGAGGGTGGAGGGCGAGATGCATTAGATCCATTCATGTAGGGCTGGCTGGGTGCGTAGCCGTTGGTCCTATCGTAGTTATGTCCCGTCGGTCGCATGGGCTGAGGGTGCGGTGGACCTTGCCTCATGGACATAGCGTGTGGAGACTGCGTAGACGAAGTCATACTCTGAGATCGATCGTACATCGGCCCCGAAGGTTGTGTTGTCATCGTCTGAGATCTTCCAGGAGGAGGCATTCCGCCAAAAATGTTGTGGAAGGCGGCGTCCCTTTGATGTTCCCCTGTGGCGCCATATCCGGCGGTCCGCGCGCCATGGTAACGCGAGTCCGGCGCACCATAGTCTGCCATGCTCAGTCAAGAGGTAGCAGGTATCCGACGAGGCAGGAAAGAAATATGAGATAGTGTCAGGAGGTCATGAATGTAGTAGCAGTCGTGATCGGACGGTTGACAAGATGACGGGTTGGGGAAAGGTGTGAAGCCAGTCTGACGTGATGAGATCGCTCAAGCTAGACAGAGTCTCGAACGACGATAGAAGGTGCTGAAAGGGGGAGTTGAAGGAGCTGTGGGCGTCGAGACAATGGTAACTAGGGGGAGATCAATGGCAGCGCATGAGAGATGGATCGAGTGAGAAGCGAGGGTGGTGAGGACGTGTGGGAGGTAGAGGCGGTAATTCAGTGTGCGGATGGCGAGTGGTAGAAAGTCATGCTCTCTCTTCCATGCCAGCAGGAAGGGTAGAGAGGGAGGAATGGAAGAGAAGGGTGAAGGATATCGAGAATAACGGTATGTGCGAAGAGCAGATGAATTGAGAAAATCGCGAGGGATACTGAGATAAAATGGAATGAATTGGACGTGGAGTCTGTGAGTGGCGGATGGTGTGTGGTGAGTGGAGGGAATGCTGTGGGTTGTGATTCCACGGAAGAAGGCGAGGTAGCTGCGGTTGCTGTTGCTGTTTACCGACAGAGTTGCCTGTTGGTTGGGAGGTACGTGGAGGTAGTGAGGTAGTGAGGTGCTACGGCACAGGCGTCAGGGATGCTTGTCACGACACCGTCGAGGCCCCTCTGCCCCTGGGTTTCCCCCTTTAGTCGCTAAGCTGATGCTGGCTTTGGGGGGCATTCAAAGGGCGACCATAATCTACCTAGGTGCCGATGGGGAGGCACTAGTTGGAAGGCAGTACGTATACATGTGCTGCTCAGCCTAGCAACGCCGCTTTAAAGTGACGTTGTCCACTGCTGTCATCCCGTCACCCTTTCTCAATGCGATAGGTTAGATGAATCCCTATCGGCCTCACGTGCCCTTAACAAACAATATCACTATTGTCCTCCCAGAATAATTTTACTACAGTGTGATGCTATAGAGAAGGGTGCAATTTGGAATCTGTGTCATTATACTATGTGAGCTGACTTTGACGGAGCTGAGGGGAATGGGATTTCCAACGCTGCTTTTGTCACATGAGAAAGTAGCACCTCCCAAGTCAAGCGACCTGGAAGGTTGGCCGGGTGCACCTATATCCCAAAGTGTTAGGCAGGTGAATGGCCTGTGGGTTCACTACTAAGTTTGCGCAGGCACATCATCATTTCTCCGCTAACTGCGCAGCTCAACGATAGCTTCCTTCGTGTTGCGCACTCGACAACGACACCATCGCCGACCAACACCGCGTCCATATCTCAGCTTCACGCCCTCCTCCTCGACGTGCCCTTCCCAATTCACTCAACCTTACAGACACTATGTCAACGGTCTTTGAAAGCCCGGGGAGCGAATACACCCCCAAGTTCGCTCCCTTTTTCGGCATGGTAAGTTACCTGTAGCGTCCTCGATCAATCCTCACTAATCATGGGCAGGCTGGAATAGCTTCTGCAGTAAGTAAATTAATATGTCCTAGACTGTACCGTCGTCATGCTGACCAGTGTTTGCTAGATGATCTTCGGCTGTACGCTTCCTCCAAGACCCTCGGATCTCGTGCAACGGTACTGACACCCAAATCTCAGGCATTGGAGCAGCATATGGCACAGCTAAATCAGGAATCGGAATTGCCAACGTGGGAACCTACAGGCCTGATTTGATAATGAAGGTCTGATATTGGTACGAATAACCTTGGTGTCCATGCTGACCTGGCACAGTCTCTTATCCCTGTCGTCATGTCTGGTATCATCGCCGTGTACGCTTTAGTGATTGCAGTCCTAATCGCCAGCGACATTGGCCCCCCACCGCAACAGAATTACAGCCTATTTACTGGTTTCATGCATCTAGCAAGCGGCCTCAGCGTTGGACTATCCGGGCTGGCAGCTGGCTACGCCATCGGGGTTGTGGGAGATATGGGTGTTCGATGCTATCTACAACAATCTCGAATCTTTGTTGGCATGGTGCTGATACTCATCTTCGGCGAAGTCCTCGGCTTGTACGGCTTAATCGTTGGCTTGATCCTGCACTCCAAGTCGTGAACTACCGATTGGTTGTGTTTATGAGGCGGATTTTACTGGCGGGCAGACAAGACTACCATGTGGGCAACCGTACAGCGGTTGGCCTCGTACGATAGAGTGTAGATCACGATAAAGGGAAGACGGCACAAATGACGATCATCGATTCTTCGTCAAATTCTGATTGTTTGTTATACGTCCAAATCCAACGTTCACTGTAAGAACCTGCCCACATTTCCACCCACGTGGTCCAGGTCAAGCAAGAAGGTGTCGTGACCGAATAAGCTCAAGTCTTCGCCCAATTCAACATGTTTTACAGTACGGTTGCCTGTTGCCCGCAATGTCTCGGCAATCTCTCGCTGCTGCCACGCCGGGAATAGAATATCACTTGCCACGCCCAACACAAGAACTGGGTGATCTCTCAGGACCGACATGCCTTGTACGAGATCTTGTGGCGGTCCTGACTCGACTGGCGTAACAATTTCGTCCATCGCAGCCGTGGTTGTTTGTTCTTGATATTTCTCCGAAGGGAGAGTCAAACTGCACGACGAGTCGTTTTGCATGTGGGTTCCGTTACCCAAGCGCCCGAAGTTGGCGCTGTTCTGTTGGCGGCGTTTCCTGACGGACTCCTGGTGCTCATGGCCCAAGTCGAACAGATCCATGGCTTTAGACACATACAAAAGTGAATTCGGGTCATACTCGAGGCTGAACTTTTCACCTGCGTGGTCGAGATAGGTTTCGATGAGGAAATCGGGACATAACGCCGGCGGTTTGTTCGGATCAGCACGTTGTCGGCCAAATCTGTTCTCCCATTCCGGGCCGCTGCGGTAGGTCACGGTAGCGATCTCTCGCGCGAGTTTCATGCCCGAATGAGGTGGGATGTGGTCGTAGTAGAAACCACGATTCCACTTGGGATCCATCATGAGGACTTGCCGCTGAGTATGCCGCATTGCAATGCTATACGGGTGACTTCTCGCACACCCGGAGATGCTGACGATCTTGCCCACACGCTCGGGGAAGTGCACGCCAAAAGCAAGCGATTGCATGCCGCCCATACTTGCCCCGACACTTGCGTAGAGGCGTTGGATTGACAAGTGGTCGAGGAGCCGTGCCTGGGCTCGGACCATATCGTCCATAGTCAGGATGGGAAAGCGAGTAGCGTAACGTTGGCCATTTGAAGGATCAATGGAAGAGGGACCTGTGGAGCCATAGCAACCTCCAATGACATTGGTGCATATAACAAAGTATTTGCTTGTGTCGATGGGGAGACCAGGGCCGATGAATTTCTCCCACCAACCGGGTTTCGGGTTGGCTGCGGTGCTATGGGCGTGACTGGATGCGGATAGACCAGTATGTAGCAGAATGACATTGCTCTTTTCATTGTTCAATGTTCCCCATGTCTCGTATGCAATCTCAAAGGAAGGGAGTACACCTCCCCAATCGAGGAGAAGCGGCTCTCGGCTGTGGAATACAAGGTGGTTGCCTGTGGTATAAGAAGGCTCTGGGCCAGACTCGTGTGACTTCTTTTGCAGGGCGGCTGTTTTCCTTTCTTGGGCATCGAGACAAGGAAAGGACATGGCAGGGTTGCTAGATTCGAATACATCCTTCCACGGTTCCTCCTCCATTACAGCCGCAGCCTGGGCTTGACGGGCAGTATGGGTATGTACTGCAGCATGCCGCTGCTGGAATTGACGGTCGAGAAGCCTTATGTTCTCTCCTAGGCCTCTTCTTGGGGACGCACATGGGGCCAGAGATTTTGAGCCTCTTCTCAGCAGGCGCGCTGCAATCTGAGTACCTCTTGGGGCAGACATATTGTCTCCGGTCGAAGGAAGGGATAATGGAACCGGTACAAGGACTCCGGCGATCGGTGAGTGAGGGACAGACGTCCTACAAGACGTCTGAGAAAGAGTGACACCATATTTGAGTCCCGCCTTCACGACTTTGTCTACCCAGCGAGTCCTGGAGTCGAATGGAAACTTGTTAAAATCACATCATCAGCGGCCAATAGAAATGCAGGCCGCGAGCCCTTGGCTGCCGAGGCTGCTTACATCATCCGGGGTGCCATTCCTTCTTGATTATTATAGGCGTACGAGTTGTAGGCATAGAACTTCGAGAAGACTTCTGAACAAACAAAGATGAGGACCAGGACCGCAGCATCATGGCAAATTAAGTAGTATTGCAACTAACAAGAACGTCATTAATGCTAGCATGAGCGTTGAGCTATAGATACTATAAGGCTATCCAAATGTACAGACATTCTCCGTAAACGTCAAATTCGCTTAGTTGTAGTCTGCAAACATTGCCAATGTTGTTGACGTGCTATATTGACGAAATAGGTACTTACTGTAATCCAAGAATGATTTGTGGCAAATGCTCGTGGGCACAACTTGTCATGAAATGGATCCTAATCATCAAACTTGCAGCTGCAATAAGGCTTGTTTATTTATTCTCTGTTTGAATGGGAGAAAGGACCTGCAAATCCACACAGTTTGTCGCTCTGAAATTACCAGATAAAGTCTCAGACATCAGAGCTCTTGTCGATTTCTTGCAAGTGCATGATCTGTTGAGATGTCATGTCAACCTCAATAGTTGGCTATTTCCGTTTTACATAGTGGTGTTGTAGGCCAAGAAAACAGAAAAGATTCGACACGATAGCCTTGAGGCATTATCTTGATGTACAGGGTACGCGTGGGAGCCCTACCAGTGGACCAGGAGGATAGACACCTCGACACCATTAATAGGTGGAATCGAGACCTGGTGGCCCTCGTGTTACTATTTTTTGGCGGGATCGTTCGGGGTTTGACATTTAGCGAGGCGCGCTGGAAAGCTTGTAGATCGCTCCCTGACGTGGAGCCTGACTGGGACTGTGCACTCTCTACCCATGCGTAAGGAGTAGGCAGTGCTTGGATGTTCACTAAACTATGTAAAGCTAGAAGTGACACAGGCTGCGTCAGGGCTCAGGCGCACCCTGAACTCCGCAGGGAGGTTTATGCCTGAGGCTGTGGCACCCGTGGCACAGAAGATAAACTTAATTATTCAAAGGTTCTTCAGGTTCGCCGCTCCAGGGGCACTCGTAGGCATTGGAACGGATCACTACAGCTGGCAACAAAGAGTGCAATCACACTCCCCTGAAACAAGTACATCATCGATATTATTTATCCTTGTTTCCTGTTCCACATCCTGCAGATATGCGCGGCCACCTCCACCGGCCAGGCTCTCAAATTTCGTGACAGCGAAACTGCCATCGAGCATCCTACTCTATCGAGATCACAACATCCTCCCTGTACATAGTCCTCTCCCCGTACCCTCGCATCCTTTGAACGGCCACCGTCACTCGAGGGCAAACAGTCCCAGCATATTCCCCCGTCTTCTTTATCCCATTGCCGCATTCATCGAAAACAAGCGTGCGTACGCCGAAATAATGAGGAGATGAACACATTTTCCATACCATACACGGACGAATCGCTGCATGGTCCTTGCACACGTTGGTGCTATTCACTCGAGCCTACTGAACGGCGGACCCTAAACCAACCTACACCCTTGCTGCTAGACGTTGGTATCTAAAATCCAGAAGCAGTCCCACACTTGTCCGGGCCGACTGGCCAGTGATTGTGACAGGATGGTCCTCTCCTCGCCCATTCGCAGAGCGCTCGTCGTTGCCATCCTCCTCCTGGCTCTCTTCTTCCTGCTTAAGTCCTCAGTCTCCGAGTCTACAGCAGAGCCATCATATCCACTCAGTGATGAGTCGTCCAAGCGGCCATATCCACCCCCAAGAGCCCCAAAGAAGGATGCCGTCGACCAAGCAACTCTTCAAGACGTGGCTTCCAGATCCCTGAGAGAAAGACTGAAGTATCATTTTACATATGACATGGAGGGGAAATTCCCGGCGTATATATGGCAAACTTGGAAGGTTGGCCCTGATTCAGGTGATTTCGAGGGAAGGTTGAGACCCTTTGAGGCGTCGTGGTCAGAGCTACACCCCTTGTTTGTTCACGAACTTGTCACCGACGCAGCGGCGGTTCACCTTATCAGCTATCTCTTCGCGTCTGTACCAGAGGTTATTGAAGCGTACGAAGCCATGCCTCTTCCGGTCCTCAAGGCAGACTTCTTCCGGTACCTGATCTTGTTGGCGAGGGGTGGGATCTACAGTGATATTGACACAAAGGCGTTGCAATCTGCAACCGACTGGCTCCCACAAAGTTTGGACCAGGCCTCGGTGGGCTTGGTAGTTGGGATTGAGGCCGACCCTGACAGAGCGGACTGGGCGGACTGGTATGCCCGCAGGATCCAATTCTGTCAGTGGACAATTCAAGCCAAGCCTGGACATCCCGTTCTGCGAGACATTGTTGCCACAATCACCGAGGACACGTTGAAAATGAAGAGATCTGGCAAGCTGCGGAAAGGCAAAGCCCCAGAGAAGGGGATCATGGAGTTTACCGGTCCCGGGGTATGGACCGATGCAATTTTCTCCTACTTTAACAACAAGGACTATTTCGACTTCACCTCTCGAAGGTCCAATGTCTCGTATTCCGACTTTTTCGGGATCAAAGAGCATAAGCTAGTTGGGGATGTTGTCGTCCTACCAATCACCAGTTTCAGCCCTGGCGTTGGCCAGATGGGTGCGGAAGGAGCTGACCATCCCATGGCCTTTGTAAAACACGAATTTGATGGTATGTCGCGAAGTACTCGCCTTGAATGTTGCTAACTTCGTTGCAGGATCTTGGAAGCCCGAAAATGAACGAATGTGATTAGCCCGGATGCTAATAACAGTCGTCGAGTCAAGGTGAATGCCCTGTCCTGCATACGCAGGACGGTAAACCCTCTTCGCCGTCTCCATTCTCGACCCGCCATATCGACGCAGCACACATCCCCATGCAATTAGCAACTAGGTTAGTTGAAGTGCAAGTGCATTAAGGTCGCGGCAGCAGGTTGAAGGTGAACGACTCAAGCTTTCACGATAGGTATTCTAGACGGTCAGAGAGGGCAAACCAATAACGTGTACGATAGGAGGTAGTTATGAATGTCGACCCGTATCTCCAGGTCCAGGTGATAACAAGACACAACGTCCGTGTACTCCATAAAATTGGTGGGGCCGAACGCACATACCGAATATTGTTATTGACTCGAAACGGAATATCTAGCGCTATTCGCAGCGTGTGCTGGTCGATGTATTTTACCATCGAAGACCCTTAGATCTTACGCTGCTTTCTGCCAGAGAGACACAGAATGCGATCAGGTACTTGGAGTGTGGTCACTTTTCCACCTCTTCATCTGCCACAGGGCTGGATATGGAAGGCGGTGCAAAACATCTGCAATCCCAATCAATGAGGAATACGAAATGTGCACTAGATTCTCGAGACATGCGAGGGTTTACGGCTGAGATGTCTGAGGAAGCAAATAGATACCGAAAGCAGCAGGGTCATCGAAAGTTGATATCTCACTAAGCCTCATGGGTGACCCTTCTCTTACAGATCGCAGCCCCACCTGCGTGACACTCGATCCGGACGGGTGGCCTCATATTGACCTAGATGACCAAGGGGAATGAAGATGTCTTGTCCAAGAGGGGAGCAGCTCTAGTTGATCACCATCGTATGAATACTGTGCCGTGTTGAGGAAGAAGTATTTCATACTGGAGAATCAATAAAACTTGGCAGTCATGTGCATTGACCTCTGAGCTTTGTGCCTTGTATGAGGTACCGTGGGTACTACTACTCCGTAGGTACTAATAACTTAGTGGGCGTAAGAGGCTGGTTTTTTAATAATGCCCACCACGGCTAACCCACACCTGTCCCCAGTGCCACCTACTCCGTATGGACTCAGGCAGCTGTTTGTAGTTTAGCAGCAAATGAAATTGACTTGAGCATAAAAGTGCAAATGCTTTTACGGGCGATCGTCTGTTGCTCGAGGACCCTCAACGTCCTCTAACGAATCTCCCGTGGGCCCTTGTGCGCTTGTGTCCTTTACCCTTGGTAGCATTTTGTGTCCTCTGTGGCTCTGTGAGTTGGTGCCAATTTTCGTCATGTCACGCATGTCCACCAGCCGTTGCCAATCCGCCCCTCGTCAGACTCCAGAGATTTGCAGTCCGGGATTTGCATGCGAGCTCCTCGTTGGCGATTTCAATCCCATCATGAATGGCTCGCCCGGCTCCAGACTTTAGCCTCGCATCGTCGCTACCGTAATCTGTCTCCCACCAATAAAGGCCACGGTTCCTGGCCTCTCCTTTGCGCTCTGTAGTCTGGTTTCCATTGCGGCAGCGTCAGTTATTAACTACTACACCACTTCTTGCATGGATTAGCGAGACCCAAGTCCTCATAACTTGATCCACCTGTTCATCTGCCTGTACCACCATCTGCGACGACCGCTCGAGACTGCTGTTTCTCCCGGCGCTTGCTATCTACCACCAGATCCCTCAATCTCCTAGGCCACAGAAGCCAATACCTGTCCTACCATCTACACACAACGCACTCTCCCCCGCCGATTTCCCCCTCCAACCCAGCCACCCTCACCCAGTTCGCATGAGGTCACATCGACCCCGACATGAGAAAAGGCCTCCTTGGCTGTTAGCCTGAGAAGATGCAAATTGGCTGCTCCGATGAGCACCACGACCCTTCACCCGTCGTCGCAACAGCCGCCGGCGAGAGCGACCTCAGCTCAAGGTCATAGACAGCATCTGCGCACCAGCAATCCCCACAACGTGCGAAGCGCCTCCAACCCTCAACCAAGCCGCCCAAACGACAGAGATCCTTCCCCCCAACATGCACTACAGCCGGCTTCCAACGAAGCATTGACCCCAGCGGAGAATTCGGTCGATTCCAAGAGAAAACAGGGAGGGCAACCCTCCCGACGCCTCAAAGTCACCGATTTTGACCTGATGCGAACACTGGGCACTGGTGAGCACATTGATACCTGATCAGAACAAGATGGATGATCGGCCCACTAACCTGTGTCTTCTGCATAGGCACCTTTGCGCGTGTGTGGCTCTGTCGATTCGCCCAGCCGCTTCCACAGGATCGGGACAAGGTGTTTGCACTGAAAGTGTTGAAAAAAGTTGATGTGATCAAACTCAAGCAGGTTGAACATGTTCGCAACGAGAGAGATGTGCTTGCTGCCGTTGCAGGCCATCCCTTTATCACGAATTTGATCACCTCCTTCTCCGACGAGACATCCTTATACATGCTCTTGGACTATACTCCCGGAGGCGAGATCTTTTCATACTTGCGACGCGCTCGTCGCTTCCCATTTTCCACCGTTCAGTTCTACGCTGCAGAAATTACACTAATCCTTGCCTATCTCCATGAGGTGCAATTTGTCGCCTATCGCGATCTCAAGCCCGAGAACATCCTCCTTGATGTCGATGGCCATTTGAAGCTGGTTGACTTTGGCTTTGCAAAATACCTGCCTCCTGCCCAGGACCCACCATCGGCGTTCTCCAAACTAGGCGACGAGCAAATGGAGCCTCAAGCCAGTGGCGCAGGTGTCACTTATACACTATGCGGAACTCCAGAGTATCTTGCGCCCGAGGTCATCCGTAACACTGGACATGGCACCGCGGTCGACTGGTGGGCCCTCGGAATTTTGGTCTATGAAATGTTGATTGGACAACCTCCCTTTTGGGATCAGAACCCCATGCGAATATACGAGCAGATTGTTGCCGGACACATACGATTTCCCACCTCTCACCCCAGCCATCAAGGACACCGACACAGTCTCCACGTGCCCCGAGCCGCCAGGGACTTTATACTTGCACTTTGTAAGACTGACCCCACTCAGCGCCTCGGCCACATCGCCGGTGGCAGTAAGAGAGTCATGGAGCACTATTTCTTTGACGGCATCGATTGGGATGAGATCTACTACCGCAGGCGGCGTGGTCCCATCATTCCCCGGGTTGAGTGGGCTGGAGATGCTGGCAATTTTGATGAGTACCCCGATCCCGTACAGGGAGAAGAGAGCGAAGGTGGTCGCGGCAAATACACCGATGAACTTCGGCAGGAGTGGGAAGAAGCGTTTGCCTCGTTCTAAGTTGGAATATTACATACCACCTCGCGCATATGTTTGGAACACCTGGTCATGAAAGGTGCAAGGCAAAGGGTGCGGGTCTTGTTGACGTGGTTACATATGACGATGGCGTTGGCCATGCTGATAGTTACGTATTTGTATGTCATTTTGGATTGTTAAGGCATGTTCACTTCTGTTGCTGGACGTACGCTTTGAATATTGCGATGCCATGAAAAACGATACGGTTATTGGTCGAGTATTTGGCACTCTTAAATGCAATGGGCTGGCCAAGATGTCGGAACCCGCCTAGGCCTGTCACCTATACATAGTATAAAAGTTTCGCCATGGTACCAGGAGACTTCACTAGGTTGTGGTTGATAGAACACAGAGCCTTGTTCGTTTATTTATTTGTATCGTGATAGATACCTAGTACCAAGGCGGAGACACTTCATTCGCGTGGGATTAATGACTTACGACTTACGGTTGGTTAGGTAGCTAGGCATCACACGCCAGCTCAACCAGTATTGAGAGGACGCCTATACAGCACTATCCTGGTAGTTAAACAACGCCCCGGAAGTCCCCTCCCCCGGCCCCCGGGCCCTAAAATTTAGCCCGAGACTGGGGGTGAATTGGTTGGGTGGTGAACTTTGAGGCTCCCTGATGAGCAATTTACGATTATTATTATATCACCGTCATCGTCACACCTTCCACTGTCATTTGCAAACAAACCGGCCTACACATCCATCTGATCGTGATCAATGTCTACGGCAATTGATTGACCTGGCTTTCAAAATGACCCTTCCAGCTTCAAATTGACCTTGGTTCTAGAATGCTGCCTCTCTTTGGCATCGTTTCGCCAGCGAAATCCTCCACAACATCCTTTCCCACTCACTAATTAACTGAATACCTACCTGGAACCCGCAGAATCTATCTCTCCTCCCTCTGGCCTTCGTCGAATCCGGTGCCACTATGGGTGGCGAGCAACCATCACCAGACGACATCTTCCAAGTAATCGCTATCACAAACCTTGACGAGCCGCAGGCACGAATTCTACTCAAAGTTCGTTGCCGCAACATCCCTTACGATTCGATTCATTGACTGAAGCATGGCAATCTAGAAGAATAACAATGATGTCAACTCGGCCGTTAATGCCTTCTTCGAAGATCCGAGTGGGTCTGTCATGGAACCTGTGAGTTTCCAATTGAGGAATCCATTAAGAAGGAGGTCTAAAAATTGGTAGCTCCCAGCAAATGAGTGGCAGCATCAAGATAATATCCCTTGTGAGAGACTTCTGCACACCTCTGCACTTTGATCCTGCATGACTGACCGTTTTGTCTCAAGTCAACGATGATTCTAGTATGGGAGGCGCCCCCCCGATGTCTCGTCCGCCTTCAAGGGTGGACAACCACGGACACAGAATTGACCTATCGGCCATGCATGCGTCAGGTATGCGATAACTCCGATCATATCGCCATATTCTGACCAAAAGACAGCCGTCACAAGTTCTGCACTGACCTTGAAAGAACAAGAAGATCTCAACGACCCCGAGCTCCAACGTGCCATGGCAGAGTCGATGCGCTCCACTCTGCCTGCGCAGGAAAACGGTGTTACGGCCGCGCATAGCAAATTCGGCCCTGCTCGACGTGAATTCTATGAGCCGTCAAGTTGGGCCCTGACGACCATCTCCACTGCTCGCGAAATAGTCGACCACCCACCTCCAACGAAGAGGCGCAGGATGGACGATGAGCCAGCCTTTTTGCGCGGTAGCAAAGAGACAGAGTACCTGGCACCCCTGGTTACCATATACCATTCTATCCCGCTTGCTAGGGAAGCATTGCTCATGCGCCCCTTGAAGGTCCATAACTATGGGCATGACGCCAGCTGGTGGTCAGGAACATCCGACGAGAACACAAAGGCTTTGTCGACCGACAGTTCGCTCCAAATCGATCGCGACCAATGTAACTTGCTAGCTGAAGTTCAATGTTTGATGGCGTTCCTCGACAAGACAGACCGTGCCTACGGCAGTGTAGACGCTCTGGCCGATCTCCAGGCAGTCCGCGCTGCGAGAGGCGATGGAGCTTTTATACGATGGCTGACGGCCTGGAGCGATACCGCTGACGATCAGGCTCCATCAGACCAGCTGAACCAAGTCTTTACTTCCGTTGCGGCAAAGGGCCCAAGTTCCAGCGACGGTGTCGCTGAGGAGAAACCTCTTTTATGTGTTGAGCCACCCGTCAATCGAATCCCCGGCGAAACTCTGGTTAATCTGCTCGACAGCACGATATGGGACGATGAAAGAGGTCTCATTGAAGATGTTTGGATCGCTAAGGCTGCGGAAATATTCACTGTTCGCGTCTACGATCCACATGGTGGTCGGAACAATGGACTTGACCTGACCCTAGATCCAGTATGGTTTCCGGATCGATATATGTTTGAGTGCCGTGGAGCAACACGCCAAATTCGTAAGCAGTTGCATATGGTTCGCCGAGAGATCGACCATTGTACTCACCTCCAACATCGTTGCGAAATGGTCAAACTTTCTGACAACAGGGTCCTGATGATTCGCGACGTCCTCGATGCCGCGGCTAAGGTATCGATGGATGCAGTCGGATCATCAGCCTCTGCTTCAAACGGTGTTGGTGTCCAAGATTCTCTATCAAGTGATACCGACGCCCGTGCAGAGGTCAGTGAGTTGGGCAATCAACTACAGCAAGTTGTTCAACGCATCGAACAAAAGTTGCAACTGCTCGAGATGAGGAAATCCGAGCTCCGCCAAAAAATGAGGGAGATTGCGTTGCAGTTGACAAAGCCAACGCCAGAAAGCCCGAATATGCCCCAGCACAAATATACCCTGCAAGGAGTTTCAACAAAACCCACCATCACCTATCTGCGCCGCCCAAACACCGATCTTTTGATGCTTGATCAAGATGATGACAGCTCTGAGGATCCTGAGTGGCAATGGTGGAGGCTTGCCTGGATTCAAGACGAACTTTACAAGCAGATGGGTCCTGCAGGACCGGTTCAAGGTCCTATTACGCAGTCCCAGGCAGAAGCGTCCAAAAGAACTTTGGGATTTGGAGCCGGGTTGGACCTGAATGTTGCTCCAGAGTTGACTGCCGCCGAGGTTGAAGGTCCAAAGCCATACGAAGCTCGCAAGGTCACTGAAGCGGAAGTGCTCGAGGCCATCAAGTCAGAGCACTCGTCTGTTGTTCTAGTGTATGCCAACGAATATGCCATGAGCTTTCCTCGCGGCGAGCTTAACATGGCCCTGAAACATTTCGTTAATCGCGACAACCAGGCATTCCATGAAGAACTTGAAAGTGAAGAAGGGTTACGACCGGATTCAAGCAACGAAAATGGTACGATTGACTTTGAAGATGTTCCCTTAACCGATCAAAATGGATCGAGTAGCTCTGCGCGGGAGCTCACGCCGATGTCGACCTCGAGCCTAGGTCGAGATGAGGATGGGCAGGCATCGCCGAAGAGAATCAAGTGTGACAGCTATGCCACCTTGTCTGAACTGCCGCCTTCATACGAAGAGATCTCGGATCAACAGGAGATGCAGGAAAAGAAAGGCAACAGGATCGGTCTACATGCTGAGCAAATGATGCAAAAGTATGGAGAGAAGATACCGGAAAAGGTTGATCCGGACGAGCGTGGAAGCTCGATGCATATTGAAAACGATGGGATGACCTCTGAATCACCATGGATGTGATTGGTGTTCTTCGTGACACGGGAAGCGACATCTGGATACCCAGGTTCTCCTGAACAGCATTCGAGGGGCTTGTTGACATCGTTTGGCGATAAGGGCTGTACGAAGCATGAAAGAGTATGCTGAGGTCGCACCATGTAGCCCAATCCTCTTGAACTGCTGACTTGACCACGAGTCTCTTTGACCAGCGAGCTTGACAGCGATCTGATGCATGGCCCTTGGACCTGTCGTGATTGGGTAGTGTCAGTTGCCATCAATCGATGATTATCATCAATGCATGTTATTAGACGTAGGCAGCAGTCAAGAGGATATGTAGCAGCGTAGTAGATGTGATGTGCTTTTCAGTGAACTTGCACGCAAGACTACGTGTATAGTGGATCCAGCCAGTTTAAGGTGTCAGGGCAGATTGACGACGGGTCCAAAGAGGAACATGGTTGCCATGCGGCTCTCGGCCAACCTGCCCTATCAATTGCTGGGTATAGGATGACATTTGACCAAGGTCGGGTCAAAAGTGATGGACGAGTCATGATGAACTTGCTTGACCACGTCCAAACCTTGCAGGCCCCAAAGAGCTTGGTATGGCGATCCCACATGGATATCAACTACCCGGCTGGCCAGAAGACATCCCCCCCCCGCCTTTGAGGCGTTTAGAGTTGGAGATCTGACATTCTGGACTTGGACAACATGGGCAATGTGGAAAGAGAAAACAGGAGTGGGGATGTAGTTGGTGCGGCCAGAAAAGGAAGCCATCTGATAGTACTTGTACAGTTTGTCCAGAGTTTGAGCCCTTCAATGGACACAATAGGAAAAGTCCCTCGACGTAAAAAGCAGACGTGGGTGTAGGTAGGTACTAGTATGTATGAAGACATGTGCATGTATACATTTCATCTTGCGTATGTACTTCGTATGGAATTCTGCGAGGCAGATGGCCGAATCTAGTTAGATAGGCCCCAAGCGACCGTATCTACGAGTACGGTGTGCGCAGAATCTGAGGTAATTGCCAAAGCTTGTCCAAAGAGATGACCAGGCAGAATACCACAATACTCTTGGCCATCCATGCCTTCCCACCAAAGGACACCAGGCCTTCAGGTACAGAAAGAACACCATGGATTACCAGTCTCTTATCACTCAGAACAAGTGTCCTTTGCGTCTTCAATTGTAAATCCCTCTTCGTGATCGATCAGACAGAAAAATGGACGTGACCAAGCGTGTCAGATGTGGTGATGAGGTCTTAGTGCCAGGAAGTGGTGAGTGTTGGGCATTTTCCAGAACAAGAGTCGCAGCTTCCAAGAGGTCCATAGGCTGGGCCTCGGGCCTCGAATCGGTTGACCACTACAGTATTACATCTCTAGTGTCAGCAAGCAGGCATGGATACACGTATGATGTCTTCTTATCAACAATAGATAATTGAACAATGGCCATGCACCATGGATGCCTCGATTGCCTCGAGGGCCTTGGATGACGGCCCACTGGCTGCGTGCTTGTGCATACTCCGGGCGGAGGGGCACAGGTGGCCCATGATGCCCGAGGATCCGTAGAACCCACTGGGTTTCATGGGCGATCTGAGTGGTTCACAGGCCGTTTTAGGGACCCACGACACCCCACTCACACCCCCTCCAAGAGCCTAAAGAGCCTGAAGAGCCCCATGGGCTTGCTTAGCCTTGCCTCTCAGACCTCCAGCCTTCCAATCCCAAGCCATCATCTAGCCATTGATCAACTGCCTTTGGCCACGATTCCGGAACCCCTCCCAACTAACTACGGTATGGCGATATGGTGCAATCGGCATCCATTGATATCATGATACGATCCGGCAAGGCTTGACTTGGTCCTCACGTACTGTAATCGTAACTTGGACGACTTGCAAGTGAGTGGATGTCAAAATTTCACCTGTCGCAAGCGGCCTGGGCCTTTGTATCGTGACCTGGGCACCTGCGGTTGTGGGTACCTACCTGCTACGTGTACTTTCGCTATCCAGCCTATGGCAAGTCCCGTGGCCACCAAGATCCAGGGGTACCTACATACACGAGCATGCACGGGTGATATTAGTATTACTTGTTTGCCTCGACAACTTGTGTCAGCATTGGCTAGGCAAAGGGTTGAGAAAAGATGAGCGGGAGTAGGAGCGCAAGCATGGCTGTGACTTTGAGCCTTTGACAGCCATCATCTCGAAAGGCAGTTGACGGAAAGGCAGAAGGGCTTTACAGAGTAGGTAGTCCCGCATGATTCAGGCTAGAGGTCGAAGGGGCCATTTTTTGGTTCCACATCCTGTATACCTTATTGCTATGTGAGTACAGACTGTATCTTGCCTTTTGGATAAACTTCAGGCCTAGAGTGTCGTGGGCCCCTTTGGTTTTTGCTCAGATGCTCAAAGACCCTAGAACATCCTCTCAAGTCCCCCGCACTTTCGTCTGTCAATTATTATGATTGAGACCTTCATCCAGAACGAATGTCGACTGCGCCACCTCGGTCGGACCAATGATTCCGCAGCCTGCATGCCTGCATAGGATCCAAGGCAAGAGGCAGAAGCACAGAGGCAAGGCAAATGAATTTATTGTTTGGGGGTTTGAGCCTACCGTGCTTACCTATCTCCGTAAGAACAGAATCAATACTGACTAAAAACAAGCCTCAAACGTCGCGAATTCTCTCCTCTCTCTTCTCTCTTCTCGCATCTGGCTCTGGCTCTGCCACACCTTCACCATGGGGCTAGGCGGCCAAGTATTATTGCACTTAAGTTACTGTGATACTGTGATACTGTATCGCAAGCCCGCCAGCCCGCCAGCCTCAAGCCTCAAGCTGCATACGAGTACCTTGCAACACCCAGTTTATCCGGCAAGCCAGGTACTGAATCCTCTAGTCTGGTTCCGAGTCTGTGCGGCTGCCAGGTCCTGCCAGACCTTGCGCACCCGCCTTCAACCCTCGTCCCACCATTGTGTCGTCCCAATGAATCCGGGCACCCTGTCTGTAAGTAGTGCCTGTAGTGTCTGTAGTGTCTTTGTGCCTGCCGTGCCTGTCCTGTGCAGCGCTGGACTGCTCAACCATCTCTTGACCCAACCACCAACTTGGAATTCATCTCGACAATTTCCTCCTTTCTTTCGTCCTCGTCCTCGTTCTCGTCCTCGGGGCTTTTGACATTGCCGGCATGACATGATCCGCAATCTGGGGATCAATGATATCGGCCATGTGCAGCTAAGGAATGTCGCAGTGCCCACCAAGCCCTGCTCGGGGACCCTCCCATTCTTCTCGCGTCTATCTCTCCCCTCTGTGCCTCTATCGAAGACGCATAGGTCAACTTCGGCACGCTAACAAATAGGCAAGCCCCTCCCCGGCCACTGGTTGAACCTTCTCATGCCGCCTCTTTAGTCCCTCAAACGTTTCCTCTCCACTGTCCGGCCGCCGCTCGATCGTGATTTGTGTCGCAACCCTGCCCACCTGGTGCCTCCAGCTTGGTGGTTAGGCCCGCCCTGCAAGCCACTTGCTTTCCGGATTGGCGCGATTGATCGACCTGGTGGGCTAAGGAACACACCCAAACACGGGCTCCATCTGCCTTTATCGCTGCTATCGACTGGCCATTCGTCGCCGCCAAAATCTTCCACCTCCTCTCAAGGAGTGAACCAACCGATATCCCACTCACGACTCACCCCATCACGCTCATGTACTCTGTGCAACTTACGACTCCCCGACTCACAGCCTTTTCGGCATCGCTGCCTTTCATCTGACAGCTCCGCTCACAACTGTTCGACTCATCTCGACATTTCCCCAACACTTCTACCGGCAAGGTTATTACAAGTGCCCTGTCACGCTGCTAATCTTCTCGTCGTCCTCGCCCCATCTCGTGGCGCATTCAACATCAACTTCGTGCCTGTCTATCAAGTCGTCGCGCTCAATCACTTGCACTGTTTCCCGTCCCTCCCAGTCTATTCAGTTCCTCAAGTCCCTCGACAGTTCTCGACGACTTCTCGCACATCTGTCCAATCCGGCCATCAGTCATTGCTCCCTCTCCTTGTTCGCGCCCTCCTTGTCGTGACCTGAGCAGTCAAGGCACTCCCCGGTCTCGTTCTTCCAAGGAACCACTTCATTTCACTCATACCCTTGCATCAAACCGCCCCCGGAACCGCCACGATCCGTGACATGACCAGCTTCGTTGATTCTTATCTCAGCTTGACCATCTCCAAGGAATTTTTCTAAAGTCGCGACTCCACCACGCCAGCATTTCATCGCATCGCATTGCTATTTTACAGCCCATCCTGGCAATACTCTGCTGCCACTGTTGGAGCTTGGATCTGAAACTGCAACTTTGGCCTAGTCCCGGACGGCCGCTTATTCATCTGGTCACCGTGGCAGCAGGCCTTGATCAACCTCCTCCCTTGTACACTTGAGCAGCGGTCATGAGTGCGATGGCCTTCAGTCCGCTGGACCACCGTTTGCATCCTACCATCTCGAATCAGCACGCCTTGACTTCAGACCCAAGAAATTTCGAACCAGGCCCTCAAGACCGGCGCATGTCCACGGCCAACGACAACTCCGTGGCTGTCGCAACTGTTTTGTTGCGACGCCTGCCACGCAATACCACTTCTGAAGCGGTCAGAACCATGTTACTCTTCGCCGAAGATCTTCAAGATACCGAGATCGTTCCCAACGAGTACGAGGACGACGCCGGGTTCTCCACTGCCATTGCCCGATTCTCTTCAATGACAGGCGCCACAGAGGTGCAGGCTCTTCTGGACGGGAAGCCCAACACTGCAGGTCAGGCTAAAATGATAGTGGATGTCATCTCGAACTCGACAATCTCAGCTGCACCGCGACGCAACACAATCGATCCATTAGCCAGTCGCAAAATCGGTCAGTCGATGTCGCCGGCCATGAACATGACGCAAAAATCATCTCGCTTTAATGGCACCTTTCAGGCACTGGACAAGACTTCTCCTCCTTTACTTGCCTCCCCTCCAGACCATTCTTCTTCCGAGACCAGCTCTCACATGCAGACCCTGTTTTCACCCCACTCGCCTGGCAACAGCACCGTCACAGAGCGATCTCGGGTCAGTGGCAAGATGGTCATCGACGAGGACGGTGGAGATGAAGACACTCGCGAATTACTCAATGATCCACTCGGCTACTTGAACAATTCATCCACCGCCAAAAACCCACGCAAAGCAGTCAACACGCGTGTTCCCACTGCGGCATTCTCGGCGCTTTCGCTCAACACCAATATGAGCAACGGCACTGCTTCTGCGTACGGAGCACCAAGGTCGGCCGCACAAAGTCGACCGCCTCACAATCAGTTTTCTCCCAACTCCATGTCAAGCGGCCCATATACGGCAACGAGCACATCTTACCTGCGCCACAACTACCCGCCGGTCAACCCAGCAGACCAGAATCCACCGTGTAACACACTTTATGTAGGGAACCTTCCGATCGACACATCCGAGGACGAACTGAAAGCCATGTTCTCGAAACAGAGGGGGTACAAAAGGCTATGCTTTCGGACCAAGCAGAATGGTCCGATGTGTTTTGTAGAGTTTGAAGACGTGTCATTTGCGACAAAGGCGTTGAATGAACTGTATGGGGCACAACTTCACAACAGCGTCAAGGGGGGTATTCGATTGAGCTTTTCCAAGAATCCACTTGGAGTACGAGCTGGTCAGCCTGGAAGCGCTAATCCGACAACGCCACTGAACGCATCGGGGCCGATGAGCATGAACGGCTTCGTCGCAGGAATGTCCCCGAGCCATTTCTCCACCGCCAGTGGACCGCCGCCCGGGCTATCTATGCCACCTGGGTTGAGTTCCCCCATCAATGGCTCGGGACCGGGGGGTGCTCTACATAGCCAATTCGTCGGCCAAGGGCTAGGGCTTACCCCCGGTGGCATGGCAAATATGAGAGGGATATCCGTCAATCACGGTCTAGGTGGCCCGACGGCGGGCGGCAACTTTCATGATTATATGCTCGGCAGATAGGGCATCTGTCACGACACTGAAGGAGCCGAACGCTCACAGTTTTGCACTCTCGGGCTATGATTTGAGCATTTGTTTCTGGAGTACTTGTCTTGCAGACGCAACGAAGTTCATGGATGAGCTTCTTTTTTTTGGGTGCATCTTTGGGGGGTTTCCCCCTCTTGGATTTGAAAGATTCCCCGCTAAGTAGACAATGAGCAAGCAAAGTGGCAGGCATACGGACTGGATCGCGGGGTGGCGTTGTTGAAACACATCAGAGCTGAGTCGGAGAACTAGTCTGAAGGATGAGAGTCGTGGATTCGCATTTTCTGTTGCATACGGACTGTCATTTTGAGCCGTTTGTTTTGATATCGATGTTTGGACAATGGGGACGCAAGTGGCGGATGAACGTGTTAGGGCATTATGAACATGCAAAGGGAGGGTGGACTGTCAGAATGCTCCTAAGCGATGACGATCACGGAATACTGAGCTGTCTGAGTGACGCATACACTGCAAATGTCAGGCAAAGCGGCGAGGGTTGCATTGTTCAGCACGTGGGATAAACACTGTGTTCAGGAATTGGTCAAGTCGATTATCTCATTATTTTGATACATGGCAAGACGAGGAAAGTCATGCGCCAGGCGCGGTCCTATATACCTAGGTAGTAGTCTATATTTTTGTGTTGTCAATTAGTGAGCAAGCCAACCTATCTTTGATGGAAACCAGAATTGTCGAGATGTTGACATCGACAGCGATGCAAAACCCAAGTTGACTGAATAGTATTATATGTGTTTCCCTAACCCAGGCGTGTACTGATTCATCAAATGGTGAGTGACTATCGTATCTGATGACGCGGTGCAGTTAGGGTACACAGTCAGCGAGTACATCAGCCATGTCAGCAAACCGCATATCGACTTGACTGTCGGTCTAGAGACTGATGAATTGGGAGTCTGGAACTTCTGCTTACCCAGGTGTGCCAGACAAGCCAGGTCTTGGAACTTTGGAACACAAATCTGAAAGAGAGGGTTTATTGGTGGTCTTCGTGAGGCTTGGGTAACAACCATCAGTCCTGATCCTGGTGTCGAAAATGGAATCTTTGATGGACTGGATTGAATGATGCCCACATCAGGTCGCCAGTCGTTGTGTTTGAGCAAGTTGAAGGAAGGTCAAGTGGGTTGTTGACTTTCCCGGGGGCCAAAGGGGGGGGTCGGGGGATGATCATTAGGCGATTCTCCTGTCAACCTTAATCCAGCCGTTTAAGCCCTGGCCTGACGAATAACGATACTCCATAGGGCTGGTGCCACCTACAATGGTACTTGGCTAAGGGAGCCCACTGCACGCTCTACCGCCAGGTCACAGCCTATCACCATCCGTGATCCCACCCATTTCTCTTGATGTTGATATCCTGCAGCCGCTCGTTACATGCTCCTGCAAACAAGAGAACTTCAGTCGATGCCCGCATCCACCGTCGCTTCTGATTCATTCGTGTTCGAATGCTATTGATTAAATTGCATGCAACAGTTTGATGTTGGAGGGTGGGATGGCATGGGGCCACATGAATGCAGCAGAAAGCAGAAGGCTTGCCTGGTTATAACCTCTTGATGGATGTCATGTCCCAGTCCAACAGGCCTCGGCCCTGAGACAAATCTACTACTGACTACCTACCTAGGTACACCCAGCACGTAGCTTTTCCATGCTTCTCCTTGTGGTCGGTACAGGTACTCTTCATTCGGTGCAATCATCGTATATACTTTACGTACATCACTTTTAACCTTAACCGTTGTGTTTGTGTTTCTTTTCTCTTGACTCTTGCTTCACCGCAAGGATATCTACAGTTGTCGCTCATCTACTCTTGTCCACAATATCGGCCTTGTTTTCCTCTGCTGTCGCTAAAGCTGTCCCCCCTCCCCCCCTAGAAAGAGCATCTCGCTGCCCAAGTCCACTGGTCGCACCCCAGGAAGACAACGGGCCAGGTGATTTGCTTCTCCTAATTATTCCTTCCTTACTGTTTGGCGACGTCTATTGCTGTCCGCCGCTGCAAGTCACCAGCGCCAGCTCCATGTTGCCTGCTCCAGCACCCGCTCTCTCCCACCCGATATCTGTCATCTTCCTCGCCTTCAATCTCCAACTTGGAGATATCTGCCCTTCATAGCCTGGCAACTTCACGGCATGCCCTTGTCCAGCAAAAGACCCGGATCGCATGTGCCCGTCTTCCGCAGTCTCAGTGCCAATGCCACTAACGACAAGGCCCATGAACGGAGCGATGATAAATCTGGAGAGGCAGAGGGGGCCTCTGTAGCGCCTTTGTCAAGCCTGGGCTTCAATTTTGGACTGCCCACAATATCGTCCCTCGCGAACTTGAGTCGGCACCGCCGCAGAAATCGCACAAAATCTAATGATGCTCAAAAGAAGAGCTACGATGACGCTCCTTCCAACCTCGACCTCGACCAGACAGCTGTTCATGCCCATCTCAAACAGGCACGACAGGGTCACGACCACAGGGCACTGAAACCCCCCGAAATTGACTCGCCGTCCAATGATAATAACGAACAGGCCGAACCACCTCGGCCGCTGTACCACCGCACCACCACAGCCAGCACTGACACAACTGCCAACAGCTTCGGCTCGGCTTCTGCCGTTGTAATGAGCACCCACAGCACTACAGTCGACACCAAAACCACTACTCCCGATGCCGCTGCATCGACTTCGATCGCTTCCCCATCTGCCGTGTCTGCATCTCCATCCGCACCTCCGCCACCACCTCCGGCTGATCCTACTGGTTCATCGCACAATCGCTCCGACGCTCAAGCCACACGTAAACCACTTGAACTACCTAAGCTTGTTCCATCCACCACCGCCACATCTGCACCTGTACCAGTTCCGTCCACCTCCTCTGCCACTCCGCCGGCCACCTCGACGTCGATCCCAATTTCATCTCCCACCGCCGCCATTACCATCCACCCCGATCTCTTACCTAAAGCTCTGAGAGACCCCGCGTGCCCCCAGTCGCCGACTCCTCCATCAACACTGGCCGACATTGACTCTTCCCCCACTCCAACAACCATTCCTCAACCACCCAAAATTCCTCCTCCTCTCCTTGTCGTCCAGCAGCCATCGACTCCTACTCTTCCCACCCTTCCCGCCCTCTCGACAGCCCCCACCAGTCATGATAGTCTCTTCGTCATGCCGAGAAAAGTATGGGTGAAAAGACCCGGTGCGTCTTCGACCAGAGTCGAAGTCGCCGAAGATGATTTGGTCGATAATGTACGAGATGTCATTCTGAGCAAATATGCCAATTCCCTCGGCCGCACCATCGATGCCCCCGACATCACTCTCAAGATCGTTAGTCGCGAACCACACAACAAGAACGTTGCCTCTGAACGACCTCTTGGTCCCGATGAGCCCATCGCTCGAGTCCTAGAAACATACTATCCTGGTGGCCAGACGATTGACGAAGCTCTACTCATCGAAGTGCCCGCTCGTCGCACACCCCGGGCCTCCCCCCGAGTGGGAAACCATCAGGTCTCTTACTTTTATCCTGCCGAACAGTATCGCCCCGATGATGGCGCCCGAGAATATTTCCCCCCTATGCCGGTCCAATCCCCTCACCTCGCCCACGTTCAACACCAAAACTCCATCCCACATGCAATGTCAATCCTGACCACCGGTCAGCCTCCCTTGTTGCCTAGCCCTGGCTCCCAAACTGCAAGGAGAAGACCCAAGTACCCCAGACAGCATACAAGCAGTCCAACCATTCTCCACACTGTCCAACCAAATGGTCAAGTTCTAGGTATGTTCGAGTATCCCAGCATTGACGAACAAGACTGACCGTGATGCAGAAACCAAGCCTCAGATCAACGGAACCGCCCCCAATGTCCCTGCACTTCCCACCCCTCCTGCCCAACCTAATGAACTCAACATCACTCCTCCAGGTCGCCCCGGCTCGCCTCATGCTGGACACAAGCCCAAGAGAAAGAAGATGCCTAATGCGAATCGGTCGGCCAGTGGAGAGGCAATTGCTCCTGCGAAACCTGCTATTTCAAACCTCCTCGACGGATCCGTCCCTCCCATCAACGTGCTCCTGGTCGAGGATAACAATATCAATCTCAAGTTGCTCGAAGCCTTCATGAAGAGGCTCAAAGTGCGCTGGAAGTCTGCCGTCAACGGCAGGGAAGCGGTCAACATGTGGAAGACCGGCGGCTTTCACTTGGTGCTGATGGACATTCAACTTCCCGTCATGAATGGTTTGGAAGCCACCAAGGAGATCCGCCGCCTCGAAGCCGTCAACGGCATCGGTGTCTTCAGTGTCAGTCCCATGGAACACGGTCTAAAGATGGCCAACAAGAACAATGGGCCTGTCAGCGAAGAGGACACTCTTCCTGACAAGAGTCTATTCAAAAGTCCCGTCATCATCGTCGCGTTGACTGCAAGCAGTTTGCAAAGTGATCGGCACGAGGCTTTGGCCGCTGGTTGCAACGACTTTTTGACAAAGGTAAGTTACCATTACTGTATTTCAGAAGGTGTGCATGTGCTGACCAGAGCTACAAGCCCGTCAATTTTGTGTGGATGGAGCGCAAAGTCACCGAATGGGGGTGTATGCAAGCTCTGATCGATTTCGACGGCTGGAGAAAATGGAAAGAGTACGCAGACGAAAAGGCTAAAGAAGATCCTGCCAAGAGAGCGGCGGAAGAAAAGGAAGAAAAGGCCAAAACTAAAGCGGCTCTCAAAGCCATGTTTGCCAGGCCACCGCCGACCACGAAGAAGGACAGTGGAAGCAGCATGTCGACTCAGAACAGCGACAAGACGATAAACTCAGCATCCAACGGGACGCCGCGGAAGCCCGCAGGAAGTCCCGGTGCTCAGGGGGATGAGCGCCGCCCCCGAAGTCACAAGAGCTCGAGAAGTTCTGTCAGCCTCGGTGAGAGACCAGGAGGGAACCTGGAAAGCATGGCGGAAGAAGATGAAAAGGCACCTTGATTAGGGAGGTTCACTGTGGACCACATCGTGTGCCAGGCCTGACGCAGGGTGCATGCTGAGGCCGGTGCCCTGCTACTAACTTTCTACTCGAGTACAACAATTCTTGACGTATTTTTCTATCAATGGACGGACCATAAGCCTTGTAAACGATGATGTCTGGCTTTATCTCATGCAGACCGGGGAAATGCCGCGAGCAATGGCGACTTTCATACATTCAAGACATATAGCATGGCCTGAAATGGGACTAGGTCAGGTCAGGGAAGAGAGACAGACTTGACAGCTGCTACAGCAGCATCAATATGAATGATGCTCTTGCCCTGTTCAACATCATTTCTCAAGAAGTAGTCACTTCCCAACGGCATCTGCCACATAGCCCTCGACCTCGACGAGCAACTTGCAAGAGGTCACACGTTGACAGCAAGGAGACTGAGGAGGCTAGATCTGACAGTCAAGGCATTTGATCAAGGCTCGCCTAGATGAAGAAACAATCGACGGGGTGAGAACATGTCGATCCTTCTAGATCGTGACGTCAATCGTCAATCGCATCATTCCAAGTGGTGAATGACACTGGTAATAGACAGAGGGGCAAATGCGTTGGTCTAGATAATTCTTCCCTACCACCAGCGTGTGGTTTCAAGGTCGGAATGAAGCATAAATTTGAGGAACATGTCGGCTCCCAAAAAGGTGACATTGTTCATCAATCACAGTTACGATATCACCAAGACTAGAATCTGGTACCAACGAGGAAGATCTATCACCCATGGATCGACCAATAGCCACTAGAGGCGGATTGAAGTTGAATTGTGTTGCTTACCACGAATAAAAACGGCGACAAAGGCTGACTAGAGATCTGGGCCGAGCCGATGATACTGATTTATCGAGATTTGTCAACAGAGCCGACTTAATGTGACTATGATGCAATCTATGTAGGCAAAATATACTGTGCAGTATTGACAGGTGGATCGTGGGTGATGCGTGTATTCGTCTTGGAATGGTGGTCTGGGGGGGTGTAATTAGTCTGTTGGCTGGAAACACCCCGAAAAGGTGAAGACAAAGGTCTTGGGCTCGCTGGGTTGTTGAAACATCATGGATTTTTTGGTGTTTTATGGCGCTCGAAAGTTGGAATTGGTTCAGCGGTGAAGCTAAAGATCGAAAAGACCAACAACTAAACACTGGTTGGAAGAGAACGTTGCTCGAGAGAGAAATTGGATAGGTAGACAGCCAGTCTAGGGTTCTGCAAGACAACGCCCAAGTGATTCTACAGTAAACCGCGCAACCAGGGTCGGGGTTACCTCGAGAGTCACAGTGTGGAAGCCAATGACGCCGCCGAGCAGGCTATCTGGGAAAGAGAAGGAGAAGGCAGGCTAATCACGTTGGAAACGCCAAAGGTTACTAGTTACAGTATACGTTACTTCATAGTCGAAGGAGCCAGGTTGCCTGGTGATGGTCAAACTGACCAGCTTCAATTACCAACCTTGTCCAGTCAGTTATGAAGGGACTTGACATGATTGAATGGGTAAAACATGAATAGGAGTTGGACATCGTGGGGGTGGAGGCATGCGAGGTGTCAGAGGCTTTCTGGAAGCGAGCTAGAAGGCACACACAACCACCCAACAGGTGGTTTGACGTATATGGGGCGTCAAGACGTGATTAAAGAGTACAGTATGCCATGCTGCCCAGTGTAGTATCCATTTTCCCTGCAACGTTGGCGCGAGTTGCATGCTGCAGGCAGACAAGGACGGTTATTGTTGTTGCTTCTTGATAGAATCAACTTCTGGACGGTGGTAGACGCCAGACAAATTCCAGGCTTCAATCGTGAAATGGCAAGTGCAGACTTGGTCCTGAAACACTCTGTCTGTACAGTAAGAGTTGTACTTTCCTTGCACACTTGGAAGCCGTTCCTGCTTTGTTCCTGCTTTTGCTCACCGATTGCCAACTTCCGAGTCTCCAGAGGAAGTAAGGCGCAGACACTGCCGTCGCTCGGGGCCCAGCGACCCATGTTGCCGCTGAAGCTGTAAGAGCGGGTGTTTCCTCAATGTGCCCCCTGCTTCGAATCTGCTGCTTAGAGCCTGATACGGTGTTGCATACGCATACTCCGTACGTCAGGTACGATATGCTCCGCTACCTAGTGAATGGTTCGGTTCGGTTCGGCTGATCAAAAGTAAAGCAAAGTCATCAACCTGGGTCCTGCAGTGCCTGGCACGCTGGGTAGCTGCCTTTTTTTTAGTCAACCAGTATTGTGTGTACTGTATGGATGCGTATCCACCTTTGGCTCCTCACCATCTCTACCAGCGAGGACCCACGGTACCTTAGGTCCTCAGGTACTGCACATAGGCGGCACTGGTGGGTACCTTACCTAGCTAAGGTACCTAGGTAGGTACCGAACCTCAATGCAGTATCACGAATACAGTACTCGTAGACAACAAGGCATTAATTACTGTGGGATAATACTTTATGTAAATGTCTTCTGACCCTGGGCTTCCACTTGGCACCCACCCACGCCACCTCAACCCACACAACCGCCCACATTATTGCCTCATCATTCCTCTTGCCCTGAACCTTGTGAACCTTGAACCAACCCCATCTCATGCGCTCCGTACAGCATTGTATTTGGATAGCAACCATGGGAACTCATATGACCTGGGTAGTCAGGCTTGCCCGACCTGTGAGCCTCGGGGCGCAAGGTCTCCAGACCCAACCCCTGGTTCCTCTTGGACTGGAAAGCACTGCCTGTTGATTCTTATTCCAATCCCACGTCAGCCAGCCCTTCACCCTTCCAAAATTTTCAATGAGTGCCATCCGTCCTCCCACGCCTCAACTTGAACCTGCCATTGGGTGACCTGCTCCAGTGTAACCACCCTGCCGCCTCCTCGTCGACTCCCCTCATTCCAACCCCGATGAGAGACAGTCGACCAAGTGTTACGGTATGTTGTGGGCATTCAACAACACAGCCAACTCAAGGACTCCATCCTATGACACTTTATCGCGCCCACTGAGCATTGTTCTTGATTCTGGTACTAGTCAGATGAAAAAGGAACCAGTACGTTCTCTTTTCTAGGTTGCTATTGCCTCTCTTGAGAGTGGGAGCGACACCTGTGCCTGTTCAAACACCGCTTCTCACCTTGCTTCTGAACCTCTTTCCTCAACAGCCAAGCTCTTCAACGTGCTTCTGAATGTCCGCTTCTGAGTGATTGATCCTGGGATCGGTGGCAAGAGCATGTGATCCCATTTCGCAACTGCGTGAACTCGATCTTGTTCCCTGATGCAGAGAAGGCTGTTCGAATCTCCCTTCTCCATGTCATCCTTGCCGAGTACTGAGATTGCAACAATCCGCAGGTGGGACTGATCTCTAACATCAGTGGTCAACTGTTGCCTCATGGGGCTTCGCCCGACTCGAGATCTCCGAGATGGGTACTCGTACCTGATTTCGAGCTAAGCCCCTCGATTTCAGGGTTACTATGTACAAGAGACCAGGACAATCAGGGTGTCCAGCGTGCTGATCCCATCGGAGGCTACCGCGTCCACTCATGTAATATGCAGTGATCGGCCCCTTTTACACTGATGCCACCACTCTGCAAATCCCTCCCAAACTGATCCTTGCCTTTGCCTTTGCACATCGCGGAGCTATCCTGACTTACAAGGTCACATGGAGCGTGGGGCCAGTGACGAGGTCGCCCTAATGAGAGTCACACAAGTTGGCCCCATGGTCATGACTGCGTTACTCAGGGCTCTGTTGTACAACATCATCACCCGCATTATCCAAGCCCCAAACCAACTCATGGATAGTCATACAATGAACGTGGTTGGGTCTGATCCTCTAAGCGCGCAGCCTCAATTTCTCCCATCACTCTGGACGCTGTTGCCTTGTCTCGGGGCCAGTTTGCGCGTCGAAAGACGACTCCCATTGCTATTCTGCTAGAATTAGTTGGCTCAGATCAAAAACACAAAGTGACTGAATCTTTGCGTCTATTAGCTCCGCAATTCAGAAAACAAAACACTCTTGGTAGTTTTGTATATAATATACACTATATCATATAGGCCCTACTGGGCCTCAGCGTAAAGCTATCAAACTGTCATCCTTTTTTCCCTGTGCCCTCGTTGATCCCTATGTTCGATTTCGCTTGTGTTTGGTTTCGTCAACCCTCTGTGGTAGACTGCTGCGACTTTGTGATTTTACAGTTTCATATCTTCGTAGAATAAATCAAACCAATAATGGTAAAAATGATGCTTAGGACTTTTTGGTCATAGGTTTGAATGACTGCGTACTGGGCACGATTTCTCTGCTCAAGTTGACATGCATAGCGTATGGCACCTCTCAGCGAAATCCAACCTCCTGCATCATCATGAACCGTGCAAAATGTTTGGGAACCAGTCGGTGATGATTCCATATAGGTGGGATTTCTCATATCTGAAATCTCTGATTGCCCTCTCAGGCCCGAGAATGCCTTTTTCATGGATTGGCCGGTTTGGATTCATCAGGAGTGATAATGATCTCGACTTTGCGACCCTTCCCTCGTCCTTTGATGCCTTTGTTGCTGTGCTTATAGAGCTCCTGAAAGTAATTTCTCAGCCTTTCCTCCTCAGAGTCATACTCATTGGTGGTAAACTGTTGAGACAGCCGGTTCAACGTCTCCTTGTGGAACTTGTTCATATGCGCCTTGAGATTGCCCAGTTGAGTGAAGACCTTGCCTGGATGTCCATCTTCGGACGCTCGGCAACCGTCCAGCTGGCATGTGTATTTCTTTTGAGAGGCGCCGGGATCAGAGCTTGCTCGTTTACGGTTGGGTCGCTGTCCCACATGACGCCTCTCGTGTGTTCGCAGATTACCCAACTGGGAAAAGGCATGGCCGCAGGAGGCAAAGGAGCACGTGTACGGTTTCTCGCCCGTGTGAGAGCGCAAATGGATCTTGAGATGAGTTGGTTGAGAAAAGGATTTGCCGCAATCGGGGTAGGGGCACAGGTGCCTCTTCACTTTGGTAGTCGCATCGGGCGGATTCTGACATGGGCTAGGCTGTAACGCCTTCATAAGCGAATCAACTTCTGAAGTGGTGGTTTCGGGTACTGGGGATGGTTGCGTAAATAGTGGCGGTGTGTTCCTACTAGAGGACAGAAAAGAGCCAACTCTCGTCTGTTCCGACAAATCCGACGACAAGTAGCTCGAAGCAGCATCGGAATAGATGGATAGAACATCGTCTAGCTGTCCTTTCTCTTCACCTGGGCACGTCGCAGGGGTCATGGGCTCCTGGGTCGAAGGAAAGTAATTGCAGTTTAGATTGAAGTCGGAAAGATTGCCAAAGGTATGGGCACGTTGTAGAGAAGGGAAGAGAGGGCTCGCATTGGCGAAGGCATCATAGCCGTATGGATCATTCGTGGGGACGTTTTGGAGATAATAGTCTGGTGGGAAGCTCGAGGCTGTCATCTCAGTCTGGCTCTTGGAAGAGGTCGAAACCGAGGTAGGCACCATCCATTGTCTAAGTTGATGCATGTGCCATTCAATCTGATCGGAGGAACCTTCGAACGACATGGTGAGGAATGAACAAATGGTTTCAGCTTGGGTAGGTAGTCCGGGCCGGTGAGGATATAGTGGTCAAGGATCGAGAAGGAAGGATATGACCGAATGGATGAATGCGTGGGTTGTGGGGGATCGCTTGAGCAACAACGCCAGATAGCTCAGGACAACGAGACACTACATCTGCGCTTTCCACTGCCAGGACGAATCGTGACTAAGAGAAGGTGTGGTACGGTGACGAAGCAGTCGAGGATTGCGAGACAATGACTGGTAGTCCGGCAAGAAGAAGTAAAGGACAGGGCAGAAGTGTAAAGAGTCAACGTGTTTGAGTGAGATTGTACTGGCCCTGGACAAGAGGTGTTTACCTTGGAGAACACGAGCCGACATTCCAGAAGGACGTTCCCAAACGAGTGTTTATATGTTTTTGAGGTCTGGTGTATGGAGGGAAGCCAAAGGCCAGTCAGCAAAAGCGTGGGATAGAGCCATGACAGAAAAGACTGTTAGCTGCACGCATCGGGCCATTGGTCAGGGATCATGATGCACGCGAAGAGATTGCAAGCTGCATCGAGAAGAAAAATGTGGTGTTCTCAGGCCCTTGAGTAAGTGGTGCAGCCTTGCCAGATGGTGAAATCGTACTCTGATAGTGGACAATGCGCCACAGACCCAGTCGTGGCAGTTGGGTCGACATGCCCTGTTTGGAATACCAGGTGACAAGATGAAAAATTTTCGTCGATGTGGCTTCTCAGTGGCTCGCCTGTGGTACCAATGAGGCTTGACGGGCACGGGTAGTGATGATGGGCATGCAAAACCAGCAGGGGGGGTGGGTGACCTGGGAGCCAGGGAGCTGTTTTCAGACGTGGTCTAAGCGGAGAAGTCACAGATACGAGAGCATGAGTGGACCGAGATAGAGAATGGCAAACTTAGCGGCAGCAGATGTGCAATGGAGGACGCAACTAATGGCGCAAACAAGCCATCGAGGGCTTAGAGTGGGGAGATGAACTCTGGAGATGATATTGACTGGAGAGGAGAGCAGGTTGCCAAGGAAGACGAAGCGAGGAAGACAGAGAGATGATAGCTAGGGAGCCGGTCGGCTGGAGGATGACACCGATGGAGCCCACCGGGGGAGGAGATGGATGGGGGGGAACACGCGTGCCGTACTACCCTCGCGAACTGGTCGGTTAGGCGTGGGTGGGTGCAGAAACTGGTAGAGGGTTGAGATGAAGAAGCACCAAAGGACGAGGGTGTCACTGGTCTTGGGGGGTCAACATGTGCGCTTGTGTTTGGGGCCTTTGAGTTAGCGTTGGATTAGCGTCTTGGCTTAAATTAGGCTCTAAAATCAGCCAGGTACCGACAAGGAGCTGCTGCTCCGCGCCACCTGCAGTGTGGAGAGTTTTTTTTTAAGTATGCGTACGCATATCTTAGGTACCTTAGGTATGTACCTTTTGCCAGTATGGGGATGCGTAAGGAAAGTTTTTGCTCGTATCCACAGGGGAGCAAACAACAGTGACGACGACCCTAGATTTAGGTAAGATACCTAGGTACCTACTCATAAGGTACTGCTGGCAATGCGTTCATATCACACGAGTTTTCAATGTCCCGCAGGAGGTCGAGACGCATTCAAGGTTGTGTCTTGAGGAACTTTTAATTATGCGCACCTACAGTACTAAGTAACAATATGTACGTATACTCGTAGTAGCTGCCCCCGACCGCCGGTCATGATCATATGTCTGCATCCACCAGGCTGACCGTTGGAGGCCCCAGCACCCAAATGTGGAGGCTGAGGGGACCCCCTTGGCCGTGCCATGTCATGGTCCTCCTGCTGCTGGCCAATGTGGACAGGGTTCAGTATTTGAGGCTACAACAGTACCAGTTTGGCATCTCTGAAGAATGGTGGGTATCAACTGACCAAACAATGGCTTTGCTGACCAGGCTACCATCCCAAATCCAATATTTTTGGAACTCAGTGATTGGGGTGATCAAAAGGACCCCGGCACCGTGCGTTGGCCGTGGGCCGACTGAGAATGAAGAGGTTGCAAAGACAGCGCTATCTCAACGCTATGCTTGAACCAGCTGCCCGCACGTCTTCGGAAAGCTCGAGACCAGCCATGGCGTTTGCGGCTTGACGAGGGCGGCTTGCAGTAGTCAGGAAAAAAAAGACGTGGGAGACTGGGATTGTCCACCAGGCTTGTCCGCCCCAGGGTCGCCTGCCTGACAACAGCCCAATACCAGGTATCCCGCCCTATCTGTTCGTTATCTTGCGCAACACATCAAATCTCTTCAAAGCCTCCTCTGAACCCAACGCCTAGTTCGAGCATTATATGCGAAGTGAAAATTTTTTCATCCAGCAGGACGACCTCAGATTGGTATGGTAGAGATGATGAAACACTTTGTCCCTGGCCAGCATCAAACCCTTCAAGCTGAGAAATGCACAAACAACACCATCTCTCTTTACCGGTCCATGACATCCCACGCCCCACTCCCACTCCTAGTCTTTTTGTCTTGCCTTCAACTCACTTGCTCACAGCTCCTCTCCCAGAGTCCCACTGATGTCCTTACGAGAAATCTTCACTTGTGCAAATCACCTCCTTTCGCCAAAACGTACCCCCATTGGCAAATCGACGAGCCACTCCCTCACCTCCCTGTTCTGCCCTTGTACCCTCTCCATACCAGTTTAGTGGCCACAAGATCACCGACGCCATCCCTGGTGACACACCGAAAACGGCTGGGTACATGATCGATTGCCCTGCACGACTCTCCAAGTGCAGCCTGGACGGTTGTGCCCGAGAGAACTGCACGGCTGCCACCGGTGCACCCCCATGGGTCAATTGTCGATGCCTCTACCAACGCCTGAGGCGCCCCTCGGCAGGCAAGTGCTTATACCTGTTTGATGACCATCCTCCTCACAACACCGTGACCTTGAGGGTGGGCAGCCCGAGGCCTCATGGGCAGCCGATTTCCCCGATGTCCGACTAGACAGCCCGAAATCCCCTGTTTTCAGTGCATATCTAGATACCCTCGTGTCGCATCACGATACAGTTTGTCGCCTAAAAGTTAGTCCCTAAACCTCAAAGATATCGAATCGACCAGGGTTCGTTGTGCTGCATTTCGACCGAGATCTGACACATACGAACCGTCTCGTCGAACCCAAGCCCTAATCATTCCCACCTCATTCAATTGCTTCGCTCATTGGCCACCAGGTCAGGCTCCCCGAAGACTAGACCACTGCCATGTGGGCATCCTAGATATGAACAATTCTGCCCACCTGGGTGCATAGTAGCAAGATTCCCACATCCAGACCCTTGAGATACGTTTCACTTCACTTCAGATAATCGTGGGAACATGCACACCTGCGAAAGAACCATCCTAACGTTCTTGACCAAACAAAAGAATTGCATAATACCGATGTGGTTGGAGAGATATCGCATCGTCCCTGCTAAGGAAGACTATATCGTGTATCGTCGAGCTCGCCAGTAGCCCAAACCCCCTTTCGGCGTGCATCACCCTAATGTGATCCTCCCACACTCCTAGAGCTCCCGATCCTAAAAGCCTCAGCCACTCGCTTTTCTTGCATTGAAATCCAACACCAGAACATCCTTGTCCATCAGTCTCTTTACCAACCTGTCATCCCATTCCATCGAAGTAGTCGATGTTTGGCCGCCGGTGATGTCCCTTTGGCACTTTTCCGGAAATTCACTAGTGAGCTCCCCTCCACGTGGTATACTGCCAAATCCGAGCCTTCATGTCGCCAGAACCAGTGGCAAACAGATGTCCAGCAGGGCATGGCGCAACTGATATCACTGAATTCTTGTGCCCTTGCAGCATCATCTGGGCATTACCCGTATTAGGATCCCAAAATTGCACACCGCGATCTTTCGAGCCAGATACGACCCACTCGCCTCCCGGAGTGAGGCACACCGAGAGGACATAATCCTAAAAACTCCTCGTTAGCATGGTATCTCGCAGACGATTGTCTCAGCTTACCTTATGGCCCTCGAATGTCCGCACACATTTGCCGTCCTTACCAGACGTAGACGGAATGAGCCCTCGCTGGGGTGTCAACTCCCACATCTTGATGGTTTTGTCCAAGCTACCACTGACAAGCTCACGACCGTTTGGTGAGAAAGCAACACTGTAAACACTGTCTTTGTGTCCTTGGCCGCCTTCCAGTCGCTCAATAAGTAAACCGCTGGAGCAGTCCCAGACTCGCACACTCTTATCCAATGACCCAGCGGCCACAAATCGTCCATCCGGTGACATGGCAACCGTGGTAACGCCATCTTCTATCGATAGGACCATCACTTGCTGATTGTTCTCAATGTCCCAGAGTCTAACAGTTTTATCACCCGATCCTGAGGCAATCAATCGTCCTGTCCGGGAGAAATCGAGAGAGTAGATATCCTGCTCGTGACCATCAAACGTGGTCCGGATACGCTTGCTCTCAATGTCCCAAACTCTGATCTTCTTGTCTTCAGCACCGGTGGCGAGCAGCTTACCATCAGGAGAAAAGCAAACAGAGCGGATGTACAAGTCACCTTCCTTGTCCTGAACAGTGTCGTCCTGCAATTCGCAAACTTTTCGGCCGTCACGGGCATCAAAAATCTGTGCACTTCGGTTGCAACCGGTGGCAACATATTTGCCGTCGGCGGAGAAGCGGACACAGCAAACGACGGATTCGTGAATGAGATTGTGTAGGAGAGTAACGTCGAGCACCCGAGGTACATTTGGGTTGAACACAGCATGCCAATCATTTCCTGTGCGCTTCAGTGTGTCTGGTAGATCGTCCGGGTTCAAATCGGCCAGAACATTGCCAACGTTTGGAAACTGATGCTGGGCGGACATTTGATGACGTGGCTGATGCTGCAAGTCACTGCCGGGAGGGGTGGGCCGCGGGATTTGGGGCGAGGCTCTAGGATCATTCTGGTAAGGCATGGGTTGCGGTTGGTTCTGGTGCTGCTGGGGCGTTGCAGGACCAGGACCGCCTCGATTGGCGAGGTTGCGGTTCTTGCCCAAGCCTGGCGAATTGGTCTGAGGCTGTGGCTGAGGAGCATAACCGTTCAGAGTTGGGCCTTGGTAGCCAGGAAAGGAGTTGGGCGGCTGCGGCGGTCCCTGAGGTTGGCCTGCGGGTGGTGGTGGAGGCTGCAAAGGATGTTGTTGTTGTTGTTGTTGTTGTTGTTGTTGTTGGGGAGGTTGCTCTGGTGGAGGAGCAAGACCAGGACCACCTCCACCTTGATTTGCCATAATGCCACTGAACAATCCCCCTTGGCCATGGCCTAGAGAAGGAGGAGCTTGAGCAGGGCCCCCGTGCTGTGGAGGAGCCCCCAAATGTGACTGAACCTGAGGCCCGCCACGCAAATCAAGCTCGTGACGCAGCATTCGAATTTCAGCCTCATAGTCTTGCTTCATCTTCAGCTGGTTCTGCTCCAGTTGGTATACTTTGTTCCGGATCAACTCCATCTCTTGAATCTGTTGCGCAACTTGGCTTTCAACCTGCTCTGATGAACGGTTTTGGTTTTCGAACTCGGCACGAAGGGAATCCATAATTTCATTTAGCCGGTGGTTCTGCTGGCCCGGGGGTGCAGGACCCAGGTTAGGATTCCCGCGATGTTGTGTAGCGTTAAACATGATGATTGATTTCAATCAATCCAGATGATAAGAAGTTGTCAGGATATATCGAGCACGATGGTAGACGTGCAATGATTGTGGTAAAGTGCACCTACAGCGGTGATGAAAACAGATGGGGAGAACGGAAAGAGGGCAGAAGCGACAAACCAAAATGCCAGGTTTGGGTGCTTCTCCGTAAAAACCACGCTAGTGGTAAGGGGAGAAAATATGGGAATAAGCTCCCAACTACGGCGAGCAAGAGCCTGGGCTGGGGAGTAATGGGTGCCCAGCCGGTGCCTGGTGCATCAGGTCGCTTGGCCAATAAAACTGGTTCCGTGCAACCATGCGGGCTGATGAAGATCTGTGGATGGAGTGGAGAACGAATAGGCTTCAAACAAGGCAGCGTGGTCTAACACACAGATCGAAAGCACGAAAAGGCTGTCCTTTCCCAGAGCCCAGAGGTACATAGACCGTTGTTGAACACATAGGTATACGAGTATTATTACAGTATGCCCTAGCCGCACAAGGGGGGGGCAGGGGATAGGGAGGCGCAAGATGGAGGTGGAGAAGGAATCCACGCCCGCCGCCCTTGGAAAAGACAACTGAGTTTGGTCTCCTGGCTCGCTGTTTGGCTCCAGAGATGGTATCTTGAGTTCATGCGCTGCATGAATATTACAGGGCGACGTAGAGCGCTATACCACACGCGTGGAGTGCTTGCTTAAGGCATCTTTATGCAGAGGTGAAATGTTGTCATGATGATCAAAGAGCCACGAGAGGTAGGCTATGGCCCATTAATGTGCCACAGCCGTCGTGCAAGCTCCACCTCACTACCGGATTGACATGCCCCCAAGCTGGAGGAGCGGAGTCGAAGTCACTGCTAGAGTCAACTAGGCTACACCGCCAGGCGTTGTCCGGAGCGCCCACTTTGGGTCTAGGGGATGAGGACAAGGTTGGTGCAGCTACCTGGGCACAACAGGGCTAAGGAGAGCACAGGCTCCAGTCTTCCCGGCACCATTTTACTAAAATAAGGTGAAGATCGCTACAGAGAGCCACTGCTGCAGGGGTCCAGGTCCCCCCCCAGCCGATTGCGATTGCGTGCACGAGGAGGCTGCAAGCCTATTTGGCCCTCTAAATCCTCGCGGAACTTATGCATCTTCCGCACTTGCAGTACTCACGTGCTTGGGTACAGGTGTGGCAAGTTTCATCATGCGCGGAACCCGGAACCACATGAGCTCGAAACACTACAAGTAGGTGGCCTTGCAGCAATAAGTCTATCAACCAAGATGTTTTATTTTGTTACTATTGAGCAGAGCTTGGAGATAAATTCAATCACACTTCAGCGTTTGGACTCAGTGGGATGGTAACATGATACGTGTTGCCACTCCTGCACTTAGGCGCTTTCCCATCATTGGTTTCCCTGGCTTTATACGATCGCGATCCATTCCAGCGGCAAAATGGCAGAGAAGGCTGGTTGAATCGCTGTCCATGTTCCGTGTCCATTTGGGTCAATGATGGCATCTATCCAATGAGTCTATAATAGAGTGCAGGAGCATCCTTAACGATATGCCATTGAACAGCTTTGTCATTATAGAGAACAGGAGCTAGCTCAGAGGATGAGGACATCATAAGATTTTGCCCAATCAATTTCTCATTGCAAGGACTGTCCGAGAATCTGTCTGATCTGTGCGACAATGAACTGCCCGGGAGAGTGCGCTGTTGCATTCGTGCTCTTGCTCTTATCCAGTGTGCTACGAAAAGGCCCATGATCAACTTGCCCAAGTTTCGAGTTTCAGGATGGATGTCCGCGCTCCCATTGGCCAATTTGCGAAGGGCGGTCGGAAGACATGGCTGGATGGATTGAAGATTGACTTCAATGGTCGAACTTCTCCATGATCGTCAAGTTTTATATCCAGGAGAATGCTATAGAGTAATTCTCCGTGAGGTCTGCTGCCTGTCTGGTTTGTCCCACGAGAAGGCCTTCCAACTCTCAGGTAACCATCACCCAAAGTATATAGGAGTCAAGAATATCATTCATCGCTATGATGGTATCTGTCTTACAAAGTTCTTGGGCTCAAGCATTAGCTAGGCCCGGCGGCTGTTCGGAAACATCTCATATGGATCGGAGGACATCCTGAGATGAGAAGTGCTATTACTGAAAGCACAACACTAGGTTCATGCAATTCCCTTGCTCTTGTCATCCACTGGTTGGTACAAACTCATGCTCGGGGTGTTCGATGATATTACACGGTACTTTGACGTACGTCCAGATCAGTTCGCAAAGGGAGATATCAGGCTAGGACTGTCAGAACGGGAACGGTACATATCAACCATCGGTAGGCATGAAATACCTGATCAAAGCTGGCTTGGGCTCGCTGCGCGTGTATCCTGTCCAAAGTCAGTCTCCTATCGCCTGACACTAAGCATATCTGAAGACGCACCGAGGTAAAGGATGAGAGGTAGATAACCATAATGAACGACTTCGCGGGTAATGTCCAAGATTTTGGAGATGCGTTCCTGTAGATTACAGTATCAGAATCATAGCAGTGAACTAGGTGAGAGATAATCCTACCTTTGATTCTTCGGAGAATTGGATCATCTTGCCGGTGCACTCGTTTTATGGGACGTTGGGATGATGGGCAGCGCACTCCTAGAATTCCTGTTGACTTGAGACTGTAATGTAGATCATGCAAGCAATATTTCGCAGCTGCGGAACAATTTGTGAACAGTTGCGAGATAATTAGTCTCACGTGACATCAAATTCTCCAGCCACTAAACTGAAAAAGGTTGTCCTGGACTGCACTCAACTCACCCCCAGAGGATTTCACATCAGCCATCGTTCTTGGGCATCAGCTGAAGATTCTGGATCTACCTCTGCGCCTGTAAAGAATTTGTTTCAGGGTCCTACTTCTCGATACAGGTCGAATTCTCATCAACAATGTCTGGCGCCCGCCACTGGGAGCAGGACAAGGATTCCACCATCTACATCGGAAACCTCGATGAGCGTGTAACCGACTCTCTGGTCTGGGAACTTTTTCTACAGGCCGGACGGATCGTGAATGTCCATCTGCCAAAAGATCGAGTCACTCAGTCACATCAAGGCTATGGCTTTGTTGAGTTTAATTCCGAGGAGGACGCCGAGTATGCTGCCCGAATCATGAATCAAGTCCGACTGTTCGGTAAACCAATTCGTGTCAACAAAGCCAGTGCCGACAAGCAAAAGTCTGTCGAGGTTGGTGCTGAGCTCTTTGTGGGGAATCTGGATCCGATGGTTGACGAAAGGATGCTCTACGATACATTTGGCCGATTTGGAACCCTGGTGGCAGCCCCAAAGGTAAGTCTTCCCGGAATCTATCATTGGAGCGTGTTGATACTAACCGGCTTGACCAGGTTGCACGAGACGAGAGCAATCTATCAAAGGGATATGGCTTCGTCTCATTCTCGAATTTTGAATCTTCTGACGATGCGATTGCTAACATGAATGGTCAATACCTCATGAACAAGGAAGTCTCAGTCCAGTATGCTTATAAGAAGGACGGTAAGGGGGAGCGACATGGTGATCAGGCAGAGAGAATGCTTGCAGCTCAAGCAAAGGCCCATGGCGTCCAACCGACACCTGCTACCATCCCTATTGGTGGCCCCTTGTTTGGGGGTATTCCTCCATCGCCCGTCCAACCCGCAGGGTTCGGTGCGCCAAACAGCAATTTCCAGTCCATTCCTCCACCAGCTCAAGCTCGACCTCCGCCTCCTCCCACTGTTCCTCTCAGCGCTCCACCTAGCGGACTTCCAGCGAGGCCGCCTCCAAGTCAAGCAGGATATGGTGGGCCGCAGAGTTTTATTCCTCAGGGATACGGTCAGATACCACCTGGTTTTCCTCCACCGAATGCCGTACCTCCTCCCGGCTTTGGCCCTCCTCCCGGCTTTGGTGGCCCTCAACCTAGCTCTGCGCCGGCCCCGCCACCACACATGCCTCCAGGCTTCACCGGTTATGGGATTCGCAAATGAGCATCATCAAATTGCCGCAGATCACTGTGAATGCCAGATGAGTGTCCTTCGATGGCTTTTAGGCTGCTATATGTACCCTGAATATCAATGTCGAAGCACCGATGAGACCATAAATTCGCACATTGAGGAATTCGCCGACCGAAAAGCTCTCAAGAAATTGTGGACCACTCTGATCAACATCCTCCCTCTCGACGCAGACATGGGCGATGATTCTCCCGGCTCTCGGATTGCAGCTGGTGCTCTCTTGACTACTGTTGACAGGTAGCACATGTCTACCTTTGACTCAAAGGGCATTTATGACGCTCGATTTGTCTCCCTGCTTGTCAAACCGTCTCCCGGGAGATGGTGCATGGTGGTGGGCTTCCTGGGGCACAAACCACAAGGAACATTTTCTGACCCTTGAACACACCCCCTTGTGGTTGCGAGCATTCTAAACAAATCAAGCTTCACAGCCTCTGGCAAGTCGAAACCCATGCACTTCGAGGGATCTAGTATGATCGACCACGCTACAGCCCAAGAGTAGAGTCGCGACCAATGGCACAACAACGAAAGGAGGAAAAGCTCGTTTCAGCTCAACGATTCAGTCCAAGCCATGCATCAAACAAAAGGGGTAATGGTTGTACTAATTCGTTGGTTATGTCTATATTGCGTTTCCGGAGGCGAATAGACACAGATCAGATCGTATTAAACGGCCGTAAACATGGAAGGGGGCCTAATCTCTCTAATCAAATGTTTATGTAAAGCGCGTTTCTAGGAGTCAATAGACATAGGACATAGAAGCAGGCACACAATTTTGGAATGAGAAGCGCTGCGAGACCAGTCGCAGCACCATGTTACACTTTTCTGTATTCAGGATGGCAGTGAACGCTGTATTGAAAGGAATCGCAGTGAAACCCAACCAACGAGCGCAGAGATCATTCGATACCATCACCGTCATCCACCACTTCTGCTCTCAATTCATTATGGCCGTTGACCGCATGGCCATTTGGAGCCGTCTGATCTGCGTCATTCATCGGCGCATCCTTGGTGACTGGCTCCGGCAATGGCGTGGGCTCAGGGATTGGTTTCGCAAGCTCCTCTTTGACCCATGATTCTTCCACGGCTGATTTTCGTTCAAAAGCTCGAACCCATTTCCTGCCCCACGCCTTGAGAAGCTCCTCATCTTCGGCTCGTAAAGCGTCGCTGCTTTCGATCATTTCATCCTGGTGGCCATCACGGATACTTGAGACCGCGTCTTGGATGGTGTTGAACAATTGTTTTGTATTTTCCATCTCCGTGTTGAGTGTCTGTTGAAGCTCCTGCCTCTGGTCTTCACTTAGGCCGTGCTGTCTAATGGCTTGCACGATACTTCTCACCCGAGAACAGACTTTCTGCACGGTCTTATTGACGAGTTCATAAGTGCAAGCTTTCGCTAGCGACGTGCCTCTGTTGACCTTGTCGATCAATGCCCATTCTATGATGCTCTCGGGCGTCAGAATCTGGTAATTAAGCAATTTGTCGAGGATGATGATGCCGACTCCTTCTTGGTACTGCCAATAGGTCATAACAGATGTTATGATTTGCTTTCGGGCTTCGGAACCGAGAGAGCCAAAATGGAGTAAGCGCTCTTTAGATCGATCGATACATGCAAGGACATGAGACATCGATTTTGAGCCAACCCAGCATATCGAGGTAACAAAGGCGTCTGTTGATGCCAGCTGTGCGTTCGCCATGCCGGACTCGACTGCCAGTTGCTCAATGGCGTCGAAAATGGGTGCAAATTCATCATTTGCAGCCTTTTTTCGAATCAACTGTGCAATTTCCCTACCCTGGGCTGCGAATGGCGTAGTTTCGTCATCGAACTTGAAATCAGGAGCGTCTTTCTCTTTCTCTTCGGAAATCAGACCCTGATACGGTTCAGGTAGTGTGCCCTTGATGCGTTTAGAGAAGCTCAAACGAATCTCCTTGTCTAAAGCATCTATGATGAATGCTTTCTTTGGGTGAACATTTGATAGACTGACATCGTCGACCCTTGGGAGAGTCAGAAAAGCGTAAATATCGAATCAAAGCTGCTTACCATTCGGTCCATTTCCAAGTAAACCCAAAGTTACTCAGATGATGGGCAAACCAGTCGAGAAACCGCTGCGAAAGTTCGAGGTCCATTCTGTCGACGTTGCGATAAAGATATCGAATCGCTCTTCCCAAGCTTGGTGCAACTGCAGCTGGCGCGAGTTTGCAAGCTTCTGTGAGGACCGAGTGATAGTAGACAAGTTTGTGTTCGGCAACGGGCAATTGCATGAGCTGGGAGAAAGTTGCATCGACGACAACATCTTCTGGCTTCCAGGTATTCTTGTCTCCTGCAACATCTCGAAGCTTGTCAAAAGGGGTCGCTCTCTTCACAAAGGTTCCTGGGGCAAAGTAACAGTCAATATCGGTTAAGAACCTGGCGGCCACATTTCTGTTGCAATCTAGGACATTGATAGTGTCACTAAGCACATCACGGATCAGTATCGCTGCAGGGTTCGATGCTGAAGGGACGGTCTCAATGTCTTGCTCAGAGTATACCGAGAGATATATCTCTGGGAAGATAGAGCGAGGCCCGGTCTGAACAACCTCTGGGACCGTGACATGAGGAAAGGGATGCTTTGTAGCTTGGCTCAAAGCTTCTTCTGCTTCAGCAGATCGCCCGCCCTTCCAAGGTCGAGGCAAGCACGAAAGTTCCCAGGAGTTCCTTGCTTCTTCCTGCATATGTTTTTGAAGCAATGCAAGAGCACTTTCGGAGCTTGTGGGGGCGCCTGATTCTGGAGAGGGAAAGGGGTCGACAACGGTTTCGAGAGGATGGGCGGTGGAAGCGATAATATCCGTCTTCTCTAGAAGACTATTTGCTTGGTCCTCGAATCCACCCGCCGTTGAGGCCATTGCGTACGGCAGCGTCATAAGGATGATCTTGACCAATTCCAGACCAAGCGACTGCTCGAATGTTAGCACAAGTTAAAACCAGAATGGGCCAGGGGATTTCGCACATCTTCGGAGGACTTCATCTGGAGGTCTGCGGCTCTGGAAAACAACTCATCCAGTATTGGAAATATTCCGTCGCCTTCGAACATGCCTTGCAAGCAACTCAGGAATTTCAATGATAATTTAACTTCTCTCCATAGGCCTAGATTGAGTTGTGTTTGCAAGTTGTTAAGCGACTTTTCCAGAACATCATTGGTAAGCTCGGGTTTGAGAGCATTGGCATGAAGGACAATCGCAGCAATGAAGGGCGTTTTGAGGGGTTGTTCTTGTGGGCTTTGATGTGTTAGTGGATAGTCGTACTCAAAAACGGTATAAGCTTACAGGCGAGAGGTGAGCTCGACAAATCCGGAGACCAAGTCGTGATCAAAGTAATTCTCGGAGAGGATTTTGGCAATCGCCTGAACGTCATCTTCGGCTTTGCGAATAGGCTGCAGGTCGCGCGTCAGTTGTGGATTTGTGGCATGAGGGAGACGATTCCTACATTTTCCGCGATGGAAAGAACTTGTTTGCGCAGAGAAACTGCTAAAGGTTCTTCATAACGACGGCGCTGGGGGCGTCTGTCGTCAAAGTCATCCTCTGCTTCTGTCAGTTTTGAACGTCACCTTCGTGCTTTCAAGGGCAGCTCGAACCTCTGTATCTCCTCTTGCGATTTTGAAATTGACCGCCGGCGGCTCCATTGTAACCACCTCCTCGACGTGGACGTCGATCATAGTCAGCCATGATCGCAGGGAGCGGTTTGAATGGCAGCTTGAACGCGGCAATGATGTGTTGTAAAAGATTGCAGCGAAGGGAGGACAGGGAGGACAGGAAGCGAATAAGAGAAATCTTTTGGCCCTCGCAAGGGGTGTGTAGTTAGGTAGTAATAATGAAGCCTCTGTCTCAATTTCTTGTGCAAATAAAGTGACGCGGAACCGCAGGTAGACATGTACTGCAGGTATCAAGGCTGTCTGTTCAACTCAGATCCTCAGTCGAGTTTAGTTAGGTACCTACGACTGGGGTTCTCCTTGGCCGCTAATAAAGTACCCCGTGAGTACCTACGGAGTACGCGACACTGATGAGTGCACATCAAATAGCGTCTTGGCAGTGTTGGGAATGTCTCCAGGTGCATCAGATGTACAGCATTGGGGGAGTTCGGAATTGTAGTAACTCGAAATGACATCCACACTATTCACTACTGATCTACAGAGCGTTTTAGGGCGATTATAGCATTGAAGCCAACGCATTTAACCGAATAGAGGGTGGTGAGCAGCAGCAGCTGTCAAAGAGGTCTACTAAACATGGCCAGATCGCGATGTATCACCTCATGGCACAACTCGAGGGATTGTCCTCGGTTAGATCTGGCAGCCAGAATTCAAAAAGCATTGAATATAATCCATCTTGGGTCTTTAGAGAGACCCAAGGACATTTGGGGATCCAAATTTATGAAGTGCATGATTTCTCATAAGGAGACCGCACACAGGCACAATTAGTCACACTGCCCTGTCCGTGTCTGATGCAAATTCTGAGGGCAAGTGAAGGCCTAATCGCCTAAGCGCAGTTTCGACGTCTTGTCCTCGACCCATCTGCAGTCATGGGCTGTGACTCGACAACCAGAGTACAAAAGTCCTTCCAGACCGGTTGTCGGTCAATTTTCGTAAACGCTCAACTTGATCCCCCATTTTGAAGGTTTTCCACGGCTTCCCACCCATTCGGAGAAAGCATAAACTAAGCCAAGGCTTTTGGCAGCACGCATGCCTCTCTCGAATGCTAAAATAACCATCTAAACACTTGATGGCACAATGCGGGTTGCACGGTATCATCGTGTAGCGCGTCAGACGCCAACCGACATGTGTGCGATGATAGACGTATCGATAGTCAAGACACTTCCTGCCGTGGTCATGAGATTTCCCTCGAAATCCTTACGCTCAATCTAGTCGAGCCATCATTTCGTCTTTGCTAAGAGGATGGAAATTGTCCAAGTCAAGGCCCTTGGAGGCGAGAAGGCTTTTGGCGTGGGGAGGGACGAGTTTGCTGTTGAGTTGTGGGGCAATGGAAAGTTCTACACCTCATGTTAGCATCATATCATTTCCACGCTACACAGAGATCATGACGGGGTACGAACCGTGTCGGGAGAAGTCGAACAAGGGTGGTAGCTCGCGGGAGGAACCACCGGCGTGCCGAGAATCTGGAAGACGTGTACTTGGATCTCTCAATTCGTCAAAGAAAGGCTGGCACATGGCATCAATCGCAGACAGCCGTTGCGTCGGCGTGTACTCCAACAGAGCCGAGATGAGCTCGATCGCGTCGGGAGATGCCTTCCGAAACACCTTACTGAACGGATGAGGCTTGATTTGGGGGAATTTGTGCTCCATATAGTTTGGATTCATGGTGCGAATCTGATCCCGAGTGGGTGTTCCAAGGACTTTGATGATCTCTACAAGTTGGTCGATACCCGACTCTCCAGGGAATAGTGGCTGGCCTAGCATCAACTCAGCCATGACACAGCCAGTCGACCATACATCTAGACTTTGTCAGCAAACAACATCGTCGATGGTTTACAAAGGGGATGCTTTCTCACCAATTTTAGTGGTGTAGTTGGTCGCCCCGAATATCAACTCGGGTGCGCGGTAGTATCGTGAGCAAATGTATGAGACGTTTGGCTCATTCTCAACCAAAATCTTTGCACTTCCGAAATCACACAACTTCAACACTCCAGTGGTGGGGTCCAACAGAAGATTCTGTGGCTTGATGTCTCGGTGGCAAATGCCCTGTGAATGTATGTAGGCCAGTGATCGGAAGAGTTGATAGATGTAGAGTTTGACTTCTAAGATGGGCATCGTAGTCTTCATCTTGTTGAAATAACGTGAGGCTCGATATACGGTTTCCGGGACATATTCGAGAACGAGATTGAGGTACACCTCGTCCTTCTATTGAGTGGATTCAGGTCAGCTATAGGGTTCATCTTTCTCGCCTCTAGGGGTTTATACCCGTTCTCCGTTCGAGTAGTAGAATGCTTTCAACTCAACGATATTTGGGTGCCGGACGATTCGCATGATTTGCAACTCGCGGTTCTTGTATCTGTTAGTAGACCTTCTAGCCAAAGCGGGGACCAGACTTGCCTTGAACCGTTTATCTTGAAGAACCCGTTTGATGGCGGCGTCTTCACCACTAGGGGACAACTTAGTTTGGAAGACGACGCCAAAAGACCCGTTTCCAACAATTTTGCATTGAGTGTATTGCATCTCTCGTGTTTCTCCGGTCAGTCCATCCTGGACTTTTTCACGTACAACCTCTGGAGGCATCGGTCAGCGCACGTGCTCGAAGGCGTCCGCCTTGGGACACGGTCTCAAAAGGAGATGCAGGACAACATACCACCCATGCGCAAGCCCGAAAATACTCCTCCAGGCCTGTTTTGCGACATTGTCTAGTGACGAGGACGTGTGGGATCCACTTTGGCGATGGTGGTTGTTGGGCAGGAAGACTGCGATGAGCCTATGAAAGGAGCGTGTGTTGATGGTGATGGAAGGAGTGGATGGTAGGACGGGCTTGAGGCTCAAGGAGAGGAAGCTTCGATGGCGGCGACGACAGGTGTAGGACAGGATGGGATTGCAGACGGCGAGGAGAGAGATGGTCAAGGAACAGGTCTGGTGAATGAGGGTGCGGGAGCAGTTGAGGGTTGGCGGAAGAAACGCTAATTTCCCCACTTTGCGTAGGTGAGGCTTTCGAAATGAGGTGTGGGAACGGGTCGAGCGATGATGAAACTGGGGGAGAAAGGAGTTTGTAGAATGACAGCCGCTTTCAGGAATGTCGTAGGAAGTGAAGAGGATGAGGAAACTGCAGTATGAATATAGACGTGGTTTTGAGAAGGTAAAGGAGCCTGTAGGTAAGCGGTTGTGTTGAGGCGAGTAGCAGCAGTAATTTGAAGAAAGTGGTTCCCGGCGTGGTGGAAGAGGCGAGCAATAGGTCAAGGGTGGTTGGATGCGCACTGTGCACTAGTTATTCTAGTTATTGTGAATGACCAGAGGTGCGAGTGGTTGAAGAGGGGGAGGGGGAAGTGTAGCGCAGGCAAGACAGAAGGGTCCGTAGCTTGCTTAAGTTGGACGGCAGGCTGGTCTCAGGGAGTCAAAAAGGAACATGAACGAAGGCAATAATAATAAAAGAAATGATGCTTCACGTGGCTCTTCCAACTCTCGAGCGTGTCACATTGGTTGAGAATTGCTGGTCTGCGAATTGGAGCCTTGAGTTGTAGGGAGTCCGTGGTTGGCAATGATGCTACTGTCACTAAGTAGAGCAGGGCATGAGAGGGCGAAGGGGCGCGAGAGGGCGGCTGGCTAAGGTACCTTAGGTAGAGATGATTATTACTGATGTTGGTGCTTAGCGTCAGGCGGGTGTAGGCGCAGCAGGACCCGGGGGCGGGCCTTGACAGAGCATGTGAGGCTTCCCCCAGTCATTCAGATGGTAGCTTCAGGTGACGGACATCCTAGTCTTGGGAAATGGTCCTACATGAGAAAAGAGTAGGCATACCATAAATGATTGGGTGAATTATGGCTATTCTCCCCATACCCTCGAGAATGATTATGTTGATGGCGCCTGGGTCATAAAACACGGCTAGAGTCTGCCTGCACTGCACCGCATGACGATTCTGCAAGACATGCTCAACCAGCTACATAGGTGGGACGAACTGCTTGTTGCACAATCGATCTTCACACGGCGCTCCTACGAGACAAGACCAGCACCTTTTCCATGGCTCGTGAGTGGTGGACCAGTGATGGGGCAGCATCGGAGTCCAATCTTGAGACGGCGTGGATGATGTCGAGGGGCAACAGGGAATGGGCAACATGGCTGGCGCGCCAGGAGTGGGCTGGGATTGCCCACTACGAGGCCATGATGGGAGACATTCGCACAAGAAACAGCAGACTTGGAAAAACCCAGACTCTGATGGATGTCTGTGTCTGCGATGACCACCCAGGCCGTAATGGTCAGATGATCAGATGATGCCCGTCAAAAAAGCCTTCTGCATGAAAGGCTCCATTTTCACCCCATCAACTACCTTATTATGGGCGTCACTGGTGGGGTTTTGAGGGAAAGGTTGCTTCTATTAAAACACTCTTTGCCTGCGGGTCGCTAACAAGTCGCTGACCCAGACCCCGACACCTGTTTAAGCTTGCATGCTTTGTCGCAAGGCCCGGTTTCCCATCTCGGATGCCGCTGCAATATTTAAATGACCAAACCCTCATCACATTGGAATTGGTCCGCACAATCAGGGCCGCTTCTTGGAATGGGTTCGCTTCCAGGCTGACTTTCCGTTCGGGGTACGCTATCATCATCGTCATACAGGATTCTTTTGTTTCGTCTTCTTCATCGTGGTGGCAAGTTAAACAACAAGTTTAGAGTGATAGTTCAAGCAAACTTGACCAACTTGAAGCCAGGCGTACTTCCACGTGCATCTTACAGAAGCCAGTGCACCCAGCTTTCGCTACCACTTACCCTAGCCTCATTGTCTGTGCGCAGGTACTGTGCTTACGAAGTACTTGATTTTGTTGCTCACGGACCTTTTGCTAACCCAGAGATTCCTCATCTGATCTGGGCCTAGATCTGATAAAGTGTATTCTGCACACTGCTAGAATCGCTTGATTGCATTGTCAAAATGCGACGCCTCTTCAAAGAGCTTCGGGTGACATCTTAGAAAGTAGCCATGGCCCAGGGATGCTGGTAACAATGCTGAACGGAACGGCTGACAGAACGAAAGGACTCGACAGGCATGGCACGGTCACGATCCCTCCCTCCATACCTGGGTCCAGTGGGGAGCCTTTTTACTTACTTTCTCCGTAGACGAACAGTCCCCAGCCTAACATGACAGGCCAGTCATAATCCTTCTCGCATATGCACCTTGAATCTTGATCGGGCTGGGGCAACGTCATTGCTTGGGAGGATACAGCAGCTCGCTCCATTGGTGCCAGTTGGGCAGACACGGCAGTGTACTCTAGCTATGGGTCAGCTCAAGGCACTTTGATACAAGCCATGACAATAGGTGGGCCTGCAGAGTTTTTGTAGCGCAGCTTCGAGACCACAATGTTCTCCATGTCCTCATGCCGCCACAAGAATATCAAAGGATATTGAGCATTGAATACGAGGATTTGTTGTTCCTGAGTGGCTGGAATGGCCTGTTGAACACTTCACTGCTGGGCGTTTTGCCCCCAATACAGCAAAACTCCGCCCATCATACTATGCGGTACTGCCAAATGTCTATGGTCAAGCAAGCAATTTCGAATCCTCGTTGCCCCATTTCTACACGTAAATCTTATATGTGACCAGAGCCAGATCCAATCCTCTAGGATTTAGAAACAACTTCGACAAGGTCGTTGTTTTGTACTTTATGGACACAAGGGCTGGAAGGAAAAAGCCCCCTGTGGAAGTCATTTCCTTGCCAGTGAGGTACAAGATCGACAGTGTCCTGCTTCGCTATTATTAATAATCGGTGCCTTCTTACAATACCAAAAATCTGCAATCGATTTGACAAGGAGGGAGCCGGGGATGAATGCAACACCTTCTCCTTCATCCCTCATGCCCCTTTTCAGTATGAAGAGTATCACATGTCGCAGAGATTCTCCAGGCGCTGAGCGATGTCAGCTCTCACATGGTTTGGTACGTGTAGGCTTTCCATACATATGGCCTTCGACCAGGCCAGTTGGATGACCAGTGTTCCCTACATTACCTATGCCACGCGAACCATAACAAACTATCAACCTCCTTCACCTGAATGTATCATAGACGATGCCATCGACGAGAAATCATTGGGTGGAGTGGACTAATGAAGATTGTGGCCAAACCAAGAAGCAGAGCCAAACTAGCAACCTGCAGATTCAAGATAGTGTTGATACAGGCCTTCTATTATGCAGTATGTCAGATTCGTGTCGAACACTCGCTCTTTTTGAGCGTCCCCAGGTCTCATCGCCTGTCCATGTACAAAATGACCCAAGGCAGTGTTCCCCCATATCATCGCCCGTTGGCCCATTTGATATGCAATCGGAGACTGACCCATCCAACACCTTTTCAAGGTTGTTAGATCGTTTTCCGTGTTAGAGTGGCATGGCCGATGAAAAGACATCAAACATGCTTAGGAGTGAAAGGTAGTAAAACAACTATTGGAACCAGTGCTGACTTTGGCGCGAGACGGTGGTCTGTTGGACATCTCGGGCTGCAACAATCGGAGGAATTTTTATACAGCTCAGAGTGGTGGGGGAAGAGCGTTTGGATCAGCTCGCTCAGCGATCTCCTGCAGCTCTTCAGGCGCGCCTTCGAGTGAAACAGCAAGTCCAAGTTTGTGGGTGTTCTGCCAAAATTGTGAGTAAAAAAGCACAGGAACGAAGGGTACACAAATCCATACCTTCCATTGATCAATCTCGGCGGCGAATGTCAAGGTAACTGGCGGTGCTACTCGTTTCTCGAGAACCACTCCGCACTTGCCAGCACTGTCGATCTGAGCACGATAGACTGAAGCTGCGAAGCTGTACTTTACGCCGACAGTGGTGGTGCCCTCGCGTCGGATCCCTCCGAAAAGTCCCTGGCCCATGCCAGGGGCGAATTGCAACTGGCAATCAACCCCGGCCTCGACTTTATCTGTCAATCGTCGCCAGTATGAGGTGTTCAAAGATCCTTGGGCCAAGTATTGTGCACTGGCAATCCAATCTGTACCCTTGTATCTTGCGGCGTAGGATACAGCGGTTTCCGGACGAGCATTCAAGGCGGGCCGTTGCCACACACCTTCCAGACCAAGAGCCAACCTGGGAGTCACACTCTGCAAGTAGCTACCGATGACAATGCCCGTGAGGCCACCATCAAGAATAGAAGGACTTATCGCTTTGATCGAAGCGGAGAAATCATCTCCAGTGTATTCATTGTCGAATTGAACCATTGTCTGAGATTGTCGCGGGTCGATGGCGGTTTGAGTCTTGGTGACGAATTTAGGAGACCATCTCAGGTTGCCCCAGGCGGTTAGTGACTTGTCGCTTGCGTACGCAGCCTGTAGGAAGACCTGTGGACATGTGAGCAGAGGGTTTTCACAAAAGGGCCAGGAACTGGCATACATTTGATGTTCCATACAATGCCATCAGCTGCCAGGGTGGGAGAGCCTGCGAACCCATAGCGAATCCATGTTGCAATCGGAATAAAGGAGCTATGCTGAAGACTTTTTGTAGGTCGCATCGCAGACCGGAAAACATAAAGTTGGAAAGGAGGACATCTTTCTGCACCTCGCGTGCAATTCCATCCACGGTCCCGGGATTTTCTAGACCCAAGAGTTTTCTCTTTTCCGATAGGTTGGAATAGGTATCTGTGATGGCAATGGCGAGGGCATTGTCCACCAGGAAGGACAATGCATTAGAGTAGAAAGGTTTCTCCTCTCCTGCGATTGTCGCCATGATGGCAATTGTTTTTCGGAGACCCTGGTGCGGACCACCTGAAATTCAACCTATTATGCTGGTTGTAGCACCGAGGGTCTCGAGACCTTGAGGATTTGAGGGAGGAGGCGCGAGATTTGATGAGCTGCGAATGCTCTCGTCAGCTTGAGGGTTGTGGTTGATTGATGAGCTCTACTTTTCACAACTGGCACCTGGCGCAGGAATAATTTTGCCAAGATGGATTAAAACCAGCGTTGACTGCGCCTCGTGTTAGGAGGCAGGTAAGGCCGCTTTACGCTCGCGGTTCCTCGCTTCCTACATATTATGTAAGTGTCAGGTGCGTGGCCACCATCAACCCCGATCGTTCTGAGATGCTGGGAGTCTGGGCAACCAGAGGCGACTGGTTAGATGATGCAGGCATCGGAGGCGCCAAAGCCCACGTAGGAGAGGCTGTAGAAAGGTGAACGTGCTCGCTCTTTGTTGATCTCCGTCTGATAGCCAGCCTTTGTTAAATTTTAAAGCGGCAGAAACCCGAGGGCACCTGCTGGCTAGAATCGACCACCTTGCTTTTTGATGTTTGCTTGCGATGATAGCTTTATTGTCAAGTGTCACGAAATTGATGCAGCCTTCGTACCTAAAAACTTCTTGGACTCTTCCCTCTGGAGCGCCGACCAGCAAAGTGAGGTACATCGCGAGGATGGGAGTAATAAGAGGAGGATCAGGTATAAAGCGGCGCAGAGCAGCAAGCACGTCCACGTGACCGTACCCGAGAGTTTACCTCTCGTGCCTTTTAAGTCTTAAGTACCACAGTAGTACTACTCTGTAGGTACCTACTTACCCGCTAAAAGCCCCATCCGTCCTTCTTTCATCCTTGTTGCCGAGGGGAGTCACACATGTTAGGCAAGCTTAAAACGGCGGCAATCTCGCCCTCCTGGTTTATCTTGATTCCGATCCTTTGCCTATCACCCGGACATTACCTTATGTCAATCAGCCTCGGACTTGTCGCTGGTCGATCTTGTATCGACAACTTCCATTGAGGCAAACGCTTCAACAAAGCGGGCATTTCAGCAAATAGCGATTTGCTGTCTTGTGCGCTTGCAACAGTTGTCTTGTGGGCCGGATATCCTAGAGATCCAAACCATCAAGCTCAACTACCCCCGCATTTGGTTGTGCTGGAGTCGTGTCGCACTGGAGTAGAGGCGTCGAAAACTCCCGAGACCGCTTCTTAATTTCGTCTCTCTTGACGAAGTTCCACTAGCAAGTTGATTCTCAAAAGCTATAACGTCTTCCCGTCATGGACACTCTGTTGACCGCCGAGTCGGCGGTCCATTCACCGCGATATCGACGTAAGTCGAGTACGTTCGTCGACGCTATCCATGATCTCCCGGAGAGAGGTGAAATGGCGCCGGCACAGCTTTACAGCACCGAATCTGGTCGCTTGTTTCATGCCGGTCGCATCGCTATAGCCACTGTGGGCTTGCCAGCTCGCGGCAAGACTCACATTTCCGTTGCACTGGCTCGATATCTGCGATGGCTTGGGGTGAAGACGCGGATATTTCACCTAGGTGATTATCGAAGGACCATCATCGGCCATGGAAAAGACGTCCCGGACGATTATTTCTTTGTCAATGCCTCGGCATCTTCGGTCCTCCTTCGCCAAAAGATTTTGAAGAAATGTAGAGAAGACATCTATCACTTTTTGAACCACGAAAACGGTCAGATCGCCATCTACGATGCAGTTAACCCCTTGTCGGCCGGACGCAAATCTCTGGCGAAAGAATTTGCCAAACACGACATCAAGTGTCTGTTTATCGAATCGAGTTGCGACGACCAAAGAATCATCGAAGAAAACGTTCGGAGCGTCAAGATTTCATCGCCCGACTATATTGGCTGGTCAGAAGCTGATGCAGTTAAGCACTACCTCAGCCGGATGTCAGCCAAGATTCCTCACTTTGAAACAATGGAAGAGCCGGAACTTGATTGGATCAAGATGATTAATGCAGGAGATAGGATCGTGGTCAACAATACAAGTTTCGGCTATCTCTCTCATCGAATTGTCTTCTATCTAATGAATCTACACATCAAGGCTAGACACACCTACTTTGCTCGCGCAGGTACCACCCTGGAGGAGGAATCCTTCAAGGCTGACGCCGGGCTCTCGCCACAAGGGAAAGATTACGCCAAAAAGATGATGGAGACTCTTCTCAAACATCGAGAAGAAGAAAGAAAAGCAATTGAGTTGAAAGGCGGTCGGGAGACCCCGTTGAAACCACTCATTGTGTGGACTTCGACTAGAAGGAGAACCGTCGAAACCTCTGCCTTTTTCGCGGCCAAGAATTTCAAAGTCCGACAACGATCTCAAATGAGTCAGCTGAACCCGGGGGTCTGCGAGAAGAAGTCTGAGCGTAGAATTCGTCGTGATTACCCGGACGAGGTTCTCAAGCATGACCTCGACCCGTATCATCACAGGTTTCCCAGGGCCGAGGTAAGCATTCCTATTCTCTTGGTGATGAACTGCAACTAAGATTTCTAGTCTTATCATGATGTCGCCGTTCGACTAGAACCCATCATTCTGGAACTGGAGAGAGAGCAGAATGATTTGCTCATCATTGCACATGAGAGTGTCCTTCGTGTCTTGTACGGCTACCTGATGGCCTGCAACGCAGCTGATATTCCATTCCTCTCATTTCCTCGAAATGAGATCATTGAGGTATGAGCGGATGATTCGAAGTCGACCATAAATTGACCATTTGTAGATCATCCCGGCAAGCTACAACAATGAAGCTAAGCGGATCCCGATCCCAGATCTTCCTCCAGAGATCGTTCCCGCTTCGCCAGAAGGCATCAAGGCACCTGCTCCGCCTAGCGGATTTGTAACACCGGTCCCAGGGTTAGGGAGTGGTCTTGCCAGTCCTCGCAGTGGCCGGGCGACACCTCGCAGTGATCCTGGTACGCCGGATCCGCGATCTTCAGGGTACAAGACACCTGAAGATTCCGAGGACTTGACCTTGAGAATGCACGACGTCGTATGAACAGCCATGCAATCTTGTGACCAATTTATCAATCGCGGTCCCGGCCTCAACAAACATTTAAGCAATCCACATTGAAAACCACCATATCAGATGCCGATGGTCGATCCTGCACCGGAAAGGATCGTAGGGTCTTCAGCCTCCATGCAGTGTAGAAACGAACAGGACGTTGTCGTTGTCGGTCAACTCATATTTGTCTTCACCTTCGAGTTCCCAGTCGGAGTCATTGATCAACACTAGGATCCCAGGCCGACTGCGGGTTTGATGAATGTGGTTAGCTTTGGAGCGATGACTGGCATGATCAAATGACGTACACTGCGCCATCCAAGATGAAGAGCTCTTTTCTTGGGTCTTTGATTAGATTGTCACAGATGTAGTTGACCAGATAGCCGACTGTAGGCGACTTGCCGTTGTCCGCATCAGCAGATAAAGTGATCGAATGCTTTGAAACATTATCAAACAGAATCTCCAATCCATTCCTTCCGCATGACAAGTCAGCATACTTTATTCCTTTTATTTCATGCCATCAACAACTCACGTGAATTCAACTGTTACGTGGATTTCATTCGCCATGACTTCTCGATGGCTTTGTAGAAAGGCGGCTAGGGTTGAATTGAATTTAATAGCCAGTCCCTTTCAAAAACGGGAACAACAATCGCACGTACAAGCTTGATTGATCACTGGTGCCTCGTAGTCAAGAAATGAGATTTTGGGCAAAACGCCAAAGACAGAAGTAGCCCTGTGATATGGGTATGTTTAGCCCGCCGTAGACTATAGCGCACCAGAGAACCCAAAGGTGCTCCGAGTCCTTCTCATCTTTGCTCTTCATCCCAGAATGATCAACACCCTCACATATTGTTAACTTGCATACGCACCTAAAATGTATCTTGAATGCTCACCCCAGGACGTGTGAATTAATCCTTGTGACCTCATATTCCTGTTGTCCAACATTCGAACCCTGAGTGTGAGTCATCAGGACTCACAGATTCCACCAAATGTCATCGTGGCTGTGCTACCATTCAGCCTCTGGGCCATACAAGGCTTTGTGCATGCACTAGCTTTACTGTTAGGTCTGAGATTCAATTCAGGTATATACTGACCTCCCCCAGCTCACCAGTGGTCGGCTCTGTCAAGTTGTAAAATGTTCCATCGCGAGTCTTCCGGATAGTACTGCAACATGAGTTCAATGAACAAAGCCGCGAGAGCATCCTTGGCTAAGGAGACCATCAATATACAAATCCCGAATATCCTTTCTTTGAATGCTCGGGCGCGGAAGGGAGTCAGCCAAGCTCGTCAGATCCTAGGCACGATTGACTTGCCCAAACTTCCCACTAAAACAATGAAACACGAACAACAGAAGTCATTGCAGATCACACTTCGGCATGTTGACACGTTGGAGGCTGCTCATGGCCTACGACAAGAGAAAGGCAAAAGTCGGATTGCTGTTCTCAACATGGCTTCTCCTCTAAATCCTGGAGGCGGTGTCCTTCGAGGCGCCAGAGCACAAGAAGAGAGTCTTTGTCTGCGTTCGACACTATATCCCAGTCTGCGACAAGAATGGTATCGTCACAAACCAGACGCTATTATCTATACGCCTGATGTTCTCGTCTTCAAGTCTACAGGTCATATGCGGGATATGCTAAAGCCTGAAGAGCAGTTCTATGTCGACGTCATCTCGGCTGCCGCGCCTAGACATCCCGAGGTTGTAGTCTCAAATGATGGCGTACAAAGTTACAGCGATCCGAAGGACGAGGAAATGATGGCTTTGAAGATCAAGTACATCATGCGTACAGCCGCAAAGATGTCGGCAACACATGTCGTTCTCGGCGCGCTCGGGTGTGGCGCGTACCACAACCCGATCAAGAAGGTTGCCTCGATCATGCGCCGTGTATTGCTCGGAACGCCACGCAGCAAGGGGCCGGAAGAAGATTGGGAAGCTGCTGGTATCAAAGAAGTGGTTTTTGCAATTCTTGATGAGACCAGGGAGCAGACGGTTTGGAATGGATTTGTTGAAGAGTTTAGAGGTCATGATGGAGTTGTCATTGAAGACCCTCCACAGTCTTCTATTCTAGACCAGCCAAGAAGTTCTACATAATTCCATTGATAGAGAGGACTTTTTTAGCGGGAGCAGGAGTACATTGTTGGGGCTACCAGAGTATATACATATATACATCCATCTTTTCTATTTACGTGGGGCGACTCGAACTCGTAGATTAGTCTTGGCATCAGAGCCAGCACGTGATATAGAAACCACAAGCCTTCAAGTATTTTTTCCCCTTCAACAACAAACCTTTCTACCATTTCAATCTCCTCCTCAGTTAGCCAATGACTAATCTTATTGTGGAAGAGTATTACAGTGTCGGCGGCAATAGACATAGCGCAGCGGCCGACTGGTCCACGATTTCCGACCATCTTGCGTTTGGGGCCGACAACAATATTGCAATATGGTCTCCAACGCGGCACTCTCGACACGGCATATCCGCCATATTAAAAGGCCATTCCGATAAGGTCACGGCGGTCAAGTTTCTGACAAGTTCGACGACCCAGCATCCCCAGCATCTGGTGGGTGGATCCGCAGATGGGAGGATTGCCTTGTGGAAAGTTCCCGACAATGGTGCACGCTGGGAAGCTGCTGTAGCGAATGTTGTCGCGCACTCCGGTACAGTCAATACCATTGCGACTATTGCTGGGATAAACGCCTTTGCCACTGGTGGGGCGGATGGCAAGATCAAGCTATGGAGAGTTGATGGTGATAATCTGGAAGTGTTGGGCGAACTCAATTTGAAACCCAGATGCATCCCCCTTGCACTAGCACTGAGCCCATTTTCCCAAGAGAAGAGCCCAGACAGCGCTGTGGTTGTGGTCGGAGGCACTCGGAATGATGTCCAGGTGTATTCGGCCGAGAGCATTTCGACAGCTCCCCGGTTCACGCTATGCGCCACTTTGACTGGCCATGAAGGATGGATTCGATCATTGAGCATCACAACGAATACCGATGGAGGACTACTGCTTGCTTCCGCAAGTCAGGACAAATACATTCGAATCTGGCGTTTTCGTGACGGAAATACTTCGACGGCCACAGCCCCTAGTTCTACTAACTCAACCGCCCCGAGTACAACGTCGTTAACCGCCAAGGTACAGACAGTATATGCTGGGGCTTCTAAGTATTTGATCACCTTCGAAGCGTTGTTGTTGGGGCACGAAGATTGGGTTTATTCCACTGCCTGGAACCCGAAGTCTCTCACTCAGCAACTACTGACTGCTTCGGCAGACGGGTCGCTTTCGATCTGGGAGGCGGATCCTGCGTCGGGAGTTTGGGTGAGCATTTCTCGGCTTGGGGATATTAGCAGCCAGAAAGGGGCAACTACAGCTACGGGTTCGTCAGGAGGGTTTTGGACTGGGTTGTGGTCGCCGAATGGTGATCATGTGACGTGTCTGGGCCGGACGGGAAGCTGGAGACTATGGACATACAACTCTGCATCGGAATTCTGGACGCAGACATATGGGGTCAGTGGCCACATTGGCCCCGTCAATGGTGTTTGTTGGGCACCGGACGGCAGCTATCTCCTCACGACCAGCTCAGACCAGACCACTCGTTTGCATGCACAATGGTCCTCAGATGACATATGGAGCTGGCACGAATTCTCACGGCCACAAATCCACGGCTATGATTTGAACTGCATTTCCTCCATCACTGCTCATCAGTTTGCCTCGGGGGCAGACGAGAAACTTCTTCGCGTGTTTAACAAGCCTAGAGACATTGCCGCGATGCTGCACCGACTCTGCAAGATATCCTTGCCTACCGAAGACGCGAAATTACCTGATACAGCGGCAATCCCAGTTCTTGGGCTTTCCAACAAAGCAACAGACGAGCACGATGCAACAATTGAGACAACAGAAGGGGAATTGGATGCTAATCAGGAGAGCGATTATGGGTCAATGTTGTTCAATAGCGCCGAACCACCCACAGAAGACCTTCTGGCGCGACACACGCTATGGCCGGAGGAAGAGAAACTGTATGGACACACTTATGAGATCTCTGAGGGGGTGACGTCGACAGATGGGAAGCTTCTCATGACGGCCTGTAAAGCCAGTTCGATTGACAATGCGGTGATTCGACTGTACGAGACAGAGGGTTGGAATGAGATCAAGCCCCCGCTTGTGGCACATTCGCTCACTATCACTCGATTGGCACATTGCCCCAGAACGCCTGGGTATATTTTGAGTGTGGGTCGAGACCGGCAATGGGCCGTTTTTCAACAATCCGAAAAGACGGCCGGACAATGGACACTTGTCGCGAGCAACCCAAAAGCACACACGCGCATGATTCTGGATTGTGCCTGGTTTATGAATGTCTCAAGTCCAAGTTTCGTCACTGCAGGAAGAGATAAATCGATGAAAGTGTGGAGTGCCCAGGTGTCATCTAATCAATTCAATGTGGCCTGTGTTCTGGAGGTCAAGAGAAAATCGGCTGTAACAGCTGTTGCAGTGCTCTCAGAAAAGTCACGATGGATCATAGCGGCAGGCGAAGATGATGGAAGCATCTCAATACATGTGCTGGGAGGTGCAGACGGCATGAGAGTTGTGACAAGTCTTGATATTGAAGCACGTCTTTGCCCATCGGCCACAGTCAGCCGGCTGGCCTGGCGGCCTTGTATGGAGGGGGTTTCGTACTGTCAGCTCGCGGTGGCATCTGTTGACGGATCGATTCGAATACTGCGAGTCAATCTCGAAGAACTCGGTGGGGAATGAAGTGTTAGTGGAAGGTGTGGACCGTGGTGATGACAGTGTCAATGATAGATTTGGGGACCTATGGCGTAACAGGGATTGGTGTTAAGACCAAGATATCGCGCAATTTCGCGCCATCAATGTAAAATGCTCATAATCTTGTTGAAGATCAGATGGGGTATCGGGTAAAATGGAGAATACGTTAGTTGGCTGCCGACCAGATCTCATCTGGAGCTCTATTTCCGTTGCTCCAGGCCGTAACCACCCTTGCCGTCGAGGTTTTGGTACGACTTGGCTTGACTAGACTTGTCCCTGGGCCCTCGGTCGGCTAGATCTTCTTTAAGCCATCTGAGGACAAGCTCGCCAAGTTTACTGTTGCCGCTGTTGGTGTATGAATCAGACTGGGCATCATACTTGACCATTGACCCCCACTCCTTGACCCGACCCATGTGCATGTGAACGAGATGAGTGGGCCATCCGACCAGGTTGTCGAGGATGTGGGTAGCATAAACAATGGTGGCTCCACGTCGTTCGGTTTCCTGTCGCAGCCAGTTGAGAAAGTTACTCCTACTAAGAAGGTCGAGGTCCACGGTGATCTCGTCAAGAAGCAAGACATCCCAGGGACGTATCAGACCCATGGCAAGCTGGACTCTGCGCCTTTCACCATCACTGACGGCGTGCATTCGCCATCGGAGGTCAATGTCGAGGATATGGACAAGTTCATCGCGACGGTCAGGATAGTGTTTGCCACCAACGGAATCGAGAAGGATAGGGACCGCAATATCTGTGCGGACAATGGGATTCAAGACCCATTCCAAGCCCAGATAGGTGACACCCTCGAGACCTGATGAAAAAGGGTCGACGCCAGCAATTCTGATGGTCTCGGAGGGGGCGAGACGCTTCCCAGACAGAAGCCTGAGTAGAGTAGTCTTGCCTGCTCCGTTGGCACCAATCAATAAAGTCCGACTACCAGGCGGAAGTTGAAGTGAAATGTCCTGTAAACCAGAAGAGCCATCGGGAAACTTGTAGGTCAAATTGCTGACTGTAATGTCCGGTGTAATCTGCTGACTGAGGTTAGGGGTTGGAGTCGACATTGTTTGTGCTGGGATGAGCTTTGCCCGGAGCCGAGATGGTGATTGATGATGATCGATGAAGTTGATGTATGGAAGACCCGTCAAATTTTCTAGAAGGAATTTGACCAAGGGGGGACGGTTGACGAGTAGCCAATGATGACGCGATATTGCTGGCTGGATTTGTAGTGGCGCCACGTTAGCCTCAAGCCTGATTATTTTTGACTGGACTTACGGAAGTGGCGGATCACATACTCCGTTACCTACTCCGTACTTACCTGTAAGTAGTTATTGGTCGGGGGTGTTTGGGGGCACAAAGATCAACAGCCGGGGCAGGAAATGGTACTAAAGGTTGCCCCGAGTTGTTCCGGTACAGGCGAGGCTCTAGCAGATTGCCGCCCCTAAACTTTCTCGTTGGGGCAACCCCAGGCACCCCAGGTTATCAAATCAGGGTGTCATTGCAGGCTGCAAGCAGGGCTACTGAAGCACTTTTGCACCATAAGGCCATGGCGCCACCCCAAACTTGGCATCAAGAAGCATTGCGAAGCGATCATGCAGATACGGACAAAGCTTGGGGCATTTACTGTGACTAGTTGACACCATGTAACACTGGCGGACCTCGTGATGGATATACCCACACAGTACATGAGATAGTGGACTGGACATATGCGTCTATCCACCGGAGAACCTCACCTATGTAGGTCATGGTACCGGTACTAGAAGAATCAGCACACATACACACCAATAACAGGCAGACCGTGGGTTGATTGGGTTGATTGGGTTGATCGTTTTCGATTTATGGCTAGATACTCATATCCCTACCGTGATGTGATGCGTGAGGTGTGTTGCTTGCCTATGACAACTTAATATCATGCGTGCATGCGTACGTACGGTGCCAACAGAACTCGTACCTTCCTCCAGCGATGAATCTGCCAAGCAATTCCCACAAAGTCTGTCAAATTTGATCATCATCACCATTACCATCTCCATCATCATCCACAAACACGTTTCTTCCCAAAGATCTGAAGATCACAGAGATCAAATAAACAGAATCAAATGACGACAGAGGACTGATCGGCTCATCCTGCCGTGTTGACTCATGGGAAGGGAAGTCGTGACACAGCGCAAAGAGGCCCTCGAGGCTCTCGCAAGGTTTGTGGCATGTAACAAGACTCTTCAACAAGCCTTGCCAACCCCTCGTTCAAAGCAGCCACCATGATGATGCCCAGAACTGCCCAACACAGTCCGTCGTCTTGGTTTTTCTTGGCTTCAACAAGGATTCTTGGTGTTTTGGCGTCTCACTCGTGTTTTGTTCGCTTCCGAGCCCTTCTAAAGTCTTTCTTCACGCCTGTCGGTTCCCTGCTTCAATGATTCCACCACTGTGCTGCTCGCGATCGACGCGCCTAATCGATTCCAATCCCGCCACTGCTCACGTGTGTGATACAGCAGGTGAGTACAATTCAACCATCATGTCCACTGACATCACATCCATACTGGACCTCAATGCCAGGTCGAAGCCACACATACCTTGTCTTGCATCATTGAACTCTTTCTACTGGTCAACTTGGTCACCATGCATCAAATGCTGTACTACCAATACCCCCATCTGATCCTGGACCTGACTTGTCCAGATCGCTTCAGTCATACTTGTTCTGAAAAGACAAAGCTCTGTCCCTAGCGTTGCAATCTACGGACAAGCCTTTCGCCGAACAAACACCATCAAAGTCACTCTTTCTCTCCACCCCGCCAGCATCATCGACCCTCGAGTCGGTTCAGATAACGGGTAACCGGCTTTGCCCCATATCTCGACACCATCTCGTCGAATGATGGCTTGTGGCGAAACCCCCAGCTCGATCAACTTGTCAAGTTGCAACCTCCACCCTGTGCGTGCACCAATATCCCTGCCTAAACAGGTATTTCCGAATGCGTGTCACTCTTTGAATGGAGAAAGCATTCCCCTCCATACATGCTCCTCCCGCAAATGTGGTCACACTTCATGTGTATCCCCAGCACATTGAGTATTCCCGAGATCCCCTTCTGTACACCCTGCTCCTCCCGTTCCATATCCTCCTTCCAGAATGTCTAAGATCTAGCTATAAAAGGGCCAGCTGCTCTCCTTGTTTGCGACCGGCATTCATCGCTCCACACTGCTGTCTCTCCCCAGTCCTCCCTCTCCTCAATTTGTTCCAAGCTTCTAAGTTGATCTTCTTCTATACCCGTGACCAAAATGTCCGATATCATGACCGGCAATGAACCTGCGGATCCTATTGTCCGAGGAACCTTTGCCACTGCGAAACAGTCCTTTGGCGACCTTTTCAGGTGGAAGCAGAGGGTCGCCATCACGAATGAGTACGGCGAGACCCATTGTGAATGGCAGTCCCCACGTCCTCTGAGAAACCCCATCAGTCTTTTCGCGCAACTCGATGGAAAAGGCTGGCTCTTCTTCCTCGTCGGATTGGCCGCCTGGACCGCGGATGCCTTTGATTTCCATGCCCTCTCTATTCAGACAGTCAAACTCGCAAAGTACTACGACACCACAAAGACCAACATCACCACTGCCATCACCCTCACTTTACTCCTGCGCTCTGTCGGTGCTGCTTTTTTCGGTTTGGCCGGTGACAAGTTTGGCCGCAAATATCCCATGGTCATCAACATGATCATTCTTGGTATTCTCCAGATTGCTACCATATACAGCGCCACCTTTTCCCAATTTCTCGCTGTTCGCTCTCTCTTCGGTCTCTTCATGGGTGGTGTCTATGGCAACGCCATCGCCATGGCTCTCGAAAACTGTCCCGTCGATGCTCGAGGCCTCATGTCTGGAATCCTCCAGCAAGGTTACTCTCTTGGCTATGTCATCGCCGCCTGTGCCAATCTCGGTGTCGGAGGCTCGACCGAGTCCTGGAAAACCGTCTTCTGGATCGGCACCGGATTGTCCATTGGAGTTGGAATCATCCGCCTCTTCTTCCCCGAATCTCAACAGTTCATTCGTGCCAAGCGTGAAGGAAAGGGCAAAACCTCTCCCTCTGCCTTCTGGGCCGAAACCCGCAAAATGCTCGCTCAAGAATGGAGGCTATGCATTTATTGCATTATAATGATGACTTGGTTCAACTATTACTCGCATTCGTCCCAGGTAGGCTTCCTTGGCCTCCTCATACCCTAAGAGATTTGGCGGCTAACAAGTGGTGTAGGATTCATATACCACCTTTTTACTGACCGAGAAGGAATTTGACAACGCCCAAGCGTCTCGAGCCAGTATCCTAATGAAGACGGGCGCCTGTGTAGGCGGTACCATTATCGGATATGTTTCTCAATGGCTAGGCCGACGTCGTGCAATCATCATATCCGCGCTCATGTCTGGGTTTCTCATTCCAGCGTGGATCCTGCCAACTACTGAGCGATCGCTGTCGGCATCCGGGTTTTTCATGCAAGCATTCGTCCAGGGCGCGTGGGGAGTGATTCCCATCCACCTCAATGAGCTGTCTCCTCCTGCCTTCCGCTCATCATTCCCCGGCATCACCTACCAGATTGGCAACATGATTTCCTCCCCTTCTGCTCAAATTGTCAACGCTGTTGCCGAATCGCATCTCATCAGGGGCAAAGATGGCGAACAAGTCCCCGCATATGGGACCACCATGGGCGTTGCGACCGCCATTATTGCCCTAGGCATCATCGTCACCACGGCACTGGGTCCCGAAAGACGAGGCGCCAAATTTGAACTTGCCAAACCTGCCGGTGTTGTCGAGATGGAGAACCGCGAAAAGTCTGTCGGTGTCGAGATCCAATCAGACATTGAAAAGGCTCAACAAAGGCACGCGGAAACAGCCACTATCGAGAAGGCCTAGCTTCTTCCACCACTGAGGGTCATGGCTAGAGCTAGGGTGTCTCAACTCCGGCTCTTTGTTTGATAGCCATCGCATTCCCTGCGAAGCAAGTAGCTGTGAATGCGCGTCACTGGAGCGATGTCTTGCTTGCGTTGCAAGAGTCTTTAATGAAAAGATGCATTTTCCCCGATCAGTGTCTTGGATTTCTTGTCGTTCGTCTGCTCGAGGGCGTCGTTGATCTTTGCGTACGCCTGGGGGATCCTGTTGCTAATATTATAATCCATCTACCACCTCTGGACTTGTGTCAACAGAGGATTTCAGCTCCTTCGAACAGTGGAAGCAATGGATGCGCCAGAATTATTGGTTTGAATGCCTATTGCACTTCTCTATGGTGTGACTGTCTGTATCGATTTTCTTGCCTAAATGGCTGAACGGCATCATCAATAGTTATCACAGCCATGACAGCCTATCCTATCCCAGTTTGGGGGAAAATCCGAAATCCACACAGGCTAAGTAGCTCAGAGATCATCTCATTGGTCTGTATTCTATTCACACAACCTGGGACAAGTTTAATCAGACGATTATAACTACGAGTTTTCAAAGCCCTTCACTCTGAGCCCCCAAGACCTCGAGAGTTGGGCGGAATGCGGAATCATTTCCATCCCAGCATTCAGTCCACGAATATGCACACCGTCGCAAAATGTGTCTCCAGTCCTCTCGTATGTCTTTGACTTCTTGATGCCACTATCTGTCATCCTCAATCGTTTTTGCAGAAAACTGTGTTCGTCAGACTCGTATCAATTCTTAGGGGTAAAGATCATCCATCTCATGGCCCATATTTCCTTTTGTGGGGGTACACCCTGCTGTCTCTTGACACCATATTATCCATTTCAGCGCTAGTCCAGACTGTGGAACATTTATGAGCCTTGTATACCACTCTTTGGTCATGTCGTGACTTTGTCCGGTGAGACTATCGAGGTTCGATACAGACTGGCGTCAATGCGCGAGGCCTCTGTTGCCAACGCTGCCCTGCCCTGCCCTGCAAATGGGTAAGGAGATAATGGTCCTTGTTATGCGCTTACGTATTGGCCCGGAGAATGGTGTTCTCGAGTCTGTTTCGCTTCATGGTATTTCAAAGACCTCAGATTGGCCTGCTGTTTTGGACTTTCATCTTGGGCATGTCATTGACAATAATTGGCTGGGAATGGCCCCTTGGCACCCCTTAACTCGCCTTGCCACCAATCGTCCGTGCTGTCGGTCTTCTTCAAAACCCTAATCTTGTCTCCTTCTTTAAAAGCCAAATCACCATCGCTTTGTCCGTCAAAGTCGTACAACGCAGTAACAAAAAGAGCTTGCTGAGATGGGAGCCTTGGAGGAGGAGGTGGTGGGGGCGGTCTCTTCTTCTGGAGTAAGCCTGAGGTAATGGATGATAACGACGTCGAGGAAGGCTGACGATCGCGCGAGAAATAGTCGCTGTTGGGACCTGCTGGTGCATAACTGGACATTGGAGTCTGATAGGCCGAGTGAGAAGGAGAGGGGCTGTGGACAGGTTCGGCAGGGGTCTGAGGTCCAGGAATGGCTAGTCCGCCAGGTGAAGAAGAGATTTTGGGTTTCAGTTCATACTGCGGCGAAGGGGGCGGAAGCGCTCTGGCGGGAGAGACTGACTGCGTTCGACTGAAAGCCGAAGTGGCACTTGGACGTCGGTGTCCATTAAGATGAGCGTGGCCGTTTTGAGGCGGTTCCAGCCCCATTGGTAATCTGATCGCTTTCCCGTGAGCAAGTAACAACAGCGCTTCAGCTTCGTGTTGAATGGGTTTGAACGAGTCATCCCAGATTCGAATAACCTCATCCATCGGAGGGCTGGGGGAGGGGAAACCCTCTTCAGAACAAAATGCATGCAACATGGTGTAATAGTGGCCAAGCAGGGCATTTTGAATACTGATCTGGGATGCCAGGAAATGGGGCGTTAGGGAGAAGATGGAGGTCAGTAAGGGGGGGAGGCAGGCAAGTAGATGGTGATCGGCAGCATGGTAAGCGTCGGTGGCGGTGGATAGGTCGGACTGGGCCTTTGCAAGGGCAGCCGTTTCCCTCTCGGAGCGTTTTGTCTTCTTCGAGGCCGAGTCGACTCTGGATTGATATCTCTCAAAGTCGAGCTTCTTGTCTTCTCGCTTTCTGATTGTCTTTTTCATGGACAGAAGATGATCTCTAGCGGTCTGAGCGGGACGGATGACTTGATCTTCAACTTGGGTGAGGTCTTGAGTGAGGTCTTTCTTCAACTCTTCATAATCGGCCTTTATCCTGTTGGTTCTGCGAACCAAGTGATCTGGAGTGTCTTGTGGTATATGGCCATGGTAGTCATCGCCAGCTCCAATGATGGGAGCATAAATGGTCTCGAATTCCTCGAAGATTCGGTGTTGATGAGTAAGGATGGCGATCCACGACTCACGCCATGCTTTTGAGGCATCGATAATCTATTTAGATGAACGTTAGCCCGAGATATCGAGGATGGAATGGGATTGGGCGGGTGGGTGGTTGGTGTGGGGGAGACCAGAACGAAAGTACCTTTGTTAATAAGCGTTCGGCATCCTCGAAATCTTTGAGGAGGACTGCAACGTTGTGTTCATCTGCACTTCTCTTCATGTACCTGCCAAAATGGCGCTGAACACTTTGCATGATGACGGTGGTGGTGCTGGTGAATCAGAGGCTATCTCCACAACAAGGGCCAAGTTGTCCCTTGCTGAGAGAGAGGAGTCAGGGCAGCCAGATTGACGAGATCGGGGAGCGTCCGAGAATGCAGGGGCTGATTGCTGGTGAGTCGAGTCAACGAGGGTTGGGAAGAATGAATTCTTGAGGAGGGGACCGAAATGATTTGAACGAGGGAGGGATTGGTGTCGTCGAGATCGAGAGAATAAAGTTGGAAGGCAGATCAACTGACCAGCAGTCTAATTAAAGAATTGAAGGGGGATTGGAATTAAGTGAGAAAGTATCGAGCGACAAGACGAGTAAATCAACTGAATGCGTGCTTTGAATGCTTGGTTGTTTGATCAACCAGGGTAGAGGCCATACAAGACTCAAGTCGTGTCTTGACCCTAACTTAGTTAGCAGGCCTATACGGAGTAAGTAGAAGATAGGAGGTTGGTATGGGAAGAATTTGGGAACTTGAACGATGTTGGAATCCATTGATGTTGTCCTTATGCGATTTCCTTGTTTCACACGTCGCCAGTCGCAGCTGCAGCCACAGCCGCAGCCTCACAGACGCGCGTAAAAACTCTCTCCAGACATTTCCCAATCAATTCCCCCCCCCGTCCCGCCTAACAACCACCATCCTCTAACCTTTTCACCGGGACATTGTCACCGTGCCACCCTTATTCATCCTTTCATATGTCTTGAACGTTGTCTTGTGCAAGGCAACTCTCTCGCCATCACTAAGTGGTATTGGACTCATGCACATGTGACATTCTCAACCTCGTTTCGGGCCAACGACCATGTCCTCCCTCCGACCACTACCACATCCTCCTTCATAATGCCCACCTTCACCTCGACCTATGCAACGCGTCCTCCTCCCACTCTTCCTCCGACCCAGACCACGGCCCCGGTCCACGAATATCGATGTCTATATACACGCGATTTGCACAAAAAGGCAAAGAAATGGCACGATGGATACCTTCGTTTCCATACCTTCAATCAACGTGTCATGGTCTATGACGAGGCCAGAAACTCGGTGGGAGATCTTCATTATAGACAACAAGATACCTTTGCACCAGGCATCGAGATCCAGCTCGATCGAGGTCTTTTGGTCGAGGTTGGAGAGCCCATGGGAGAGACAGCAACCGACCTCACTCCCATTCTAGACAGACAGCGACCTGAGAAACCACAACAGCCGACCTTCAAGCCACCTCAACCCTCTCGACGCCCCAAATCTCTCCTTGAAGTCCTAGGTCCATCCCAGACAAGACATGCCAGATCTAGGCTTGCAATTCAGTCTCCTTATGATCAGACTCATCAAATATCGGATACTTCTCTTGTGCAACCATCTTCAAAGAAACCCAGACTCTCTTTTCCTTCGACGGTTTCTCAGCAGCCTGCGGCTCCTCTGAGACCGCCCGTTGCCTCGCCTCTGCCTTGCATGCATGTTGAACGGGTCCTAGACATATCTTCCGATGACGACACTCCTGATACTTCGAAGAGTACAGCTGAACCCCTCGCGCTTGCTCATCATTCAATTCCACCTGCTGCGACAACTCTGCAAGAAGCCACATCGCACCTCAAGAATAACGAATTAAACATGGTGAAATCCAACAATTCTGGCTCTATACGCAAACATCGACCAGCACCGAAAACCAAGCGATTGAGTCCAAGTAACAGGTCCACTGCGTCCCGGTGCTCGCCTGTCCAATCTCCAGCATATAAGCACGGTCGATTACTTCTGTCAGGTCCTCGGCCCAAACCCAAGCTACTTTGTCTTCTACCCCTCCCACGCACTTCAGCATCACACCGGCCATTCATCAACGATGCCAAGAGCATTGACGAGCCTACTGGAATCCTCAATCCGCCCATTGAGCTCTCCTCCAGCCTTACTATAACTAGTCCATCGCAATTATCCACTCCCAGAGTTCTTACTCCAAGGAGCAGCTCGTCGACCCGTAGCGGCCATCGACTTGGGTTCGATGGCGAGCTGGACTCTCTGGAGGACAGCCCGCTTTTTCTACCTGATGATAATCAATTCTCTAAATCCCCTTCGCAGAGGCCAATCTTGACGCAGGAAGAGCTCGGGATAATGGCCACTTGTGATGCGCCGCCTTCCTCGCAGATTGGGCAGACCGATTCGCCCCTCCAGACGTCGCCAATGAAACATGATCCACTAGAGAATGCTCACCATGGAAATGACATGCTGTCAATAGGAGGTTTTCAAGTCTCTCAATCGGCTTCACCAGCGCGTGACTCGATTGTTGATGTCGCCACATCTCCGAGAGACGCCATGACGGTTTCATCACCAGCACATGGAAGCGTCGGCAGGCCTTTCTCAGGCAGCAACATACAGACAAGTCCCGTTGGCTCAGCGTTTGCAAAGCGAGCATCAAGCCAAAGGACACCCCTTGAATCACTCCCTAATCCACCTTCTCGACGAAGTCCTTCCGGATCAGCGTCCCCATCGAAACTGCGACGACACATTTTCGACACAGCTGCACTGACCGAGAAAAGAGGCGAAACAGAGCCCAAACTAGCGGGACAGGGTCTTGTTTGTGAAAAGGGACCTTGGAGCGGAGAGGAAGCCTTTCTGTTGTTTGACTGGTGGCCTCCTGGTCTGGAAAGGCCTGCGTATTGGACAGACTTGGCTCCAATTCAGTCACGCAGTTTGGCAGTGCCATTGCCTGTTTTCTCGACCCGCATTACCACTGCTCGACAATTTTTTCACGACGATATGAACATGTGACGATGATGATACATAGGGAAACTCGAATGGAGACGGTAACATAGACTTGTAATGTCATGTGGTGGCCTCACATGCCTCACACATTTTCTACACTGTCAGATTTCTTCTTTGCTCCTATAATGGCACTCGATTCTAGACGTAATGGTGCGCGTCGGCTTAGGGAATCTAAATTATCAGATAAATCCTTCTCCCTCATTCAGTTGTCAATCGAATCGCTGTACTCCGTTCCTGAAATCTCCACCTCCAACCTTGATTGCCGTGTAGCCAATGGGCATTCCACCTCGTATCTGCTCGACTGCTCGTACGAGGGGTTATTTAATACTAATGGATTATTCTGGACCACTTACTAGACTAGAAGTCATATAGACTGTGGCAAGCCTCTAAGTAAGATAAATAAGAAGTCGTTGATGCCCGTGCCCCATTTCTTCTCTTCATACCCCCAGATGTCGACAGCCGTACCCATACTACACTGAGCTTGCTTTCTCACTTACGTCCCTCCTGACAAGAGTCACAAGAACATGGCTACTGCAACACTCACACCCCAACCTGTCCCAATGGCGACAGAAAGCGAGTACAAGCCATTCCAGTCTGCCCCCACCATTCTAGAAGAAGTCAAGGCCCAGCAAGAGCGCCTTCGCGAGCGGCTGGCGGGAGCTCTGATTAACCCACCACCGGGTACTTCTGCCGACTCTTTGCCCACGGTACCTTTAATCGACATTGGTCCATCCTTTGACGGGAATCTGGCATCACGACAGGCTGTCGCTGCTCAAATCCGCCAAGCTTGTGTGACCACCGGGTTTTTCCAGATCACCAACCATGGTGTTCTCGAACAAGCCCGTGCGGGAGTTCTCGAGCAAGCAGCACGCTTCTTTCATGAGCTGTCTGAAGATCAGAAGCAGGCTCTGCATATTCGGAATTCACCCCTATTCCGAGGTTACGAGCCGCACGATGCAACGTTCGTCAACACCGACGATCAGAATGGCGTCCAGAAGGAGACCAAGGAAGGATTTAACTGGGGTTATGAAAGAGACCTCGACCCAACCGGTGGAGATGGCAAATACGTCGAGTTAGACGGCACCTCGCCTCAAACCACGGGCTTAGGCAATCTCTGGCCCTCGTCCGAGGACCTGCCAGGCTTCTATGAAAAGATCTCTGACTATTACGGTCAAGTCCTGCAACTTGCACGTCACTTGTTCAGACTGTTTGCACTGTCGCTCGACCTGGAAGAAGACTATTTTGATGCCTCCACCACCCATCCCGGTGGCATTGCTCGACTACTTTATTATCCCGGGCAGCCTGCGCCAGAGAACGAATCTTCAGAAGCTGCGCTGGAAGCAGCCAGCAAGCTTGGCTTAGGAGCCCACACCGACTACGAATGCTTCACGATCCTCCTGTCGTCGTCAAACCCGGGACTGGAAATCCTCTTCCCACCATCACCGGCCACAGACAACCGCCCAATCTGGCGTCCCTGCCCCGTCGTGCCAGGCTCCTTCACAATCAACGTGGCAGATTTCTTCCAACGCTGGACCAATGGCTTGTACAAGTCGACTATTCACCGCGTTGTCAGCAAACCCGGCACTGGCGAGAGGTACTCTGTCCCATTTTTCTTTAGCATCAACTATGACAGCGACGTCCTGCCTTTACCAGAGAGATGTGTTGGGAAGTCCCGCTTCTTGCCCCTGAAGGCCGGTGAGTACGTCTTAGAGAGGTTAAGGGCGACGCAGTTGCTCGAGGCGACAACCTAGGCAAGGTTGGGCCCGGGGGCACAAGATCGAGCTCCACAGTATCTAGCCAGGGGACAGTAGATTTACCTAAGCCATCCTACTCGAATACAGTGGAGTTTTGCGTGTACATTCCATGACCATGCCGTTTTGATAGAATATTCTAACTCGGGAGCACACCGTGCAGTTGATCCATCCAGTACGCAAGCCCTTTTCATGTGTAGTACATGACCGAGAACCGCTGCGGACTAGAGGAAGACACTACAGCTGGAGATGGCCCATGGTTCAGATCCTGGAAAGTTCATCAACCTTTGAGTTGAGGTAGAGGCCCCAAATTTCACGTGCCGTCTCAGGATTCCTGAAAGAAAAAGCCAGTGAATACTTCCGTATACCGATTTGGCCCGCTCATACTCGGATTCAATTACTGCACGATGCTCGAGGGAGCGGACTGTGGAAGAAGCAGAAAAGGTATTTGGACCAGTGATAAACCCATCGAAGTATTCCGAGGTATTGTCGAGATCCAACCGTGGGTCATTAGGACCTGCCGAGATATCAAACGCCTTGCACAGGTAGATATTGTCCGAGGATGGTTTCTCGATATTGCACTGACTCATCGGGATTGTAGTCCTTCCTCAAGTACACCATATTTGGAGGCGTTGTAGACGGGTATACCCGGTGTATCGAGGTAGGATGCTGCGGATCCAGCGAGCACAAGCGTGCCCTTTGTGTTGCATCGACGCCAGAAACTCAGTGCAAGATTTGTCGTGTAGATACACTACGTAGATTGATATCAAGAAAGATCAATGTGCGCTCTTTCAACTGGCCAGCCTTGTCCAGACTGTCGAAGAAGGCATCTTCGAGAATTTCGTCCACTCCTGCGTTTCCGACGCGCGGGTAGTTTGCAACCTACCGTTCTCTTTGGCTTGTTCAATTACTTGTTGGACATATGTCAACATGTCTGGGAAAAACCAAACAAGTTGCCGGCTCAGACTTTTGACGCGTCTCAAGTGGTAAACTTGGAATGTGACAGTTGTCACCAGTATGTCGCTCGTCGTCTCCTTGAGAGCTATCGTGAGATGTGAGATGCAGGAGAAGGCGCAGAATCACTATATATCGGACTTTCAGTAGGTAGTTAAAAGAGAAATCTCTGGTAGCTTGGCGACTACTAGTCGTATCCAACAATATGCCAATGGTAGTCAATGCTTAGGGATCCTTCATGCAAGGCAAGGATCTCGTATTTCCGTTTTGGGCCTAGACAAACTCCAACCAGTCCATATTTCATGTCGCCACACTCTCGGAGAATGTGATTGTTTTGAGGGAGTTATCAAGCAGCACTTTGTTAAAACGAGTCAGGAAACCAACGGAACCCAAGAGGCTCCGTCTCTGCATATGGCATTAGTTTTGCATTGTAAATCGGAGGATGATGAATAATTGAGGTGACCATCGAGCATATTTTCGACGTCACTCATGATGAGGTTAGTGGATTGAGTGTCCGGCTCACAAAAAGTGTGTATATAAGCCTGTAGACCCTCTCGCTTCGATAGCCTGCCTGATTGCTGAAGCACAAGTTTCCGTTTCTTAGTTGCCTCAAAAGCCTATATACACCCAACACCCTAAAGGATCACTATGGCTCCCGACACGCTTTCTCTCGAGGGGAAAATCGCCATAATCACCGGATCTGGGAAAGAAAACGGCATCGGCGCTGGAATCGCCCGAGCTCTTGTCCGTAATGGCGCTCGAGTCGTTATCAACTACGTCTCTGATGCTACTGCCCCAAGAGCCGCTGGTGTGGTTGATAGCATTCGCGAAAATGGTGGTGAAGCCATTGCAGTACGAGCCGACGTGTCCACCCAGGAAGGCGCCAGCAAGATTGTTACGGAGACATTGAAAGCATTCAAAGCGGATAAGGTTGACATCCTAGGTATCTCACCTCCTCATTCACTCTCAGTGTTGCACAACTCTATTATGGTACAGGGTGGAACTGATCCCGGATGATTGTCAGTGAACAACGCGGCTAGCACAGCTGTTGGGCCGATAATGCAAGCCACCAAGGAAGATCTTGAGAGAGTTTTCAACGTTAATGTCTTTGGGCCTGTGTTCATGATGCACGCCGTTGTCCCCGTGATGCCTCGTGGGGGTCGAATCATCAACATCAGCTCCATCGCTTCAAAGCTGGGCCTGTCAGTCATTCCACTGTATGGTGCTGCTAAAGCGGCTCAGGACCAGTTAGCCTACACAGCTGCTATGGAGGTACGTGTCTACCTTTTTGAACTCGTCAAATTGGTTGACTTCGGACAAATGAGCTAACCCATGATCGACGGACAGCTGGGACGCACCTACGGCATAACGATCAACCAAGTCGCACCAGGCCCTGTCGCGACGGACGGTCTCGGCACAGGTCCTACAGCCGATGCAATAGAGGGTGCTCTAGTGCCTTTGACGAGAGCAGAAGCACGTATGGGAACAACCGAGGATATTGCTGACGCGGTGCTCCTGTTGGTATCAGAACAGAGTAGATGGATAACCGGCCAATACATCTCCGTAAGTGGAGGTATAACTGGAGGATAGTTCGTTGGGTGTTTTATCATCTCAAATAGTTTAACAAGGCTCGCATGACGGAAAATCTCATCTCGCATATTCTTCATCAATCTCCGCTTCAAGCGCCTGGGAGTTTTGGCTGCTTATTCGTTCGATCCAAATGACACGCTTTACATCCTTGACAGCCTCTTCTGCGTCCCTAAGGCTCATTCTCTTCATCAGCTGACAAATCGTTTTGACGTAGAGCTTTCTTTGACCATTCATCATTAAAGCCATTGATACAACAGCCCATAGTTCAAGCTTGGGAAACTGTGTCCTTCCCATATCAAGAAGCGCTGTAAATCGAGTCTGCAGAGCGGGTAGCTCATCCGCAATCAATGAACAATATCTCTTCAATGCCGCCAGTTGAGCAAGTAAAGCAATCCTGACCATGTCCTCAATGAGTTCAACGGGGTTCTTTTCCGGACTTTCAGAGACATCTGAACATTTGGGCAGAGATAGTAAAGAATGGGAAATAGGGATGATCAACTTTCCTGCTTCGACGCTGTTTCTCCAAAATCGAGGCCTTTCGGAGTTCGAGTTCACATAGCTGGCGAGACAAGCAACCCTCTCTAGGCATTTGGCGATTCCTTGAAGTTGTTCGAACTCCTGTAGACTGTGTAAGATGGCTTGAAGGTCTGGAGCTAGGGTGCCTCGAGACAGCGCAATGTCTGATATCTGACTAGACACAGCAAACCGCGGGAGTGTGTCATAGAAGGATGACACCAAAACATCGAACCTACGTAGAATTAATTCTTGGTCCTTCGATAATGATTGATGGTGCATCATCAAGCCATTCTTACCAAGCCGTGAAAAACAAGACGTTACTCTCGAGGCCATGAAAGCCCCCACGAAGTTGCATAATTCTTTCCAGCGCATCCATGTGTATCTGGGTCATGTCCCACCTGCCTCGACACGACTATGAAATGTCATGACGCTGCGAAACTTAAGTGAAGTTGGACGACTCACATTATAACACAAAAGACCCAGGATGGTTGTGATAAGTCCTGGGCTGGTGCTGTCCGACTGATTTCCAATTCTCCGAGCCAGTTGAGCTAAGCATGTACCGAAGTACTGCCCGGCCTCCACGCAATCTCCATACTCAATACTGCTCTTGTTTGAGACCTGGAAGAGAAAAAGGGCAGCATTCGCCAGGTAAAGGTGAAACGCACTAGAATCAACTAGTGCTATCGCGTGCCACTCGTATCGGAAAGGCCGAAAGAGACTATCACCCTCGGTATGCACTGTTGAAGAGGTTAGAAACTCGACAAAAGCTTAGAGACGACGGACTAAAGTGGATGAGCTCTCGAGCTCTTGCATTTGGCTCGATCGGATATGCTCCATGAAAGGTAAGTGAGTGAGGCACAAGTTTTGATAATGCTGTTGTGCCTCGACCAAAGTCGAAGGGTTCGTTGTTGTGCGATAGTGAAGAGGCTGGACTAGGTTTTGAAGGGGCGTTGATTTCCAACGCGATGAACCGTGGCAATTTTCGCCGTTTCCTGCCCTCGACAGTCATCACATGGCCGCGGATTCTCTTCTGTGTGGATTTGCTTTTGAACTCTTCTGGGTGGGATGCATTAACAAAATGAAAGACGGCTTCGGAAAGAGGCCTCTGAAAGAAATCCTCCCCCCGTCTTTTTTGGACGGTGCTTAGCTGCCGCAAACTATCCTTTGGGGTATCCATGTTATGAAAAGAGGATTAGCCTTGCGTGGCTGACTGATTGATAGTCATGGCACGTCGTGGTTAATTGAGGATGTTCCTGTTTTCGGATTAATAATCTGGCACTCTACGAGGGCAGCCAAGGCTTAGGAAACCTGCTCGCGGCCTCCGTGCCGTCGACGGAACCGCCTACTACATACGCCTACCACCTACGCTTTACCAGTAGCGTCGGCCGAAGATATCTACTATGGCCAGTAGATCTATTATTAAGGAGAAGGTCCCCTCGCTACTTTAGCGAGCTTTAAACCTCCTACGAATATACACTCCCACCGTTACCCTTCCTTTCCTAGCCGTAGTTATCTCCTCCATAAGTCATAAAATATGCATGGTATACATTTGGGAAATCGATAGTAGTATGTAGAAGTCCAGAGACAGAGGCATCCATATAGAATAAATTCACATCCGAGGTACTCGATGGTGCCAGATTAGAGTTACTTTGGAAGCAAGACTTATAGCTATAGTAGTACGTTGCCTGATTCTGCACAGATGCCATAAAAAAACAAAAGAGGAGAGAATGAGCAACAATTAAAAACAAGTCATTTGAGAAAGGAGACAGAAAGGAGACAAAAATGTTGGACCTTCGGGGAATTGAACCCCGGACCTCATCCATGCTAAGGATGCGTCATACCACTAGACCAAAGGCCCGATGACTGCTGGAACACTTGGTGTTGTGCTGTCTTGCTGATTGTTGGGATAATCTCCGCGTCAAAAAAATAAGAAGCTCCAAAAGAGATCACGTGATAATTCTCTACCCACCGCCTCTGCTAATGAATTGCCAAGCGCATGCACCAATTAGCCTACACATAAATGGTCCATGGTTAAGTTGGATGTGTGACCACAACGTCTGATCAGGAGACCATAAAAGGCGCAAGCTGTACGGCAACTTTATCATTGCGTCGATATCAAAAGTGGCTAATAGTGCCCACAGGGAAGCAGTTCACGAGGATGCTAAGAGGAATCATAATGGTATCCCCGGATCAGGTGAAATTCGCACCACGGGCCAATGTATCAAACAATGAGCTTTACCCCGCCGTCAGAGCTCAGCAGACCTAATGCGCCAGGTTTGCGGCCACTCTGTTGGTCATGTATTTCTTCGTATTGCCGAGGAAGAAGCATGCAATGATTGTGCATACTCCAAAGGGGATGCTGGACAGCCACACAAACCTCAAACTCTCGGAAAAGGCCCATCGGGTCCCAATGACTGCAGCTTCGAGCACTTCAGCCGTCACGCCTGGAACCTCTGCAAGAGCTTCTGGCATGGTCAGATATGCGCCGACAAAAGCCTCGGCAGACTCCACAGGTAATCCAGCTTCCACGGCCCACTGGCCCACAAGGAGAGGAAGGTTGGTGGTGAGCTTGTTGATGAAAACATTGTAATAAATGGCGTAGCCGATGGAGCCACCCACAGTACGGATGGCCAGTGATAGGGCAACACAAGTCGCAATCGACGTGTCAGGGGTGACCATGATGGCCACCGTTGCAGCGGGAACGAGAACACCTCCCACCCCAAACCCGGTGATGGACGCAAGTGCAACAGCTAACGCTGGAGTGTCCGGAGTGACGGCGGCTAAAGCTCCTCCAAATGCAGCTTGAGAGTTGGCGTCAGCAACAAGTCATAATAAAACAACGGTCGACTTACTCATGATCACAGTGGAACCCAGGATCAACTCTCGGTTCCAACCCTTGAACCAGGTCAAGCAGGCATTGACAAAGACGGCGCCAAATGTGGTCGTTAGACCTGGGAATAGACCCTTGATACCGACTTGGACTGGATCTGGGTCGAAGACATCATGGAACAGGACCGGGAAGAAGTTGAGCATAGCATAGAAGTTCATGCCTGTGACTTGATTAGGCAGGTTCTTGCGTCGGTGTTGAGTGACAAACCTGCAACAAAAGCAATCCCGAAGGCCATTCCGACAATCTTTTGACCAGCAAACATCTCATGTGGAATCATGGGCTCTTTGACAAATTTGTACTCCCAGACTACGAAAAAGACAATCAAGAGAAGACCAATGAGCAAAGTGCAAAGCACGTATGCACTTGCCCACGAGTGTGAGTAGCCACCGGCTTGCATGGCCACGAGACTAAGTAAGATCAGAATCAATCCAACACTGGCAATGGCACGATGACTTACAACAGAGTGAGACCCATGATGGAGGTGACACCTCCGACATAATCGATCTTGCCCAGGAGGGTTCCTATTGCTGCACCCTTGGCACGAGTTTGCGAAATGGGAAAGTAAAGGAGTGCGATGCCGACAAAGGATATGGCATTCCAGATCCTGCTTTGATCAGCCTATTGAGGATTTCTCGATTTCTGCAAAAACGTACAGGCAGATCCAGATACCCCAACGCCAGGTGTGATATGTCGACAGCAGTTGCGCATAAAGCAGATAGGGAGTAAAGGGTAAGATGAAGCCGGTGACGAGGGCTAGGTAGTAGCCTCGCTTCTTGACGGGTACCAACTCCGCTGTTCTATCCAGTCGTTAGTATTAATCCATTCGACGATGACCTCCCCGTCAGCGACTTACCCAGCCAACGCTGTGAGCTCCCCAATGGCGGCTCCTGCGCCTGCCAGTCCCATGCCGGTGACACCGGATCCAAAGTTCCGTGCTGTTGCCAACACAATAATGCCAGCTACAAGCACAAGGCCACCAAGGAGGGTGATGTTGCGACGACCCATCAGATCCTGCAGATATCCGGACAGGGGAGCTATTGCCGCAAGAGCTAGGGCATAGCTGACGGGAAGCCAGGCGGACACGGCTGTTCCACCAATATCAGCGGCGATGAAGCTGAGGGAACCGCCCACAAAATAAAGGGGAATCTGAGATCCTGCAGACATTAGCCTTCTCGTCTCATCGTTCCTTTAGAGCAAGACATACCGACGTAAAGACCGGATAAGGACAGAGCAGCGACCCGGTCTTTGAGTGTCCATTTTTGGTTTGCAAAGTCGATCTCTTGTGGCTCTGCAGGTTCAATATCTACGTTTGTAGACGATGCCTTCTCAGAGGAAGCCACTGCATTCTCATGATGCTCGGATTGGATATTGGATTCCTGAGTGTGAGGAGTGGCCTTTTCAGACATGATAGGAATGATCAGACGATTGTATTCTAGATCAAATGCTAGAGCTGGTGAAAAGAGAGATGAGGATTGAGAACAAGACAGTGGTCAAGTCCTCCTACCGTGATAAATACAGGAGGTATTGTTTGCCCGGTATCAATGCCTCGGGCCCCCCCCACAATAGATCGTGTGCCACTTCCCCCACAATCCCCAGGTTTTAAGAGTGTCTGAGGGCTGGAGCCCCGTCTGGAGCTCTGGGCAAGGCTCTTGTCTGTCTTGGTAGTCCAATCAGGATGATAAAGTGTCCAGAGGCTGACTCGTGCCCTTGACACCGAGCCAGCGCTGTCGCTTCTCTCTCATGCGAGACGTCGGAGCACGAGCGTGTCCGTCAATGGTTTCTGAAACTCCAAGACTCTTGCCGAGAACAACGTGGTCATCGTCGAGGCTTCTTGGGGGGAAGATACCCTCTGGAGGGGATATCACTTCTGCGCCATCTCGACGAGAGTGACTCTGCAGCGTACTCTCTGTGGCACTTTCACAGTAATGAAAAACTTGTTGTACTTTGGTCGTAACCGTCAAAAACTTCATTTTACCTACCTTATGGAAGTATCTGCGTCCCTTTATACGTTTTGGTTGGCATCTTTGGTTCGCAATCTTTGCCAATAGGGATTCTACTTCCCCACCCAGTATGGTTTCTGGGCACTTGCAAGCACCCAGAAGGATCCGCTAGCACATCTGGCTTTGCGTCGACTTCTTGTTCGCGCTTGGAAGAGACTGTGCTCGCCCAAGATAGGATATCCGAGGAAGATGTTCGATTCGACATCCCAGCGTCAGGCCTCGGGAGGTTGTCACTTCGCTGGGCGTGACCCCAATTGTGTAACAACATCAAAAATCGTTGACCATGTCGAGGACGAGTCATGGACGACGTCTGTTGCTAGGTGAAGTTGGATACATGTTTTGTGATCGAGGACTCGATGCAGTGAGCGCCATCATTACTGGTATTCGATAAAGGTGAAAGAATATTGAATCTTACATGTCTCCTCGGCAAAGGGGACGAAAGCTCTAGATTCGAGTTCCATGTTGCTGACCTGAGCCGAGTCAGTTAGACATTTTTACATACTTTCTGCTATACTATACCTTCATAGCTATGGCTGGGAAATGGGTTCAATTTTCGATATATCCGCATAGCCTGGGTAAAGGCCTTTTAAGTGATATTGGGCATGTGATGTATGAATTATCATCCAAGAGATTACATAGAAAGCATTAGACTGTATGAATGAAATATATGTTCGTGAATTGGGATTTTAGCGAGAGATATACGTGATTGTATTGGGTCCCCGGCAACGAAAGACCAGCTACCCATCATTGCATAACCTGCTACAAAGTTATGCAACGAGGCATGGTTGGTGCCACACCTCAAATTGACCCATGGCAACAGAAAGAATTGTGAGAGATTTCGACTCCTTTGAGCATCGCTGGTACGGCTACTATCTTCTTACCCATCACTAGGTACGTAAATCGTAAAGGCTGCAAGGTTACCTCGGCGGGAATAGGTTGAGCCTTGCTGCAACGGATGATGAAATCTCTATGTACCAGACGACAAGTCCTCTAAGCGTCGTCAACAATGCTGGCGTTGACTCCAGCTGATGCTTCCAATTCTACGCCCTAGCATCCTTGAACGTACAATGCGTTTCTGACTTGGGTGTCAGCCATTGATGACGACTATGGAGTAGAGGCCAGACCATTCAAAAGGGATATAGGCTCAATTGTTCTCCATTGGATGGTGCCGTGCCAGAGAGGGGAGGGGGATGTAATGGTAGGTAGGTAAAACTATGAAATGGATTGCAGCGGTGGGGGGCTATCGAGGCTAAGAGGCTCCCGTCATGGAATAATCACCTTATCACGCTTATTACTTGGGTTGGCTTCGAAACCACGAGACTGTTCGAACTGGCATAAACTCCCAAGGCTATATGTAGCACAGTATCACTACCTAGGTATGCATGTACGCGTTCATGGGCTCTTCGGGCCCGCCGTTAGGCCCGAGGGGCCCAGCGGACAGTGCTCAGTAACAAAGGCCGCTCGACCCCAGATCCTATATCTTAGGCCATGTGGGCGTTCAGTACTACCATATGCTCCAAATTAATAATAAAGCCAGCGTCACCATCCCTTCAGCTGGCTAATCTCTATCTAGGCGGTTTCACAATTGTGGCAAGTGAACAAACCACGGTAACCATACTCAAATCCAATTCTTGATCCCAGCAGCACACACCTTGGGCGCCCATCGGTCCATGATGCAAGCAAGTCTGCCAATTGCTATGATAGAAGACGTAACTAGCATAGTCGCATAATCGAGGTCTTAACAGCCATGCGATCCCCTTCTTTTCTGGACGATCAAGAGCTGCTACAGCTATAATTATTGGCGCTACACTCCAAACCTTAACATTGCAATACGGAGTACATATGTACTTATATGAAACACGTGGCTGGACAAGTTGCCCACTCAAGCTGGCCCCCAATGCCAAACTGTCACTTCTCCATACTAGGGTTAGTGAGTGATGTCCTCTTCAAAGGGCCCTACCAGAAGCGACCGGAATTGCACTTGTCATGCGAGCCCATGCTGAGTCTGTGGTCATTGCCATCACTCAGGCGTGGAACATTGGACTCGCTTTTGCTAGGCTTACGCTATCATGGCGGTGCCCGACAATCTTTTGCGCAACACTACCGGTGGGTCTCACAGTTGGACTCCTCGTCCTCCGGTTGCCCATCCAAGATTGCGTGCATGGCATTGGGCGTCCCACCATCGATCAGCACTAGGACAGTTCATCTTGAGCTTGCCTGACAAGTCGAGAATGGTTGCTTAATAGAAACTCCCAAAGTTACCAATTAAGGATCGGTGGACCTTTTACTGTCGACGTTGCCATGAAGAGAACGCTCTGAATTATACAGTTTGGCCATCTACCGACAACTGTAGATGCTTTCGATCGGCATCACCAATGGAAATCCGCTCACAGAACACGGATAGCACTAGATACGCGGCGCTTCCTCTCTACTCGGCACAAGAGCCTCGTTTGGCAGAGAGACGGACATGGAAGCGGCAGACTTCTTCTTCAAACGTCGACCACTCTGCCGATTCAATGTTTGATGCCGATGGACCCATAGGCAGAACGACTGAAGCCCGTGGACTGGGGTTGACCGACGTCGATGCAGCCTCGTCTCGATATCAACCCCTTCCAAATCCACCCGCCCCGTCGTTTACTGCTTTGGATGGAACATTTAGTTCAAGGATGCCAAACAAATATGCCAGCCCTCCGTTGCTACAGGGTCAACAGTCCAGCCCTTTACGAACCGAAACCACACTTTCAATCGATGGCCCGACCCATAGTGAACATTCGTCCCTGTCCCATCTAGGCCCACCAACACCCAACTTTTTCACCTCTCAATCGGAACTGCTTCATCCTTCAAACAAAGCCGAGAATGCCTGTCCCAGTGATGGAGATGTTCTCACAAGCCCATGGTCATGGCATTCGGTCCCAATTCTTTTGCTGGCCTTGTATGCCACCGTCTTCTCAGCAATATTTCTTACGATAGCAATCATGAAACCAAGATGGGGAGAGAGGATCGGCACCCATGGAAGCCTCACCTTCGCCAATGCCTCTCTAATGAGCGCCATATTCGCCAAGACCATCGAACTGTCCTTTGTCACCGTCCTGGTCACCCTGTTGGGCCAGGTTCTGACCCGTCGAGCTTTTGCCAAAACCAACCCCCAAAAGGGCATCAGTATCGCCGAAATGAATATGAGAACATGGATCATGCAACCGGGAAATTTGATTGTCAATTGGAAAGAGTTTCGATACGCCAATTCCATTATTGGAGCGTTGGTGCTTTTAACTGCCCTGTCAGCAATCTGGTGAGCTGACCCCCCCTTCTGATATATCGTCTTCTCAACGGATTCGCACAGGTACACCACCGCAAGCGAGGCACTCGTCAGCCCCAAGCTCAAGTTTGGCCCTGTTGCCGATCGTATGCTGAGCGGCCGAGTTTCCACTGTGTATGCAAATGCCATGTATTTGGGCGAGACGTGTGAACGCCCTATTCAGCTTGCCGATGACGAGGCCAGCGCCACGACGTGCCTGCAGATCACCTATGCTGGTGCAAGCTTCAATCATTTTTCACACTATTTACGAAACTGGGAAAATGCCATTGGAGCTGGGAATGCGAGCTTGGGAGGGTCTTCATACTCGCAAAGACCCCCTCCGGTGGCGGTCATGTACGACAACACCACCATTTTTGGCCAATGGATCACTCCCAGCTCCGAAAATATCACCACCGACTCGAGGAGACATGGCAGATTGGTGGAAAATGTCACAATGGCCATGCCCCACGCCGGTATTTTCAACGCAGTAAGGGAACCTCGAAACCACATTATTCAGCCTGACGACCTTCAAGGCGCAGGGGAGTATCGTGTTCAAGCTTCAGTTCCAGCGCCTGCAATGAATATTCTTTGTGTCGGACTCACCTCGGAAGAAATGGCCCCAATGATTGTCAACGTCACAGACCCAACCAATTATGTTCCCAATCGTACCGCTGTCGACGACATTTTTGGCTGGAACCCAGACGCAGAGATCCCGGAGACACCTTGGTTCCCCAAGCTGCCTATTCAGTACAATACTATCGTTCATATTCCTCCGGTCTGGGGACCGCCAGCGGTATCACTTCTCGCTACCCCGGCGGAAGGAGCCAGTACCAGCGACCATGTCCTATGTACCATTCGATCTACGCAGTATCGAGATTGCACCACCTGGTATAACGTCGCGCAATCTGGCGGCCTGCTCAAGGTGCATTGTGACGACGATCCTGACAATACCATACCTTACCAATCGTCACAACCAGATGCTCCAATAGGAGTGTGGGAAGCCAACTGGAAAGACATAGGTGGAGAATGGATTCGATCTTTGGCACTCAACAACGGGGTTTCTGATGCCAACGCCAGTTCTGCTCGACTGGTCACACAATTTATCCCTGACTGGTCGGAGAATACCGATACTATTCTCCCTTCCAACCGGCCTACGATCGCCGAGTCGTTGGCGGTTCTGGCCGGTGGGACAGCCCTTCTCTCAAGCCTCAATGCGCCTTTTGATCATATATGGAACTACACCGACACGATTCTCGAAGAACCTGTGTACCAGACATTCCGCGCCAGGTACAGCTATAAGGACTATGCCTCGGGTGGGACGCAGAACTGGCAAGGCATATTCTACGTCATCCTAGCCGTGGTTTTCCTTTTCAATCTAGCAACCCTTTGCTATCTATCCTGGAATTTCATCCGACACGGGTATGTCACAGACTATACCGAGCCACAAAATCTTTTCGCCCTAGCCATCAACAGTCCGCCGAGCACCGCCCTGGCCGGGGCGTGTGGAGCTGGTCCCTCACGCAAAGCGATGTCCAAAAAATGGAATGTAGACATGGCGCGGACAGATACAGATGTGGATGGGTTTTCATATGAGCCCCAAGCGATCGGAAGCCGACACCCTCATTTCTTTATCAGATGTCGAGAAGAAGAGCTCAGTCCTATGATCTCCCAAAGTCATCCAGTGACCCCTGTCTCAAGAGGACCCAAGTATAGGCGGCACCGGCCTCCAACGATGAATGATGCTGTCTACGGCGCAGAGTCGCCATTGATCGAGCAATATCAACGACTGGCGAGCAGTCGATAACCAGCAAAACAGTCATACCCTATTGTCGAGCGCAATACAATGTAAGGGTTTTAGCATAGCGCGGGGTTCAACTAGCTTAGAATTGGAGCAGTGAGGATACAACTCCAGTCATGGGCTACAAGGCCAACAGAAATCATCGAGTAATCCCAATATAGGTACATTATTGAATCCAAAGCAGGCTGGCCTGTTGTTGGCTGTTGGTCTGTGTGAGCGTGTCGAGCCAGGCCCAATATCAACGTTTACCTACTATTCCATTCATAGAAAGTTTGCCGAATGGACTAACCAAGTTAGGTACACCTCGCAACTCTAAGCTCACAAAATTGTTCCTTCCGCCATGAAGGCCAACTCAACTGCATCCTCGAAGCAACCATCTTTTCTCTTCGCCCGCTGATCACAACAAGCAACATACCTCCAGCCCAACCGCATCATGCTACGATAAATCTCAGCCCGAACGTGTCCTCTATGCACGAACTGTGCTCTTAACAATGTCCCCTCGCGCAGCCCTAGCTGCTTGCAAGATCTCGCCAAAGTCCTCCATCTACACCCTCTGCAAACCATGCCTCACCCGTACCTTTTCTGCCTCACGCACATTAGCAGATGCTGAAGATGACGAGCTCCGTCCTGCAACCAACTTGGATAAGAGACCACCTGGTCCCTCCGCACAACGGCAAGCCATGTTCAACTGGCTTGAAGGACCTGGTTCAGCTTTTCGCTACCCTCTACCAGGCTCCACAAACTACTTGTCGGCCTACAATCAAGCTGGCCAGCTGGTAAGAGCGGCCCAATCCGGGAATGTATCCGTGAAACAAGAAAACTCCGAGGGAACGGTTGACACCGACGATGCAAGAGCTCTGGAAGCTGCCGCCACCACCCCGTCGATCCCACCAGAGAGAAGAGAAGACCTCCGGCCTTTTCCCAATAACAAAGCGTTCTACTCAGAAAGCATCTTGTCAGAAGACCTGAGGCTTGAAATATGGAGACGCGTCCAAGTTGAAGGTCAATCTATTCGGCAAACGTCAGCAGAATTTCAGGTGGAAATGCGGAGAGTGGCCGCCGTGGTGAGGCTGGTCGAGATCGAGAGAAGAATGAAGGCAGAGGTATGTTTGGTGAACCTAGCATTTCTTCAAGACAATTCCTTCCCCAGTCCAGCAATGATGAACACCAAAATCGATTAGTCTTCCAGACTTCCAGACATGGTGAACCTAACAAAACAAATTACAACTCTCTGATTTGACTTCTTTTATCAATACCAAAGCATAGCATGTTCCCTCTGAGAATGACCCTGACTAACAATCTGTCAACGTCACTAGGGCAAATCTCTCGCTATACCCTACGCCCGCGCCATACATTCTATGGTTCCCACTACGAACCTGGATCCAATCAGCAGGCAGCCCGACTCTGCCCATGAGTCTATCAACGACCTCGAACAACATCCTCTGACCTTTCCTCAACTTTTCTACCCGACCTCCGAGTCTCGCGCATTCAATCGAACCGATGCCGGCCGAGTCTTCAGTGGGGCACCACGCCTTCCTGACCACGACGACTATGCTCCCGTGGAGCCTTGGCAAGACGATACACCCGAGCTGATCGGGAAAAGAGGCCATGAGAAATATGTACTCAAACCAGCCGATAGCAGAATTCCTCACCCACATTTGATCGCTGCGGAAAAAGACCGCTTCATGGGTGAGACTCCAGCGCAACAAGTCCGAAAGTACAATCAACGGCTACAGGAGGATGCCGAGAAGAGGAAAAAGCTACAGGCTAAAAGAGAGGCTGCTGAAGAGGGCACAAAGACGAGGATTGAAGCTGGCCGTTGGCAGTTTGTTGTCACCGATGTTCAAACTTCAAGACAGGGCACTGGGATCAACGGTCGCGGCACCGGAAGTCCTGGACACCGGTACGGTGTGCCTAGCGAGGAGAGGAAGCGAGGCAGAGTCAAGATCCCCACCAAGGTCGATGTATGAGCGAGTGATCAGAGTGTCTGGCATTGCGGTTCAACATGTGCGCATCAAATACCCTTGTGGAATGAATGCATCCACATGTTAGCGATCCCGTTACTTGTGTCAGGCTTTGCTCCTGATCTTGTTCAAGATCATGTCATTTGTCTCCATTCTGTGGAGCAGTGTATAATAACTCATCATAATGGCCATGCATGATCGTCCAGGTGTCGATACATGAGTCGCCCTGGTTCAAGACTTTCTCGATTAAGTCCAGGTGTTTATTACCCCATATATTCATTCAGTCATAGCCATGAAAAGGAAGAACCTAGATGTCGTGCAAGATTTTCTCTCCCGCTCTTCCTGAAGCTGCCTTGATCGCATAAAAAAGACATCATCATACCTCTTCCACCACCCTCTTCTCACTGCTCACCCGAGTACTCGGGGGTTTGGCGAGCAACTTTTTCCGGGTCAGCTTGCCACAGATGGCTGTTTTGATGACGGGTAAGGGGTCCCTAGCTTCGGGCAATACGAGCAGGAGGAAGACAACGGCCACTCCGGCCGTGGCGGGTAAAAATCCGTAGAAATAATGCGCCCCGGGTGCAAAGTCATGGGGCAGGCTGAAGATGGCACAGGCTAGTGCAAAGGGGGCATAAATTAGGGCGATAATGGTCAGGTAGCGCGAATAGTCGGCGTGACGAATTGACTCGGTCTTGATGATGTTTAAGGATGCGGTGTCTTGATGCTGTGATACGGCGAGGATGTGTTGCATTTGAGAATCGCATTCCGCCCGATAATGATGCAGGTCGATCAGTAACGACCGGTAGTCATCACTCAAATCGGCATTGTGGGAGACAAATGCCTTGTTTTTGGTCAGAATCGGTTTGTACCGGCTCAGCATCGAGTCGAGGGATATGCATCGGTCCAAGGCGCGCTTGGCCTTGATGGAATCCGAGGCAAGCATCGTTGAAATCGGCTGACTTTCTAATGTGGCTCGGATGTATTCGAAGAAATTGGAGCATTCACTCGCGGCGATTTGAAAGGCCGGTTTCATCAGCGACAACATGGTGATGGAACCAAAGTCGACTTGGTCTGGTCTCGACATAATTGACCAATGTCGACACAGATCATCGAATGGATTCGGACACATGGGATTTGTGGTACAGTTTCGATAGTCATGATCGTCTTTGCTGGCTGGCGGGCGCGCTTCAAGGAAATCAAGATAGCCTCCCAAATATCCCGTGACATCAAGTCGCTGAGTAGGCGAATATGCTGCAAAGGTTGCATCTGATCCAAGCGTGAAGAATGAGATAGGAGGGTCGACCAACACGACACCTGATAGTCGTTAGGAGAGTTTCCGAGAAGAAGGGGGGGGGGGGGGGGGGCAAGCGTCGCAACTTACAGATCCAAGGCTCAAAGGTCTTCTTCATATAGAAGGATATCTTGCGTCGCGCGAGGGCTACTTTCTGTTTACCATGTCTCGAACAAACCTCCACTCTTCGACGATAGTTTCCTTTGCAATACAGTTTCTCAATGTCCACATCCTTGCCGCAATTGTTAGTGACAAAGGCACACGGGTATTCGATGGTGAAGAATTGTTTCTGTTGGCGAAGATTGCTCGAAGCCAGAGGTGGGCCACTATGGATCTCTCCATTTATTCCCATTCCTGAATCGGCGAGGTGCGAGGCAAAGAAAGCTGGTTCCAAGTTGAGCAAGCCCCCCAGAGTGTCTACAGTCTCTGGGTTGATGTTGTTGACCATGATGATCCGGCCTTGGACATTTGAGGGCTGGGGGCTACCCGTGGGTTTCTTGGTCCACTCCCTTAGGAGGAACTTCATCTTGGAGGAATCTGTCATGTCAGATGTCCGAAAGTAGTTGGTACCGAATTCGAGCAGGATTGACGAGGCCCGTTGAGGTTGCTGGGAATTGGGGTTCTTGAGGGCATCCATCCCCCACTGAAGGAACTCATCTAGACCAGCAAGGTTGTGAAATCCATGGCTGCGCAAAAAACAGACATAATCGGTATATGTCCAGCGATGGGGATCTGCCGGAGCCATAGTGCAAGTATTGCAACCCGGACCTCCAGGCTCTAGTGGCATCACAGACAGATTCGACAAAGTTCGACAAAGGAAACGAAGCTGCTGTTATGGATAAATGGTGGATTGGGTCTGTGCAACTTTTTCTGCAGTGACGACTCTGAGGATTGCATGCATGAACAGAGACGGGAAAGCTTGATCGAGTCCCAAGTGACAAACGCCGGTCGCATGGTCAACATGTAAAGCTGTCCAAGGTGGCCTGCAGCAGTTATGGCGACGGCTGGGAGACAAGGTTGTGAGCATGCGTGGCGACGCCATTATTGGATCGCCTGAGCAGGGATACGAGTATTATGGGCGTGAACCTTGAAACCTCAAGCTAGTGTTGTTCATAAGGTTTGATGCGTACAGTACGGAGTAGAGAAGCTGAATAGCGTCTTCCTTTCGGACTGTAAGAATAGGAAAGGCCATGACTTGGTGACATGTCGCAAGGACGGGTAGCGGCGCAAGCCTGGTTTGATTCTTCATGGGAAAGAACGAAGTTCGACAAGATTCATTACCTCTTCAGGTTCGACATGATCTTGATTGTAGCGCATGTTTCGCGCAGCAATTATGCGCTTGCTTGCAGTTTGATCCGAATTGGAAGCCACCGGGCAAGAGGACGGTAGCCATTATTGGTGAAGACTTATGATGCTTCGTCTCCCTGCCACATGCCCAGGTAAGATGTGGAAAGGTGGCTCGCTTAACGTTGAACTGGAGCTGTTGGAGGACGAATCACCTCTTGAAGGGGACTGAGTGGAGTCTAGTCTCTGCACCAACTTCCATTGCCCAGCCATCTCGTTTGTTTGTGACGAACTGGCCTGGGACAACAGGGCCGAGAACATGCAATGCAGGGCTCCGAACAATGAGGTGAACTAGAGGCGCAATGCGAAGGGTGTGGATGCTGTACTGCATCAATTGTTGAGCTGCGTGTCTTACCGTATGAACAGAACGGTGACGCTCAAGCTTGGGGCAGAGAAAGGACAAGGTGCAGGTGGGGGACAGAGTGAAATTCGGCAAAATTGCCAAGCTATTCTCATCTCAATCTTGGCATATTTGTCGGCATGAGAACGCGGTCACCACGATCTGCGACATACACATCTCCTCTGGAATTGTCCATTGAACCAACTGCGCAGGGAAGCATGGGGACCGGAGATCCAGAAACAGCCGCTCGTACCACTCTTGCCTTGTTAGAGACACGTCTTCGCCGGCTAGAATTCCTTCTCAATGGGACCACCAACGAGCATGGAGTTCCACATACATTGCCTGTCACCACCAAAGAAAGTGATATGGTATGGACCAAACTGAATGCGCTCGACTCTCGGTTGGCCAGTCTGAAGAAAATTGGAGGCCTTGCTGAGAGCGTGGTCACAGATATAGAGCGTCTATGTAGGTATTGAATCAGTGTTTTCGACCAAGCATTCAGCCTGACAATATCGCAGCAAATGTTCATCCGGATTTATTTTCGTCGTCCAATGCGAAAGATGCCCCTATCCCGCACAGTGAAGATATTGCCACGCTCGCCGCAGTTGTTCTTTCCCACGCAAGTCTTTTCTCAGAGACTGATGCTCGTCTTTCCTCTCTCCAAACACTTCAGATTCCCTCGGCCGAAAGCAGTTCAAAGCTCTTGGCTCTCAAGCCTAGACTTGACCAATGTGAAGAGGCGCAGCGGGAGATAGACACGGAAATACGAGAGCTTCGCGAACGGAGCGCAAGATGTCTAGAATGGTGGGTTAAGGTGGGAGTTGTCGGAACCGGTGATCTATGGGAAAATTGGGAGAGCCGAATTACTGATGTAGAGAGGAATACAATACGACGGGAAAAGAGAGCGAAAGAAGAGCAAGGATACCTATGACGGGTTACCTACAATGTGGTGTCTATCTCGTTCCCATGTCAACATGTGTAGTTGACAAGAAAGCTCTTTCTCCGAGCGCAACGGCTATGACGTCGACATAGGTCTTTATCCACCAGCTCGCAAGACCATAAAGTTGGACAATTATTGACTAGAAGACTAGGTCCACAAAGACGCGTGAGTATGAGTTACAAGACCTGCAGCAGGTGGCAGAGCTTGAACATATGAGAATCAAAAGTGGTACTCCTGCCATTCATGATTTTTGATGGCAATCCAGCGATGTTGTTCTGGTTTGGTTAGCGAGGCCCAGACCAAAATCAAAATATACAGTGATCGAGGCTGCTCATCAAGCTCAATACTACTCCGTATGCTGCATAAAACACATACCAGACCGTTTGAGTGAATTGCATGATTTGAGAAATCCGTTAATCTCCAACCTCTTTGTAAATTGACAGGTGCCAGATTAGGCCAAGACCAGGCTTTCTGTGGCGTACCTTGGACCACTGTGGAGGCGAGGTTGATGGGTCGAGAACAAAGATTCCGAGAGACAGGGTACTTACGCGTCTCACCCAATGGCTCTGGTCTAGAAGAAGCATAGGCGTGAAGCCCCCCGTTTCAGTTTATCGTGATTACAGTTCGGATCACCAGCCAGCCGTGTGTCACTGACCTACACCAGTCTTTTTTGACTAAATGTTGCCAAAAATCTTCTTCACGTGGGAACAAATACAGAATGATGCCACAGCGATCGCTGAAGCACGAAAGCATGATTGCGATCTGGTTTCGAATCAATACGAGTAAGCACACCTAGCACGGAATGCTTTGTAGCCGCTACGTGACACAAGCCATAATCCAAGCGCGTGGCCTGGTGAGACGGATTCGACTCCGAGGTACCTCCCCAGGTTACTAAGGGGAATGATAAGTGGCATTGATTATTACATGACATGTCAAAATGTGTACATGTACAAAGAGGCAATCCTGCAAGATTTCAAGCGATGTCGGTCACTTTGACCTGGTGGTCGGATTTGATGGAAGTCGAAATTTCGCAGTTGAAATTGTCTGGTCTAACATAAACCAGCATGACCAGTCAACCTGTGAGGGTAAAGTTTGACCAGAGGCGTGGTAGAAGGAAGATCGACATTGGGCACACCCTAATTTGAAACGTGTTGCATGGGTCTTGAACGGCCGAGGGGCCTTCCAGGGCCCTGGGGCGCGTTGGGGCTCCTGAAAGGCCGAGGCGGCTCCTTTCTCAGAGCTTGTTCGGCGCCCGGTGCCTGGATTTGGCATGGCCTGGTTAGAGCCTGGCTAGTAGCAAGTCATTGAGGACAACGGTACTCGCCCCAGTCGGCAAACCCATGTTTCTTCCCGTTCTTCACCCCTCGACCACCCACAAGCACCCATCGGTAATCCCTTGGTCCTGGGGGTGAAGTGTACGGAGTAGGCGCTGCTACACTGCTGAGACTCCAAGATCGAGCCTGCGGGCTCTTGTCTGAAGGCAAATCTCTGCCAACCTTTCCACCTCGACTCTGCACTTCTGATTCTACTCCTCTGATCAACCCTCTCATCTCCTGAGCCCTGACCGTCTTGACCCTCTGACCCTTCACATTCTTTCTTTTCCACCACCGCACAGCCCATCAACTACCGTCATCACCACTCCTACCACCACATCCTCCCACATTCGTTCAGGCTCCATCTTTCTTTCACCTTTCTTTGTTTCAATCTCTATTCGCCTTCATTCACAGAGTCCATACAATCCGGCCTTGTTGTCGACTCCTATACTTGGATTTCCCCTGCCTTCGCCTCGACCGGCAAATCGAGAACCCTCACCCAACCAAAGAGCACAGCCTCCCAAAAGCCCGGTCCAACTCCCAACCAACCTCAAGAAACCCTCGTGCAAAGACCTTTTGTCTCACACTCCTTCGCCATCTCTCCATTCCTCTTATCCGCCGAAGGTACAAGTCGCCGATTACCTCCAATACACTCTCTTGACATATTCTTTACCATCGCCCGCTCCTCGATCCCTTCATGCCCAACTACGGATCCCTACATTCCCCCTCTCTGAAGAAATACAACACTATGGCCGAATACCGCAGAGGCGGGAGGTTCGAGTTTGGAAATATCATTGGGGATCCTTTTGCGCTGGCGACCATTTCAATCAGCTTGGTGCGTCGTTACTGAACTCCTGCTTGCCTCTGCGATAAAATTATGCTAACCACCAAACAGCTTGCATGGTTGATCACCTTCATCTCCTCGATTGTCGCTCAAGTTCAACCTGTGCCCGAGGGTGAACAAGGCTTCCCCAAATATGCCTGGTGGGCCGTTGTCTTTATGCTGTGCTGCATTGTAGGCATCACCTATGTCTTTGCAACCGGAACTACAGCTGTCTACCATGTTGCGGTAAGCGCTATTTTCTGATCGTATTCTCAACATGGCTAACACGCGTCTAGATTGTTGGTTATCTTGCCGCCGGCATGGTCATGACCACTTCCTCCGTGAATTACCTCGTCTATCAACCTCAAGGTTCCATGGAGGCCGCCGCTGCAGGGCACATTTTACTTTCCATCGTCGCAGTAAGCGCATGAACTTGTCCAGACCGAAAATCAACGTACTAATTGTTTCAGATTATTTGGATATTCTACTTTGGATCTACTCCTGCTGCGCCTGTCCGCGTCTTCATCGATCACTTTGCACTAAACAAAGAGTCAAACGACTTCCGTGGCCCAGTGCAGAATATGAGCAATGTTTATAACCGACCTGATGCCACAGCCGCTCAACCTCCCCAGATGTACACCTCAGCACAGCTCAACGGCTTCGAGACCTCATCTCCAGTATCTGGCTATCCTGGCGGACCTGCAGGCTCAACAGTGCGGGCTTCCACCCAACGAATGACCAACCTCGCAAGCACACCCGCCCCAGCCCCTGAAGCAACACAACCAGCTGAATACCCTTACAAAGCGAAGGCCATCTACAGTTACGAGGCAAACCCTGATGATGCCAACGAAATCAGCTTCAGTAAACACGAGATCCTCGAAGTGTCAGACGTGAGTGGTCGGTGGTGGCAAGCAAAGAAAGAGAATGGCGAAACCGGTATCGCACCTAGCAACTATTTGATCCTGTTATAGGACCACCTGAGTCTACACCAACAATACTGGTGTCGAGACATCGCTCCCATGTGCAGGGTCGGTTCACGATACCACTCCTTGTCATGTTATTAATGACCTATTACGAACAATCCATTTCTTTATTGCACATTACCATTACTCTTGGGGTCATTGGAAGGCGACTGGTCGAATTGCATCAGGGATATCGTCACCCAATCGGCTGCGAGCCGTATTTCGATTGGAGCAGCTTGCTCCATGAACACGCAGGATTTGAGTGACAACTTTCGAGGGGAAACTCAGACCACGTTCAAGTTCACAGAGCTGTCGGGATACTACGGATGTCCTTTTTGGAGTACGGACGATCGCGTTCACCATTGTACAGGCGTCGAGGCGCAATACCCAGGTGGACAGCAGACTTGATACGCAGGGCGAAATCGGCACAGTTGCTCATCTCTTTTCAAGCTTGTTGAAGGTACAGACAGAACCTCGCGGGAATTTCTTAAATTTTCGATATTCGGTCTCCAATGTCTGATAGGATACCTTCAGTGTACGTTTACGCATCCATGGCGAATTGGCAAGCTTTGTCACAACGTTATGCCAAAAAGTTCACGATATTGAGGAATCGCAGAGGGGAAGGACCAATTTGCACATGTGTGTTTTCTTGAGTGAAACGACGATAGGGACGATCTTTTCTTCTTTCCTTTCCCAACCTGCGTTGGATGTGAGCTGTGAAGGGGAATGGGAGATAGACAGATGGAAATGTCAAGATACGCATGCCTGCGGCTCATAACAAATCAGAGTTCCTTCTTTGTATATGCAAGCCTTCTCCATGTCTAAAGCGATGTGTACAACGACCTATTGAGTCAACAGAGGGATGTTTCTCCTTAGTCGACCGAAAAGCAAGAGAATTCACTGTTGACCCTCGAGCATTCTCAAGCAACATTTTATGCTCTTAGTAGTGCATCTCTGCGACGACCATCAGTATCACTAGCTAAAAGGACAAGAATCCAGACAAGGAATCGCCAAATCTAATGTTTCTCTAAAGATACAAAGCATGTAAACTGAAGTGGGTATACTGCAAAACTAGTCCCATGTTCCCATTGAGCGTCAACTCCAATTCAAGCATAACATATTCGCAACAAAACTTCATAGGTATTGGTTATCGTTTGGGCTCAGGCATCGTCAAGAACCCATCCTCCTGTCGACCGTAGGACGAGTCATAGGCGGAATTGTAAGATTGAATCCCTAACCCTGACGAATTGAGTGGACTCTGAGGCTGCTGGGCCGGCATATGCGCAATGTCATTATGATCGTTCTGGACAATGGGGGCATATTCGTCCTCGACTGAGGGTTTCTGGCCATAGTCTGGCCGACAGTCATTGTCTGTGCCATCTTCGACATCATCATGCATGTTACTGGAAAATGCGGCCTGACTCTGTGCAGAAAAGTCGCTGGGATATCCTTCTGTTTGCCTCGTGTTGGGCATCATGCCAGTCCGCTTGTAGGTCATGACTGCTCGGAAGGAGATGAAAGCCGTGGCACCAAAAAGGAGCATCTCAATGACGCCGAAGGCGATGATGGCCTCGCTGAGTCTGCATCGGCTGGGACTTCCAAACTCAAAATTATCACAACCACTTTCATCCGTGTTGTCACCATTACCTTTCCCCTGGTTGACATATGATGCTACTGCCGCCCATGCACTAAGCCACAGCACGATGCTGAGGCTATCCAAGGTTGCAAAAGCGTACACGTTGGCAAATTTGCGTGCTCGAGACCACATGGGTACCATTACGAGGTATACTAGGATCGGGATCGTCAAGAAGCACTAAAGTTGTGTCAGTCGAGGTGTCAATGCTTGTAGATCCACCACCACCCACCAACCCGAAGTACCACCCAACTCTTCCATCGCTGCGACCGTCTCGAGTCAACACAGCGATTGTAAGAACCCAGGCCAGGAATAAAACTACGGCCTGACCAGCGTGGATGTGATTTTTGAGTTTGCCAAATTGGTCCAATTGTAGACGCATGGCGATGGTGAGGAAGAAGAGAGGATGCTGAGGGTGCAAAAGCTGAAGTCGGCTTTCGGATGTGAGGGTCACCGTTGTGAGGCTTCGCAGCCTTTCCCTCGCATATGAAACAGTACTAGGTCGGAGGTTTCGTAAAGGAGAAACAAAACGGTGTCGTCGGTGTCTAGGGGGAAGGAAAGAGAGATTGGCAGTATACAACGGAATAGACGCTAAGAGCCACCATGAGGGTATCTAGGAGAATGAAAAGCAGAAAGCTGAACGAATGAAAGAGGTGTGAATAACAATATGAAAGTGCAGTAAGCCTTATGGTGTCGAGACGCGCCAGATCCGTTTGCTCAGCCTCCTGACGCAGCTGGTTGTTGGCAGCTCGTGACCACTGACTACTTGTATTGTGGCTTGCGGGGTCCAAAAATCCTCGGTAGGCCCCCCGAACTCCACTAAGTACCTAGGCTGGCACCACTGATATGTCTGAGAAGGGTGGGATATCGTCGAAGATGGCTGTTTACTGCGACAACAATTTGTCAAGTGCTAATGGATCAAGGCAGAATCCAGTAGAGAAAAAGAGTGTCATCTCACGCACATTTTCCAACCAACTGAAAAGTATGAGGGTGAATGGCGATACTTATTATATCCCTTGTTCTACATGCCTGGTATTTCTGTGATATACTCACAAGTTGAAGGAAGCGAGGCCATAGTCAAACTCTCATACTATGCTACAGGGGAACCAGCAGGTCATACATGTAGATAGGTAGATACCACTATCTCACGATGTGGATGATCGGAGGGTGATATGAACGTTCCGTGCCGCACCTGCCAGATGGACAATCTTGAACATCTGTGCACATAGAGTCTACCACTAAGGTACCACCAAGCGGGCCACGCCCACATGATTTGATCCTGACGACAGGCGCCTCGGGCTTAGTATAACACTCACCTAGCCACCTAGGGTCGCTGGGAGAAGCTGAGGTCTATGAGTAATAAGGCAAAGACTGAACAGTCACATGACCTAATCCGTCCATGTCTGTGGCATTCAGGCACGCTTCCTGGCACTCCAGGTTGCATGTGTTTCTAAGCTGCAAAAGGCAAAGTCAGGAATGAGCCAACGTTTGCTTTGCGCAACTGTAAGCTTTGGATCTTGCAGCAAACATGCAACTGGCCAGCACCGGCGTCTCTAAACTGATGCACAACATCCAAGAAATCAAGCGATCAATTTTGATGAGTGAAACAACTTGTTGATATATCTCATTCCTCTAGAAAGCTGCAGTGGCCAAATATAACCTTGTGTGGTCGGCTAGACTACCACTTCACTTAGGCCACTCGAGACCAGGCTTCAAGGCAGCAGTGCAGTCAGACGGCATGAATGCCTTCACTACCTTAGGTACTTGGTGGCTTGTCACCCAAAGTCTGTGAGTCGTGAGTCGTGAGTCTGCGAGTCTGTGAGTCTGTGAGTCGGTGGTTAGCAACCACGCTAACCTCCACTCGCGACTGCCAAAAACCGTCGCCTGCTAAATTATAATTATTTTCTCGCCTGCGAAACCCCTTGGAATCCTCTCTCTCTCTTTGTTTCCATCAACCATCCATCCTTCTTCTGACCACAACCCGTGCTCATCTTCAATTTCACTTGAATCTAGGGCACTCAGCTACCCTTCACACCCCTCAACCAATCTACATTCCCAAGGCAGCCTTTTAGCTTCCTGAGTCACTTCCATCCACAAGTCCATCATTCCTCTAACGTCCAAACATACTTGTGCCTCAGCGACAATGTCTACTGCCGTCGACAATCTTGCCGATAACCTTAAAAATGCCAGCTTGACCGAAGCGTCCAATGCCAACAATGAGGCAGTCCTGGCATCTGCTGCAGAAGGTCGTCGATTGTACATCGGGAATCTCGCTTACGCGACAACTGAGGCGGAACTCAAGCAGTTCTTTTCAGGCTACGACGTGTAAGTTTGCCACCCAAAATTTACCTCCATCAACGGGCTGACCATGCCTTCTCTACAGCGAGTCAACATCCATCCCCGTCAACCCTCGCACCAATCGCCCCGTTGGTTATGCATTCGTTGATCTAAAGACTGCTGAAGAGGCCGAAAAGGCGATTGCAAACCTTTCTGGGCAAGACATCCTAGAGCGCAAGGTCTCGGTTCAACTTGCTCGCAAGCCTGAGCAGACTGCTACCACCGAGGCTGCAGCTGACGGCACCGACGGCGACTCCAAGAAGACAGCTGGACGTGGCCGTGGTGGGCGTGGCCGTGGCCGTGGTGGGCGTGCTCGGGGAGGTGCAAGAGCAACTGTAAGATCTGAACATCTGATTCCAATGAATGTCCTGTTCTAATTTGTTAGGATGGCCCCGTCACTGACATCTCGGAAAATCCTTTGCCATTGACCGATGTCACCGCGGACGCCAACAAAGCTACCACCGAAACCGATGCAAAGGCTCGTGCTCCTCGTCCTCCCAAGCAACGTGGCCCTCCTGAAGACGGCATTCCATCCACCACCAAGGTCATGGTGGCCAACCTTCCATATGACCTCAGCGAAGAAAAGGCAAGCAATTCTCGGTCCCCTCCACTCGGCGTAAGTATGACAAACTAACAATGTGTATAGCTCAAGGAACTCTTTGCCGCTTACGAGCCCAGCTCTGCCAAGATCGCTCTACGCCCTATTCCTCGCTTCATGGTCAAGAAGCTTCAAGCACGCAACGAACCCCGCAAAGGTCGTGGCTTTGGCTTTGTCACACTCGGTTCCGAGGAATTGCAACAAAAGGCCGTCAACGAGATGAACGGAAAGCAGATTGAAGGTCGGGAGATTGCCGTCAAAGTTGCCATTGACAGCCCTGGCAAGGAAGACGGAGCTGAGAACATTGAGAACGGTACCAACGGTACCACCGAGGAGGTCGCCACCGCCTAATTTACTGGCTACAGCGAGTCTCCCAACACTCTGGTATTCTTTTAGAGGGGCATTCAATTAAATCTGGGAAGGCTTCATTGCTGTTTCCAATCTTTGATGGATGGCCGGACCTGAAATATCAGACAAGTCAACTAAGGTTATGACACGGCCTGGACCAACATATATCTATTATGCCTAGCTGGCTGCGTCTAGCAACACCTTAATATTATTTGAACCTAGCGTTCGCATCTCCATATTTTGCACCTGCCAACATTGGTTTTGTATTTTACTTGTCGAGAGTTGCCCGAGGAGATTCCCCAACATGACGAGACAACCAAAGTGCTTAACGCTTCAACGCTCGAAGGATGGCCTTGGTGGATGTCTGAAGCCAATGTCAGTCACTGGTAAGGATTGCCCGAATTTCATCCGTCGCCATGTCACTCCAGCTGGCGCTCGTAGCTCTCCACATTCCTTAACACCAGCAAGAGAATGCCGTGCATGTGAAGACACCACAGTCGACTTGGCAAATACATTTCAACAAATCTCAAGGACCATGTGAAAACTCCATGATGACAACGGGATCCGCCGTGTCTAACGCCCGGAGAACGGCATTCAACCCTTTGACGAGGGTGGATGAGAACAGATAGCACGTGCACATTGATGTCCTACAAGACAGGGTAACGTGGTTCGATGATAACAGAATTGTTTCACCATGAGGTGACAGGGTAAGAAATTCACCGAGATAGTGCCCTGGGAATTGCTTTTCTGCCCTCGTGCCACGCCATACTGATAAATCGGTAATCCAGGAACTAGGAAGCTGGGGTCGAAGCATCGATCAACTGTCGAAGCTAGTGGAATTCAAGGCTAGGTTGGTGGAGATGCCCTTCGAGCTACAGCACGCTTAGAAGTCAGAACTGACGTTGTTGGTGGCAGGCAAAGCCTCATCAAAACTCCTGGGCAGAGTTAAAAGGCACGGGTGGCTTTTGACTTGGCACGATGGATTAGCATCGATTTTGCGATGATTCAAATGCGCGCAACACTGATGAGAATAATACGGGTGTTATGTTGCAAATCAGAGTTTTCTCCATTATTTGGAATGCTCCAAAGGGCCTACACATGAACCATGGCTGACAAAAATAGCACCAAATCCTCATGTAGGGAAAATTTCGACACGGTCGGGAAAAAGGGAATCACGGACTCGCGGGTAGCAACGTCATGGGGTGTCATGGGTGGTCATAGGGTGGCTATGGGCGGCGGGTGCCTAGCGGCGGCCAGGACGCACCGTCTTCTGCTAAAAGGCGTTTGTGCCTGTCAAGGCAGTGTCCAGCGAGCAGGCGCCACGAACCATTCAGCCATTGCAAAGACACCCCTATCGGAAATCCTCGATGCCAATGTCATTCTATGGCCTGGTTCCCTTGCTCCCCGTGTGCCTAGGTAACTAACTAAAGACAATTTGTTGGACCGAACTTGCAACCCACACGGAAATCTGGCAACCACCACCCATTGTTGCGCACCTCTACCGAGATTCCCTCCTTCTCCTTCCAACTGGTCATATTTCAATTTGCTCCTCATCACATCTCACTGCTCATGTCCTCACATTCTGCAGCGTTTCATTGCTTCTAATCTGGTTGTTTTGCATCATCGTATCCATTCATTTCAACTTTCCACACACGAGCCGAGGTCAGCCTTTTTGCCCGAACCAATTTGACAACACATACGATCACGCGCCTTGTCAGCCACGACGGTCTTGAGACCCTGCTATCTCTGCGTTGGATTTGTCCATGCCTACTTTCCCAACCTGACTATTCTATCGCAGCCATTTTCTACCTCGGCGCAATCGATTTTGGAATCGGGCGGGCTCGATTTCATCTCCCATTGAGATCCCATCTCGCTCATGGCTCCAGATTCCCCAACTCATGCATTCGACCCAACTCCTGCTCTCGAAAAAGACTTGGATAACTTCTCTCCTCTAAACCAGCGAGCAGCGACTCCCTCTCTTCCTGACGATGCCGGTGGCGATGGAACCTCTAAGACCGTTCGCTTCTCGCACCCTTCCTCCATGCCTAGCCAAGGCCGGCACTCGATTGCGACGACAACCGTTCCGCTACTAACGCAAGTCCCTTCGGCGAGTGCAGTTCCCAAACACCTCTTCACAATTCAAAACCCGAAGCCAGGGGTGGACATCACCTTGTACATGGATCAGTGTAGGAGATGGAATACTCAACTAAGAGAGGCACACGACAGCGAGCGCAAGGCCTGGGAAATAGAACGAACCGCACTCAAGGCACGCATTACAGAGTTGGAAATGAGTGTAAAAAGGGCCAGAGATCCAAAGCGGCGGTCTAGTAACGACTCTTATGGGACAGGCCAACAGTCACTGAGATCACAGTTTCCAACCTTCAATGCTCCTTCAAATGGCACCAATAAGGGGTCCATTTTGGCTGAATCCGGAAACCTGACATCCCTGCCCGTGTGGAAAGGGCCCGAGTTTACACCTCCAGTGACCAGGGTGTTCTCGAACGATGATGACCTGGATATCAATCATCTTCCAAGCATTTCGGAAAACGAACCAATGGATCCACTGGCCAAGGAAGTCTCTCCAGTAGAGAGCGTGCCGGTCCCCATTGAGCAACTAGACAGTTCTCTCGACGGCATCACGCTCAAGTCGTCTGCTCTGACCTCATCCTTCAACAAAGTAACCAGCCCTTTAATCCATTCGCCTCTCCAGTCGCCCTCGGCTCGACCCAGCGCTACAGCGGCTGGACTTTTGCAGGTTGACTTCAAGGGCCTTTTATCTCCCTTGGACGAGAAATTGAAGCGACACGCTGGTCACACGCCAATGGCATTTAATGGGACCATTTCGACAAGTTCGGCCAGCTCGGAGAGGGTGACACCCAGACAGGAAAAGCCCGCAGCTCCTGTACCTACGAGAAGACCGCCACTTCGGCCGTCTGAGAATTCCGACTCATATTTTTCCTTTACCTCGGAAGCCGTAGATCACAACAACGGCGCTCCACCAACCATTCCCGAAGAGTCGGAAGAAACAGACCTGCAAAACGACGACGTACATGACACAGACGATGACCCCGCCCTTACCGGTCCGCTCATGCTTGATGCTGCAGCCAGATCTGAAGCGTCCAATACATTTCTTGAGATTGTGGATGCCAAGTTGTCCGTGGCTGCAGCGCGACGCTCTAGAAAAGATTCGTTACTATCAGATACAAGTCCCGAGTCATCGTCCAATGCAAAACAACCTGAAGAGCCAGCGGAGGGGAATGATGAAGAGGCGCCAATGCTGAAGATCAAGAACAGTATGAACTTTGGGAGCGCGTGGGGGGGTGATATGCCAGGCCGAATTTGAGGTCGAAGATTCTCCTTCGAGCGTGCTTGGCAACACGAAAAGCGTTCTGGGTGATAGGAGGAATTATTGTACAGGAGTTTCCTTTGACACAGAGCGACGGAGCCGAGGAGCGAAGGGTGAAAAGTTTGCAAGTTGGCCATCCTGGGAGAATCCAGGTGATGGATGGGTGAAATACCACAGAGGTAGTGGGTCTGGGAACCGGCTTTTGAGAGGAGCCGGGGGTCAATCCAGTGTCAGTTGTGCCATGGCATGATTATGGTCAATATGTCAGCCTTCTTGTCACTGCGAACCTGCATGGGGGATTTAGTCGAGTGATGGAAAAATAGAAAGACCCAAAGGGCTTGAAGAGATTATGTCAGGCTGGATTTCCCATTAGAGATTGACGAAGCCCTTTGAAATGGAATATCGATCATCAACCCATGATACTGTATCTGACGAGAGATGGGAGACAATGGATAGAAGTTGCACATTGAGGGACCGAGTCGAGAATCCCGACTCGAGGGAGATCCCAACGACATCACCTGACGAATGTGGACAATGACACAGGAAATTACAAGTGAAGAATTAGTCATATATGTTTGACTCATGACCCAGGACTCCAAGTTCAAAGTCATACAGTCTACGGCTCGGCCGAGGACCAAGAAGGTCATTCCGTAGGCATCCAAACAGAATGAAGCCTTTGTACATGGACATCTGGGGTAAGCTTTGGCAGCAGTGCGGGGAATATACCTTTGGCTGTCGATCTGATGCCAGTGACAGCGAAGCGATGGTCGCAGAAGGCCATCCTTGCGCCGATTTCCTGACTCGTGTCGTCTCCAACGCTAGGTAGATTGTGTCTGGGTCCAGTAGTGGGTGCGGTGACAGGTGGGGATCAGCGAGGGATGTGAGAATGGACCAAGTATAAAGGGTGTGAAAGAGGGCCGAGGGGGCCCGCAGGCCTATATCTCACAGTCTCAGCTATTCTAACCCCGTCGGCCGAATCATTCATGATAGATTAAAAGCGATCTTGACCTTGGTGTTGCCTGAGCTTCTCTAATTCCTGGTAACTATCAAGTGGGATATTGCAGGCTCCAAGGATATCGTCGATTGATTGTCAGATCGAGACCAAGAGAGCGAGGATGGGATCAATCGGAGTGGCAGGCGAGAATCCATTCAAATCCCGGACAGATGCATCAGTCATTGCCGCAGCCAAAGAACATTTAGAGCGAGAAGGATGGGCAGTCATCCCAGACGTTCTATCACCGGAGGAGACGGACATGGTGCACAGCAGTGTGTGGAAAGCGGCGAAGAAATTCCAGGAAGCAGGGGATGACACATTTATGCCGGTGCTGGACCCCAACTCGTCCAACATCCGGGTCTTCTATTTGATGGCGCTGGACAAGATCTTCCGGGACTTGATTCAACATCCAGTGGCGACAGAGATGGTAGAGGGTGTCTTGGGAGACAACTACCTCATCTCCAACTTTACGGCCAACATTGCTCGACCGGGGAGCAAGAGTATGGCGTTGCATAGCGACCAGAGTCTGGTGATGCCAGAGCCGTGGAACAACACATGGGCATTGAATGTCATCTGGTGCCTGGATGACCTGTACCATGAGAACGGGGCGACGTTGTTCATCCCTGGCAGCGACAAGTGGCAGCGGAGATCAGATATCCCTAAGAACGCCCGAGATTTACTTCGACCATTTGAGGCCAAGAGAGGCAGTATAGTCCTAATGAACGGCCGAGTGTGGCACACCTCAGGAGCCAACGTGACCAAGGACAAAGACCGAGCATTGCTGTTTGGGTACTATACCGTGCCCTTCCTCCGACAACAAGTTAACTGGACTGCGAAGATGGATGATGACTTGAAGAAGTCATTGTCTCCCGACATGACCGAGAAGTTGGGGCTCAGTGTCAGTGCCAACATGGCCCAAGTTTCCTTACTCAAGTACCTGGATGATGTGTTTCCTGAGGAGTCGAATCGGGAGACATCGAAATATTGAGGTTGGCTACCTACCTCGATAACAAGTGAGAGGTGCTACAAAAGTGTGTGCAGCATCCTGTCGTTGAAGATTGAAGACTCTAGGTAGGGTGCATATACCAGGGCAACATATAAAGATTGTACAGATGCTGTTTCTTTGTCACAATCTCACCTCCTTCGAGAAGATTTTTTAATCGTTGATCTGTCCAAGCCTATCTACAACGACGACCTTATCGTGGAATTCCCTTGGCGCAGAGGTTGCTGGTCCTGAAACACGCTTGGAGCAGTGGTAGCCTGTAGGTACCAACTCGCCTATTATTGTACGCTTGATAGTAGCCTGGCGTGTCCAGTAAGTGGGTCAAGAGGCCGAGTGTCACCACCGACAGCATACTTTGCCAGCCTCGTGTGGCGCCTAAACCTAGAGAGCTACAGCCCTCGTCCCCTCCCCCCACCAAGTTTTGGGTTTCCAACCACGTTGATTTCATCAGATCTGCCTCCACGTCGAGTCAGCGTTTGTCTACGGAGTACACATTTAATACAAGACCAGCCTTTGATGCATGCACGGTTCGCTTGCTTGTTCGTTTCCTATCGACCATAGCTTACCGAAAACTCGGACATCTACGACACCTTTTTGGTCGAACTTTTGGCTTACCTGGTCTTCTCGTTGACCTTTACCAGAGCAGGCAAGACGGGGTAACAGCCAGACACTCCTCTGGACTTGCCTAAGAACATCCCCTCAGTTCTAACTCCAGTGTCTCTGCTCACTCTGTCTCGAGTCTGTGAGAACAAGAGCTGCCATTCGTCAATCAGAAAAAACTTGGACATCGCTGGTCCAGCACCAATCTTCCTTGAGAGCCACTTGACAAGCCAGTGCGAGTCGTCAGCCACTACTGTGGATGCAGATCGCCCCCGAGCCACTGAGCACCCACCACCGCACCGCAGTTCAGGGCCCAACAGACAAGTCTAACCTGATCGTCGCCGTCCTCCCGCCGTCTATCGCCAACTCTACCTGTCACCACTTTGCGTCATCCCACATGGCACACCACATGGCCCATTCTGCACAGGGCCATCCTGCTCTGAGTACACAACCAAGCATGTCTTCTGAGTTCTCTGAGTTTTCTGTCTTGTCTCTTCCTCCTCCTGCACCAACTCGATCCTACCACCAGCGATCCAGAACTGCCACAGACCTTCCTCCATTATTCACCCACACTCAATCACATTCTCCATCGCTGTCCTCGACATTTCTCCCATTCTTCCGCCCTCATAGCACTCGATCCCTATCTCCCGAACGATTATCGGATCCCGACACATTGTATCACCAGTCACCCGTACCTTCACCCGTACCTTCACCCGTACCTCCGCCAGAACAAGCGCCACCCTCCAAAAAACTATCATCAACCGCAGCTAGCAAACTCGCCAGCTGGTTTGACGGTACATCCGAACCTCTAACCATCTCTTTGGTTCCTTCCCCCAACAAGGAGAAACTAGACCCAATAGCTGAGTCTAGCATCATGGATAACCTCTTCTCCAGCGGCCATGACTTGGTGGACAATCTCACCAAACGGCCTCAGAAGAGATCCAGTGTGATTGGTTCTCCGTCAAACAGTACCTCTCGCTTCAGCTTTTTCCGGAAATCCACCGTTTCTTTACCCTCCCCAGATCCCACAGACCAGGACGAGCTGGGACAGCTCGATATCCGGGAGGCACTATTTCCCCATGGATATCCTGACGAGTTCTCTCCTGCCACGTTCAAAAATTTACAACTCAACGCAGAAGGATCTCTGCGTCGCTTTCAAATGGCGCATATTGACCAATCCAAAGCGCTAAAACAATTATCCTCGAGTAAAGTTGCACTGTCGGACGAGTTGGAAGCAGCCAGTACAAGGAACGAACATTTAAGACTGCAGCTAGAGGACATGGCGGAGAAGGCAGCCGCTCAGGAAAGACTCATCACAGAACTGACAGCCCAACTTGCCGCACAGAGAGCTCCCAGACAGACGGTTGACTGCCATCAACGGACCGTGAGGATGGTGCCAGATGATGCCAGCTCGCACCATTTGGACCCAACTCCACGATCTCGGTACCGAAGGAGCCGGCTGTCAGACTCGTCCATGTCTGCAGAGTCTGAAGCGGCATCTGAAGTGAGCTCTGTCGTCAGTGTCTTCTCAGAAGCATTATCAGCTGCGGCTTCTCAAGATACCTCGATCGCTAGTCCAACCCACAATTCCTCATGTTCTCCGTTCAACGAGGAATGCCCCAACTGCCATGGGCTGAGTGCATCCGAGGCATGGGACGTGGTGGGTGTTATGAAGATGGAATCTATTGCACTCAAGCGTCGCATTGGACAGCTGGAAAGTGCTCAGGACGAAGCCTTGGACTTTTTGAGTGGCCTCAGATTAACATGAGGCACTTTCAAGCAGAGCACCTGAGCGGATTATAGCGCCATGAATATGTTTATTCACTAACGAAAGAGCATACGCATCAATACTGTACATTACCAAAGCCTACATCTGTGCATTGCACCATTACCTTCCCAGCTGATGTGACACGTCAATCAGCCACACGCAATCGCTGACAGTGACCTCGAGACGAGATATCCCAGCGTGAAGCAATGCCCGTTTGATGGTGGATTCCGGGCCGCCCCTGCCGCCGTTGGTGGAGAAAACGACTAATACCGCCTCGGCCTCGGCAGTCGCGGTCATAGTCGTAAGTAAGTAGTCGTAGTGACTCCAGCCACTTGATGCCTATTTCCCAGCCACACTCGACCTGTCAACCCACTACGGAGTAAGTACAGTCAACCACCACCACTTCTTCTTCCAATCATGCTGAGATGCAACAGGTCACTCATAGGCAAGCCCTTGGGCAGAACCTCACTTGCTTGTCTCCGCTTGCTCATGATGCCTAGATTGCCCTGCCTCTCTGCTGTTTGCGTCTCTCCGTGGCCCAAAATCCGTTGCTTCTTCACGATTCCTTCATGATATCAATCGTCAACAGTGACGCTGGTGAGCTCGCGGCCGTCTGTTGGCCAGCACCTCGAATTCTGCTAATCTCAAGTGCCCTTCGCTCTGTTATCTTTAAGTAATCTCTTACAGTGTACGCGGAAGCAGCAAAACTCATCTCTCATTCTATCAACACCAAGAAAACCGCACAGGCATATCATATCTACCCTCTCGAGCATGTCGTTCAGTGCTCGAACTCCCGAATCTCTACTCCCTCGGTCGGATTCCAAAAACCCGGCAACCACATGCAGAGGCATCACCACCACTGGTCGACCATGCAGAAAATCCCTAGCCGCTTCCCCTCAGCCATCGCCAAACCCTTCTCCCGTCAGAGGTTCCGGCGTCCTTACGGTTCTTCAGGAGGAACATGCCGCTGCTTTCTTCTGTCACCATCATAAAGATCAGGCCGTCCAGCTGCTCGCTCAGGGCCGCAAACAGACAACCCTACACCCGTTGAAAGAAAAGTCAAGTATTGACACTTTGTTGGAGAGGGTCGGTGTCCTGGAGATCGATGACAATGTCGCCCAGCCTCGTAGGAGGAGGAAGCCGCGAGCTCAGAAAGCCTCCAGTGAGCATGCCATCACGCGCAGAGACTCTCTTCCTAAGGGGTGGAACCACCTACAAAGCCCACTCATGTCTGTACCGACTGACTTGGTAAACCCCCCACCGAAATCAAGAATTCCTAGCCGACCACCTCGGTCTAACATGAAGTTCTCTTGGTCTTGTTGCCTGCGAGCCGACAGTGACAGCGACGATGACAGACCAGCAAGGGTGCCCAAGAGCAGATTTGTCGGTGATCTTCACAGTACAGGTCCAAATCACCGTCCAAATCATGGTGCCGGCATCCAACCTTCCCGTGTAACGCCTCGACCACAATATCTATCCACTCAACCGCAACAGTCTACATCACCATCACGACCGACAAAAATCGAAGAACAGGACGCTTCGCCAGTCAAAACTCAAACTCGCAGTTTGCTATCATACATCCCATCAACCTTGTCGCCCCAAACCACTTCTCTCCTCTTAACCGAACTTTCTCGCCCAATATCTACGGCTGACGAAGCAGGTTACATTTATATTTTCTGGCTCACGCCTGAATCGGGCTCTGCAAAACCCGATGATGAGACCGCATCTTCTCTTCTTGACGACGACGAGGATTACAGAGGCGGAAACGAGTACGGTGGTCTCTATCCCTCTTTGAAGTCCGCCCGTGCGCAAGCAGCCGACCAAACCCTTCAACGATATGCATCGGTTCGCCGTACACTCAACACGGTTTATCGACCATCTCCAAGGAGCGGACCAGATGAACACGAATTGACGACACGGCGAACAATCCTACTCAAGATCGGACGTGCTGCCAACGTTCACCGCCGTATGTCCCAGTGGAGCAAGCAGTGTGGTCAGGAGATCACACTGATTCGGTATTACCCCAACACGCCATCAAGCCCTAAAGCACACCAATTGTCCACATCTAATGATATGATCGTGGGGCGCAAAGTGCCTCACGTGCATCGAGTCGAAAGATTGGTTCACCTGGAGCTAGCTGAGAAGAGGGTGATTAAGCCTGAATGTCAGGCCTGTGGCCGCGAGCATCGAGAATGGTTCGAAATCGACGCTTCTCGAGATGGCTTGAAGAGTGTGAATGAGGTGATCAAGCGATGGATTCGCTGGGCCGAGGCAGCCCGTTGAGTTGCGGACAGCCAAATGGCGAGAATGACGAAGCGGGTGGACTTTTGATGCGACGAGTCTACGCAGTGAGGACAGACACAGATTCATGATTGTAGATTGTATACGATCCACAGAAGATATCATTAAGAGTCATGATCCAATAAGGGTCCCTGCTAATTCGACCACTTGGATTCATCGAATCATGTTCTTTTTCCCGGGTTTAGATTTGAAAAGCTTGTCTGTATTGGCAGATCTGTAGCATTATATTCTCAAGATATGTAACCATTAGTCATGCATGTATCTACTCGCCTACCAGGGGCACCACCACGGCCCAAGGCCCGAGATACACGTCGATCGTAAATCATTAATCCAATGCACATAGATCACATGGCCGAAACTCATGGGTCTTTGTGGAGCGTATGTGAAGCGTTAACTCTGGTCAATCAGGCAGCAAGGCTGATCTCCCTCCCTCGAAAGCTGAGATTTGCACGCCACATGGCTCGCACGGGCATCCCACCAGGAACTCGGGCCGTGTGCTGTCGAGGCATTACGTGGAGCATTTGCTGATCGTGGTCATCACTGTCACTGTGGCCATGACCAGCGACAGCACCGGCGACGCCGCTTTCGCTGTTGCCCCTGCTGCTGGGAAGATGGCCATGAAAGACAATCATGTGGGAATCCGCCAGCAAATCCAGCCCGCCGGGCCCGATGAGGCCCGCATCGCCTGTTACCAGCATGGGTCGACCCATCTTGACGTACGGCCCACGTATGTCGGTCGCCGTTGCATATGCGACGTTGTACAATGGCGTGGTGAAGCAGTTAGCCGAGTACAGGAGGAAATACACCCGCTGCTTGTCTTGAATAGAGACGGCCAGAACGGGTGCTTCGATCAGTGGGCCATCTAGCTCGTCCCTATCGAGAATTAGGGTCGGCGCATCAATCAGTGTCACTCCATCCTCGGCCGATACTTCTTGCAACATGATCGGCGTCTGCCGCGTTGGAGGCATATTGTTGCATGCTCCCCCACGTCCGAGCGAGTTGCCGTCGATCTTGTACACAATATATCGTTTGTTGGTACTGGGGTCGAGAAACCCGTCTGGATCGATGGCCCCGCCCGTCGTCCTGGGGTCGGGACACGCGATGGGCTCATCTAGAGGCTTGTACGGGCCTAGCACTGATTCTGAGGTGGCTGCCCCGATGCAGTGGTGCCCTAGACTGGAGCGGAGTTCGTCTGTGTAATACAGTACAAAGGTCTTGTTGGGGAGGCGGATTACATCAGGAGCCCATACATGTTTGCCGGTTTGCCAGGACCCAATCCGTGGCAAGGCGTCGACGTGGTCTAGGAACGTCCAGGTCTCGTTGTCAGTCGATTTAGCCATCTGCACCCGAATCAAGGCTCGCGGGTCCGGTTCCTTATTGGTGGTTGCGAAGCCGTACATGACCCCGTCCACGTAAATTACACCAGGGTCAGGGAAGTCATGGGTCATGAGTGGCCCAACCACGGAGCCGAAAGGATCTGATGGTATCGACGTTTCAGTGTTGTGGCCAACCCATCTTTGGGACCAGCGAGTCTCTGTTGTGAGGAGTTCCAAGCACGATGATCGAAGTACCGAGGCCAGCAAGCACAAGAGAGTGGTGAGCATCATTCCCTAAAGCCAGAATCTTGTTGTTGCAGGTTTGGATTTTGAAGGGGAGTCCTGATGATGGTAGACTTCAATCTTCGGCTGGTAATTATTAGGATAGCATCATGCACTCCTGTTCGTTTTTGCAGAATTCTTGATCTGGTCTCGTTGGTAGATATATCAGCTGACCGGACATAAAACGTTCGGGATTGACAAGCCCCAAGACTTGATCATCAGCCAAGAACAAAACTTGAGAAGTCCATATCTTTTGTTCTTGGTAGGCCTAGATAGGGTACTAGGGTCAACAGTGTCCAAGATGGGGTTGTACAGTGCGACATGGCAAAAATAGGACGGTATCAGAGGGCTTATAAACCCCTTTTCCGCCTTCTATTTGTGGGAGACTTGAGGTTGCGTTGAGCCGCCCGTCTCAACTTGTCGTCAGATCCCCAACGGCCTCAGTTGACCAATCACGATTCAGTTCGACAGGCATGAACCAATCAGCGTTGATATTCGTTTGGCTGTACGCCCTGTTGTTGACAGGAGAGGAGTGAAAGACGAATGGAAGTAATCACAGAGAAATCCTTATTAATGTACTGGTCTTGTGGAAACAGACATGTGAGCATATCCTTAGAGTGAGATCGGTCATATTTGTAGTTGTGCGACAACATCCGTGTCGAGGCACCCTGTCGCGAGGATTATAGAAAGGGTCAATGGGAGTAGGGTATGGCATCTTCGAAGTTGGTCCAGGTTGGTTACCTTGACTTTGCAAGAAGACCATGTTAGTACAAGAGGTTCGAGAATCCAGGCACGTTGCGAATTTCAACAAAGAAATTCACAGGGACGGGTCAGAGCATGTAAAGAGATATCTCGTCCTCTTATGAATCCTTGTCTTCAGAGAAGGACAATCCTCGTAGATAAAAAAGTCTTGGGAATCAGTAGCGACTGGGCTCAGTTTTATTCCATTTGCAAGTGTGACAGTGGCCGAACAATAAACCGTATCTTGGATAGGAGGCTTGGGATACTGCTGAGTTTGTGACCACTTTGAGAAGCCATTGACTCCAGCGTGTCTCACATCAATAGGGGGAGTATGAGGTGTGCGATAGCTCTAGTGAATGCTGCTTCGCCGTTTGAGGCTTGATGAAGATGAGGGTGTCATGGTCCGACGCAGGCTGGAGGATGTCAATCGCCAACACCTTGGTACAACACCTTTGTACAAGGGTTGGTATCATCTCCCAGCCTCCTGTACACTGTAGAGTCATACATTTGACTATAGATAGATGGGCTTCCCCCGTAGCATCGAGGAAGCCCAAGCAACTCATTTTCACCTCATCTTTGACAGAGGAAAGGTCAAGGTCACATATATCAAAGGCTGAAGGAGTTTGGGGTGGGCGTTTTTCCACTCATCATGAATCGCAGGCAGGTTGCGCTCGAAACCAAGAGAGAATTACAGAGCAGGAACAGTGGCCTCATCTCTGGGGCTGTCTTCTCGCAGATAGGTGCTTTCACAGGAATCGCACATGCTTTCGAGCGCTTCGAGACTTCTTATCGGATTTGATAGACTTACCTCGGCGTGGTTTTGGCCAAAGGGACCATTTATGGGACCATTGGTGTCTGCGCAGGGCATCAAAGTCTCGCTTGTGAGTCAGAATGACGGCACTTGGGCCAGCGACGGACAACCCAACACGATAGATAACCTGTAGCCTTTCGAGGGTGGCTATCCACGACGGCCGACTCGGAGCAGGCTGAGACTGGGGACGGTCCGTGTACTGAAATGGTGGGCTAGCTGGTAGCAATCCAACAGAATGTAATGGCATGTTGCCCCAATCAACCATCCTTCGGATTGGCATTTGTCTTGGTATTGGTGTTACTGCACGATTAACGAACTCGGCACCAGGGTTGAAGGGGCTGAACGACCATAGATATCAATCAAAAGGAGATTGATCATGGCACCAGCGCTTGGTGCGAGAAAAGCTTCATAGACCAGGATCGCCTATGAATTCTTGGCGAGATGGCAAGACACAAGGCCACATGGCTTTGACGCGGCATCGAGGGCCGGGAGTTTCGATCCCTGGAATTCCGGACGAGGCTTGCATGCTGCATTTTCATCGCCTAGGCCACAGACCGATACGGCCCGACTTTTGAAAATAAGGATGAATCTCACCTATAGGATTAAGCTTACAACGAAGCCTGTAATCTAGAAGAGACCAGCCGGAGAGGTTCCGAGGCCACTATTTTTGGTGTGAGAGTGATCGAGACGAGATTGGGCGACTCAGTGGCGTGATATGACCACAGAAGATTCCAAGCCCAAGTGGTCTCCGAACATCTTGGATTAGTTTACGAGAAAACTCAGCTGATAAGACGGTGGCACGATGGGCAATAAACTGTTGGACTTAATCGAGGCTTTGAAACTGACCTGGCGATTCGAGTCTTGGTCAGGAGGTACAATTCTGATAGCATACAGTACATACACGAACTTCACGAGATGGGCTTCCTTACCTACAGACCACATGGACAGCACAAGGAGTGATCCTGGTCCTGGTCCTCTGCGCATGCGCATGCACACGCATACAATACCGTGTTCCATGAAAATTCTAGTGTCGAACAATTCGGAACAGCCTCCCGCATGATCTGCACCAAACAACTAAGAGTAAAAGGGCTTCTGCTCGCTCGCGGATTCCAAAGAGCAACAGTGGCGTGGAAATGGAAGATTAAGGCTAGCCGCCTCGGCCGCCTCAGCCCCTAGGCCCCTGTCAGAGGCCCGAGGGGCCAATATGGATAAGCGAGGATTCAACCGACTGGGCACCCAGCCGTGCGCCCGGACGGAGGGAGCCTGGGAGGAAATACCTGATTCGGTCTGATTGCATACCAAACCACCTGAAGACACGCGATGATTTCGTAAATGACCTAGACAGTCGTAGTAATGACGAATGCAGGTCGAAAGAATATCCGTTTCCCCCACTCCAGAAACGAGGCCGTCTTGTTTCGAGGTCGCCTGCTTGCTCGGCAGGTGGCTGCGTATATGCGTACACGGACACATACAACAAATACCAAGTATTGTGCCCTTGGCACCTCCAATTGATCCAAGACTGGTCGAACATGTTGACAATGATGAGGACATGATTGGCGTGAGCATGGGCATTTCTCTCCACCACGATGCCTCGCACCATGATTGTAATCTTTATCTTGGAGGGGGAGGAGGTGCGAGGGTCAGACTAATTACTGTATCACCAACGAGGGCAGATATCCATCATTGCGTCTCGACCAAGACCATGATAAGCATCTTGCCATCTACAACATTGGCTCGATAGGCTACGGTGTTTCAATGGTGTCATAGTCTACTGTATACCAAGGCTCGCGGCTGGGAGATGGTGCAGTCGAAGACAGGCACTAGATTCTAGAATTGTTCCATTTGACTTCTATCGGAATTCCATGCATAGGATGTGCACCGGGTCTACTCCGTACAGTAAAATTGCCGTCAAGGAGGCGGTAGGTTCACGGGATGATTCATGGACACGGCGGCCATCCGACTTGCAGTGGTTTAACACGGCCCTGTTTCTGCCACCTTCGGGATAAATTCTTAAATTCCTTCTGGAACATCGTTAAACTGGTTGAGGGGGGCTGGGGCCACCCTGGGGTTCACCCAGATTGCTCCCCCGTCCCCAGACACAAACAGCCACCGGCCTGAGTGGCTGTCGTGGGGTGACGATGGTGATCCAAAAGTTGTTGACAGAAACGGATGGCAGATGGACCGATTCCGCTCTTGGCTAAGTGTCACCCTTGGCGTTATTAGTGGATCTTGGCGTTCTTCAACCTTTCCGCCTTTTCGTTCCCACAAAGGTGTTGCATGAGAAGAGAAGATCCAACGAATGCGGGCTGGAGCATAGCATCAGTAATGCTTCAGTCTCGCCAAATCGCCCTCTACCAATCACGATGCCTGCCCGATCCTCCGGCAGATGGCAAGACCATAAGACCCAATCACGCCCATGACGTTCGGCAGATCTGACCACTTCCACTCTGACTGCTTCGACCACACATGATTCAGGATTGTCCCTGGTCCTTGCATCTGAGGTTACCAGCAGGTCCGTATTGGGTTCGGCCGCCGTACCCACTCCGTCCAGCGGCCTCAAGCTCATTCGCAATCTGACCAAGCCCTATCAAGGCCAGCCTTGACATGGCTTGAGCGACACCTCCCCTGCCGGTTTTGCCTGTATTCAACATATCACCATATCCACCGACCGGAAACTGGGGCCCTTGCCCATGGGGGTTCGAACGGCCCGCAATTGACAACAATGGGACGTTAGAGATGAGTATGCATCTATCCTTTTGTCCGGACAAACCAGACTGGCCTGGCCTTGCATTCAGACCCTGTTCACTCGACGCTCAACAATGACATGATTTTACATTCGAAGTGGGTCTGGGGACTCATCAGGAGCAACGCGGAGCAGGTGGGCGACACAGGATGGCAACACGGGGAACTTCATCTCCCCATGTATGCGGTGCCTCCACGGCTCAGTCCAGTTCAGTTTGGTTTGTGCAACGGTAGGTGATGCCATTTTTCTATATATTGTCTGTTGTCTCACCCATCATCTGCCTGTCTTTCTCTCAAGGCACTCAAAGCAACTTCCATATCATTCCCTTCTACAAACACCCATCTCCTGAAACCGTTTGTGGTGTTCCGTCTGCTTCTATTCGTGGTCTGGTCAAAACCCGGTCCACCCCCTCCAAGCCTCTATCTCTCCATTCTCAAACTACCCACATTGTACCCAACATGGGCGCCGCACAGGAAGTCGAAATCCCCATCAGCAGTGCCAACTCTGTGGACGGCAAGGATGAAAAGGACGTCGACTTTGTCGAGTCTGGCTCGGCTCACCACCAAGAAGTGGGCTGGGACAAGAAATCCACGAGCAAGCTGATCAGGAAAATGGATTGGGTTCTCCTGCCCTTCCTCTCTTTACTTTATCTTCTCTCATTTCTCGACCGAACGAATATCGGCAATGCTCGTCTGGCTGGTCTTGAAAAAGATCTGGGCATGACTGGACTTGACTATAACGTTAGTATTATCACTTCCCAGCCGCCAGATTCAACACCACTGACCAATTTTCTAGATCGCTCTTGCCATTTTCTTCCCCTTCTATGTCATTGTTGAGCCTATTTCCAACTTGATGTTGAAAAAGACTCGCCCATCGATTTGGATTCCATTCATCATGGTCTGGTGGGGCATTGTCACCACGCTCATGGGTCTTGTATACAACTATACCGGCTTGTTGCTTGCTCGTGCTGCCCTGGGCATCGCCGAAGGTGGCTTGTTTCCTGGTCAGTGGACCCTGGAAGCTTGTGAAACACGACTTGTGGACTGACGTGATTTAGGTGTAACATACTACATCACCCTCTGGTACCGACGACATGAATGTGGTCTCCGCATGGCTCTCTTTTTCTCAGCCGCCACTGCTGCCGGGGCGTTCGGGGGTCTCCTTGCTCGTGGAATCAACGAAATGAGCGGCATTGGAGGAAAAGCCGGCTGGGCTTGGATCTTCATACTCGAGGGTCTCCTCACATTCTTCATTGGTGAGTATTTCCAGCCTTGCTAGCCTGTTAATTGGTGACATGGCTGACCGACAACTTAGCCATCGTTGCTTTCTTTGTCATGCACGACTACCCATCGACTGCCACATTCCTCACCCCCGCAGAAAGGGAAGAGGTCACCCGTCGTCTTGAAGAAGATCGCGGTTCATTGGCCGACGAGTTCGACCTGAAGTATTTCTGGCACGCCGTCAAGGACTGGAAAATCTGGGTCCACATGTTCATCACCATTGGGTAGGTTTTCAAGATGGACAGCCGCGCGTAAAGAAGCACGACGACTAACAGACAATACAGACAATACACCCCATTGTACTCTTTCGCTCTCTTCCTCCCCACGATTGTGCGCACTCTGGGATACACCGACAACCAGGCTCAACTCATGTCGGTGCCTCCCTATATCGTGGCCTGCTTCTGCTGTATCACCGGCGGCTGGGCTGCTGACAAGCTCAAGACCCGTGGCGTCTTCATGATCGGTTTCAGCATTACTGCCTTGGTCGGCCTCATCCTGTTGAAGACTTCTGAGAACGCACACGCCAAGTATGCTGGATGCTTTCTCTTTGCCTCTGGAATCTATCCAAACGTGCCCCAGGGTGTGGCGTGGAACGGCAACAATATTGGAGGCAGCGTCAAGCGAGGTGTAGGCATCGCATTCCACGTTGGCTTTGGTGAGTCTTGCCCGCCTTTTTCCTCTTTGTTGCATTTGCAGTGCTAACCCGATTATCTAGGTAACCTCGGTGGTGCCATCTCTGGATTCATCTATCTCAGCCGGGATTCGCCAAGATTCTCCACCGGACATACCATTCTGATCTCCCTCATCAGCATGAGCACGGCTCTCCAGATCATGATGACTCTCTGGCTGCGACGCGAAAATGCACGACGAGACCGCGAATACAAGCCACCAAGTCAATACACTGCCGAGGAAAGGTACGCCGAGCGAGAGAAGGGCGACAATGCTACCTTCTTCCGTTACACTGTTTAGAAGCTCCGCTTGGATTGAGTTTGTTGCATATACAAAGATAGACTTGGATTCGGTCGGCAGTTTATGGGTACGCCGGGGAAAGCTATCTCGTTACTTTAGAAATTGTTACCACCCATCTACAGAATGGCACGATTGACACCGTCTTTGAAAGCGAGGTAGTCTCAGCTTCACACGCATCTAGACACCTCCTTTCTGTATGTCTTAAGATGCGTCATGCATTGGACTGTTGGCTTCTCCAAGAAGAACAAATGAAGCAAAGATATCCATAGACAGGAGTCAAATTCCAATAGCCAGGATTTTTCTAGGCTCTTCTGGCGGGGATCGACCAGTGACCATCTCCAGGCTTCTAGAATTGTATCTCATGGTGAGACAGATACACTCATATAATCGCTTGCCACTGTCCCACTCAGTCAGTCAGGCCGATGGGTATAAGCTCCGTGTCCATGCATCATGGCTTGAATCTGGTTGGGCCAAGTGGGCGTCAACGAAAAGTAGGTAGCAAGTCAACGAAAACCAAACGGCCGTAGTTGTTAAGATCATGGATTCCAGACATTCGTCCCATTCGCCGGACGTGTGTACCAAAGTAATAAGGAAAACCCTACCGCTGCTCCTGCTCTTGTGTGCATCCAAGTATACAATCTGTTGGTGATAGACTGCATCAAACACCCTTGCCCATTGTAACGTATTCCCACGACCAACCCCTTGTAACATTGCCCGTGCCAATCAACCGACCTTCCCGCAACCAAAAGGATCATAGGTAGCAGATTAAAACCCCTCCTCCGCACTGCGGGTGTAATTCAAACGCTTATGGCGTCGCTCGCCACCCACATTCAACTCGTTCCCGCCAGGTGTTATTTCCTCTCCTTGATTCTCCTCTGTGCGCCGAATAGCAGAGAAGTCATTCCCTCCCCCAGCACGACATCACCACTCGTGATCGTGATAACATTTTGCGCAACCAGTTCTGTGTCCGGTCCTCGGTCGACAGCGCCCGAGCCCCAAACCCAAACCATATATCTCTTCAATCCACTCCTCCGCCGCGATTATAGTTCTCCATGCGTCCCAAAACACCTCGTCCGTCGTTGTCCATGTTTTCCTTTGCACCCACTGCCCGGAACGATTCCACTCGAATTAGACAGGCTCAACCCAGATGACGCTATGCAAGGAGATCCAGGATAACACCAACATGCATCGTAAGCCGTGATATGCAACCCCCGCTTCACCTCATGAGCTGTACGCCAAAGACATGCTGCAGGCAAACACCCAGCTCCTGGTATCCAATGATCCTGTCCTGTTCATGTCGTTCGTGCTCGACTAACCCCATACAGAGGTTGTCCCAATTTTATTGTTTCCCCAAACGCCGCTTCCCGTTCCCCAAGCCCCTATCCCGGGCTGAGAAGACTCTTTCTGGTTATTCGTGTTGGAGTTGGAAGATGCAGCCCGGTCGCTGTTTTGATCATTGCTTCCAAAGCCGTATCCCAAAGACGCAGGTAAGGGTGATGTCGTTCGCTTATTTAGTGCTTGGTTGGGCGCAGCCCCTGCATTTGGACGACTTCCAATAGGGCCCATGGCGCCCGAGATTGGGGCGGTGGTTGACTTGGAGATCTGGCGGCTGTGGGATGTCTCTTCACCTGAGGTCGGACTCGAAGACTTCGGACCCGATGATTGAAGCTGTGAGTCAAATGAGCCAAACCCTGGTGCGGTTTGAGCAGAAGGCGACCCGGCCTTCTCTGGGCGACCATCCTGTCCCGCATTTGCAGCTGAACCTGGAACTTCCGCGTGTGCCCCAGTGCCGAAGGGTGATGGCCCTCTCACAGCCCCCGGCGTGGTGTTGGAGCCCGGTGTTTGTTGTTCTCTTGGGCTCACGTTTTCAAAAGGTGTTTGGCCTACAAACGCTGCTCCTTCACCGCCATAGAGTGCTCGATGTTGGCGTGCAATCAAATCACGGCGGCCCTCTTCACTAAGAGTACTGGGACTCATTGATCGGTCTGACTTGGTGGACGACATCTCCGACAAGACACCTATTGAGTTTAGTATGGATTGACACATGTAGTTTTGTGTCTGGTGCTTACTACGATTGTATTGCTGTTCCTGATGGTAGTTGCGGAGCTCTCTTTCCCGTTGAGCCGCCATCCTTTTCTTAGCCTGAAGCATTGAGTCTCCATCATTGTGTCGGCCTTGATGGCGCTGTGACGCATAAAAATTCTGCACATGGCCACCTTGATGCGGTCGGTTGTGGTCAAAATCAGGACCAGGATGCCTGCCATGGTGTGGTCGATGGGCTTGCCAACACTTAGTCTCAGTAGAAATCGTAGAGGATATGGCAGTCTTACCAAAGTCCGCACCGGGCCGGAAAGTATGAGGTGGCATTGCGCGAGACCCGGGTGCGTAAATTTTCCCGCTCTTGACAAGGTTGTCGATGGCTCGATCGACATCTAAGGCTGGTCAGGAAATGAAGTGGAGCGGGGACGATAGAGCGCACCTTCGAATTGGGTTGTGAATGCGACCGTGTCTTCCCTCTGGGAGGCGGAACTTGCGCCTGCGATTGTATGAGTTTCCGAAGCACGATAGCTGTTGGCGGGGTGACATACCGGATCTTGATGGTGGAGGAGGCTGCTCCCAAGAGGACTGCCGGACAGGAGCCTGCCAGGCCTGGGGTTCGTAGAAGGACATTTCGGAGGCTCGAGGCGATGGATAGCAATCGGGCTGAGAATGATTTGGGCTTGGAGGAATGGAGGCTCCCAATTGTCCCCTCATATACTCAAACACCAGCTAAATTAAAGCAAAGGAAGCTGGGTGCGGCTCCGGAGCAAGGACAATGCGAGCAACAGGGCTGGGGTGTTGGTGATAATGCTAAACGAAGAGAAGAATTGTAGTGGAAGGGAAGAGGGGGCAGCAGGTCAGCCAGTGTGGACATTATGGAGGGTATTGGTGCGCATTTCTTGGGTGGGGAGAAGTGAATTTTCTCGAGGATCGGCCCATGACCAAGCAGAGCCAATAGAGACAAGGAAAGAATTGGTGGAATTGCCCGAGGCGACACGGCTCGACGGGAGAGAGCACAAACCCCTACGACCTACGAACAGGAACCGGGCCCTGGGTTGGACTGGAGAATCCCCACAGAAAAGTTGATGCGAGCATTGACTACGGCGGAGAGAGAGGGATTGTCTAAAGAGGAGATAGATTTCTCAAATAAACCCATAGCCATCTACAGTATCTATCAATGGGCATTGAGTCCCCAAGGGTTTGCACGGTGCCGGTGGGTGGTGGCACTTGAGCTTCGCACGGCAGGATGAGAGAGAGTCAGTCACTACTTAGTAGTAAGTAGTAGCAGTCACTCATTAGTTCTTGAGCCGAGAGTCGGGGTGGTGATTTTTGAAGAAAAAGACGGACTTGAAGCGCTACTCTCATTGTGACCTAGGACTATGCGTGCTCTTCTGCTTGGAACCTCCTCTCCTGGGTATGGTGCCATGCAAGTGGAGTGGTGATTGCAATGAAATTCGAAGGGGAGTGGCTTCCTCAGTCAGCCGAGATGGTCCATGGGGCAAGGAGGCCCATCTCGATACTCAACATGTTCAAGTGTAGAAAGATTAATGCCAACTATCGATCATAATGTGACTGTTGTAATCATTTGTACATGCAGAGCACCTGTTTTTGGTGTTGCAAAAGTTTCTGTTCAACAGGATTTTCGTAGGCTTCCCTACCTAGGTAGGCAGTATTTAGGTGTCTCTGGGGCGGCCGAGGGGCATCTAACGACCTATTAACAGCCCGAGGCACCTACCTAGGGTACCTCCCTTATGCACCAGTGGCACCTCTGGAGTTTGCCCCTTTAGCCAAATATTGGCTAATGCTCTTCCACTGTTCCTTTCACATTCACACGTGCCTTGCCTGCATGCAATAGAATTCATGCCGTACTCCCGTGATGCCTTGCTCTAGTGCTGGAGGACCTCAGATGCACCTTGTTGGGTGGGTAGGAATGGTAGGGTTCTTTGGCCTGCAATCACACTGTACGATCCCTACACGAGGCCTACACCTCCATCGTGCCTCTGGTCATGCATATGTCCCATTTCCAACAACTTACAAGGTCAAAAAACCTGTGCAAGAACAGAGAAGTTCTGGGTCAGTATGTCATCTTGCAAGGGATCCTCGTATATTGTTGATGTTATACGAGTAGAAAGAGGATAATAGGCAGATCCAGGCTCGCCCAGCGTCTATCATACCATCTTGCTTTTCCACGTGATGATGCCGGTGATTCTATGCCCGTTCTCCTTCCAGAGCGATCTGACCTTGGCCTTCAATAATAACGTGACCCCAAGTGTTTCAAGTGTGGGGAAGGTCCCAAGTAATCTGGGACCTGACCGTGGGGCCCGAGGGCCTGCAGGAAACTTGGGTCGTAAGAAGCACCTGTGGCCTGGGCAGATATTCTAACAAGATATGGCCCTTGCATTCTGAAATATCAGGCTATCGTCAGGTAGTACAGACTACAAATCCTGATGTAGACCCCAGTCGCATTAGGCCGATGGCTTTGCCCAATTCCTCACTTTCCAACCCAAGGGGGGATTTCTTGTAGACCTCAAAAGCTGGGCCCTTGATTGAAGACTTTACTGAAACTGGGTCGCCCTTCAGCAGCAATTGTTTGACCGAAGGCATCGACCGGATGAGCACCCGGTGTCACTTGTTCGCCATCCACATCACCCTGGAAATTCTAGTGCTGCAGTATGATATGCAGCTTGTACAGTAGATCACGATTAGGAGTGTAATTTTGGCAGACTACGCAATCAGATAGCACAGCAAGAGAAAGAATTAATGTCCGAGTCATGGGATCATGGTGATCAAGCATTCACCTCATCTGTGCGCTAACCATAAAAGGAAGACGCGATTCGCTCGCTACTTTAGTTTAATTATTAATTTTGTTCACCGTTGTGCCTTGTTGGAGTCGCGTCAATCTAAAAAAACGCGCTTCTTCCGTGCCTGTTTTCAACAAAGCGTTCCTTTTTCATGACTGATGCCAGGTCGACAATGAGGGTTCCCCTTTTATAGTAACAACTTGACCCAGATTGGAGCCACAGGCAAGGCAAAGTGACATGCCAGGGGCAGGCTTTTGCTGCACAAATCGTGCACCTAATTCTCTTGCCTCTTTGTCTGTACCATAGTAAAGCAATGATAATTTCAAATCACACTTGATTCAAATAGGCGTGATTCCCGCCTGACCAGGTGGCTCATGGCCTGGATTGGGCAATAAACTAAGGCAGTCACATAGCAGGGGCAAAGCAAGAGGCACCGAAAAGCTCACAGGCATGAAAGTACCTCACAACCTTGCAAGACTGATTGTCGATTGTGCACTTGTGTTTTCACACGGACAATTCGGCTAATAGCCAAGTGAAGGCGAACATGAGTTTCCTCAAGAATGACATGTTTTCCCCTGTGACTGTGACCGTCGTGGACCAAACAACGATTGAAGCTAAATTGGGTGTTTGGAACAGTGATTCACGGTTCATGCCTGGGGCAGTGGGCAGTGGGCAGTGGGCAGTGGGCAGTGGGCAGTGGGTAGCGGTGGCCTAGTGGTGGAAAGTGCCCCTAAAGGAGATATAGGCGTCATTATCACCGGCTAGGTGAATCAACCGCCCTCTGACGGTCATTGTATGACTGGGTCGAGGGGACCTGTTGGGCAAGAAGTGTACCGCTGGGTCTCTCACGCCTAACCAAGCATCCCGTCCATCCTTGGAACAACCATTGCCATGTTAGTACTTCTACCTAATAAGTTCTAACGGCCCCAATAATAAGCACTTTCCACATCACCAGTTTCGGCGGGTCTTGGGTGAGCCTTCTACCACTTAGTCCAAAATTAGTCGGGTCAAGCAGCTGCGATCCTCGCACTTCCTCAGCCTCAGCACCCATCCTCCATCTCTCATCACCTGCATTTCACGAGCCAGGAACCACCGACTCCAACTAATTGGGCGGTTTCCAACACCACCATCTTCCTTACTTTTCCTTCCACCAATATCATCCTACTCGCTGCCAGTATCCTCCCCTACAAGCCTCATTCTCTTCACCTTAACTACCTCCCTACCAGCACGCGCTCCTGCAACACCTACCTATCCACCCTTTCTCAGGCATTTTCATTCCTGTATATCGCCAACTGGACTTATTTCCTCTCAGCTGCCTCGCGAGCCATCCACACGCCGGGGCCCCTCCTGTCAGCCTCACGTTAGCAAACTCACCAAACCGATCAACTATAACTAGATCGTCTTTTTTGTTCAAACTTGCACGTGTCGCTGTCAAATATTTGACAACGATCACCACACCAAACCCACGTCTCTCACTTGCCTTCCAACCTTACCTTCCTTCCTCCCCTTGACGGGCTTATCCAGACTGATCCGAGAACGACCATCAACTAAGTGGGATTTCCGCAGCGATCAAACCTGAACAAGTTCTTGAAAACATCAGACTTCAGTTCGAATTCGCCTCAAATCCCTGTCCAGCCGTCTCCTTACGTTCAACCTGATCCCCTAGTCCTGCGTCCTCTCGTTCGAACCCCTCTGCCGATCAGACATTTGACCCAACTTCCTGCCGCCTTCCCGGCGAGTGATCAGAGAACGAGTCTGAGCTTCTCTAGTGGCAAGGTCTTGTCTTACTCACCTCCTGAAGACACAATTCCGTTCGCTAGAAGACGACGTCGCGGACGGTCTTATGACTTGTGGGTCCCCAAAAGATGACGGACAGTCTACACAATCGGTCATGACAATGCCCCCAGAAGACTTACCACATCGTACCATGGAGAGACTTCCCGCGTCCAACCCGTCTGCTTCGAATCACAGGCCTGCACTTTCACAGTCAATGCCTTCGACACCCTACCAACGCCCGCAATCTCACCTGGATCTCAGAAATTCTCCCTCCCCAGACCCCAACACCAAAGTCGGCTCGCCGCGGTCGCAGCCCTCTGAAAAAGAGCATACCCCGCCAGGAATTCGAAAAACACATGGGTCGTGTAGATTCGAAACCGGTATGGCAAGGGCTCGGCGGCGTGTCCCGTACTCCCTGGGCCCGGAACCTTTAGAGCCTGAGAAAGGTGATCTCAAGGCTCGGCTCACCCAAGAAGAGGACCAGAAGCTGACCGCAGAGATCCAATCTCTGTATGAAACGCTGCAGCCATCTGCTGAAAGCGAAGAACGACGAGCAAGCTTTGTTCAGAAATTACGAAGTATTCTGCAAAAGCGTTGGCCACAATCATCAATCAATGTCAATGTGTTTGGATCCACTGGTAACCACTTGGGCACCTCGGATTCGGATGTTGACATCTGTATCACGACCGACTGTACAGAAATGGAACGCGTCTGCTCTATCGCCGAGTTACTCGCCAAAAACGGCATGGAGAGGGTAGTGTGCGTTTCTAGCGCCAAAGTTCCAATCGTCAAGGTGTGGGATCCAGAACTGCAAGTCGCCTGCGATATCAATGTCAACAACCCCCTTGCCCTCGAGAACACCGATCTGGTGCGTACATATGTCGAACTCGATAGTCGTGTTCGGCCTTTGGCCATGCTCATCAAGCATTGGGCCAAGCGACGGCTCTTGAATGATGCCGGTAAGTACTATTAATCGCTGCCCCTGCTACTGTACTAAGTCCGTTTTGCAGCTCTCGGAGGGACCCTTAGTTCCTACACGTGGATATGCCTGGCTCTGAACTTTCTGCAAACCCGTATCCCTCCCATCCTCCCCTCGTTGCAACAACAAAAGCACCTCGAACCAAAAATTCTCGCTGGGGTCGATGTCGCTTTCGACCACAACACCGATACATATAAAGGGTTTGGCAGTAAAAATGAGTCGTCATTAGGAGAACTGTTTTTTCAGTTCTTTCGTTACTATGGCCATGAACTGGATTTCGAGCACAGTGTTGTCTCAGTACGCATGGGTCGCCTGTTACCGAAGGTGGAGAAGTCGTGGCACCTCACGTTGGACAACCGACTCTGCGTCGAGGAGCCGTTCAACATATCTAGGAACCTCGCCAACACAGCAGATGATACTTCGATGAGGGGAATTCACTTGGAATTGCGCCGGGCTTTCGATTTACTGAGCCAAGGACAACTTGATCAATGTTGCGAACAATTTGAGCACCCCCAGCCCCAAGAGGATCTCAAGCCTTCTGACATCTTCGTTCCACCTTCGTCTCGGCCAGTGATAACTCAGCAACCAACGCAAACTTTGCGTGCGCCCCGAAATTCTGGCAGAGGTCGTCACTCGAGCCACACTAACCGTAATGTCAGCGGTCGGAGGTCCTCCAACCCTTCTGGACGGAATTCAGCCTACCTTCGCAATCTTCCATTTCAGATGACTACTCAGGAGCTGCAGTTACAGGCTCAGCATCAACAGCACCTACTTCACGACCAGCTGTTCCAGCAGTACCAGTACCTGCAACTTCAAGAACAAGAGCTTAGGATGCAGTTGCATCAACAGAATTTGAGGCATCGAGGTCTAATCGCAGCTGGCTATCCCCATGTTGGTGGTTATCAGCCGCTATCCTCTCACGAGGACCATCAGGACGCCAACCTAAACAGTCAGGCGGGCGGAGTTGGACGAGCTCCAATGTCCGCTCCGTTGTATCAACAACGCTTCATGCCCGTGTCTCCTTATTTGCAGAATTCACAGACGTCGCAAGGTATTGCGACCGATCCTCCATCTCCACGCATGCAAACCGGCTTCCCTGATACGAGACGGTTTTCTCGCCGGACCTCATTGACACAGGCGTCAACGGGTGGTTCGTTGAGAGCGCAGTCCCAGCCGGCACGGGTGATGCCGACGCCTATCTTCAATCATCCACAAGCCAGGTCAGACCTCTATCGCTACCAGGATCCTAATCTGGGCCGGAGATCTTCCTCGTCATCGACATCACACGAACCGTATGGCATCGGTATCGACAGCCAGTATGGCGGAGTTGCTGCAAACTATGACAGTAGTCGGCGTCCCGCCGAGTATCTCGGCTACTATGTTGGACACTCACCATCTCTTTCAGCATATACGCAGAGCACGACGATCTCACCGATTCCTTCTCATGTGGGGCTTGCCATTCAGAACGGTGGACTATCCCCTCGAATGGGGTCTGTCTCGGCGAGGAGCACGAGCGCAACAGATTTTTCGCCCCTGCAACAAGCCTCCACGGCTGTCTCCGAGGCCAACAGATCGTCTGATACTTCGTCAGATGCCACGTCAAAAGCCCCAGCCGATCCTGTGCCAGCTGTGACGAGAAATGGGCCGTTGATCGTGGATGGCTCGGTTCACTCTCCGCGACGAAGGCGGACAGCACAAGCAGCGCACGACTCGGATGAGCACATGAATTTCAGCGCTTCGACCTCAGAAGATCTCGCATTTGATACACCTTCGAGTTCCGACGAACAATCGCAAGATGCTTTTGACATGAAACGGAAGGACAAATCCACGGCAGCAAGCCCACGGCCCAACGGAGGATTGATGCATTCTGGCCTGGTGAAGAGCGACTTCTCAAACGGGCATGTTGCGACACACCGCGTACATGAGTCAAGCACGAGCGACTCTGCATCGGCCAAACCTTTGACTTTGACGGAGCGTTCGGGTCCGGTGACAAGTATGGACTTTTCTCAAAACGTACCTTGGCCTCTTGACCGGCAGCTCTCGGCGGTGGAAGAAGTTCGTACTCCATCTCCCCGTGGCGGCGCGTTTCCCAGGCAAGGAACGTCTTCTAAAGGCCAAGTGCAGTCCGAATCTTCTCTGGTCAATGGATCAAGCACCGAGGGCAATCATGATCGCCCCTTGGCGCTGAGAGCGAATGGAACATTGACCAGTTCTGGGACGCCGCCATCAGCGGCATCCGGTAGCAGCACTGTGAGTGCATGGCAGACGGCTAAGAAAAAGAAGAACCGGAACAGGAAAGACACGACGTCTGATATTGATGGCCAGAATATCAAAGTCGGGGCCGGTGAAGCATTGCCGGCAGATGACTCGCAGCGGAAGGGCGGCTAGGGACTCCTTGGTGGAATCCCTCTAGGGCGTGTGGGCCCTCGAGACAATGGAAATCAAGAGACGGTGTCTGCGAGGGCGTTCAAAGAGCCCTGCTTGCAGTGTTTAGAGGCATGAGATGGAGATCTGAACTGTGGAAAGGAGCAGTTGCAGACAAATGGGGAAGATGACACTATCAACAGCAAGCATCTAGCGGTTTTATGTTTTTTGGTTACGGACAAAGAAAACTTGTTGGGCGTTGTGTCGGATCAGCATCATGACAGCAAAACGGACACGGGCAGCATACAGGCCACAAATCCGGCGGTGGTCGGCCGCCGAAGAATTGACCCAGAAATGGCACATGGGCAATGGTTGACAGAAGTGCGCATGGTCGGTCCCTCTACTCGTAGCTGGCGGCTTGGGGAAGAGGTGACAACAGCATTGAGGGTCGGAGTGATGAATCAACGGCCGCGAACAGCATTTTATGAATTGCAGGCACGAACATGAAACCAGAGCAAGGACCATCTGTACCCAGTCCTTGGGAGCAAGAACTGGCCCTAGCTGGGACTGGGGGACTTTGTCTTGAAATTTGAAAAGAGCACAAGAGCATGCTCCATACATTGAATGCAAATGGAGATGTCGTCCAAGACATGAAGAACGGCAATCACCCATAAAAAAAAGGAATGGCGAGGGTCTGTACAGCACTGCCGGTCTTGGGCTGCAGCAAACGGGAGCTGGCTGAGTGGGAGGCAGACAGGCAGGCAGGCTTTGGCAATTACCTAGTTACTCACGCTTAGCTACCTAGGCATGCAAATTGAATGAGAGAATGCCCATTGTTAAAACCCAGCGGTGAGGTTTATAGGTATTTGGATGGATTGGGAAATAGTTTATCTAAAGTAATTGGGTATCGTGGCGTTGATGTTGATGGATGTAACGGTGTCAAGTCGGTTTTTAACCAAGGTCAGATGGTGAGATGGGGGGATGGTATTGGACGACTGGGGATTGGACCCTGCCCAGCCTCGTACGACCCGGAAGAAACAGCTTTGGGGGGACCGTATGAGTGTCCATCGGGGTGCAGATGGTCAGACGGTGCTGGACTCGGTATGCATACGAGAGTACTGTAGTTAAACTTCGTACGCTGGTTGTGGCTGGACCCGCCCAAGGTCTCCATTCTCACCTGTCATGGACCATTACTCCGTAATGGTGAGAAATTCTTATGCTTAAATTCTACCTGGAAGACTGATAAAGGACCCGCGACACCACTAACTTAATGCATTTTAGGCTTGCATCCCCCAACTCAATCGTCAACTCAACGCCGCCACCGCCTGCACATCCCTGTCTCCGTCTTTCTTTTCTCGTCTCCCAATCTTGAACTCGACTTCCGCAACCTTTGGGGTTGACTATGAACTTGGTCCTTTATATGAGCGTCCTCAGCATCCTCACACTTTGATCAACGACTAGCTATGGCCTGATTCTATCCTCTGAGGCTTCTTTGTCTCTCGAGCTCCCCCCATCTTCATCCTCTACTTTTCGTCTTCATCGCCCGCGTCACGCCACCTCTCAGACCACATCCATCCTTCTCCAGCTTCCTCTTCCACATTCTCGACATCACCTTCACTCTTTGACAAACCGTTCTTACCGCCATACCTCCTCTGCATCTCCCATAACTTCTACATCTCTCCCCTTCCTTGGATTCTCGATTCCTCAGTCTCCTTCTCATCCATCATGCCTCTCATCCTCGACTCATCCTTGGATGCAGATACCGACCTTCGGGAGCAAAGAAGAAGGGTTCATCATGAAGCCGACGTGGTGATCATTGGTGCTGGAGTTCTAGGCTGTGCGCTCGCCGTCGCATTGGGAAACCAAGGCCGCAGTGTCATCTTACTTGAGAAATCACTCAAGGAGCCCGACCGTATTGTGGGAGAACTGTTACAGCCAGGAGGTTATTCGGCTTTGACAAAACTTGGTCTACGACATACTCTTGACGACATTGATGCCATACCTGTCACAGGCTACACAGTCCTATATTATGACGAGGCAGTACAGATCCCTTACCCTGCGAATGCCGCTGGAAAATCGTCTCCTGTTGCGAACAAGTCGCAATCTTCAGCATCACCCGAAGGCCGTTCCTTCCACCATGGTCGTTTCATTTCCCAACTGCGCCGTGCCGCAACTGTTCACCCCAATATTACTGTTTTCGAAACCGAAGCCACTGCTCTGATATCGTCTTCGTACAGCAAACAAATTCTCGGTGTGGAAACACTGACTCGCAAAATCCAAAAGGATTTTTACTTTGGTGCTCTCACCGTTGCTTGTGACGGTTATGCCTCCAAATTCCGCAAGTCCTATCATCACATCCAGCCAAAAGTCAAATCGAGGTTTTGGGGTCTAGAATTGATCGATGCCCAACTGCCCACCCCCCAGCATGGGACGGTGTGCCTTGGAGACAATGCGCCTGTGTTGCTCTATCAGATCGGAACTCATGAGACTCGAGCTCTCGTGGACATCCCAGATGGACTGGAATCGGCTTCCACCGCCAATGGAGGAGTCAAAGGTCATCTGGAAAAAGTGGTTCTGCCCTCACTTCCCCAATGTGTTCAGCCCTCGTTTGCGGCCGCGCTAGAGAAAGGCTCGCTTCGAAGCATGCCCAATTCATTGCTCCCAGCCACGACCAACCGAGCACCCGGTTTTGCAATCCTAGGCGATGCACTTAATATGAGACATCCTTTGACAGGAGGAGGAATGACTGTCGCATTGAACGACGTGGTCCTCATTGCAGAGTTGCTCTCTCCGAAAAATGTCCCCGATCTTGAAGACACCAAACTCGTCCTCCGCCAATTCCGTGCCTTTCACTGGCGGCGGAAGAACTTGACGTCCATCATCAACATCCTGGCCCAAGCTCTCTATTCCTTGTTTGCCGCCAATGACTGGCAGCTCCGATATCTGCAGAGCGGATGCTTTCGATATTTCCAGCGAGGCGGGGATTGTATCGACGGCCCCGTGAGCTTACTCGCTGGAATCATTCGACAGCCGCTTGTCTTGATCTACCACTTCTTCAGCGTCGCTTTGTTGAGTATATGGGTGTTGATTCAACAAAATGGGATATTCTTGTTCCCATTGAGCCTGATACAGGGACTTTTGGTGTTTTGGAAGGCATGCATGGTGATATTTCCTTATATATTCAACGAGCTGAGGAGTTAGACTGTTTGAGGATATATCATGGTTTAAGCACTTGGAAGGTTCAGGTGGCTCCAGCATGCAGACCTTTTGGTGTATGTTGGCGATAGTGCTTGGATTGGCGAGCGACAAGTTTGATTGATGAGTGTATGGCGCTGATGGTGCTCAGAAGCAGTCTCTGGCGAGACGATAATGTTCCCATCTTGGCTGGATGTTCAACAAGAGGGTTTTATACTGACCACTCTCAATATCAGTCTGGACAGCTAGGGAAGTGTAGATATGTACGAATACGGTCAGCAAGCCAACCTGATGGTTGGTCTAATCATTAAAATGTCATACACGTGGCACCCTTAATTCTCCGAGCCACGCGTGAAAATAAGGAGCACGCAAAGTCAGGGCAAGATCCTGGGTACTCGTCGTATGTTGGGCAGGTCCCGAGACATTGGCTGTCAAGAATCAAGATGTGCAGTTGGCCAACGCATACATGCATGGATCTACGAACATGCATGGCTCGTGTAAGGGGAATGGGAATGGGAATGGGAATCTGAATGGGAATGTGAATCGGGATATGGATCTGGATCTGGATCTGGAAATCTGATTCTGATTCTGATTCTGACCACGTGAACGCACCACACGTGAATGAAGGATTCGAATGAGTCAGTCTCGGCCAAATGGGCCCCACATCTTGACTCGTCAATATGTCAAGGAGTCAATAGAGTCGATCAAACTACATCAATAATGATTCCTTTCTTTGTGGACCCCGAGTGTGAAGATCATCTTACGTACACTGCTACAATAGTGTCGTATGGTCTTTTCCAGCTAGTCGTGATTGAATTTCGTACAAGATAGTCTTCTAGATTATCTGTCTGTGTTGCCTGCTGAAAATGGAGGAATATGTGCAAAGCACATTTGGAAACAGTTGCTGGCTTGGATTCCAGAGGCCCCTGTCTCTGGAGGGGTCCGTTTTCTTCTTTCGCCCACCGACCTGTCCAATCTCCTATAATTACATATCTCGACTGCAGGTCGTCAGTCGGTAGAGTTTGCTTTCGCTTTGGCTTTGGCTTTGCTTTGCAGCGCTCTCTCATCTCTGCTCGTGTTCTTTCTGATTGCTCATCACGAGTCACATACTGCATTACCATTTGCGTGTGTATTGTATTGTATTGCATTGCATTGATTTGCGTTTGGGTATCGTCTCGTGTACTTGTTGTGTTGCTTGCTGACGTTTCTCGACATTCTCGTTGGGCGCTCCCTCGTTCCAGGGGTCCTGGCGGAATGGAAAAGAGGAATATAATAAATCAGAATAATCCTGGTTGGAAAGTGTGCATATGTGTATATTCAAAGCCATACTGTGCTTGTGCTTTTGGGTGTGTACATATCTGTGGACCGGAATACCGTCGCCACTTGTGTTCTCCAAGAAGGAGATGGGACTGCCAAACTCGTGATTGAGCTGGGCTGGAGTTCTTGATGACATGGCTTGCTTTGGAGTTCCATGTTACAGGCACTTGATATCAAGAGGAGGTATTGCATTTCTAGTGCATGTCTGGCGACCGTCACTGTATCTGCTGTGGTCACTGGCAAGTACAACCATTGGCTGTTCCTAATGCCAGGTCGAGTGTGACTGCTGATGGTGGATATGGACGACTTGGGCGCTGAGAACCCGAATTTTGAGCGCCGAATGCTTCGGCTGCTTCCTTGCATCGTCGAATCCCCCACTCAGGATGAATTAATTATTGGTATACAAAACTGCTGAAACATGCAGATTGTCCAGTAAGAGACGTCAGGTCACTAGTAGATCTGCAGGTCGGTGCCGTCTAGTAAACAATCGTAGTCTAAACCGAGTCTTGCTGGATGAGGGTTCGGCTGGAAGGAATTGAGGTTCAGGTGGAGGTTGAGCCCACGTTGGCGCTGTGTTCGATTTGTGGGTGTGAGGTCTAGGAGGAGCTTCGTGTATCTGGATGTGGTTGCGTACACCAACGGCATTCATGCTCTTCTTCTTTTTGATCGTCTTCATTAATCGGCTGATATGCGGTTGTTTTTGGTCTTCAACCGCTGACTCGGGCTCTGGTGGCGGTGGTGGAAGGGACTTGTTCAGGTCCGGCATGGAAAGATTTGCTGGGTCGGGCAGATGGTCCGTGGATGTGTTGCCACTACTTGGTGGCCTCGAAAAGTCATCGGTGACAAGGCGAAGCGTTCTTTTTATGGCTTGGATGTCCTGGGAAGGGTTGGTGCCATCGAGCGACTTGGGTAGAACCTGGTTGGGTGCAGAGGTTACGCGGCTCTTGGCCACAACCATCTGTGATTCATTGCGGAGGCTGCTTCCGGGCTTTTTGGAACTGTTGTATGATTTCCGCGCTGCATCAGAAAACCTTCGCGCCGAGTCGGCCGGCGTGAGTCCTGCACTTGTCAGCGGCGTTGAATAGTCGGCGGTGGTGGTTGTGTTGATGGTGTCACGGTTGGAAGATCGTGACTGGATGCTCGATGCTGCATCGGAGGGAAGGCGTTGCTTTGCAACAAAGTTGGATGACTTATCACGACAGTGGTTTGATGCCGATATGCGCTCGGATTTCTCGGATTTCTTGTCTTGGGCGGATTTTGCTCGTCCCTCCAATATCTGAGCTGCTAGATATTGAAGAGGATCATCCGACATTTCATCCGAATGTGGCACATTGGCCAGCACCATCAAACATGACCGCTTCAACTCGGCCTCGATCTCTTCGGGGATGAACTGGCGCGAGATCCATGGCGAATCGGGAATATAGTGAGGGTCGTCTGGCTCTCCCAAGTATTTCTGGTGAATCTACATTGAAAAGTTGTCAGCAGGGGGAAACGCAAACACTATCGAGGACGAGCATACAGGAGGCCTGGTCACAATCGTGAGGTGATTGGCTGAGGGCGGCATGACTGTTGGCTCAGGAAGAATATAGAATCTTGCCCCGACAGCAGTAGTGGTAAATGGAGATTTGATGAGAAGAAAGTAGCCGAGTTGCAGGCGGGTTATCAACTAGAGTCGACAGGATTTGGCATTTCGGCAGATGGACATTTCAGATCGGGTGTTGGGAGATGCGCGAGATGGACGAGAGTGAGTGGGAACAGAATATCTGTGACACAACTGAGAAATCGAATGAGATTGTGGTGTCAACAGAGTCAGACTGGTTGAGAAGGGTCTGGAAGGTGACTGAGGAGGGAAGGGTGCGTCAAGCCATGCAGGACATGACAATGACTCTCTGCCAAAGGATTAACAGTAGTGGTCAAAAGAATAGAAAATGTAGTCAATGCGAGGTTTCAGGTCGAATGTGACCTGGTGAAGATAGCCATCCAGCTAGCCTCAGCGTCACCACGGTGGAGGAGTGTGGGTGCATCTATCGGCCGCTCAGCCAGTGGGTGGACACGGCTTGGAGAGCAGTTGAGAAGAGTCGTCCAGGAGTGGCTTGTTTGACCAGCAGAAGATGAGGTTAGCACAGTTGAGTTATCCCTACCCATTACGATGGATCAGGACCGTGGCACCGAGTAAGCGAAGCTCGATTCCGAGGAGTGAGATCAGATTGTGAAAAAGAGGACAGGATGGGTAGAGGGACGGAGGGTTTGATTGGCTGTGGAGATTGGGACATGGGAAAATGAACGCAGACTCTAGCGAATAGGCGTCGTCCTGTCAAATCATGCCTGGGACTCCCCTGGCGACAAGCGAGAATCGAGGGTCCCTGGTCCAAAGGGCCCAAAAGTGGATGCGACTTTAAGTAAGCCACAGGCCTTGGACCCACGCCCAAGGTGGTCTCGCAGCGGCTGCAATTCCCTACCCTCCACGCTTAACCAGCGTCATCCGAGCCTCCAGGCGTGCCTAGTGGCCGAGGAGGCCTAGAGTAAAGGCCAAGAGACCTGGGGCGACTCGGCCTCGCTTCTCTTACAGGGTCGCAAGGACCCGTGTCCAACCAAGCCTGGACAAGCTTGCATGAACCCAGCCAAGTGCGCTAAGTGCAATCTGTGGTGGACGCAGGACAGACGTTAATCAACCAAGGTACGAGTAGATTCGGAGTATTTGGAGGCATATTTGCTGGTGTTAGAGGTTGAATAAAATAAGAATATTTTGATATCATCATGATTTACAACCCATGCACGCCAGACCTAATATTATCACACTTTTGTTACCCTACCTCTTCTGTACCCACATGGTTCCCTCGGCCCTATTTCCGATCAAACGTGGAAATGATTGTTGGTCGTGATAAAGTCCTCCACATTCTGGCAATCTCCGGCTTCTGAAGTCAAAATGGAACACGTTTTCCTGTAACAGGTATACGCCTGGACGATTAGGGGAGACGGTGCCAGCAAGTTGGTATGTACGGAGTAGTAATCAGTCAAAGAGGATCCAAGTTGGTGGGCCAAAGGTGCCCATCTCTCCAGATCCCCACGTGTGTGTCAGCTGCGCCGTTAAAGTTTACTTTGTTGGTCAAGTTGTTACAGATTGTTTATTTTATGCTGTAGATGCCTCATCAAATTCCACTTCATCCTCGCCATGAACCATCTCCTCGGCGCACAAGTGTCAAAGTGCCCCCAGATCTCATCTGATCTTCCAGGACCCATGTTCCTGGCTCAGATACACCCTCATCTTATTCGACCTCCTAGGATCTCGAAACAGACACCAAGTTCATCCCTACATGGATGCATCTTCCCTTTCAGTTACTTCACCATGTATGTAGGTACTTGTAAATGCTGTCCATTCTCCATGATGATCTGACACCAAACCACCTTGTGACCTACTGCCTGATTGATGCATTGTGTATCTCATTGTTCTACTTCCATCAATGTCATCACATAACCATAGACTCATGCTTCCCACTATCTCGATATGGCCCATGATACACTCTTTCAACCATTAGCCTAGACCTTGGAATCCACATGAACCTCAGCTCACCTCTTGTCATGCATATTCCCAAGCAGGAACTGGTCCGTGGTATTCTACTGCAAAAGCCTCGAATTCCAGGCACTCCTCTGACTTGTATCCAGGGACGTCGGACCCCTCAATCTTCAAGAAGACTTGCCATCTGCCGTCGATAGTTGGACAAGCCTGCAGACCGGTGGCGTTGTGGAGATTCGAGGTCAGCTGTCCAAAACCTGACTCTTGATCCTCGGTGTAGGTGAAGGGACATGCTTCTCCGCCCATGGGGAAGATACCCGAATGCGGATAGGTATACCCCAAGGTACCGTCTGGTGTTGCCCAGAGAGACTGGCCGCCAGGGTGAAGGACCGCCTGAGAGTTCTTTTAGCCATGAGGTCTTATTGACCAATTCTCATCCTGAGTTGTATCTCACCATTGAACAAAGAGTAAAAGCTGTGAGACCCCCAGGCGGGCAAGCATCGTATCGCTCGACGTTTTCTGGGCAAAAGGTTCTGACTTGGTGTCCCACGAAGAATCTTTGTCTCACAGCATTTATGGGCAGAAGATGAATAGGAGAGCCGCCGCGAACAGCAATGGCTGTAAAGGTTGGGTCAGGTATAGTGACAGTCGAGAAATCACTAGGGCTAATGGTGGTCCTGTGGGGTTGGCTATATGCCGGGACTTCGCCGGTGCTCAACGTGACGTAGCTTGTAGATGTGGCATTGTGAACGGTCACAGTCAAAGTACTTGAGACGCCGTCATCTCTCAGCTGATTGGGGATGCCCAAGATTCCCAAGGGCTGAAGAAGGATTGTGAAGATAAGAAACCCAAACATTCTGAATGTGGGGGTGGTTGTGGAACTCGAGCAAGCTCAACTGATGTGGGAAAATCGAAGGAGGCCCGGCAGTGATCGTTCCAAGGAGAGAAGAGACATGCAGATAAAGGTAGAGCATGTTGAATGATTTGAGAGAGAGAAAGAGAGAGACCATTTCTGAGGAAGTCACGGCCTTCATGTCACGACTCTGGCAAGAACAAACCATCCACGCTTCACGAGGAAGGAGGTCTCGATGTCATGCCACGGGTCGGGGTCTTGCAGTTGGCATGACCTAGTCAGTGCAACCTCTCGCAAGCATGATTTGATATCGCCATTTGTGGCTTTTGGGACAGCCACCAGGTCTCATCGCAACGCGTTTGCAGATGTCAAATCTTCCATTGAGCGTGTGGTATTTGCAGAATTGCACGGTTTGTCGCACCTCAGTCAACACCCAAGTCAAACGCCTTTTCTCCCAAGGCGTTTAACCGCATCCGATTGTTCTGCCACTCAACCCATGCTAATCCTTGAAGAAGACAGTCTGCCAAGTCATCGAGCTTTCCAATCCCAGCACTCGACCTACTCCCTGAACTCTTCTCCTTCTTCCAGACAGAGACAAACTCTTCACTAATTGCCTTGGAGGAGGCACCGAGCTGGAGTGTAGTCTTTGCGTCACGGCTGCTCTCTAACAACGCACCAACAATATCGATCTTGGCCTTTTTTGTCTCCCTACCAGAAAGTTTCTTTTCAGCCTTGAGGTCAGCAGGGGCTCGGCCTTGAAGCCATAGTCGATTCACCCGGGGTGGCAGCATGGGGTTAACTTCTAGATCCACATTGCCTTGCTCGAGGAGAGTTCGAAGCACGGCATAGATCATGCCCTCAAACACACCCACTCTGATTGTCCACTCCTGGACGGCAGATTGACCGCCAGAACGGAACCTTTGCCTCTCAATGAGAATCTGGGTGGGTTTGTAGTCGTGTAATAAGAGTTGTACAAGGCTGTGGGCATGTCCAGCGTAGTCCACTGGCTCAAATGATTCTTTTGCGACCTTTGTCTTTGCTTTGATTTGACTATTGTGTCGTCCTGTTGGATCATGGTCCACAGACACCATCTTGTCATTGATACTAGGTGACTGCGAAACAGAGATGCGATGCCAGGCCTCCAGGACCGGCGTTCCATACTGTGGATAGGTAGACCTCCCATTTCCCGGCTTCAGAGGCGCCTTGATGTGGGCAAAGGCAAGATTCCTGATGCCCATATCAATACTGAGGAGGCTGACCTCATGATGTTGAGGTATTTGCGTAGAGCCCGGCGCGTTTTTCAGGGCTTGGCGTATGCCTTCCAACCGTGTTGATTTGGTACCAGAGCAAGGTGATCCGACAAGGACTGCCAGCTTATGAAGCTTGGATAGAGTCAGAGTCTCTAGCCAGGGCTTCGTAGCCTGCTTTCCCATTGAGCGCGTGGCACACCTGAACTTGTCGTCACAAATCACGACAACCATTCACCCACTGCATCCGAAGTCCTAAGGGACGAATGGAACAAGCCCATCGGCCCCTTTTGGTGCGTATTGAGCCAAGCCTGATCGTCACTCGCCTCATTTGGGACTAGGCTGACGCCGCCCTGTCCGCATCCCCAAAAACCAAACTCGTCGCAAACTTATTATTTGTAGACGCTCGATCAGAAACAGCGGCTATTACCATTGAAAAGTCATCCCCGCACGACATGATTGTTTGTTACTCGTAGGTGGGTAAGGTGGGGTTAATAGCACCTTTATACTCCAAGTTGTCACCAGTTAGTCTACCGTTGATAGGCGCGTTGATGCCGTCAATCCCAAATCTCGAACTTAGCCGAGTATGCGAGAGCCTCGGTAATGAGGCTGGGAAGTCGACTTTTTATCAACACTATAGATACCTAGAAAACAAGATCAAACATCATTCATGTGCCTGACACACGACGGCCCATTGCTCTCCATTCGATGACCATCTTCCTGGGTTGCCTTCAGCATGTCCTCCTCTCCACCCATCAAGATTCTCATAGCCAATCGATCCGAGATAGCATGCCGCCTCATTAGGACATACTCGCTCTACTCGTCCGTTCATACAGTGGCTCTATTCACTCCATCTGAGAAGGATCAAACACATGTCCGGCTTGCAGACTCATCAGTTCAACTTCCTGGAGAAGGTGCAGGTGCATATCTGGATGCAGCCAGTATCGTCAACATTGCCAAGCAACATGGCTGTTGGGGAATCGCACCCGGCTATGGTTTCTTGTCCGAAGACGCTGGATTTGTGAGACTCTGCGAGGAGCAAGGTATCTCGTTCATTGGACCATCGAGCGAGCAGTTGGCACAACTTGGAAACAAGATAAGCGCTAGGTCATTGGCAGCAAATGTTGGAATCCCCGTTCTCAATGGCACCAAGACCGGACTCGAACGAGGCTCTTCCATCGCGGACGTATTGGCGTTTGGGAAGACTCTGGGCCCAGGGAGCAAAATCATTTTGAAGGCCGCAGCTGGAGGTGGAGGACGCGGCATCCGCATCGTTGATGATAATACAGACGAGCAAGCCATTCGTTCAGCCTACCAAGCTTGTCAGCGAGAGGCACAGGCATCTTTCGGCGATGGGAGCTTGTTCGCCGAGCGATATCTACACGGTGCTAAACACATTGAAGTTCAGCTTCTTGGAGACGGCACTGGACAAGTCTGCCATTTCTGGGAAAGAGAATGTTCGCTTCAGCGCCGAAACCAGAAAGTCGTCGAGATTGCCCCTTCACCTTCTATCACGTCGCGACTGAGGCAAGCCATCATCGATGATGCGGTAAAGTTGGGAAAAGCTGTCAAGCTGCGCAGTCTTGCCACAATCGAGTTCCTTGTCGATGCAGGAACCGAAAACTATTTTTTCATGGAGGCCAATCCCAGGATCCAAGTCGAGCATACCATAACCGAACAAATTAATGCCGTTGACCTGGTCGACTTGCAGCTCCAGGTGGCCTTGGGACAAACTCTGGGAGACCTTGGCATAACGCGTGAACCCCCATCGCCTCGACTGACATCCATTCAGCTCCGCATCAACGCCGAAAGCTTCAAACAAGATGGCAACGCCCAGCCTGAAGCTGGCACTATTCGACAAGGACATTTCCCTACAGGAGCAGGCGTTCGAGTCGAGACAGCTCTTGAAGGAGGTCGGAAGTATGCCGTGAGCCCTCTCTTTGACAGTCTTTTGGCCAAACTCATCGTCACCTCATCTTCATATGACTCGGCACTTCGACTAGCTCGTTGGGCGATCGGTGAGACGAGAATCGTAGGGTGCAGAACGAATCAGGCATTTCTGATGGCTTTGCTGGACAGCGAACCCGTGCAACAAGGAAAGAGCAACATCTTGACCATTCAGGACAATTTTGAGGCTTTGTACAATGCCACGCAACAGTTTGAAGACGCATTACGTGCCCAAGCTGACACCACTTCCGAGGAAGCCACCTCGCCGACGGAGGGTGCAGCCAAAGTTGAGCGACCTGCGGGCTCTGAGGAGCTGATCGCACATGTCACTGGGGTTGTGCTTTCCGTCCTGGTGAGCGAAGGCGATAAGATCACGGCTGGCCAGGAGTTGGCCGTTCTCGTTGCCATGAAGATGGAACATTCAGTCCGGAGCGCCTGCGACGGTGTGGTGGCCAAGGTGGCCGTCACCCAAGGACAGCAAGTCAATGCCGGCGATCCTCTTCTCTTCACCATCTCGGATGGTGAAACTTCATCTACCAACACCACCGACCAAACAGAAACAGAAGATCCAGAGCAGCTACGGCCGGAGCTGACGGAGCTGAACGACCGCAAGGCCTCTCTACAGTACGCTGGACGCGAAGAAGACGTGGCCAAGCGCCATGCAAATGGATATCTCACCGGCCGGGAGAATCTCGACTTACTTGTGGACAAAGACTCATTCATTGAAACTGGGGACCTAGTGGTCGCTGCACAGAGGAAGAGGTACCCCATGTCCTATCTCATCGCTCGAACAAGTGGAGATGGTATCATCGTGGGCTGGGCCAAGATAAATGCTCATCCAGTTGCAGTTGTCATTGGCGACTATCTCGTCCTTGCCGGCACGCAAGGGCACTTTCATCATCAGAAGTTGGACCGCATCTTCCAATCTGTCATCGATCATCCTGCGCCCGTCGTCTTGTACGCCGAAGGAGGCGGTGGGAGACCAGGGGACACCGATCACTTGGGCATGGCCGGCCTGAAGACACCTTCATTCGGTCTAATGGGCGAGATCAAGGCAAGAGGGATACCTTCTGTTGCAGTCGTAAATGGATACTGCTTTGCAGGCAACGCTGCATTCTTGGGGACTTGCGACATCATCATCGCTACAAGAGGCGGCTCAAAAGACGCGCCCTCCAGGAAGTTGACCACAATCGGCATGGGTGGTCAAGCAATGATCGAGGGTGGAGGGCTCGGCCGCTTTGAGCACCACCATATTGGCCCCGTCGATGTCCATATGCGCTCGGGTGGCATCGACGTACTTGTCGACACCGAGGTCGAAGCTGCGCCACTGGTTCGTAAGATGGTTGCTATGTTCACTCACCCACAACTGCCACCAGGCAAGAGTGATTACACATCGGATCCTCTTCGCCTACGCACCGCAGTGCCGCCACTGTCATCTCGTCGCCGAGCGTACGACGTCCGACGTGTGATCAACTTACTGTTAGATGACGATAGTTTTATCGAGTTCTCTCCCGAGTGGGGCCTCTCTGTGCTCACAGGGTTTGGCCGCATCAACGGCCACGCAGTGGCTATCATGGCTTCTAATTCTTCGTCTCCGCTAGGCGGCGCCATCGATGTCGCATCCGGAGCAAAGGTCAACCGTCTTCTCCGTCTCCTCATCCGTCTCGGTGGCATGCATCTCATCAGCCTCTGCGACACCCCTGGATTCATGGTGGGCCCCGACTTTGAGCGGTCGATCGAAGCTCAAGGTGCCGGAAGCACGTACCGCTGCTTCGGTGACTGGTTCGGCAATTCACAAGAATTCGCTCTTCTCGGCGGTCGTGTCCTAGGGATTGTTCTAAGGAACGGTTTCGGACTCGGTGCACAAGCGATGCTGGGGGGCGCAAGTATGAGGAACAGCATGTGCGTGGCGTGGCCGAGTGCCGTCTTCGGCGGCATGGGCATCGAAGGTGCTGTAAGGCTTGCCTACAGAAAAGAGCTGGAGGCTATCGAGAATCTTGAAATGAGGCAGAAGAAGGAGCAGGAGATGATCGATGTCATGTACAGTGAAGGCAAGGCCATCAACATGGCTATGGCGGCAGAGATCGACAGTGTGATTGATCCTGCCATGACGAGGAAATGGCTGGAGCAGATGATCACCGTCTTACCAGAGAGAGTACCGAGTTATCTCAAGGCGAGAAGAGGTGCGAAGATGTGAGAAGAGCAAACGGTCATGGGGAAAGTTTGAAACGAGTTTGGCATCTGGTAGATTTGGGAGGCCCTAGGGCCACCGCGGGCCATATTGATCGCCCACTGACATTAGATTTTGGTCGAGTAGGGAGCGTAGAGATATAGATGATAAGATTATACGAGGTAAATGGAAAAATTTGTCGAGAAAATGATGCTGACTTCTAAACGCAGCCGCGACCGGTTTTCACTGTTCATTACGCTCTTGCCGACAAGCACATTACGCGTGCGAGGACGCGTGTTTCGGTGCGCGAAATCACGTGGTATGGATCAAAGAAAGTTCAGAAGCAGACAAGGTTCAATATAAAATCTTACTAGCTGTTGAGAGACACGTCTTCCAGAGTCGCATCACAAACCTGTATAATTCTGCTCGAATATGGTTTCGAGCGTCTTTTGGATGTCCATAATGCCACAGGCGAGCCCCACGCCTTGTGGTCATGGATCAGGCCAATCGCACCTCCTAACGCCCTTGCTTTGTAATACATCAATTCGAAAAGTTCACAAGCACAAGGGTATCTTTGGCAAGCAAGCAGTGCTCCCAGCACTGCAAGGTCTATCCGCCATGCCAACGCCATGACCTTCCTGTATACCTAATTCACATAAAATCTGGTCAACCTGGAAATGCAAAATCCGAGGCCTGCAAAGGTCATGGTTCAAATAACTCATCAGGCGCGAGATAAAGCAGATCAGCCCAAACGCGGAAATGGATCACGGCGATATGGGCTATCCTGCGGGCCAGATCTTCCACGCTTGGTATCAGTGGTCTTTCTTTAGCGGCCCATCGCTGTTCAGCCCAACGTCTCTGTTCATCACTGATGGCCAGCGGGGTCATGTTTTCAAACGCCCTTGTCTGGGCCTGGGCCAACTCCTCTAGCTCCTGAGCCAGTGGTATTATGTATCCCATGGTATCTGCCTCGAGTTCGAACGCTTCCTGGAGTAGATCGTTGGCATCTTCCACCAGATCATCAGAAAGGGACTCGGGCTCGGTTTTCTGCATCTCTCCGATTACAACGGACGCGGAGCGCAGAATCTCCAGAGCAATATGGCTGGTCTTGTCATCCTCTCTCTCTTCCATGTTGACCTTCTCAGTCGAGCTATCGTCGGTGAGGTCTATCAGTCTGACCTTGAGATCTTTACGCTGTGTCTCGATGCAGTCCTGGAGAGGAGAATTGCCGCGATCGCCGGTTTCCTCCAGCCCCATCATCTTATACACCAGGCGCTCAAAGACATCAAGACAGAGGCGAATAGTGGCCAAATCTTGAACTTTACGCTGGACGAAATTGAAGCGGCGGGTGTCGTAAAAGAGAGAATCTGGTATCGAGAAGTTTGGTTTGGCCGCAATGGTGACAAGCCCATGAACCAGTGCAGCCAAGGGTGGTGAACGCGGTTGGAGAGCATACTGGAGACAGGACTCATGTCGTTCAGTGGCTGCCTGAAACCACAGCCGTGATGAGCGTACCATGATCCTACCAGCTTCCATGCGGTCTCGAAAATAGCCGCGCTGAAAATTGACGGTGTCGTCAATCAGAGAATAGCGTTTGCGGCGAACCGAGTTGTTGGCGACGTCAAGTTTCATAACCTCGAGTAACTCGAAGAGTTGTCGAATTCCGTCGGTGATAATGGAAAAGTCACCTTTTTCCATGCCATCGTCAATTGTCCGGGCCATCTCGCGAGCCATTGCATCTCGGACTGGGGCGCAATGACGGATCATCAGACGAGAAAGCCATTGTCCCAGCCAACTGGCATCCAACATGCCGTGGGAGGCTTCCTGCATGCGCAAAGAAACGTCAAGGTAATGACAAATTTGATCCCACTCATGATACTGCGTCATGGTTATTAGAAGTTCCTTCAAGGTGACAAAAAACTTTTCTAGGCGGGGGCGAAAGTGATACTGGGTTGTCTCGCCTAATTTCAGCCTTTCTTCGCATTCGTCACACTTTGCCATGATGTTGTGCTGACACAAGATCTTGAGTTCGGCAGCCAAAGCTTCCCAATACTCCTCGGACACCACTTGCTTGTCCTCGGCGTTTTGACCACCCGACGCTGAAAAATTGATATGGTGATCGAAGTTGATGTCGATTCTAAGCTTGATGTTTTTTTCGATCTCGTCGAGGTCAATCGCATGTAAGGTGTCCTTGTTGATAAGAGGGCGGCTAACAGCCCTTCGAAGCTGACGGACTGAGTGCGGGTCGGTACAAAGCGGGATGGCTAACATGCCTTCTTCGACTATTTCAGCCGAAGTATAATTGTCGGATTCATGGGAGCTCCTGCTCGACCCCGTGGGAGACGACCAAGCCTGATCGTCGGAGCCATGATCGTCAGATACTTGGTGTTGTGTGCTACCGTGTGATTGCTCATGGAGAGTTGGATCAACCTGGTGCTGGCCTGTTTGCGAACGACCCGTCATGGTGATGGTGTGGAACACGGACGTTGGAGATGGAATCGGTGAATGGAAGTGGTTGAGACGACCGTCAGTCGACCATGCCCATCAACACCAAAGTGTGATGGGAACTTGTGCGTGCGGCACTTTCGACGGGGAGGTCGAGCCCACCTTGGGATGCTTATTGTTTGGTTGTGGTCGACTTATTCATATATATATTTATCCCGAAAGGATTGTTCACTCTCGGAAGTGTCTTGGAAAAGGTGTCCTTGGACGACGTTGGTGATTGGGGTGCAAGGTCACATCGACGTGCACACCCGATCCAAAGAGGTATAACCTTGAGAGAATGAAACACAGGCACAACCTAGTGGTGGTGCCAATTTGCAGAGAATTTGGACTTTGGTGAGTGAGAAGACTGTGGTTGGAAATGGTGAAAGATTGGTTCTGTACCCGTGTTGCGTGGGGAGGATGGTTGGACGAAAGAAACTCCATTGATCTATGGAAAGATAAAGAGAAGGAAGCTCGACGAGGCGTTGGTATTCACAAACGAACGACTGCAAACCGAGGCGTGGTGACAAGATGGAGGAAGGTTGAGTGTTGAGCGTGAGCGAGTGTCGCCTCACTATTCGACATGGAGCCCTCAACAGACAAGTCATCAGGTGGATCGACGGTGGTGCGAAACCGAGTCTGGAATCATTCCAGCTCTTGGGGGCGACAGTCAACAGTCATCTGGACTTAGCCGCGTGTCAGCTGGGTTTCCAGTAGGGGGGCGGAAGGTCCCCCTCGTTCTTTAAGCTTCATGGGGGCTTGTGACGCCATGTTTGTCCTGGAGATTGGCTACCCAGGGACGAATGGCGGCAGCATGGCAGCGTTGGCACTGTGCCACAGGTGGTGCAATCCTGATGCTGCGGATTTTGTTCATGGCACCGTGTGCTCAATCGTGTGTTTGCTGTCAAGGTGCAAGTGGATGTATCTAGGTGTGCATATCGACCACGATCGATGTGTGGCTACGATACAACCTCGAGTGATAGGCGAGGGTTGATGTACTGGACTGTATGTACTGTGGTCATTGACGCCTGGAAGAGTCAACGACGTGGCCCAAGGAAGACTCATGAAGTAGACCACAGTCATCATGGTTGTAGTAATTACCTAGGTATTCGACTAACTATCTTGAGTCATGGCCACCAACTCACAGATCCATTACCATTAACCACGTTGCCTGAATATCTGGCACCGTAGGTTGAAAGGTTAGAGGTCAAACGAACTCCTGGACAAGTTGGATACAATTCTTTTGTCCTAAAATATCTTACTGGAACACTTTAAGTGCTCGGTTGACTGTATTATTGTGCCCAAGGCGACCAAAGGCCCCTGTGATACCCAGGCACCTACAGGCTGCGCTAAGTAAAAGTAGCACTTACTTAGGCGAGCCCCAGATTTCATTTGCTCTCTGGGACGGATCCTAACATCCGATGTTTTGTCTCCCACTCTCCTTTTTTTTGCATTCTGCACCATGCACAGAACTTCTTCCAGACCATGGTGGTGCATGGTCTAAGTAGGTTAGTGTCCGCTTCGAAGGATCTGCCCCCAATCGGCGTTACATGGAAGCCCAGCTGGTTGCCAATTGGCCACTTCGCCTTGAAATCCCCCTTGCCACTGACCTTACTGGCTGCTCTCTTTTACCTGGGTGGATTTGAGATTTGCTTGTCGAGGACTTGATTCGAGATAAGGCTGACAATACTGTTACAGGATACTGTAGAGATCAGCGAGATCCTTGAACCTCCCCAAACAGCAAGTCTGCCTTTATTCTATTTGTCTCTGCCTTGCAGAAGCCAAATAACCAACCAGTCGTCCGCCATGTCCTGAGCATCGTCAAGACTTTCGACCGTCATTGAGCAACTTCACTTGGGTGTAACCAATGCTCGGATACCAACACCTCCTCTCTGATTCTCTCCCCAAGGCACGAGTAGTTCCATTGACCTGCGAGTGGCTTCTGTACGCTCTAACAAGACCCCAATGAGCACAACACATACACAGTCAGACATTACGAGGTCCGATTGCACTCTAGAGGCGTGTTAGGAATTGCCACCAACCCAGGTAGGGCAGATGCATCCAGTCAAAAGGAAGTCCAGGCTGGCAAAGAGTTCGTAATGGCAGCAGAAGCACCTCCCAGTGCAGTCCTCGCCACGTGGGTGCACGACGCTGGCGTCTATGCATTGTATCACCACAGTGGGTTTCCCGCTATAGGTTTCGGTCGCACTAAATCTGCATCAATTCCTTTTTGATCGTTACATTGTACTGATCTGCGATGGACAAGGCAGCAGGCTTTTCTACTCTACAGATGGTGAACAGAAGGATTTCTTCCAAGCGATACAAGGCACGATATCTCGACCTTGTCTACACAAAATTCCCTAGCATATCCTTCTCCGGGTCCAGCTGATTCGTTTCCTCACAGACGTCTCATGGGTCGTGAAGTTTGACTAGGACCTTTCGTGAACCTCCTGCGCCAGATGTCTGGTGGTGATATGCAGCAATGGCATCTTCGAACCCCCCATCGCCAATCGCCTGATACTCGGACGGTGTCAGCTTGCCACTCTCGATCAGCCCAATAATGCAAGGAATGTATTGCTCCAGCTTTGCGTTGAGCTCCTCGGCTTCTGGCCTACCTATTGCGCCGAGAGCGATCATGTCAGTCTTGGCTCCCGAAAAGTCTTTAATGGTAGGGTTCCAGTCGTTGGTTGTGGTAAAGTACTTGTCCGGAAAGGTGCTTGCTTCGAACAAACGTGTGACAACGGTCAGGTCGTCGTTAGCGACGGCATCATACAGGCGCGAGAAGTTTCCAGACGTGACTTTCAAGACCTCCTTGACTTGTTGCTCAGGAGAGTCCTTGTAGTTGAAAGGGACCGCGCCCAAACTGCTGATGATCTCTGCTGATCCAGGTGAGCTAGAGGCGATGACATTGTAGCCAGCCGCTTGAGCTAGCTGGATAGCGACCTTTCCGACGCTGCTTGCTCCTCCAAGAACAATGAGCCACTGGTCCTGCGCTTTGGGCAGGTTCTTGGGGTCAGGGACGGGAATATGCAACCCATTAAACAGACCCAAGGCCGCAGTCAAGCTAGCCACACCCAAAGTGGCCGCCTCCTGGAAGGTGATCTTGTCGGGCTTGGGAAAGACCACTTGAGCGTCAAAAAGATGAAACTCTTGAGCGGCGGCGTAACCCTTGACTCCGAGCCTAGTGCAGCCAAAAACAGCATCGCCCGCCTTGAGACCATATTTCTCGGTGGCCTCATTTCCTGAGTCGGTGACGACACCAGCAGAGTCGCAGCCAAGTCCCAGCGGCCAATCCACAACCAAGAGTCCAAATTTGCTCATAAAGGCGTCACTGGACAAGGAAATCGGGGTCAGAAGGCTCGGCGGCAAGGGAGATGCCACCAGGAGTGAGAAGTGAGAATGAGGCTCATCATTCGGCACACTAGTCAATCTAGGGGACGCAGAAACTTACACAGGGTTGATCGCCATCCATATTGGTTTGACCAAGACCTGACCAGGCCCTGGAGATGGGACTTCGAGGTCATGAACAAGTTTGGGGTTGGCGCCTACTTGTTCAAATACTACACCTTTCATGATTCCGAGTGGGAAAATGGTAAATGTAAGAGAGATTGTTCCTGCGACGGGGAAGAACAAAGAACGATGGATGAGACAACTCAAAGGGACGTTGATGGTCTTTTTGTAGACATCTCAGCTGCAAGACTGAGAGTATGGGCAGTGCGAGTTGACTAGGCAAACGTCGTACGTAGGTTCTAGGTCGCTTAAGGATCTGACTGCAAAAGGGTATGTGAGCCCGAAGAGCTGATATGGTTTGACGAGCAGCAGATATAGAGTCACGTTCGACCAGGGCACAATGCAGTTCATGCTTGCATCCATCAATAACATGAAAGGGTTATTCCGCTGGCTCATAGTGTGCCGTGCAATGAAAGGGTTTATTGGCCCTCCACCGGAAGGAGACATATAGGCAAGCACATGTATTGGCTCAAGTGATAGGTAGGTTGGAAAGTATGTCAGGGCTGGAATACGAGGAGGGGTTGATGAAATCCTGCGGTGATGCATCTGCAGCATGTGCAGATGCTTCCTCAGCACACGGCTGCCTAAACCTTGAGTGATAGAAGCAAGTCATATCGAATGAAAATGAGTATAAGGTGGCTGAGCGAGCAGAGAGAGAGAGGTTGCTGCTAACAGGGTGTCGCAACTCTGAAGCAGGCTGCTGCTGTTGGTGTTGCTGAATACCAAATGTAATATGAGTGAGGTTGAGGTTGAATCCAAGAGGGATTGAGAAGCGCAAGACGTCAGCACTCACAGATCAAATGGTCCACCCAATTGAATTACACGGTGGACCTTAGCACTGACTACGCAATCTGGCTCCTTCCCCTCAACCGTAGGCTATGAGAGTTACTTTGTATGCTTATGGAGCCACGCAGCCTTATGGGACTAATTACTATAGGCAGTCACTGGAGTCCACCTGCGCTTATTAGAGCTCTCTCCTGTGGCTGCCCCCACTGTCCCTGCCGCCTACGGATCACTTTTTACGCATAATGTGGAAACTACCAACTAGCGACTAGCGCCGCGCCTGCGTCTTCCCAACTGTTCATCTCACTGTCTTCCCAATCAAGAAACTCTGAATGCGTAAAGCTAACTCCAAGCTGCCCATCTCAACAATCACCAACTCTTTCTGCGTTGATTTTTTTGCTACCCTATTCCTTCTCCTCGTGTACACACCGTCGGTTTCTGTCTGGATTCCGACAGACCTCTTTTGTCGGCGCAATGGGGTCCAGGCAAGGCTTTAGGGTTCTCGCCCGCAACATCACCTCCCAATGCTCCCTTGCTCAACCAAGACGACCCTTCTCTACAAATCCCTCTTGCCTTGCTGCGCACAACTTCGCCATGCCTGCCATGTCCCCAACGATGACTGAGGGGAACATTGCAAGTTGGAAGCTCAAGGAAGGCGATGCTTTTGCTGCGGGAGATGTCTTGCTTGAGATTGAAACAGACAAAGCATCTATGGACGTTGAGGCACAAGACGACGGAATCTTGGCCAAGATCTTCTCCCCAGACGGTTCAAAAAGCATACAAGTCGGTACTCGGATAGCTGTACTGGCCGATGCTGGGGATGACATTTCCAGCTTGGAAATCCCCGCTGACGATTCAGCCCCCTCCAAATCTGTCGCCGACAATGTCAAAGGGGGCTCCGACAACAGCTATGAATCCTCGGGCGTCGAGAAACAGGTCGAGGGAACGCCACAGAACAAGAGACCAGCCAAAGATAAGCCCACCACTAGTCCCAAAGGACCCGGCCAAAACCCAAAGTACCCACTATACCCATCAGTCATTGCTCTCATCCACGAGAACCACATTTCGGACGAGGACGTGGGCAAGATCCCAGCGACGGGTCCAAACAATCGTCTCCTCAAAGGCGACGTCTTAGCCTATCTCGGTTCCATCGAGAACGATTACCCCCTAAGTCAGTCCAAGCGGCTACAACACCTAGCCCATCTCGACCTGAGCAACATCAAGGTCCTCCCCATCACACCCAAACCGACCCCTGCATCTCAAGACGCCCCCTCAGCACCTTCTTCCGACACTCCTCGTCTCACCTCCATCGCAATTCAAGTATCACTCGCCGAAGTCCTCAAAGTTCAAAAACGAGCCAAAGACGCCATTGGTGTGACTATTCCACTGTCCACTTTCCTTGCCCGTGCCGTCGACCTTGCCAACGACGATTTGCCTCGTCCAAAAGGCTATAAGCCCACGCAGACGGATCTTTTCAACGCTGTGCTTGGTCTTGACTCTGTCCCAACCACTTCCAGAGGAACATACCTGCCACAGATCGATGCGTTCCCCTTTGGCCCTCGTGCGACAACCTCAAGACCATCAGACAGCACATCCCCTGACGTTATTGACATTCTTTCAGGCAAAGTGAGGAGAAGGACAGCTGCCCCTTCAGCTGCACGATCGCCAACTGTGACACCTGGCAGGAATATCTCAACCGTCGATGGTGCGAGGAATGTCTTCAGTTTGACGGTTCCAGTCGGCGAAGAAAAGCGGGCCAGGACATTTTTGGAGAGGGTCAAGACTGTTCTCCAGGTTGAACCAGGGAAACTGATCTTGTGACGACCTCATTTGTGCCTTCTGGTGGATTTATATCCCGAGGGAGACGGGGCTGTATTGATATAGAAGCAAGCGCTATTTAATGTAGATTGATCAGTCATCCGAAAAGTCATTTTCTCTTCCAAAGTGTTACAGTATCGTCATAGAAAAGTTGGGACCAATGCACTCTCCGTGGTATTTATCACCATGTGAAATGAACCCTTCATCTACCATGGAGGGACCGTTTCAACATATTTTCAAGCAAATAAACAACTTTATTCTCATAGTGTCTTTATGCGTTGATGCTGGATCTGACTGCGAACGTAGTTACAGGCCCTCCACCTTTGGTGTCGGTCAAACTGACGGTGGGCAGTCCTGAAAACACAAAGCCTCTTCGATGCTTCTCATGTTCGCAGATTTGAGTTCCTACATGTTTTAGATGTATGATACGCGTATCCCAGAATCGTGTCAAGATGTTCAGTGACTATGCTGTCAAATCAGGGAGCTATCCACCAAATAACTCCTGTCGTCAAATCTGGTTTCTGTGCCTGTCCACCAACCTCCGGCCTGGCGCAAAATACCGAATACCGCGTACTAAGTAAGCCTCGTCATATGCATATTTGGCTTGGTCATCACGGCTCGTAAAAAGCAGATGTCGTCTCCTCCAAATAAAAAGAACCCCCGCTCCCCGACCGGCTAATGCGCATTCATTTCGTTAAAACAAGGTCGCTTGCTCATTCACGCGCTTGCTCGGACTTGCTCGAGTTGTCAAAATATGTTTCGCAGATGTGCGTACTTTTCTCACGGATCGAATATCAAAGACGTGCTCCACAAACAAGGCGGTCATCTCGACGCATGCAGCAGAGCTTTTGGTTTTATTCTCGAGAGCCAATGAGACTCGATAGGGCCATAACGGGCGTCATCATAGACCACCACGAGGGCCTTGAAAGACGATTCGCATGGGGTGACGAAGCAAGCATCACCGAATCGAGCCCCAGTCGCCAAGCTTGCCGGACATGCCGTCACTGCTCCTATCTTCGTTTCCCTTTTTGCCAAAGACACGCCAGAATCGGAGAGTTTCGTCTCCGGCGCCGGTCACGACGGTGGTGCCATCCGGACTCGCGCTCAGATACAGCACACGATAGGTGTGTCCGGTCAGACTGACTACCTGCTCCATTTTGGGGTATTTCCACACCACAATTTGGTTTTGACTGTAACCGTGTGTACTGACGATTTCATCGCTATTCTTGCTCCACGCAAGGTTGCATACCTGACTTCCGGTGTCGACTTCTTTGATCAGGGAGCCGTTTGATGTATTCCAGAACTTGATCGATCGATCGGCGGTACCTCCACCAGAGGCCAGCAGATGGTGTTGGTGAGGGCTCCAGGCAATGGCCTTGACGGCGGCAACGTGGTTGGAAAATCGGTACAGCGGCGTCTCAGACAGCTTATCCCAAACACACAATTTGTTGTCGTTGCCGCCGGAAGCGAGCTGACCATCTTCAGTGTTCCAGCGTAAGCCACAGACTTCCTGCTTGTGTCCTGCAAGCCTGCGCAGGTGCTGATCTGGACTCCGCACATCACGATGATAGATCAGTCGATCTCTTGATCCCGAGGTCAAGATATGATCGTTCCAGGCAAGAGCGCCGACACGGGCGGTATGACCGGTCATGGTGCGCAGTCTTCTGGACTTTTCAGCATCATAGATCTGAACAAAGCCTTTGTGGGTGCCAATGGCTAGATGTGAGCCGCGTTGAATCCAAGCAACGGATGTCACTAGGTCATTGTCGGGAAGCTTGCATAATTGAGTGACTTTGCCGGTTGCACTATTCCACATGTAAACGCATGAGCCAAGGCCGACGCCCAAGATGTTGGCGGAACCCCAATCCACCAGGTTCAAGTAGAAATCATCGGCCAGCTCGGGGGCATCGAGAACCTTGTAAGGCACTTTGGCAATGGGCCGAGGTGGCTTGCGAGGAGTTTGTAAGATTGACTGTGACGAGTAGTTGATGGGGGAGACGGAATAGAGATCAGATCTTGCGTTGAGATTGATCAAGCCGGGGTGTTTGGCGTTGCGAGAGGATGGTGTGGGATGGCCAGATCCGATGACTTTTTGAGGAGATTTGTACGAGAACATGTTCTTGTGAGGGGTGGTGGGTGTGATTGAAGCGGGAGGAAGGTTGGAGGCGGAAGGCTGGCCTGGAGGAGTCTGGCGTCGACCATACAACTCGTCGGTGGAAAGATCTTTGTGATGTTGAGGAACGGAATCGCCCATTAGCTCGTTTCGCAGGACTTTGGAGTAAGTTCGATTGGCTTCTTCGGTTCGTTGCAAGTGCAGTTCGCCGTGGGGAGTCTTTTTCTTAGATCTCGAAGGGGTTGCCGGTGATCCGTCATCGTGTAGAAGACTGTAACTTGCTTGAAGATCTTGGCCATCTCGATTGGGGATGAATCTACGGAGGCTTGGTTAGGAGGGTGAGGGAAAGGCGTTGGTGGAGAGGTCTTACCGGTCGCCATAGACGCGCTGTCTCTTCCGACTTGGGCTTCGGCCGGGTGTTCTCTCTCTTTGCCTCGCAGCGTATTCGAATTCTTTCAGTCGACGATTCAATGTATCGGCTTCCATGGCTTCGGTGGTGGGGCGGATGGCGGTCAGACCATCATTTTCGTCCAAGAAGTGTCGGGCAGCGATTGTCGGAGGAGTCTTGGAGCCACCAGGGGTAGGTAATGACGGGGTTCGAGGTCGATCTGTTGAGGGTTGGGTAAAGGATGTGGAGGCCGGGTCGTCCATGCTGAGGAGAGAAGGAGAGATGGGGGGTTATGTAGAAGTAGTCTTGCAGATATGTCACAGCTGAATGACTGGGAAGTTTGAGGTGACAGTGACAATGAACCTGGAATGACAAGCAGGGATTGAGGGGCTGGTGAAGTTTGGAGAGGCAGAAAGTGAAGATGTTGTCGGTAGTTTGACTCGGCCGCTGCAGCCAAAGCCGCGACCGGCAGAGGACAAATCTCTCCAAATGCGAGTGCGGGTATTTGGGGTCAGAATCTAGATGAATGTTAAGATGGCCATGACAAAGAAACTGAGGTTCGGAATGAAATGCTGGAGGTTGTTGAGAGATGGCGCAATCTGAAGGGGGTCAAGTCGCAAGTGGTGAGGGTGATGGTGATAGTCTGGTGAAGTTGACGGAGCAGTTGCGAGCAGGACGATGAGGAGGAGGACAATGGGACTAGTACAAAAGAGGAAAGGTGGGTACCAGCGGTCAATACTCCGTGTGCGAAGGACATAATGGCAGTCACCACAGAAAGAGGTTCAAGTATGTGGATGCCCGCCTGGTGGTTCCTGCCCTGTAGGAGATGCAGATACGGTAGGCACTACGGAGTATTGACCTGACCCTCTATGCGTACCTACCTAATTGAGTAATTCAGCTACTGTACAAGAGGCTCACGACATTTAACATTCTCTACAAGCCCCTCAACCACCGACTGACGCTTCATTCTACTCATGACTTGGCACTGTTTACATCGCTACCACCCGTCTGCCCTCAGCTTCAGACTACAGTCAAACCATCAGTCAATCTCGAGGCGCCCTTGTTCTGATCTATAGACGCGCACAGCTCCTGTAAGCTTGACCAGATTAGAAACAAAACATCAACACTTTACGCGGCCACGTTTTCGACCATAACAATCAGCGCGTCTGATCAACATGGTTGTGTCAAGTGGAATGGGAGCCGACCCCAATAGCATTGTTAAACTAAGTCTCAGAAATGCTGGTAGCGAAGTTCAATGATTCGTCAGAGAGTGTGTCTCAGAGTGATTGGCGTTTACAAGTCTTTGGTCTCTCGACTCCAGAACCTCAACGGTGGGGGCGGGTCTATTCCAGAACCTAACGGTAAAAGTCATTGGTATCTGCCCTGGTTCCGAACATTGAAACCATTGCAAGTCGAGGCTAAACGGAGGGAAGTTCAGCGGAAGGGCTTAACCTATGAAGCTTATTACTTGGGAACGCTGCCCAGTAGCATTCGTAGGAGCCTGGATACGTAGCAGCCGTAGGTACCATGCTTACTCCGTAGGTTAGCTACCTTCAAGGTACCCAGGGCACGCGACAGGTTGACCCGGAGAGCCCCTCGGCCATCCACCTGCACCCACCGCTACTGATAACTGTAATAGGCGGAGAGCTTGAGCCCAACCACATACCATCTTCCCTCCATCTTTAGTCTCCCATATCAATTCCCAGTCATTAACCTCGGCGCCGTCAATAATCCTGCTGAATCAACTGATGCACCCTCCCAGAATTGGTGTCTGAGTACATGATCCTCTCCTTGTTGAAGCGAAGCACTTCAACCGTCCGCTTTCATTCCACCATGGCTCCCATCGGTGTCAAGGTCGCAGCCAATGACTTTTTGGACTTTGTGAATGCATCACCCACTCCCTTCCATGCTGTCAAGTCCGTCAAGGAACGATTGACAAAGGTTGGCTTCAAAGAAATCAAGGTCCGTCAGAACCACAATATCAGCCCAGCACATCACTGACTTGGACACAGGAGAAGGATTCCTGGGCCTCCACCATCAGCCCTGGCGGCAAGTACTTCCTCACACGCAATGCGTCCACCGTTGTTGCCTTTGCAGTCGGAAAGAGATGGAAGCCAGGCAATCCAATTGCCATGATTGGCGCACACACAGACTCGCCCACCCTTCGAATCAAGCCGGTCAGCAAGAAACAGGGAGATGGCTTTCTCCAAGTTGGAGTAGAGACCTACGGCGGCGGGCTATGGCATACGTGGTTCGATCGCGATCTCGGTGTTGCTGGGCGAGTCATGGTCCGGGGAAGAGATGGAATAGTAGGCCAGAAGCTCGTCAAGATTGACAAACCCATTTTCCGAATTCCTACCCTTGCCGTACACCTCGATCGACAAGAAACATTCAGCTTCAACAAGGAAACTCAACTTTTCCCCATTGTAGGACTTATTGCCGCAGAATTAAAACGCCAGGACGAGAAGAAAGGACCCAGCTCTCCCAAGGACGAGGAGATGGCAGAGTCCAAGCCGTTCACTCCACTCAAGGCCCTCACCACCAGACATCATCCTCACATCGTGGAGCTTGTGGCGGCGGATGCTGGCGTGAGCCCAGACGACGTGGTCGACTTTGAACTTGTCCTTTTCGACACACAAAAGGCCGTTATTGGAGGCCTGACGGACGAATTCATCTTCTCAGCCAGACTCGACAATCTCAATCAAACATATTGTGCCACCATGGGCTTGATCAATTCGGTCGAATCATCTTCATCGTTGGATGACGAGACTTCGATCCGCCTGATAGCATGTTTCGACCATGAAGAAATTGGAAGTATGACCGCACAAGGTGCATTCTCAGTCATGCTGCCCGCCATCATCCGCCGCCTGTCAGTCCTCAACCCATCAGGCTTTGCCGAAGAGGGATCAGAACAATCATACGTTCATGCTAGCGACCCCGAATCATCCACAGCATATGAGCAAACCTTGTCAAGCTCTTTCTTGTTGTCCGCAGACATGGCACACTCTGTCAATCCCAATTACGCCGGAAAGTACGAGTCAGACCATCGACCCGAGATGAACCAAGGTCCTGTGATCAAGATCAATGCTAATGCAAGATATGCAACAAATTCGCCGGGCATCGTTCTCCTCCAGGAAGTGGCACGCAAGGCCGCCAAGATGATCGAGAGCGACCCTGAAGGAGTGCCTCTGCAGCTCTTTGTGGTGCGGAACGACTCAAGTTGTGGAAGCACTATTGGACCCATGTTGTCGGCTCATCTGGGAGCTCGAACCCTGGATCTGGGCAACCCACAGCTGTCAATGCACAGTTGTCGTGAGACTGGAGGTGCAGACGATGTTCATCACGCCATTCGCCTGTTCACCAGCTTCTTCCAACATTACTCTGCGTTGGAGAAGACAATTTTGGTTGACTGATGTATTGGCATTTGGGAGCAGAGGGCGCCTTGGTGGGGAGGAGTTTTTGTAGACGCAACGATAGTTTCATTCGAGGCGGAGATTGACGAGTAGCAAGACCACGTATGCTAGGGGAGGCATGTACATGTATATATAAGAAGACACTCATGGGGATAGGACTGACACCCTGTGGACTATCCCTCCTGCAGATCTCATGTACGATCGGAGAATTTATGGAGGACTGGTGACTGGATGTGGGATGGGAAAGGAGCGAGTGGATGAGATCTCATCTCCAAATTTCTCCACCGTTAGAAATATTAGAAATATGGCTCAAGCTCAACCACGTAACCAAAAGATAATCTCAGTAACCCAACCATCACATCGGAGGCGGGGGTCTTCGGATCGAACCTACGCATAAGCGTATACCTTTTTTCTGAGTCAAATTCAACAAAACGTCACATCATTCCAAAAGCCTCTCTCGCCCTTTCAACACCATGGCTACGCCCCAGTACCTAACGGGCGACAAGATTGCCATCAAACAATTCCTGGACCGATTCGATGTGGGTTATCCCTCCAGGTTCTTCATACGGTACCTTGTTGTTCTACAAACTAACTTGGAATTGCGATAGGTATTTCTCTTCGACTGCGATGGCGTTCTTTGGTCAGGCGACCACCTCTTCCCCGGCAGCGTTCCAGTGCTAGAACTACTGCGCAAGCACAACAAACAAGTAGTGTTTGTGACCAACAATTCAACCAAGTCGCGACAGGACTACCGCAAGAAGCTGGAGAGTATGGGAATACCCGCCACGACCGAAGAGGTTTTTGGCTCGTCGTATTCGGCCAGTATCTACATCTCGCGAATCCTGCCACAGACACATCCGGAGCTCAAGAAAAGGAACAAAGTCTTTGTCGTTGGAGAGGCTGGTATCGAGACTGAACTCGACTCAGAAGGTGTTCCTCACTTGGGTGGCACTGATCCCGCATACAGAAGAGATGTCACTCCGGAAGACTATAAACTGCTAGCTGCGGGGGATCCTTCGGTCTTGGATCCAGATGTTGGTGTGGTTCTGGTGGGCTTGGATTTCCATTTCAATTATCTCAAGATGTGCTATGCCTACCACTATATCAAACGAGGTGCCTTGTTTCTGGCGACCAACTTGGATTCCACCTTACCGTCTGCGGGTGCCTTGTTCCCTGGTGCGGGCAGTATTTCGGCACCTTTGATCACCATGCTGGGCGGACAACAACCTACTGCATTTGGAAAACCCAGTCAGGCCATGATGGATGCGATTGAGGGAAAATTCAAGTTCGACCGAAGTCGTGCTGTCATGATCGGCGACCGCGCAAACACCGATATCAAGTTTGGTCTTGAGGGAAAACTCGGCGGAACCTTGGGTGTCTTGACTGGCGTCAGTACCAAGAAGGATTTCCTAGAGGGCGATACCAGACCCGCATATTATGTTGACGAACTGGGAGATTTGTTACAAGGTGCTTAAGATGCACTTGTTGTTCAGACTTTGATCCCCATCCTGTGTCATGACGACTCATAGACGACACCAGGACCAGGCACCTCCCGAGTGTCTTAGAAATGACTTTTACACGATAAGCAAAATGATAACCAACTCCCTAGACCAAGGTCGAGTGCAATAAACAAGATCATGATCCTTTCCACATTATATCCCCACATGAAATCTAAGGTAGTCGTCAGGTCGTAAAAGCGACATCATAACTCGCAATATAGTCTAGCGACGTTCATCAATCTGGTAGTGCTGGATCCGTCGACCACAGGGCCAGGCTCTGTGAAATTACTGGCGCGACCGACCCAGTCACCAACGTCATGGTTTCCAAAATATGCATATCTCTCGATCCATGGAGTCGCGTCCAACCAAGGGAGAGCGTCTCGTAGAAAGTCCTGGACCTGCTGTTCTGAGGCGCACTGTCCCGTATTCATCGTCGAACAAGCAAATTCGTTAAGCCAGATGGGCCACGACGGGTAAGAGGCGTGCATGAGCTCTAGAAAATTGCGCATGTTGGAGAATAATGGACCATACCAATGGAGGACCAAGAAATCGATTCCATCGTGACCGGCGAGTTGGGAGAGGAACGAGTCGAGCCAGGGTTTGCTGCGGCCCAAGTCACTCGACATACCAGGGCTTCCCAACCGCAAGTCGAACTTGGCCTTTGCGGGTAACACCACCTGCTTCCACAGGTCGACGGCCTGCTCGACTGATAGGTTGGCCTGTTGGGGAATCTCGGGCTCATTGAAGCCCAGAAGTGCTGACGTTTTGATTCCGCGACGCCGGATAATGTCCGTCAGGAACGGATCGACGTCCTTCACATTGCCAGCCGTCCGTACGCAGGGGATCCATTCCACTCCCGTCGGTGTCGAATCCGGCACCCACAACTCCCAATTGAAGACCCATGAGATCTTTCCCGAGTCAATGTACTCTTGGTATAGAGAGAAATGTGACCCCGGCTGATTCCATGGCCATCCCAGACCTCGTTTCCCTCCCACCACTGGTGTTGTTGCCTGGCCTGGGACTTTCAGAGCAGTCGATGACAATGACTTGGGCTTGGGAGGCGGTCGGGGCGGTTTAGCTTTGGTCTCCATCGGCCCGTATCTGTCTTTGAGCAAATCACCAACTTATGAGATAACAAAGTACTAACAGTAGTAATCGACACTGTCATAAACAGAATGTTGACACTATTCATCAAAGTGCCAATGACGTAGCAGAACAGGTGCAGTGGAGTGATGATCCACCCTAGCATATGTATGGTGGAGTATATATTCACTCTTTGCGGTCTCATACAAGAAAGAATCCATTTCAATCTCTTTGATTTATCTCCAGATTCTCGCCCTCGACCAGTTAGAAAATGCTCTGGCTCTCATTTCGAGTGTCTGGATCATCTTGTCAATACTAAAAGTCTCACCAAATGAAACTGACAATTCGTTTTCTGTCAACTTTCGACTCCACCACACACGCATGTTCACTCTCCCATGCCCTAGCGGGACGGCTTCACCTTTTCAACTTGTTCGACATTTGCAATTCCGATGCCTGAGTCTTCTCCATTGCTGAGATGCAAGTTCTTCTCGACATCAGATCCAGAGGATGTGATGATCGGATCGGGCTTGCTGTTGTTGTCATGGCCTCTATGGACAATGCCAATCTGGCTGTCGCCAACCATATCTGCGGGGACGCGGTAGTAAGGGATAAAATTGACGGCAATGGCATAGGTCAAAGATACAATCATGAACTGCAGCACGAGGATGGTCAGTCTTCATCCTCCAGGAAACACAGAGATGGTCGGAGAAAAGGCGCTAGACTCACTATTTCTGGCACAATCATGGCGAAGCCGGTATCATTGCGCAGATCAGCAACATGACCTGTCAAAGCCGGTACACAGGCGCCTCCCATGACACCTGCGACGATGAGGCCAGATCCTCGCTTGTAGTGTCGACCAAGACCCCGGATGCCCAAAGCAACAATGGTGGGGAAGCACACACTTTCAAAGAAGAGGACGAGAAACATCATGGACAGGCCGACGTTGTCGCGAGTATCGGTAGCGACAGCCAGGAAAATGACGACGCCCGACAAGTAAAAGAGGAAAATCCAGCGGGGTCGCATCAAATGCATGAAAAAGGTTCCCGAGAAGCGGCCAACGGTGAACGCTCCTTGCGCACCGGCGAGAAATTTGGCGCCTAGAGCACTGCTCGTCCCAGGCCGCGTTTCGACGGCATAGTTGATGAAATACGAGGCGATGGCAACTTGAGCTCCCACGTAGGTGAATTGAGCAAAAGCAGCGTGGAATAGGCGATATTGTTTGCGGAAGGGTTTGTCGCTCCCTGCAACGTGAGTTTCTTGGACTTGGAACTCCATGTCGGCATCCGTGACTTCGGGGATGTATGAGACGAAGAAGACAAAAGCCAAGATGAATACGAAGATGGCTATACCCAGGTATACCCATTGCACATTCTTGAGCGCTTGGACACTGTCTTCAGTGTCGACGAAAAAAACATAGCTGCCGAGGACTGGACCAACAACGGTACCAACCTAGATGAAGAGGCCTGTCAGGGACTTGCAGATTGTTGGATGAGAGGGAAATGACGAACCGCGTTAAAGGCCTGAGCAAAATTGATTCGTATTTCAGCATATCTGGGGGGACCGCAAACAGCCAAGTATGGATTTGCCGCGGTTTCCAGAGACCCGAGGCCAGAGCCGATGATGAAAGTGGCACCACAGAAGCCACCAAAGGAGCGATAGACACCGGCGGGCCACATCATCAAGGCACCAATGCCATAGAGACACAAGCCGAAGATGAAGACTGACTTGTAGCCCCAGTGCCTCAGCATCCAGTTAGCATAGCCCAGGCTCGCCAATGGGTATGCACCAAAATAGGCTGCCTGGAGACCGGAAGACCTGGTGCGAGTAATACCCAGGGTGTTTTGGAAATGTTTATTGAGGGTATCAAGAAGACCATAGGCAAAGCCCCAGAGGAAGAAGAGAATAGTGACAATGCTCAGAGGCCATAGGGACTGACGCAAGGTGAGTTGCGCGGCGACGGTGACATCGGTGTTTTTGTTTCGCAAGGAGGACTTGCCTCGTGACAGGATAGCTCTCAAGGTCATCTCACCGGGTGACACGCCATTTGGCTCAGTACAAGACTCGGTGCCGAATCGAAATCGTCAGACGAGTATACAACGAATGTTGAACAAACCTGATCAATCGAGCATCAATGCAGACCAAAGAATAGTCGGAGGCAAAGAACCCTTTATAGTGGAATGGGCATTCGGATAATGTCTTTACTTCAACATGAGCACATAAACACCGAGACGCGTCCGTGGCAGAGACGGGACCCCGCTCATCGGGCAGTCCAGGTTGGTGGTTCGCATCTCAGAGTCACATTGAGGGCGAGCAGTATATCATAATTCGATCGAGGAGAGCAGGGGTCTGACATCGTCATGTCTCGAGAGCAACGGTGCGGTGCTGGAAACAAACTTGGTAAAATGGACCCTACCTGTAGAGGTAGCAAGGAGTGATGAAGGTGGACCTTGACTCCGGGCCATTAAGCACCGAGCTTGGGTCAGGTAGGATGAAGGCATAAAGGAGGATTGATGATGTGAGTGGCTGCGAGAAGGTCAAGACTTTGACGAAGGAAAATCATCAGCAAGCTTGCCTTTGAATGGAGAAGGCGGGGAAGTCGGCAGTTTTGAGGTTGATGTCTTTGGGAAGAAGAGTCCTGGCGGACGATCTTGAGTGGTCCGGAGTTGGCCACTGTTTTGCGGAGGAAGTCAGGAAGTGTAACCATATGAGGTGTTGGTTACCAGGGTAGTTGGGGGTACGGTATTGAGACAGGATGGGGTGTCACCCTCCTGGGCTGTGTGTTTTACAAGAAGAAACAGGAAGAATGATGAATGAAGAGAGGATGAGAGGATGAGAGGATGAGACGTTGAGATTTCGTTTAGCACAGGCGACTTGGCTCTTTCCTTGTAATTGTGAAGTTGTTGCTAAGAAATCCTCCTTCGGTTAGGCAGTCGCGAGGGTCCCACCTCTTCGGCCATCGTCGTCGCGGGCTAGGTACGCCGCCGCTTTTAAGGGCAGTACCTACTACCACTTTGCTAGCAAACAACACGCAAGAAACGACCTGTTGGCAGTTACTCTCTCACATCACGCAATGTACTAGGGACTTACTTCACTGCCTCTCTTTGTTTATGAAATAGCGTGTCACTACAGTTGATAAGTGACGCGACTCAGGCGACTCAGGCGACTCGAAGTGAGACTCAAGGGTATAAATATTTAATAATTCGAGTTCTCCCCCTCCCTGCTAGTTAGAAAATCAACTGATTTTCTCCTATTCTTTTTGCCCCTTCACGTCCTCTCTTATAATGATCCAGCTCTAATAACGTCAATTGCACACCTCTCCGGTCTTCCCTGTCCTGACAAGCAGACTGAGTTTATAGAAGTGGTGCGGAAAATCAAGATGCACAAGAATACTATGGTGCACTATTTGGGCAACTCACACTAACCGCAAACCGAAACTTTGCACTACTTACGCGACCCGCACTCACTGAAAATCGAAATTTGCACCATTTGGGCGACTCACTGCACAGTCCCATCACACCAATAATCTAAGACTGTCACTTCCATTGCGGTCCAGGGCAGCCTGAAAACAAAAAAAAAAAACAGAGTTAATCCCCTCGGCCGGAATCGAGCCAGCGACCTTTCGGTTACAAAGTTTCCATTACAGCCGAACGTGATAGCCAACTACACCACAAGGGGTTGGACCAACTCATTTGGACATAAAAATTGGTGGTGAAAACTATAATTAAAAATTACTTGGTAAGCACTAGTCTATTTCAAGCCATTTCAGTCAACCCTCCCACACCCTTTTGATACACTGTGTACTCACAAGTTGGGTACAACTAAGAACATACAACTATGATCGTACTGAGAATGTGGTCTTCTCTTAGACAATTGTCTAAGACATTCAGGGAGCCACGGTCCTCTATGTCCGCTATACTCGGTATATCCGCCTGTACTATCAACTCTTCCTTTGCTTCGTGGTGTTGACTAAGTGTCATACATATATCGAGGGAGAGCCACCGAAGGCTAACTAACTTGGTTATCATGGCTAAACATTACTTCATTAATTGTGGGAGCGACGCCTTCTCTCAACCTCGCCTCCCTCGACCTAGTTCAGGAACACTCCGCCTCAATAACAGGAAATCCACGTCTGTCATCTGCCCAATAATACATTCCTCTCCCATGTCTTGCCGACCTACATTCAATCCTTCGCCCCAACTCGTATGACCACACTGATTTCCAATGCCTTGGCCTCGCGGATCGCACAGGATAGGCAGGTACGTCCTACCCGAGCTATGATTGCATTTCGACCCTTCTCAGCACACCAACTTCGAGCCAGGATTTCCTTGCCACAGATCTTAGTGTAAGTCTCGGATCCATCTGGACAAGGCATCGCAGTTTCCACAGACGTATCAGTCACTGCAGAACTGTTCGACACACTGCTCGAGAGGCTTATGGTGTCGTGGTGATGTGGCGGCAGGACAGACCTGGCGTCGATGACCCACACCTCTGAATCATGTCTCCCACAAGGATTTGGAGGCTCTGCCACGTGGTCAAGCCCACGTCCCTCGTTGTCGACCCCAATAATGTCTGAGAGCGTCTTGGCTTCATATTTGTAGGTCGAGTGAAGAGGATGAGCCGGGATGTGTTCGTGTGCTTGGTGTTTGGGGGGAGGTCTTGTCTGCTCATAAGTTGCATCGCTAGAACCCGGAGCAAACGTCGCGTGCCCGTGAGGAAGTCGACATGGAAAAGCTGTGACAAAGTAGACCGCGCGATCCAGGCCGTACCTCACCTGTTTAGAGACGACGCGGGGGGAAAGTCCAGAGTCCTCTGCTGGTGGCGGACACGACAACAGCAGCTCGAACGAAGCCCAAGCTGAGAGAGGATGTTCTGGGCTCGAATCGGTGGCATTGCTGCTGGCAAGATGGACCTCGACTTTTCTCACTTCAATCTGCGTCTTGTCCTCATGATCCAAAACATGATCCGTCAGCATGCTGAATTCGCTGCTCATGATACCGCCTTTCCCGACTCCCAATGGGGTGCTGTCTTCGGCCAGTCGGTCGCCGTCAAAGATGCGTGGTCGTGATCTCGTGGTTGCAACCGGATAGGTCTTGAGCTTCACCCACCGGTCCACGAGCGGTTGCTTGGTGGCTTCGTATAGCGGCACAAAATTCGGCACCCAAATCCACCCCATCGACTCCTTAGTGCCATGGCTAGCTGCCATAACCCGTCCCACGATACTCGATTTAGACCACCAACTGCTTCCATCGCAGATAAAGCCCGAACCACGGAGTGGGTGGCTTCCTTCCCAACCCAACGTTCGAACCAGATGAGGTGCTGTATCATTCTCCAAGAGCGTGCCAATGAGAATGTCACAGATTGAGTTCCCGGGCAGAATAAGTCCCGACAGCCAACTGTGGGAGACCCATCCCCCAATTGTGGTGGGAGTTGCTGCATGCAAGTCAATGTAGAAATCTCCCAATCGACGGGTCGCCCCGACAGAACGGCTCTTGTTGTGGGTGTCGGCCTGGCTCTCGCATGTCATCGCGTCCATCAGAAACCTCTCCCTCTCCTCAATATCCACTTGACACAATTTCTCGCTGAGGCGCGCCCGCACTTCCTGGCTTCGAGGCCAACCAATAAAATCGGCAAATCGTATCAAACCCTCTACCATGACCTCTGGCTGTCTTGGGAGGATGGTAATATCACAGTCGTCATGGCTTGGCGCAGTGCTGGCCTTGCGTTCTTCATCGCTGTGGGAGAAGAGCTTCCCCAAGAAGCTCCCATGGTGTTGAGCGCCTGGTCTCGGAGGAGGAGATGTTGCCGTGGAAGCCACAGATGGCTTTGACTTTGGACGGATTGTCTTGACGTAGCTCAGTCCTATGAAGCGTCTAGCAGCAACAAGATCCCAGTCAACTTTGAGAGTCCGAAGTTTGTTGAAGTGATGAATTTCGTCACTCTTAAGTTCGAATGACTCGGAATGCAGAGCCACTCCTAGTCTCAATGCCGCATCCAATCGAACTACCAGTTCGACGGCGAGCAACATTTGAATCAAGAGCCATTTCCTCTCTGGGTCGACTGTCATATGTCCAGTGTCGTGATCATAATACGTTGTTCGACTGTGGAGAATCTTGCCAAATCGCAGCCTCGCTTCTGGTACGCTTAGGTCGAGCCACGCTCCAGGAGTGGTAAGGACTTTGACCAGTGCTTCAATTTGAACTTTGAGCCCTTCCTTGTCGGGTGGAACTTCATGACCCAATTTCTTGGGAGGGAACAGGATCATCGAGAAGAGATGATGATGGAGCTCGGAGGAGGTGAAACGATCAAGGATGGTGGTCCGCCATCCCCCCTCAACAACCTCATCCCGCAAATGGTGAAGGACCTCGAGCCGGTGCGCAAGCAATTCCATGGTAATGTCTCGCACCCCAACCGATCTCCAGACATGCGGCCCACCCTGAAAGAGCTTGACACGATCTTGGGTCGGGGCATGTTTACCAATCTTAGCGTTCAAGTCTTCGCTCTCCCTCCCTATCGCGAGCATCTTGAACGCTTCCAAGGTTGGAGCATTGGCAAGAGAAAGGTCGAGTTCGATATCTTTGCCGTGTTCTCGAACCTTGTCGTCTTGAAGGCCATCTGCCACTGGACGCTCGAGGAAATAGCGCATTCCCACTGTACCTGGCTCTTTGCCGTCCACACTGAGCATGTTGGGTCGTTCAAAGACACCGATTTCAAACATAGGCCTTTTGCCCGTGCCGAGTTTATCCAGTTTTGACGGCGGATCTGCCTTGGACGATGACCGATGGACTTCATCTGGGATAGGAAGATGAGCATGCAGCGTTGCCAGTGCAAAGCTTTCGTGGCGGAGATATCTCCTATCTTGCAAGTCCGAAATGTCGAGGTCGTTGTTCCACGGGAAGAAAGCCTGCGGGAAATACCGCCCACGACGACCCTTTTCCAGAACAAACTGTGGCGCGCCGGAGAACAACTGGTGCACATCGTCTTTGGTCAAGCCCTTTCCGGAGATCTTGTGAGACTTCGCACGTGCTTGTGGTTCAGGGCGCGTAGAAGCCTCGGCTTTGACCTGACCAACTGTTGTTACTGCTTGTCCGATGATGGGAGATTGTTCCGGGTGCTGGTTGGCAATATCCTGTGTTGGCGTAGCTGGCTGATTGCTGGTTTCTGGATGTACCTCCGTGATCTCAGGTTGAAACGCCTTTTCGATAGGATCAGCGCTCAGACGAGGTAGTCCGCGACTCTAGTCAAGAAACTTTCAGGGGACAAAGCATCAAGATGGACGACGGATGGACCTTACCTTTGGGAGGTGCGTCGAATCGTGCTCACTCGTCGACTCGCGTTCCCTACTTCCACTATTCCTTCGACCCAGTCGATGCAATAGCGATGGTTTATTTCCTGCATCACCTCTGTCGGCAGAACTGCTTCGTGTCTCTCGGGTAGACCCACCGGCGCTTTTATTCGACGACTTTCTTGTGAGTAGGTTCATTGCAATGGCTCTGAAAGGTGTGAGGAAACTGGTCCTCAGGATTGGTTTACATCATACGGATCATCCGGAGAGGTTGGGGTTGCATAAATTGTATAATGCTTGGCACCTATCGAATTGGGAAATTGCTAGCGGCTCACGTGTAAAGCTCACGTAAGCCTCGCCGCTTTTATATATGCTTACCATACTCATGGCTGACGCCCCTCTATCAGTCACGTGGGAGGCTGCCAACGCAGCCCCACTGGCTTTCCAATTCAACGCATGCGATGTCCCTGCGACCTCCATGCTCTGAGTCTGTCTCATAACGACAAGAGTTATAATTTGGTTATAATATGGGGAGGGCTATGTTTAAACCCTGGTTTGGACAGATTCTCTCTGCCTTCTCCACTGCCCACCTTTACACAGCTCGATATATACAAGTGGTATCAAAAGAGCGCATATTCCACCTAGAAGAACATACGTCCATCCATATCCCAAAGACGATGTTGACCTGTCAATGAGAGAGATTAGTATTGCCGCAAGAGAGCATCGCACAAGGTTTGTCTAGTATGATTGTCAGTCCATGGAAAATCGATATCTCTGGCTGGACACCCACACAAGCTATTATACCAGAACTTTGGGAAGGCATAATATCAATCATGAAAGTCATCGTAGCGTTCAAGATTGAGATGGATGTGTACCCAACTATTGCCGACAGATTTGTAAGCGGGACTCTTCAATCTTGGAAAGGAGATAGAACCCACGAATGAATTGCAGAGCCAATGGCACTGCAACCGATGCTTTACTCTCTAGGCACCATCCCCACGCCATGGTGCACCCTAGAAAGATGAGGATAAATCCTGGCATCGTGCGTAGTCGTGCTCGCTCGATGGAGAAACCGCCTTCGCCCGACACTTCGCCAGATCCATCGCTATGCCTTTCTGGAGTGACGCACCGCTTCTTCATCCTTTTGAATTCCCAATCCAACATTTTGCCCGTCATGGTCGATCCAAGCATCATACCACCTCCTGTCGATAGGTAACAGAGACCAAGAGTAGTCTCCGAGAGAAAGGGATATAGCTCGACGTAGGCTGAAGATATTGTCGCCGTAATTGTGTAGTTGACCGCGTACACGACCCCCGTGTAGAGCAGTGTAATGAGCACATCCGGATATACAAAGAAGATAAAGGGATTCAATATGGCATTGTTGGGGCTCGGTGCTTGTAGTGCTATTTGACGAGTTCCAATGGGCACCACGGGTATCCAGGCAAAATGAACGGCCTTTAGTGGCTTGATACTGCCATTCCCAACTATTGCTCTCATTGTCTCTGGCAAAAACCTGGAGCTCTATGAGTTTGAGGTTCGGTTTTCAAAGTGCAACATACCTACAAAAGAAGTATTAACAGGGAGATTACTGAGAAGATGGTTAGGAACCACATTATTGATCGCCAACCTAGTTGATCCGAAAGGATGCCTCCGATCACAGGCCCAACGCAGGGCGCCAGCTGTAAAAATGTCAACAAATATAACATTTGATCCATCAGGGAGACTCGTCTCACCATAGGACCAAGATTGAACATCCCGAAGAAACCTCCTCTTTCGTCTGGGCTTGAAATGTCGCCAATGACTCCAGCGCCTAAGGCAATCGCGCTCGCACACCCTCCTGCCTGAACCGCTCGTAAAAGGAGAAGCAACCAGAATGCATTGTTCGGCGTCAAGGCAAGACCGATACAAGACCCCACAAGGAGGCTCAAACAAACCAAGAAGATTGGACGACGGCCATATCGATCAGACAAAGGGCCCCAGAGCATCGGGGCTTCAGTGTCAAAGTTGAACAGTTAGGACAGTATGGCAGCTAATCGTCAACTTGAGGACTTACAGACTCCTTGCATTGCCAAGTATACTGTCACAGTCAAATTCATGGCCTCTATCGAGACCCCAAACTCTTTGCTTAATGTCGGGATTGCTGGAAAATATATGTTGGCAGGCAGGGGACTAGCATAGGGCATTAGTCATGGATACTGACAGAACCCTTGAAATATCGACTCGCCTTAAGATCCCAGCTAGTCCAACCATCCCCACGAGAAACCATTTTACCTTTCTATTGTAGACAGAATATGGCTCACAGAGAGTAATTTCACTCTCCTCAGCAATGACTGACCTCGACCGCGTAGGACCTCCAGATTGGAGCTGTTTCTCGGCATCGCCCATTGTCCAGCGGCTGATAGGTAATTCTGCTCAGTTCGTGCATGTACATCATAGTCTGTTCTACCGAGAGAGCAGAACTCGAATAATATGGCCAGGCGCAGATTTGGAAAATGACAGTTGTGAATAAGGTCTGCTAGCTCACTGGACGATAACATGGAGTTGCTAGGCTTATGGTCCGGCAGGCAAGGTCTGGTGGGACTTGTTCTCACTCCATGCTCCACTTCTTCAGAAAGAGATGCGCAGATAGGTTCTCTAGACAATTTTCAATTTCCTGTTCATGAAAAAGATTTCTACAGGACTCGTGGGAAGAGACATTGAGATCATTGTAACGATTGATCAACAAATTTGAGGATGCTATTGGCTGATCGTGATTGATCTTGTTGAAGATAAGCAAATGTGCTCACTTAGGTCTCAGGACCATCCACCCTGTAGGTGTTGGATTGCTTCCGCCTCGTCTACAACATCGGCATACTTCGCATCCAAATCAAACAAATTCGCATTTTGAATCTCAGGTGTCCGATCCCCGCATGCGCTTCCCACCACCTATCGAGTCATCAGATTGGCATATAACTGGTGGTCGTTTCCTTGCTCACCATCGGACGGAAGCCATGCTGCATAGCATCTAATGTTGTCGCCCTGACACAGCCTGAAGTGCTCACCCCACAGATAACAAGGGTATCAACATTCATACACTGAGACAACGGTCAATTCCTACTGTCCAGCTTTGACTAGAAGTCTCATACCTGCAGCTCTGACGCAAGAGTGGTGGCAAAGAACGCCGACGGATACTTTTTAACCACGATCACGTCGCCTTCGTCTGGTTTAAGTCCTTCTAGGCAGTCATCTAAGCCACGTTGGTCCCCTTTTAACCAGACGTCCAAGACCTTTGCCTTTCGCCAGAAGAGTCCTGCATCTGCCATGTCTGGTCGGGAGTATTCGACCTTGGTCCAAATCACTGGAACATTACCTATCCGAGCAGCCGTAAGCAGCCTTCGAATGGACTCTGGAGATGATGCGCCTTCAGGATTTGCTAACAAGGACAGGGGCGATCCTTCCGTAAAGTATGCCTTGCAAACATCAATGACAATGACAGCTGGGCGCAAGCCCCAACCCATCCGGTTCGCAAAGCCAGACTGCCTGTATGAGTTTGAACTGTTGTGATTGACAAGCTGCGACATTCTCGTCGTCCATCGAGTTGTAGAACTGGCCGCCAAGTTCAGAAATGAAAGATATTGTGCCTTGGGAACGAAGTTGGTGCGGATGCAATCTGCTCACCACAGGTTATTTCATTTGTGCATCTCATAGAAGAGGCCATGGAGGAAGGTGGGACTTCCTAGTGCCGACTTATCAATCTGGGCAACCTCCAGCGGCCGGCAAGGATTTCACCATAATCTGGGAGTAACTCCGGCAGATGCCGATAGATTCGCTCTCATCAGTGCAGCAATTCTCTTACATACCTGAGGTTGAGCCATAAGCTCTCAGGATTGAATTGTAGATTTGGATCAAACCACCTTCGCGTCCAAATTTCCCACCTTGAAAGGACACAGACATTAGGTAATATCCAGAGTACATAGATAGGGTTATCAATGACTCCGGCTGCGGTGTTGACAGATGCTGAAAGCAGTACCACCGTCTACCAACCCCTTGACCCAGAGATCCGCCAGGTACTAGATCCAGAGTTGGCTGCATTCCATGACCGATATCTGCAGTATGTTGAACCCGATGATGTGCGTCCATGGGATGCTGTAAAGACACGGTCCAGAAGACCATATCCTTCTGGAACATCTGAGCCCGTTTCTGTATCTCGAATCAAAAATATCAAATTGAAGAACTTTCCGGTCCGAGTTTTTTGGCCGCACGGACAACGACCTTCAAATGGATGGCCGGCCTTAGTCTGGTACCATGGTGGTGGATGGGCCTTAGGAAGTATTGAAAGCGAGAACGATTTTTGCACGAGAATGTGTATTGGTAGGCCAAATCTCTGAACCAGACAAAAGTATGCATCAAAGTCAATGTCATAGTTAACGATGAGGACAGATGCCGACTGTGTTGTTATCACGGTTGGATACAGATTGGCACCGGAGCATCCCTATCCTATCCCAGTCGAGGATTCACTTGCAGCAATGATGTGGGTACAAAGTGTGGAAGGTCGCCACGAACTTGGTATCGACCATCACCGGATAGCCGTGGGAGGCACTTCTGCGTATGTGCGCCCACGGTCTTAGGAAGTTCCTTTTATTCACAAGAAACGCAGGGGAGGGAATTTGTCGGTTGTCGTTGCTTTGAAGTCGTCTCTTCTACCGGAGTCAGTCCCTATTGTATTTCAACTGTTGATAGTCCCAGTCATCGATAACACAGCTACAACTACGACGGTATGGGCGTCTAGAGCAAAAGCTCCATGGTTGACACCTGCAAGAATGTTGTGGTATCGACGAATGTACCTCCCTGACATTGGCTGTGAGCGGGAATGGGAGGCTTCGCCTAACCTGGCTCCTGACAAGCTGCTGTCGAGGACACCTAACACTTGGATGGCGATAGCGGAGCAGGACTTATTGGCACCAGAGGCGATTGCATTCTCAGAGAACCTGCGACGACTTGACGTCGACGTGGAAGTGGAAATGTATCCAGGGATGACACATACGATCCTTGCCATGAATGGTCAGCTACTCTCGTCTGCCTTAGGCCAGGCACATTTAAAGCGTATGAATCTGGTATCATAGCTAACACTTTATTTAGGGGTTTTGACAATGGGGAAGAAACTTGTCAACGATTGTGGACACGCGTTAAGGGCTGCATTTGAGCGCTCCAAACCATCAGTACAGTGTAAGGATGACCACATAGTGTGAGGTTGATCCCGGTGAGGCTTAATCGTCTCTACTACTGTACCTTTAAAAGTAGAAGATCTAAATTGCAAGTTATCCTAATTCTTTCGATAGCCGAAGATTTTGGTTGCATATTGAATGCCTAATTTGAGCATTGTTGAAGTAGTGCCTTCGCTTTCTCGGATCGCGGGATCATCACAGTTTCGAACTTCCCAGGTGCACTATTGGAATAGCATTAGACGTTGATCTCCACTGGAACTGGTGAGAAACACTTACTTGGACAAACCATTCGTGAACGTCACAGAAGGGGTGATCTCGCAGCCGTCCTTGTCCAATGGGCAGCGGAGCTCCATAGTAGCAAGTAAGGTGGTGATCATGATGTAGACTCCAGCCGTAGCTAGCCACTGTCCGGGACAGACCCTGCGGCCAAACCCGAATGGCCCTTCCGGCAATGGCTCTCCTCTTCCACCTTCTGCCTTTGAGATATATCGGTCTGGATCGAACGTGTCCGGATCTTTGTAGTATCGCTCGTCATGGGTCATGGCATACGCATTGGCGAACACCACACTGCCTTTCGGGATGAACATGCCTTTGTAAACATCATCTTCCACAGTTGCATGTGGAACACCAACAGGAGATAATGGACACCATCGGGTTGTCTCCTGAATTAAACGCTCAATGTAGGGCAGCTTGTCTCGGTCATCGAACGAAGGCAAGCGGTCTAATCCTACGACTGCGTCGATTTCGGCTCGTGCTTTCTTCTGTAGTTCCTGGTGAAGAACCAGGTTGAGAATGCAGACCATGATTGTTGACCACGTTGTATTTCCTCCAGCAATCGAGATCGCGCCGGCGGCACCTTTCAAATCGGCAATGGTTGCCTCGTTCGGCGTTCCCGACTCAGCATTTTTGATATAACGCTCAAGATGTGTACGCATAAAGGATGGCATTGTGGCATTGCCTCTGCGGATTTCGGGTTCTGTCACATCCCATGGAGCATCATGCAGAGTCTGAATGTACGGTTTCGAGGTTCGAGCGTGCTCCAGTGGGCCAAACTTCAAAAGCCAGCTCGGCACGTGTTTCAGGAGTGGAAAAAAGTCCACAATAGATGCGCCAGGTACACCACCCTTGCCGGTTGCCTCTTCCGCGTCAATCGCCATTCTGATATATGGATCGTCTCTGCGAGTGACGCCCAGGCCAAATCCAATACGCAAGACAACGGCTGTTGAGAACTGTCTAAGGATAATGTCCCATTCTCGAGGATTGACGAGGATCTGACTTGTCGCCTGACGAGCTTCTTGCTCTTGGATTGGTCTGTATGCTCTACATGCCGTCTGAGTGAAAGAAGTCTGCAAGAGCTTCCGGTGCAATTTGAATTGTTTTCCCCACCGAAGAAACGTCAGCGTGATACCCCATCCCATTCTAGATATGAATAAATAAGTATTGTAACAAACGAGGTCATGGCTTGACTCACACCTCAAATAGAACGAAACGAGGCCTGTCACTGTACTTCTGACCCTTCTTAACTAACAGATCGTGGCAGGCTTGAACGCTGTTCAATACCACGATGTGTCGGCCAAGAACATTGAAATATAGAACATCAGAATCTGATGGTGATAATTAGCTAATGTCAGTAGAGGATCGCCAGCGGTAACTTTACCGTATTCTAATCCCCATTGAGTGTACTGATACTCAGGATGGGCTTCAGGAATGACGCGGAGATGACCTATAATAGGCTCTCCGGGTGGCCCAGGTGGTAGTTGGACTTTGTATGTTTTGCGGACCCAACCTAGGTAGGACGAGCAGAGGAGAGCCAGGAGTAGTGCCGTCAATGCAATCTGGACAGTCAGCCACGATGAAGTCATATCGAAGATGGACTTTCCCGGACTTGTTGGCAATCGATAAACGCAGGCTGATGTGTGTTCCGGATTTTATCATGTCCAGCCATTGGGCTCGCCTCTGTTGGTCTTGAAACAAATCTTCTATTGATGGTCGATGAAAGTGCTTCAGATAACAGCAACTATCTAGTACATGCTAGTGGTTCTGCAGTAACCGACAAGAAGATGCTGAAGATCGCCGGCAGCAACCTGGGATTTGCCGGCCGACAATTCCCTGCCGCCGGCTGGCAGATAATCATACATACAAGTCGGACCCACCCGAGAGACAAGTCTCCAAAAGATTGTGCACGTCACTGTTTTATTCGCTAGTAGAATGTGACCAGCCTGGGTGAGCGACGGGGATGCCGGAAATTGCCACCAAACCACAAGGCTATCGACCGTGATCGTGACAGTCGAGCTCGAAGATCAAGTAGACCTCACGCTGACCGACCAGTCTTCTGATGCGTGAAGCTGCTCTTGCTCTGCTGCCTTGGAGGCGTCATGATCAACAACATTTCCCAAGAACCAGCTCGAGGTGCGAGAGCGAACTCCGCCTATGCAACAGTACCATCACTGTCAGATCCTTACGCATATCAAACGGGATTTGGGAACCGATTCTCCACGGAGGCAATACCCGGAGTGCTACCACAGGCACGCAACACACCACAGAGATGCAAATATGATCTCTTCTCTGAGCAGCTAAATGGCACACCATTTGTCTCTGCCCGAAATTCCCAATCGCATGCTTGGTTTTATAGAATTCGACCCTCCGTGGCGCATGGGCCTGTGAGGAAACTGCCTTGGGATCACAGCTTGGAGGCCAACTTCTCAGCCTCCCGATCCAACATCCACTTTCTACCCAACGACCAGTCTTGGGGTAAATTCCACTTTCCTGATGAACCTGGTTCTGTTGACTTCATCCGTGGCCTGAAAACCATTGGCGGGCATGGAGACGCAACGAATAAGGAAGGCCTGGCGGTTCACATCTACACAGCGAACAGATCGATGAAGAAAACAGCATTTTGTAACAACGATGGCGACTTTCTCATAATTCCGCAACACGGCCGGCTGGATATCCAGACAGAATTCGGCCACATGATGGTTCGTCCAGGAGAGCTAGCAGTGATTCAAGCCGGAATCCGGTTCCTGGTCAAGCTACCCGATGGAGCTGCGAGGGGTTACGTACAGGAGATCTTCGGGTGCCACTACGAACTGCCAGAGCTGGGACCTGTAGGCTCCAATGGAATGGCCATGCCTAGGGATTTTGAGTATCCTCTTGCCAGTTTCGACGTTGACCAAACTCCATGGACTATCATAGTTAAGCTGGCTGGGCAGCTCTTCGAATACGATCAAGATCACACGCCTTTCGATGTGGTCGCGTGGCATGGGAACTATGTGCCCTACAAATACGCATTGGAAAAGTTCGTCAACTCGGCAACAGTGGATAGAGAGCAAAGCGATCCTTCGATATACTGTGTTCTAATGGCAAAATCGAAGACCCCGGGAATCGCCTTGACTGAATTTCTGGTGTTCACTCCCCGATGGAATGTGGCAACCAACAGCTTCAGGCCCCCATACTATCACCGAAACGTTTGTACTGAGTTGATGGGGATGGTTTGCGGAGAGTGGAACGGCTCAGCAACACTTCTCGAGCCAGGTGGTCTTACGTATGAGCCAAGCTTGATGCCACATGGTGGTGAGTGAACTCGACCTAGAATACATATTGAGTCTCCTATTGACCTTCTTTGATTTCCAGAGTCATATAATAGATGGAAGGAAGCCACGGCTGAGGAGCTTGTACCTCAACGAGTGAATGAAGGCACAATCGGTATGAGTTCAACATACACCCAAAGTAGCGGAGTTCTAACAAAATTTTCAGCGTTCATGATGCATATAGGAGGGCACGTCTCATTGACAAATTTTGCACTCGAACAGAGTGGAGCACTCCACGGTATGTCGACATCTTTGATACAGGTCTCCAATGCTGACCTGCGCTACAGAGCCTCAAACGACCCTATGGGATGGCTTCGAGGGGGGCTTCCTGGATCACCTGAAGCAGGTAAATAAGGATCTGAACGCCGCTGGATTACCTAGTCTGGAAACATACAATCTGGCTAGGTAGTCCCTACGCCCTGAGACTTCTGATAGCTGAGCGCACTCTTGAGAAAAACTTAAACGATAGAGGAATGGGCATATAAGGCGGCACTACTGATTATCCACATGCTCTGCTTCTTCGGTTGGGGAATGCGAGCTTATACATCCTTATCAGTCTTCAACCTTTTTGTGGACATAGGTTTCCTACATCACAACTGTGCCGAGGATCCGGCCCACCAGCCCGTGCCACACCCCCGCCAAAGTAGTCTAAGTAGGTAATTGTTCATTGCCGATGACTGTACCAGTATTGATAAGGGCTGCCGCATCAATGAAAAGACAGGACCTCGATTCCCAATCAATGACAGTGATACTACGAGTATTCCACTCCTTGGAACCGAGCGATTAAGGACAGCGCGTGCGCCGCAGATGGATTTACCTAATGCTCCAGCTCTCGAGCGATTACCGCGTTGTCCGAGTCCCAAGTTCAGAAGAGCCCCTATAGCTTGCCGCCGATGTCGCCGCCTACGCACCAAATGCCGACATATTGGTGCTATAGCCCCCTGTGAAGCGTGCAGAGAGACAGGCCACGATTGTATCTTTCCAGAGAGAGGCTATCCGGATTTAGATCGTTCATTTCGACGTGAAAGAAGTCGAAAAAGCTCAAGTCATGATGGCCATGTCAGTTCAACGAGGCAACTACTATCTCCAGAGCTAATATGTCCCTCTGAACCTTCGCAATTTTCATCAACTGGAAGCCCGATGACGGCCAACACTGGCCACAATCGGGAACCCAGATCGCTCCCTACAAGTCATGTCTCAGACCTGACGTCCAAACCAACTTCGGGAAACTGGGGACTCCTGCCTCCTTTAGAAGAAGTGGTGGAAGCGTGTCAAGTTTTCATCAAGTCATACTTCCAGCTTGGCTTCCTTCCAAAGACACACTTCTTCGAGCGCCTGAGGAAAGACAAGGAGAGCATAAGTGTTTTCCTACTGCTGAGTATCCTGGGTATCTCTGCGAGGGTTACTCCGAGCCTCGTCAAGCGTTATGGGACTGGACAGAATGCCGCAGAGACTTTTCTCCAATTAGCGGGAAGCTTAGTTCTTGACCACTTATACCGGCCGAGCTTGGACGGTGTGCAAGGATTCTTCCTGATGAGTCTTGCTGAATGGGGCAAAGGCGATAAGCACCGGAGCTCCATCCATATGGGAATTGCAGTTCGCATGGCGGGTATCCTACGCCTTCATCGAGAAGAAGTCTACCAATTGCCAGCCGATGCAACTCCAGATCAGATTGTCCAATCTGAAGTCGCTAGAAGAACATTTTGGATGTTGGAAAACCACGACAGCTTATATTCAGGGTATACATCTCCGACTTCTTTTTGCTTGACCGACATTACGACACGATTGCCTTGCGAAGAGCATGAATTCGCTTTCGGCATAGCCCCTCGATCTCGGGCTTGTCTGGTAGGGACAGCATCAGCTGAAACAGATCGAGAATCAACGGAGGCGCAAAAGAGATCGCTATTCGCAACCTTGATTCAATGCCATAATCTATGGGGACAGATCGCTCGCCGTGTGGCTCGAAACGAGATGATTCACCAAGACGCAACAAGTCCAGGGTTGGACACGTCGCTGACTGAAAGCGACTACAAGAGACTATCGGATCGACTAAAAGACTTCGAAAGTACGCTTCCTCCAAGGCACCAATGGTCCATATGGAATCTTCGTGGCTTTAGAGCTGAAGGACTTGACCTGGCATATCTGTCAGTGGTCATGGTTCTGAAGCTGAGCAACATTATCCTCCGTCGAAGCTATGCTCAAGAGATTACTGATAAATTCAACATTGAAATCGACGACAGACACCATAACTCCTCTTCACAACCTCCAGGAGATCTTCGAGATACCATCATCGCTGATTTAGTGGCTAACATGGTTATCCTCGATGAACAGATTAAAGCCTTTTTCGCTTTACGGTCTCCTGACCAAGGGTTCCCAGCTTTTATAGTCTTTTGCATATACACCTGCGGCTCACTGGCTAACTACCTTCTACAATCCCAAAATCTGGCCAACTCGGCTATGCTGGCTGCTGCACGACCTGCTGAGATCTTGGGATTCTCAATCCAATCACTAAAGGTTCTTCAGGACTCTTGGCCTATGGCACAACGCTGGAGTCATGCCTTGAGCAAGGCTTGTCAGCCACGGGACCTGATTCAAATGGATGGCAATGAAAGTCGATCTGATATTGAGAAACAGCCCCTAAACAATGGAACCACAACCAACACTGATGCAGACCACAGTCAAGCAAACATATCTCTGGGAATGGAGCTGTCCGGGAGTCGAATTCGCTCGGAACACTCGGTTCAGGACCTCAGCGACAACAACAACAACAACAACAAGGCCAGCGACACAATTGAAGACACAAATTTCTCCCTAGAGACGTGGGATGATTCATTTCTCGGTCCCTCTTGGACAAAAAATTTGGACTCGGAACTGGCGCTCTATCTTTGGCCAGGTGGTGAGATTTTGAACCAAGAGTTTCAACCCTGGTGACTTTAGACCATCTAGTCATTCAAGAGATGATTTTGAATTAGATGTAGAACGTAAGATCATATGCACAGAACGATCATTCATCGATTTTGAGCACACCATACTGTGGCGCCTGACCAGCAACTCCAACATCCGTGACATATTCGTCCCAATGCTTCAATAGTTCTTCCAACTTTTCCGGATAACGATCACTGACATCATCTCTCTCCCCTAGATCTTCAGAAAGATTGTATAGTTGCCACGAGCCAGAGCCATATGGTGGCTGAATTAGAACCGCTTTCCATTTGCCTTTGCGTAGGGCCTGCTGATTAAAAAGCTCCCATCCAACAACTGTGTCGCTGTCGTGA